TTAATTAGGCGTACCCCTATCTCCTAGCACTAAATCCGAAAGGATTAGTGTATTTTCTATAGAGTTACATTATTTTATGGGTGTTCAATAGGAAATGGACTGACCTCATTCTGTATAGAATATATACTTCTACAACAACACTATAGATAAAGGAACAAACTTAAGATTACTAGCAACCACAACGCATTAGTCTAATATCTTAGGTTCAACAAGGCAAATTGATATAACTTATTTCTTAATACAGGCATGTTTCTTATTATTTCAGAGGGGAAGTAGGAGAATCTCTTAAAGAGTACTGGTATAACGAGAACACATGTATATTAACATTAAAAACAAGTGTGTGTCAGCGGCATAAGCGTCACATAGTAGTCTATAATAGGATAAACTAGCGAGATTTATGCAAGTGCGGATAATTTTTTGGATATCCAAGTATCCATTGGATATCCATTGGATGTCCGCAAGTTGGACTTGGATATCTGACCGATATCCAACATCCGCAATTTGCGGACTTGGATATGGAACTGATATCCAAGTCGGCGGATATGCCGCAGCCTACTCGAGACTTATATCTAGCCTTACTAGAAGCGCTATATAGAGGCATAGACAATATTAAGTTCCTAGTCAATAAGTAACGATATCTCTGATATTGATATACTTCTAAGACCTACTACCTCTATCTAGTCAAGACCGACTACTCTAGATAAACTCACAAGGTATCTTAGAAGTAGTAAGTTTAATATCCCTCCCTCCTATTATATATTAAATCTTTGTTTTTGCTAACTTTATATCTCTCTAGGTACTATCTAATTAACACCCCTAGTCTTCTAGAAGGCTTATAAGGCAGAGTATCCTATCTTAGCAAGCCTTGCCCGAGATATCCTTATAACTCTAGCTAGCGGCTCTAGGGTAGAGAGATTTTTTAACTCTGCTCGGGATATATACCACTATCGCCGGGGCTTATTAAGACTATAGACTATTTAGGACCTAATAATGTTTATATATATAACTAGATTTGATATATAGTCTAAGTAGCTTGCGCTAGTGGATAAGTTCCTCTCTACCCAAGAGAAGTATTCGAAGAAGGAGTAGGATAATACTAAGCAAGAGGATAAAGAGTTTGATCCTATTAGCGATAACGAGGAAGATCTTACAATAGAAACTTCTATAGAAGTATTTATTAAGCAGCCTAGCCTACGAGCGCTAGAGAAGAGAAGGGCTATTAATAATAATAAGATCCCTCTACCTAATTTTGATATTTAGAGGCGTTCGTTAGGGCGTATTCCAAAGAGACTAAGACATGATACGGATTTTGTATATAATTAATAGATATAAAGGACAATTGATCCTTTCAACATGAATCATGCACATAAGTAATTTCTAGAAAAGTACTCAAAATTTCTGGAAAGAATACGTTTAGGCTACATATAACAAAGTATGACAGTAAAATACTAAAAAATACCAATAGATTCTTCATAAATTATGTAAATCACGGGGTTCTACATGTTTGTCCCGTTTGTAGGACCGCAAGACCGGACCGGACCGCAGTGGTGCGGTCCTATAAAAGTTGGGACCGCCCAGCGGTCCTTATAGTAAGGACCAAGCCCTGCATGGTCCGGTCCGGTCCGCGGTCTGGTCCGGTCCCTTGCGGTCCTTGCCGAGGTCTATTTATTACTAAATCAAGACTACTATTCTAGCTCCTAGAGCACGTAGGCTTCCGGGATATTATAGCTATAGCCCAAAGAGCTCCTAAGGATATCAATATTCCGTCTACAAAGGTAGCACGGAGTCGACTACGCACTATAGTCTTCGAACGCTATCGGAAAATACTCGAGAGCTTGCCCAAAGATAGGAAAATCTCAATTGCCCTTGACTATTGGACGTCCCCTTTTGCCCAAGCATTCATAGTAGTCACTGGATATTTTATTGACAAAGACTAGAACTATCGAGAGCTGCTTCTTAGATTTGAACCACTTCGTGGAGCACATTCTGGTGCTAATCTTAGTGCTATTCTACTTCGGCTTCTACGGAATTATAATCTAGCCGATCGAGTGCTTACTATCACTACCGATAATACATCAAACAATAACATATTAGTAGCAAGTATTCAAGAATCGGTTTAGTCTCTTAATCTCGGTAATAGTACAGCAATCATTCGAGTTCTATATATGGCCTACGTTATACAATTAAGTTTGAAGCAACTTCTCGGATAGATAAAGGTAGAACCAAAGAACAACACTGCCTAGGCCGAATAGACTAAATCCTAGGAATAGTTAGTTCGGGCTAGGCATTAGAAAAGGGAGATTATTGACACTCTAAACAAGGTTCGCCCCTGATTAATCTAGTAGATATCTAATTCTAATATCGCATTAGCTTCGGGGCCTAGCGTTCTTTATTAACGCGAGCCCCTAACGTCGTGAAGCTTTCCTATCTCTTCAGATAGGTTCGAACGCTCTTGTTCTAATATAGGACGTCTATACGCGCTAGAACTCGACATTCTTAATACTTCGCCGAGCTAAACGACTACAATCCTACTTAATTGAATTCTATTCAAAGTATGGCTATCCCTACCTCTAGCTTGATTATAAGCAATAGCGTTAGATTGATTATCTACTCCTAATTACATAGCCATTCTTCCGATTTACGACTACACTATCAAAGACAAAGGATATCACTATCCACCTAATCTTTGCAATCTACAATAAGCTCTTTGATTATCTTGAAAAGTCAATTAGGCAGCTTATAAGGAAGAATATCGCCTAGAAAAAGCTTATACTCACTACTCTCCGCGTAGCCGAGGAAAAACTAAGGTAGTACTATAGTAAGACGGAGGATATCTATAGTGATATCTTTGCTATTGGTATAATGCTTGCTCCGCACCTAAAGCTCTAGTTCTTCCGAAATAGAGAATAGGGTAGTAGGCCTAAGTTAGTTACTCGATATCGATAGAGCTTTAAGGACTATTTTGAACCGTATAAGCAACGTCGGTTAAAAGAACAAACTAGTAGTGATTAAGAGCCTACTACGCAAGGCTTAAGCCTAGATCTTGATCAAATATTTAGCCTTAACCAGGTATCTCAAGCTTGTTAGCAGAACGAACTTACAATATATCTTGATAGTGGTAAGTATACCTAGTCTTTATATTGTCAAACTTAGGTTAATCAATATTCGTTAGCAACTACTACTACTATGCTAGTTCGCGCGTTCTAGAAGGAGCACTAGGCTATATTTCCTATACTTGCAAAGCTCGCACAAGATATTCTCTCGATTCTTACGACTAGCGCGGGCGTTAAGCGGCTATTTAATATAGCGTAGGATATCTATCACTATTGTCGCGGCTCACTAAAAGCTACAACAATTTAGGAAATCATATTATATTGTTACACGACCGAGTTTAAGGTCTAAGAAGACGTGATTGCTATCTAGAAGGAGTACTTTTCTAAAGGCGATATAGAAGCGGATTATAAGGAGAGAGATAGTCTAGATAGACAATAGCTAGAAGATACAATTAAGCTAATTAGTGATAATAAGGAGGGGAACGAGGATAATACATAATCGGTTGTTATTCTTGTTTAAACCGAAGCAGCTATATAAGGTTATTTAGAAGGTTCTCTTAGAAAGAGGAGAAGGAGTATTGTATTGCAATAGGATACTAAGGGCCGTAAGGATAATAAAGAGCTAGAAGAGGATAATATACCCCTACCTAAGACCTAATAGCGTGTCTTAGGAAGATCTCGAAAACGCCCATAGGTTTATAACGATCAGTTTATAGAGTATTAGTCTTTGATAAAATTAAAGCTATTCACACTTATTTTGCTATCTAGTATCTATAAACGTGACTACCTATAAGCAGAATACATATAAATACAGCCAAAAAAATGCACAATTTGTGTATATCACGAGATTCTCTATGTTTGCACTATTTATTAACCCGTGGGTAACCCGTGGGTCGGGTCGGGTATGACTATCAAAACCCATACCCGACCTCGGGTATAGACTTTGGACCCAAAACCCGCCAAGAAATGGGTATGGGTCGGGTAAAACCCGCTTACCCACGGGTATGGGCGAGGCCTAACGATAGGATCGTTTTTTGGACGAGAGAAAACCATTCACGAATGATTTTAGGGTCTTCGCATTTTGCGCGCTCGTAGTTATATTGCCTTGAGAATCGGGTTGAAAGGTCGGGATGCCTTTTCACGAAGTTATAAACCCATTTCTCGCCGACTATTTGAACTGGTATAGTTCCGCGGGCCGCGAGAAGAAGATTCGCAGTTTCTCGTACAGTAGATAGCCGAGGCGCTGCTCCACGGTCATCAAGAGAGATAATCCATTTTTGAAGCGATTCCTCTTCAATTGCTGTCAATTTATGGCTATTAGCGCGGGTTTCGGCGCGTGGTTAGTGGCCGCGTAGTCGGTCTTGAAGAGTTGTACGAGGTACGTTAAAACAGCGCGCTGCTTCACGAACAGAAGATATTTCTTGGTTCTTAATAGCCTGAATAGCTAATAAGACCCTGCCTTCTTGCTCAATTGAATTTCGAGAGGATTGAGTACGAATTGGTGGCATGGTGGGTGGTTAAAGAAGAAAAGGTCTAATTAATTGACGCGTTCCGCGTTGGGTGGCCGGCTGGCTTACATGGCCGGCTCGCTTACCGAATACGTTAAATAGCAAGAAATAGCAAGTAATAAAAGACAGAGATTTGAATGCCCTCATTGGCTGAGCAAGTTACGGAAGACAGCAAGTTCCAACAGCCTGGATGTGCCACGAATCTCAACAAAATACCCCTGTAAGAAATAGATCCAATATTCGGAAGTTATATATAGCTAACATGTGCTTTGATGAACGCACACTATGCTGTGACAATCTTGAGTATAGAACCACATCAAATTTATTACAACACTGTAGTCCTGCTCTTCCAGAACAGGGCATCCTTATGAAGTCCGATCCTAGATAGGCTCCAACAGGTTAATAGAACTTTGATTGATTGATTGATTGATTGATTGACTTATGAAGTCCCAAAAAAAGATGCCAGTCCATCTATGACTTTCGTTACAACCCGTCGATCGGCAGGGCTAAGCGCGTCCACTTCAATTTGCACCCAGCCATCTGCCTTGGCTTTCACCAGCTCCCAGACCTCTTTAGACTCAGATTTCTCGTGTTCTAAGAAAAGACACACAAGGGACGTAGCCAGTAGACTATGCCATACTTCAAGACGGGACACCTCGCCCGCCTCAGCTCCCTTCAGTTCCTCGTAATCGCTGTGTATCTTGTCCCGGGTGCTGACTGGATCAAGACCCATAGTCTGGAGTAGATGATCGCTCATTTCCCAGTAGCCCTCGAAGCTCTGTAGGCTAAAGAGTTTGTACTCCACGCTTCCAGCGTCTTCTTCCTTATCGTCGGATCCGAGATCCGGCTGTGGATTAGCCGGTGAATAAGCTGGACTTGTCGGCAAATATGCCGGGCTCGAGGGGGCGTAAGCAGGGCTGGGACCACCGTATGGTGGACCCGAAAGTACAGATTCTGCAGACGCAAAGGAGGCACTGGCGAAGAGGGAGCGGACATCTCGAACTTTTGCCATTACCCGACTAGCAAAGCCAAAACTAGGCACCCTTCTGGTCTTGTTCATCTTGATCGCGCAATCTATCTTGGTATTTTTGAAATCTCCATGATCCACCATTCTGCGGTCAGCTTGAAGACCCCTTAGTCCCCGTAAGCCGACATATCTATGATTGCTTAAATCCAGTGGGCTCTCATCCTGTATCGCAACGAATGAGCAGTGTTTCCCTGCAACTTGGAACTTGACTCCTAATCGCTCGCATTCTCTTTGGTTCAGCTCGTTGACTCGGCTCTCCCATTTGTTCGTAATTAGCTTGCCTTGGGTGTCTTTTGCAGAGTAGATCCAGCCATGGGACTCTTCGACCTCGGTGACGATTTTTTTGGCAGCGAGCTGATGGATTGTTTGCCCTTTGCCAATATCCTGAACTGGGATCTCTAGCTCCAAAGGACCATGCTTGCTATTGGCACGAAGGGTGATTGTTTCTGGGAAGGTTTCGGAAGCATGCGAGAGGAGAAGATAGATGTTTGAGCGCACGAAGGGAAAAAGACCCGCGAGGTCGGCTGGAGCTTGTAGTATTCTCGGAATATTAATTTCTGGAAGAGGCTCACTCAAATCCCCAATCTCCTTCTCATCGTCGTGGCTCTGGTCAAACAGAGAGATCAGCTTCGAGGTAGCTTCTGTTTCCTTTTTATCACTTTCGGGCAATTCAAACTGCACGAAATCCTCTTCAAGATTGGGAATATTCATATCCAGCCTGCTGTCAAGAAGTCTTGGCATCAATGCGCCCTTCAACATCCGGACTACCGTCTTGTTCATATCTTCATTCTTGAGGACAGTCTGTGAGAATCCTTTGCCAGCTCTGGATATACCGTTGACGAGAGAATGGGATACAGAATTCCCGAGGCCGAGAGTGAAGAACCTTGCAGAATGGTTTTGGTTCGCTTGGTTGACAAGATCAAATATTTGAGATTGATTCCGAACTGCGCCATCAGTGAGGACCAGAACCTCGAGAAATTTGTCTAGGTAGCGATTCTTCACGGCTGTCTGGAGCCCCTCTTGGATCTCTGTGCCTCCCATATTGGCTTTAAAGCTCTTTGTGTACTTGAGGGCTTCCCCAAGGCTTTCATTGTTGCTCGTCTTGCTTCGTGACCATAATGCTTCATGCCTAGAGCCGAAAGATATTATATTGAAAGGTACACCCAATGGAAAGGATCTGAGGAAAAGTTCCAGACTCGATCGCAGCGCTGATATCTTGTCCGCCATGCTTCCGCTGCGATCGACGACAAATACGATCTCGGAGGAGTCCGGTGGTAGACTGAACTTTGGTACCAGCGAGACCATCAATGCCTTTTGGTCTGGCAAAGTAGGATGTGTCTCTAGGAGAGCAAAGGGCAGGTCTTGTTTATCTGCGTTGACAGTGATGACGAAGTCCTCGTGAAGGACTACATTCTCTTGAAGTTTCACAGAGGCGAGGCATGACTGAAATGTAGATTCCTCCATGGTTGATACGCGGCCCAACTCAACTTGAATTGGATGGCCCGGTGAACGTATGTTGCGAACATGGGAGCCTTTTTCCATAAGAACATCTACTACGATGGATGTTCTCAGAAGACAACCTTCTGGTGGATCCTGGCTGGCACTTTGACTTTCATATCGAGGTGCAATCAAAGAAGGGATAGTGTACCGAATCCCATCGGTTTGAGAATCCTGAGACAGCTCTCCGATGAGTGTAATCTCAATGATAACAAAACCTGCGGCGGGAATATTTCCTAGTCGTGTGCTGAAGACATCGGCAGCACTGACCGAGCGATCGAGGACAGCAGCAGACTTGCCTTGGGATTTTGCTTCTCCGTAGATTTCATTTGCTTTCGCTTTTGTTTTGACCGTACCTTCGATGACATTGTCACCTATGTGGCAAGTAAAGCCGACAATACTCGAGCTTTCATAAAGCGGGAATGAGTAGGATACTTCAGAAATGGATTCTGTGGACGAAGGATTCACGAAGGTCTGCGTGAAAATTGTTCGCGAGTTGGTAGTGATAATATTTGCGTGCGCATCCAGTCCAATCTGAGGCAAAGAATTTCTCACAAATTGGCCATCTGCATCCTGTAGATAGAAGCAACCGTAAGACATGTTGGTAGCGAGTTGCAAAAGAGAAGAGGAAAAGGGGGCCAAACCGTTACTTATAGGCAGAAAGCAGAAATCTTGAACATGACTCACAGTCTTACAAATCTCAACGGTTAGGCGTCCACTAATATACGTGTATCCAGTGCCTGATCTTTGCATATTGACTCAACAAAAGTCTACTAAGGCGAGCTAAGAAGCCCTTATTCCTGGTGTGACAACCAGCCCCGGCATCCTGATAACAACCTTGGATCCTTGACTAGAAGCAATTTTGCGCAGACCATACTGCTCATACGAGTAAAAAATAATGTGACCTAGAAATCCTACAGAGCTCTCAACGTCTCTTCATTGACATTATCAGTATCTCCACATTCAGCCACTACCAGGCGAGGCGATCCGCATATTTTTTATGCAGCGTATTAATATCCATGAAGACATCCATTTATACAATATATAACCAGACCACTTGAATATTCCGCGTAAATGTTTTCTTTAGCTGTGAACCCCGCAGAGTCCGGTCGCAACAGACTCTGGATCGACGCAGCACTTCTTGGCCCCGCCCCGAACGGTGGCCGCATTGCAAGATAGGGAAAACGAAGCATAGAATAACTTCCTCTGGGCGTTCAAGGGGGGTTTTCTTGAACATCTCGTACCGGAGAGCGGAATACCGCTGCTAAAAGCTGAATTCTACCCTAGTGGGTGGAAATGCCCTGGTTAGAAACACCGCGGCAAGTCCGCCGACAAGTTCTCACCCAAGAGCTACAAATTGCCCTAGGAGATCGAAGGCGCCACCATTAGCGAAGGATAGCGCCTCAGCTTCCTGGAAAACAACATCAAGATTGGCGGTACGATCAACTGCTCCATCCAACCAGGGGACTTGCGAGTTTTGTAGATGTGAAGCTGGACACCCGAACGATGCTTCCCACCACACATATCGGTAGAATAAACGAAACATTAATGACTAACTGTTAGATGAAAGAAATCATGGTGATTAAATGGGTTTTCTGGTCGAAAAAATAAAACCAAGCAGATTCATTCGTTCCATTTCTTGTTGAACAGTGAAAGAAGTAGGGTGTTTATTGAATATCATTGGTCTGTAAGCATTCTCCACTCAATTCCACGCGAGTTTCCTAATACTCAGGCTCCCCCCAAGTCGGATGCAAAAATTTATTTCACCCTAAGACCTATTGCCTGGTTCCCATATTCCCCAGGCCTAGGATCCAAGTGCCCTTCTTACTTGTTGGTTGATATCAGCCACAGCGATAACGTGGATCCCAGTTACTCCGGCCACCCGCAGAATAAAATGGATCCCGTAGCAACGGATGTTTTTGAACATCAAAAATGCCCCCACTTCGTTCTCAAAAAACTCAAAAACTGGTTGAGCAGGAGGGCCGCCTTATGTTAGCCATTGAAGCTATAGGAAATGGGAAATACAGCTCTATTAGAGCTGCTGCCGAAGCTTTCACTATGCCGCGATCAACGTTACAAGATTAGATGAATGGTAATGAAAGTTGGGTTGTATGCCGCCACCATCACGAAAAATTCTCTGAAGTTCAAGGGGAATCGATGGAAGAATGGCAAATCTCTGTGGATCCTAGAGGGTATGGCCTTACACATAGGATGTGTCGAGATATGGCTAATTTACTACTCCGTGCCGGTGAATCAACCCCTTCTGAAAGTTGGCAAAAATCGGGTCACAGACTTTATTAAACGCCATGATTCTCTTGCCTCCTATCATTCTCGTCGATATAACTATGAGAGAGCTCTATCTGAAGACCCTAAACTTATAAAATGGTGGTTTAATCTCGTCCGAAATACCATCCAAAAATATGGTACTATTCCGGCTGCTATCTGGAACTTTGATGAGACGGGGTTCGTGACGGGTGTTATGTACTTCATCCGTCTAGAAAACTATCATACTCGTCATCGTCGGACTGCGGTAATGCTGTTACCCCCTTCCCATGCAGGATCGCATGTACGCCTGTCCTATACGACCTTTCCCCGGGATACTCCGCACCCATGAAACTATCATGCTCGCCGACGTCCGAAAATGCCGGTATCATCTTGAAATGACGGGTTGGGTGATTTCTTATACTGTCCAACTCCGAATTCCCTCCCGGAAGTGGAGCACCTAGAAATTCCCGCGCCGACTCTTCATCAATCACTATACATATTGGATACATCATTGTGTGGTGTCGCCCCTCCTGCAAATCCACCAATGACCGAAAGCGAGCATGAATTGAGTCTTTTGACGCTCCATCGACCTGCGCCGGATTATCCATGATAACTGGACTGTGATGGGCCCAGATATCGTTATATAAAGTCGAAGAAGGTGGCTCGACAGAGAGCAAAGGAACAGAATGCGAATCTACATGATTTCTATATATACAACCCCTCGAAATTTCAGTCGTACCACTTAGTTTACGTGGATGAGTCTGGATGTGACAAACGAATCGGGTTCCGAAGGACTAGCTGGCGTGCCTCGGCACCATTTAAGGTAGGCGACTTTCATCGTGACCAGCGATACCAGATACTGCCCGTATATTGCCAAGACGGAATTGTACTCTCTTATGTACTCCAGGGCTCCACGGATTCTAGAGTCTTCAAGGAATTTCTTGATCCGATTCTTCGGCATTGTGGGAGATAGCCTAAAACAAAGTCCTTTCTAGTTGTGGATAACATATTTTTCCACCTTTCTGATCGTGTTGCAAATATATATCTAAGCAAGAGTAAAGCTCATGTATCTACCACCTTACTTACCTAACTTGAATCTTATCGAGGAGTTCTCTGAGTTGAAGGCATTAATTAGACGGAATTTTGTGCGGTATAAAGAAGATATAGAACAAGGGTTTCAAACTGTCCTCGAGCGGTGTACTGAGGTTGTTGGATCTCGAAAATAGAGTGCCTTGGGTTATTTACGACATTCTAGTGTGGCTATTGACTAGAGTGCGCCAAAAACCGCAAAACTGCAAAATCGAACCAACCCAAACCGCAATTAGGTCGGTTTTTAGGGCCAGTTTCAGAAACTGTTGCAGTTTTTGATTGTTTGGGTTCAAACCGCAATGGTTCCTGGGGCCCTTATAGGTTGTGAAACTAGACAAACTAGGTGGGTCCTTTTTATTGCAAATTTTGTGTATTTTTGCTCTGTTTCTTGGGGTATTAAAATTATAGATAGATGACTTATTCGATAACCTATATTTTGAACGTACGTAAAATGTCGCGGACTCCGTGGGGGACATGTATCACATCAGTATCCTATATAGACACTATATATATATATATAGGTCAATATTATACGGAACCCCATTCTTAGCATTTGGACCCAGGTCAGATAACGCTAGGCCTAATTAGTCCTGCCAAGGTAATTTCATTTCCAATGCATTATTTGGTAAAAATGCATTGCTTCATGGCAATACTAGTTAGTGGTCTGAGTATCGGCGGCCATGAACCCTGGGTCGGCCTTCCTTTGACCCGTGCTGCTCAGGCTGCCGGTCACAAGGTTATTGCGACTTCGCGCAACCCATCGCGCACTCCTGACCTCGTGGCCGAGATCGAGTCCAAGGAAGGCAAATGGGTCCAGCTTGATGTGGACAGTCGCGGCTGCGGCAACGTCACCACTGATCTTGAAAGCAGTAGCGAGCACATTGACGTCATGGTCAACAACGCTGGCTATTCCAATTACCCCCTCCCCCTCCCCAATTGAGACATTCGAAGAAGAGGTGCGAAGCCAAATGAAGACTATGTACTTTGGTCCCTTGCGCCTTATCCAGGCTGTTCTGCCCCACATACGCCAGCGCAAGTCTGGCGCGATCATCAACATGAGCAGCGGTACTTCGCTCGACGGCATTCCCGCTATGGGTGTTTACGCAGGTGCAAAGGCTGGCATGAATGGTATGTAGTAATATCCAAGAGGCTCTTGTCAAGGGAATAAGCTGACTAGCAACTTGATAGCTCTCACTAAGATCCTCGCGAAGGAAGTTACCCCATTCAACATCCGCACCCTGACTGTTATTTTGGGAACTTTCAACACCAACATTCCCAACTCGGTGGTTTCGTGCGAAACTCCCCCGCTAGAAGACTACAAGGGTACCTTAACCAAGCTGGTCCAGGTACTCCTGGTCAGTGGCAATATCAAGCCTAAGAGTGACAAGGACAAGGCGGTGCAGGCTGTATTCCAGGTCGTTGCTGACGAGGGGATCGGCGAAGGCAAACAGATCGAGAAGCTTCTTCCGCTGGGGAGTGGCATGACCCCTCATCTCAAGGGCGTTCTGGACTATCTCGGAAATGCCGTAGACGTGTCCGGTTCTGTGACTAACAGTGTGGATGTCGCCAAATAGAGTTGATTGTCCCAGGGTTCCAAATGTCTATTGAAGTCAAATTTCCAATTCGGAATGGATACACTAAGTAGCGGTTTGTAGTAAGCCCATATGAATGTCCCAAAATAGCCTAAAATACCCCAAATAACAAGACTTTCTACATATATCACACTTATTCTGCCTCGATAATGCCCTAAACTGCCAGTGGAGAACTCCATACCTTGACCACTTTGGATCCCTCCAGGCTCGATATACGAGATACACGTACCACCTTTCCTCGCGGGTAGCGAACGACTAGATCATTGATGCTCTAGTAAGATGCTGTGTAAGTAGTTGGAGTAGCACTGAGCAAAAGGATTTCATTCAACAAAGAATCGGAGCCTTACGGTCTGTAAGGTGGTCACAAAGTCCCACTCAACGGCAGTCGGAATTGATTGACGCTCTTCAGAAGATGCTTACCGCTATAGCCAGGCGCATTGCAGAGATGGCCCACCACATCCTCGGCCCATTTACCGGCCTCAATGACTGCAAGTGACACCTTTGGGTTCTCCGTAAGTTAATTTGCTACATTCAGACCCACAGGGCAACTTTCAACAATGAGATAGTCAAAAACACGTTCTGAAGTTTGTCCGAGTACGGCGCTCGCCGAGACCGTCATTCTGCAGGTATGCAAGATGCCGGCTGCGAGGGGCAGCAGAAGATGCATGAACATCTGGGATGTTATATAGATTGCCAGGAAAAGCTAGCAATGAACTCAAAAAGTAAGTATACAACGCTATGCCTTTATATTTCTTTTTCTGATCTGCCAGGACGTATTGCTGATTTTATACGGCATATCAACACAGCTTACGCCGTCGCTCCATTTGCCCTTACCCCCGAGACTATCACGGAATTAGCCCCCAAAGGCCGCTCGTACCCGGGTGCACTATCTCAATTGGATCTGTTTTCATATCTCTGCGTACTCGGGGCCGTTGTGGTATATCTGGTTCGCCCCGGATCTTTCGTGACTACGCTGCGCGCCACGCCTAGGCACCGGGCAAAGACTCAGCGGACTGCGATGTCTAATACTGTATAATCAAAGCCACGCCCAGTGCTATCGCAACAGCCGAACTCCCAATAATCGCACCATATTCATTCCAATCAGACGCCTTGCTACCAAGTATATACGCAGCATTAGACGTAGAAGCATTCCCCGTGGACTTAGAGCTAGCAGTGCTAGCTATAGTCCCAGTCCCGCTATAGTTTGCACTGGTAGACCTAGCCGTAAACCCAGCTGCCTCCAGATCAGACTGATGATGTACCATGGTAACCATAGGCACAAAAGACATAGCCGTCAGCACACCCTCGATTCCACGAGGAAAGGATGTAGATGAAGTCGACGTAGTAGCGCTCACAAACGAATTCACGTCGTAGGTGTTTGTCTTCGTGATGCCGGAATGCACGTGTGTCCTGGTAACCTTCTCCCAACTGTAGTCACTATCCACGTAGACCTCACAGCCGACGCTGGGCTTATAGGTTGGGACTTGAGCAATGCATTGTCCGAGACCATTTGGCGTCATGGAGCTAGAGGATGAATTAGCCTACTTGCGCTGTAATCAAAGCGATGTCGATTTACCTGGGACAACAAAGCGCCATCGTCCGACTCGGCTCCAAAAGATTCGCCAAAAGTGTCGCAGGCTCCTCATAATACGGTATCTTATCCTCCATCGTGGTTAAAAATCCAGAGGTACTCAGCGACTTATCATCACGCGCTGCCATACCAATCGTCTCCCAACCGTAGGGACAGTACAATCCCGGCGAATAGTATCCAGCAGAAGCGACCCATTTTGTCTCATCATACCAAGTTGCCGACGTGGTGGTGCCAGGCGGAATACAGTCCCAGTCACTCGTTGGTGTAGGACAGGCGACTTGGAATTGGGCCTGGGTCATATATTCATCAATCAGGGCGAGAGAGAGTCTGTCCGTTGCGGTACAGCTGGGCGCAGGGGTGAATGTTGTTGTTATGGGGCCGTAGTTTTCGAATGTCCAGTATCCGCCGGCAACAATTGCGGTAGTCATTTTGGAAAATATTATGCGATTGCGACGTTTTTTGGGCTCCTAGCAGGAAAAGAAAGGATTTCTCAAAAAGAATGGCCCCTGCAATTAGCATTATGTGGGCTTTAAAGGCCCACGCGCATCCTAGTGCTGGGTGTTGTGGGTATTAGCGAGAAACTAAATTTGGATAGTTAAATTACCATCCCTGGCAGTGGTATCGGAGATGTTCAAATGAGGCTTGAAGTAGTTTGCTTTCGATGGATAATTTCCTCCGTTACTCTCGCTAGCCAAGCGAACTGCCGGTCTGGCCGGCTTGGCAGGGATCTAGTTTATCCAGATCCTTAGGCTAGGGCTTGCTTGGGTTAGTGTGTCTCACAGGGTCATATGGAGTTCTTGGCCCCGGTTATTGGGACTCTGAGGCAGTCTTACCGAGCTACAGTAACCTATAAGAAGATTTACAGTAAGTGGCTAATATCTGCGGGAACAGCTCCCATTGTTGGAACTTGGCATAATCTAAGGCCATACACAGTTTCGCCCTGGTCATTTTTCCATAATTGAAGCTTTATCGCGCTGAACTAAACCGCGGTCCCCGGAATTTCCGTCGTTGCACATGTCCTTCATGTTCTACCTGCCATACATCATACAGCTCACCCGACCTTTAGAGCAAAGCTATCATGCCCCTTAATGCTTCTTTTTCATCCCTAGCCCGTTTTCCGCCTTTTTCTGGACAAGCTGGTATCCGCCTCGATGATGACACGGTTCGGGGACCGCTGTTTTTTTTTTCAACCCAACACAGGCGTGCTTTCATGTTGACAAACAGGCGCAGCAGCATCCCCAATTGCGCGACGACAGGATTCCGCATCCCTACACAGCCCAAGTAGCAATACCTAGTGTGGTCAACAATTGGAGATCTCAAGACAATCGCAAAAGGCTACACCCGCTGGGTGACGACTCATTCCATCCGGACTCAACAGCGAACTTCCGCATCGTCAGCCGTGACCTATTGCGCATGTGTACCAAATACCCGTAATAGGATTTTTCTTGCCTGGTCGCCATCTCCTTCTAAGTCGGATATCTGCTTTTCGTAATTAGTGGCCTTTTCTATTGACTGCCGCTCGTAGCTCCCGCCTCCGAGCTTTCCCCAGAGACCACAGCTGAAGACATATTTTCATTCGTCGGAGCCACGCTGTTCCAGATCAGAGCGGTTCTTCTCTTATTTGAAGCGTGCAATAAAAACCATACCAGGCAGTCTATCATGCTCTCGAAAGAGGCGACAGTGGTTCTGCTGGTGTATTATTTGCCAAAGCTAACGCTTATAGCTGCCCGCATCACCACCAACAGAGATGCAAGCCTAATTCAGTGAAGCTGCTACTGCCAGCCCCGCACCAACCAACCCCGCCAAAACCTCAATAGGCCTAGTGCCCTACCTGGCACGAGCTCAAGACGTACCATTTTCACAAAATAGAATTCATGGCTTCGATTGCAATGTCTGCCGGTGCTACTATATTCTATGATTGCGGTATCTGTACGCTCCCCTAGATCCATAACAGCCTAAGCTTGGGTAATATTGACGGCTTGCATTACATGACGGATTTTGTTAGCGGTGTCATCTTTATTATTTCCTCGGTTCTATATATGCTGGAGACTCAGCTGACTCAGTAGACCTCGGTGCCATATCTTCTGGGATGGCATGTTGGGCTGTGGAACCTGATCGGGTCTACTGGGTGGACCCTGGTGGCCTCGTTTAGTTACTTCTCCCGCAGCTGGTGTGCCTATCAGACTATTTAACCTTAACCTGGGTCTCTGCCGCTTTTTTGGTCGGTACCATGCTGCTTTGATACGAGGCACTCCAAAAATATCCTGTGAAAATGTCAGAGGAATGCAATCTTTTATTTTTATCCTAAAAGTGATATGGACTGGTAAAGAAACCGGAGTGAAAGCGCCATAGTCGTTGATAAAGTGTTTATTGAGGACGTATATTAGTGCTGAAAGACAAGGGAGAAAAAGCATAGATTTCTTTCCATGACGAGCAACTAGAGCCTTCCGGAACGACATTACATACTTTCTAACGTCGCAAACCCATTTAAAAAGCGACGATAGAGAAGGAATAAACCGGTAAAGGTTATAGAAGATCCCCCATTAGACACTCAGATAAACCCAAGCTTCTGCAGAATCCAGACCTTTTTGAACTGTTCTGTGGTTGACCCATCCTTTTTGAGATACCATTTGGTGACTGGCAGACTTTTACAATCAGGGTATCTAGCGTAGTTCAGCCACATCAAGGGTGACATGCACATAACGTCCAATGAATTGACCAAAGCTTTCATTTCCACTAGTATTCTCCTTGCATTGTGAGCGCCGGACTAGCAGCCTAAGAGAGAGGGTACATTTGTTTTAATCGTGATCTTCCAAGATGCATCTATCTCCAAGAGTCGGAAGAGAAGCTCGGCATAGTCTCTATAGCGATAATGAATGATAGTTGTATATGCCCTTGTAATAGACCGACTTATACTTCCTTCGAGGGAAGCCATGACATTTTTGCCTAGCACATTCATTCGAATACTTTTGAAGCCCTTAAACTCTACAATCATTATGATGATGGCTTCTCAATTGGGCATAGCCTTGAGGCGCTTCAAAAGAGCCAAGATTCAGGGTCGCTAGAAAGAAATATTTGGAGCCCATGATGAAGTGAGGGGCTCATAGATAATATACAGTATGGATGGATGAATAACTTCATTAACCCTGACCCCTTGTTGAAGTTGATTTCCCATCTAGACCAAAATACGAATCTGCATTCAGCCTTGTGGATTGTGGTCTAGATTCTAATTCTACCCCGTAAATCATAAACACTTGGCTGGGGAGCACCTGAAAATCTCCGCTGTTTGGCTTTGCGATCAATCATAGGCCATCTTCTAGTGGCTCTAGTCGACTCTTGTCGATTTTTAGTACCAAGGAAATCATTCAACGTTGGAGAACCTTCACTCTTAAGTCGAATACAGAATATAGTCCACTATGCTGCGCTGGATACGGTGCAACGGACGGGAGAGATAATTAAAAATCATGAGAGAGCGGGGACAAGGGAAGTTCTATGTGGAGGAGGGATATAAAATCAGTGCCACATGTGCATCTGACCGATGTAATGGTTGAGGAAATTTGGAAAGTTTGCGAGGAGCAAAATGATCAAAGCCTAATTGATCGTCATCGTGTGCATATGACACATTTTCTTGGACCCTTGAAAATGGAATAAATGGAGTAATAGTATGTTTATTCGTTTTTATACTCCAATGCTAAAGTGACAGCCCCATCCACTTCCAATCGAACCAATGACCTAGTGGCCCTATAGCATATGTCTAGGATTTGTTTCACAGGGTTATTTCATTATTGGTGGGACGTGGGATGGAAAGTACTTTGCTTACGTTCCTGATCACACGATCGTCCTAATTGATATAAATATATCTTCTCATAAGTCTGAATCTGTTACGTATGGCCATTTCCATGAATTGTAAAGCTCTAGCACTGAAACTTTCGAACTTTGGTAGAACTGGTTTTTCTGACACCTACAAGAGGCTATTAGTTTGAGTGTTCAAATCTTGCTGAATGATAATACCGAGGTATTATTTATGCCTCGGCGGTTAATTCGACTAAGATAGATATCGCAGAGTCTGTCTACCTCGTCGTCGAGCATGCTGATACGTATCTTTACTATAATCTGAGTTGACTGGATTTCAATATACTTTGCGAAACACAGAAGACAATGTTGAACATTATTCTGAGGTAATGTCGAATATGTACGCAAGGGCAACAAAGATCAAGCAAGCTCACTGAATTGTGGATCCTTTAAACTTTGAACCTGTCGCTTGACTCTTGGTCTCAGTCTTGTGAGATATGAGAGAAACTTGATAGTATCAAGGACTTGGAACTATTTCTCCTCAGTAAGTTAATAGTCATGCATTGGTGAAATTCTAGACAACGCAGAGTTGGATGCGATTTATCACGGCCGTTGTTGCCTTTAATTGGATCACACGTTCATCTTCTGTCCACTCTCATCGCTATCCAGCTTATGTCCTGCATCGTGCACAGAATTTGTCTCGTAAAGAACGGATTCCTCGAGATACTCAGGTTTCAGCTGACCATGCTTATCGTAGCGGTAGGGCTCTTTGATGGAGATCGAAACGGCGTTGAATACGTTTGTAGACTTCTTGAATATGGCATCCATCTCCTCAAGAGACCTGTAGCGTGTTTCAGGGAAGAAGAAGTACACGAAAGGAAAGATGAAAGCATTTCTACGAGTGTTAGTGGAATCTCTGGGCCAGCTCCTCTCACCAGATTTGGAAGGACAGGGGCCTTACATAACAGCGAATATGATATAAGTTTTGTACCCAATGCTATCAAAGGCGACAGGAGTAATCATGACGACCATGAAGTTGAAAATCCAGTTTGCACTTGAATTTTGTAAATCAGAAGGTGTTATAAGAGGTTTGACTATTAGGTAGCGACTTACCTTGTGGCTAGTGCATTCGTCGGGGCACGGATGCGCAGAGGTACAATCTCTGCCGGGTATAACCAGGTCATTCCAAGCCAACCGATGGCGAAGAATGTGTTGAATACGAATAAGAACACGGCTTGGCCGATTCCCGCCTGCTGGTCACCAAGCACGGTCAGGCGATAGTTGGTACCAGCAAGGACAGCCATGGAGATTGCCATGCCAGCAGCCTGGTTATATTGAAATTGGTTAGTCAAAATTCTTCAATCCTAAGGTAAGTTATAGATTCTCAAAATACCCCAAAAAGCATAAGTGGACGGCGTCCAACTTTTTCAATGATGAAGATAGGGATAAAGGCAGCCATCAGATACTCTGTGCCGTTGCAAGCAGCTAGCAACTTGGGAAGGTTACCTTCCCCGAGACCTATCTCCCTATAGAGGGATGGTGCCTGGGAACTTCGGATTAGTATGCGACTGATGGATTCGCAGTATGAAGAAATGTCTCACATAGTAAGTAATGAGGTTGATTCCAGATATCTGTTGGAACATTTGGTTGATATAGGCAAGGGCCACTCGATGAAATTCGCGATACTCGCTCATATCGAAAAGACTTCTATACGATCCCTTGGACATCTCTTTGACGGTTTCTTGAATGGCTAAAAGCTCATTTTTGATATAAGGGTCATCGCGAGATCTTTCGTTGAGACATTCTAGGATCTCCAAAGCATCATCGTCCCGCCCTTGCATTACAAGCCATCGTGGAGACTCAGGAAGGTGAATAATAGAAGTGAAGATCACGACAGCGAAAAGAATCTGGAAGGCAAGCGGAAACCGCCAGGCCACCTCACTTTCCCCGATAAATGAAAATCCTGTTTCCAGGTCATCAGAACGTGCAACTTGGTACATGATTGATGATTGTTTGACCTACCATAATTGATCCAATAACTAAGGGTGATACCTGCGGTAATGAGCATTCCCTCGATCATAACCATCTTACCACGGTCGTGGGATTTTGCAGACTCTGACTGCCATGTTGGCACAGTGCTTGTATTCATTCCATTTCCCACCCCGGTTACGATACGTCCAACAATGAAATGAGGCAGGTGGAAAGCAGTGGCTTGCAATAAGGCACCTGTAGCCATGATGACACAGCCACAGAAAATAGTTCTTCGTCGGCCAAGTGGGTTTCCAATGAACACCGTCAGAATAGCACCGAAAAAGCAGCCCAGATTATATGACGAAACTGCAATGCCTTGATTCAAGCTGCGCTGGGATCTGATTGCTGGATAATCTTGTATGGCTGGATCCGCGGTATCAATATCGTGAAAGTATTTGGTGAAAGATGGAAGATCTAGTAGTCCCCCAGTGACGCCTTGGTCGTATCCAAAAAGTCTTGTCATGGTCAGTCACAAAGCAATATAACCATGGGATGTAGAAAACCATACAAGAAATCAAGACTTCCTAGGGAACTAATCGCCAAGTTGAGGGCTCTGCCTCTCCAACCGAAAAATTTCGGAATTCCGAACATTGTGTTTGGATTGCACAAATTGCGGAAATCGAAAGGAGCGTTGCGGGCAGGGAATGCACGAACATAGCGACTCACGGGTTATATAGCATTCGATTCCTAGACCCACCCCCGGATCGACGAATGCGGTATTCCGAAAAAGGTACCTTTCCATGGTGCATTGGCAAGGCCAAGATATGGGGAAGGAGGCCTGCGTAGTGGGGATGGGAAGTGCCACCGATGTAGGATTTGGGGGCGGCTAATCGGCCGGAATCTGACTGGTCAACAGGACACCTTCTTTCCGATACGACCCATGCGGCTGTGCTGCCTACGTAGGAAACGCTTGGCATGCAGACCAAACACCTCCGCGGTGGTATAGTATCACTTGGCAGCGGCATGGCACATCTTGGCGGCTGCTTACCCCGTGGAAATCTCCCAACATGCCACAATGCTACGCTCTATTTCATTCCGGATTTAACCGGCTTCGCCCCCAATAATTTGGGTGAAAGCGAGGAAGAGGAACATGTAAGGACCACAGAATGACCTACCTATAACTCTCGTGGAAAGCACCCGGCAGCTTACCCCAATCGGAGGACTTGTTGTTGGAGAAATGTGTTACAAATGTGTCACAGATTGGTTAGAATATGCCCATTATACCAGGCCAAAAAGAATAATCCTCAATGGATTTCTCTAGCGTGCAGCTCTTGGACCATTTATGCCAAGAGCGCCACACCACCGCCGAGGGATGAAGCAAGCTAAGACGTCACAGACCGGAGTCAATGCCTTGATGAGACTCCCAAAATAAATGCTGGCCCATGCGCGTCTCCTTTTTAAGGAAAAGACAAGTTGTTCAATGTTGCTTTTCAACGTATCGCATGTCTTATTTGCCGATATGAAACAGCGTCGTATGAGAAGTGAAGAAAGCATTGCCCTGAAATCTTGAATTAACAGTGGCGCATCTGTAGCGTGGTAGCAATTGCCACAGGAGGACAGGAGAAAGAAACGGAAAAACGAACAACCCCAAAACAACCTTATCTCGCTAAGCATGCGAGACAGCTTTATGTCACCATTGCGTTTTCTCTGCCGTTCTTGCGTTCGAAATCCAAACATAGAGAGTATGTTGAATCGTGCAGCTCCATAACTGGCAAAATTGAAATTTAAATAAACCATTCATGTTGAAATGACAATCTAACTGCATTTTTGAATGAATTGACAGCAATGGAAGCTGGTTGAATCATTTTCAAATGGCCTGGAGTTTTTGGAACCGATAAAGAAGATTCTGGGAATTCATCAATCAATCAATCAATCAACCAGTCAATCAATCAAAGTTATATTAACCTGTTGCAGTCTATCTAGTATCGAATAGCTATGAATTTTTCTGGGAATTCATCAACAGAGGTATTGGTAACAAGGATTTCTTATGGCCTCAACTTCTCTCAGGTTTCTCTCTACTTTCACGTTTACTTTGATGGGGGTTAAAATTCGTACAAACCACATGATCATTTCCTACGGCTCTTCGTCATATACTACTCCACGTTTCAGCACCGCTTAATAGTGGCGATCAACGCTCAGGCTACCTTAGGTACGCTACCTCTCAGGGTTGAAGGTGTTCCCAAAGCGAGTTGGAAAAGCATAAATAGTGACCCTTATGTCATTTTTTAATGATAACACGTTTTTTGACGTAAAAAGGCGCTGAGAAAGAAAAAAACGGAAACGGACGCATGCTCTAGAAGTTCTGCGGCCATGACCTATGGGATGGATCATGATGTCTTTCGCCTTCAAGTTATGTCTTACTATGTGTTGTCGCTCCATTATCCTAATCCCATTGTTAGATATCTTACTCCATGGAATTACGGGAAACATTCGCCGTGAAAATCACAGTGGAGGAGGCATAATTGATATCAGAAATTGATTTGATCAGCTAAACTTTGTTTAGAGTATTCAGCTTCGCTGTCGTCTATTTAGAATGTTCAAAATTTGAGGTATTTCAATCGTATACAAGATCTCATCACGTGTTCATCTACTCTAAGATAGCCTGTACATCTCCTTTCTTGACGGGCTTAATCAGGAATGTGTCGATTCCTGATCCGAAAGCTTCTTTCTGAGCATTAGGGCTATCAAGTCCAGTCAATGCGGCAATGACTGTGTGTGGCAGGGACTTTTGAGCCGCTTCGCTCAAGCCAGCCCGGTGCTCCTTCTCTGAACGGCGCATCTGTCGGGAGGCTTCAAATCCATCCATGACGGGCATTGATATATCTAGGGTTGTTAGTAAATTTCGACATATGGAGCTATATAGCAAATGATGTAGTAAAATCAAAGGACGTACCGAGAATCACAACTTGGTACTTGCCGGGGTCGGCTTTGTAGATCTCCACCGCCTCTGCGCCATCTTTTGCAGTCACATAATTCCGACCACACTTTTTAGTGTAGGCACAGAGTAACTGCAGATTCAGGTCGTTGTCATCAACTAAGAGAACTTTCGATCCGGTTGTATCTGCCTGCGTTTCTTGTTCTGCCGTCTTGCTGGAAGACATTACTTGGGCGCCACCCTGTGGGTTTGCTTGTTGGTATTGCTCGGTTGGTGGAGATTTAGCCCCTTCACGATTTGAATCAGCCATTGTCTCCGCTGTTGGTCGCTTGCTGATTTTCATTCGTTCTTTGGGAGGATCAACGGCTCCGAGGTCCATGGGCAGGTGAGAAGATTCCGGCATCTCCACCCAGTGAGTCGGCTCATCAGCACTGGGGCGACCAGCTTCTTGGTCCATCTGCCTCTTGATGCAGATATTCAACGCACGAGCTAGCTTCCGTGGTCCACACGGCTGGCTGATAAATTCGAAGAAGGCCGTTTGATCACGGTTCTTAGCTGCAACGAATAGTCTGTGGGCTTCCTCGGGAGACTGACAGATAACGACAACGGGTGAGCGGCATCCATCTTTGTAAGCAAGCTGTGACGATAGGGCAAAGAGGTTTCTCCCCTCAGTATCTTCACTGTCCAGCTCAGTCTGTACTGCCAAGTAGAAGTCGAATAGGAAATGTTCGTCTTTGATGGGCGACACGTTGGATACCTTCAAACCAAACCAATCACAGCATAGTCGCTCCAAGGATGAATAGAGGGCTGTGTCTCGTTGGGAGTGGAGGGATGATCCAAAACCTAACAGGCCAATTGTCTTGTCTTGCGTATATCTCTGCAAAGAGCTAAACTTTGAGTCTGACGAGGAGGCGTCCGGTGTACCAGAGGAACGAGTGAGTGGAGTTCGAATCGAGAGATTTGTTCCGACCCCCTGAGTCGATTCAATCTCAATGGACCCACTGAGGAAGCCGACCGCTTGTCGAACAATGCTCAGTCCCAGACCGCTTCCAGACGCAAGAGGGTCTTCCTGGCTGAACGGAGTGAATACGTCATTTTGGAGATATTGCGCCCCAATGCCCTTGCCAGTATCCTTTACAGTGAGAGTGACTTCAAATTCGGGATTATCGTCTGCAGACCCAGTTTCACGTTGCATAGATTTCAATCCAAGGTAAATGTACCCCGACGGGGTATACTTGAGAGCATTTCCAAAAACGTTCATCAAGATACGACGCCAGGCTCCAGCATGGGTGTAAAAGTCCCATTCAGTGTCTGGCTGGATATCGAAAATGATGGTCACTTGACTGGCTCGAGGGCCGACTGCGTCGGATTTTTTCGTTGGACCAGCCCATCTCGAGGAATCCCCAGTCAAGGCTGGAGGGGGTGCCTGTGGATGAGTGTAGAAGCTATATCCCGCAAAGACACAATCTGCAACCTCCTCAAGCACTGTATCCAATTCGACATGCGTGTACGAAACACTTCGGCCACTGTCCTGGGTAGAACCGCTGCTCATATCCTTCGCACCTGCAGGCATTGCTTGCTGCTTCTTTCTTGACTTCCTCTTTGGGCGCGGAGCTTTCTTCTGGTACTTGTCAATGAACGTGAGATCGAGAAGATTGTTTATAGTATCCAAAAGTGTCCGCCCACATGACTCGATGGTATGAACCATGCCGTGTTGTAAAGCATTCATGGCTGTGTCGCTAAGGATATCCGCTGTTCCTAAAATGGCGTGCAGCGGGTTTCGAAGCTCATGGGTGATGCTGCTGACAAGGTTGGTTTTGGCTTTCTCCGCTATCTCAACATCCAGGCGACGTATCTCGGCCATAATACTATTTGTGAAGGCCGATATGTACACTAGTTCATTCTCCGTCGTGAAAATGTGACCTGGATCATTAGTCCAGACAAGCGTCCCGGCAAAGCATCTGCCTTTGTCGGAGTCCCAAATTGGTAGAAGAAGGATATTCCTGGCATGGGCAAATATTTTGATCAAATTATCGGCATCCTGTTTGAAGTGTGGCTTGCGTCGCTTCTTGCTCCTGGGCCGTGCCTTATCCCCTCGAGGGGCGCCAGCAAAGATGTTGGATTGTGACCCGGCGCTCCTTGTGTCACTGTCTTCTGAAATGAATCCATTCGCGTCATAAGTGAAAATCTTCCCGCGGGGATATCGACGAATGAGGGAGGTGAAAAGGGGCTCTGGGACCACAATGGCTTGACCAGCCCTGGGCCCATCATTAATGCTGGATGTTCTGGAGCTTGAGAAGCCCAAGCATTCAGAGACAAGTGGATTTTCCGTTTCGGATTCTCTGTCGAAATCAGGCATAGGGCGTTTTGACGAAGATGCTGAGTCGGTGCTCTCGTCGCCACTTGAGCTAAGATCTTTCGAGGTAGGCCCCGATACTTTGCGATGGTTTTGCTTGATTAGGCTTCCAAAACGCTCGCTATTGGCATCAAGGAACATCACGCCCTCTGCTCCAATCGATTCCCGAATCAAGTTAGCCGCTCGCGAGCACACCTGTTTTATGCCGGAGGAAAGGCTATCATCCTGGAGGTTGTCTCCTGCAAGCACGCTTCTAACAGTATTGTCTTCGACCTCGACCTTAGATTTTGGGTTGGGGTCTGACCGCGTTTCATTGCCGTTTATTTCAGGATTGGATTCATCTTTGGCTTTCACTGGTGTGTCGCGGAAAGCAAGGTCCGTTTGGTCTTTCTTCGTCGCATGTTCTTGCAGATGTTGTTGTTGAATATTCAACTGCCCTTCAATAGGCTCTCCGGACTGCTCCGATGCAGCATACTGTGCGTTGGCTTCTCTCCACGAATCACGAAGAGTGGACCTGCCCTCCACAAAACTGCCTAGACCGACGATCATTCGCTCCGCCTGGTAATTCTTGAGTGCAGATTGCTCCACGGCCAGATGCTCCATGATTGTTCCGGCCATATCCCTCATAAACTGCAAATCATATTGGTCGGGATTTGACGTCCTCGGTTCAGTGTCCATCACACTATAAGCTCCAATTGTATACCCTCGAGGGCTAATTATGGGAACTGCTGCGTAGAACTTGACGTCGGAAAATGCGCTCAGTACTTGACGATGCTCGAATCGCTCGTTCTTGCTCAGATCCAGCACGACTAATGTGCGATCGCCGACAACATCTTCAAACTCCTTAGCGTGCTCGGAGGGTAGACCCTCCACCCAATGGCAGAGACCCTTCTCTTTGGGCAGCACACAGCACCCAAGTCGAAGCTGGTCGCGCTGATCGCGAGCATGGCTGCCAACCAGACTCAATGACGGGGTGGCTTCTGCGACCACATGTTGGTGGGTCCGATCAAAGAGTGAGATAAAAGCACGTCGAGCCCCCAACCGGATAGCGCCTAGTTGGGCAAACGAGTTCAGGGCAGTGTCGCGGGAAGGCTGCGGTTTGAAGGTATTTTGGCTAGCATTGTCGAAGGGGGCGTAATGCGACGCGGACTGTTCACGAGGGAAATACCTGCCCCACCAAATCATCAGCATCCATTATGTGGGGCTCAAACGAAGCCTTACTTGTAGAATTCTCGTTCCTGAGCCAATCTGTAGTACGACTGATGAGAACCCCCAAGCGCAGTCATGATTAGAACCGATGGTGAGGAAAGAAAGTCGCATCCACCCAGAAGTAGAGTGTAGAAGTTGAAGTTGAAATCCGGTTTGCAGAAACGGTATAGACGTCACCCAATCAGATGCGCGAGTGGCAATCCGAGAATTCTGGGCTAATGACATCATCAGCCACAGGTCCACTTTACTAGATTCATAGGAACTACATGCATACTTCGACTTAAATTCGAAGTACGCTATAGGTAAATGGTTTGGTTTATGTGGGTGTTTGAAGTATTAGGTCGCTAATTAGTCATGTCAGTAGGTCTAGTTGAAATAGTCAAGAACATCGATTGTATATATCTCTCTGAAGTGAAATTGCTTAACTCCTAATAGCCTAGTTCATTCTTCGCTCGGTCATAATTTGCAGCAGCCATTAATAGAACCATCGGAATGTTTCACAGGCTGGGCCATCTTGAAGGTATTCGGTTGGAATATTCTTCGCCTTCAGATGAACCCCCTGCGCTCGGTCTCTCCTTTTGTTATCTGCTATCATCCAACCACCTAGGCAAAGTGTTAAAACAATGCCAGCACCACCAAAAGATGCTGTAGTGATCAAGGCGGGCAGATAATTTGGTGCATCTTGGTTGCGGAAAATGTTGGAGCTGACGACTCCCATCAAGTTGGCCACAGGAACAGCGATGCTTGTCAAAACGACACGTCGCCCTTCATTTGCGATGTTGTTATTGTACCAAGTATCAAGAAGCACAGAAGGCGCAGATGTTCCCCTAGGAAAGTGTAAGCTGACTTCCTCGGTCAAGCGTATAAGGACTAACCAAGTCATCAAGAAGGAGGCGAAATATGCAACGCTCAGATCATGCTGGACGTCGATAGTTGCGTAGATCATGAATCCAACAAACGTAAACAAAAATCCCAGCGCAATGAATGGAAACCTCCATCGGGTCCAGTCACTGCCAAAAGCCAAGATAAGCAATACTGCAGCGCCGGAAATGTTGGGCGCTACAGTGAACAAGTTGGTCTTCACGGTGCTATAACCAAGCCGCTTGATGATTACTGGCAGGAATAGCTGCACTGATTGCAGTGGAACACCCAGGCAAACTTGAATGGCTAAGATTGCCCAGCTAGTTCCGTGTTTGAAGACGCGGAACGCGTCACGAATGTCCAGCTTTTCGTTCACCACTGAAGAACTATCAATCTGCAGTCGAAGGTATGCTAGTTCTTTCTCTTCTGGGGTCAGGAACGCAGCCTCCGAAGCTGAACGAGGCAAATACCATAACGCAAAGAGTCCAAAGATAATGGTTCCTCCACCTTCAATCAGGAACAAATATCGCCAAGGGGCCAAGGGACCAGATTCAATTTGGAACACCCCGAAAGCTAGCAAGCCAGAGAATGCCGAGGCAATCGTTTGAGCAGCGTAGAAAATAGCAAGTCGGCGGGCTAGCTCGCCTCGGCGGTAAAAGCTGTTTATGACTTAGAATACAGCTCCAAAATGACGACGGAATGGGAACATACGTTGTTTGGTAGTAGATCACCAATGGGAAGAAGGCACTTTCTGCCATTCCGAGGAACCATCGGATGGCGAAAAGGCCACTGAAGTTGAAAACCGCGACTACCAGAATGGTGAAGGTGCCGAAGGCAAGCATCATGCAGGGTAGCACGATGTTAGGCCCATACTTTTTACCAAGAAGACCCAGAAAGGGAGCAGTCAATACATATGGTACGAAGAATATGCTCAGAATCAGATTGTACTGGTTCCCTTTCAATGAGAGTGTGTCTGTGGGGTTATGTTAGCACATCGAGATCTTGCCTAGTCTTCGAAAAGCACAAACCTTCAAGTCCAGCGGTCTTTGCGTTGCCTAGATTGGACTTGTCCAAACTGTTGAACAGGTACATGATTGCAAGGACAGGGAGTAGGCGAAGATCGAATTTCCAGACCAACGCACGCTCTGCCCGGAGGTCAATGTTAGCACTCGCGATAGTTGGCGCCTCCTTGGAGGGCGAAAGACGCCCTGAGTCAATCTCTGCGCTCGGCATGGCTTTGAATGCAGTCATGATTACCCATTCCTATATTCTCTCAAGATGGAGTCGACTCTATATAGATTGCCGGGTAAACGAACCTGGAAAGATAACGCTAATAAGGTTTAAGTATTTATGTACTTGGCAGTCTTGGCTGATAAGCCTTCGCCAATTAGCTGTCTACAATGCGATGTTCGGGGAAATTTCGGTGGAGTCACGGCTAACCCCAATCCCAAATCCCCTATCTGACCCAGGGGCATCGCCAATCTGAGCATTGGCCGATTGAATGACACACAAACCATATATGATAGAAAATAAGACCGCTCTGAGACAGGCTGCGCCCTCGCCGATAACATTTAAAGCATCCTCACGTTTACTCTGAGACATTCCGTAAACTTGGTTGCTTTCCGAAATTTTCTTCTTGGACCAAACACTCCCAGTTCGTTTAGAAATCACAGGTTGACATGCTAAAGTTGTTGATAGTACTATGTGTACCATAAAATTCCACCCTTTCGGCCGGTATTGCTTTAATCACAGACTGAATACTTTAATTGGACCTTGTATCCTTGAATTATCAAGATCGGATCAATCCAAACGTAGCTAGAAGCCCCGCAATTTGTCAACCATTTCTGTCATTAGCCGATTATCTTGGAGTCCCTAGTCCAACTCGTAGGACTGGTCCTAGGAAGTAGAGTACTTCGATGTCATCTGTCAACGTTATTTCCAGAGTATGCCTTGCCTTCTCCCACGCTTTTCACGCCTTGTATTGCTAGAAGTTGGCATTGTACTTCATACTGCACCGACCATCTGCCTCGCTGTCTTTAGGATAATAGATACATTGCCGCTATCAGCGTACCAGATGCGTAAAATATCTGAGAAATGAAGCCCCCAAATAGATCGGATATTTGTGTGTTCGATATGTTACACCACATTGACTGAACGATCTATGGAACAGAACGGTCCGGGGAGACGCATCTGGCTACTATAACCTTACACTCGCAAATTCTAAAAGCATTTTCCGACACCTTAGAATATATAGCGCACTCAATCAAGTCATATATTGTGAATGATTAGCCCAGCTGTTGGAAGTGGAAATGTCGCCTTTTGTCCGTGAAAGCAGCTTCGCGGTATAAATGACCAAGTCACAAGCATAACGAGACCTCCAGCATGAGGATGAACGGGTAAAAGTCCAAGTAATGGCAAATTGGTCGTGACTCCCACTTCGGAACATGAGTACGTTAGTGCTGGAAAAAAAACCCATCATAAATATCGGTTTCGGCCCACTCCCGTTTGAAGCCAAGCATTCTGCAAGGCGGGTGGGAAATGCGCGACATACATACAAACTGCCGGTCTCGCTATCTTGTGGGCATTCTTTGGAGTCCTTTGTAGACTCACAATTTGAATCTATTGTACAATCACTGATCCGTCAATTTTTCCATAGCTTGAAAAGTCTACTTTGTACACTACTACGCCCAGCCACGGACAGCGAGTCGAAAATGATATTGGTTTGAATTCCTCCAGTCGGTAGAAGAACCTAGCATTATGATGTTGTAAAAATGTGAAGATTTTCTTCTTTATCCAAAAAAAGGAGAAGCCCAGGATCAGGTCACAGTATTCTGCATATATGAGACATCACAAATTCAAGTACTAGATCAAGAGATTTACGGTCGCACTTCAGAGGATAAACGCTCTTAGGCTTACTTTGAAGCATGTCGTTTCAATCAATGCCTTGAGATCCCGTGTCAACGCTCCACAAAAGATTTCCACATTTGAAAGGAGAAAGAGAAAGTAGGTAAGAGGTGCTGGTGGGTGTGCCAAGGTGAACTTGAACACAACTGTGAGCTCTGTGGACTTAAACACGATAGTTCTCCGTGCATGTCTTATCGCTCAAGTTGCTTCGAAAATTGCACGTCATGCGGCCTTTCCTCGGCGAAAGGAGGACCCCGCGCAATCACACAAGCCGCTGGGCCCTCCGGAATTTCACCAAATTAGACGCTGGTAAATAAGGTCCCACTGTCCCAACCCTGCACGTTTGCGATGATCCTCAAGATAATCGCCGTCTAAATGATGAAACATCTGAGCTGATTCCGAGTTTCAAAGAAAGGATCGACATCAATATTCCCAATGTCAACACTACTCTCTCACCACTTAGCATTTTAAGGCCCTGCCGTTAAGCACAAGGGCAAGCATATAGCGCTTGAAAATTGCAGGTTTCGACCCCAGAGCTTGAAGGATCGACTGATGTGTACTTGTTAAGACAATTGAGAGTCCACGAGTCCCTAATTCTGAGCTTACCACATGTATGATACTTCAAATGAGTTACGGCCGAGGCCCCGAGGTTTCACACTTAAGTGAACCTCAAAAGAACGGGACTATCTCACGTATGTTTGGCTTGAAGTGATCGTCAGTTCCATAGTCAAGATAAATGCATGGACCCTGTTCCCCAACAATCCGGGGGACCGAGGCTGCTTTAGCCCTAATGAGGGGTTTCATGTGGATTTTTGACGATCATCTGGGGAGGCGCGAATTTATATCATCGACCCCGCACCACCACCCCCCTGAGGATCTTGAGCACTTTCGTATAGATAGGTCAGAGACCCTTCCAAGTTTTACCAGTCAACTCATTCTCAATCCCTGATCATCTTGTCCTTCCATCTTACAACCTCACTGCATTTCCACAATGGCTGCCGATGGACCGCGTCCTGGGTTCCTTGGGAACATCAATCAGGACCAGGAGGCCAAGCTTCAGAAGCTCTGGGCAATTCTGCTCAAGGCCGGCGAGCCGTCCATAGGCGAGGAAGCATCGAACGGTTGTGTGGAGGAGCACGCCAGCCCTGCCCAGCCCCAAAGACGCCAATCACTTCTTGGCCGCACGCAAAGCAATGTTTCCGACAAGACGACCGCCGCACCTGCTACGCCTTACCAGCAAAAGATCTTGAAATATCTCAGTGAGATTGGAGCAGGCGTACCCGAGTGTAAAGCAATTGAGAAGGCACTCTCCAACATCACACCCACGGAGCTCCGCCTAGGAGTGCTCGATACCCTTAAGCATGATCATCCAGATGCGATGCTCTTGCGATTCTTGCGAGCCCGAAAATGGGATGTGCCAAAGGCATTTGCCATGATGATGGACGCAATTGTATGGAGGGTGAAGGAAATGCATGTGGATGAGGACGTCATGGCCAAAGGAGAACTCCATGCCCTCCGACAGACCCAGAATACATCGAGCACGAGTGATCAGAAAGCTGGAAAGGATTTCCTGTCACAAATGCGCATGGGAAAGAGCTACGTGCATGGTGTTGACAAGGTCGGCCGCCCGATTGTGGTGGTGAGAGTTCGCCTGCACAAGCCAGGAGCTCAAACTGAAGAGTCATTGGAACGCTATATTGTGCATGTTATTGAGTCAGTACGACTGACCTTGTCTCCCCCAGTCGAAACTGCTGTAAGTTTTCAGTATACGATGATCTCGCGGACAATGACTATACTGACCCTGCATCAGGCTGTGTTATTCGACATGACCAACTTCGGATTATCGAACATGGTATATTACCAGGACCCAGGCAAATAATCAACTTTAGCTTTGAAGATCTAACAAGTTTTGTGATAGGAATACCCACCCGTCAAATTCATCCTGAAGTGTTTCGAGGCGAACTACCCCGAATCCTTGGGCATCTTGCTCATTCACAAAGCCCCATGGGTGTTCTCAGGTCAGTCTATCTCTTTCATTGCAAGATAACTCACTAACCCTCTTGTTTTTCTAGGCATTTGGAAACTTATCCGAGGATGGATGGACCCCGAGATTGCCGCCAAAGTTCAATTCACAAATAGTGTCGCCGATCTCGAGAAATTTATTCCTCGTGACCAGATTGTGGAAGAGATGGGTGGCGACGAGAAATGGTCATACGAATATGTGGAGCCCAATGCCCACGAAAATGATCGGATGAATGATACTACCACTCGCGATGCCCTGAAAGCCGAGCGTGAAGCCATTGGTGAAGAATTCTTATCTGCAACCTCTTCATGGATCGATGCCTCCAAGGCAAAGGATGCCAGTAAAATTCAAGCCAGTGAAAGTGAGAGGGCTTATTTGGTAGAGAGATTGCGAGTCAACCACTGGAAACTTGACCCTTACGTTCGAGCTCGCCTTTCCCTTGACCGGATGGGAGTTATCCAGGAGGGTGGAAAGATTGATTTCTATCCGAAAGATGTTCCTGTCAAAACCCAGGTGCCAGAGACAACGAAGATATCGGAGGTGGAACACTTAGAAAGGGTGAATCGGAGCGCTGCACACACTGCTGTTTCTTAGATATTGATGAATTTCCGAGGTTATGTCATTTACGGATTAGATTGTTTTCTGCTCATTTTGCTCGTCTGCCTATTCGTAATAGAAACCCCTTCACGGTCGCTCAAAAGACCAAAAGCCCTGTTCTTCGGCCTTTGTGAATTGACATATCAAAGCCTTTACCACAGAAGTGAAGTAATCACTCTTCCAACACAACTTCAATCAACCACCAAGGGGAATCCATATTTTCATTTTGGATTGTTTTCTATCTATATGTTTAAGAGCAATTCTAATATTTGTGCTGTCGCATTAAATATACTAGGCTGGAAGTCATGCGGATAATTGAAGCTGAGATTAGTCTGAGTAAATTCTGCGAGGTATATCTGAAAAACTATCAACTAGCTCAGTAATATGTCATTGATGAACGTTTCTATTGCTCCACTAGTTCCAAATCAATCATCAATTTTAATGAGATAATCGTGCAATATCACCAACTGATTCTGTACGAAACCTCGGGTCTAGCGATCCTATACTCGGGACGTCGTGGAAATCATTGCTAATTTTTCGTGAGCAAACTTTCATTTATGGAAATGAATATTCTCACTGTATCTGCTTTGTTTCAAATCGAGCTGTTCAATCCCCACATTGGGTTTCTTGCCTAGCTCATCGTCCATGCTGCGCTTGCATAGCGGAACTGTTGAATTTATATCTCCTTTGTGAAATTTTCGGCTATCCTGTTTTTGCTTTTTATTCAGCACAGGGAAAACTGCTGAAAACAATATGAGGTAATTACAATACCTTCATTCTCTCAACTCGTCTTCGTAGCTTGTTCAACAATGTGAGTGAGTTCATTATCAGAAATCTGAAAAGAGATACACTTTAGGCACGGTGTATGTATGTGTAGGTGTGTTTTTTTTTCTTCTCCAGAAGAACACAAAAGGATGAGTGATGTCTTCTCACTCTGGGAGTATTGGATATTTATTTATACTCGTATGTACTTCGTTGCCAAGTGTCTTCCGCCAAAGAGCTCGGTGTTCGGAGCTCGGACTATCAGAGTACAATACCAAGTCTATGCCATTCACATGCTGCAACGTTCGCCCATGTTGGGAAACGAATTAATCCGTACTGAGTAACTAACATTGGTCACCGAAAAGTTATACCCAATAACTTCTTAGGACTGCCCGTTGCCGTGCCGTGATGATATTGAGAATTATGGATAGGTAAATTTCTCAAATTGAAACTCATCTTCTGCTTCAATCCGTACTAAGCCATCTAGTAGAACTCGTATCCAATAAATAGCTCTGTATAAATCGCCTAAATCGCGGCCCGGGCAGAGCAGGTTAGTAAGCATATTCCGCGGATTCCATATGTGTGCATGTGAGCTCCGAGCTCCGAGCTCCGAACGGCCAACACCTCTTACTTCTGCTTATCATGAGTGAGCAAATGTCACATTCGTGCAATGGCAACCCCTCGTCGTAATGGTCAGCTATCATCGTGCGAGCCGTGTCGCACATCGAAACTGCGATGTGACCACACAAGTCCCGTCTGTGGACGTTGCTCGCGCCGTGGTCTTCACCATCGTTGTGTCTACCATCCAGCGCCGTTGACGAACAAGCCCCCCGCCATACACCCAAAAACGAAAAAGCGCCGTGTAGCCCATGAAAAGGATGTATCAAACCTATCAAGCTCATCGGCAAATGAAAAAGATGGCTGGACTCAAAAAAAGTCATCTGTCTCCGCCCCGGGGTTTCTAGGTCAAACTAGTTATTCTGATGTGTTCACAGACACCCAAAGCGGCCTGCATATTGAAAACTTGTCAATGCCAGGCCATGATACGGGGACGCCCGTCGATACGAGACGACTCAATCTCGGTGCTCAGGTACTGTGCTCCTAGAAAATCTTCCATTCTACAGGGATCTGGTGACTGCACGTTTCAAGATATGGAAAGGATGGACTATCGGTTGGCCAATCGCGAATATGATCTTTACTTTAGTTGAAGAAATGTGGAATGACCTGGACTACGACGGCATGGATCTCTTTCAACAAACTCTCCTGATGTCTGGGAAACTCTTTGAAACCCACACCCAGCCTTTGGAAATACAGCCCGGTATGAGCTGGGAAGATTTCAAGTCTGCATCATTTGGCAGATGGGAAGTCATTGGCCTCCTGTTCGTTCTGACGGGAATCGCCACGGATTGGATCCCTCATGACGATCCTCTATTTACACGCCATGGTGCGATGGATGCGAGAAGGCTCGCTATCACAGCCACCGCGGTGGGTGACACATGTCTGGAATTCTGCGATAGCAGCGGCATACTCAACGATATTGTAAGTTGGCTTTTGTTGCATTAGACTTCGCTCCTTGCAATAGTCTATGGTGAAAGCGGTATGTAGACTCGATCATTCCTGTGAGAAAGTTACTTAACGGACTTGCAGATTTCCGGCCTTGGAGAAAGCTCGGAGAGCTTTCGACCACAGTATTTGCCCTAGGCCTCCACCAAGACTCAAGCGCAGATGCCCCGTTCTTCCTGGCTGAAATGCGTAAAAGAACGATGGTCGCAGCATATACAGTCGATAAGGTTCTTGCCACCTTCCTTGGTCGACCACCCCTCATCAGCTGGCGCTATTGTGACATACAAATGCCGCTGGATTTGAGCGTCGAGGAAATATTCGCCGATCCTTCCTTTCGAGACGCTGCAATCAGTAGGTTGGATCAACGTACCGGATGGAGCCAAGAAGCAAGTGTGATGAAAGGCGCTTGGCCTCGAGTTGCTTTTATTACGGGTGTTCTTCGCGAGAAAGTCCTCGAGCTTTCATTGAGCTGTCGCACGATTGATCTAAGTCTTCGAGTCAAGTATGGAGTTCATTTTGTCAAACGCAGGATTTTTCTAACTTGAACAGGAACCTATCACAAGAATGCCGCCAAGAACGACAATCGTTGCCTGACTTCCTTCATTGGAACTCTGACAGCGATGGATCCGCCGCGTTCGGAGTAGAGGAAGAGCTTCTTTTCGATATATATATGGAGTTCCTTTATAATGATTTCCTACTATATAGGACCCTAGCACAACGCACGGAGACCGAACCCGAGGCCATTATCGATATCTCGCGAGAAATATTGAGTGCAGTGATCATTATGGTATCGAGAAAGATTCGCTCCGGACAATCCATTAATGGTCGCATGGGAAACGTAGGATGATCCCTATCTGCTCTTTGACTAATCCCACAATGAATAACATTCCAGATTGTATTCTAGATGTGTTTGTCGGGCCTGCCTTCGGCCGGTGTACTTTCTGTGGAGCTGCTGCGTCAAACTCGATCCGCGCTACGATCAACTTCGCTTATTTTCCCTCGCTCGGAGATTATTCAGAATCTTACCCTTTTTGCCTCATACTTAGACGGCATGGTTTCCCCTCAGGACGGGAACTATCGTGTTGCACAACAGGGACAGAGGGCAATCCGACATGTCTTGAACCAAGTGCTCTCTGTGAACAGTGGTCCTTGCAACATAGCAACGGATACTTCCCAAGGCAATAAACCAGCTCAGGACGACAACTTGGTTCATGATATGAATGCCGATGATGACTTATTTCTCAGTTGGTTTGATGGGAATATGGCACAAATGTCTGAATCATGGCTGGCATGGGTCAACTTCACATGATCGATTGACCATAGCAAACTCGAGTCTCGCCAATGTAATGCAGACGCTTAGATTACTAAGCTCGACTCTTCCTCCTCAATATCTCGAGTCACGTGTTCGGTGCTGCGCTTTTGGTCGCAAATATCACCCGTACTGGTTCCCGGATCTTATCCCGAGCCTTTTCTAGTCCATGCTGTGAAAGTACGTCCTGCAGACCATATTGCCACCATGAACCGCCGGTCTTCTATATCTCATGACGGAATGAAGCGCCGGAAAATCTCCGTCGCATGTGATGATTGTCGGGCCAGGAAAGTCCGTTGTGATGGGGTGCAACCCGGTATGTTGTTGGTGAGACCCGGGATGCGACCCGCACTGATTCCACGTAGTGTGTGGGCCATGCAGTAAAAGAACCGAACGCGGAGTTCATTGCATTTATACAGGCGAATTGGTGAAAAAACGAGCAAGACAAACGCAAGCTTTAACGCAATCTTGGTGTATCACTAAATTCAAGCTAATATTTGTTTGGTGTCCGTAGTTATATCTCCAATCTGGAATCGCGCATCAGACAACTCGAAAGCCCCCAGGGTTCCGAAAATGCCCAGGGATCAGGCCACACACCAGTTCGTACATCCAACAACGCCAAGTTTACAGCTAATCAATTTATATTAGTGCACTAATCCACCAACACCGGCTTCTGGCGCCGGACAGCCCAATACATCCAAAAGTCATGCACGCAGCATTCCCAGCGAGCGGAACATATCCACACCTATTGGCAATGGCGACGGTGTCAATGCAATGATGGGTGCTGTCGAGGAAGAGCGTGCTAGCCAAGGGTTCTTCGGAAGCTCTAGCGCTGCAGGGTTTATGCGTCAAATTAGGACTGCGGTCGACAAGAGAGTATCGTCTCCTCACCAGGGGTCATCGAAAAGCCATACTGTTATTCCGTCCAGTATCATTCCGAAAAGGTCTGAAAGACCACAGTCCTCATTTGCAAACTATGTGCTACCGCCGCGGAAAATGGCAGACAGCCTCATGCAGGTGTACTGGGACTATGTTTTCCCATTATACCCGTTTCTGATTCCAGCCGAAATGAAGGAAGAGTACAAAAAGATTTGGAAGGGTGATAGTCTGGAGTATGATGAAAGCATGCTAATGTGCACTCTAAACGTTATTTTCGCTCTGGCAAGTCAGTTGGCTGATTTCATGCCGCCGACAGAGCGAGAAACCTCCGCAGATGTTTTCTTCTCTCGCGCCAAAGGTCTATTTCAGTTTAATTTATGGGACACTGGCTCCATGGGCCTGATTCAATGCTTGCTACTTATGGCTCAATACCTGCAAAGCACTGATTCTGCACACCAATGCTGGATTGTCACTGGACTCGCAATCCGAAACGCACAAAGTTTGGGGCTTCATCTGCCTCAAACTATCAACCGCCTCGAGACCTTTCGAGAACGGCAATTGGCGTGCAAAATATGGCACGGTTGTATTTTGATGGACAGGTAGGTAATGATTTATATTCCATCGTCATCATGGTTTGCATTGGTCCTGACTGTGACTTCCTGCAGAGTCATATCTATGACATTTGGACGTCCTGCGATGATCTCGAAGACTTCTAGTGGTGCAGTGCCTCTTCCAGCAGCCGTGGATGAGGAATATATCCCCCCTGGATCAAATGTGGAGGTATCCCAACCATCGAACCTGCCGTCCATTATGGCATTCTTTGGGAAGTCGTTGGAACTATACGAGATTATGAACGACATTCTTCTAAACCTTTACAAGCCTATGACAGATGAAGGTTCAGATGACATTCATGATTTCTACTTTGACAATGTTGCCAGCGAAGGTGATAGGACTATCTTCGAGCTCGACCGCTCTCTGACGCGATGGACACGAAGCCTTCCTCCCCATTTACACGGGAATTCCCCATTGCTACCTGATAATCCTATTTTTTGCCGCCAAAGTATTGTCTTACGCGCAAGGTCAGAAATTATCTCCATTGTCTACCCAATGTCCTGTGTTGACTAGTTATTGAAGGTTTTTACACGTTCGGATGTTGCTTTTCCGGCCGACTCTATCCAAATATTGCGCTATCCGAGATAGTTCATCAGCAGATCCATTTATATCGATGGACCACTCATTCCCCCATCGTGTTGCACTTCAGTGCTCTACAATATGCGTCAAGGCTGCACAGGAATCAATTGAGCTCATTTACAATAACGTTCCTGCGGATGGCACCGGTGGCCCGCTTCCAGCCTGGTGGTACAACATACTCTGTTCGTATGGGTCATTTCTCACTTTTTCTCATTTCATCCTGACTTTTGTAGATGTTTATACGTCTGCCACAGTTTTAATCGCGGGTCGCCTGTGCTCTGCGATTCTTGCTGAAGTAACAGAAGACTCCGTCACACGCTCCTGGCACTGTGCACTCGAAATTCTCCGCAAATATGAAAGCTACAGCACGTCTGCTCGACGCTGCGTGGCTGCCCTTGAAATTCTCTATGAACAAGTTGTATCTGAGGGATTGCCGCCTCCGAACCAAACTCCTCGTCCAGAAGTCTCTGTCAACTCGGCAAATGCATTCAATGAGATGTCATTCGGAGAGGGCATGAATGCAGCCTTCTTAGACAGCTTTGAACTTCCCGACTTTCAGGATATGTCTTGGTTGAATAGCGTCCCAAGTAATCTTTTCTAGTTTATGACGTTTCTCTGAACTCTCAGGGTCATTTCAGCTATGCTCAAGGTAGATAGGAAATATGCACATTGTTTAAACTTAGATGGCCTGGGCCAGATGAACGAAAGCTGGCGCAACAAAACAGATTAATGCCACATCTTGCCCTACTTCTTAATGCTTGTCCGAGCGAGATGCGACAAATTGAACCGCCATGATTGGAAACAAGGCACAGCCAGCGATAACTGCAACCATTACACCCGAAGCTCCACCCAGCCCCAACGTGGTAAACATATCCGGGAAGTAAAAGGGCCCAAGCTGATTGAGACACGATTAGTAACTTGCATAAACAACATTTATATCAGGAAGATCTTACAAATCCATATATTTGTCGGCAGATATTGACAAAAACTCCAACCTGGCTCGCACGTTCCTTCTTGCTCTCGACGGCAAAGGTTGTGAGAATAGTGGTCTGCATTTGGTTACCAAAGCTCGCAATCGCGGCACCGACACAAGGAGTGACATTCCAAGTTGTCGCATGCTCTAATTGAAAGCCCCAGGTTAGTAGACCAGCGAATATAGTACCAAAAGCAATGTAAGAGAGCCAAAGGCGATCGGCTGGGCACGAGCTCCCTCTGCTCTTACGAACACGGCCAAGAAACCAATCACACATTGGTCCACTAACTTGTTCGCCTAATACACAACCAATGACTATGGCAATGAACTGGAGCCCGATCTGTTGGGCATCGAAGTGGAACTTTTCACCGAATGCGATGGGCATTTCGACGACCAAAGCAATATTTGCATAGCAAAAGGTGATGGCATGGGCACATGCAGCAATTAAAATGCGCGGGTATTGAGCAAGAGAAAATGGTGCAATAATATCCTGTAGCTTCAAGGAATGTGAGCTGATTTTTCGGGGAATCATCTTGCCCCAAACTCCAGTCGTCTGGCGCTCATTCTCCGGATTGTATATTGTCTCATCGCCGAAAGCAAGGTAAAATAAGAACTGGCACAAGTTGATAATGGCAAAGATCCAAAAGATCCACTGAACCCCGATATTTTTAATCACGAATCCCATGAAAAACGGACCTGCTGGTGTACCTATTGTGGTCATCAAGGTCCACCACCCTAGCTTTTTGCCCCGATGTTCAGGTTCACAAAGCTCTGTTATGACACCGCTGCCATTTCCAATGGGAGGAGAGATCAGAAACGCTGTGATAACCCGAGTCGCCATCTGTGCACCATATGATGTGCATCGTGCGCCGCCAATATTGCAAATCATACTTCCGAAAACCGAAAATAAAGTCACTGGATATCGGCCGTAGATTGCGGTGATTGGGTTCCAAATCAAAGGTGATAGGCCGAGCAGTAGGATCTAGATGATTTTATCGCTTCTGATGAGCAAAGCGCCACAACTTGATGAACCGAGACAGCACATACCTGAAATGAGGTCAGATAGCTGGCATCGGGGACAGTTATGTTGTAGTCTTCCGCAAAAGTGTCATAAGCCGGTATGATACCGGCGGCCATGAAGGTTCCCATCATAGAATGAAAAGCCACCATTAGAATTTGTGCATTTTTCTTCGAACTAGACCAGTTGCGGGGGTTTTGAAGAGAGTTATTCTCCCAGATTGTGTCGTCTGGAGCTTGGTGGTCGGGGAAAATCGATACGACGTGTTCCAAGTGAACAGGGCTTCCAGAGCTAGGGTTCTTCATATCGAGATTTTCTCTGGCCCTTTCAAAGGAAACATGCTCTGCAACGTTGAGCGTCATATTAAAGCTGGGAATTATGCTGTCACGGCTGAACAGACAAGGGATGGAATATCACACCCAGAAAGTGAAATAAAGTGCTGATTGTCGTGCCGGTTGACGATTGTTGATAAACGAAAAAGCGTCGTTGGCAATACATATCATAGCGAGGGAAAGTATCCATCTTTAAATTCAGCTACGCCTCTCCAGGCCCGCATTGAAAGTTTGGCTTGGTGTGGGAATTGAACAACGGATTGACTTCCGCACTTCTATGCGCTTCGTAAAAGGCCTTCTCTTCTTCATTGGAGCAGTTGCCGAGAAGGGGCCACTTCTTCTGTACCGGCTCGACCCAATTCCGCGTTGAGATTGCCGATGTAGTACAAAAGCCCCGAGGTAACCACTTCGGACCTTGACCCGGAGGGCGTTCGGGATGAGACCCGCAAACATCCCCAGATATCGGATATTCCTGTCCCCATGGGGTACCAATGAAAAGCTCACCAAGGTAAAAGCTAGACGTCATCTGGCCATGAATCCCCTTGCCGATGTAAATTTCAACGCAATAGCTCCACTGGATGCAGTATTCAAAGACGGGAAGTCTTTCGGAAGTGAGGTCGGAAGTTTGATATTCTTGCCAATCACGGGATCTTGGCCTGGAAATCAAGGCCAAAATGGTCACATGTCTCCCTGACCCCTGACTTGTTTCTATCCCTCATTTCCCCCGAGGTCCCGGCGTACTAACTCCTGCGGGGGAATCCTCCCATTATGTTTCTAGTCTTTAACAAGTCGGGCGAACAATGTCCGAGAAATTTGTCCGTCACCCCCGCACCCTAGATTCGTAGATTTCTTTGCTTCCTTAGTATCAGGGTAAAAGTTCCCCAGCTATTGGCGGATTTTGATGTCCGCGTACAAACAAAAAGATGAAGTTGACCTCAAGAAATCCGCTGCTTCGGGCCATTGATAACCCGGCATTGCTTGTTCCTTACTTTATCATCCCACTGCTCACCATGTAGAATTAACTCGTTACAATTCATAGGTTCAATATGCGGACTTCGGTGGTGACTGTTCTGTCGGCGTGGGCTGCCACGGCTGCAGCAGCACTACATGTTGCTGAAAATCAAACATATATTACACTCAGCAATGATCGGCTCACAGCCGTTCTGAAAAAGAGTGCTGGACAGATTATCGACCTCTCTCTTGATGGCCAAGACTTGCTGGGTCCCCAGTCTGGATCGACAGGAATAGGCCCTTATCTTGATTGTTACTGTATCCCTTCGGGCTTTTACACTGCTGGGGCCACGACCCCGAGCATGAAAGTAGTTCAGGGCACAGATTTAACAGGCACCAAGTACGGAGGAATGATTCTGACGGACACTTACACACCCACGGGCCAGAAATTCCAGCAGTATTGGTTCCTGCGAGACGGCGAAACTGGTCTGCATATGTTTAGTCGACTGACGTACAACAACAAAACCACCCCATTCCTCCGCAATCTTCAAGAGTTCCGAACCTTGTTCCGCCCGAATTCTAATCTCTGGACTCATCTTACCTCCAGCGAAGTCCAAACTGCCCCCCTGCCAAGCAAAGACGCCATTTCCAAAGAAATCGTTGTTCAAGATGCGACATGGACATTCAACAACACACCCAGCGATCCTTATGTCACTCAATTCTCTGACTATTTCACCAAATACACGTTCTCAAACCGTATGAATGCCCCTTTCTGTCCAACTATTATCCTATACTAACCGGTAGTTATGTTTAGAATGGCGCAACAACAGCGTTCATGGCCTTTATGCCGATGGAAGCACGTCAGATGGTGCAACCTATGGAGCCTGGCTAGTCATGAACACCAAGGTGAGTCCCGCTAATCTCACTTGAATTTCCATTGCAGGTCTTCTGACACTTATTTTTTCAGGATACGTACTACGGAGTAGGTCACAACCCAGGCCGTGAAAAAGAGAGGCTAATTTGTTGTAGGGCCCACTTCACTCCGACCTAACAGTCGATGGGATTGTCTACAACTACATCGTGTCAAATCATCACGGCGAGGGCACGCCTAACATCACAGACGGATTTGATCGAACATTTGGTCCCCAATTTTATCTTTTTAATGGTGGGAAGGGGTCGGCCACGCTTGAAGAGTTGCGATCCGAGGCAGAAAAACTGGCGAATCCTCACTGGAATGCTGCATTTTATGACTCCATTGCTAAACACGTCATTGGTTATGCCCCTTCTAGCCAGCGAGGTAGCGTCCAAGGAGTCATTACTCTTCCTAAAGGCGCTGTTCGCCCGATCGCCATTCTTACGGTCGACGGTCAATACTTCCAAGATAACAGTGTAGTCCCGAGCGCCTACCAGTACTGGACAGATATTAATCCGGATGGCACCTTCAGCATTGACCGGGTTAAAGAAGGGAGATATCGACTCACTGTCTACGCAGAGGGCATCTTCGGTGATTTTGTTTTGGACGGGATCACTGTACATGCAAACAAGCAGACCGCATTGCATAAAAAATGGGAGCAGGAGTCGGCGGGAACCGAGCTTTGGCGAATTGGTACTCCAGACAAGTCATCTGGGGAGTTCCGACGTGGAAATGCCAGAGATCCGACTCATCCCCTCCATCCTCCCGAATATCTCATCTATTGGGGCGCTTATGACTGGCGTGCCGACTTCCCAAACGGTGTCAATTATACCATCGGCACTAGCGATTCGTCCACTGACTTGAGCGCTGTGCACTGGTCAGTCTTCGGACCGACTGCGAGTGATTCTCATGTTGAGTACGACACAACCAACGACTGGAATATCCACTTTACCCTCAACTCAAAGCAATTGCGAAAGGCAAAGACCGCCACACTGACGCTTCAATTAGCGGGTGCAAAGACTGCATCCGGCAACACTGATGTGTACAAACCTGCTGAGCCATACAATAATGTATCGCTCGAAAGCTATATCAATGGCCAGTCAGATCCACTCACTTTCATCATTGGGTTCAACCAATCAAGCAGCTGCATCGTGCGGTCTGCCGTGAGCTGTTATCAGGTTGGAACGAAAATGGAATTCCCTGCAGATTGGCTTCGTGTAGGAGACAATGTTTTGCGACTACACCTGCCTTTTAACGCAACAGATACAGAGACTGCCATTCTTCCAGCCACTGTGTATGTGCAATACGATGCGATTCGGCTAGAAATAGAGTGACCGAGATGGCATATGGCCTGCGCTACATTCTTTAGACTAGCAAAATTGCAATTTTGCATCTCGCAAGCTGCAATGTATGACTTTATTCCTATTGCTGTCCCACGGATTATGAAAGTGTGAGGATGTCCCAGACCAGGTGAATTTCTGTACTTCGGCCATCATGGGTCCCAAGGTCCGACAGCACGCGACCCAGTCAAAATCTCAGGCTCTTCATCCCCTTGTACGAGGAACACATCCTCGTGCCTGACACCAAACTTGTCGACTAGATAAATACCCGGCTCGGAAGTGAAGGTCATGCCACTTTTGAGCAGGCTGTTCAAGTTTCCTTGGTTAAGGTAAGGGCTTTCATGGGCTGTGTAGATAGCTAGCTTAGCTTTTTACTCAAGGATACTGGCTGTATACTGACCTTTGATTCCAATTCCATGTCCCACACGATGTGTAAAAGTTTCGCCATACCCTGCATCAGTGATGACCTCACGCGCAGCGATATCCACGCTTGATGCTGTTGAATTTTCCCGCATCTGGTGAATAGATTGTGTCTGGGCTTCGAAAACAATGTCCCAAACCTATGTGAAGTCAATGATAGTAGGCCAGTTTGGGTGCATTGTGACATACTTTAAGTTTTTCTAACATTCTAGACGACAACGTGTCTCCCTTTGATGGTTTTTCAAGGAAAGGCGGGAAGAACGTGCGGCAGATATCCGAGGAGTAGCCATACAAATGAGCGCTGTTGATCTTGTCAGCTCTCAGTCAGGATCATGGAGCTGGTCAAGGAGTGCACACCCTACATCAATTAAGATGAATGTCTCGGGTTCCAAAACTTTAGATCCATTCGTTCCTCCGTGAGGGTTGGAGGCATTTTCATCTAAAATTGGTTAGCATTTCTTTGGAAAGCAAGGTTTATCAGGCGTATCAGACCAAAGAGCACAATATCAAAGAAGGGTTCCAGTCCTGCAACCCGCAAAGTATTATCAAGGGCGACGGCGATGTCATTCTCGGTGAGACCTGGATAGAGACCTTTTTAAAACTGTCAGCCATGAATGTGAAAGGGGACTATTGCAGTATATTACAATTCCTAATGTGCCTTACGGCTTCCACGGTGCCGGTATTGACTGCGCGGAGAATGTCGGCTTCCTTGTCGCTCTTGATCTGTCTCACTTCTTCAACTTTACCCTTCAGGCCAACCACATCGAAGCCGACAGTAGCTAGCCCGCGTTGTATAAAGTCGCGCATTTCTTCATCAACCATCAACCGTGGAGGGCGTTGAAGACCAGAGAACACGTTAGCCTGCTGAAGGGTTCTATATGGGTTCCAATGTTCTTCCCATGGAACTATTTGAATAGAATCACTGAAAGGCATTCCAAGCAGGCGGGCTCGCTCGGCCTCAAATGATGGACAGAGAAAGGTTGTGTTGGCCTTAATGTTGCCTGCCTTGTCCTCCTGGGGACGAACGACCATCAAGAATGGGCGTTCTTCGGGCTATAGGTACATCAGTGTCTGATACATAGTGGTTCAAAAGTGTATATTACCTCCCAAACCTCCCATTCCGGCTGGCTCACGTTGCCATAGTATTTGAACGTATAGCCCGGCTCCACAACAAAAGCATCGGCATCTTCAGCCACCAGAGCCTTGGCCAGGCGGTCCCGGCGCTCCTCGAAGTCTGCAAGATTGATAGGAGACGCAGTCATAAAAGGAAGACCAGTTCCAAGCAAGTTGTCAATTGCGCATTGTTGAAGGTCGGGCGGGCTGGTTAGCGACCGCGAGATGTGATGACGTCCATAACAATAACCAGTCACTAATAAGCCCAGGCTGGCGACAACATAGACACTCGAAAATCCACGCTTTGGCTGCTGCCATGCTAGCTTAGACATGGTGATGTTGAAGAGAGAATGATCCAATCCTATTCCGTCGACTTTATCTCCCGAGTTCGCCCCCTCTCTCGCGTGGGCCTTCCTTCACTTCTTCCTTGCCGCTCTTTAGCGTCAACTATACATTAGCTTCGGTGTTCAAACCCCGCACGCAGATTGGTGCGATTAACCTGTCTAGCGGCTTACACTGTACTATCTCCTATATAATGGCCGGTCTCTTGCCAAAGGGGGGAAACATCAGTTGAGACGGTCTGCGAAAACACCACTATGTCTGAGATGGAAGAGAAAGAAAAGCCTCAAGCCCTTGTATCAGCCAACGCAGAAGCACCTAATGTGTTAAATGGCGATCGGGGGTACTCTCGGGTTTCCATGGTATTCATGGTGATCTTCAGCGGTTTGGCTATCGGTTCAGATGGTTTTAACGCCTCGATCATCGGCAACTTGGAACTGATCATGGGGGTGATATACCCAGAGACTCTAACGACTGCAGTTGCCGCTAGACTTTCAAACGCATTCATGGTTGGCATGATTATTGGAATGCTTTCCTTTGGATACATCTCGGACAAGTTAGGTCGGAAAACGGGCGCAGTACTTACTACGGTCATTTTGGTCTTGGGGATTGCCCTCAGCGCAGGTGCCAGTGGTATCAATGAGAATGGCATGTTTTGGATGCTCATCATTGCCCGTGGGATTGCTGGAGTTGGTGCAGGAGGGTTTGTCTTCAATCCGGAATACTTATGGACACACACTTATACGTCATAGGGAATATCCTGTGGCTGGTGCTGGTGCGGCAGAGGCGACCGATGAGGCTCCGGGTATTCGCAAGCGCAGAGGCTTCATATTTGCTATGATTGGTGACCTGTCCGCTTCTCTTGGGTTTGCCTTTGGTGCGCTCGTCCCTTTGATTTTGCTGCTGTGTTTCCACCAACAGGTGAGACATTATGAGACAGTTTGGCGTATATCTCTAGCCATGGGTGCTATTCCTCCACTATCAATCTTTTGGTTTAGATATCGGATGGTCATGAGCTCGGCGTATCGAAAGAGCTCTATGAAAAAGCAGCGGATTCCGTATTGGCTGGTATTGAAGAAGTACTGGCGATCCCTATTGGGAGTTTGCGGCTCCTGGTTCATGTGAGTTCTCGAACACGATGATTTGAAGCTTCGACTAATTTTTTGTCAGATATAATTACATCTCTTATCCCTTCGGCCTTTTCTCATCCACCATCGTCGGACGGGTCAATCCAACATCTTCGTTGGCCCTCACCATGGCATGGGGAACAGTGATCAACTGTTTCTATATTCCAGGAGCATTTATCGGAGGTCTGCTGTCAGACAAAATTGGTCGTCGCCGCACCATGGCATTGGGCTTTGGGCTCCAGGCCATCCTAGGGTTTATCTTGGGGGGGGCCCTGGGTCCAATCCAAACCAAGCTGCCGCTGTTCATTGTTCTTTATGGTATATTTTTGACACTCGGAGAGGTCGGCCCTGGCTCCACAATTGTTCTTACTGCAAGTGAAAGTTTTCCCACCGCAATTCGTGGACATGGTGTGGGCCTTGCCGCCGCATGGAGCAAGGCCGGAGCAGCAATTGGAACGCAGGTCTTCAAGCCAATCTTGGTTAGTTGGGGCGATGATACTACCCACGGTACTCAAGCTGTTTTTTTAATTGGCTCGGGCTTTGCGGTCCTTGGGGCGTGTTTGGCATGGTTTGTTATTCAGGATAGCGATACCATCTTGGATCATGGGGATCAAGAATGGAAAGACTACCTGGTCGCTCATGGATATGATCATATTGAGTGGGGCGTTGAAGATCAGCCAACAGCTACAGACGCGAAATTACTGGATTAGGCTGGCACTTAGCAACGCTGAGATAGCCATCAATTTTTTCCTCTTCTACAGTCAATCACAGGAAATCAAGCAAAGTTTAATGGGGAGAGAATTAAAGCAAGGACCTTCTATTAAGAGTATAAATAAATACAGTAAAGACGTCCCGGGGTTTGGTAGCAAACGGAAGACAAACGAATGGCTCGATCCACCTTCGACCAGTCTTCCAAGTTGGATACTGGTCTAATGAGATCGCAAAACAAAGGCCCTTGCGAGGGCTTGTAAGTGTACATATATGTACTCGTATACACCGTCAACCTTTCCCGCAGAAGCCACCTGAATTGACGAAGATGATGGCTCTTGTTCATATTTCCATGACGGAAAAGGGCTGCTTTTGCCGAGATACAATTTACAGAAGACCGCCGAAGCTGACACAGGGTAGAGCAACACCAACAAGGTTACCATTCTGTTAAAGTTAGCATCGATGCTCGTTCCTTGATCTTCGATGGGGTTGACACTTACAGCCTCGGAGCTGGTGTCCTGGCAACAGGCAACATTTTGCTGGCAGTTCTTCTTGAGGAAGTCGGTCAGGCCGGCAGCGCCAAGAACTTTCCTTATGTTAGCTTAAAACTTCTATCTCTCTTGAAACGTCACTTACCAGACACGGGGATATCAAGCTGAGTGCAACCCTGGCCGATGCCGAGGCCATCGCTGCCAATGGCACCGAGAACGTTGGACAAGACCCCGACGTTGTTCTGGGTGACGCCCTCGTTCTTGTTAATCTTGTTGCAGCAGGACATCTTCGCACCGTTGCCACACTGGTTGACAGCGTTCTCAAGCTTGTTGCCGCCAAGCGGAGCGGATGGCATAGCCATAGCAGTGGCAGCAAGCAGAACAGTGGGGATGAAGAACTTCATTCTGTAAGGTTGGGTTGATAACGCGTGAGGTGTTTGAATATGGATTGAATGAGAGGCTTTGAAGTAGAGAATTGAAGAGAAGATGAATGAAAGATAGTTTGAGCAGGGAATCTCGTGTCTTTTATAACTTTTGCGGCGATCATGTTTCGCTCTCGCTCTCTCTTATTTCTTGCTTTTGTTCCTATACCACACCTTCTTGCCTCTGATCTCTCACGCGGATTTTAAAATGGGCGTCCCGGCTTCACTATAATGCATGGAAGTGGATAGCTTCAAATGGCATGGTCACTGGCGATCATGGAATATTGCATCTTGGCAGGGGTCAGAGGGCTTCTAGCCAGCATTATATGGCTTGGCAAACATGGATTCTTACCTGTTGACTGATACAGATGCAACGAGAGGCTGAACCTGCATGAACGTGTCCAAGCTTTCCCCTGGCGATCGACGGCCCCTATTGTGTGTTGGCTGCATGTTCCCCAGATGCGAGCGAATATGCATGTTACGGCTGAACTACTGCATATTTACGGTCAGATAATTGAGGACTTCAGTATTTGAAGCGACACTATTTGTTTTTTGTTTCCCTTTTTTTGCTTTTTATATGTGACGTCTGGCTTCCCCGAGTTGATCGACATTATGACCCATCACATCACTTATCACATCTCCATTATCTGGGGTTTGCCTTGCACTAACAACAACCTCCTAATTTTTCGATTCATCGTAATTCGCGAATTGTTCCCATAATTTCTTATGTTTTACTGGTCAGAGTCAGGGCAATTGCTGCACTTGTTGAACTTGTCACGCTTGAATTTCAATAGTCGCCGATACGTGGCGGTGGCTGCAGGACCCTCCTGCGTTGTGCATGAGTACCCCTGTAAGCCACCAAAGGCCCCGGGCTTCAGCTGTATCCTCAAGCTCAAACGAGAAACTCCCGCGAAGATCGATGCTACGGACAAATTTTGGTGGGAATTAGTTTGGTGTAAAACAAGCTGGGAGTTGCCAGGGGAAAAGGCCCGTGACAAATATTCTATTCGGTATATGCTGAGATAAAAAAAAGGGTCATGTTCTATGTATACAAGACATAAAGTATGCATGGTCGTTCTATACCCCTCAGAAATCGCCTACGATGCCCTCTGCCTACCACGTAAAAGACTCCTCCACAAATTTAATGGATCGATAGCCCTGTCGCATTGCGAGATGCGTCGCAGCACGCGCTTCATCTGCCATTCCAGGTGGGCCACATACCAAGATCACAAGGCTAGACCCAGCTGAAGATGCATCAGCGGCCCGACTCATAATCAGAGACTGAAGGTGGGGTCGCCCTCGTTGGATATTGAGTTCAAGTTCGTTCAAATTTTCAGTGCAGGTTGTAGAGTCACCAGTCGTGTAAAAAGAGGCACTGAAATCGTCTCGGTCAAAGGCAGTTTTTAGTTCTCGGCAAGAAACATCTCGAATGAACGCCGCTTGTCTTGCGGTCCAAACAAGTTCAATGTCTCGAACTCGGGTTTTCTCACTCTGGGAATCCCGTTCCCAGTCTTGAACCGAGCGGCGAAGATGATCTTGAATGTAAGGAACAGCTGACGCGATGCCGGTTCCACCAACTATGATCAACACTGATTCATACCTCCAGATTGGGAATGTATCACCATAAGGCCCTTCAAGGAGGACATTTGTTTCTGTTGCCAGGGATGGAGCACTTAGACATTTCTGGCGCAGATGTCGAGTCCAGCCATCGTAAGGACGAACCCAGAATATCAACTTCAGTCTCTGTGGTTCTTTTCCCCCAGGAGATGCATCTCCCAGAATGGTAAGGGGAGCTTGGTCGGAGGATGAACCTGAAAGGAGCGGCATATGGGATACTTCAGACAGGTTGCCGGGATGGCGCAATGATGTCGGTGTCAATGAGGAGTGATCTCCTGTTTCGTAGGACCAGGCTGCGATAGTAAAAGGGTGGCTTTCCCAGCCGGTAAGCCTGAATGGCTGATACAAGAAGTAATACTGTCCTGGTAAAGGGTGGAGGGAAGATGCTCCAGGAGTGACCTCCATTCGCACCACGTCAGTCCGTTCGTCATATGTCATGCTCGTCACTGTGGTCTTCATGAGACCTTTATGCGAAAGGCTCACATGTATATTACAGTAACACAGTCGCATGATTCGCAACGAGCGATCAATAACCCATATAGCTACCGAAGGCCAGAGGTATTTCCAGTACTCATTCCCTTCAAATATGACCGTGTGACTAGCTGTTGTTAGGTGGTAACCAATGTTGACAACGGAATTGGAGCTACTTACTAAAAGCATCCCACGAGTGTTATTACCGAAAGCACAATATGAGCAATCAAAAATAGTTCATATGTTGCGATGCGGATCCGATCCAACGAGGTGATCAGCAAGATTACCATGGCAATCGTGCCCTGTTTTAATGTTAGCTCCTTTGGACCGTGACTCAAAACCAAAGAATGCTCTTTACCAAAATTCCCCACAGCACGTAAGTCTTGGTCATTCCTCTCCAGGCTTTTCCGGCTGTCGTTTGAAGAAACGATAAGCATTTTAAAGCGTAATTGCAACGCATCTGTTGATAACTCACTTTGAAAGAACATGATCACGTAGAAGACAGAGTGTACCACTGCCTGCAAGGTGGCCACTCGAGCCACATGGCGATGAAAAATATTAAAGGATGCAAAGCTCCACCCGGTGGCCCATAGGAAGATGTTATTCCGGCCTGCGAAGAGCCACAAAAGTGGAAAGTTTGCAAATGACATGATCCCAGTGCGGTCCGCAGAATATCGCAGAACCTGGCTTGGGATATCTGGATAACTTTTAGTCCGTCAGCGATCTCACTTCTTTTATGATGGGTCTTGAAAACTCACTAGATATTTCCAGTGAATGTGTGGTAGCCTACTATACTGAAAACAGTGCTGAGAACCCAGAATCCCAATACTACAAGTGCCTCGGCTCTGGTTGAGAATGCACAACCTAACAGGTGTCGACCACGCGTTGCCAGCGGTGCTGGAGTCATGATATGAGTGTGGAGCCAATGAATCATTGTTCCCAATATTGGCGTATGTTCCAATGTCCTCAGAAACGGGTATACATTGGCTTCAATCACACGTTCTGTCTGACGTTGTCGCCGATGAAACTTCCAATCGGATAACCTAAGCGCCATCCCTAGAGACATTATACCGCCCCAATAGGCATAACCGGCATAACTGATTGGTCAACGTCCACTTCATCTTTAATAACTTAAATACACTCACCTAAATGCATGATGCAACCAACTCACAGATTCCCAGGAGTTCTTACAGATGGTTAGCTCTGGGGCGTCAAGTATGGAGGACCTGTCTCACGATCGTGTTGAACACCAAGTCAAAGTAGGATTGGGAGATAATAACGGGCTCATTCACGGGCAAGGCTCGAGACAGCTCTTGGTAATCCACTTTCCTCATATTCCGAATGGCATCATCGGTCAAGTTTTCGGCGACTGCATCCTTTGGCAGCAGCTCCTGGTGGCCAAATTCCTGGCACTCGGCAGCTAACCGAGTTAGGCCTGCCGCACGTTCTATATCATCGCAGTATATCTCTGTGGCAGCGTAAATGGATGCAACTTCGAGGGTATTTCGACATCGAGTGTCCCACATGCCCTTTGTGGGTAATCCGGCAAAACTGATGTAGTTATATGCCGAGAAGACTGTTGTCACACATTGCTCTTCTTGGTGGTTCGCCCAGACAGACTGGGCGAGTGTGAGGACCAGCCATCCGAGCAACATGGTGAATTCTCAGATCTCCAATTTGGAGGGGGGGGGAAGAAATCGGGTGAGGAGGAAGGGCGGAGCACCGGCAGGGATCCGATAATCGCTACCGATCATGTGGGCCCATGTGGGCCTGCAAATTCTCTGAATGGGCTTTGTCGACAGGTAGAAATTGCCAATAAGGGAGGTATGAGAACAGAAATTAGGAAAGTAAAGCGAAATCTTCTATCTATTTCCCCACAGGTCTTGAATTTAGTCGAAAAAGACGAAATAGACGAAAATTGCGAATTTTTTTCCATCTTATCAGATCGGATTGATTAGATAAGTCCATGTGATGGTAAACGTGGTCAAGTCATGGGATCCGGGAAATACATTGGGTATACAAATTTATACATAGAGGTGAAGAAGTCAGCCGAGTCTATATCAGGTGGCTCAACTAACCCAGCCTGGGGATTTGAAGGGTATGACATTCGTTGCTGCGTAATGGCAGATTTTGGGTAGACCTCTGTTGAGATATATGTATTTACGAAAGAACAGAAATGTCACCACAGATTTTACTTGTTGTTACATTGGCTCTCTTCAATTGTAAAGACCATAAAAGTAACATTGAATAGTTTCTCAAGACTCCCCCACAAGAATTGGCATTGAGGACAGAATCAACAGACACTCCTCACGTGATCGAAAAGACGCCTGAGGCATGAATGCCTTGTTGGAACTCGCTGTCTTCCGTAACTTGCTCAGCCAATGAGGGCATCCAAATCTCTGTCTTTTATTACTTGCTAATTCTTTCTATTCATGCTATGCTCATCATTAGTAACTCCGCTTATTCGGATTTATGATGAGCATAGCATGAATAGAAAGAATTAGCAAGTAATAAAAGACAGAGATTTGGATGCCCTCATTGGCTGAGCAAGTTACGGAAGACAGCAAGTTCCAACATGCCTTTTCGAGACCCGACCCTACAAATTTAGAGCTACGATACCCTGGCTTCAACATTGCCGTGTAATTTGTCGACATATCCATGTGAGTCTTCATATCCGTCTTCCAGGCAGCTTTAACTGGATTGGTCCATATTTGCTCCACCGGCATAAGGACCCTTGACCCGCTTTGCACGTCAAGTGCATCGAACATCAGCCCACGATGCCTATGACGAAGAGCACTATCGGGGAACCGTCGAGAACCTCCGCATTCAAGACCTGAGGTTGTTTAGCTTTCCAATTCTGGACTCCACTCAGCGGCGCAATCCGATACATGAACCAATCTACTCGGATAAATAAGTGTGTTTGATGCTGATCGGGCTTTGCTCGGGTCATTCCCCTCCGATCCCTGCTGTCTGTGCAGGTTCACTCGTTGTGCGAGACCTTTCCATGTAACGACTATTACCCGTCAACATGGCAGCTGTTTGTGTCGATCCCCCATGGAATATGACGTGCCTCACGGAGTTTTCCAGTTACAGCATGCACGTTCAGCCTAAATTCTGCACAATGGATGGATTAAAAAGTGCGAAGAGGTCATTCTAGATACGGGATCACTTGCAAACTGATCAGCACTGATAATTTGCGGGTGAAAATGCGGTTATCTCTGGTTGCCCTCGGCGCCATATGGGCTTCCAGCTCCCTGGCCTCTCCAGCGCAGCCATCCAATTACCGCAAACCAACTTCCAAGGGCTTTCGCATGCAGCATGGCTTTGAGACCGTCCTGGTGCAGCCATTTGGCTATGATGGGTTCCGGGTGCGAGCCTGGCCATTCCGGCAGCCAACGGGCCAAGAGGTTGGGTTTGTCTATGACCCTCCCCTCGAAGGACCAGAGGATGGAGAGGCACACGGAATGACCTTTGACATCGCGTTCAACGGTAACCGATCGGAGGAGCTGCGTAATGGTAACATGGTTGTTCGCACCTCCGGGTGGGGTGGTAACCCGGGAGGCTACCGTCTTGCCTTCTATCGTGTCGAGGGCGATGGCTCGGAAACTCTCCTGACCAACGAGTATGCGCCACTCAAATCACTCAACCCGCGCTACTATTCCTGGACCGGTCCAGGAAGTGAATTTGCTGCCGAGTTCTCCTTCAGCACGACACCTGAAGAGCAAATCTACGGCACAGGCACCCAGCAGGATCATCTTGTCAACAAGAAAGGCCTGACAATTGACCTCATCAATTATAACACCCACATCCCCACACCGGTGTTCATGAGTAATAAAGGGTACGGATTTATTTGGAATATGGCCTCCACCGGTCGTATGGAATTTGGCCCCCTGCGCAACAGATTCACTGCAGATGCTGCATCGGTTGTCGACTATGTGATTGTCGCATCTCATCCCAGTGACTACGACACGCTCCAGCAACGTCTCTCTGCACTCACCGGCCGCGCACCCACCCCGCCAGACTGGTCGCTCGGTTATCTCCAATCCAAGCTTCGATATGAAAACCAAAGCGAAGTAGTCTCGCTAGCTCAGCAGTTCCAAGACCACCAGATCCCGGTGTCTATGATTGTCATTGACTACCAGTCCTGGGCCCATCAAGGAGACTGGGGTCTTGACCCAAACCTCTGGCCCGATGTAGCCGAAATGGCACGACAAGTCAAAGAGCTGACAGACGCCGAAATGATGGCCTCTCTTTGGCCCAGTGTGGCAGATGACAGCGTGAACTATCTAGAAATGATGGCGCAAGGATATTTGTCGGCGACTCGTTCCGGTCCCGGTACGACTGATTCCTGGAATGGGTCTTACATTCGCAACTATGACTCTACCAACCCAGGTGCACGTCGGTTCTTGTGGAAAACCTTGAAAAAGAATTATTATGACAAGGGCATCAAGAACTTTTGGATTGATCAGGCAGATGGTGGGTCGCTTGGTGAGGCCTACGAAAACAATGGTCAGAGTGATTATATCCAGTCTCTTCCCTTCCCCATGCCAGATGCTTTGTATGCGGCTGGCACACAGAAGAGTGTGGGGAAGCTCTATCCGTGGGCCCATCAGCAGGCAATCGAGGAGGGATTCCGCAACTCGTCCAAGACGGATATCGGCTCCCCCTGTGACTATCTTTCCTTGAGTCGATCTGGATACATTGGGTCTCAAAGATTCTGCAGTATGATTTGGTCTGGTGATACGACAGCCGTGTGGGAGACCCTAGGCGCACAGGTTGCCAGCGGATTGTCCGCAGCAGCGACCGGTTGGGGTTGGTGGACACTGGATGCGGGTGGTTTCCAGGAAGATCCGACAGTCCCGTGGTCCGCGAAGTAAGTACTTCTTGTTTCTTGCCTTTGGCCGTTGCTGACCTTTCTAGCATCGACCGCCCAGAATATAGGGAGCTCTACATCCGATGGCTGCAATGGACTACCTTCCTGCCTTTCATGAGAACGCATGGCTCACGACAATGCGACTTCCAGGACGCATACACTTGTGCAAACGAGCCATGGTCATACGGCGCTGAAAACACTCCGATCATTGTCTCATATATCCACCTCCGGTATCAGCTGTCAGCCTATCTCCGAGCCGTCTTTGCCCAACTCAACAAGACCGGTCGGATGATCATGCGCCCCCTGTACATGGACTTTGAGAAATCAGATGGTCATGTCGCTGGGTGGACACAAACAAATACCAACGTCACCACACAGCAGTACATGTTTGGCCCACGATTGCTGGTGAGTCCTATTACGACTCCAAATGTGACTGAGTGGTCGGTATACCTGCCCCAAACGGCCGATAACACATCAAAACCATGGACTTATTGGTGGTCCAATGAGACCTATGCTGGTGGCCAGACAGTTATAGTCCCAGCACCAAAGGAACACATCCCACTGTTCCATTTGGGCAGCCGGGCGGCCATTCTCGATGGACGCGTCTTTGCGTAGAATTGAGATAAGAGACAGATAGATCGTAACTCAATAACAGTCGCGTTGTGGCTCGACGTTAGTCTCAATCAATATTCTTCTTATGTCCCAACCATGTCTACAAGAGTCACCAAATCATCACGGCCCGACTTCGGACATTGTTGAGTCTATTTGGCTACAACAGCGCTCACGTAAATCTCTGTGGCTCCTCACACGTAGCATTTCCAGGGCCAAGGCTTATAAAAAGTACAAGTGTCATGATCGAAGTACAAATCGCAAACTGTCCTATGAACGTCTCTAGAAGCCCACCTGCAGAGGCGATGGTAAAGGCGGAGAGGATTTAATCGGCAGAACGGAGGTCGATCAGCCATGATGTCAGGCATTTCTCTTGTAGCATCCATTCCCTTTGCACTATCATGGGAGGAGGTGAGCGTATTCCAGCTATGAATGAGACCTCTGAACCTGGGCAGAATGTATATCTTCATGCCGTGGTCGATCTGGGCAGGTAGGCTCTTCTTCTTTGCCCCTCCATTGACAACCCACTAACTCTGGCAGCAATGGCATTCGTTGCTCGATCTCAGACCTTTCACCCCCCAGTACCCGAGTCATCCCTACTGTACACTTCCATCGAGTAAACATCTCCCTTTATGAAGCTCAAATCGACCCCGACACGGGCGCCAGAATCCCCATCCCACAGCATGTCATCGACCGAATCGTTAGCGCTATAGTACGCTTCCAGATCGTCTGTGTGGAGCTCGGCGTTCCCACTACAAACATCCGGATCATTGCAACAGAAGCGACTCGCACCGCCATTAATGCCTCTGTTTTTCTTGATGCGATCCGCAACAAGACAGGGATTTCGGTGGAAGCACTACGCAAGGAAGAGGAGGGAGTCATTGGAGCATGGGGAATCTCAAGCAGCTTCTCCGATGTGGAGGGTCTCGCGTTAGACTTGGGAGGTGGCAGCATGCAGATGACCTGGATCGCTTCGCATGCAGGCAACGTTCAAATGAGTCCACAGGGATCGGTCAGCTTTCCATATGGAGCAGCCGCATTAACCCAGAAACTGGCCGACCTGAAACGGGGCAAAAGCAAAGAGGAAGCTCACAAGGCCCAGGAGCAGTTCCGCCGTGAAATGGCAGACAACTTTCGCGCTGCATTTGAGACCATTGACGTTCCCGAGCACCTCGTGAAAAAGGCACGCCAACAAGGTGGATTCCCCCTTTATCTGTCAGGTGGAGGGTTCCGGGGATGGGGATATCTCCTGCTGTATCTGCATCAGACTAAGGGCCGAAGTTACCCGATTTCGATTATCAATGGATATTCCGCGCCTAAGAAAGATTTCGAGGACACCGAAGCTCTCAAGGAAGTAGCTCGCACGGCTCATGATATCTTCCGGGTCTCTGACCGGAGACGGAAACAAGTCCCGTCTGTTGCTTTTTTAGTGAACACACTGGCCGAGTCATTGCCGCATGGGATTAAGGAAGCTCATTTCTGCCAGGGTGGAGTGCGGGAAGGAGTACTCTTCCGTGAGATGCTCCCAGTCGTGCGTCAGCAGGATCCCCTCGAGGTTGCCACTGCCCGTTATGCCCCGTCTTCGGCTCAGGCTCTCGCAGATTTGCTGCTGGCCGCCCTTCCTCGGCCGTCGGACACTCGATCATTCCCATCTTCCATCAGTCTCCACCTCATCCAGGCCTTTGCCAATGCCCTCTACGTTCACGCCACCATGTCCAAAGAATTGTCCTCTAGTGCCGCACTCTACAGCACTAGTACAGGAATTCTAGCTTCTACCCACGGCATTCCACACGCTCACCGGGCCCTCTTGGCATTAATGCTTCAGGAGCGATATGGCGGAGAATTGCCACCTCGAGACATTGATCTAAAGACACATCTCCAGGGGATTTTGACCCGCGAGGAAGTCTGGTGGACCCGCTATCTCGGGAAACTTGGCCTCGTCTTGAGCCAGCTGTACCCAACCGGGTCTATCGACACCTCCAAGCCGAGGATCGTCCCCTCAGCACAATGGGTGACCGGGCTAGGAAAGAAGGGGAAGAAAGATGGCCTAGACTTGACGATTTCCATCCAAAAAGTCGCGTACGACCCGACTCACCTCAAAGAGGAGCTTGAACATGACGTGCAGAGAATTGAAAAGGTCGGGAAGCGAAAGAACTGGATTGGTGGACGCGATGGCTGGGGCATTAAAGTCCGTGTCTCAGTGGTGGAAGAGGATTTATTACTCTCCGCATGAGTGGATATAAGCCATGTACTGGCCGCGTGCACTTGGCGTACATGTAGCATAGATATGTACAGCCACGCATAATCCTTCGAGCTGCCTGGTTTGCAAATGACCCGCTCGGATACGGAAAAGAAAGACTTTGACTGTATCATTCTCTGCCAGTTCGCGTCGGCCAGTGTCCACCCCAGGGTCGGGAGAACTCGCAGGATATGGATCCACTTGGATGCGCCAACAAACCAGGTTATGTTGCCGAGATACCCTGGAGAGCTTGATTTCCCATATTGGCAGTAGCACATAACACAGGGGAATAAAAAGGGACAGAAACAGAGACAGAACAAACAGCGACAAATCCGTCAAATCTCGAAAAAACATGCTAATACTTCTATGTAGACACAGCATACGCACATGAACAGTATAGAGGAAATACCAAAACATTCTAGGCAGACACGAAAAAAATCAAAAGTGGAGGTCGAAGCTTAGCCCCCACCCACCACTTTAGCCCTGTAGGGCTGAGAGGTATGACCGACTGATGAGACATTACACCTGGCTTTTTTTTGGCTTTTGATTTTGATTTCTGCCGATCTTATCTGATGGCCTTTTTATCTGATCCGGTCTCCTTTTAATCTTTCCAAATCTCTCATCATGGAAATCAAGGAGACCAGGCAGAATGAGGCCAACGAGGCCAATTCCAAGGATGTTCAGAACATTCGTGAAAAGGAGGTTCAGGAATCCTCTGACTCCGGTAGGCTCCCCCGTTGATCTTGCTTGCATTGCCATACTCACATTGCTACAGATGTTGATTCCCAGATTGATATGTTGCGAGCTGCCGGCATAGGCATTGCTGAAGATGATCCGACTGAGCCTGTGCTTACCCTACGTATGTGGGTGCTGGGAATCGCCTTCTGTATCGTGGTCAGTGGACTGAATACGCTTTATACACTTCGTACTCCTTCTTTGACTATCTCGGGCTCGGTTGTCCTATTGCTGGCATACCCTCTGGGTAAACTTTGGGAAAAGACCATTCCCAACTGGGTTGTTCCGCTGGGGATATATTCTTTTGAACTCAATCCTGGTCCTTTTAACACAAAAGTAAGTCCCCTGAAGCCGCCTTTATTGATACTCATCTAACCACCGAATCATAGGAGCACACCTTGATTTACATCATGTCCAACCTCAGTATCTACGTTCGCCTTGGCGCCGATGTCTTAACAGAGCAGCAAATGTTCTACGGCTACAAAGCAGGATGGGGTTTCCAGATCCTGATCACTCTTGCCACATTCCTCGTCGGTTTTTGTCTTGCTGGCATATTCCGGGCAATTATTGTCGTGCCACAGGAGCTGATTTGGCCCGGAGTGCTAAGTGTTACTGCTTTGACCACAACTCTGCACCATGTCAAGCAAGAGCAAGTGCAGTCGCGGTATTTGCCAAGAGGAACACTTTTTTGAACTAGGCTAATGGTTATAGCTATGAGACATGGAAGATTTCTCGCTACGCATTCTTCACCATGGCATGTTGCATCTCGTTTTGTTGGTATTGGTTCCCAGACTTTATCTTCCCGGCACTGAGCTACTTCAGCTTCCCATGTTGGATTAAACCAGAGAGCAAAGTTGTCAATCAGATCTTTGGAATGAGCTCCGGAATGGGCTTGCTGCCTATCACCTTTGACTGTGAGTATTCTAGTACCCCGGACGCCCGAAGAAGCGCTAATTTAAGCATAGGGAGCCAAATATCCTATGTCGGTTCTCCATTGCTCATTCCTTCGTGGGCAATTCTCAACGTTTTTATTTCTCTGGTGTTTTGGATTTGGATTGTGGCCGTTGCTTGTTACTATACCAATGTTTGGAATACCGGATACCTGCCCTTCCAGAGTTCTAAAGGTACATATGCCCTTACAAGTCCTGATAAGATGAGGGTTGACATACGAAGTGTTCGATAACACCGGTGGTGTTTACAAAGTCAAAAAGATTGTCAATGCAGCTTCAGGCTACAAGCTCGACGTCAAGAAGTACCTTGCATACTCCCCGGTATCATCGTAACTGTTCTCTTTCTTTATTCAAGTGCTAATATGAGAAAACATTCAGGTCTACATGCCTATCACTTACGCACTGAACATGTACGGGCTGTCCTTTGCAACTCTGAGTGCTCTACTTGTTTGGGTCATTCTCGAAAAGCGTCATGTCATGGCCGATGCCGCCAGACGTGTTCCCCATCTGATTATCGAATCTCTGCCCGGTCGCTCCAGGGAGTACAGTGAAGACGAGAGAGGAGACCCCGATGTTCCTCTGTGGTGGTACCTGATTGGATGCATTCTGGCTTTGTGCATGGCAATCTTCGCAGTGGAATGGTGGAATGTTGAACTGAGGTGGTATGGTGTCTTGCTAGCCTGTCTTGTTGCACTGGTGTTCTATCCTCCGGTAAGTTAGGAAATATCTCGTGCGACTATTCATTCCTAACCGATCTTAGCTGGCGCTGGTATATGCGACTTCAAATCTGAAGATCAACATTGACATTTTCTGTCGCATTGTGGCCGGGTTCGTCTTCGAGGGCAAGGTTCTTGCCAACATTTGGTTCTTTGATATCGGTTACATTACGACCATCAAGGGACTTTACTTTGCGCAGGACATGAAGTTGGCCTATTATTGCCATGTAAGTATCCTCCTCACTGTACTTATTCTCACTGTACTAATATCTCGAAGATCCCACAACGCAAGCTGTTCTTGGTGCAATGTGTTGGTATGGTCGTGGGTACGCTTTCATCCCTGGGTATTTTGAACTGGGCACTGGGTCACATCAAAGGTGTCTGCACCAGTGCCGCTGTCAATGGATTCAGCTGCCCATACTCCAGCACTCATTTTAATACTTCCTTGATCTGGGGCGCTGTCGGTCCTCGTCGTTATTTCTCGAACCAGATTGGCTACTCTGCTTTTCTGTATTTCTTCATCCTAGGTGCTATTCTGCCAATTCCGGTTTATTATTTGAGTCGCCGCTACCCGAAGTCCTTCTGGAAAAGGGTTCATATCCCATTGTTCCTAGGTGGATTGAACTACCTGCCGCCTGCGACCGGAATGAATTACGGTAGTTGGGCTGTTGTTGGCCTCACATTTGGCTGGGTGATCCGCAGTAGAATGCATGGCTGGTGGAGCAAGTACAACTTTGTGCTGAGCTCTGCCATGGACTCGTCCGTGGGAATTGCGGGTGTGGTGATTTTCTTAACCATATTCTTTACTGGTGCAAGTAAAAACTTCAACTGGTGGGGAACAGAGGTTTACAAGGTATGTTGTATCATCCCCAATTTATCAACAAAGCTAACTCGTATCAGAACACTTGCGATTGGAAAGGTTGTCCTCATCTTGACATCCCGAAGAGCGGGAAATTTACAGAATGAGCTGGGCTTGACGCTTTCCTGCTCTATCGGCAAAACACACGTTCGAGCCTTCAGCAGCGAGCGCTCCGCTCTCGAATATCTTCATGGAAGGGAGTAAATAATTTGACTTACGATACAAATTTAGTCGTTTGGGGAAGCATTGTTGTTTGATCGACGAGCAACAATGGATCCATCCATTCTTAAAAATTAGTAAGAGAGCCCAAGGATTTTCAGAATGCAGTGATAATATCAATTGGAATATATGAGATAAAATTCCACATCTTCTCTCAACTTTTACTAATCACCAGAAGGAAATTTAAACAGGAAGCAGTAGCATTAACCTCTGGTGTGTCGACGGACCCCGCCGGGAACGTAAATGCCAGGAGCTCAATCGGATGCTTAGTAGTAGTCGGCCATCAAAGCCTTCTAAGGTATTGATAAACTGAAGTGAATTAATAGTAGTCACGACTATATCAGGTCATGCAGCTGGCCTTGGGGTCCACGTGGCCTAGATGGGCGAGCGCAGTTCAGAGCTAAGAAGGGAGTATACATAGACACGGTCAGAAATCCGGAGCTGTCAGGGATCTCAAGATCGAAAATCCTAGTCTGACGTCTGCCCTAAATCAACCTTACTGTGATAGAACTGTAGGGACGAGAGCGGCTTCAGGGTCTGTCAATGTAGGCTAGCAACTTGGTCAACAGCCGTTTAAATCAGAATCCCTTGGAATTAATGATCGGTCTATAATTACCAACATCACATCACAGCGTCATGGCCTGGAAATGGAAGGTGGTTGTGTAAAGAAGGAATACATACAATACTGTTTTGTTTTGGTATATGTGGAGTCCGACGCCAAATCTTTCAAGCGGTAATCTTGGGTGGGTCCATTACGAATTGGCCGATGTCGGGTGTGATTGATTAGATCAGCCCGATTGATTAGATCTGTTGCAGTTGTTAGCACTGCAAGGGCTGGGACTTTCAAGGTTTTTTCTCGCAGGAGGAAATAGATTTTGGCAAGACCCTCTACGGTAAGCAGGCTTCGATAGAGACGATCAATGTCTAGATGATCCGGGACACAACTCGCGGTCCACTGGCTGTCCCAGAATGGAGAGTCAGCTCGGAATGTCGGGATCTGCCAAGACTCAGTGTCTCCAATTGTTCCCGCCAGCTCCCTAACCCGGAAAACTGGCCCGATACCAGACGCGACAACCATGTCTCCTTGAAGACTCCACCCTAGAACACTGATTGATAACGCACGGCACCAACATGTCTGCAGAATTTATCTGATCCTGAGTGGAGCATGATGCCACGAGGTTTCATTCTTCAACGTCTTTCGGTGGATCAAGAAGATGGTGAGATCCGGCGTGACATCCTCTACCGGCTATGCAACCGTGACCGGGAACTATACCAGACGATCTCTGGCAACGACCGAGGCTGCCGGAGGGTCTGACTGCTGCTCGGGTCCTTTTTCAACAAAACAGAATAAATGATCGGACGAAGCAGATTCCGTTGTCAGTCCACCATGGAGCCGAGCTTGGCGCGAAAGAACCAAATTCTTTACAAGCATTTCCCTGTGAGAATAATGTCTCGGACATGGCGGTTTTCTGGATTGATCGGCAGTGTAATATATAGGTGCCCAAGTGACAAGACTTTGGATGCATTCGACCACTACAGGATGTTTTGACATAAACGCAGAACACAAACAATATATATACTACAATCGAATAGGACAGCGACTAAATACAACCTGAATTCAGAAAAGCATCCATATAGATGTCGACTGCAGAAATGAAAAATACAGCCAAGGTTCGCTTACACGGGTGGGCCTGCCAAGGTTACGTACCAACCAAGCATAAAAGCCAAAGAACGAGATTACAAGTGGAGTCGCTTCATATCTGATTGAAGGTTGTGCGAAATTTGTCGGGTACATCTATGAGCCCTCTTTCCGGGCTCCATTCTTTTTCAACTTTCTCAATCATGGCTGCCCCAAGAAGTGTTCAGCGCTTGCAGCAGACGCTGTCGCACGTACAGCCTCCCAACACTCAGCTGTCTCTTGTCGCTGGTCCGACGGAGCCGGCATTGTTGGATATCACCTTGGGTGAGCTACTGACACTTCAAGCGCTGCAGTATGGGGGCATTGAGTGCCTGGTGTTCCCATGGACCAATGCGCGCTGGACATACGGCGAGTTGAAAGATGAGACCGAACGTCTGGCACGAGGCATGCTAGCCTCGGGTATTCAGAAAGGTGATCGGGTTGGAATCATGGCAGGCAATTGCGGGCAGTACATCTCAGTCTTCTTTGCGGCCGCTCGGGTGGGAGCTATTTTGGTGGTGTTGAACAACACTTACACCCCCTCCGAGTTATATTACGCACTTAATCACAGCGGTAGGTGTCCACTTGGCGTATTAGCGGCTCCGTACTAATCTCTGTTCATTGTTTTCTCCGCAGAATGCCGATTACTTTTCATGACTCCGCGAATTGGCCGCCATAATCTCGAGGAAGTCCTCGCCGAGCTCGGTTCTAATCCTAAGAAAACTGGCAAGTCGGACTCGTTGGAGGAAATTGTTATCTTGCGCGAAACCTACAAGAACTTTACCACCTACCACGATGTCGTTGCTCGCGGCTTGTCGCAAGCCCCACACGTCCTACAGGACCGCGAGGCGGAATTGCGTCCAGATGATGTCTGTAATTTGCAGTTCACCAGTGGCTCGACTGGAAACCCTAAAGCTGCCATGTTGACTCACCAGTATGTGGCTTGCGATCAATTGATTACGAAAGCTAAAACTTTCATAGCAACTTGGTTAACAACTCGCGATTTATCGGCGATCGGATGAACCTCACCTCATTCGATGTTCTCTGCTGCCCACCACCGTTGTTCCACTGCTTCGGGCTGGTCTTAGGCATGCTGGCGGTGGTAACTCACGGCGCCAAGATTGTCTTCCCTAGTGAGACCTTCGACCCCAAGGCTGTCTTGCATGCGATCTCCGACGAGAGGTGTACAGCCCTCCACGGCGTTCCAACTATGTTTGAGGCGATTCTGAGCGTTCCCAAGCCCTCCAACTTCAACACTGCAAACCTTCGCACTGGTATCATCGCGGGAGCTCCTGTTCCCCGACCACTTATGAAGCGACTCTTCGAGGAATTGAACATGACCGAATATACTAGTAGCTATGGTACAACCTCTTTTGGTGGCGTGCGATTGGCCTTCAACTAACCGGTTGTCTAGGTCTCACCGAAGCTTCGCCGACATGCTTCAATGCGTTCACCACAGATAGCATCCACACACGACTGACCACCGTCGGAAAGGTGTTACCACATGCACGTGCCAAGATTATTGATGCGCAGGGCAATATCGTTCCTGTTGGCCAGCGAGGCGAGCTCTGCATGGCTGGTTACCAACTGACCAAAGGATACTGGAAAAACCCCGAGAAGACCGCCGAAACATTCATCACCGATTCCGAGGGGGTCAAATGGCTCAAGACCGGCGACGAAGCTTCCTTCAACGACCAGGGTTACTGCACTATTACCGGTCGCTTCAAGGATATCATCATCCGCGGTAATTCTAACCCTTGGCCTCACTCCATGGATGGAAAGTTGCTAACAATGGCATTGGATAGGCGGCGAGAACATCTACCCCCTCGAAATCGAAGAGCGACTGACAGCACATCCTCAGATCGAGCTTGCATCCGTCATTGGAATTCCCGATCAGAAGTATGGCGAGGTTGTCGGAGCTTTCATCGCGATCGCAGGCACCAGCCGACCCACCGATGATGAGCTGCGCGCATGGACACGCGAAACACTCGGTCGGCACAAAGCTCCCCAACACGTGTTTGTCTTTGGCGAGGAAGGAATCTCGAGAACGGTGCCTGTAACAGGAAGCGGAAAAGTCCGGAAGGTGGAGCTACGGCAGTTGGCGACGGAGGTGTTGGCTGCGCGCCACTAAAAAACAGACAGTGTACACAGTTAATAGAGTCTAGATTTCAATACCCCGTGAAAACTCTAAAAAACCGGATTCGCGAGTTATCAGATGTGCATACATGCAAGCCTTGTATTATTGTAAGTCGGTTCTGACCGCGGTGCAATTTACCGAAATCAGATTAGATGCGAAATCTTGTCTGATCGCTGATCACTGCTTGCTTGGGCTAGTAGTGTATTACGGTTCCATGGTTTCAATGAAACTATGTATTACATTACATACGCTTGACATATTGTCTTCTAGTACAATAACTGATATAGACAGGCAAGTTTATAAGGGTAATGTACTTTTGTACAACCTGGAATATCCAAACATTCAACCATGTGGGACGACCTAGGCTAGTCCACAACCAGTAGGTGGTTTCAGTCTAAAGCTTGCATAGAATACTGGGGGAACTAGCGTGCAGGATTCCTGCGTAAGATGCGTCACAGAAACCAGAGCAGCCACTGTATTTGAGTGCCAAATCAAGAGTCATTGCGTTATTAACCGAAGACCAATACGCATCGCATCACCTTTTTCGGCGGTGGTCGGATCAGATAGCCAAGCCAAGAGAACAGTGAAACATTCTACCGTAAATCCGATGTCGCTGCCAATCTGATAAGATCAGACCCGCATCTTGGGAATATGACGCGAGATTACTTTCTCTTGTCTGTAGCTCCTTGCTCCTTGGCTCTTGGCTCCTAAAATCTTGTCTTTCCTTTCTCTTTTCCTTTAACTCTTCTCCCTCTTCACCTTTCTCAATCATATCTATACACCATGCCCTCTAACGACTTTGTCCGAACGGTGTCTCGCAGCTTCCGCGTGCTCGTGATCGGTGGCTCTTACGGCGGTCTGGCTGCCGCTTTAGCCCTGATCGATCTTTCACAGGGTCGCATTGCCCGCTTTAACAGCAACCCAGAGACCAAAGCCCCAGCGCATCGCATTCCAATCCAGATCACCGTTGTTGATAAACGAGATGGCTATTGTAGGTTCTCGAGTAATCGACACGCGTAGCCCCGCTGATGTTTTGTAGTCCATCTCATCGGATCTCCAAAGGCGCTGGCCTGTGACAAATTTGCGTCACAGGCATGGACTCGATTCAGCGACATCCCCGGCTTGAAATCTCCCAATCTCAGCTTTATCCAGGGAAGCGTCAGTTCAGTCGACTTCGCTGGAAAGGTCGCTCATATCGTTGATGCGGAAACAAAGGCCAACCGGACAGAGTCTTATGACTATCTGATTGCAAGCTCGGGGTTGCGACGAACCTTCCCCACGGTTCCTCAATCCGTGCGACGAGATGAATTCATCAGCGAAGCGAAGGAGCACATGGCAAATGTGAAGAACGCCCGTGATGGCGCCGTCGTTGTTGGTGGAGGTACGCGTCTGACCACAATCATATATCCTTTGCTCTGTTGACCTTGGTATAAACAGGTGCTGTGGGTGTCGAGATGGCGGCAGAATTGAAGATTCTTCATCCTCAACAAAAGATCACTCTAATCCATTCTCGAAACCGCTTGCTTTCCTCGGAGCCATTGCCAGACGACTTTGCCGAGCGTGCACTTTTGCTATTGCAGGAAGCCGGTGTTGAGGTAATCCTAGGACAACGCGTCACGGACACGACAGCCGTGGAAACAGAGTCCGAGGACAGAGCCTGGATCCTCACGCTCAGTGATGGTCGACGGCTCAAAACTGGCTATGTGTTGAGCGCTATCTCTCAATCCGTCCCGACATCAACATATCTGCCAAAGGAGGTATTGAATGAGGAAGGATACATCAAAGTGCACCGATCGTAAGATATCCCCTTGCAGATGTTTAAGGAATCAGACTGATAGAGGCAGACTTCAATTCTCGGGGCCAATTCCCAACCCCGAGAACCATTGGGCAGTGGGAGACCTCGCAGCGTGGGAAGGTATCAAGCGCTGCGGTGGCGCAATGCACATGGGCCATTATGCCGCCATGAACATCCATCGACACATGACCGCAGAATGCACAGGCGAAAAGCCAGAATTCTTGACCTTGCAGCCTTTCCCGTCTGTGATGGGATTAGCTGTTGGCCACAAGGCTGTCAGCTATACTCCGAGTGAGGGCACCCGCCATGGTGAGGATCTTCTGGCAAGCTTGTTCGGGAAGGACATGGGAAATACCAGTATGTTTCTGATACCCCGTTGAGAGTATTAAAGCTTACATAATTGCATTTTGCTGGAACTACATGCGCCTTGGTGAGGCTTGCTAGGCATAAGCCTGGATGTAATATATTGGCATTTTGTATTGTACTTCGATCAGAAATCGAATTTGGCGTTTTGGTGGAGTAAACCAATACGACGGAATTAATGCAGATCTTCGGGGACCCTGTCGACTTGAGAATCCCTCCAACATGACAAACATAGCAAGACACTGCGTCCATGTCGGTCTTGCGCACCCGGTTGAAACTGTCGACAAGCGAGACAGAGCACGAAATGGGCACCCTGGACCGTCACCAGGGCTCCGGGTCCATATCGCGCAGTCCCCTCCCGCGGCTTCAGCCCACATTCGATGCAAAATCGCTTGTCGCTGTCACGGCTCGCTCGACTGCGTCGTCGATGCAACATGCGATCGGCAAAAGTGCATTGTGGTCGTAGGCGCAGGCAATAGCGACAGGTGTAAAGGTCTCGGTGGCGGGCCCAGTCGGTTGATTCGGCCTGTAGAAGCTCCTGGTGAGACGGTTGGATTAAAGTATAGAAGTAAGCGCAAGTGAGCCTGAGTAAAAGCACATCGGGAATAGATAATTGATCAATTATGAGCCTGTGTAGCTCTGGTGGGAGGTTGAAGATGTTTGGCATTGGACATCGAGCGGTTGATGGGGAGAAGTCAGCAGCCGACGACTTCCTTCACTTCTCTACCTATGGTCTCTACACTTTCTCTCTACTCTTTACTCTTTACTCTTTTCTTTCTACTCTATACACCATGGACTTCATTATAGCATTGGCCTTCTCCAGTGGCATGTCTTGCTTACAACACATGTCTCCGCTTAGAAATCAAATTCCACTTGGTTCCACCCCGCTCTGATAAATAGTACTCATCCTCCGAGTACTGTACTTTCAGCCACTTCACCTCATACACACACACAATGGCACCATTCGGCACTATCTACTCCTATCAGCCCAGCCCTCGGGTCATGAAGGTAAGCTAGCCAGTATCCCTGCGAAAATATCAGAGTTAACCCCCACTTTAGGCCCAGGCAGCTGCCAACCTCAACGGGCTGGAGCTGGCAATCCCCGCATTCGCCATGGGTCAGACCAACCGTACTCCCGAGTTCCTAGCCAAGTTCCCTCTCGGTAAGGTCCCCGCCTTCGAGGGCGCCGATGGCACCAACCTGTTCGAGTCCGATGCCATCACCCAGTACATCGCCGAGAGTGGCCCCGCCGCCGCCCAGCTGACTGGTGCGACCCCTGCCGAGCGTGCCACGATCCGCCAGTGGATCTGCTATGCGCAGGGTGAGATCCTGGACCCTGTGACGCAGTTGGCGTTGTGGCGTCTCAAGATTCGCGCCTACGACGAGAAGGTTGAGCAGACTAATCTCGAGCGTCTGGAACGCTCTCTGTCTTGCCTGGAGACCTACCTCAAGGGCCGCACCTGGTTCGCCGGCGAAGATAAGCTCAGTCTGGCTGACATCACCGTTGCCTCTGCTCTTGTCTGGGGTTTCTCCTTGGTCATCGATGCTGAGATGCGCCAGAAGTACCCCATCACCGTCGGCTGGTACGAGCGCACCATCGAATCTGAGGGTATCAAGCAGGCCTTTGGCGAGAAGAACTTTGTTGAGAAGCGCCAGCCTTACCAGGGTTAAACAACTATAGTATACTAAAAGATACCAATGATTGCATAGCCAAGAAATTAGACGTTTTCGGTTTACCGAATCATGGGTCAATAAGGATCATCATGCTTTGGATATCGTAAGTACAAATACTGGCTGTGAAGCGCTTAGTCAAGTAAAAAATGGTACCGAAATCAACTGGGCCTAGAGATGTTCACAGCCGAGCCATAACGGCACCCTGAACGGATCCCATCTTCTCTGCGAGGTTTCGACTGGCCCAATCCGCAATGGCCATGTTGGTGACCATGGGGTTCACACCGCTGGCGCTTGGGAACACCGAGGCATCGACAACGTATAAGCCGTCTGTATCCCAGACTTGACAGGTCGGATCCACGACGCTCGACTTGGGTGACTTGCCCATACGACAGGTACCCATCTGATGTGCACTGGCGAACAAGCCACGCTCGGGGTTCAAGGGCGACTTCCGGCGAAGCTCTGCGATCCAGTTCTGCAAGGCCGCATCATTAGTGCCCTCAGGGGCATCTGGATCTGAAGCCTCTGGTCGGATGAAGGGATCAAGGTCGCGGTAGGTGGTGTGGAATTCTTTGGCGCCCGAAATGTAAGCAATCTTGGCGCTAGCGACCAGGGCCTCCACGATGTGCTTGCGGTCAAATGCAGATACGGTGTAATCCACACGAACTCTTCCATCGACGGGATCTGAGTACACCCTTCCGGGGTCACGCTCTTTGGTCAGTGTGATGAAGCTTGTGCTGCGACGCATGTTGGCCGCCCACAACTTATACTCCAATCCTCCGCGCCAGGGGAATACCGGGATGAAGACAGAGGGCATCATTGACACCGACTCAATCTTGACACCATGTCCATGTCCATCAAGATCCTCGAACTCATTGACTACCGTTGTCAGCGCGGAGCCTTCCCAAGGGCGGGTTTCTTCATCAAAGATAGCACCACCTCCGACAACTTGGAAATGTTAGTATTTGCAATGTAAAACGAGTCAAAAGTGAAATGACTTACCTGGGTGAAGATAAAGGTTACGGCCAATCTGAGAATTCTTCAGACCACTCCGCAGCAGCAACAAAGGACTTTGCAAGGTACCAGCGGAAACGACAACCTTCTTAGCCTTAATAATCACCTTGCGCTCAACCACACCGGGGCCACCGAGTCCCAAGTAGGAATCCCGCGATTTCCAAACTCCCTTGACGCCAGAAGCAACCCGCTTGCCCTTGACCTTGGTGAAGAGCACCTTGTCGGCCTGGAACCCTTCCATAAACGTAGCGCCGGCTTGAGCTGCATCTGCGAGGAATGACTCCGTTGGGCCTTTCTTGCCCGTTGACGGGCATCCCAGTGTGCAGTACCCGCAGTAGTGCTCATCGTGTCCAGTGTTCTGAGGTACCGTGTTGGCTGCATAACCCAGTTTTCGGGCACCCTCTAAGATGACATTATTCTGGTGGTTATGCTGCACCTTCTCGGTATTGACGCCCATGCGGTCACAAACGCGATCGAGACTCTTCTGGAAGTCGAGAGAGGTGAAGAAGGGCAGACCGGTATCGGCCCATTCTTGTCTAACATATCCCTGGGTCTGTAGAGAAGCGGACCAGTTCACAGTGCCACCACCGCCCCAGGTTGAGCCTGCAAGGACTGCCATGGAGCTATCATCACTGAAGACAGCACCTCCACTTTCGAACATATTGATGTAACCCTCGCTTGGTTCCATGGGGAAGGCGCTGGATGGGTAAGAGTAGGACTTCTCGACGACCAGCACGCGATGACCTGCTTCGGCCAAGTTCTTCGCAGTTACACTTCCGCCGCAGCCACTTCCGATGATGACTACATCGGTCTCTATTGTTTCTGGTTGGTTGCCTGGAGGAAATTGCAAAAATTCATATTGGAAGCCATCGGCGGGCTTGCCGTGGACAGGAACTCGTGGGAAACCCAGAACAGGTCCAAGTGTCGGGCTGCTCATAGCCCAGGCTTTCTTAACAATGGCCGAAAGTCCTCGGTAGACCGTACGCATAGGACGCAATCGCGAAGTATCCCATCCACGGAAGATCCTCTCCCGAAATTCGATCGGTTGGTCTTGAATGGGAATTGTTGAGCCAGTCAGGATCAACGAGCCCGCGCGGGTGTTGAGCGCATTCATGATCAGGCCAAACCCATTCCGTCCCTCGTCGTGCACATAGTTGCCCAATATGCGGACTACGATGCTGCAAAAAACTGGGTTTGAGGACACATCTTCCTGTAGATATTGAGTCGCGATCTTTGTGGCATCGGGGCCGCCGATCATGCTAGACAGGTTTGACACTGTTGAATTCCACTGTGCATCTGTGATGACTCTGTCGGACGGTGATTTGGTCGTTGCAGCATTGTGGATAGAGGGAATCACAGTATCAGCCAGGGCAAATAGTGTCTTCCATTGCAGCTCCGAGAAATAACTGTCAGAGGGCACTGGAGGCAGCGGTACCTCCTTGGGGGTAGCTAATTCAAGAGACATTGTTGAATCTCAGGTTCAAAGGTTAGGACTGGTGGGACGAGAATAAATAGTGAGAAAGACCTGCTTCTCCCCTCTCCCCCACAAGTGTAAGTGCAGGCTGTTCACGCTGTCATTGGCAGAAACTCCACGCCAACTCAACCCTTCACAACCCGGGATCTGGGGCAGCCTCGGCTGTGGAGAGACATCTTCAATTTTGAGCTCAGTGGGTCCGTTTGGCCCAGTCAAAGGGCTTGAACTGCTTCAAGCGCAATCTTTGTGGTCTGTTCCTGGAGAGATTGACGGTTCGGCGAACCTCACAGGCTCGTGCGGCTGCCGAGCTCCAGAGCCATGTGAAATGCCGAGCTGAAAGAGCCGAACCAAATGAGGTTTAATTTAACGAGTACACTATAGAATGATAGAATGGATAGACTGTACAGACTGTAGAGGAAGCTATGGAGAGAAGAAGTGAACTATCGAAGTCATTGGACTTCTGACGTGATGCAAGGGGAATTTCTCCGCTCTCCGGCTTCTCTTCTTCAACATCATGGCATGCACGCTCCCCTCGGAAAAGGTCTTCCCTATACAGATTGGCTCCGAGCTATTTCGTCTCTCGGGTGCCTCCATTGCCTCTGATGGTGAGGTCGAGTCCATTTCAATACGCCTGGCTCAAGCTGACTTGAACAGCTCCGTCCTATTTCTCGCGCTTCTTCGAAGAACAATTAAATCAGGACCACGATGTCGCCAACATCAGGACTCTCTATATCGATCGTGATCCTACCACATTTCGTGAGATCGCGAGGCATCTCCAGGGTACATGCGCTTTCGTGGACAGAGGTGACGGAGACTGATCCGCGACAGGCTACCACGTCCGGCCACAGGATGGCGCGCAATTCGTGAAGCTCTTCGCAGATGCGCAATTCTATACATGTAAGCTCCGGCGACAACTCTTTCAGATGCACGAGCTCACCAGCCAGTACCCCGATTGATGTCGCAGCTCTTCGAGGCCGAATGCTTTATCCAAATCGGCGACCGACACTTCCAGATCCCCCGTGATATCTTCTCTAGGCCTGGCGACTCCCCCAATTTCTTTACACTCGGATTTGCTGCCTTCTTCGCATCCCCGTCTGAGGTATTCCCCGGTCTGAACCGCCATGGTCTTTTGCGCCCTCCGGCCATCGTACCCCCCAGCGTACCGAACAGGTCTGCAGATGTCTTCGATGAATTGCTACATATGCTGCGTGGATATCCTCTGCATATTAGAAACGCAGATCATCGGGCAGCTCTCCTGCGCGATTGTCGTTATTTCCACTTGCGCGGCTTGGAGCAACAGTTGATCCCGCATCAGATCACGACCAATCCCTTCAGTCAGCGATCTGAAATTGCCATCCGACTTGAAGATGTGCGACCTTCCGGCATTCAATTTGTCTATAATACTTCCGAGACCGGTGGAAGAGTCACGTATGCACGCCCCTTTGTGGACGAGAAGGCGGCCGATCTGGTGGTAGAAATCGGCGACGAGTCCAGCTTAGTCGATGCAGGCAACATGCGCGCCAACTTTTTAGGTGTCACGAAACAAAGATTCGCCGGTCTATTACAGGCCATAGCCAAGAAGATGAAATTGCCCGATTCCCATCCGCCATTGGGACAGGGTCCCATCAATATTCGCATCGATCGAGAAACTGACTTGACAGTGGATGGCCAACAAGACTCCCAGTACGTCGCCTTGTTGGGGCACAAGGTTGACATTGGTGATGGCACGCCTCCAGCCAAACGTCCGCGATCGGATCATACCCTTGATGCCTGGATTGTTCGAACAGGACAATGGCGACTAGAAGTACAAACCGGACCTAGCGGTGCGCGTGAGTCTATTCTGATTGCTGTTAAACTGGACGTATATACCAGGCAGCAAGTTCGGAATCGGTCGCGGACGTTCCTTTAAATCTGTTCTACAAAGCACTTTACAATATAAATGTGGTATCAAGCAGACCTTGCAGCTTTTGGTGCTGGGTGCCTGCATTAATATAATTCAATCTAATCTGAGAATCCACCCCATTCTTCGTCTTCATCTTCGTCGTCGTTTTCCTGTTCTTGTTTCTTCTCTTGCTTCTGCTTCTGTTTCTTCTTCGTCTGAAACTCTTTTTTTGTAGCAGCTGGAGCTGGCACAGCATGATCGGGGTCCCGAATAAATCCAGCAACGAAGAATCCTCCTAGACCCTCGGCATCACCTTGCCAAGAGCGGATACAGGCTTCGAGCGCCTCGTCAGGGAGATCGACTGTGCCTGATGGCCCGGTTTCCCCTTCCTTGGACTTTTCCTCTCGAACACCTCGCTTGTTCCACCGGCGCATACCTTCTGGCTGCTCGTCTCGCCGCAAAAGGCGCCATCCGCGCTCTTGAGCAACCTCCGACGCCAAGATGCGAGCTACAACACCTTCGTTCTCGACAAGATGGATGGAACAAGTGCTGTATGTGACATGTGTTGCATTCGGGAAGCTCAAAGCGTGTTCAACAATTCGAGCTTGAATGCTCGATAGCTTAGTGAGTCGTTCTGGGTCGATTGTTCCATCAGGAATGTCGTTTTCATCTGTGGGTAAGGCCTGCGGGACTCCGGGAGTAGCTTTTGACTGTTCGCCATCTGCTTCCTGGTCGTCCTGGCGCTTACGCTTCTTGCCCTGTGACTTGGGGGCATAGGATGGTGGTGCAGCAGGCAGTGTGAGTTGAGGAACATCGTCACGGCCGATAATACCGCTACCAGAGCAACTGGGATCAAGCAGTAACCCGGTTACGTTCTCGAATTGAGGATCTTCTGGGTCGAGAGCCAGGAAATCCTGACCCGGTAGCACATTGACCATTGAGTCAGCCCCAGCCAGTCCAACCATCTTCTGTAGGGTTTTGGAACGCATAGCTGATGCGTCCATAGAAAAGATTCTTTGTTTATTCTTCTTGCTCTTTTGTTTTGCTAGCAACGAAGCCATGTGGGTGGTCTTATTGCCTGGCGCAGCACAGCCGTCCACCAAATCGCCCTGCCATGGGTCTTTCGGCCCACGATCACCCAGCAAGAGATATGCTGGGAAGCACGACGCTTTGTCTTGAAGGATGATCTCTCCATTTTTGTATGCAGACGAGGAAGTAAAATCCGCGCCAAAGGGGACAGCCACCAAATCCGGGATATTAGGATCGATGTACAACCTGGGCTCCGGCTTGCGGCTTTCCAACTCGTCCTCCGGAGCCAATGCTGCCAGGCTGTCTACCCGTCGATAAGACTTGAATGTCGTGCTGAGCTGCTCCTCCAAGGTAGTCCGAATATTGTTGATGCGTACCCAGCGCGGGTAAACAAAATGAATGGTGCCATCGGCTTCACGTTTCTCACGGATCACCGCGGCCTTTAATTGTTCAACCGAAGCACATCCACGACGAACACGAGCTTTGGTAAACTCGGCTCTCAGTCGAACCTTGTGACGCTCAACAGCCTGGCGGATGGGGTGCGCCGCGGGGGCCGCAATGCCTTTTTTCGAGAGTAGGTGATCATGGACGAGGAGAAGCGCAAGAAGAGGAGAGAGCTAGAGAATCACTTGGTCAGTCAGCAGGTATCTCAGCGGTCTCTTGCGATCCATCCCACCTTGCGCTCGAGGGCAAGAATGCCTGCTTTATCGATAACCTCTGCCAATACTGTATCCCATTTCGCGGTCTCGGTGGTCAGCGCATAGATCTGCGCCGGAGTTGCGCGCAGATTTCGGGCACTGTAGATTCTCGACTTGAACGAGCCGCCAGAGGAGGGCGCGGTCAAAATAGCGGCCGCATCAAAGTAGAGGGACATTGGGTGGGATGTTGATTAGAGAAAATCGATAATTTTCGACAAATTGACGTTGTTTGCTCTGTTTGCATTGTCTATATATTCAACTCAACTCTGGGAAGGATTTGGTATACTCTACTGTACTCTATACCATATGTATAACAATTTGACTGGCTTATTGGCTACGATAAGCTGCCAGTCAACGACTGTATTATAGTGCTTCGTGCTAAATGTCTAAATTTGATCTCACTAATCTTCAGCTTCAATATATATCTGGGTCAGCTCCGCTCAGATCTCCAATCCACACATACACTTCCACACCACCCCTGAACATCTCCATAATATCCAACCTGACCCCAACAATGGCATCCAATCCTGTTTTCAGCACATCAATCCAACCACCTCCGCCACCAGGCCCCGCCGCCAAATTGGACATCCCCGACATCCCTAACGCTAACCTACCCGTGTTTAACGATGCCATGAAAATCCGCATGCGCGTCTTCGTAGACGAACAAAACTGTTCCGCCGAAGCTGAGATCGACAGCGACGACAAGCGGAGCTGGCACTGGGTCATCTACGACGGGACCACACCGGTGGGAGTCATTCGACTGGTTCCCCCGCCACAACCGCCACATTCCCAAGTCACCAATTCAGAGACAAACGGGGAAGCGGTGTACGACTGGGCACACGAGCCGTGTATCAAATTGACTCGGGTGGCAATCATGCCAGAGTACCGCGGCCTCGGACTTGGGCGACGATTAGTGGAGACGGCGTTGGAGTGGGCGGCTGTGCATGCAGCGGAGATAGACGAGGCTGCTGCGTTGGTCGCTAGGGCGGAGCGGGAGAGTGCTCCGCTGTGGAAAGGTCTCGTGCTTGTCCATGCGCAGGTTGATGTGGAGCGGATGTATGCGCGACTGGGGTTTGTGACTAATGAGGAGTTGGGGACTTGGTATGAGGAGGGTATAGAGCATCGTGGAATGTTTCGTAGATTATCTCTACACTAGGCATAAAGGAGATACCCAACAGTCTACAAGACTACCAGAAAAATCTCAAGTTCAACAGCTGGATTCAAATAGATTCAACTAGATCAATGGGGCAAAAGTCCCTCGCATGGTTCAAAGACAAGTAAAACAAATCAAATGAGATGGCCGCTCAGTGAGTCGGCTGGGTATCCGGAACATCGCAAGCAAAGGCAAAAAAAGCAAGAAGCGACCGAGTCTCAAAAAACCCGTGTGAAGCCCTCTAGACATGATGCGTATCGGAGACCGCAGAAAAGCAGAAAAAAGAAATGCCCTTGGCCAAGGGCCCGTTGAACGCCGAAAACCGTCGCCAATCAAGGAAACCATGCAAGCGCATGACGAGAAGTGAAGAGAAAGTAGATGCGCTGCAGCAGGCCTGCTGGCTACAACCGAAATGCAATCAGAAGGTGCTCCAGTTCCAGTCACGGGGAACAGAGGCAGCGACCTCGGCAGTCTGACCCTTGGGGCCCTCGGAAGTAGCCTCCTCGGCAGAGTTGGGGACAGCGACACCGGTCTGCTGGGCGTCCATGTTGTTCTGGATCTGGTTCAGGCGATCGGAACGATTTTCCTCCCAGCGCTGGTGGGCACTCCAGCAGAGGTCGCAGGCACGAGAGGGCTCACCCTCCGGATGGAAGCGAGCATTCTGGTCCAGAGGAACAAGGTGAGGTGTGTGAGAGGCGCAGAAGACATGACCGCAGTGACGGCAGTGGTGGCGACGAAGGAAGATACCGAATGAAGAACGACAGGTAGGAGAATCACAGTTGGAAGACGCAGAGTCCGCCTGAGGGATGTTAGCTGTGTTCATTTCAGACTTGAGCACGCCATTAAATGACGAGCTCACACGACATTTGTGATGGTACATGCGCCATCGAATTGCTGCATATAAAGAGACCGGGACGAACGGATGGACAAATACTCACTTTCCAGTGTTCACGAGTTGGCATACCAGTCACCTCACCGAGGGACTCGTTCTTCATCCACTCGTGCTGAGCGGACTTGCTGATATTGCTGGTGTGGCTTTCCATGGTGAAGCGACGGCTGAGGGGTTCAACTGAGTCCTCACTGAGGCTGTCAAGGGAACCATGCACGCTGCGCGGGGGGTAATGGGAGATGACTTCTGAGGACGCTCGGTCGGGCGGAGAGCAGCCGGGACATAAAGAGGGCCCTTGGGAGGACGCAACTGGCGGGACTGCAGAGGGAGCTGGTGCAGAGAAGCCGTGGCGAGGCGGGGAGAAGTGGGAGAATTATTGGAAGGAGTATTGGAGGCAGAATTGTTGGCAGAGTTGTTGACAGAGTTGGTGGCCGAGTTGGTAGGAGAAGGCTGGCCATAGACCGAGATCTGGTTGGCCGGGAGGTTGGTCGAGGTCAAGACGTGAGTAGCCATGATTGGTGGATATGCAAGTAAGGGAGGGATGTGGGTGAAGGTGAAGAAGATGCAGGTGAGGGTGAAGGTGAAATATTTGGAGGCTGGAGTTCTGGGCAGAAAGCCGGAGGTCGTGAGTTTATGATGAGCAGCGGCAAAACGCCCAGCACATTTCCCTGATGGAGTTGAGGGGCAAAAAAAGCGGGAATTCGAATAATCGGCCACCGATCAATTGGAGGCGAAAAAGACCGTTCAGCCGGGGAAACAAATGCACGGTAAGTGGCCGAGAACAGTGGGGACGGGACGTTAAGTTAACTGTTGAACTATTGAACAGTGACAAGTATGAAAAAGTGTATGGAGGAGAGTCGAGCCAGTGAATAGTAGTTTTAAAGGAGGAGGAGAATACTGGAGGAGAGGCTCAATAAGTACATGTAACATCAAAAGGAGGTGAGAAGGGATGAACGTGTATCTATACTTCGCCCGGTACTACCTGGCCGGCCATCTACAGGTACCTCGTACTTTGTGCACGGCACAGACATGAAATCATTGACCGCCTCTTACTCTTACTTGAACTATAGATAGTGTTAACTAGTAAATATTGACTGGTTATACTATGATGTTAGATGCTTGGATTCAGACCGGTCACTATCCATGAAGCACGACGGCTTTCCTCATACGGTCTCTCCACTCCCCACTTTGACGGGGATGCATTCTTCACACTACAGTGTATCTTTCGACAAAGATGTAACACGTTATAATATTATGCTATGATATACCTATACAGGTACTACAATATACACTGTACCTATCTAGACCTAGACCTATATTCTCTTCAATCGCTATACATTCTTGAGGATGACCGGCATATTGAATATCTACATTCCCGTAGGTTCACTAGCGGGAAGCTAATGACCAATCAGGCTGTTCGTGGCGTTAAGTCTTATCATGACCATGTGATTGGCCAGCCACCATTGCTAGCCATCTGATTGGCCAGTCAGATTACCCATCGGGCCGGGTTAACCTTTCGGGCCAAGTCCGCTTCCGGAGGGCCGCGGACTTGACACATCCTCACCAATCAGAGAGTAGCGGTTCCCAATTCCTGCCCCTTCTCAGCCCAAAGGGGAAGGAAGGAGTGGAAATGTTCTAGTGTAATTTCGAGACAATTTAGAGGGAACATCTCGGGTAGTTTATTTGCATCTCGACCTCGGCTGTGGCAGGTTGACTAGATTTTGAACACTTCTAGAAATTGAGCCTGCATGTACGGAGTACTAGTCTGATCGCTATTTTGGCCGGTGTTTCTTCGGTCTCCAACTGATCAACTGCCTGTCTACCCCAAATCCAGACTCCGTTAAGACTTAATCTGTCAGATCTACAAGTACGGTAAACCCTAACGGTGTGCATGTACACGTCCATGTACCAGTGACATGCAAGTACAGTTACCTCCAAACAAAAATAGCTGCTTGCAGACCCATGTCGTCATGACTTAATACATCAAACCCGGGGATTCCCCAACCTAATCCCAAACGCAATCATGAAGTTAGCTGTCTTCAGTGCCAAATCATACGATCGCACTTTTTTAGATCAAGTGCGCGACCAACACTTCTCCTCGCTATGCACCATTGACTTCCACACCTTCTCCCTATCAGAGGAGACCGTGCCACTCGCGCGGGGTTGTGACGCCGTCTGTGTCTTTGTAAACGACACACTAGATGAGCCCGTCCTGAGAGCCCTCCACGCCTACGGGATTCGAGCCATCCTCCTCCGCTGCGCCGGGTTCAACCATGTGGATCTGGCGACTGCAGAGGAGCTAGGCCTCTTCGTGGCGAATGTCCCGGCCTACTCGCCCGAAGCTGTGGCGGAGTTTGCTGTGGCGCTGATCCAGACGCTAAACCGCAAGACGCACCGCGCGTACAACCGCGTCCGCGAAGGCAACTTCAACATCGAAGGCTTGCTGGGAACCACCCTGCATGGCAAGACCGTGGGGATCGTCGGCGTGGGGCGGATCGGGCTGGCCGCCGCGCGAATCTTTCACGGCTTTGGATGCCGGCTTCTAGCGCACGATCCGTTCGTTGGGGATGAGTTCCGGCAGTATGGGACGCTGGTCGATCTGGAGACCCTGTTGCAGGAGAGTCATATCGTCAGTCTGCACTGTCCGCTCACAGATGACACAAAGCACCTCATCAACGAGGAGACGCTGTCCAAGATCAAGCCTGGGTCATTGTTGGTTAACACTTCGCGTGGGGGTCTCATTGATACCACGGCTGTTATCCAAGCATTAAAGACACAGCAGCTGGGCGGACTGGCCTTGGATGTGTACGAAGCAGAAGGCGAGCTTTTCTACAATGACCATTCAGGCGAGATCATCGAAGACGATGTGTTGATGCGTCTGATGACATTCCACAATGTTCTCATCTGTGGTCATCAGGGGTTCTTCACGCGCGAGGCACTGTCGGAGATTGCCGAGGTCACACTGGGCAATCTATCGGACTTTGTGAATGCCCGTTCGTGCAAGAACTCTTTGGTTACAGAGGGACATGTACTGGTTCGTCGGGATACAGAGCCCGTGAGATTGTAAGATTAACTGATTGCGTATGTATTGATATGGACTTAATGGAACGCTGCAAAGAATCATTCATCATGAGTATTAAGTAAATCATCACTAGTGTTCAAGGCTCAACTGCGCAAGGGACGAGTCCCCTGGAACTGTCCCTGGATTGCTTGCCATGCTCGGGGAAGGAATCGATTGCCATGAACGATCAACGGGACTACTGAAATCAACCACATGAAATACACCAAACCCACGGCCAGAATCAGTCGAAGCTGCTCAAAGACCGACCCCATCACTCCACGTCGGGCGGCCTGCCGGGGGACTTGGGCTTCTTGATCGGCATGCGACAACGCATCTGCCATTTGCCAGGCTGCCCGACAGTTGATCTTCTCCCAGGTGGTGTTGTCGGCATACTCGCGCGCAGCCACAGCAAGAGTCACTCGCCTTAGTGAATCATGGGAAACGTCCTTGACCAATGAGATAAAGCGTTCGAGATCGCGCGGTGGAACCAAGTACCCAGTCTGTCCATGACGGATGATATCCGAGGGGCCACCTTGGTCGCGCGCAATGACTGGAATACCACTGGCCATGGCCTCTAAAACAACCAGCCCAAACGTCTCAGTGATAGAGCAGTGGAGGAAGAGATCAGCTGAGGCATAGGCGCGAGACAAAGCAGCTCCAGTGAGGAATCCGGCAAACACGACGTGATCACGGACGCCGTCGAAGAGGCGCTGCACCTTGTTCTCGACTGCTGGGTTGCGGTTCCCGCCTACAATTAACAGCTTGAAGGGCACTTTGTCAGCGGCCAGCCGCTGCGCAACCTGTGCGAGGAACTCGAATCCCTTCTCGGGGGCGATGCGACAGACACAGATTAAGATGATCTCGCCGTTGGGTGCGATCTGTCGCCGGTATGATTCATCGCGCCGTGTCGGCGAGAAGAGAAGAGTGTCCACGCCACGGCCTAACAGAACGAGTTTGTCGACCGGCGCACCTGCACGCTCCAGATACCGGCGGATGGCACTGCAGGGATAAAAGATGGTATGGACGGCGCGGGTGCGGAACAAGAACCCCTGCACAGTAGCCAAGAGCCATACACCGAATTGATCCAGCGGCGCAGGCAGCATGATCTCCGCATATGCAGACAGGTCTGTCTGAAAGTTGAGCAAGACCGGCGGCGGAGATCTAAGCTGACGGATCTGCAAGAGCATCTGGAAACCAAGCGAAGCCGGACTGGCCAGATAAATGAGATCAGGTTCGAAGCACCGATCAAAGACCTCTGCCAACTGGAACGGATAGACGACCGTCAAATCGGGGTTGTAAGGCAACGCACAGCCCGGCAAACGACGCTCCCAAGAAGTCGCCATCTGCTTCGAGTCACCTTTGAAATGAGGTGCGACGAGAATCAGATCCGCGCCATTGTCGCGCAGGTACTCGACCAGACTGCGGGTCGTTCGACTGACTCCATTGACGGGACCCCATGATTCAGTCGCGAGGAGGATCTTCTTGCCGTGGAGGGTACTGGGGAAATGTTGGACCTTACAAACCTCACCCTGTGAGGAGAGGAGGGGCGTAGATTCGGCCATTGTGAGACATGAAGAGATACATAATGGAGAAATTTGGCAGGGGGAGGAGTTCTTTTGAAGAGTTGAGTTGTGTATAGAGTGTAGATGATCTCTGCACGTGCCGCATCCGCCCGCTGAGGATCGTTGCTTGGCGGCCAGTCGCAGTGAACGATTCACAGCGTGCGTCAATTTGGCCTTTTGAAGGGAACACTGGTTTAGGGGGTCATGTGGTATGCCAGCCAAATATGGCAAACATGGAGGGGGTGATCTTTTCACCCCTTTATACTCTCACCGTGATCTTCCTTCTTTTGCTTCACATAGGGTTTCACTATCAATATTACCAATAGATGGTTTAGTTGGAACGTCCAATCATATTCATGTCCGAGTGCATTTTGACAAGTTTGAGCTAATCACCAGGCCTTTTCATATCTTAAACTTCTTCGGTTCGACTCTAATATCTGCTTCAGACCACCATGGATAGTCCAGAGGACTGTGCTCATGAGCATCAGCCTGGAAACTGGCTTTGCGCTTGTTAAGGAAAGAGTTGACACCTTCTTGGTAGTCACTGTTGCATGTTAGACCCATACTATTCTATACTCGATAGGATAACTCACCTTTGACCAGCCATATGGTGAAACACCCGAGACTCAAGGAGATGCGCTGCCTCGGGCGAACTAGGACCCTCCCACATCAACGCTCGACTCATCGATGATGCCAACGGACTGACATTCTCGGTCATTTCCTGAGCCAATTCCAGAGCCCGGGGTAGAACCTCCGCTGCGTTCGGCAGAACCTCAGTGAACAAGTCCCCAAAGTATTTCGAGTTGCCGGGGTAGACCCCGCCAGTCGATATAAGGGACATGGCTCGAGAAAGACCAATGAGCCGAGGAAGAAAATACGAGGCACAGGATTCAATGGTTAGTCCGCGTCTAGTAAAGACGAATCCGTATTTGCTTGTTTCGTGGCAGATACTGGTCAGATTAGCAACAATCGCGGTATTATATATACAGGAAAATAAGATGAAATCACCGGATTACAGCTGGCAAAGTCATGGTCATTCCAACTCCTACCGCAGAGCCATTCAGAGCAACAATCGTAGGCTTATGACACCTATGCATTGCCAACGCTACTCGACCCCCACTGAGCACATTAGCAAGCGATCGACCTCAACAGAATCAAACCTACATATCGCGAAAATCAGTAGCCCTCCCTTCATTTGAAAATCCGATCTCCAAATCTGACCCAGCACAGAACATCCTCCCAGCACCAGTTAAAACAACCACCTTCACCCTGGGGTCAAGATGAAAGGCTCGAAAAGCCAGTTCGAGACTATCAGCCATATGCGGTGTAAATGCATTGTTTTTCTCTGGGCGATTCAAGGTGACTATCACAACTGGAGTTGCTGTCGGTCTCCCCAATGGATAGTGAGTCACTTTGACATGAGTGAGACCGAGACTCTCATAAGAGTTTGGTATTTCGATTGTTGCTGTAGGTGGCGCCATCGTCTAGAATATTATTTGATCTGATGCAACTAACATGATGTGGTTATATAGAACAGGGATGCCTCGGTAATGGATGAGCGGGGATGATCGACATGTTTTCACACTGCACATGCCGAGTCTCATATTCATGAACACCGTGAAAACTATATGAAACTATCTAGCCACGCCGAATAGCCTGTCTAAAACAAATCCGAATTCAAATTGTCCCCATCACGAATCAATCAGTATGGGTGAGAGAGATCGTGCCACCCACAGAAAGGCGCACTGGCCTGCCATCCAAGTAGATCTTGAACGTCGTGAGGTAGCTCCTTTGCCTGATCGACAGTTACTGCGAGGAACTGGTTCCCCTCGGAGCGATAAACACCTTCATAGAATAGAGTGATAACAATACTTCGGAAAGAGTCGGCGGTCGCATTAGCTCCGGCACCGTAATAGCAGTTTCCAAGCATCAGAAGACTGTCTCCAATGTCCATCTCTCCATAGGTTACTTCCTCGACTGCGGGCTTACGCTCATCATTCCAGACATGGGAACCAAGAACAATCTCAGTAGCACCATTCTCCTTGGTCACTTTAGAGGCTAGGATCCCTGAATTAGTGTAATTCTGACTTTTTGGAATCTAATACTTACTGGCAACAAAACACCCCAGCTTGGTGGTTTCCTTCGGGTCTCCATGCGTATGTGTTGCATGGTGATCCTGGTCATCACGGTGTAATCCCTGTCGAGCACTACCAGGACCGACACGCACCGTAAAGAAGGAATTCGACAGCGGAGGCGACTCGTACTTGTTGCGTGTATCTCCCCACCAGCTTTCCATTGTAACGCTGAGAGCATCATTGACAACAGCTTTGACATTCGGATTCTGCAGAATAGATTTTACTGCAGTTGGCGATTTGCCAGCGAGTCCACAAACGGTCTTTGTTTGCTTCGCGAAGACTTCAAGCCCGCTATTGTAGTCGGCATCCATATACGGTTTGATTTCGCTATTGATTTCGGAGATTGGAGAATGACTCAAGAGGTACAAGACTTTTCAGAACCACTGCCCCATCACGATATAAGATGTTGAGAATCGAACCGGGGTGGAGTCGCTGGGAAGGGACTCGACACGGCGTGGGGTGAAAGAACCCATGACTGAGACTAATTCTTAGGGAACTCTTAGGTTCACCAAGAATTACTTATTTAATATGATCCAAAGAGGCGGTGAGTCGGCACTAACGACTCTACAAGGATGCGCTAGCAAGAAGATGTGATACATGCCCCCATGGAGTCCGTGACAATTAGTTCTTTATAAAATGAAAGCTCTTCACACTTATTTTACTATCTAGTATCTATAAACGTAAACCGCCTATAAGCAAAATATATATAAATATAGTCAAAAAATGCACAATTTATATAAATCACGAGATTCTCTATATTTGCACTATTTATCAACCCGTAGGTAACCCGTGGGTCGGGTACGGGTCTAATATCAAAACCTATACCTGACCCCGGGTATGAACTTCGGACCCCAAACCCGCCAAGAAATGGGTATGGGTCGGGTAAAACCCGCTTACGAACGGGTACGGGCGAGGCCTACTAATACGCAATAGGGTGCTATCCCTTATCCGTAAATAACTAGCTTAGTATACTCCCGAGTCTAAAGCCCGACGTATCGCACTCGACTAGTAGGGCTAGTTTAGGGTCGAAGTGTCGGAGGAATAGCTCTTCCGTAAAAGCCCTCTTTAGCCTTTCGAAGGCGTCTTACGCTTCCCGAGTCTATTAGAACCCGTCTTTCTTTCGGTTAGCTTTCCTAGCTGTTCTACTATGGGTAGTAGCCGAAATAGGTATATAGATAGCTAAAAAGTATTCAATAAAATAGCGGTAGAACCCGGCATACCCAATAAACTACTAGATATCGAACGTATATTTAGGGATGGGATATTCCTATATAGTTTTGACACGTTCTTTTTCTATACTCACTTCTTCTAGGGTAATCATGATCTAGCTGTTAGTCTTACCATGCAACCCACATTCCATATATCGGCGCTAAACGTCCATGAAACGCCCGAAATCACCTCAGGTACTCGGTAGAACTAAGGTTGAATGAATATCGATGATGATGATAATAATGAATTCATTTGCCCGATGTAGCTCGCTCTAATTATATGCTGCTATGCGGGAGTGCTGTCAGGCCTGCCGAGTGATACTGATCACCGTGTGAGAATTTTACGTGGCAAGAGATATCCTTATATGTCTGGCGCCCCAATGACCCTCATTCTTGGATTTGGCAGATTGTCGTGTGGCGAATTCCAGGTCATTTGACATCTTGTCAGGAGGCTTAGAAGGTGTTTGCTCAATCATGCAGCCAGTACTGAGAGGTTTGAGATGACCTCACCAATCCCGGGTATACCAACCAATTATATCGATAAAAGCGCACGGCGCCATATAATAAAGCTCCGCCACGATGACAACGGCCGAAAAAATCACCCAGAGATACTCATACACAGCCACCTCATAGACAATACGTAGGTAACGGTGCCAGTTCTGCATTGTGATTTTACGGATGGCATCACGGATGTTCAGACGATTTGTCGGGCCTCTATGGTCAAAGGGTAGAACAATTTGATCATCGATGGGTAGCATTGATGCCGCTATCTTGACATAGATGGCGCGAGTGAAGGTTGCTGTCAACCAGCTCAAGAATATTGGGACAATAGTAACAGCGAAAAACCCGAATGTTGCTGGTGAAGCATCTTCTTTGACAGAGACTATACCCTGAGCGAAAGCCAAGGCAGTCTTTGTCAAATAGTAAACACCATGCGGCAATACAATATCCAAAGAGGCGACTGGAATAATTGCAAGCCAATCTTTCCCCTTAGGTAGTCTCTGCCAGATCGAATTGCTGGACTTGGATATGACAGCATGAACCCACGCCGTGTGAAGGTTCGTCAGAAGCAACCCCAAAGACAATTTGGATACGATGTAAACCGGGAAGCGAGGCTCTAAGTCAAAGCGTGTGATAAGAGCCATGAGCACAAATGTCACCATATATGGCAAGAAAATGCTGAGGCCCGTCAAAAAGAACCCTTGGCTGTTCAAGTATCGACGAGCACGACCCCAGTCACCAGTGACAGCATTGGACTTGGGTGGGTGGGTGATGCTGGATATGAATGCCATGAATGTGCACGAAATACCAACCCCGGATATTTGTGAATTCATTGAAATGAATCCAGCTCGCCATAAGAACTCGAGGGCTGCGAACGCACCAAGGCTATAACCGATATGTGCCTTCACACACTTAAGAATTTGTTTTTTGATATATGGACCCGCTTCGTCTGGAACTCTCACGTCACTTTGAGGGTCTGATGTTTCATCCTTCTCTAATGCGTTGGCCTCGGGGTCTTGGGGATTTGAGACTTCCAAGACTGCAAGCGCGGCTATTATTCCCTGTTTATATTCGAACTTCAAAAGAAATCAGCTTTTTTTCCGTAGAATTCCATGCACCTTACCTGCAACAAGACACAAAGACATATGAGTGCTGTTACAGCCACAGTCATTGGGATATCTGTAACGACGGACACGTCGTCAACAAACCGAACAACGCTAACCAAAGCAGAGGACCATAGTGACAAAGATGCGAGCGACATTTTTAAAAAAAACCTCTATCTTTCGATGTGAGCAGCATTGTTTTGAGGTATAATGTAGAATGGAAAAGGCAGTGTTCGGACACAGCCCCCGGTCCCCGTTGGATCAGTGGGGTCACCTATCGGATAATATTTAAACCGACAGCTCTGTTCCTGGCTTCCTAAGTGTGAATCCCGAGATTAACAAACGATTCTTAGAGGTGGGGCATGAGGAATCTAGGAATACCAATTACGATTCCAGGAGCAACTAGGGCCAGGATTCTTTCTAGGAACCTACACAGAAAAGCTGACTTGTAAGTGTATGACCGAGCTTCCACACGACTGAAGCTAGAGCTAGAATCTTGGCAAGAAAATAAGAGCCATGAAGACTGGAATGGCAAGTGCGAGAGAGGCAACTATTGCGTGAGGGTGGCAATCAGCTCTACTTTTTGCTGAAAAACGGCTCAACATCGCAGCGCCACGACTCTACGCCATGTAACGCGATCGGGATATCCCCCCAGCTTCCCCTCTCCCTCCACCGAGACTACTTCTTTGCCCGTCGTCTGTTCTCTTATTTTGTTCGTGCTTCCTTGGTCTGTCATTTTTGCTCGCCCACTCCCAAAGAAATCAGTCACCGACCGACGACTCATGACCTACCAGCCACTTCATTATTTCGCGGTCTTGTAGTCTCATTTCTCAACCTCCGCACCCTCGCCGTCCCTTCAATTCCGTTGAGTTCGACTATGAAGCATTCTCGACGCCAGCGGACTAGAAAGCTAGAAAGCGACTCTGGCGGGATGACATTATTGCGGCTACTTCTAGCGATTCAGACAGGGGCGATGCTACATATGAGACGGATCTGACGGAGCTAGAAGACGTTCCTAGTCCACGAAAACGTCTCCGACCCGACGAGAACCTTGCCTTGGAGCCGGAGGTCTCTTATAATGCTGTAGAGCTCTACGAGGACCTATTGGATGAAGGTGGGGTTGATCTCTCTGAAATCCCCGAGGATTTTGACAAAGTACCGGGTACTATTGAACGACGAGAACGGATTGAGAGTCGATAGAAAAGGTGAGTGACCCACTAAGGTATATCGGTACCGGAGGCGTTAATAGGGAGATTCCTAACGCAGATATAGGTACTATGTTAGCCAAGTACGAAACAAGCGCAATAAGCCAAAATAGCGCGAGGCCGAGGAGGCGCTACGCTAGGCGTCGAACAATGATATATATCGGGTTGGAGAACCCGGCCCAGAACCCAACCCAGCCCGGGTTGAGCTGGGTTCTGCGGAAGTCTAGACGGGCCAATTGGAGGACTTGTTGATTCATGAAGCTATTCCCAGTGGCAGCAAGCCAGCGACACTGCGCTTGCTGAGGGGGTGTGTTAGTGCTGCATTCATGAATACGGATTGAGAACCGGAATTATAGTAACTCCGACCCAATTGCGGTTTGGGTTGGTTCGATTTTGCGGTTTTGCGGTTTTTGGCGCAGTCTAAGAGAGAGAGCTGTCTAGTCCGGATGATCACCTGACCTCCCAATCCAACGATTACCAACTAGCCTCCAAATACTGCGAGAGATGAAAGGGAAATGAAAGTAAAAAAGTAGCCATAAAACGAAGTTTACGTCGGCGGGGGAAGGAGCATCTCCCCACAATTGCAATCGTCACGTCGCCACCTGTTGGCTAAGTGTCAAGGTAATGTACGAGTTCTCAGAGTAAAAGACTAGGAATGATTGATTTTTCAATGATTTAAGGTGTGATTTTTGTGAGTCCATTGAGCCCCGGTAAGTGGACGCTGGCCTGCTATAAGAGTATGCCAAAACTTCCCATCAGGGAATCTATAAAGAATGTTTCCAGAAATGAGGTTGAACGTTATCCGCGTGGGCATGCTGCGTTAAGCAGGTTGGTGAGAGACCATTCCCGTTCGGGTAATTATCTGAGCCTGGAGCTGAACGTAAAGCTAGGGGGAAAATAATAGCTCAACTTCAGATTTCGGCATATCAAAACACTATATTATTGATTGCATTCTATTATATCTTATTGGACCAAGCTGCCGACTCATGAAATGGGGCTATCAACACTTGGATTTGTGGAAGTGATCTCCAGCTGGTACCAGTGAGATAAAGTATGCCTGCTGTAATACACAACATAAATGAACAGCCCTACGCTGCTCACCTCTTTCAAACACATGCCTGGATACAATATTATCATGATGGATGCGTTACATGACCTCGACGATGCATATCATCACAAGCCTTCCAATGAGCCCCAGCTGGTCAAGGGTTTCTCTTTATTTTCAACATTAGCTTTGGGATTTAGCATGACAAAGTCTTGGTTGGGGTACTCTGCGACATTCATAACACCCCTATTGCTAGGGGGTTTTGGGCTTGTCGCTGCTTCAATAGCGTGCTGTATAATCAGTGAGTGTTCCCAGGCTGCATCTCTTTGATAGACAGTAAGCAGCAGCTAATACGAGACAGCCATGGGACTAGCAGAGCTTGCATCCGCATTTCCTTCGAGCGGAGGGCAATACCATTTTGCCTATATGGTGGCATCGCCTCGCTCCCGTGCTTTGGTCGCTTTCTTGATCGGATGGATGAGTATCGCCGCATGGTGTCTTACAAGTGCATCTACTGCTATTGTTTGTGGTACTACAAAGATGATTTTCTCTGCCTGAATACCGCTGATTAAATCTCTAGCTCAAATGGCGAGCAGGCTTGCGACGATATACAATCCCGAATACACAGTCGAAGCCTGGCAGACATATCTCATCTATTTACTGATCATGACCCTTGCAACATCTATTGTCTGCTTATGCCCCAATGAAATTCCACAGGGAGAGATCATTTTATTTTGGTGCAGCTTTATTGGATTTCTTGCTAGCTTAGTCACAGTCCTTGCTACTCAAAAACACCGGCAGACTGCAACCGAGATCTTTATACACTATGACAACCCATCTGGATGGAATGACCCGACTGCGTTTATCATCGGACTTGGGACTTGCATGTACGCATATCTTGCCATCGATGGAGCCACCCATATTGCAGAAGAAGTGCCTTCGCCTGGTCGCAATGTTCCTAAAGCGATGGGAGTGACAATGCTGGTAGGCATGATCACTGTGATACCTTGGACTTTGGCCTTTCTCTTCACGACCACCGACAATAGTGCGGTAGCATCTTCCGCTATTCCCATCCATACTGTCTACCTCCAAGCAACCAATAACCAGACTGCGGCAACAGTCTTCACTACTTGGATCTTGTTTGTCTACTCTGGTGCTTTAGTGTCTTGTATGGTGACAACAGGTCGACTTATCTATGCATTCAGTCGAGACGGTGGTCTCCCATTCTGTTCATTTTTCAGTCGTATTCATCCTCGTCAGAAGGTGCCCGTCAATGCCACTTTGGCATGTTTTATCTTCATTATACTATATGGCTTGATCTATATTGGATCTACCACGGCATTTAACAGTTTTATATCTATGTCGATTTTATCATTGAACATCACTTATGTTGCTCCTCAGGCAATCGTTCTCTACCGAGGCCGAAGAGCTGTCCTCCCCGAGCGACACTTTCGCCTGGGGCATCACTTGGGGATGTTTTGCAATGGATTCTCTACTCTCTGGGTGGCCTTTATCTCCGTGATATTCTGCTTCCCAACATCCATTCCAACGACAACAGGGAGCATGAACTATGCGAGTGTGGTGGTTTTCGGGATTTTGCTGGCCATTGTAGTTCTCTGGTATAGCGGAAAAAGAAAATCGTTTGCTGGCCCAGTAAGTAAGCCTCTTCCTGTTTAGGATTGCGTGTTAATCATTTAGAAGCAAATACTGCTAGAAGAGGTGACTGCAGGGCCGACAGAAGTATTGACCGAGCATCGTTCAAAGAAATGAAACTCCAGACCCTACTCTGTACAGACTGATGACTGGACACTTGCGCGGAATGTGGGTCTACAGGAGACCAAGAGACCAAGCCTTTTGCAGTATCAGTACTTGAGTAATTGAAACTGTCCTCTTCTTCAGTCTCTCTTTGGAACGCCGAGAAACGCCGACTAGATTAGCTTGGGATGAGATTGTTAGCCGAACGGTCAAATAGTGGGGATGCAAAGGTCTGGAACATTGAGCTTATTGATCCGCGGATAGACTTTCCGAGGATGAATGTGTGATATTCATAGCTTGGCTATCTAGTCTGGGCTCTTTCGCACTGTATACCAAAATCGGAGATGGCTATGGCAAGCCACCTCGAGGCCCTGGTGAGGGCCTAAAGTCGGGTAAGCGGTGGCCTCTGACATTGGAGCGTGCACAGTGTAAATGTACATGTACTGGAATAAAAAAAACAGGACTATAAGCTTCACGCGAAAACGAGGAGTTGAGCGAATTAAAACAAGTACAGTTCCCAACGAAGTTCACATGAACCGCAGATCGGGGGTTTGCCCTCTTATAGATCGTACCTCGGCGTTGACATCATCCATGTGCTTATAAAGAGCTTTGCCCGTTCTGTAACTTCGCCTCATCAACATACCATGGCTGATAACAATAAAGGCTGTAAGATCACTCTCTATTGGTAAGTGACATTTTCTGCTTCGCAAAAATTATATTAACACCTCTAGGCTCGAGCAATCTCGAAGCCACCGCATTCTCTGGCTTTTGGAAGAGCTGCAACTCAAATATGAGCTCAAGACCTTCAAGCGTCGCGCCGACAAGCTCGCTCCGGCGGAGCTGAAGGAGATTCATCCTCTTGGTAAATCACCGTTGATTACTATCGAGGCTCCTGGCGCCACAAAGCCTCTGGTGCTGGCCGAGTCTGGCGCAATTATGGAATATCTTGTCGACCACTTTGGTGCCGCGCGACCGACGCTAGTTCCGCAACGGTACCTGGCCGACCGTGAAGGCCAAGTGGGTGGAGAGACCGAGGAATGGATGCGCTATCGCTATTTCATGCACTACGTGGAGGGCAGTTTGATGCCTTTCTTGGTGATGACTCTGGTGAACGATTGTAAGTGGTGCCTTCGGCTTATAACCGCTACGCCATGATCTAAATCAGATCGACTGACATTCGTAAACAGCCATTCGGAATGCTCCCCCGTTCTTTGTTCGCCCCATCACCAGCATTGTTGCTTCGCAGGTGGAGAACCAATTCCTCACTCGCAATGTCGAGGGCAACCTCGCATTCATCGAGGATCAGCTGCACACTGCTCCCGACGGCGGTCCCTTCATCTGCGGAAAGGAATTGACTGCCGCCGATATTCTCATGAGCTTCGCGGTGATTGCAGTCAGTGGTCGCATGTTGAAGGACAAGAAGAACCGCGACAAGTACCCTCTGTTCGCTGCGTACGCCAAAAGACTAGAAGAGGCCGACGGATACAAGAGTGCCGTCAAGAAGATTGAGGAGATTGACGGAAAGTTCTCTGCTTCGATGTAAGAGAATGGATTGTAAATTACTCTCACTTGTAATACCCCATTGATGTGATATGCACGAAATATGGTTGGACGGAGTCGGATATGCAACAGAGCCGCAACGGCTGATATAATGACATGATATTACATTGGACTTGGAAGAAATGAGATCTAAAATACAAATTCAAGCAATAATAACAATTGATTTTAATAATCTACTGCCTTTTGCTCTGTAACTCTGTGAATCAAACATGTGATTACATCAGCCCGCACGTCATGTGATCTCCAACTTCAACTCCGGCGATGCTCGACTTGCCAAATCTGTCTACGATCCAAAGCTCTCCGCAACCATGGCCGGTCCTAGCAAGTGTAAGTATTGTCTCAGCATGACCTCTTCCATTGCTAACTCATTGTCCAGCTCTGGTCCTCGACCCGGCCCTCCAGAAATACTATGGTACATCCCCAACCCCATCTCCCAAATCCATCCCGACGGATATCGCGCATTTCCCCCACCGAGAACATGCTTTTTGGGCTAGATTGGAGCTGAATACTACGACTTCTGCCCTGAACGAGATCGAAACACCGAGCATGACACCGTGACTGACTCTCCGCAGAACTCAACGCCAACCGCTACAAGTACTGGAAATGGACCCCGCGCCACGCCTGGCTCTCCTTCGTCTACATGGGTCTGATCCCCGGTGTTCTCGGCTACATTGCCTATAAGACTGAGGTATGTACCGGTCGTTTCGCTGGGACCGCAATTGTTGCTCCACGCCATGTGAAGGAACATACTGACGACATACAGGGCAAATACGAATTCCGTGGCAAGCGCAAGGGTGACACCATCCAAGAGTGGTAAACAGCTAGCGATCAATCGAAAACCTGAAATACTGTTTCTCTTCAAATCCGCATCCCGAACCGTGCCGCAACCCGAAGTGATATGGCGTGGGAACCCGGAATTGGGCATTTTGTATCGATTTTGTCGACTCGTTTCTGTGCCGGTGCCTGCCTGCGGGCCGTGTACTCTACTACAAGCATATACCGCATGAATTTCTTTATTTTTTTGACTTTCGTCATTGGTCAATCGAGGGCGCTTAGCATGACCGACCGGACTAATGGGATCCAGAGGGTCACTTGAGCCATGTCACGACTGGATCACGGTCGACTTCCAACTCAATGCCTACGTAGGAGCTACCTATCGCGACATCTGTCGCAGTTCTTGTCGGTACAAAATTGACAATATGTAAACCCAATGGTTCCATTCGTCCTATACTGCTCAATCGTACATTTGTCGTGGGTATTTCCGCCCTGGGTAGTCATCTTTTGACCTCTCCCTATTTTTAAATTCATCCAAGCTCCCTAATAAGGTGCCCATCCACGACGACCTCCGCCTCGGCCACCATCTGGCAATCGCTCTCCGCGGTTCCAGTCGCCGTGTGGCATGTTAGGAGGACCACGATCACCACGATCACCACGAGGACCACGAGGACCACCACGGCCACGTCCACCAAATCCATTGTCACGGAACGCGCGCATACCTCCGCCAGCAGGGGGCGGTCCCGATGCACCACGAATTGCCGGCGCGACAGATCCATCCTCGAGTGGTGGAAGAATGGCGCATTCCACATAGTCTCCGACAATAAACCGAGCATCCTGTAGAGGCTTGTCGGCTTCTGAGCCCTGGAAGCGAAGCGGGCCGCGGGGTCGTGTCTCTTGTTTGTCTTCCTCATCGCCCTCGGCGCGGAAAGGGCTATCCCTCGGTGCGACAATCACACTCCCTAGATCCCTGCTCAAGTATCGTCCACGCGCATCCGGGCCCATGATTGCTGCGCCGCGCGCGTCGGGGTAAATAAGGCGGAAACAAAGTCGGGTTCCGACAGGTGGATCGGGAAGAAGGGAGGGAAGAGCTGAAGTGAGGCACAGCGAAAGCTCGCGTAGTGTGCATGACTGCCATGTGTAGATTTCTAGATGGGGTGGAAGAGGTGCTGCAGCTGGAGGTGACATTCCGCGAATAGCATTGGGACCACTGCCTGGGCCTCCTCGGCGATGTGGAGAGGGAATGCTGAAGTCCGCGAGCGAGTGAAATGTGTTGACGCGGTAGAAGAGCTTGAGGTGAAAGGGTGTGGTGGTTTCGCGGTCGATCGAGGTTTTGAGGCCCTCGCGCGAAGGACCGGACATGATGAGAGATTGAAAGGTATAAGCTGGAAAGAGAGAAAGAGTCAAGCGAGGTAAATCTGTGAGGATCAAATTGAAGCTCAAGCGAGGGTTGGAGAGAAAGTTGGGGTATTGAGGGGAGATGAATGGAGGAAGCCCAAATGCGTCGGAGCTCGAGTTCTGACGTTCGACATTCTTTCCCTCCACTCCACCGTCTCGCAACTACACTTGACAATCACCGTTTATTTTATCACATTTTGCTCTATACTTGAGCTATAGTCACCTCCTTCTACGAAACTCGAAACTCGCTGTGCGAGCAGCCCCGCCACCATGGATTTCGCCGCGCTCATGTCGAAGGAGATCTCCAAGGCCAAGAGCCCTGAGACAAAGTCATCCGGCAACGAGACCGAGAAAAGCTCGACACAGCCAACCAAGAAGTACATGCGCCGAGGAGATGTCGAAGCTGCGCGCGTTGAGGCCTACAAGCAGGAGCAGGAGCGGGCAGCACGCGAGCGCGAAGAGCGCATAGCGAACAAGCGCAAGCTTGACGAGGAAGAAGCGGACCGAAACCGTGAACGAGAGGATAAAAAGCGACGCTTGGCAGAGGAGTCGAAGGCGAGGAGAGAGGAGGAAGAGCTGGCCAAAGAGCGTGAGCGGCGGAAGAGGCTTGGTCTACCTGACTTGCCTGAGGATAAGCCAGAGGAGGTTCCCGAGGAGGAAGATATCGAGGAGGACGAGCTCATTGGAAGGTTGCGGGCAATGGATGCACCTGCGCGATTGTTTGGGGAGGACTACAAAGCTCGACTTCGACGATACCGCCGCCTGGTCCAACGGGCAGCCATGCCCAAGCAAAAGATTACGGATGGACCTATTCCTACGACATTGGAGCCCGTGTCTGGTGGACAGATGATCATTCCAGCAACGATTCCTAAGGATCAAGAAATCCGTCTCTTCCTTTTCCGGCAGTTGGGCTCATACTTCAACATGGTCTTGTCAGAATGGGAGTTGGCTTTGGCAAAGCGTGATGTGACCGTGCGGCAGAGTTTCCAGGGAAAGCAGGCCTACAATGCTATGACTCAATCTCGTGAGAACATGACGCCGTTGTTCCGCCTCTTTGAAAAGGCAGACCTGGAAGACGGATTGCTGGAACCGATTGTTGAAATCGTGCACAAAGCGCAGCAGCGACGATACGTCGACGCAAATGATGCCTACCTGCGAGTCAGTATTGGAAAAGCGTAAGCCCCTCCCCCTCATCTTCTACAATCTTGAAATCTATGCTAATTCAACTACAGAGCGTGGCCCATTGGTGTGACCATGGTTGGTATTCACGAGCGATCTGCTCGAGAGAAGCTGCACCAGAGCGATCAACAAGCACACATTCTAAGTGATGAAATTACACGCAAGTACTTGCAAAGTATCAAACGTTGCTTGAGCTTTGCGCAAGTACGCTGGCCTCCTGAGGACCAGTTGCAGATCATGGGCTAGTGTCAAAATGGCGTCTTATGTGAATATACCCATAGCGTTCAAATACCACGTGTGTACACTTTAACTATAGCAGGAAATTCTATCTAAAGCCATAGGTTCATAAAACATAATCTGCTCCAAGCCTAAACCGTTTGCCAACAACCGAACTGCTACCTACAATCTCTCTTTTCGGCATAACCTCCTCAGCCGTCGCAGCAGCAGTCTAATTTCACAGCAGCAGCACCCTTCTATCACAACAAACTAACCTTCTTCAGTGGCAATCGCAAACTGCTCTCACCACAAAAGAAGAACCTTTCGACCCTAACAGCATCACCCTCTGCCACCACAGCAACCTTTCTTCCATCTTAGCAGCAAGCTGCCTTCATCACAACAACATCGTTCTGAAAATCGTGATACTCCGTGCTGCAGCGGCACTGTTACGAAGAAAAATGATGCCCCCTCCACCAAGAAGCCTCCTCGCATCCATAAATCTACTACAAAGAGAGCAACCAAGACTGTTACCGCTTCTCCAAGCCAACGGCTGCTACGACAAACAGTATCCTGTCTTTGGAGAAGGAGGTGAAGGAGCCCAGCACTGAATAGAAAGATCTTTGTGTCAAGATAATCGAAGGGGACGAGGACGATAATGCTGTTGCTACAAGGGCTCTGACGGATAGTGAAACCAAGCCACGATGCTTGGCATGATGACACAGGAACTAATCCACTGGGATGTTGTTGAAGCTATATGTGAAGTCAACGCTAGCGGTGACAAGATGGAAGGCAGAGGCTTCCTCAGATGAAAGCTGTATGGCGGGTTTAGCAGGCGCTACCCAGGACGGTCACAACGTTTCTCTAAAGATGTTCGCAGCTGATGTCACAGAGAACAGCAACGCGATGGAGCTAATACTCTCAAAGACCCGTCTCCGCAACCTGGTAGCTGCATCAGATTGCTTGGCACAGGATGGTTCACTTACGCACGGAGTGGTTATGCTTCCAGGCTCCCCCCCCCCAAGGTGAATTCAAAAAGCAAAAGCCGAGGAACGTCTCATGAAACGGTACAAATCGACCTGAGATAGGCTCCTCAGAATTCGTATTCGCCTACCTTTTCGAGACTTCCATGTCATCCTGTTCTTCTCTCTTCGCTTTTACCGCCGATTTCTTCCCGCTTCCTACCTAGAACTAGTGAAATGAAATTGACGGTTCACCGCTAAAGAAAGAAAAAAGACCTACTTCTAGACCCTGCTATCAAACAAGTGCTATGGAACCTCGTCCCAAAGCGCCTACGCGATTGCTGTGCATGACTTGCAAAGGCAAAGCGAAGCTCGTCGTAACCAGATTAATGTCTCATCTTTGAACATGGAAACATGTAATTTCATAGGCTAGAATCCGTTGCAAGTAATTTAGAGATTGTGACAACGCTATAACCCCTTCGACTTAGTTCCGGCAAAACTTCCCGTAGCATTGGCACCGTCCATTCTCTGCGGTCATGGCAGATGATAATGCTTCCCGGTTTGACCATGCTGAGAATGTGACTTGCATTCAATCGCCAGTATGGAATCTGTGGATCATGTGGATACACATCCCCAAGGACCAAGCGATAACCCAATTCCTTCACAACCATTCTCATTCGAGAACTGAAGAACCCCGATCCAGGACGAAAGAGCCAATTTTCTGGTTGTGTCTGGATCCCAGAGGCAGCATACGCTTCTTCGATTTGGGCATGCACAGTACGGATTTGATCTCTCAACCCGTCGTCACTCAGCGCACGCGATGGCTCGTCATACATCGCGTGGTTGGCGAGTTCATTGCCAGCTCGTACGAGATCGACCAGGATGTTTTCATATCCCGGGAGCTGGGATCCAATCACGAAAAAAGTGGCTGCTGCATTGTGCAACTGCAATAGACGAAGGATTTCAGTGGAGTGTGCGGATGGCGCGTCGTCAATAGTGAGCGCGACCACCTTTTTCTCTGTTGGGATGTGGAAGAGCACGTCGGGCCACCGACGTTGGAAGTAGCGGATAATAATCTTTGGTGGTTTGTATATGCAATATAGGGGTATCAGAAGGCAAAACGTGGTGATGATGGCGAACATGTTGGGATCGGATGAAATGTGTGTGTTGTTCAGGTCCGGGCGCTACGTACGGAAGATGCGCATTTTCTACTCTTCTGCTCCATGTGCAAGTATTGCTAACTTGCTGTGTGTACATTGCACAGCTTGAAAATCAGAACTTTGATATTCCCAGATAATGCGGAGAGCAATTGCCAAATATCCCTCGCGGCTTCCGAGGCCGCTCACTCATACGGCGCCATGAGTTTGTTGCCCATTACCCTAGCTGGAGCGTCTCCCAATACTGTCGTATGAGCCCAAGGCTTCAGGCTGGTTTCCTCGATAATAGTACTAGCGAAGCAGTGGCTCCATTTCAGACGAGGGAAATGCTTGCAAACATCCTCGATGGTGGACGGATGAACCAGGTCTTCCCAGGCCCCAATATTATCTGCAGAGAGACAAGTTAGTATTGCTCGTGTCTCGGGGTGATTTGTGATGATCGAATATACCAAACATTGTTGCTAACTGAAGCAGTTGGCCGAGAGCTGTCAGCTTGCCCTTTTCGCCAAAGTCCTGATGACGAATGACGGCCTCTGCCACACTCTCTGCTTGATCTCTCGGGGCGACAACTACTGGAATAGCTGTAGCGGAAGCTCCCAAGTTTTGCAGAACGTCCAAGGTAACGAAGCCTCCATAGAACTCGAAGCTCATCTTAGTAGCCGTGATGTTTTCTTTTGTAGTTCCGATATCGTGAAGCAAGCAAGCCAGGAAGTATGTTTCATCCGAGAAATTCCACTCTGGGAATCGATATTGCTTGATGGCGATTCCATAATGATATACCCGAAGGCAGTGGTTGTAGGTTGGCTCCGGGAGATGCGCTTTTGCGTATGCATCGATGCGCTGGGAGAGTGGCGTGGGTGGGATTGTGCTTTGCGATACTGGGACAAATGGTGCTGCTACCTTCGGAGGGTCAGTCGCGAGAAGAGCACTGGCCGATGAAGGCACGGCTGTAAAGCCATAGGTTGAGATTGATTCGGTAGGACACATCTCGATGAGTGGGAAAGATGAGTGATATTACAATAAAGTCTCCGAGTCTTGATATTTATACTTGCATTTCTTACAGATCCACTTCAAGTTTAGGCTACATCTGTAGCGATTCTTTGCCGCAGCCGTATATTTTTCTGCTTTGCTTATTACTATTTTCTGTGTCAGTTCAGGCTGAATCATTAGGGATTTGTCAAGGGATTTGCAGAATTGGTAAGCGTGCACATCCTAGAACTATAAGAATACATCATGACTCACTGTCAATGGCCGAGAAAGTGTTGCCCGACCGGATTGGCAAATCAAAGACAGCTTTCGGGCTTTGAAAATATTGTTAGCTATTACAATAGCATTTGGTATTTCCGCGGAGATAGTTTCTACTGTATAAGATTGAATAAACTCGAATCATTGTCTATGCATATCTCACATGATCACAGAACTGACATGAAATGTCTAGATACAAACTCTCGCCTGGCAGCTCGTCGAATTGCTGCGGTCAATTGTTCAGGTTGACTAAAGAAGGGACTGTGCGATGCATCTAGAGTCTCTGTCTCAATTCCATATCCCTTTGCCGTCACCTCCACCATGTTCTTCGATGCTATCAAAGGAATAGCTGCATCTTGAAGGCAATATAAGTAGGTGCTTCGAACATGTTTCCAGGCGGCATAAGTGCAAGGCGAGGAAAAGGTCTGATAGCTGTGCGGCCTCAAATCTGCGACAGCCTTCTTGACTTGTACAACATTGCAGTCGTTATAGAAAATCGTCTCCGGTGTCAATGGGAGGGCCTGAGATTTGTCGTCTACGACTTTCCACCAAGAGAGATCCTGTCCACCGATTTCTCTCATGAGACTGTCCCTCCAACGAAATGAATGAAGCGCAAAAGAATAGGTAGATAACACCGCCACTTAGGCCATTCTGCCTCTGTGTTTTGATGTCGAGCCCTTGGATTGCTTCACTTGCGGGCATTCTGCCGTAAGAATGGACAACCACGACAAAATGCTGCCAGGCATCCACTGCAGACTTAATGTGAGACCGAATTTGAGTCACATCAGCTGAAAAGTCCGTATAATACCGTGACGGATTGACTGAGGGTAGGTAGACTGAATCGGTCATGTAACCCGCTGCCTAGAGGCGATGTGCTACCGCATCAAAACAAACTGGGGTGTGCCATGCTCCCGGGGCGAAGAGGATCATAGTAGATTCAGCCATTGGTAGGGATTTGAAGCGAATAAATTAGCTTCGGAAATACCTGGGCGTGGCAAAGGTATTCATAGTGCGATTTGAGCGTCAAAATCGTCGGGCCTGAGAGGTGGATGGATTGCACGATGCAACACGATGCAGATGTCTCAACTTAATGCAGTAAAACGGCCTCACATGTATCTTTAGGCTTCTCGACCTATGATGGACGAACTTCTCCTCGGAAGAAATGAAGTCTTATAACTTCGCCTCGAGATGCATTCCATAATCGCCTTCTTCAGATCATGCTGTATTGATCTTTCAGTCTGAGTTAGAATCCCAGCTGACGTGTGATTCTGCCCGTATCCAAATTACCCCAATACGACGATGCATTATGGCAAGCCGAAGTCAATAGACCTTGCCTTTTTCACTTCCCGGGCAGATCATCAAGACCGACACCTTGTTCCTGGTTTCTTTTGCCTGAAGTGCGTAGAAAGCATGTTGATCGGTCCTGACCTTGCGGTAGGGCGCCTGATGCCTATCGGTGTCCAAGAACAAGACTGAAGGACGAGACCGAAAACACATAAAAATTATGTCTAGCCATTAGCTATTCAGTAGCTCTATTTGCAGTCAAATATATACATATAAGAATAAAATAATGTTGCCAAATGACTTATCGTAGAATGTCATTCCACATGCGTGTGAGTGTTTTCCACCAACCAGGTACAGCAGGCTGATCTGTGACCGTAGACATCTTACTGAATGTGTCCTCGCGGGTCAATTCTGAAGCATTTCCAGCGGGATACACAAGGTGGCCATCCATGCCGTTCATAACGGACAGCGAGGAGCCGTGTGGTTTAGCAGCCGAGACGACACTGCTACAGACGCTGCGTGTGTCTCGCTCGCCCTCAATAAGATGCCCAGCAGCGTAGACACAGCCGCCGTAGGAGAAGCGCACCAGAGAATCTCCTGTTAGACTCCCGATGATATAAACACCATGGGTAACTTCTAGGTCCTCAATGGCTTTTGCGCGGAGTGTTTGACCAGTGACTACTGGATCTTGATCGTTGTGCCCCAGCACTTCACAGCGGAGCGTGGGATCAAGATAATCCAGCGTGCCTCGACGACCGGCGGCGTACACAAGGCCGCGTACAGACCGAGAAAAGACTGATCCGTCCCGGTCGCGGAATTTGACCGTAGCTAGGCCATCTTGAATGTCCACATCCGTGATTTCAACGTTGGGGACACCTTCGTATAACTCTTCCCAGTTCCGACTTTCAAGGAACGGGGTCGAGGTAGCGCGCCGGTATTTGGGCCGCTGGTCTTTGCCTGGCTTTTCGGCTGCAAGTGCAGCTCTTTTCATCAGACGGTAGACACCAGCGTATTCAGGGTACGCTTGCTGGTGACAGCCTCGAAGAGGAGATGGGCGATCGTTTGGGGCCCATTTGAATATGTGCAGGATATGTTGATCTGGGGAAGCGGATATGATCGAGTCTGCAGCAGAGAAACCAGATCCGACGACAAGAAGCGGGAGGGAGGGTATAGAAGTGGTTTGTAAAATAGGTTGTAGCAGCGGCTCCGGTGGAAGGACTTCGGAGAATATACCACTTGCCAGGACAAGTCGTTTGCACTTAATATTATGAGACCGAATGTAAAATCCATCTGTCGTGCGGGATATATCTTTCAACTCCTCCCCACATCGGAAAGAATCATCAATCAGGGCAGCTTGCGGATAGGCTGCAAAGTACTCCGCAATCTCGCGTCTTGTGGGCCTCGTATATGCAGGGAGCTCCTGGCCCGTTGTCTTCTTATGGTGGTCGGCAAAGGAGTAGCCGGGCAAAGACAGCATTGCCGCATAGCTCAAGGTTTGGATATCCCAACTAGCACCCAATGGGTCTTCTGTCCATTGACCACCCGGGCTCGATGAGTTCCCAAAAACCAGGTGCGGCACGGCCTTTTCAGGTTGAGAGCGCCACTCTACATTGGAGATACAGCCTGGTTCGTCCACATCTACGCTTGGTCGTACAAGCGTGTCAAATAAGACGTTGATTGGAAGCGCCTGTGTTGAATATGATAGGCGCGAGGCGTCAAAATGCGCAGTAAGGGAATTGACGTCGGCATTCAAAAGATCCGGCGCCTCTTTTAGTTTAGCGTCCAAGAGATGATCGGGATGTGGAGGTTCGGACGAATAGAAAGGAATATGGCCATGCAGTATGTAGGAAAGGATCATGGCAGACGGCCCATTGCCTGTAAGCTGTCAATACGAGCTCGGAAAGCAGTCCTCCGATACCGCGGGGTAGCGGGGAGAGACTCAAAGCAAAAAGAAGAGGTTCGACATACCGACAATGACAGTGTCAGTCTCCATTGGCGCCTTTGCATCAGACAATCGATCCGGCGCGGGGCATACTGGGTCAGACATGCGACAGGGAAGTGATTCCGAGGCCTCAAAGCACAGGGTTGTCACGCCGGGGAGTGTAGGAACGGCAAGGCCATGAAGAACCTGCCATTAGAGATAGATAAGTGAAGAAGATGGGAAGTAAGAAGTCCTCGATCTTCAATCTCCCCGGCTACCGATCAATAATCAAGCTGACAAAACACGAGTGGGGGAGATGTCTCCTCATTCTCCATTCACCGGAAATAGACGCCTTTTGCGATGGAACTCAAGGGGGAGGTCTCCGGGCAATGAAAGCAGTACAATAAACAGGTCGACAGGTCAGTGGCTTCGTTGAACTTTTCTGAGCTCTGAACGACCTCCAATGCTTGACTTGTCAGAGCTGATGCGTCGTTAATATCGCCCCCAGTTCTCCCGGCTTCAACCCTAAGCCCTAGTTTCCTAATGCGGATGGGGCTGGAACGCGGGTGAGCCTCGCAGCTTCAAGCTGCGACTGTCATGATCTGCGGTGTTCTTCGATTTCTCATGCATTGCCGGTCTTGAAGTCTGGGGATCGCGACCATGTACCATCTGGCCAAGTCGCTGTACTTATACGCCACCAGCAAAGAGGGTAAAACCTGCAACTGCCTTCGCAAGACCCGCGACTGACCTCTCAACTTCAACAGAATATTCCGTTCTCCTACTTGGCCTAGACAACGCTGGCAAAACCACTCTCCTGTCGCAGATCAAAGCGCTTTATCAACCCCGTGCTGATGGCGCCCCCGCGCCTAACCCCGGAAAGACCGTCCCCACTGTCGGCCAAAATGTCTCAACGATACCCTTACACGATATGAACTTGAAGATCTGGGATGTCGGTGGCCAGATCTCGATGCGTGGTCTATGGCAGAGCTATTACAGTAGCTGCCACGCGATTATCTTCGTGGTCGACAGTGCCGATGTTGGACAGGACCCCGATATTACTCGACTGTTATCATCATCGCGGCGCGCAAGCTCGGTGGCCGGACCAGCGCGCAATAATACACGAGGAAGTACAAGTGCGGAAGCATTTTCAGAACAGAATGTCGGAATCAACGCGGCCAGCAGTGAGTTCGGACGTCTGGATGAATGCCGGCAGGTCCTCGAATCAGTCCTACAAAACGCAGACGTCGCGGGCGTTCCCATTCTAGTGCTGGCAAACAAACAAGATCGCGAAGACTGTGTGGAAGTGGTTCGCATCAAAGAAGGGTTGGTCCGCAAGGTGTTTGAGGGAGAGACAGGAGGCGGCGTCCGTGACAGTCGCGTGCTGCCGGTCAGCGCGTTACTTGGATCAGGAGTCCAGGCTGCTGTTGAGTGGGTGCAAAGCCGCGTCAAATGGAACAAGGAGGGTCGACCTCCGGTGATGCGTTGATTCTTGACTTGGGGAGTTAGCCTCCTATTCCCGCGCATTTATGTCTAGCGCAGCATATTAAGATGCATTATGGCGTTTCGTAATGATTACATTTTCTGTTAATATACCAACTTCGAGGATTTTTACACATTTATGGACTTGATATTAGATCACTGGAAATAAGCCAATCACTCGTCTAAACGTGCAACGAAACATCCATGTGCTTCCATTGAGAATAACCACCTTAGTAGTATCGGGAATTCTCCCATGATATGGTCGGTTTTATGTATATTCAGCTCTGCTATGGCCTCTTTTTATGCCTCTTTCTTGGTTGTAAGGCTGCGGCCACGGAATTCCTGAATGCAAATGAAACATTCTTGAGATAGATGTTCCGACATATTCTGACAGTGTTTACAATAAGTTATGCAATATCAGAAAGTGAAAGTGTTTTTTTAGTCTCTCTGAATATTACGGCACAAAAGAACAATATAAACACATTGTAGCATCGAGCTCAAAAATTCAAATTGCATACTGATGTTTATTGAAATTGTAAAGTAAATTTTATTGTGTCATGATATAAATGGGAAAGCCAGCTTCCACATCATTCAAAACATATCTCAGTGCTTGCTCTGCTGTCCCTTATCACGCTTAGTGCTGGACTCATATTTCCACTCCTGGCTCAAAGTCTCGGCAGACTCAGGCTGCATCTCTTCAGCGGTGGCACGCGAAGACTTGTTGCCCCGAGTACCACTCACACCACCCTCTTCCCGCTCAAGGCCACGCTGGTCGGGGAACTGGCGCTCAATTCCGCGATCCTGAGTAGTGGCGCCCATACCTTCCAAACCGGCAGATTGTTTCTTCCGACCGTGCTGGCCATCATGCTTGAGCTCGACGTTGGTCTGGCCTTGTAGAGGCTTGCCGAAACCTTGGTCGACATCTGCGGAGGTGGATCCCATGAGGGTGTCTGCGGCGGAGGTGAAAGTAGGCTCCTTGATTTCTCCACCGTTTACATTGGGGTTGTTTGCCTGTCCGCCGACTTCAGAGATCGGGTTCGATGTGTAGGAGCTGCTTGCGGGCGCGGTACCGCGAGGGTGAGCTTCCATGTGGAACTCGGGACGCTGGTCGGCTTCATTGACCTTGCGACCGGGTTGGTGCTGTATGTGATGTCAGGTGTATATCCTTTATAACACTTATTCGGGTAAACATACACCCTTAGTGGTGATAGGGCCTTCGGGCGCGACAGTGGGCTTGAAGCTGCCCTGCTTGGGGTTGGCGACGGAATCGACGTTCTGGAGAGTACTCATTGTGGCAGTGAGATGAAGGTGAAATATGAATGCTTTTGTGAGGAACGGTGCTTTTGAGGATAGAGATGATTGAATAAGTAGATGAGGAGAAGTTTTACAGCCACCCTTTTTATATGTGTTCTCGTGGTATACTTCATCCTGCAAACCAGGAGTGACGTCAACGCATTATCTCATAACCATACTACGTAGCTCTGTCTAGTGGCAATATTCTGTATGATCAACATACAAGCTAATTTGGAACGTATACATAAAGAGACCTGTTTTACAGATGAAGTCAGTGAAGTCAATGTTAGGGTTATCAACGGGCCGTGACATCAAATAAGTGGGTCTCCGCCAAGTCTCTGGCAACCGTGGCTTTGGATTGGCTGGATTTCATCCCGGTGATGTCTTGATCCTGCGTAGTAGTGTGAGATCCCTGTTACTTCGGATTACTTCATCTGGAGAACCCCATGGCCGGAAATGTGGCCATGTTTTATGCCTAGCCAGCAAGATCATGTCTAGCCAACACGACCTTTCGCGCCCCTCACCTTTATATAATCCAGCTGAGTAGCAAGGGATGCACAAAACCAGTAAAGAAAAAAGATAAGAAAAGAGATGAAAAAGAGAGGCCAAGTAACAAAATCAACATCTATACTATATCAATTCTAGGTATTATTTATAGACAATTTGATCTTATACCTCAGGTAGTGCACATAATTATACATGGCTTCCCAAACTTCATGACATCTTTTTGGGACAAACGTATTTGTTATCGTCCTTTATATTTCTACTTCCTATTTCTGAACATTTGGAGAATTAGGCCGTATGGCCCAAGATAGGTCTATTGCCGCCACGAGACGAGGGGACTTGAAGGGCATATCAGAGGCATATTCGAAGCTGAGAGTGGTACTCATTTATAATTTGCGAGCTCTGCAAACTTCACGTTTTATGATTTGCCCTGACAGGAGTAGGAATATTCATTCCACTGGTGAGCAGGTGGGATATATTCATGATTCAAATTTTGGTATAATGATAGAGTGCTTAAATCGCCGATCACTAACAGGTTATACCTCAAGCATGGATCGTTGGATTTATCTAGCTGCGCTTGGCTTTCATTCCATAATCCGTTATTTTGTAAGCCTACGAAAAAGTTCATTTGCTATCTAATTGCTACGTTTTCAAGCACCCCGCAAACGACAATCTTCGAAAATGTGATCTTTCCGTATGATATCCTTGGTCACGGTTCTTTCACTGCTGAGACTCCTCTTACTCGGTGGTGCTGTCCGTCTGCGGTTCCTGTATAACGGGCGAGCGACTAATTCGGTGGTCGACGCTGCTGGTATTTGTCAGGCGCTCTGCAGCTGCTACCAGCCGCTGTAGACGCAGTTAGATCTCGCGGTCATGGTCCACTCGCTGCCCATTTCATCCTGTATGGCGTCTTAGTCCAGTATTGCTGTAGCAATGAGTTGTCAGCCCACCTGTAGCAGCATAAGAGTGATCGCTGACTGCTCCCTCTTCCGCAGGTGGGATAGCGCTGGGAGTTGACTGGGGGTTGGACGCCTCATCAATGCTGCAAGGGCTTTCGTCGTTAGCATGGATATTCATGTCATCAGCATCATGAAGCAAAGTCACTCACCCAGTCTCGTTTTGCTGCTTGCTGGAGGCACTGCGGGCTTCTCCAACTGTTGGGGGGGGGGAATCCATGGTCTGCAGCCGTTAGCCAGAGACGGAGGTTAGTGTTGATGGTACCCTGCAGGAGTGGGTACGAGTTTATATTGTAGCAGGAGATGGTAGTGGAGAAAGTGAGAGTTGCAGAAGTGAGAATCTGAAAGGGCGATTGACGAATGTGGTTGCTGAATGTGGTCGTGAAGTGACAATCGATTTCAAGTAGCAAAGTACAGAAAAAGTAAAGTGGAAAGCGTTACGCGTGGTTCAGCGAGCCTACGAAGCACCTGATATTCAATATTATAGTATAATGACAGACCGCTTGAAATGCAGACCACTAACAAATCCTAGAGTACAACCCAGATCTCAATTACGACTCGCTGCACTTGACTAGCCACGCTTAACTTCCTTCTCGAGCTTGTCCAAGGCCTTCGCGTACTTGGGTTTAAGCGAGCTGAGTGAATCCGACTTGATCTGGACCCGATCGATATTCAAGGCACGTGTAATCCGGCCATCCACACTAGCAATCTCGTTGGCAAACCAGCGACCTTCGCGATGAGCCACCAGAGACCATGCCGAACCTGCCCGACCAGCACGTGCGGTACGACCCACACGATGGACATACGTAGTAACACTTGTTGGGATATCGTAGTTGACAACATGAGTGAGGGAGTGGAGATCAAGACCACGAGAAGCACGGTCGGTGGCTACAATGACCGAGATACGGCCTTGACGGAAAGCCGTCAGTGTCTTGCGAGATGCAGAAGACTTGTTAGATTTGATGATGGTTCCTACACAGTTGGCCAGTGGTGGGTGCAAGAGTGAGATGAGGCGCGAGAGACGTGAAGCAGACTCTGATGATTTGGTGAAGATCAGAACAGTCTTGCGCGTTGGCTGGGGTACAAGCTCCATGGAATCTGATTCCGAATCAGAGGCCGAAGACTCGTCTGAAGAATCGGAATCTGACGACGAATCTGACGAAGAATCAGAGTCAGAATCAGAGTCGGAGTCGGAATCAGATTCCGAATCAGATTCAGAAGAGGTATCATCGTCGGAAGATTCATCGGAGCTAGTATCATCATCGCTCGTGTCGTCGGAGCTGGTGCTATCAGAGTCGGAGGAATCGATGCTCTGGGCATTATCTCCGCCAATCTCGATGTGAGACAGAAGGAGGCGCAGCAGGTAAAGTGGCTTGAGGGATCCATCGCCGACTTGAACGATATGCTCGGACAAGGTTGGTGGCAAGGTGAAGTGTGCATCGGGATGAGTGGCAGATGGGTCTTCCTCGTTTGAAGCATCTTCGGATCCGATGATGACCATCTTCGGGTTGGCCAGGCGCAACGAGTTGAGCTTCGAGATATCGCGAGTCATTGTTGCACTCAGAATCACCTTTCTAGGTGGCTTGGCTTCAATAGGTAGTCCAAGCTCTGATAGAAGTTTGCCGCCAGGGCCAAAGGTCTCTGGGGCCTGTCGACTGTCCAACGAGTGCATAATGACATCAACCCACTCTTGGAAACTTTCATTTAGAAGACGATCAGCCTCATCAATGACCAGCCATTCGAGATGCTGTAATGTAAACCCTTTCGTGTAACGAATGTGGTCAACCAGGCGACCAGGGGTACAGATAAGAATGTCAACGTTGGGCTCTGATCGTTGGATATAACCGGGAAGAGAACCATTGGAGTCAACTGCTTCACTGATACAGTTTTCAAGACTCAGGTTCATCCAGTCATTTCCAGCCAGTCCATCTCGTTGTTGCTGATGAATGGCTGGGTTGTAAACTTGATCCACTCGCATCAACTGCTTCTGTTCATCTTTGATGGCCACATTTCCCACCGCGCTTCCGATATGAAGTCGTGATCCAGTGGCGCAAAGTTCACAGGCTTCGCGGGCCTGTTTCACCAGTTCTCGGGTGGGAACCACAATCAAACCCCGGAGTCTCGAGGCAGGTCTTGGAGTTAGAGCGGTGACCAGTGGAAGAACGTAGGAGAGTGTTTTTCCAGATCCAGTTGCAGCAGAAATACAGAGATCGCCAGGGTGGTTCTGCTCGCCTTGAAGAAGCAGAGGAATAACAGTGGATTGTACCGCGAACGCTTCTTTGTAGTTGTGTTGTTGGAGGATTTTGAGAAGGTCTGGTTTGATTCCCAATTCAGAAAAGTTAGATCTGTCATCGGCTGATTTCCGTAGAGGGTTTGCCAGCCAGGGAGGGAGGGAGGAATAAGTTGGTAGTTGCTCGAGCTCTGGGGGATTCTCAGGCTGCGGCAACGGCTCAAGACCCTGTGCAAAGACAGGTTCCACAGCAGGTGTCTCGTCTTCGATAATTTCAGGCTTTGCCTTCTTGCTTTTGGAGCTGGCGACAGTTTTGGTGCGCTCGAATTTCGACAGAATCCCCGAATGCTTGTTCTTGGATGTTTTGGGTTCAGCTTCCACCTCATCGTCGCTATCTGCAGTCACAGCTGCAGCGCCATCATCCAGATTGTCGTTCTTGCTAAAGCTCTTTCGCTTGCCACTCTTTGACTTCTTCTCCGTTTCACCGACGTCGCGACGCGAGTCTGTAGTACTCTCTTTGCTGCGGTTTGGCGGGACAGCACTTTCTTTCTTGGAAGTTTGCGGAGAATTTTCGCCTTGAAGTGCATCCTTGACTCTTTTCCGCTTCTTCGTGCTGCCATCATCGTGCTCGGTTGGCTGTTCGGCTGACAAGCTTGCGCGCTTCTTGTGCTTTTTGGTCGGCGTGGGAGTGGTGGCAACCTGGGAGACATTTTGGTCTCTCTTACGTTTGTGAGATTTGTCTGATATCGGAGTCACATCGCCTTTCGACTCCCTCGTCTTGTGGCCGACCATGATTCCGGAAATTTGCGACTGTTGGTTGCAGTTGCTGAATGCGTGGGGAACGAACAAATTCCTTTGCTCTGAATCTTTTATGCCGGCAGAAAATAAAGTAATACCACCGCCCCATGGACCGCCCTTCTTATCGACAATCAACAGCTTCTCCTTTGGCGACAACATGCAGTGAATGCGACTTTGAGCTGCAGTGAGATCTGTTAGCCATGGAAAGGAAGCTGCTACAAAGGGACATACTGACATCTCGGAGTTCTCAACCCGAGAACCACCACCACGATGCCGTATAATATTGCGTCAGTACTGCCCCATTCAGTCGCAATGCCTTGCTAACATTGCTTCTTATGCTTATAGTATGGTCAGTGACTTCTTCTTCCCGCAGTCAGGTATGTGCTGCTCGCGCTCCGATGCTTTTATCGCAACGTCTAACTTGGATAGGTGGGATTGAGAGTCACATCTACCAACTGTCGTCCGTAAGCGCTTGGTCTCGTCGCCATCTCTATCTAGTCTCATTCTAATCGCTTTTAAGAAACTTATCGACCGAGGACACAAAGTCATTGTCATCACACATGCATACAAAGGACGCACCGGAGTCCGCTATCTCACCAATGGGCTGAAGATCTACCACGTTCCTTTCTTCGTCATCTACCGCGAAACCACATTCCCTACCGTTTTCTCGTTCTTCCCCATATTCCGAAACATTGTCATTCGAGAGGAGATTGACATCGTACATGGACACGCCAGTTTGAGCAGCTTCTGTGGAGAAGCTATCCTTCATGCACGCACTATGGGTCTGCGGACCGTCTTTACGGATCATTCCTTATTTGGGTTTGCCGACGCAGCATCTATTCTCACCAATAAGCTACTCAAGTTCACATTGAGTGATGTCGATCATGCAATCTGTGTTAGCCATACTTGGTAAGTCATCCCCTGGATTTGCTGTGATATTCTACTAACAAATCGCAGCAAGGAGAACACAGTCCTTCGAGCTTCACTGGACCCGTTGATGGTATCAGTTATTCCAAATGCCGTTGTGGCAGAGAACTTTTGTCCTTTATCACACACCACGCGTCTGCCAGATCAGACCCTAAGCTCATCCCCGGACCCTCCCTTATCACCGCGGCCAATTGGCCCAGATGACCCAATTACAATTGTAGTCATCTCTCGCCTCTTTTACAACAAAGGCACAGATCTACTTATTGCCTCTATCCCACGCATTCTTGCCTCCAATCCCAACACGCGTTTCATTATTGCAGGATCGGGGCCTAAAGCAATCGACTTGGAGCAGATGCTGGAACGCAACGTGCTGCAAGACAAAGTCGAGCTGCTAGGCTCAGTACGACATGAGGAGGTCCGAGACGTGATGGTACGAGGAGACATCTACCTCCATCCGAGTTTGACGGAGGCATTCGGAACAGTCATTGTCGAAGCTGCGAGTTGCGGTCTTTACGTGGTGTGTACCCGGGTCGGTGGTATCCCCGAAGTCTTGCCCCAACACATGACGACGTTTGCCAAGCCAGAGGAAGACGACATTGTTCTTGCAACTAGCAAAGCCATTTCAGCTTTACGCTCAAATAGAGTGCGGACCGACCGATTTCACGACCAGGTGAAAATGATGTACTCCTGGCGGGACGTGGCCGAGCGTACCGAGCGGGTTTATGAAGGAATCATTGGTGACATCAGGCCAGAGGAGTTCTATGGATACTATCCTGGCCAAGGCTGGGAAGCAAGCGGCGATCGCGTTCGCAGTTTTGCACTCATTGATCGTTTGAAGCGATATTATGGTTGTGGCGTCTGGGCTGGAAAGCTTTTCTGCCTTTGTGTTGTGATTGACTTCCTGATCTATGTTTTTCTGGAAATGTGGTTTCCCCGTGCCAATATTGATATTGCCCGGAGTTGGCCTAAGAAACCACCTGCGCCCAAATCCCGTGAATCCAACACATCTCGCGGTTATCGATGAGTCCACATTATTGGCAATGAGAATACTGTGTCGCCCATTTCTATCTGTCCTCTACCTCTCATTACAATCTCTTCTGTCCCGCTTGCTCCAAACACCCGTTACGCCAATATTTTCCTTCAACCTTCTCTCTGGGCCGAGGAACTCTTTGTACATAGCGGTCCTAGTCCTCCCTTACACACTACATAATATATACGACATGCAATGTCCACTCTGCGCCTAATGCCACATCGCATACCGTTCTTCTACCCCAATATATTCCTGGTTGTTCCTACTTGTTTTGACCGTTATGGATTAGCCTCGACAAAAATGAGCATTAAATTCACGTTGGATTGAAAGGACTTCACTCAGAGTGTCAGGAAAGAAGGTGTCAATATACTAGATTAAAAGGGTAATTATAGGCATACGAATGGGAATACGGTACGAAGGGTAGCTGGGAAACCGGCTTACAAAATGCCCAGCTTTGATAGCATGGTTCCCTTCAAGAGTAATTGGACGCTAGAGTGGGGGAAATGGAATTTACTAAGTACCTCATAACATGATAAATGGGGCTCCTAGCCAGAGGGGAAACTGATCTGGCATGAAGGGAACATCCGTTCAAAATGAATCTGTACAATTGCGTTGGGAGAAGAGGTTGTTGCTAATTCCATAACTATGATAGCATTCTAAGCAGGAGAAATCTGCTGTTCTTCCTTTGGCCATAGAGCAATAGTCGTCGCGTTGCCAGTCAGGGTAAAGGACATCACAGCGGAGCGCTCATTGTTCAGTGCAAGCTCATATCTCCCAGGATAAACAATACGGTCGCCAAATTCATCTGTTCTAGCGATATTGTCCAGCGAAATTGGGATCGACAATGTCTGAGAGTCGTGGGGTTTGATAGAACCAAGACGATCAAACCCAACGAGCCACTTGTTGGGGTAGGGACTTGGTCCGGCTGTTGTGTTCACGAAGGCCATGGCGGTATAATCGGACACGACACGGCCAGCGTTTTTGATACCCACTGTATAGTTCATGAAGGGGAGTTGCTCAGCCACATTGTAGCCAGCGTGAGATCGCGACAGAAGCTTGCCGATGTCGAAGGAGGTTCCGTTGCTGGTGGATCGGGAGCGTGCGAGAGATGCCTTGAACTTGGTGTAGAAAAGGCCGTGTCCGAACTCATAGACTGGCTTCCCTGTGTACCACTTGTAGGTCTGACCTGGGTTATCACCACCAGGTCGCAAGTCCATATTGGTTGCCGGGAACTGCAAAGCATACTTGGCGGGATATTGGGTCACTGTCAGGCGGCCAGCTGGTGCGCGCTTGCCGGTGATGATGTCCAGCAATGCGAGACCACCGGACTGTCCAGGATAACCACCCCACACAAGGGCGTTGACATTCTTATTGGTCTTCAGAGATGATGAGTCGACTTGGCCACCACCCATCTGCAGAACAATCAGGGGCTTTCCTAGCTGGCTCAGCTCTTTGATAAGATCAAGCTGGTTACCGGGCCAGGTGATATTCATACGGTCCATGCCCTCGGCTTCAACAGTGTTGTCAATTCCACCAGCGAAAACAATGACATCTGACTGCTTGGCAGCAGCAATGGCAGCCCCGAATCCGTCTGTTGTCTCCGAGGAGATGTTCGTGCCAAAAGCGTAGTTCACATCGAGACTCGACTTTTGCAGGGCAGCGAGCGGTGTGGTCAGGTATGGTGCATGTGCAGGATCAAAGTAGTTTCCGATAAGCCCTTGAGTGAGGTTTGCCCATGGCCCAATCAAGGCAACACTGCTAGTGTTCTTCGCCAGTGGCAGGGCGCCGTCATTCTTGAGAAGAACAATGCTCTCCACTGCAGCCTCATAGGAGATGTTCAAGGCGTCGGTCTTGACAACGTCGGACCAATCAAGGTTTCGATACTTGCTGTCCTTGCCATCGAAGTATCCCAAGCTGACCAGATTGGAATACAGACGGATGACTCCACGCTCAATGTCACTGCGAGAGATCTCGCCCTGCGCAATGGACTCATTGAAATAGTACTGGTATGACGTTCCGCAGTCAATATCAGTCCCGGCACGTAAAGAGTCAGCTGAAGCTGCAGACACATTGCCAGCGTACTCGTGGGGATTGAAGACGTTGTATACTGCGTCGCAATCCGAGGAAACGTATCCGTCCTCCACAAAGCCCCAGGTGTCGCGGAGAAGAGTCTGAAGAAGGAAGGAGTTTACGGAACTTGGCACACCGTTGACGGCGTTGTATGAAGACATGACGCTGTGTACCCGAGCATCTCTGACAGCAGTCACGAATTGAGGGGTGTAGTATTCTGCGAGATCCTGCTGGGTAATGTCCATGTCATTGCCCAGGCGAGAGTGACCTCCCCAATTTTCAATATCGTAACCCGCGAAATGCTTTGCCGTGGCAACCAACTTGAGCTTCTCAGGGTCCACGCCTCCCTGGATTCCGGTGATGTATTCGTAGGCGTATGCCGACGCAAGTAAAACGTCTTCGCCGGGGGTCTCTTGGCCACGGCCCCAGACCGGATGGCGGAAGGTGTTGATATTTGGCGCATAGACATCCAATCCATATCGGCCGACATTGTTCAGCGCTCGACCCTGGGTCGAGATAATGTCGCCTATCTGGTGGATTAAGGTCCGGTTCAGGGCGGCCATGCTGAGAATGGGAGATGGAAATGAAGTCGCCCAGCTGTACTCCCCAGAGTCGGTAAAGTTTGCTCTGTCCAAGCCATGCAAGGCCTCCGACCACACCTGGTAGGGTGGCAGACCAAGTCTTCGAACCGCAGGAATGGTATTCCCCGTGGAGTTGGTCAATTCCTCCAGGGTAAACAAGGCAACGAGGGCGGCCGCTCGATCATGAGGCCTGGCGGAGCAGTCACAGACCAGAGTTTTGCTCAATGGACCATTGGAACAGTCGGGGAAAGAGAGATCAATGGTCGCCACTGACTGAGGTGTCAGGTTAGGCTGGGCCTCTTTGTTGTAGTCGACATAACTTGTTTGGGCTTGCGCCAACGCGGTGGGCGCAAAGGCCAACAACGAGAGCACCGACTTCATATTCAAAACAGGCGTGATGTTCTCAGTCTCCTGGACAGACTCAGCGGGTTCAAACCAATTTATATGCCGTTGATGTCTGTATAGCCGGATGTAAACGCCCCACATAGAACACCGCATCGGGCAATCAACAGGGTCAATCCCCCGAAGTTTACCCCGGCATTGCTGTGACGCGGGGTTTCCCGGGTTGTTCAGCAACTCTTTAGCCTGAAATGCCCTGACGTCTGACGGTCGTTCAATGGACTGTTGTTGATGACGACCATTCCACGGCCTGGTGTACGATTGTGGCCTTGCTCGGCGCAAGCCATCCCAAGCCACCCGAGAGGCTTATTTAGCCTGAAGCAGGTTACAAACGGGAATGCCTTGGTCTGCCTGTTGATTGCGGACCGGGTGATGCAATAACAGAGTACTCAATACGGCTGATGCCGACTCGGACATCATCCCCCCCCCCCCTTAGGATCGCCCCGCGGCTTTCCCTGCCTTTCACAGTATACAGCCTATCCTGGTTTGAGATGGCTATAATTGGAGGTACTGTAAGGGTCAAAAGAAGGTGCAAGAATGGCTTCAACACTGCATCACACACTACGCTGGCTTTGAGGGCTTTGTGAATAGATTCAATACATTATCAGTACCACTCGACTAAACGTGAGGGAGCGCTACATTGAGCATGCCTCAAAATTGGAAGACTAGAAATATCGCGGAAGTATAGAATAGAATGACTTTGGAGCTGATGACACTAACAGATTTCCCCCTTTCCCCGCTTCCCCTTGCATGGACTTCCAAAGTGGCTGTTCAATGGCGCCATTTTCTATTCTGCCTAATTGATTAATATGCGAAATTCTACGTTCTCGGTATTCGGTTTCCTAATGCTGAAGCCCTGCATCGTGCATTTTGCCGTTAAGTCCGAGATCTCCATGGGTAAGGTAGGTTGCGGGTTTATAATAGTATTCTAACTTGGCAATCTAGGCTATACAGACGCGATCAAGGCTTGTAGGCCTAATTACATGTCATATGTGCCTTTCGAATGATGATATGTGTGATCAATGCGAGTGAAAAGATATGTTCAGTGGAGATAAACGCGGGTAGCAAAACGGTCCTGGTGATGATTGTCAATACCTTGTCCTTGCAATCTTCAAATGTCAGTGATCGTCAGTAGCTCGATGCTTCCGTGAGAAAAAATATGTGAATGTAGATGGAGTGTGTAGTTGGTTCTAGATACCTCATGTGGTCCGAGAACTGGTCACCATCCACGCCAAGGCTGCGAAGCTTCTGTATCGAGGGCAGATTGTTAGCTCCAGCTAGTTTGTCAATACATGACCAAGAGAGAATCAACTGGTTCAAGAGGGTCCTGGTGTTCAGATTTCCATCTCGTTGGTTGCTTCTCTTTTCGCGGCGACCATCACGCGCGTGCCACCGGGCCACAGAAGGGTCCGCCATAGGCGACCAGCGCTTGACAGGAGAGGGGTTTGCCAGTGATGGCGAAGTGGGAGACAAATAAGAAGGAGAGTTGCCCATGATGGCCAGTGCTTCAAGGTATTTGCAAAGAGAAAGGTACGTTGTTTCGTGGTCGGAGCCGGACGAATGGGGAGAATGGGATGGTGAAGAGAAACAAAGATGTCAACAAAGAAAACCCGATCAATATTCCCTTTATTCTTTCCCCCAACCACTAATCAATGGACTACGACCACTAGCTCCTTCCCTCTAAACGCTTCAGTCGCGCCTGTCCGCTTATATACATTCAGTTCCTCAAATCATACCAGCCTTACCGGACCTCTCAGGAGGAGCCTTTCGTGAATTTGTCAAGATAGAAATACTTAGTGACTAAGGATAGTAAAGAATCAATAGAAGCATACACGAAGTGGAGACACCAATTTTTGGCAGATTGCCTTACGGCGATAGGGGGACGAAGGCACGTATATTGCATGAAGATCGAAGCTTCATCAAGCCGGCATAGACTTCTAGGTAAAAGAATACTGCGTTAATTCAACAACTCTACTTTGCGGCCGGAATCACCATCTCCCACCTATATTTATACACTCCTTTCTGTTTGCAGGGCTCAGTATGTAATCTTGAAAACCCATGCAAATTGATCTGCCATTGCAATTGCACTGCTCAGAGACAAGTGTCACACTACCATCTCCTGTCTTGATTGATGGAATTTCGACCCCATGCATGTGGCCGCCAACAACAGTCAACTTGTCGCCTTCCACCCAGGGGATCGGGCTGGACAAGGTGAGCGTGGCGTTTGGTCTTATCAAGCAGTGAATATAGAAAGCATCTTGCGAAGTCGTGAATCGGATATGCTGTCCTTCTTCCGGTGCGACAACCCAATAAGACGTATCATATATAGCTTCCGCATGGCTCTTGATCCACCTACCAGCCTCCCGGAGATGTTGCTGCTCGATATCCAGGATGGTCCCATTTGCCGTCGGTCCGATATCGAGAAGAAAGTTACCATTCTTAGACACAATATCAACCAGCGTCGTGACTATCGCCGATGCATTCATGTAGCTGGCCAGAGGAGTGGCGCGATTGAATCCATAACTGTACGGATCCATGCCAGCACTGCTTTCCCATTTTTGGCGTTGAACGCCGTTGTATTGCGCATATTCCGGGGTATCAAAGTCGCCAGGGAGTCCACAACGGGCGTTCAGAGCCACTTGACGACCCTGGATCATGGCTCGATTGAACCAGGAAGAAGCAAACTCAGCAGTCTTATTGGGTCCGCCGATGTCACACCACATCATTTCAGTTCCCATATCTGCTAAGATGTTCATCTCAGGCAGCATCTTGTCGTCGATGAAGTCTGTCAGTGGCACATAGCCAGTATATGGCAAGGTCTTGTTCGTAAATGGATTCGTGGCATTCTCTGAGGGCGTTCAAAGATACACAAAAAGCAGGCCTCTCATATGCATCTTACCTCCTGGCCATTGTCCAAATCCGTATTTCTTAGTCTGGGTGGAACCATTCAGGAAGTGAGTAGTATACGGACCGGTGCAGATGGGGCTGATATTTCTTGGCAGCGTCGGACAGTTCCTGAAGAGATAAGCTTTATATAACGGTGAAATGGAGACCTTTCATACTCTGATTAAGTTTCGATGGGGTGTGAGGGCTACGGATGTCCTCGTGGAGACGTTTGCTGGGAGATCAAACAACGCATAGCCTTCGTGATGCTTGCTCACTTGCACAAAATACCTGGCACCAGCATCTGAAAAGAGATCAACCCACTCTTTGGGGGAAAACGCGTCCACCGTGAAGTTCTGGATAAAGTCATCATAAACAACATTTGGTCCATACTTGTCTAAGTGGTAACCAGAGGTATTCGTAGGGTCATTTGCTGTGTTCAAGGACCACCAGTACCTTAATTTTGTGAGAGATGAACATAACTACTTCAGTTTAAAAAATCACCATTCAGCATAATTTTCTTTAGATCCAGAGTCTCCCCAGCCTGGCACGGAGTAAGCCCCCCAATGTATGAAGATCCCAAATTTGGCGTTGTTATACCAGTTAGGTGATTCATGGCTGTAAATGGACTCGTAATTTGCCTCATATGGGTGAATTCCATAGCTTGAATTGAAGGAGTATGGCGCCGAAATAATCTTATGCTCGCTGATAGTGACTGTTGCTGGACCACGGCTGATGGGACCCCCTTTCTTGTTTTCAAGTGTTGCTTGATCTCCAGGACCCAGCCGTTTGATGATACCCTCAGTCACGATTTTGAGACCAGGTGAATGAACCTGAATGCGCACACTATCTTTTTGTGTAATGAAGGAAGACCCAACGTTGTTCACAAAAACTTCAATGATCTGAATTTTGTCGGATCCATCAATCCACTTTTGAGTGGAGCGAGCATATTGAATCTCAAGTCGTGGGATATCTGATTGAGACTCAGGCATGGGGGAGCATTGTCAGAGCAAAGACGTGAAGCTTGGTTTTCACTGAGTCGCCGCAGGCTCATTTGACACACCAGTCGAGGAATTTGGGAGGGAAAGAGACACAAGCTCCTTCGATGAGTCAAGCCAGTTGATGGTCTGCAAGATGTTGGACCGATTGAAATTCATGGTATTTTCTGTCAAGTAATGTCCGAACGAGAGGTCTGCTCCAGCGGGATATGGCCAGCTCCACCAAGCTGGAACCAAGAGAGGCCCAGATGACGTACTGCCATCACTATATTTTGCTTCGATAGATGCAGATGCCATGCCTGACTCAGAAGCTGCAAGCATCTGGTAGCTGAAATACTTTGATCTCGGGACAGGTATCTCTTGTCCTTGTACCAGCACATTGTCATACCCTGAAGCGTTGAATTTCGAAAACCGATAGTTGATGCCTCCGTATGTAAATTGAGAGGGCGGCATTCGGTCCGCTGGGTAGGAATCTGTTGACAGTCAATCTACTGCATGTGCATACACCTAAACTACTACTCACTCCCCGAGCCATCAAAAGTAGAATCATTTGGCTTCAGTCCAAATGCTCGATTGTTGAAATAGGGACTTAGGTCAATCGCCACAGAGGCATTACTGGGACTTAGATTCTTATCTTCGTTTTGTGGTTTGAAAATCACCGCTTGAGTGGTGGATATACACGCAAATAGCGTTGAAAGTGCGAAATTGAGAAACTTCATGATCAAAGGGTAAAGAGCATTCCCTGTTAGCTGTTCCCCCTACACTGGCGCATGATGGGTGTATCACATTTCATAGCGTCACAATTCCCCCTCACGACGTATAGTACAGAGATAATGGACATGTAACCTGAATCCGGGTAAACATAGTTGATCTGCATGCGGGGCGGCGGCCTTTCACCGAAACAACTCCGAATTGCACCGGCCTTTGAATTTCATTTCGGCAAAGTTGACCATGGGGGATTGAAATTGTTTTCCAGGCCCTAGAGAAATTTTTGTGATTAGTCCCCGTCGCTAGGCATGGAATCCCACAGTTGGGACATGAATCTGCTTGAATCAAAGTATGGCTCCCTTGCTGTAACTGAGAATATATATCCGTCTCGTGAACAAATGATTATGATGTCTTAAATACTCGTTCAGATGATTTTTAAAGGGTTATTTTCGATATCTTATCAAGAAAGCATCATATATACAGCCGAACATATCCCAGAAACACCCACAACGGTTAGAATCCCTGCCCCGGCTCTATCAGCCGTAGTGAGCTGCCTTTCTGGCACATCAGTGTCTGTTTTATTATCTCCAGTGCCCGCAGCAGGGTTACTCTCGCTAGTCCCACCAGTTGTAGAAGTCAGAGCTCCGCCGACATCAGAAGTAAGGAGCGCTTGCAAAACCTCCAGTGTCCCCATCTGCTGCCCAACACCGGTTGTGCCATCATACGTCCCAGAAGACCATCTCATGCCACAGCTAGTTCCTCTTTCTCCACCCTGACACTGTTTCACAGCTGCTTCTGCTGTTGGGCGTAGATATGCCATCACTTGATCGTAGGTGTAGGGTGCATATTGGGTCACTTCTGCAAGCCATCGAGATAGATACGCTTTGAAAGAAAGCTGGTCAACATTGCAGCTGCCAGTAAGCTCACATAGGGGTTCAAACATCACGTTCATGCTGGATTCGTTCTTGGAGAAGAAATGAGAGCTAGCTGCAAGCAGCCCGTCCATTCTTTCTTTCCAGACGCCGGATGTGTTTGTCGATGAATCGGATGAAAGGGAAGCAGTCTATCAAGGGGTGAGCAACGTGATTGAGCCCTCGGCATTTATACAATAATACACGTTTGCATAAAGACTATCCAGACGGAAAATTTTTCACTCACATAGTTATACATCACAGAGGTTCCGTGCAAGAAAATTCCAGCATTGTAGCTCCTGGGTACCGTGGTCAGCTAAAATGAAGCATTTGAAGATCCTTTGTAAAGTGAAATATGCCCACCAACGATTATGGTCGTGACTGGAACAGCTATCGGTTGTAGTAACTCCATCAAAGATTTCGTTTTTGTCTCCAACCAGACCAACTTTCTTGGACCATTCGTAGGACTTTGTAGCCCATTCTGCGTAGGTCTTTTTGGCTGTTAGCATTGCGTTCAAGATATAGGCGTGGGTTTTGAAACACAGTACGCGCATACCTCATTTCCAGTGTACCGTGCCAAGCGAGCGGCCATATTGAAAAAGCCACCGTTAGAAATACTGTTCTTGTAATTATACCCCGAGTTCCAAGTATAAATCTGCCAGCGTAGTCCGCCATGACATTCCGGGTCCCATCTTCCAGCTTGTTCGTTGAAGACAGCTTGAACCATGGACAGATACCCAGGGCCGGACTCGGGATTTGGAAAATTTCTCTCTGCAGCTGCCATTGCTGCAATGGCCCAGAACATTTGATCATCATTACCTTCTGTATAGGTTTGGTTTGTTGGCATGAAATCGCCTTTTTCGCCAGCTTGGTGAACAAGTGCTTGTCGTGTGATTTCAGTATATATCGTGTCCCCCGTGTATGACCAGTAGTTAACAAGAGCTCCAAAGAATGCCCCTGCTTCCCACCAGTAGTACGGGTCTGGTAGGTTTCCTGGTGTATCGCCTGTATTGTTGCCTGTATAGAATTTCACGAGGTCGTAGGCCACTGTGCTCGCTGCCGATTTGATAGATTCTAAGTGGCGCGGGTGAGAAGTTGCTGTGAATCTTTGAATAACCATCCAAACTTACCAGGACTGTCAATATCGAGAGAGATTTCAGCGGCGACAGCCTGTGAGTTCAGGCCTGTCATAGTGGTTGAAATGACAATCCATGATGTATATGTGAGAGAGCGAGCGAAATGGAGTAACATCAAGGACGATTCCGCCTTGTGAAATCAAAGCATGCATACACTATATGGAGTTGCTGTATAGTAAAAGAAGATTCAAAATCAAAGTAGAAAGACTTCCTATCACAAGGGCTCTCCGACGAAGCCGGGGCCAGAAGGGGATACTAATGACTTTGGACGAGCCAATTCCAGAAAAAGGTGCCCCATACCTAAAGGAACTTGAGGCCCATTGCTCGTAGCTTGGCAGTTACAGAGTCAATAATCAGAAATCCAAGAGCTTCCAAGCCCGGCTGTGTCTAATCCCGAGACCAACAAAATGGGGGAGAGGGCGTGGAATTGTCTCCGCCAGCGCTTGTAGGGGATATCTAGCAGACAATACACGTATACCTGGCTCAGAGAAACGAAACGCCAAGGCTGGGCAAGCTGGGCACATAGTAAAATTAGGCTGCCTGTGAATAGCTTCAAAGCCAGGTTGCTTGGCAAGGGGTAGACGCGTGGTATACTCAGGGGAACCCCCGCTGGCCGCGTGGATCTAAATAAGTATGACTTAAGAGGGCGATACGAAGCTTGAAACTGAACGTTTTCTAATATGCAGTATTCAGGTTCTCACTAGTCTGCTGTTCGACTGATGACCAAGTCGGGCCGATCCAAGTCCAAGATATAAACATGTACTTGGCGCTTGCCCATAGCCACGTAACGAGCCCCATCACCTTGATCTCTTGGCAGGTCAAATCATTTCTCAAATAAAGGAGGTCTCTTAATTAAAGAATTCGTGAAACATTGCGCCAATATTGGTCATAGAAACTGGCTTCTTCGGGTAGAAAGAGGATTCAGTCATCCTCTACTATCATTGACATGCTTGAAGTAAGGTATTGGAGTGAGACAAAAGCTCAAAGCGAACAAAATAAAAGACCGTTCGTAACTGGGTTTTTATCTTGACCGGGTACTCTACACGGTCTCACCAATGAATGTAGTAGCATGCTTCACATACCATTGCGCTGGAAATGTGACAGAATATCTAGTAGTCCAAATTTTTACCATAGCATTGGTTTATCTGAAAATTTAGCGAGTGATGGGTCAAATTCAGTCACTATATCTGGATATTGGTTATAGGTCTATATGAACATAATACCTCGTGCTTTACGAACGATCACCAATTCGACATACTTCTAAGCTCCTATAAAATGAAACTGCTGTGATTGGGGGATGACTAATGGAATGGGTCCGGCATAATCCATTGAATGATTAGATCGGCACTCCCCGCACGTTGTTCACCACCAGATATCGCGGGGATTATGAACCCCCTGCCTTTCCCCTTGCCGGGCTCTAGCCCTCCTGAATCACGATCGAAATCCAGTCGCCAGATTACTCGGAATCGCGCGAGTTACAGCTGTAGGGTTTGTAGAAAGCGCAAGGTCAAGTGTGACAAGGTGATTTTATGTGATTCTGCAATGGCTTGAGATACAGCATAGCTAATTGATCCCGCTCGTTAGGTACATCCGACATGTGGCAACTGTGTAAAAAACAATACCGAATGCATATACGATGCTTCGGCGCAAAAGAGTGAAGATGCGCGCGACACCTCTCAACATGCGCATGGGGTCAAGCGGAGGAGAGAGAATGCGCAAACATTGGAGGAGGGGGTGGATGAGCTCCAATCAATTTATGGGCATTTGAAACAAGCTGAGGCTTCGAAGAGCGAAAAATCCGACCCTCGCGCGATTGAGTCACGATTGGACAAGCTCATGTCGATGATTGAGCGTCTCGGCGGAACAAATCAAGCCCTGGAAGCTGTGGGCGAGAATGACACAACAACCGATACCAAGGTGGAACCAACGGCATCGAACGAGCCACGGTCAAGCTATTCAAATGGACATGCTACACTATCGCGACCTGCCAGTCCGCGGCGCATCGCCGCAGAATCGAGCGGCGACGAGTTTCCGATCCCGTCAGGCCGAGCTACTGATCTGGTCGATCCTGTTGGTAGTCTGAATTTGGGCCATTTGAGCTTGGAAGATGGTGGAAGGTCAAGGTTGGTGAGCTTCAAATTTACTCAATAACCATCTCCTAAACAAAGACAGATATGTCGGCACCACGTATTGGGCCTATATCTCGGATGAGGTATGTGATGAATGGCCACCTAAAGACTGAATATTCTGTAGCTAACACATTCCAGATAAATGAGCTTAATCAATTATTGAGAGATCAGAATCGCTCGCATGATCAGCCAGCCCCAGAGAGGAACACACAAACGCCAGATCCAGCTACCAATGTCCAACTGTCATGGAGGGAGTCAGTAGGTAGCTCAACACCTTCAGATACCCCACGCTCCCGGTCATTTCAGCAATCTATCATCTTTCCTTCTGGCGATTCACCCTCCACAAATGAGAAGGTAGTGGAGCCGGAAATGCTTGATCATATTCCAACCAAGCGACAAAGTCATATCCTTTATAAAGGATTCATGTCTGGTGTACACGCCATCAGTCCTGTTCTCCACCCTCCCACTATTCTAAAGCTCTACAATTCCTTCTGGGACTGGTACGACTACAGCAGCTACTCTGGTGACCCTTGCCCAAGTCCATCGTTCATACCACTTTTGTACGCCATTTGGTATGGCGGCTCAGTTACAATTTCAATTCGAGCAATCAAAGCCGAATTCAATGTGTCGTCACGCTTTGCACTCTCAACAATGTACGGCGAAGAGGTCACACGTTGGTTGACAAAGATATCTTTCCCGCGCAGCCCTTCTCTTCAAGGACTTGCGGCCTATCTCATCGTACAGACCATCGTATCAAAAGAGGAAGAACCTTTGACCAGCAGTCTTTTCGTTAGTTTGGCTATGAGAGTGGCACAGACCATGGGATTACATCGAGATCCAGCGAAATTTGGCATCAAGCCGTCCGAGGCAGAATACCGACGCAGGTTATGGTGGCATATTATGCACATGGATGGTGTCGTTGCGATGTCAAGTGGTTTGCCTCCTCTTATCAGTGACGAAAACTATTGGGATGTATGCGAGACAAGCGAAATCAAAGATACCTTGTTAGGCACTCCAGTGGCTGAACAGTATGAGAAATCCGTCGCATCTCATGGACGCCAACCTGACAACCCGGACGACCCCAACCTTTGTGGTGGGCCATCTATGGTCAATGTGTACTACCTTACTGCAAGAGGAAAATATGCTATGGCTCGTGAGTTTGAGTTCCCTATCAGACGTGCAGCAGCTAATCAACTCTTCAGGTGCTGTCCGACGCATACTTAAAATTCAGCTTGGAACTAAGCCTCTTCTCAGACAAGACATGGAAGAACTTCGAACTATACTATTAGAATTACAGCTGAAGCTGAATTCAATCATTCAGCGAATCCCAGAGGGCAAAGATCTTGATTATTCTTCAACCTCTGGTCGGGCTCTATCCATGTCCAAGTCCCCTGTGGATGGTCGCTCCTCTGATACAGAGCTCCCAGGCGAGGGACCGACAGGATGCCCCGAACAGTACCACTCTCCGGTTCTTGTTTGTTTCCATAAGTGGGCCAAAATTATTTTGTCTTTGTATATTGACAAGGTGCGCTTACTGAAAGTCCATGGTATTGTCCTTGCTGACATGATTCAAGGCATTCTGTGTTGCCTATCAACCTTTTCTCAAAAACGCTAGAAGCCGCATTTGGCCTGCTGCACGTCAGAGGTTCGTTATCGCACCATTCAAAATACTTGATATTCTAATATTCATAGTGCACTTCGACATTGTCATGGGTTCATGAAGAAGTTTATCCAACTCGCAACTGATCCCGATTTCCAGCCCTTCCAATGGAGTTGGCCTGGGTACGTCTTCATCATAAATGAGTCAATGTTCGCACTAACTTTCTTTCAAGCAATCATCAACCTATGCATGCCACTATGTATGTATCACCCCCTACCTCTCCGTCGCTCATGGCGCTAATGAAATTCAGGATCATGCTTATTGATTTGTACGAACGACCTCGTAGCCCCGAGGCATCTAGATCACGGGCATTCATCGATCGCATACTTGCTCTATCTGGTCCAGACGGAGGAGTCGTAGGTGGTGAGGATGGTGTGTCGACTCAACGACCACTAAAGGACGGAGGCCGTGAAGCTTGGGATATGATCCGCCGTCTTCGTCAAAAGGCCTGGCAGAAGGCGGGCCTCAACCCTCAAATTCTTTGGACTGAGCAGGATCAAATTCAAGCAGGTGTGTCCTCGCCAGCCGATGCTAGTGATCCGCTCTACGGCTCCCATTCCGGGTCTCCAGCAACGTCGAGAACAGCTTCTCGGGCCCCAGCACATGATCCTAAGGTCAACGATTTCAACAAAACATTCTACAACATTACTCGCTCCCACAATCTGTCGAACCTCACATCAACCTCTCCGCGGCCCAGTCCGTTGCGATATTCACAGAAACCGCAGGACAGACCCTTGTCTTCCTTCAACACATCCTCGCAACATAATCCTAAATCTACATCCAGCCCCATGCCACCCCCTACAGCTGGTCTTTATATCCCTTCGTCCTCGCCGGAATTTGCATCATACCAGGGCGTCTCTCCTCCAACCCTGGCTCAGCCGCCTTCTACCTCGACTATTCCCCTACAACAAACCCAACAATCACCATCAAGCCTTGCCCCTTCACCCGCTTTACCCTTCGTGGAAACAACTCTAAATCCCATGCCCATGGGCGACTCAACCCCGCCTTCCATGGTCGACCCCAATCTAAACTTCGACTGGGACCAATGGGATGCTGTGTTTGGGCAACATCTCCCGGTAGCAGATGATCTGATGGAACTAGACCCCGTTGCGGGTCTTGACTTTTCCAATATGGGAAATGCATCAAACACCAACAATGCTTCCGGAGGGGATATGGCTGATGTCTATCCTAATGATCTTCCACCTGTTCCTTCTCCGGGTAATATGAATTTCCCACCGTCCTGGAATGGAAATAGCCCTAGTATGGAGCACTCAAATTGGTCGGGTTATGGATAATATCACTATACAAAAACACAGAGTGTCATTTGGACATATATTAACATGTTTGTGATGTTATACACCTAAAAGGACCGAAAATATATAGATATTGATATGATTTCTCGACTCTCTAGGCATTGTCAGATTTATATGGCAGATGCAGTAAACACGTGGGTGGCTCTGTGGTCTATGCGTCTGTTTGGTTCCACTTGATCAGTTGCGGGATTGGCAAGATTGTCAGGGGTTTCCGGGGCTATCCCCACCAGCGAATTACGGATGGTTGAGGTGTCTATGTTGGGTGGTGCACTATTGGGAGATTACAAGGATAAGGCTAGAAATTGAAAGAAATACGAAAGAAGTCCAAAATGAAGACGTAAGTAGATGATGAATTCATGAGGCGTAACTCTTGACCCAATGGATCACTCAATCAGGATATAAAGAACATGAGAGCATTAAGGACCAGACGCAGACCCAAGATGGGTATGTAATTGCGTTGCGTCTGGTCTGGAAGTCTCACTCTTCCCTGCAGGGTATTTGTTCGTGAGATGCATTTCTTTTTATTGCCGCCTGCATTAGATCCACAACTATCTAGACCTTCTCCTCCTTGAGGCCGTCGGCCCAGACGGTAGCGTAGGGGGTGACACCATCCTCACGGAAATCGATGAGGACGTACATGGCATCACCGTTCATGGACTCACCCATGAGGAGATCGTAGTTGTCGTAGTTGGCGGTGACCTTCTTCATGGCAACCTTGACCTTCTCCTGCCAGGCCTTGAGCTCCTCGGGGGTCTTGGTCTCGGCGACACGCTTGTTGAGCTTCTTGATGTAGCCTGTGAAAGAGTGTGGATTAGCCATCGGTACAGGTCATGGAGAAGCGGATCAGCATACCCTTGAGGTAGGACTTGTAGTTCTCCTTGGAAGGCTTGAGGCCATCCTCGTACTTGAGCCAGACGAGACGGAACTGGTCCTCGATGTCGTGGACCATGACGGCCTCACCCTCACCACCCTCCTCATCGGCATCCTCAGCGGAAGGGTTGGCACCCTCAAGAGCGAAGTCCTCGTTCTTGCGCTTCATGTACTTGCGGCAATCAGCCTCCCACAAGATGTCGCAGTCCTTGGAGGGGACAAGCTTGAAGGTATCGGAGATGATCTCGTCATCGGAGACAATGTCCTAGAGGCATTGTTAGATAAATTGACCCAGAGCAGATTCACATATGAATATACCTTGTAGATAATCATTTTGGCGGTAGTAGAGACGTCTCAAAAAAAAGAATTAGAAAGTGAAAGGGAAGCGCTGGGAAAAGAAGAAAGAAAAATAAAGGAGGGGAAGAAGTTTTTTTTAGTGGCGGAGTGGGGGAATTTGGCTTGTTTGCTTCTGTCCCAATGGGGTCTGGCCGCCTTAGCGCCTGACAGTTGTTCTTCAATAAGTTAATTGGAAATAGTGATGAAACACTAGTTTCAATTACATTCTGTCTCTTGACTTGTTTATTTCCATCTCTTTTCATACAAGTTACTCTGGTATTTGATCGTGGATGATCTGCCTAACCCCGGAGAACTATAGACCTGAGTCAGCAATCAATGAGTGACAGTACCATACCGTATCTCTCCCATTCTCCCACTGCAGATCCTTCGATAACAGTACTGTACTGTCACCCTTGTCCGTTTCCGACTGGCGCCACCCGTTGCATCCGTCTCCTGATCGAACTCGCGATCTTTTATCATCATCACCTTCCTTTTCTTTCTTTTATTCTTATTGTCGTACACTTATACAGCCGGCTTCTCATATCCTCATATTAGGTATCTTTGCGTCGCGCCTGCTGCTCCTGTCAGCCCCGGACTTCCGCGGAAGCTGCTGACATCCACTCTCTTTGCTTTCTTTATCTCCATCTCTTTCAATCTTCTACCTCTTCGACTTCGATCTCGACCTCATAAGCCTAAGGCACATTCTGCCATCATGGCTGTAAACTCTTCCATCGCGTTCGACCTCCCGCCTTTGCCAACCTATACACTTCAACCGCGAGAGAACCTACTTGATCCTCTTCCCGATAACGTTCTTGCGCTCCTTTTACCCATTGTCGCCTATTGGGCCCTGTCCATGGTCTATCATTATCTGGATGTCAATGATTACTTCGTTGAATACCGACTCCACACCCCCGCAGAGGTCCTGAAGCGGAATCGCGTGACCCGCTGGGAAGTTGTCCGCGATGTCGTACTGCAACAAATCATCCAGACCGTGGCCGGTCTGGCGTTTGTATATTTCGATGCCGAAGAGACTGTTGGAAGAGAGGAGTACGATGTGGCCGTGTGGGCGCAGCGATTGCGGATTTTCCAAAAGGCCATCCCGTCATTGTTGGCTCTTGTTGGGGTGGATGCGGTTGGTCTTTCTAAGTCCATGTCCCAAAGCGGCCACACGATCCTTGCCGGAGCCTTAGCCGGCGGTTCATATCCAAGTGCGACACAGTCACAGATTCTCGAAAGTGGCGCTGAAGTCCTCGCCCCCGCTTTCATGGGCTGGGAGCTTGCAGTGGCCGGCTTCATTTTTTGGTACTTCGTGCCGGCTCTGCAGTTCATGCTTGCTATCTGCATTGTGGATACTTGGCAGTACTTCCTTCACCGGGCCATGCATCTGAACCGGTGGTTGTATGGTGAGTTTATTCGGACATTATCGCTTATCTCTTATCTAACAGCTACAGTGACCTTCCACTCCCGTCATCACCGTCTTTATGTTCCATATGCCTTTGGTGCTCTCTACAATCATCCATTTGAGGGGTTCCTCTTGGACACTGCTGGCACTGGAATTGGATTCCTGGTTTCCGGCATGAACACCCGCCAGGCCATGTGGTTCTTCACAATGTCGACTATCAAGACTGTTGATGATCACTGTGGTTATGAATTCCCCTGGGATCCATTGCAGCATTTCACGTCGAACAACGCCGCATATCATGATATCCACCACCAAAGCTGGGGTATCAAGTCTAACTTCTCCCAGCCTTTTTTCATCTTCTGGGACCGCCTCCTTGGCACCCAGTGGACTGGCGATATTCAGCAGCGCTACGAGAGAGCCCGTGAGAACGCCCAAAAACAGGTGGACCTTGATGCTATCAAAGCAGCTGAAGCCGCTCCCGCCGTGACGGTGACAGAGGAACGCGAACACGAGCGCGTGATAGTCTCACCTGAGGGACCCGCGACTCGCACTCGTCTGCGCCGGAAGACTGTCGATAGTCTGAAGGGCCCAAGCCATGGAGTTCCTGGAAGCGTTCTCCACAATTAAAGCCGTTATGAAATGAAGCACGTGTCACTTTTTTATGCATCCCCGATTCCGTTCCTGGAGCTGCTGGTCGCCTCCGCCAGACTATGGGGCTTTTCAAACATCATTTTTGTATAAGGGGCTCTGGATCCCAATGTATTAATACCTCAGAATGTGCCAGTCAATGCTTTGTACATGGTTTGCTTTACGAGCTACTGTCAATAATGTCTATTCCATTTGCCATCTGTATTGGTTTCTTTGTGTTGTGTGAGATTTCAATTTGCAAAATTTTAGGCAACAAAGGAAAAAGAAACAGAAAAGAACTCAAGTGCATAGAATGTGAAATACGAGTAACTGCTTCACCTAGGTGATAATCCTTTGGGGGATGCAAAAGAAAAGAAAGACAAAAGAAATGCTGACATTATTCACGATCAGCTCCTATTCGCCTCGCCACACACCATAGACCAGACGGTCATGGCCTCAGACTCGGCCTTTGACATTTGCTTCTCATGAGCATCCCAGTCTATGACTTCGTCATCGATCCACTCGCTTTCCACGGAATAGACTGAGGGAGTATACTCCGATGCGGTGTACTGATGGGTCAGCGGCACTTCAACCGAACTGGAAGCCTGATGATCATTGTGGTATGTCGCCAATCCCTCTGCCCTCCTTTTGTAGGGATCCATTCCCATGTTTCGATACATGGCAATGAGCTTATCTACTTCATCTGGAGGTCGAATGGCAGAGCTCGGTGCTGGCGATGAGTCACTTCTGCAGTGCTCCCTTGTGCTGTGCTTATGGCCCTTGATGCTTTGTCCATAAGATCGAGAATGGTGACGACCAGCCTCATAACCTTTGGTCCCATGGAGCGAGCGTGAGGTATGTCTGTAAGCAACAGAGTCTTCCCTCTGACGTGAAGAAATAGAATCATTCGCCCGGATCGAACTTTCTCGATGCATGCTGTGCTCTTCAATTTCTGATCCAGCACGTAGAATCCATGAAGGCGGTCCGCCCAAATCAGACTCGGCCTGCTGAGAGGGGTGACGCGATGCAATGTCTGGCGGTGCTTGGGCAGAGACCTTTCTTGGGTCATACTTACTATCTGATCTCTTAGGATGACCACTACCGTGCCTGTGTCGTCGGCTTCTCTTACCTTCGTTGGCGGGATCATTGTACCAGGCCTTGATGCACTTCTTGCGAGTGTCTTTCAGGATATATGCAAACTGGCTAGAAGTGCCATACAGCTCGTCAATATACTCAGGGAATTGGTCAATGCACATATCCACAAACTTCATAAGCCTGCGCGGCTGATGACGCTTGCGGGTTGGAGTTCGAGACAGCAGAGAAACACGCATATTGCGCGACGCGTTTTTATTACTTGCCACACGAGCCACCATACATGCATGACACTTGTTCTCCTGGTAGGACCAGAGATCGGGGATAACAGGCTTGTCAGGCCACTCAATCCACATGCCGCCAATGGCACTCACTTTGTTCAAAATGAGTCTATCAAGCGGTTTTGTCAAGTGAGGGAACAATTTAAACCAGCGCGGGTGATATTCAACCTCTCTCATGATCAGTTCCATGATATCGCAAACAACATCCGCATTAACGCCATAGTGCAGGTTGCACATGTGTCGATTCAAACTCGAAAGCCGTTCACGGCGTATCCGCTTAGGCAGTTCATTGATTTGCTTCTTGATTAGTTGTTCATGCTTCATTGTCCTTGTTGTATCTATGCGAAGGATATCTATCAATTTTCTCAATTCCTCTTTTGACAGATCAGTGACATACCGCGGGTGTTTATCTCGTGAGAATTGGTGGCCATGACCACTGACTGAGTGGCTTCGGTAATGTTGCTTATTGTGCTTGTCTCCGTATTCGGGGAATGGTGGAAAGGGTGCATTGGCCTTACCCTTGAAGTAGTCGGGGATCCGAATCTTAGGCATTGGGACTAATTGTTGAATTGAGTTCTTTCTTCGGCAACGGTTAGCCTTGTTAATCATCGGGATTTGACATTTACTGGGTAGTAGAGGAGAGGTATACCGGGCTTGGCCTTGCTATTTATTTATCTGCCGGGACAGTACAAAGAGACTGTTTTTTTACTCTTGTCTTGCATCTGTGGTATATGTTTAGCGGCGTGCAGATTGTGCTTAGTCCTTAAGACAATCCTAAAAAAGATGTTGTTCTTTCTGATCATTTCCGTCTAATCGACAAAGCCATTGACTTTAATGACTTTAATAGGGCTCTTTACTTCCTTAGACCTTCTTTCTTTGTCCGCAAGTCAACGCAGACAGTCTTTCATGATCTTGGGCCAGTGGAAATAATCGAGAGTAAAGAAGTGTGTAAAGGGCTATTTTTATTTTATTCGAGGTCTAAGAAAGCCTGTTCAGTCATTCTTCTTGGATCACGGGTTTCAGTAGCTCTGGCATGGAAATGAAGATGCACTGCTTGCACTAAACATTTCACCAAATCTGTAGACTGATCTATATCTAAGGCAGATGAATATTCTCATTCTGGGGGTTTCTGCCTCAACTCGTACTTTGTAATCGGTTTTCGAAGTATTGTGTAGACATGGGATCAAAATGACGAGACCATAGCGGAGGACCGAGCGATGGCAGGATTGTAGACCTATGATAAGCTTATATCACAGCCCCAAAGGCTTATTATGATCTAAACTACCGATATTATCGGCTTTAATAAGTCAAGATCAAGCAATATAAAAATATAGTTGATGTACTCGGTGTATAGAGTAGTTGATCACATGGGAAAGTGCGTCACGAGGCAATCACATGACAGATAACTAGGCTACCTTGAAATAATCTCACCGTCTCACAGTTTCTCTTCAATGTCACACCTGGCAACGTTTCACCATGATCTGTCCAGGTGAGGAGGGTACACCGTTACCGTATACCGCATCGCCCGTGAGATTACTATGGAGCGACTTGGTTCTCTTCATCAACAAGATTTGGGCGCTACCAGGGATCTTTCTGCCCCTGAATCTAAGTCGCACCGGGCCATGGGATGAGTTCTATCCGTCGTTGCGCAATGGGCTCATCGTGGTGTTACATATGTTTCTTATGGTTTACCAAGTTGCGCTTCTGTTTTCGCTGCCAGTCATGGTTCTATTCATGATACCTGCTCTTTGGATTCTAATTTATATTGCCGGTGCATTTTTACTCAACTATGTGATTGTTATGGTTGGATTGAATGGATTTCGGCGAATATTGATTTCGCAAGTGCCTGTAACTGAACGGCCGGGTCATGAGCGGGAGTCTTGGTTCTATATCAATGGAATTGCAGCTGGGTGAGATGCTCTTTTGGCAATTCTCTTGCTCATTAACTCAATTCTTTATAGAAGTCGATGGGCTCAGATGAATGTTGATCAACTATCTAGTACCTTTGGACGAAGGATAATCGGCATACATAATCGCACGTAAGTGATGTTTGGTTCAGAGAAAGGACAGGATACTAACAGGAATTCAGCGCTGGAGTCGTCTTTGATCTGGTTGAATGCCTGATTCAGCGAGACTTTTCTTATGCTACAGGAGACATCAGGGATTCTTATTCCTGCATCAAGAAAGCGCTGTTGAATCCAGAATGTGATAAAGTGGTCCTGCTTCTTCACAGCCAAGGTGGCATCGAAGGCGGACTTGTGATGGATTGGCTTCTGGATGAAATACCACATGATATCCTCTGCAAATTAGAGATTTTCACATTCGGATCTGCTGCAAATCATTTCAACGCCCCCCGATGGACGAAGCTAGCAAGCCCTGACATTATCTCAACAACTGATTTGGTGCATCAACATGGAAACTCAATTGGCTACATTGAGCATTACGCTAATGCGGCTGATATTGTGGCTCTAGGGGGTGTGCTTCATTTCGTCGACATTCCAAATCGATACATGGGTCGCTTGTTTGTTCGTCCAAGCTCGGGACATCTACTGAACCAACATTACCTGGACAACATGTTCACTCTGGGTCCTGACAAAAAGGTCCTTGAGTCAAACCAGTTCATGGATATGGAGGTCGAGCCATTTGCCTCTGGAATACATTCATACATCGATTCTTCCCATAGAGCCAAGTATCGACCTATAGCCCGAGACAAAGATTTCCTCACTGCATTGAGCCAGCAAACGCAAACAAACGGCGTAGATGGGGTGCTTCGTGTCAAGGATTTTAGCCGGCTTTGGCAGTACAGAAATGGAAGATCACCGGAAGTACATGTACGCAGAAACACAGATTGATGAGATACCTGTCATATTTCGGTATACATACATATCAACGTTCTTCCTGAAATTACCTCAGACTCCTACTCTTTTCACATCCACACGCGCACACTAGAGTCTGCACTCCCAATAGCGAGCACATGTGAAGTCCCTCCAGACTGTTTTAAAATGGGCCCCCAGCGAATACAACTCAAGAAGTGAGAGGCTCCTTTAACCGTCTTCACTAATCGCCCATCTTGGGACAAATCCCAGCATCGGATGGTTTTATCATCACTGACGCTCAAGAGATACTTTCCCCCAGGATGGAAGGCCAACCCTCGAATCCAAGTATCGTGACCTGCCAAAGTCTTGATCAGCTGCCCTCGCTCATTCCACAATTTGATAGTGCTGTCCCTTGACCCAGTTGCAACAAACAGCCCTTTTTCTTGTGATTTATTCGGCCCCAGAGCAGCAAGATACTCATGACTTGCAATGGGCGCAACAACACAGCACTCAATCTTGTTTTCGTGTCCCAATAACCGTGCCACGGTGTCCCCCGACGAGTAATCCCAAATGGTACCCGTTTGGGCGTCGCCCACAGCGACGCAAAAGCGTCCATCTAAAGATGGTGCAATGTCTCTAATCCACTCATCCTGAGAGTCTATCGTCCTGACGCAATAACCTGTCAATATATCCCAAATGCGAATTGATGCATCCCGACTGACTGAAACCAACAAGTTCCCATTTGGTGTCAAGAAGCGTACAGCCGAAACAGAATGATCGTGCCCACACAGCGTGCGAACATTAGCATACTCATTACTCGGATCCCATATCTTAATAGTAAGATCACTCGAGCAAGACGCAAGCCGTATCTGATCTTTCGGGCCTCCATAGTCCAATCCCAGAACAGGTCGCCTGTGACCCTTGAGCGTCCGCTCTAGCTGGCCATACTCCCAGTCCCAGACCTTGATGGTACAGTCTTCAGATCCAGATGCCAGAGATGAATAGACTGGGTGGAAAGCCATACATGTAATACCTTCTCGGTGAGATTGGAGTGTATGACTTGGCTGGGCATCTGGTAGCCAGTTCGTAGAATCATGATGAGACCTGACAGTCACAGCAGATTGTAGTTGAGTCTCTAGCTTTGAATTTGTGGCTTCCAGCTCTTGTAGCTATATTTACATCAGTATGCATTCTTAGTCAGGTGTATGGAGAGATATCGCACCCGCCTGGTTAAGCGCATGGTCGATGTCCATTTGCGCTCTAAGAGCCCCTCGTATTTCTTGCGAGTTGCATCGTCGAAAGTTCCATCGATGAACAGTTCATCTTGTAAGATATTTGTGCTTTTCACGTTGATCGATGATAAATAAGCGATAATGGCTTTGTGGCTACTGAGAGTTAGACTGTGCTGATGGGTTTGGTAGAAACCTTACAGTTCTCCCGCTTGTCTGGGAGTAAGTAATTGACTCATGATGATGTAGAACAATGTTAAGTGAATGGAATTTCCAGGGACGCGACGTGTTGGTTGATATAATCTACAGCCCCTTGCAGTCAATAGCCTCTACTGGTCTGGGGTTGGGGAGGCTGTATCACGGGAGGTTGGGCAGACAACGCAAACCTCGTGACACAGGAAACCCTAGTATTGATGAGCTACCATGGACTATAAGAAGAATATCTTTGCACATGCATTTATGAATGTACAAGATCGGCTTTGATGTACACCAGCGGGCATATAGAACCCCAAGGGTCAGACCATATGATCTGTGGTATCAAGGAATTAATATCCTCGGGTGCATAAGATATATAAAAGAGAAGAAAGCAACGCCCATCGCCGTACAATGCAAGTGGTAGATAGAATAAGGACAGCAATGCCGAATCATGCCTTGCCCTTCTTCTTTTCCTTCTTTTTCTTTTCGGCGCCGCCAGCACCACTCGGGCCTGCAGGCTCGCCACCACCCAGACCCAGCATGCTAAGATCAGGCATTCCGGGCATTGAAGGCATACCAGGCATTCCTTGCATGTTCTGCATCTCCGCCATCGCGTCCTTAAGAGGGTTGTCGCTGACACCACCACCGCTGTAGGCGGGGGAGTGGATCGGCAGGATCTTTCCAATCTTCCAGCCCCGTGGAGCGGCCGGGGCAGCTGGGAGCTTCTCGGGCATGGGCAGGCCACGAATGCGTAACCGGTAAGGAGACTGCTCGTTAGTCGGGTGGGCCTTGAGGTACTGCGCAACGAGAATGTAAAGGTGGTGCTCTAAACGAACAAAGTCAGTATATATTCCAAAACAGATAATAAATCCAAATCTAAAATCTGGCCACGTACTGTTCTTGATCTTGGGGTTGGCCAGCTTGCCATCCTCATTCTTAACCTGCACGCGCACACGACCAGGGTTCGCCCAATCCTTGGGATGCAGCTTCTCCGGCTCCAGGCCAGCATTCAAACCAAGCATCTGAACGGCATCGACAATGTCTCTAGCAAGAGGATTTTCCACCGCAAGCTCGGCGCCCACCTTGCGGCCCTCGGCGCGCGATCGGGTCTTGTCGAAGTAAACGGGATACAGGCATGAGAAATGTCTGGGGATCTCGCGCTGGGGCTCAGGAGCTTGCATTTGAGGCATTTGAGGCATTTGAGGCATTTGCATCTGGGGCTGAGCTTGCGGCTGGGGTGCTGGAGCCCGGTTTGGGATGTTTGCGGGCGAGATGATGGCATTGGCGGGGAGGTCTTCGTCGCTGTCATAGTCAGGAGCGACCTCCTCAGGGTCGGAGTCGGAGACTTCCTCAACGCGAGCGTGCGACATGTTGGTTGAATGGATTGGAACTGATGTCTGATGTCTGGGGAAGATCGTGGCCAGTGGCAGAATCGAAAGTTGTGTGCGGAGGGGGGTTGAGTGACCGCCTTGGACATCACTTTACAAGCTACATTAAAATTTGTGGTGTTTCTTTTTAGGTCTTTGATACGTTTTGTTCTGCTTTATGCTATTTTTATCTTGTTGAACCCGTTAAAAATCAAGTATCAAAAGAGTGGCATGTCGAGTATCGACTCTATGGTCTTCAAACATATTATCAATGCTGAGCCAAAGGCAAATCACTGTTGAGGAATGTTACATTACAAAAGTCTTCTCTTGATTATAAGTGATTAATGCTTTCCAAGGGCAGCACTGGGGGATTGAGCAGCAAAATTATCGTTGATGTTGGCTGTCACGTATATTAGCACGGATCCTTATACTTTGAAGATCATATTTACCAATCTTTGCACACTCTGGGTCAATGAATGGATTCAACTTATCAAATTAAAGAACGCTAATTCAAGGACAATTCCGTGCAATCGGCTACTCAGAACATCCGGCACGACGGCGAGAATCAGTTGGCAGAAGAAGCAAGAGAACTTCTTCGGGGTTGAGCAAGTCGAAAGTGTTGTATGCACCGCCGGTAATGTTACCCAAATCAATATCGGCGAATGAATTGACGGTACCAGTATTTCCACCGACAAGAACAGCCTCTTACCTGTTCTGATCGCCTGGATGAGATCCGCGGCGAACAGACGAATACTCTGCCAACTCTCCTTAGGTCGGCGGTCCCAATCGTCAGAAATTCGCTCAGGGTCAGGGATATAAGTCAAAGTGTCATTCTCATCCTCCTTTATAGAGAAGAATAATTTGAGGGTTTTCTTGTCGAGGATACCTTATGGGTGTTCCTCGGAATGATTCGACATCAGGGCCGCTGGATGAAAACTAAGTATCAGTACATGCTTATGTATACCTTGCTGGCAGGAACTGTAGATCAGAGGGCTTAGTGCATACTTCGTGCTCACCCTGGAGCACCACAATTGGGGCTCTATGTGAGATGTAGAATGACCTGTTGAAGCTTTTTTTTTTTTTTTTTTTTTTGTTTCATTTGACTGGGTTCAAATTTTCTGAGTGGTTTGGAAATCGCTGATTCCGAAACAATGACGTTATTCGTTGTTCAACGATCAGTATTCCAGCCCTGAGTCTTTCTCTCGCCATGATCACAATTTGCTGCGTAGACACAGCCTTTTACCACGAGACTGAAGAGGCACCTCTATGCTTTGTTGGGAAGGGGCTAGATCTAAGAACGAAAAGAGGTTCTGTGTGTGGAGCGAAGTACCGTAAGATCCATGCCGACTTCAGTTAAATGGTGTTGTATCAATATAGGTCAAGGGTGTACCAAACAAGCCACTCAGTTTAGGATTTCAAAGATAATGTCTGCTAATCGTGCTATGTGGACTTGTCGTATGAAGCGCAGAAGGTTGTAGTTAGTGTCGATCAACTAGGAAATATCCGAAGCCATCACCACCAAGGGTCACTTTACAGCCACGAATGGGGGTTTACTCAAGATAAACAATCTCTCTCGGGGGACCCATGCTGTTTAGAAAGAAAGCAGGGGTGATAATTTTATACATGAAGGAACAACCCCTTAGAATGGGTGTATGAAGTCCTCAAATATCTATATGATCTTATAGTATGAAAGGAAATCCGCCGGCGGTTCATTTATGCTTATCAAGTGAGTCACATCTGGTTCGCTGAGCAAGATAGGAAAGTCGGAGGAGAAAGACCCCACAAAGTGAGTCCGTGCGTTGTCCAATCTGAGGCTCGGCTTCCTCTCGGCATGCCGATATCAGACCCACAGTTGCATTGCCTCGGGTAAGTATCCCTGGGTACATAAGGTTCTTCATTTCCTACTTTGTTTCTTCTCTCCATATCTCTCATCATGACTACTGGTATTCCCCCTAGTGCTCAGTTTTGCTGTCATTCTGACATATCACAGAAGCTAATACTAGCGCCATTCTGCATCGCGATACTCGTTTCCTCCCAAAGAAATGCGTGGGCGGTAAAGGCAGTTACTTGTTTCTTGAAGACGGAACTACATTTTTGGATTCTACAGGCGGCGCTGCTGTCTCATGTCTGGGACATGGCCATGAGGGAGTCACTCAACTAATCAAGGATCAAATGGACCAGCTGTCCTATTGTCACTCTGCCTTCTTTGGCACTACAGTGGCCGAGGAGCTTGCTACACTTCTAGTTAATTCGACGAATGGGACTCTATCCAAGCTTTTTGTAATCAGCTCCGGTGAGTGAAGCCAGTAACATGGATCACACAAGATATGACAAACTGACATATCTCAAGGCTCTGAGGCTGTCGAGGCTGCACTCAAGCTGGCACGTCAATATTTCTTAGAACTTCCTACGCCTCAGCCAGAGCGTACAAGGTTCATTGCACGTCTACCTTCTTATCATGGTACTACTCTAGGTGCTCTGTCTGCTGGCGGGCATGTCCAACGTCGGCAACCATTCGAGCCTCTCCTGTCCAAGAACACATCCCACGTTTCTCCTTGCTATGCATACCGCAATAAGCTTGATGGTGAATCGGACGCAGATTATGTTGCCCGTCTTGCTGCTGAATTAGATGCCGAATTCCAGCGTGTTGGTCCCCAGACCGTGTGTGCATTCATTGCAGAGCCGGTCGTTGGTGCGGTAAGATTCTCTTCAACCATATCCAGAAAGTTTTCCTGACGGAACCATAGGCCCTTGGCTGTGTTCCAGCAGTACCGGGATACTTCCTAGCAATGAAAGCCGTCTGTGGAAAGTACGGCGCACTCTTCATCCTCGACGAGATCATGAGTGGGATGGGTCGTACCGGAACCCTGCATGCCTGGGAGCAGGAAGATGTCGTCCCTGATATTCAGACTATCGGAAAGGGTCTCGGTGGAGGTTATGCTCCGGTATCGGGTCTCCTAATTAATGATTTTATTGTCCAGATTATGGACAAGGGCAGTGGAATATTCCGCCATGGACAGACATATCAGGGCCACCCGATCTCATGTGCTGCTGCGCTAGCTGTGCAGAAGACTATTAAGAAGGAAAATCTTCTGGAAAACGTCCGCAAAATGGGTGCTTATCTCGAGAAGCAACTGAGACAGCGATTTGAGAACCATCCTTACGTGGGAGATATTCGAGGAAAGGGATTGTTCTGGGGTGTACGTTGCCACATCTCACATTGCTCATTGATCGGATGGTTAAACCTATTACTGACTTTTATTAAAGCTTGAGTTTGTCAAAGACAAGGCTACGAAGGAGCCATTTGATCCCAGCGACCGCTTGTCTTTCCTTATCCAGGAGAAGGGTCTGGAACCGCAATACAGCGTCTCATTGTATGGTAGTTCCGGCACTGTGGATGGAATCAAAGGAGATCATTTGATTCTTGCACCGGCCTACATTGTGTCTAAGGGGGAGATTGATATTATTGTGGACACCCTCGAGAAGGTTCTAGAGGACGTTTTCGCTACGCTACAGAAGTAGGCGTTTATTTACGAGAACAATGAGAATGTTGAAAAACGTGCATCAATTTCAGTGTCGTCAATCTGGAGTTTAGTAGCTACTGAATCAAATAAATGCGGAAAGTCAAATACAGAGCACCAGGTCAAATCATTTGGTGGAATTTCGTTATTATACATGTAACCGAACGTATGTGACAGAACAGACCAGAGATTACTCTTAAGCTTCTATGGCAGCCGCCTTCTTCGAAGCAGCTTCCATCTCAAGCTGCCCATTGGCAGCATTTTCACGGGGCATCGAGCTTTCCGCCCAGAGACCAGCGACAGTCTCAACAGATCGTTCAACAACAACGCGAATACGATCACGTAGAACGGGGTTGCCACATTCAACCTCCAAGTCCTCAAGCCAGACACGCGCAACGTGCTTATCCACCTTGATCTCAATACCAGGGACTGGAATACCCATGGCAATAAGACGATCCATTTCCACAGTCTCGATGTCGGAAACACGTTCTTCGTTCGCCTGGTCTACATCTTCCTCTGGGCCGAGTGCGAGATCGGCTGGAACTCGAGGGCGTTCAATCGGGCCAATGTTGTCACCACCAAATTGTGCTTCCAACATCATTAGCATACGGGCAAGCTTTTCCTGAGGCCCGGATTGGTTGTGTGGGTTAGGAAGGGAAGGCACCTCCATCTCATCGTCGTGGTGATGGTGGTGGTGCTTGTTCTTAGCGGATTCTGATAAAATTCTGGTTAGTATAAAGCTTATGGAGAGGGTGATTTGGATCTTACGCTTCACAGAGGCAGGGCTGCTCTCGACTGTGAGGAGAACAGCCATCACTGCATCCGCAACACCGTCGTTCATCATGTTTCCTTCCCATTCCAACTCGACCTCACGATTCCGCGAATGGTAATGCAGGAATACACATCCCATGACAAGGAATGTTTGCGTTTCGTCAGAAGGAATTTCCTCATCGGCTTCCTCTGGCTTTATGGTCTCGTCGGTGTCGTCGTCATTCTGGGTACTGCTCTGCGATTTCTTGATCGTGCCAACTTCTTCAATAGCTCCGAATGTGCCTTCGAGAGCCCATCTGATCAAGTCCATGCTGGCAGAGCTGAGAGTGATGTGTTGTTTGCAGGAAATAGTTGTGGTCGTCAAACCGGCATACTCTTGCAAGTCGTCAGGAGCCATCAGCGATAGATTGAACCCATTCTGAACAAGTACACCAGCCATGAGCTGGGCATCAGCCTCTTCTGATGGGGGCGCAAGCTCTGCTAGCTTGCCGACAACTTTGGCAATCTTATCCTTCTTGAACGGGATGCGAACTTCATCGCAGTTTGCGGGTGTGTAGACTTTGACTTTGACTGCTTTGTCGGCGTTAAGACTGAGCAGCTTTGACTTTAGTCTCATCATCTGATGTTTCTCGCCATGAACAAGAATCACAACTGGCGCAGCAACCTCTTCGATGAAGGTGCGGTTTTCAACACCATCAACGTGGGCCGCAAAGCTGACTTCGTCAACAGTGCATCGGCGAGGAATCATAACTTTCTGGTCCTCGTCGTTCGCTCCAGGAACACGGCCTCGTCCATGACCAGTAGACACCTTGGACATAACAGCCGGGATCTGATCTGGCTCATTGAGCAATTGCTTGGCCATAGTTCCTTCAACACTGTAACCGGTCATGACAATACCATTGCGATCACTTGGTGCCCATCTTTCGAGCAGCTCACGGCTTGTTCCAGTCTGTAACATACCGGGAGAAGCAAGCATGACACATCCTCCAACATCGTCGAAGCGCTCCAAGCTGCGAAGACTACGGACGAATCGGAAGTCCCATGGTCCGACACTGACACTCTTGTCGCCGCTGGCTTCAGCCTCGGCCATGCGTTGCCGGAAAAGACGCTTGATATTATCGTTCATGGCACCAATGTAGGTTTGGTACACGACCATACACCGACGTGCCATATTTCCAATGTAGTAGATGGGGAACTTTTGAAGCTCGGGGTGTCTTTCCCAATATTCATCGAGAATGAGAAGCAGTTCTTGTGCACGACCAAGGGCAAATACAGGCATCAGAACTCGACCGCCGCGGTTTAAGACACCGGTGATTGACTTCATCAATGCAGCCTCACGTTCTAACCGTGGCGGGTTGGAGGAAATACCGAATGTCGATTCTGTGATAAGGACATCAATCTTTGTTCCCTTGGGCACTGCAGCAGGAATCAAATGCCTGTCCTCCTCGCGAGAGTAGTCTATGAGAGGTTAGTAAATTGATAGATGACTTCGTTCGTGGGAAACAATTACCTCCGGTAAACAGGGTCACAAGTCCAGCAATATCAACCTTGAACATGGCTGCACCAAGGACGTGACCAGCAGGGTACGGCGTAATCCGGATGCCATTGATCGTGTGTGTAGTGTAAAAGTCGATAGTTTCAATCAATGGAAGGGTCGATAAGTGATCACGCTCGGTATATAACGTCGTGCGTTGATCAGAGGAAGAGGATGTGTTGCTGACTCGAACGTTGTCTTGGATGAGCCATTTATAGATTGCGCGAGTGGCGGGAGTCATAAAGACTCGGCCTTTGAAGTTGGTTTTGCTGAGAACATATGGAAGGGCTGAGGAGTGGTCGACGTGGAAACTATGGAAAAAGCACACCGTTAGCCACCGTGAGGGTATAAGGAAACACAAAGCACTCGAATGCAGCGATAGAAGGATACAGGAATACAAGAAATAGTTTCATGACATTCAATTGTATTGGGGTTATCATATATATCAAGGGAGAAAATATGTGCTTCAATCGAGATAGGTCCCGACAGTTGACTCCCAGATCAACCCAAGCTTCACATCGGGTAATGTGAGAGCCTGCACATAATATCCGACATTTTCCCAGAGACTTTATTTTATGCAAAGCGAACAAGGGAAACACGTACTGGCTGATTAAGAGAACATCCACTGTGCTCAGGTCGAATTCGTCAAAGAATGGAAGCGCGGAGAAGCCTTCTTTCGCCGGGTGCATGCCCGCATCAAGCTGAATGAGACAAGAGTCAGTTATTTGAATTGCCGCTATTTGCAGTTTTGACCTACCATGACTGTCTTGCCCTTGTACTCCAGAATATGGCAACTTCGGCCGACTTCGTTTCCACCACCGAGGCAGTAGAATGCGAGCTCGTCTGATGGATCAACGGGTTCGTCATCCACCGCTGTTCCCATAGCTGATGCTTTGCGCTTGGCCGCCATTTTGTCGTAAGTATATCAAATGAGGGAAACTGTAGGTCAATATGTCCTGGTAGAGTCCGAAAAGCAGCCTTTTGGGCGCTGGGGCCCGCGGAGGTTGGAGGCGCTAGATCTCAGAATGCGCTGAGCGCAACAACCACGGCCTGCGCAACGCAGCAATAAGATATGCAGGCTGGTAATTGAAAGAAAGAGGTCAATGAAGTGATGTTACGCGACTCGGATGAAAGAGCAAGGAGGTTTTGGCGCTTAGTCAAGTCACGTGCAAGTCGCGATCCGCGGAGCAAACTCGGCCACGCAGTAAAAGCTCCCTTACCCCATCCACCCTCCCCCTTCAGAAGCCGTCACTTTCGCGTTATACTCAACTGTTGGTTAATATGCGCGTCGCCTCTATGGCCCAGTACGCTTATTGAGATGGTTACAGCTATTGGAAGCTGGCGGTGCGAGCAATCTGCTCATTTCAACGGCCACGCGTGGACGCCTCTTCACATTGAAGACCGCCACGGATCTCCGCAATAGTAACCAGTCCCATCTTTAACTCAATTCTAATCTCACTGTGCCGTCACTATGGCGCAAGCTCGGCATCCCCAGCAGCAGCAGCCGCCGCCTCCGCCGTTCTCTACTCAGTCCTTCTCCCCGCCTGTCTCCTCGCCATCTCCCAACTCTGCTGCCTCGCCCGTGAATGGAGCCGCTGCTCCCCCTCCATCAAAAAGACCCCGTTTATCGCCTCTTCCACCTTCTCAGACACAGTCTCCTTACGGTTCCCCGAATTTTGGCGCAATGCAGCTTCCACCAAATCAAGCTCAAATGAACGGAGCACCGGTTAACATGAATATGAATGTTAACATGACTTCACCCGCCCCTCCTCCCCCGGCACCTCCTGGTACCATGGGACCTCCTTCTCGTCCGGTGGATAAGACGACTGATGCAGCTGAACTGACTGATGTCTTGGCTTCATCTGGAATCGATGTGAGAGAAGAAGAAGCATTCCTCACACGGAGCTTTTCAGGGCAAAATGCGCAGGCGCAGCCACCCCAGCGAGGTCTTCAGATGTCTCACCCTCCACCCATCAACACATCTTTCAATTCTCAGATTTCTACTCCGGGGACACTTTCCGCTTCCAACAGCTTCGGTGAATTGCCTCAGATTAAGCCCGCGATCACCAATGATTCTTTCATTTCCGAGCCGTCTTCGCAAACACCTGTCCCATTCAAGGATCCTAACGAACCGACCCGCGAGGATACTGTGGCAGCAAGACGGGCACAATACCACATCCAAGAACCGTTCTTATTGACGAAACTTCTTGAGCAGAAGCTCCAAAAGCGAGGTTTTGATCTTGGTGTCCGAATTCCAGCCGAGGGTCTTTTCCATCCCGTTCCTGGTCGTCCCCAGCCTATTGAAGTTACTGGTCCTGATGGGTCTTCTGTGGTGCGCACTGGTCAGACCATTCTCAACCAGGATGGTGCTCCTCTCGTCGATATCCTGAACATTTTATCGATATCCTGCGAAGAAAGACTACGAGGTGTCATTGACTATTCCTCATCTCTCGCTCGAAGTCGCCGGGCGCATTCTCATGGCACAGTTCCTGTGGAGTGGAAGGACATTGCGCAACCTCTTGGGCCGACTGCAGGGAACGTACAAACACCTGTGAAGCGTACGCTACCCTTCATGGCATATAATTTGCTGGTTTTAGTCCATCATTGGTCATACTGACATTGTTTACAGGTCCCCATTCTGCCGTCGAATCATCCGGCACAAAGCCCAACCCCGAGCGGTTCCGCACACTTATCCAGAGGGAAGCTTTGCAAGAGGAAAGACGTGCAGCCAAGCGTGCCAAGCGTAATAGCAATGCTATTCTTGGCGAAGCCGGTCGAGCCGAGTCCGTCGACCTCAACGGGTCCGCACCCTCGACCCCTATGGGTGATAAGACACCCGGCTTCGACAAGAAATCCGTCACGAAGAAGGAGTCGAGGAAGATGGTAGACTCGAAAGCAAGCGAGGCTCAACAGCACCAGCAGTCAGTGGAGACAGCGCGCATGGCGCTATCTGGTCGCATGTTCGGTGCCAAAAAATCATACTCATGGCTGAAGTCCGGTGGTCCTGCCAACAGTGGCTTTTCCTCGCCTTCACGTCCAGCTCCTTCTACGCCAACTGCTGGTCCAGAAAAGTCTGGATCTGGGGAATCAGCACCCAGTCAGACCCACCGTCGTCTTGGAACATGGCGCGAAGACCAAGAGAAGGGGGCGGGTATCCAAGTCAGAGATGTGTTGTTCATGCTGGAGGCGGATGGAAGGGGTACTAAGCACGTGCAAAAGGGCTATCTGAAGGATCCCAAAGAGGATCGAGACCGCGGAAACTAATCCGGTCATAACGTTTGTAATCTTATTTCTTGTGTCTCTAATTTTCCTATGCTCGTCGCGGCTATATTCATTGTGGCTTCGACAAGGAGTTTCTGCATTATCTGCGTGTTCTGGGCGGCGTTGGTTGTGAGGGTGAAAGGTGATGTTTCTTGATTTCTTCATCTACAGGTTGAGCATACATCGTTCGTGGCGATAGAGGGACTCTTGTACCTCGTTTCTTATGTCTTGTCGCCCTTTGATATGCCAACTCCTCAAATTACACGTACTCGAAATGATCTGCTATTTCTTTCTACGTAGAGTTCGCTTTAATCATTGAAATGTATCAATATAGCCTTACTATCTGTGCACTCATTGGCCCAAAGCTTCACGGGCCTGGGCTATTTCCGCTTCAGATGGCATATTGACAATGGCCAAGTATAAAACCTTCTGCTGCCGCAGTTTCGCAATCGGCGTAAGAAGACCAATGTTTTGCCCGGAGCCACCACGACGGGCTCGTCGATCAAGCACTCTGTCTTCACCTCCCGCCTCATGTGCACTCGAGCCATGAAACCCTGTCTGTCTGGGCGAGCGAGAGTCTTGAGCTTCCCTCCACCCCCCAATGATACCTCTCCCCAGAGGTCTACCGTAAGGGGCATAAGGAGCAGGAGGGTTAGACCGTGATTCACTTTGCAAGTAATACTCGTGACTGGCGTTTGAATCCTGGCTGTATGAACTGCGAGTATGTCCAAGACCCGGACGAACACCCCTCAGGCTCTGCAATTTTTCAGTGGAAAAATGACCTCCAGTCACCAGGGCAAGCAGGTCACCGCTACTGGCAGGGTGATTGGGATCGGCATAGCGCGAAGTAAATGTCGGCTTTGGCCCTTGTGTCAAATGGCTGTCGGGATTGCTTGTTGCCTAGATTAGTTGCATTAGCAATGAGACTTTATGTAGCCGTTACATTCACTCACGAATTCAGCTTGGGCACGCTTGTCCCAGTAGTTGCTCACGAACTCCCTCTTCTTCTTGGTCTTTGATAGCTTCTTTTCTGCATCTTCGTCCGAAGCTAGCTGGTCAAGCCCTGGGAATACTAGAGGAGCAACTTCATGGAATAAGTTGCCATAGCCTTGTCCATCGGAGGACTTGAACTTGTGCCGCAGACGACCGATCATGTCTGAACCCCCTCTATCTGTGGCTTTGAAGATCATAGAGTTCAAATCCAAAGTAGTAGACGGTGCATCCGGCAATTCAGGATTCCAGGTCATAACCAGACAGAAGAGACCACGAGGCTGGAAGAATTCTTGATTCATCTTATCGAAGAATGTGTTGGACCTAATGAAACACGTTAGTAGATCTTTCAGTGATAAACAATATGACTTACCTCCGGGCCCCATCAACAGCAATTGCAACATCAGTAGCAATTTGAATGGCAATAGAAACCGCAATTCCCGTGGCAGTAGGCATAAAAATCGTTCCAATCGATGCCAAGTTAATTGCATTCAACCAACGCGCACCCTGACAAGCCTTCTCAGCCGTATCCAGGAACTCGGAAAACATAGGCTGGTCGATGCCAAAGCCAGCAAGGTCCGGTGCATAGGCACGGATGAAGCCGCGCTTGCGGTTCTTGGGTCTACGCTGAGGTAAGAGAATTGGTGCAGGGAGTTGTGGTAGGTGAGTTTCACCAGTCGGCGAGTATGCTGGAGGTGGATACTCTGATGCAAATCGGTGAGCCAGACTTGCTTCGTCAAGGGCTTCTTGAGCTTCGCTGTATCTTGGGGGAGTTTCTTGGTCTCCAGGGCTACGCCTTATTTCGTCTTGGGCTTCGTCGAGCTTCCATTGCTCTTCTAAGGAGCCTATCGCGGTTCTCTCGGAGAGAACATGTCCGTCGTCGTGCTCATTTAGGTTGCGCGTGCTGCTCTCCGAGGAACCTGTTGGTTTTTTCTCTTCTTTGTTTGGAATATTTCGTGGTTCCTGCTTCTTTGCCTTGTGCGCGGATATAGATTCCGAGACGAGACCTATGCCTGCTGCAAGGCCTTTGACGGCTTTGGATCCTAGGTTTGACATGACGTCAAAGTCGTTATTTGTATAAGTTGTCAAGAAAATAATTATTATATTGGAAAATATAATGTTACAACAGCAGAGCAATAGCAGTTTATATAGGACCGTGAGGTTATACTCAGCCCAGAGGTCATCACTCCCGTCCGCCAGTCGCGAAGCATGCCTTTATAGGCATGCAGCTGGTAGATAAAAATTAGGCCCAAAAGAAACCCCCCCCCCCCCCGCTCGACTTTAGGGCTGAGTGGCTATGGTTCTACAAGAATTAACGTTAAGTCAATGTATGTAATACTCTGTAGTGGTCTAAGGCAGAGATACACTAGGGTAACTAGGCCTCACAGCCACACCCGATTAGGGCAACACTGCGACCGGGTGCTAAGCCCGGAGTATCGAGTTTGCCGCTTTGCTGTGGGGATTTGCATAGCTTGAAACATGTACTCGTTTGTTTCTTTTTACCTGTCTATTCCGGTAAATTGATTTTGGTTTTGGTTTTCGGAAATAACCCCCGAGGCAGCTCGGACTTCAGAACCGCGACGGCATGAACGATGTATATGCAATCCTTTTAAGGTAAAGTGTAAGAGTAATTTTTATCCGAAATATATGCTGTTTAACTGGAAAAAGAAGAGTGACAAGCAAGAAGCGGTGAACACAATCGTATAACCTGAAGATATATACTGTGCCAGTTCCTTTAAAGTTATTGACCTCTCGTTTTTTTTTTTTTTTTGGTGCAATGCTAGCCAGTCCATAGAAGACTAGGCCTTTTTTTTTTTTTAATTTCAAGCGACTCATCTGATCCACAAACCTCCTTTTCTATCCGAGATATGCCACTGTACTTCGTATATTGGGATCATCACCGTGGACCTACGCGGCTACACTTCCTAGATCAGCATGTCCCCCCATTTATGCCTCACTATATTTTTTAATTTGCAATGCCTAGTCTCAGAAGCTTGCACCAGTTCGCGCTGAGATGTTTGGCACTTTTACATGTCAGGCAAACCGAGGATCACCGGTTGAACCATTCAATATTTGATTCTTGCTTATACTTAGATTGTCTCGAGGTGGCTATTTCCCCATTCTCCACTGATATTTCTTGATATTTTTACATGTTCTTCTTGCACTCCTTAGAATGCTTTTGTCTATCTATTCTTCTGCTTCAAAGGACTTGAATCCCTTGGTCAGCTGGAATGTCACCTAGGATGATGCGGAGAGTCTACGGGGAGCCACACCCGCCCTTCACGCTGGTTTTTCATATTCCGCCCACAAGCCCTGGCGCTTGACGTATTCCCGTCGAATCAATCATGTTACGGGGTGTTCTTTATGATGGGGACTGTGTGGATTGAGCTGGACTGGAGCGTTCGGTTAAAGCCAGGGCTTGGACGTGCTCCCCGGTGGCGTATCCAAGACCCTCTCCAGACTTTGATTTCATTCCGGATGTGCGATTGGCACTGGAATGAGGCCATAATATCCCGCTGATCCTGTCTGGGAGGCCCGTCCGCCTGCCGGACACAGTAGTCTGTATAGCAGTCCCAAGGGTCAAAAAAGAATAGGTATATTATTAGGCTGTCCGGTATATAGGAAGAGATATTTCATGTCTTGCAAGTCAATCCAAAACGAGGTAAAGTCTCAAAAGTAAAGAAAAAAATAGGCTATCAAGGTGAGGTTACCGCGTAGATCGGCAACGTCCCCCAACTCTCCGACTCTCCCATCTCTCGCCTTCTCCCCCTCCAATGTCGCCTCGTTCAATGATTTCAGCTTTCCTTTGAGGAAGTGCACTTTTGGTACACTTTGTGACTTCTTCGCGTCCCCTCGATTTGATTTCCTCTTGCTTGGCATATCTTGCCCGTTTCTCTCTCGAGAGTCGCGCACAACGACCATCGGTCATCGGCCGTGAATTCCTCCAATCTCTTCTTCCTCTACCGTTTATCTGACGGATCGGACTTCGTGCACCATGTCCACCCCCTCCACGGCCACTGCAACCCATCCTTCCCATCACCAGGCTTACGGATACCCTCACCACCCCTACCAACCGAACACCTCTTACCCGACTCCCACTACAGGAGCTCGCCTCGCGAACTCCTACGCTTACTCCGTCCCCTCTCCAACGACCAACAACCTCCCGTACACTCAACCTCCGAGACTCCCTCCGGCGACATCGACCCCTTCGGCCATGACCCATCAGAGCGGCTCCAGCGTGGCTCCCTCGGTGGGAGGCCGGAAAAAGAAGCCAGACTGGACTGAGTTCTACAAGAATGGTCTTCCCAAGGAGGTCATTGTGATTGATGATAGCCCCGGACCAGAGTCCAACGCGGCGGCTCCTTCGGGCAATACGTCTACTGCGAGAGCACCTCCTGCTGTTCCGCAACCCGCCGGCAAGAGGCGACGAACGGGAATTGAAACCGCCTACGATCTGGGTCATTATGACCGTCCAGCTTTTTCCATCAACCCACAGCAATATGGCGACAACTCGTCGGCTTCACTGTCCACAGATCGCACCACTTCGCTACACACAACTGCGCCTACATCGCTCGGTTCGCAGGGCAGCTCTGGTGCTCCCAACGGGGTGTATTACGAGGATGCCACCGTGGGCCAAAAGCGGAAGCGCGTCGCCACGCGAAAATCGACTCGCGATGAGCAGAAAAAACGAGAGTTGGAGACCACGGGCGATGCCTTCCTGAGCTACGTACCGCCTCCGAAACCACCCATCAAGGCCAAGGATGTCCATGTGCCGGTCGTTCGCGATGTGAGTCCCTTTTTTTCGTCCCATTTCGCATGCGATTACTAACAGATTTTACTTTTCTAGAGCACAAGCGCTCAGAACAAGAAGTTCGACGATGACGATGGTCACTACATCGTCACACCCGATACACCGTTGACGGATCGATGTGAGTACCAATTTCTCTTGGTCTCAAGATTATACTGACTCTTTAGACTCTGTTATCAGGCTCCTGGGCCAAGGTACATTTGGCAAGGTGGTGGAGGCCTACGACAAGCACCGCAAGTCTCGCTGTGCTGTCAAAATCATCCGCTCGATTCAAAAGTACCGCGATGCCTCCCGAATTGAGCTGCGAGTCTTGTCAACTCTATCTTCAAACGACAAGACCAACCGCAACAAATGCATCCACCTGCGTGATACCTTCGACTTCAGAAATCACATTTGCATTGTCACAGATTTGCTTGGACAGAGCGTGTTCGACTTCCTCAAGGCAAATGCATTTGTACCTTTTCCGAGCAGCCAGATCCAACAGTTCGCCCGGCAACTGTTTACAAGTGTTGCTTGTAAGCCTCTCGCTCTTCTCATCCCACGTTCCAACTAACCCAATCTAGTCCTTCACGACCTTAACCTCATCCACACCGACCTCAAACCCGAAAACATCCTTCTCGTCAGCAACGCCTACCAGACATTTACCTACAACCGTTCTGTCCCCACCTCTTCTCACGCCTCAGCTCGCAACGCACGACAGCGCCGGGTACTCCTCGATAGCGAGATCCGCCTCATCGACTTTGGCTCGGCCACGTTCGACGATGAATATCATTCCTCTGTTGTCTCCACTCGCCATTACCGGGCCCCCGAAATCATTCTGAATCTCGGCTGGAGCTTCCCATGTGACATCTGGAGTATTGGATGTATCTTGGTGGAGTTTTTCACCGGAGACGCCCTCTTCCAGACACACGACAATCTCGAACACCTTGCCATGATGGAGGCTGTAATTGGCGGCCGCATCGACCAAGCGTTGGTGAAGAGAGTAATGGCGGGGGGGAAATCAGGTGGTAGCAACTCTGCCTCAAAGTAAATTTGACACCCCCAAAATCATCATAACAGACACTGACTTTGCTTAGATACTTCGCCCGGAGCAAGCTTGATTACCCCAATAATGAAACCACTCGGGCTTCGCGCAAGTATGTGCGCGCAATGAAGGGTTTGACGGTATGTTTACTCGTATCTTCATACTAGCTCACTCGCTGACCCAACTATCTAGGAGTTCATCCCCACCACCACACCTTTCAACCGTTCATTCCTGGACCTGCTGCAGAAGATCTTCGTCTATGACCCGAAAAACCGGATCACCGCAAAGGCGGCACTCAAGCACCCCTGGTTCAAGGAAACCCTTGTTGATGATGGCACCGAAGCCTACCGCATTGGCCAGGGACTTGCTCGTCAGCAACAGCAACAGCAACAGCGGGTTTGAGCTTTTTTTTCTTTTTCGGTTTACAGGTATAGCGGCCAATACTCGGCCTTGTCAGCATGGGAAGGGAATTCACCGGCGTGAAAGGATCCAATTATGGATAGACAGCTTCATATCTCGAGGGTAATCTTTGTTTCTATGGATGGGACGGAAAGGTGTTTTCACTGGCAAAATCATGATCACGATGTTTTTTATTTCTTCGGCCCTGGGTCGCAGGATCTCATGCAGTCTTTGCTGTATACCGGTTTGTGGCACCACATGGCATCAGCCCGGCTTCCTGCATGGCTCTGGGTGCAACTCATATCCTAACCTTATTTGTTTATCTATTATGCCTTAAAGGCTCTGGTTACATGTTATTGCTTTTTTTTTCGCGTTTGAGGAATCCGGCAAGCTTGGAAGGATAGGCTAAGTTCGGATGATTATACCATTTTGATTTTGGCGTCCAATGGTTTAATCGTATGGGGGTGTATATAAGTTCAATTCAGGGAGTTTTACTCTCAGCTTCCATTCTGTGATATCTGGATGTCTGTCTTTTGCTCTTTCGGGGCGGAATAACCCGAACTGCATGTATAGCGCAGATGAGTATCTGATAGAATCTAATGGAACAGGACAGGGTATAGATAGCAAGCTCTACAGTACAACTTGTACCTGGAAATCAAATGTTCCTGCATGTCGATCTCACATTCTTCCATCTGATCTACACATCTCGAACGACTCCAATATACCCCTCATCAACTCCCAACATGCACGAAATCACCATCTCCAACTTCCACGGATTGCTGCGCCAGGATCCTTCCAATGGTCCAGCACTGGTAGCATATTACCTGGAAGCAATCAAGCAACACGACAGCATACTCAGGACCCTTATAACAGTCAACCCAGAAGCCCTCCAATCCGCCGAACAAAAGGCCACAGAAACCGAAACATTCAACAAAAACAACACCCCCTACCCAGCATTGCACAGTATACCCATAATCCTCAAAGACAACTATGGTACAGAAAAGCTCCCCACCAGCGCAGGAGTATCAGCCCTCCAAACCCTTCGCACAACCAACAGCGAAGTAGTAACCCGCCTCCTAAACGCAGGCGCAATAATCCTCGCCAAAGCAAATCTTCACGAATTCGCCTTACAAGGGACAACCTCCTCCTCCCTGGGTGGCCAGACCCTCAATCCATACGATGCAAGTCGCACGCCGGGCGGTTCGTCCGGTGGCACAGCAGCAGCACTGGCATGTAACTTGGGACTCGTGGGTTGCGGGACAGATACGATGAACTCGCTCCGCTCTCCAGCATCAGCGTGTGGAATTGTAGGATTCCGCCCGTCGACAGGGCGAATCTCTTGTACTGGTCTTGTACCTGTTTCTGAGACGCAGGATGTTGCAGGGCCTATGGGGAGGCGTGTTTGTGATGTGAGGGCTTTGTATGAGGCTATGAAAGATAAAGATGGAGATAGATCGATTGCTACATCGATATCCTCTCGCAGACCACGCCGCCAAATTCGAATCGGAGTCCTGGAGGCATACTTCCCACTCGAGGGATCATGTCGAGAGTCGGAGCTGCTCTCTGAGAACAAGATCATACAGGATATCATTCGAAACAGTCTATTCTCTGTCGCATCTCAAGATGAGGATATAATCCTAGTCCCAATTCCACAATCCAGCCACCCAGACTGGAGCATCACAACACTCCTCGAAAAAGCCGACACCCAAGCCTTCGAATTCAAGCACTACCTGGACAAATTCCTCCAATCACCATGTATAAAATCAACGCCACATTGCACCCTCGATTCAATCATCCGAAGCGGAGATTATAATCAAAAAGCCTCGACGTATGTCTTGACAGCTGCACTCGAAGACGCAGAAACATATTCGCCCGGCAGCGTGGCTCATAAAGAGCGATTGAAGTATATCGCCTCACTGAAAGAATCACTAGCTGAATGTTTCGATGCATATGATATCGATGCATTAGCTTATCCACATCAACGACAGTTGCCCGTGAAAATTGGGACTACGATACAGCCTGGTCGGAATGGAGTTTTGGCTGCTTTGACGGGGAGGCCTGCTATTTGTATCCCTGGTATGTTATCTATCATTTGATCATCCGGATAGTGCACAATTTGGCTTTACTAATATTGTGTGATTAGCTGGAAGAAGCCCCAGCTCCGAGTGTGCTGTTCTGGGTGTACCCGTTGGATTAGAGCTCATGGGTCGCCGGTGGGAGGATGATGAGTTACTTGATATTGCTGAGCGAGCTGAGGGAATTTTGGAGGCTAGAATAGCACCTGACTTGAATTGATTGAATGAGACAAGTATAAATGGTAAGGAAAGAGGTTGGCTGTTGTTGCAGAAGACGAGAAGTATGATCTATACGATCCAATGATAAGTTGTATCAGATGACTGTCTATAAGTATAATCAGAAAATAAGACGAGTCATGTATCAATATCCTGCATGGCTTGTCGCAGAAAAGTAAGAGTATACTGGCGACATCCATGGCTTAATGCTAGAATGCCATTTTTGGGCATCTGAACCTTGATTTGGAGTGCACAAATGTGAATGAGTAATCATCCGATTACTTGCGTGGTCTAATGGTCATGACGTCTGATTCACAAATGAATCTCACAATTCTCAGAAGGTTCCCGGTTCGATCCCGGGCGCGAGTACTTCCTTTTTTGCCTTTTATTTCTATGACCAGGCTCTGATCGATTGGCACTCCAAATTCATCCATCAATCAATGTACAAATTGTGCGTTTTGTGAAATTTACATTTCCTTTTTGTTCATTTATGCTGTAGTGGCAAGTTAGTTAACATGACTTTGCATAGGACTAGAATATAAGCAATAGGTTTTGATAAAGCCATAATATATACGAACACTGTAAAGATAATATAGGGGGCCACATATTATCAGAATCTTCTACAAGGTACAATAAAGCCTATCTATGTGTGCACGCACGGCTTCTCTTTGAACGGCCCCATGGGGTTAGTTAGATAGATACGAAGAGCATTTGTGTGCCTTATGCATTTTCAATAATAAATGCCAAAAATATTAAGATCTTTATTCAGCACTTGCGTGGTCTAATGGTCATGACGTCTGATTCACATAATGAATCATCCCATTCTCAGAAGGTTCCCGGTTCGATCCCGGGCGCGAGTACTACTTTTTTGCTTTTCCAATTTCTAGATTATATTTCCTACGACTTTCTTATTCTTCTTCAAATTTTTTTTTTAAAATCTAGTTACTTAGATAACTGATTCTAATCTACATTGCCTACATGGCAGACTTCTTTTTGTACGCCTGGTCCGATTGATAGGCATAAAATCACTTATACAAGTAGCCGATCACTATACACTGTTCATAATTATATTTGACATCCTATAGCTAGTTCCGCTATGGGATATTTCGCGATGCTAGGTAGTTCAGATTAACTCTATGTGATAACGCAATTTACTATATCAACAATGACATGTATAGATCTATGTAAGCTTGTATAAAGCAAAGAGCATCAAAATGTAAAGATGCAAGCCGAAAAGAACGACCAAAAGTAACAAGTATCCGTCAACCAATACAATGCAGAAGCACGCTGTTCAACGCCGAAACCCAATATTTACATTCCGCGGTTAAACTCAACCATACCCTGAGCACCACCCCGACCCTGGAACTCCTCCTCAAGACTAGCAGCACTGATAGCCTGACGAGAGGGGAAAGCAGCAAGGGCAAGCGGCAAAGCAAAGAGCGAAGTACCCAAGATAAGCGCAAGGTTGACAGGCATAACCATACGGGGACGAGCACGTAACCACTCCGTCTTTTCAAGCTTAACCAAGATGAGAGGTGGCAGAACCATGATGGGCGTGGCATTCAGAACACGCGAGATGGCAGTTTCACCAACAGCCAGAGTAGCGGCCTTCTTACTCTTACCGAGACTCTGGACAGGCTCAGCGTCCTCGATGGCCTCACGCTTGGCACGCTCCTCAGCCGAGAGGACGGGGTAGACGTCGATACCCTGGCGAATCTCCTCACCGCGCATGAGGAAGACGTTCAAGGCGCTGGCACTGGCGACGGCCGCGAATGGGACGAGACGAGAGAGGATGAGACGGGTGTTGGGGGAGATGCTCTTGAGACGGGGAACGAGGGCCTTCAGACCGAGGGCTGTGGAGCAGGAAGCAGAGACGGCCATGAGGTATGACTGGGCGATCTGGGATGTGGAGAGGGGGGTAGATTTGTTTGCATTTGCGTTGTTGATTGCGACGTTGAGGGATTGGTTGCCGATTTGCCAAAGGAGGGTGCCAGATGTCTATCATATCATACCATTGTTAGTATTTATTCCATTATTCGAACGGGGTTGGAGATATAGGAAATGGAGATATGGGAAATACTCACTCCGAGTCCTGGAGTCAACATGCCCGCAGTGACGACCAAGTTCGAGAAGACATAGGCTGACATGCGGAAGGGGAGGAGGACAGGTGTGCCGGTGTCTGCTAGCCGTTAGCCAATTGCCCAGCATATACAAAAGTAGATCCCAAACCAGGGTGCAAAGTCGCATCGACGACCTTCTTCGCGGACCACAACTCAGGCGTCATGGCAGGGATACGGTTCTGCTTGTAGGAAGCAATGAGGTTCTTGGCATTCTCCAGACCAGCGCCGGAGACGAAGAGAGTCCTGCAATTGAGGATTAGTATGTATGCAACGCCAACCCTCTCATTCACAACTTACCGAGGATCAGCAATGTCGACGGCATGGCGCACACGACCCCAGTAGGTGGCAAGGTCGTATTGTGAAGCAGGGAGATCCCGGCTGCCAGGGAGAGAGGCAGACATAGCGAATGAAGCACCCGAGTAAAGAATGTGTATAGAGTGTACTGAGAGAGAAGACTATGATTCCGCGGGGAGAAAGTGGTTTTTCGATAATAAAAGGCGGTGAGGCGATAAAGTATAGATTGGCCAATCAGCGGTCTGATCTGATCTATGTCGGAACTCTAATTCGAACTTTTCAGGGCGCCTTCGAACAACATGAGAGGGCTGGTCGAACTATGGGGTATCTTTGCGGGAAGGAGGACAGCCAAAGCAAGCAATATTTCGGTTTTCAATGAGCAGGTCAGACTCAAGACTAGATAGGTCGTGTCTGACTACATCTATGCCGGCCCCTCTCCCGAGATCGGGTCGCCACGCCGATATGCGGGGCTCTGGTAGACTACTGTACTCGAATAAATAATGTATAAGCATAGAGTGATTTTATTCTGGTTTGTCCAGAATGTGAGGGAATAGTACATAGGTATCATGAGGGGCCACAGGATTAGGAAGGGGCAGGGTGGCCTGGCTAATGCATCGTATAAAGAGCCCGGGTGGGCAAGAATGACACAAAAGAAACAAGGCAGTCTTCCACTGATCCAGTATTATCATGTTTACCGGAAGCGGTAGGACTTGTGGGCCAAAGGAGAGGGAGGGGCATTTCCCGTGGGCACGTAAGAGGTTCGGACACGGCGCTTCTGTCTTGATGGTGTTTGGGCACAGAAGACGCAGACGTATACAGAGGGCAAGTTTGCTCGCTCCAATCCGACGCATCTGGTGTGTAGCCAGTGTGTGCATGATTCACTGTGACTTGTTAGAACAAAGCAGCACTCGACATGTTCAAATAGACTCACCATTGAATCATGAGATGGCCACCATTATCCATCGAGCGGCAGACACATCGTGTACCATTGCTTGGATTGCTATGACGATCTGTGCTGGGTGTGGCAAGATCGGGGTCGGTCAGAGTGGTAGGAGAGGCATTGTGTCTGGGGTGAATATCGAAATCGCTGCCGAGGCGCGGAGGGGATGACCGGAGGTGAGTGAAGGTATGGGATGATCGGGAAAGCCGGTTGTTAAAGGTATTCAAAGAAGGTCTAGGCCCACGGCCACGTTCTTTAAGGACCTGTCGGAGTGCATGTGTGGCATCACCACTATCGTCGTCCTCTCCGGGCAACGAGTCGGATGCCGCGCTGCCCCGGGTATAGGTAGAGTCGGAGTGAAGCAAAGAAGAGTGTCGCTTGGGGGTCCGCTTGATATCAGGAGATCCGCGGCGGTTCACTCGCCCGGCTCCTCTTGAAGAGCCAGCCCAAGGCGACATTCGACCCGAATGGGAAGAGCCGACAGTAGAAGCATATGAGCCCTTTGAAAGAGGTCGAGAGCCGGAATCGCTGCGGGAAAGTGGACGCCGGTTGAGGTCAAAGATCGAAAAGGAAGACTGGGCACGGTGTAAAACAGGATAATCTGAGTACTCAGCCGGGTCGGCTTCACTCTCGGTTGCAGAGCCATCAAGATCCATCCCAGTCAGAGGATCAGTCAATCCAGTGGCACCCTCATCGACAGGCTCCATTTCAGCCTTTGCACGGCCATCCCGGCCAATACGAAGCACCACAGACGAGGAACGCGTGGGCAAGCCCGTGGCAACCGAGTTGGCCCGAGCCAAGGGGGTAGGGCGCATCCCTTTCGCCGGAGACGAACGCCCCTTGGAGGGGCTCTTGCGGATCCCGCTCGTGGATGCCATCATACCCCCAGCTTGGCTAAGTGGCCGGTGGGAGCTAGTGATAGCAGTGTGAGTTACACTGCGGGTCAGCCCTGGTCGTGTGCCCCTCGGTGTAAAATCGTCATCTTCCTCCTCGCTTTCGCTCAGACCAACAAACGATGGAGGTCGCTGCCCGTCTGGTGCCTGAGCACGGAGAAGCTCCTCCCGTTTCGACTCTTCCGCCTGGTGGTGGTAGGGCTGCCGAATGCCATGCAGAGTCCTCATCTGCGGCGTGAGATGCGGACCACCAAACCGTCGGGCGGGAGAGCTCAGGAACAAGGCTGGATCCTCCGCCTTGGTGACCGGGACCCGGGGAGAAGTCGAGAACGGAGCAGGGAAGAGAGCAGCATCTGTTGGCGGTGCTGCCGAAATCCCAAACCCGTTCCCAAACTCAGGGAGATCAATTGAGTTATCGATGGTTGGTAGCTGAGGAATGTGGTGTGTGTCGGAGTTTTGACGGGAATCGAAGGCATTGTTGCTGGGCAGAGGAACTTCACCGGCGTTTTCTAGATCCTGATCCCAGAACAACCGCTGCTGTGGGAAGAAAGGAGAGCCCGTGGGATCCAAGGAAGCCAGCTGGAACAAGTCGGGCGAGGACTGCAGGTTGCCAAACATGCGAGGAGACGCCCCCAGAAGACGACTCGGCGTTTCCAAGTGACCCATGCCCCCTGAGCCGTCCACCTCATCGAACTCGGGGATCTTCCGCCTCGACGCACTGGTAGGAGGGGGTGTTTGCATCGACGCCGCTGACTTGGCCGAGCCCATTGGAGGGTAGTCTTCGCTCGCACTCTGGTTCGGCCTCACTGCACGAATCCGCCTAGCCGTATCGGTTTCCGCCCTCTGATCCCTCCCCTTGTAGCTCTCCCCATGACTCGCCTGTCCCTTCAAGGTCGAGTTGGGGCCGAACCTCTGGGGTGTACGATGCAGCTCCGGACTGGAGGCATAAGGGTCGGAGGTATCCCAGGTCACTCTCGGATCGAAGAAGCTGGACTCGAGTTTCGGGGGAAGTCGAACGAAGCCGGAGTCCTCGTCGGCGTTTGCGGTTCGGGATAGCTGAAGCTGAAGAAATCCATGAGTGACTATAGAACAAGAGAACCCCGCAAAGCATACCTGTGAACAGGATCCCAACTCATGTCAGCACCATTGAATGTCCCTGGCAACCTTAATGAGCAGAATGTGAGGGGAGCATTGAAGGGTAAAATGCTGATCAAGGGATGAACGGAATGTTTTTCTTTTTCTCAGTTCGTTTTTTTACGTGGGGACTTTTCTTTGACCTCCACTGATATCCACAGCTATTCCGGACTTTATGCAGGAACGGATAACATCTAACCAGGTTACAGCCTGGAGCCTACAAAGTGTACAGCCTAGATCTGAGCCCTGTTATGGATCACATTTGCAGGGAAGTGCGCCTATCACCTCCTTAGGCCGCTAAACTTGCCCTTGGGGGCGCCGATCCAGACCAAACCGAAACGAGATCCAGCCTCGGGGCAGTTGAAGACGAGCCACTCGGCGAACTTGATTTGCTGCGCTTTGTTCTTTGCGGTTTAGTTCCGGAGTAGCCAGTCCAATGACGACATGATCCATCGGCCACCCCGTATACAGTACATAAAGAAATCAGAGTGGTGTTGGGGAAGTTGTAGAAGGCAGGAAGGGGGAACTCTATAAGTTCCTCTGTAACGTGACCAACATGTACAGTTCAACGTTAACTTACCCCTGGCATGCCCCTACCCACTTCCAGGTTTCTTTCTCGGCTCGGAGTTAACACAATCTTGAGATCGGCGGATCTCAATTTGCTGTTTCTGGGGTGATCCATATCATATATAGATCTCTAATCCACTACTCTACTCCATGTTATGTTATATCATATCATCTCCTACAGTGCACGGAGTAGTAGCGTGCAAAATCTTGCTCGGCGTAAAGTCTGTCAGAGAGTAAGACAAAGCCCAAAAGGGCCGGCTAAATACCGGGAACGTGCATTGGGGCCAAATGTCATAAGTACCAAATAGGAGAGAATTATCTCATGAGGCATTCAAGCATAGTACAATATACCTTGTAGTAGATACTCACTTATAATCATCTCACTGTCAATTTATTCAGCTTAGTTAAAGCGAAAGGGATATTGGCCTGTCAATTTAGGTATTAACTCAGCCACAGCGCCACAACGCCACAGGGTGCCTGGCGTGAAGCATCAAAGATCATTCATTGTTGACTTCAAACATGTCCAAATACAACATATGATGAACAACCCTTGACCTAATCTGATTGGACTTGAACATCCTCCACATATCACAAAACTGCGTCAAAATCATCGCCCTGACGCTCCTTGTTTGAGCCATCCCACCCAACATGGCGGATGTAACCAAGCCCAAAGCCCGCAAGGGCAAGCCTCACCGCAAAGGAAAGAAGAGGCGTGTACGGAATCGTGGTGGCAAGGCCCGCCCCGCGGCGCCAGATGCGGCTCAGACTCAGCCACTATCAGAAGTGCTCAACGAGACCAAACCAAAGAAGCGAACAGCAAAGCCATGGACTGCTGTTGTGCCTGTCTCGGATGATCCACTTGAACAAGTAAGTTCCATCTGACTCGATGGTTAGATCATCCAGGTAACATATCCCATGCAGAATATTGTCGAGCGTGTCCCTATGCCCGAAGAATATATCTTTGTCCCCAAAGGCGATGTGTACATCACACGACACTGCCGCAGTAAGACCAAAGAATCAAACCAAATAGTCTATCTAGTCTACGTAAGACAACCCCCCTCCCCTCTCCAAAAACATGATATCGATTCTAACATACATCCCAGAAACCAAACGGCAAACACACACTCGGAATCCGAGTCCCATCAGAAATTCACACAACAGTCCTCGAGTCAGCAGAAGCAACAGCAGAATCACGCGCAGACGCAGTAAAAGTTCGTGACGCAAACGATGCCCGCAAAAACCGCAAACTCCTCATGGAAGAATTCCCTCTAATGCCCGAGGCAAGCCTGGAGATTATTCTCGACCATGCATTCTTGAAAGGATCTGGACGGGTGGGCAGGACGGCTCGGATATCTGATGAACATCGGATACATTTGGCTGTTGAGGCTCATATTCGCCATGTGAGGACGGACTATGATAAGCTTCTTGATGAGGGTCTTGAGCGGCATGAGGCGAGGAAGCGGGTTTGGGATGAAGTTCAGGCTATTGAGCGGGCGTGGCAGGGCTCTACGATCAAGAAGGAGGAGGAGGTTGAGAAGGATGAGAAGGGACATAGTCCATTGGCTTTGCGACTGGCGTGATAGAGATGAGTTTGGATGGATTGATGGTTTATGCATTTTCGGGGCTTGTTTACATTTTGTGGCTAGAATATGGCTACATGGACAGAGACGGTGATATTGTACTGGCTCTGCTAGGTGTTATGGATTGCAATGAGAATATGATCAGTTACTTTGAGATCAGTAGATGGAGTTGGAGATATACTTGTGTCTCGATAGATGTATACACAATAAAGAAATGATCCAGGCAGAAAGAAAAAGAGTATCGTGGTCCAGATGGATCAGACTACAAGCTATGTACATCCCCCGACTATGTCTTCGTATCCGTATATTCTCATCTCTTGGTCTCCACAATTGTGTATAATTTCAACGCAACCCATTTTGCAATCCGTCTCCTATATCCTCGCCTCCTACTTACTTCATGGCCCGAGGTAAATCGAAACTAAGCCGAAACTATTTCAAATCTCAGCACAAGACATGATCAGGCGAAATTCAAAGTTGTCTTGGTAAAGGGAAGCACGGGGGAAAACCAGCCCTGTCGTCCATCCTCGATTATGAACACTGTTATAGCCAGCGAGAACAGACAGAGTCAATGGCATGGTGGCGATCCTTAGATACAAGTGATTCATGAACGCAACCTGAGGAAGCGCAGCGGGACATTGCGATTAGGGTGTCAAATTGGGCCAATGATGTAGAGGTGAGCCGCGTTCAGAATGGCAAGGACATCACATAGTCCGCAAAGGATAGGGACATAGAAGACATGAAGATGCATCATGATTGGGGGGGGCGATAATCAGGAGGAAATCGGTTACTGGAGTCAGAATGCTGCATGGTTGATGTGGTATTGGAGCTTGAGCTTGAGCTTTGGAATCAAAAATTGCAGCGATTGTGAGCCTTGCCGGTAAAATATCCTAGACAAGCATATCATGTTGAGGACGCCACGTACAAAGAGGTGTCCCCACCCATATATGACTCGAAGCAGCTAGCGTCCATGAGAAAGAACAACTTTGCCAGGGCTGTTGTGCAATTGTATATTTTTGTTCGATGCTGGAAATTCCGTAGTTCTAATGCAATGATTGCATAGCCACTGCCCAACATCCGAAATGCCCCTATTGTAGAATCAAGCTTCACAGAACGTGGCTGGTCCCACTCTGATGCCAAGACCCACTGATCTCAACTGTAGGGCTGCACGTTTATAGATATGAAATAGTCGACAACGGTTCTGATCTTCTCTATATAGTCTTTCATAGCTACTGTATACTCGTCTATTCAAATAGACCAAGAATAGAACGCTGATCTGCCAAGCAGCCAAGCCACACATCTCCACAATAAGCACACAGGGTCCAACCCGGTCAAACCATATTCGAAGAACTTCCCAAAATGGAAAATGCCCAAGTCCGCGTTTCACAAAGACGTTTCCCACATTCGCATCATGGCTCTCAATCACTTACCATGTGGCGCCGCTCATACCTGGGGTCTCTGAACCGACAGAGATCAGCCCTGATAACCGCTATCGTGGTTCTCTTTGTCCTCTTCGAATACCTACCGCTGCCAAGCGCCAGACCGGATGCCCGGTTCGAGCCTTTACAAAACCGACCTCAGTATCTCCATCAATCCCCGTTTCGCACGAATCCCAACTACGAATATGAGACCAGACTCTCGAATGCGCTACGCGACCTCGAGATCGAGGGCCAACTAGGCGGCGATGTCGGAGCTCCGGATACAGTGTGGCAGATAATGTTGATGGACAACGACAAGCGAGGCGACGATTCCCTCGAGTTCGAGAAAAAAAACCCAGAGTGGAAGTATTCAGTAAGACACCCAGCACTCCCCCACTAACCGTTGACAAGACTAACCCTCACCAGCTCGTCAACGCCAAATGGGCAGACAAATTCATAACCGAAACCTTGGCCTCAATCCCAGAACTTGAACATCTCTACAAATCCTACCCAGGCTACGTCCTCCGTGGCGATCTCCTTCGCTACCTCATCCTCTGGTACTACGGCGGCTATTACGCAGACGTCGATGTATACCCAGCAACAAGCATAAGGACCTGTCCATCAATGCAAAACACACTCTTCAACCAGGACCCCAACACCGCCATACCCAACAGCAATAGCAACATCTCACTGGTGATAGGAATAGAAATCGACGAACCCTTCGCCTCAACGGAGAAAATGCAAGATTGGCACTGGGTACGGAGATACGGATTCCTGCAATACACGATGTACGCACCACAACGATTCAGTCCCCTTCTACGAGAAATAATTGTGCGCGTACTATCACACACAAAACAACACATAGCACAGAGTCACATCTGGGGCGCGCGATACAACGAAATGACAACGTTGGAGATAACGGGACCGGGTGTATTCACCGATGCCGTTTTAGATGTTCTTTCTGAAACATTACCATCAGACCATCGACTCATTCAGAAATCCGTCGATGCTGATGAAGGACTGGGTGATTTGATTCCTTCTTATTCGGCGTTTCCTGTGCAGCGGGTGACGTGGGCACCGTTTTATCAGCTGAAGGAGACCCTGTGTATTGATGGTAGTGAGGCGAAGGATGGGAAGATGCTTGGCGGGCTGTGTGTTCTTCCTTTGAATGCTTGGGGGAATGGACAGAGGCATAGTGGGGCTGAGGGGTTTAGTAGCCATCATGCTTGTATCAATCATCGATTTGGGGGGACTTGGAAGCCCTGGAGGCAGAGTTGGAGGAAGTGGTTGTTCGGTTAGGATTGGGTTGCATAGGCGTTTGGGGCATACTGTTCCTATTGGGCGTTTGAGCATCGCATAGATATGTGGTGACTTTATTCTTTGGGGCTTATTCCAGACAATAGGATTTTAAAATTGGAGAATGAGTGTACATTGGCTTGAAAAGCATATTCAGACTGCAGGCGGAGGATAATGATACAAAGTGATATGGTACAACATAGAGGAACAAGGGTATAATACGATGTGGTAGATCGAGTCGGGCAGACCCAAAGATAGGCAAGGGAAATTGTAGCATGCCACACAGTGGCGAAAGAGAAAATGGAAAAAGTCAAGGAAACCAAGAAGCCTAAGCGCAATCCATATGGGCATAGTCTGCATCAACTTCTTCTCGGCGGCGAAGGAAAGAGGCTTCCTCAAAGTCATCCAAGTCCATAGCAGGCTGTTGGACCATGTTGCGACGCACAGCGAGGATTCGACGGCTCTGTCCCACTCCCGACGAGTTATCTTGCCAGGACTCGTCATTGAAAGTGTTGGATTGCGGATAGTAATCCTTATCGTCAAGCATGTCACTGTCGAAATCCAAATCTCTCTTGTGGCCACCCAACGCCCCCGTATATGACGATGTAGACTGCTGACTACTCGGCGGAATCGAAAAGGCATCCCCGTCATCATTCACAAGATATTCATCGTGGTCGAACGGCCGTTTGGTAGAGCCAGAGAAAGGAGTAAGTTCGGCGCTGCAAGGTTGAGCAGCGGGAGTCTGAGCGACACCTGCATGAAGTGGAACCTTCTCTTCAGTCTTAGCCATGTGGGTTCTATAACCCTCTGCCACGGACTTCCGAACCCGCATTCCGACGGATAGGAGAGAAGATTGCACTTTGGCCGGGACGACAGGTGTAGCAGAGAATGTTGCAGCGGAGTAATGGTGATGGTGTGAGACGGCAGGTGTCCCACTAGGCACTGGCTGGGAAGCGGTTGTGAAGTATCCCGTGATGGGAGGTTGGAAGCGGCGCTTCTTTGACAGCGTACTGTTGGAGGGGGCGGAGGCCACGAGAGACGGCATTGTTGGGGAACACTGTAATTTTGTCTTCTGAAGGCTTGATTTTGGGAGGACTTGATGGCTCGATATTCGACTATGTGCGCTGCAAGTGTGACGTAGGGAGGTGAGGGAGGGGTGGAAGAAAGAAAAAGAATGAGCGATGGTCGCTGGGCAACGCGACCTTTTCGCGGGACGCGCGACCAGACGTTTCAATTAGTCCGAATGCGGGATAACGGCCACGTGACATCATGAAGTATAGCCAATCTGGTGGAGGTGATTATATTCAAAGTTGCTGCTCTACAGTCTGATGGAAGTTACTACTGGGTTTAAAGTCAATGGGTAATTTTAACTTATGTAGATTCATGTGTACGCCGATAATAGCACTATATATCCTATGCTTGGACGAACATATCAATGTCAAAAGACAGCAAATGTATAACGAACAATCCTTATTTTTAAACATGACAGACCTCAACTCTATCATTGACCAATGTTTCCACGCTTTCCACCACGCTTGGCACGATCGTGATGAGCCTTGAGCACTGCGCGAGTCTCCACCAAACTTCTCTTGTTCTTGCTGCGGGCTTTACCCAGCGTCATGAGGAAGTTCTTGCGACGAGCCTTCTCCTTGTTGGTAGTACTCTTTCCTTGCTCCTCCTTGCGCTCCTTACGTCTAGCCTCCTTGGACTTGCGCTCAGAGCGGTCGGGCTGGCCCTCCTTGGCGTGGGCAATCTTCTCCTCACGCGTGGCCTTAGCAGCAGACAGAGCAGCGAGACCCTCAATCTCTTGAGCAGTAAGAGGGTCATCAGTGTGACGCGAAGTCCAGGGAGCAGCACGCTTGCCCTTGTTGCCTGGAAGAAGAGCATCGACAGATGCCTGGGTGCGGAGCTCAGCGAGCTTGGCAAGATCAGCGGGTGTGAGGATGCGGGTGGTGGCCAGCTTCATGAAGTCCATTTCCTCCTCCTTCTCGGCTTCCTTTTCACCGTCTTTTTTCTCAGCCTCGGCATCTGCCTTGGCCTTCTTTGAGGGCGGCGCCTTGCCTTCATCCTCGGAATCACTCATTTCGATCTCAACATCCTCTTCCACGTTGATCCATTCACCAGAGTCATCACTGTCGTCATCATCTTCGACATTCCAGGCAGCCCAGTCGGCCTCCTCGTCATCTTCTTCAGCGTCCGAAGGAAGACCCTTCTCCACGTTCCTCTTGCGGCGCTCCTCATCCTTCCATTTGGCCAAAAGTTCCAGACCCTCGATGCCACCAGCCTGCTGCTCACCGAAGCGTCTCTCTTGCTTCGTGCCAGCGCGCAGACCCATGGAAGCTTCCTTACCACGGTCACGCTTCTTGAGCATCTGTGCTCCCACATCACGGTAGAGACTGAGAAGACCCTTGGAGGCCATCATGACACCCTTATCCTTACTCTTCTTGTACATGACAAGATCCTGCAGCAAGGTCTCATCCATGGCCAAGGGCTGTCTCACACAGATCTCACGAATGGCATTGAGACCAGCGGTGGCAACCTCACCAGCGGAGGCTTCAGACACGAACTCGTTGGCAATCTTTTGAATGAGAGGCTCGAGGACATCAGGAGGAACCAAGTCGTGGGAAGCCTGGGCTAAAGAAGCCAGGAAAGAAGTCACAGATGGCTGACGGGGAGTAAGGTACTTTTGGAAGTAGGAGTAAAGAGGCATAATGTGCAACTGGTGTAGACCCACGAGACGGGACACCAATTGGAGAACCTGGAGCTTCTGTTCCAAGTTCAACTTGGACTTTTGGTTCTGGAGATGCTTGTAGAACATAGACTCGGCGAATCCTTGAGGATCGTGCAGCAAGTGAAGTGCCGAGAAGTTAAGAGGGTGGGGCTGGTTCTTCTTCTTCTCCTTGGCCTTGACTGACTTGATGGCCTTTTCGGCGGCACGGGCCTTCTTGCGGGTCTTCTTGTTGATAGTCAGCTGGTGTTTGACTTGACCAACACTGACGGCCTCTTCGTCACTGTCTTCATCCTCCATTTCCTCACGCTCTTTGTCACCACCGAGGAAGAAACGGACACCACCAATGATGACCTTTTCGTTCTCAGACAAAGCAGCCTCCTTCATGACCTCAACGGCCTTGGCCTCAGTCCAAATTTGACGCTTCCATAGCTCTCGGGTGATCTTGATGGCCCAGAGACCTTTAGAAGATGTGCGATCCGACGTGACCAAGTTGAAGAGAACGGTCTGCATAGTCCGGTTCAACTTGTGGTTGGTGGTCTTGGAATTTGAAGTACGAAGCTCCGAAAGGATCTTCTGGAATAGCAAAGCACGCAGAGTCTTGCTAGGTGTGGCGACAAGGATGGGGAAGAGAGTGTGCAGTAGGCTAAAATCGTTAGAACAAAAACAGGGGATTCGGAGAAGAATCAACATACGTAGCGGAGTCAATGATATCCTTCTTCTTCAGAAGCACCAGACTACCAACCAGCTTCTCGCGCAACTCAGTCTCCAACACCAAGTGGTGCTGCATGAGCATGTCAATGAGTTGTTGCGGGAAGTCCTTCAGGATATCGGGATAGCAGTCGGCCACATGGGAGATGAAGTCAATGAGGTCACGCAGAGAAATCACACCGGTATCCGTAGCGGACGAGGGCGAGGCCATGAAGATCTCACGGTGGGATTCATATTGGTAGTGTTGAGCGCGGAAATCCTCAATGTAAGACCTGAGCAGCGCAAAGCGATATTAGCCCTGATCTAGCAGAATGTGACCACAGAAACTCCCCTCGTTGACTTACTTGGGATCCTTGCGAATCTTGTGTTGTAAATTGGGCCTGTAGAGCGCAAAGAAAGACGTTAGTATCTCGGACTGAAAGCTCTGATCGACGGGCGGATCGACTGGCAAAAAGCACATACAGATCAGCCTCGACCTTTTCCAAGGCTCCAAGCTTGCGTTTCACCATCTTGGCAGTATTTAAATGAGAAGGGGGTGGTTGGAGAAGATGTGTTTGGCGGGCGGTCGACTCCAGGTCCGAAACTTTTTTTCTCCGTATCGATAAGCGACAGAAAAATCTCAATATCAATCATGTCAAGCTAGAACTATACAATTCAAGTCCATTAGTCCAACATTTAATACTTAATCTATTGATTTACAAACTACAGAATACAATTGCTCGATTCAAATTGAAGTCAAGAAATTTTTTTTCCTAGGAAATTGGTCATTACAACCAAAGGTCTTCATGATCGCATATCAACTACTGAAGAAAGACTTCCGATTTCGTTCCCTTTTTAGATCGAGCTTTCTCCTTGACTGTATAATATGTACAGCCCCGCAGATGCATGCAAATCCGTTGAATCCCGGTTAAAAACCCCCGTCCATTCCAGTAATCGTAAACAGAGGACCAAACGGAGAACAAATCCAACACAACCCCTTTACCGGTTGCTCTTGGCAACACGCTCGAGCTCGTCCTTCTTCTTGATGGCGTAGGAGTTGGAAGAACCCTTGGCGGCGTTGATCAGCTCCTCAGCAAGGCACTCAGCAATGCTCTTGATGTTGCGGAAGGAGGCCTCGCGAGCACCGATGGTGAGCAGAGAGATGGACTGGTTCACACGGCGGAGAGGAGACACATCGACGGCTGCAAGTGGGTTAGCAAATTGATAATACTGTCGGAGTGGATTGCTACATACCCTGGCGACGGACGGTACCCTGGGAACCGATACGGGTGCTGTCCTCACGGGGACCGCAGTTGACGATAGCGTCAACGGCGACCTGGAGAGGGTTCTGGTCGGTCATGATGTGGATCTGTGTGATACAATATTAGTGACTGAGACGTTCGAATAGGGCGAAGCGGCACGTACGATCTCGAAAGCGTGAGCGACAATGCGGACGGCCAAGAGCTTCTTTCCGTTGTTGCGGCCGTTCATCATGAGAGAGTTGGTGAGACGCTCGATGATTGGGCACTGAGCCTTGCGGAAACGCTTGGCGGCATAGCGACCAGCGGAGTGGGAGAGGTAGACAGGGGAGCGGATCTGGATGTAGTCGCTGTGATGGCGGGTCAGCACCTCTGCAAATTTTGATATCCATGCATTGTCCAATCCTCCAGCGCACTGATGCGATCCTGTTGTGTGCGATGAAAAAAAAATTGACCCATGGTGTGTTGTGGCCCTGCGTTCAGACATTTCGAGATTCCCTTCCTCCACCAAAGATTCTTGCAAAATCCTCCCAATTCGTATCGCTTTTTCTCGCACACAACAAAAGTTCACCTGGCGCATAGAGGATCGCAGAGAAGCACTCACGTCAGGGAGATATCACGGATCTCGACATCATCGTAGCTCCACTTGTTGAACAGCTTAACGCTGCCCTGCTCGGCCAAAACCTCCTTGGGAAGGACAGGGAAGGCGGCGACCTCGACGTCCCCGTTGTCGGACATGTTGACTGTTCGGAGGGGTTCGTGGGAAAATTGACCGGGTTGTCGTTTGGTGATTGAACGTCGATGAGGTTCCGGATATCCACGAAGGAAATTGGTGGACTCGCTTAGGTTGTGCGGGGGTCATGTGATTTAGGGCAGTATGTGGGGTCACCTGATTTTTGCCTTTGTGCCTGAATTGTGACACCTCAGGCATGAACTGTTCGATGATCAGTTTCACTTGGAAGTTTGTATACAATTGGCCTATTTGACACCTTATATATCTTTACCATGAATGGAATTGAGCCCCAGTCTACATGTTAGTCACTATCTGTACCTACAGACTCCTCGGCATCTATTGCCCCAAGTCCAAGACAAGACGGTACCTGACAGCTACATTCTACTAATTTCAAAAGAGAACAAAAATAGTGGAACACTAGAACCGCAGCAACACAACACAAACGTAGACACGAGAAACACCTATAAAACATCCAACATCCTATATATAGCAAGTGTATACATGTCTCAACACTCGGTTCGTCTGACCGCCCTTAGCCTTAGCGGGTGACGTTGCGGCCTTTGCGGAGACAGAACAATTGATCTTCCCCGGCTAAAAACGACTACTTGCGACCAGGCAATCCTCAGCAATTCTGAGTCTGTCTCTTCTACACAACTTGCGCCCTTGAGACGCCCATGCGATGAGGCGTCCTTGACTCCATCTCCCTCCCCCGCGTTTCTACCATACCCCGAATTGCGGTCTTTCGATACTCTGTCCAAATGGCGGAAGAGTCCCCTGAGCTCCAGGCCGCTTTGCGGCACCTAGATCGGGAATTGGAGGTATGTGATGGCATGCGCTTGTCAATTTTTTTTTTCGCTCACACGTTATGACAGGAGGGCGATATCACCGAGAAAGGGTAAGACACGCGACAGTACCTTGCTAGGACACGATCCCCTCACCTCAACCAAATCATTACCGAGACACTGGAACCGTCATTTGCGCAGTCTTGACCCGCAGCCGCACATTATGGAGAGCTAACAACATCAAAGATACCAAAAGCGACGGACTGTCTTGCTTTCCCAGTTTCTCGGTCCAAACAAGCCTCTTGATATCAATACCCACGCCAATTCCCTTCACGATGGCTCCGCGTCCGGATCCGTGGCCCCGCCGGCCATCTTGAGTGTTCGCCCGCCGACTGCCGACTCTTCACAACATATCAAATCCCCCACCTACTCAGGTGGCTACGACGACATGCAAAGCGGAGGTCTCGGATATAGCGCTGGTACCGACGCACATGATCCATCACTGATAACTTCGGGATCTCATGACAGAGATAGCGCGGGCATGCTCCAAGCCCGGGACCGGATGCCCTCATCGGGCTCCTACGACTCTTTGTTCCTTCCAAGGCCACCGATCCCCGGCTCGCAAGGTCTAGATAACTCCAGAACCGCAACTTTAATGAGCCAAAATTATGCCTTTAATCCGAGCTCTCAGCCCGAGTATGTGTCTCAGGCTGAGTATACGCAACCAGAGTATGCCCAAGCCGAGTATGCGGATGATGGTATGGGGTATTACGATCCTGGGTCTGGCGGGCCCACCAGACAATCTACAATGCTTGATTCCCAACAAGGATACTTTTCCGACTTTGCGGGGCAACAGCATGATGACTATAGGGATAGCTATGGAGGTGGCTTCCACCGCTATTCTCAGTCCGGAGAGGCCTTCTCACCCACAGCAAACATGGCGCCGCCATTAATCCCCGCACATGAACTTCAGCATGGACCGGCGATTGAGCATCTCCTGCCCCTTGAACCTCGAGAGATTCCATTCGCACTGAACGACCCGCATGACAAGAATATCCCTATGGCCAACTTTGACAACCTACCCACGGTATTACGGCACCGTGCTCGAGCCCACCCAAAGCAGCCGGCATATTGGGTACTGGATCCTAAAGGCAAGGAAATTGCATCCATCACCTGGGAAAAGCTGTCTAGCCGTGCGGAGAAGGTTGCTCAAGTCATTCGCGATAAGAGTAACCTCTACCGCGGAGACCGAGTTGCTCTGATTTACCGCGAGGCTGAGATAATTGAATTTGCGGTTGCTCTCATGGGGTGCTTCATTGCAGGAGTTGTTGCAGTGCCCATCAACAGCTTGGATGACTACACAAGTCTCAACGTCGTGCTTACATCGACGCAAGCCCACTTGGCTTTGACCACCGAAAACAATTTGAAGAACTTCCAACGCGACATCACAGCGCAGAAATTGAATTGGCCACGAGGTGTTGAATGGTGGAAAACAAACGAGTTTGGCAGCTTTCACCCGAAGAAGAAGGATGAGACGCCAGCTCTGCAAGTCCCCGACTTGGCCTACATTGAGTTCGCCCGTGCCCCCACGGGTGACATGCGCGGTGTCGTGATGAGCCACCGGACAATTATGCACCAAATGGCATGTTTGAGTGCAATCATCTCCACGGTACCCACAGAGTCAAGCGCCAGGCAATATGGAACCAAGGGCGAGACGATTATCAGTTATCTCGACCCGAGACAGGGCATCGGTATGATCATGGCCATTCTGTTTACTGTGTACGGTGGGCACACAACTGTGTGGCATGAGAACCAAGCTGTTGAGACCCCCGGTCTATATGCCCACCTCATCACCAAATACAAGGCTACAGTCATGGCAACCGACTACTCTGGTTTGAAGATTGCCACATACAACTACCAACAAGATCCGATGTCTACCAGACATTTCAAGAAGAACTCGGAGCCTAATTTTAGCAGCGTTAAAATCTGTTTGATCGATACCCTTACTCTCGACCCTGAATTCCATGAAATCCTGGCAGACAGATGGCTTCGTCCAATGAGGAATCCCCGGGCCAGAGAAATTGTTGCCCCGATGCTTTGCTTGCCAGAGCATGGAGGTATGGTCATCAGTATGCGTGATTGGCTGGGTGGCGAAGAGCGAATGGGATGTGCTTTGACACACGAAATGGACCCTGCCAGCCGTGATGATGACAAGAAAGAAGACTCAAGCCTTACCAAGTCGGAGCACAAGACTGGCTTCGGAAGCAGTCTTCTAGGTGGTGGAGCACGTGTCTCTGCGCCCAAGAAGAGCGACAAGAACGAGCTTAGCGAAGTTCTTCTCGATAAAGAGGCCTTAAAGAGCAATGAAGTTGTTGTGCTTGCCATGGGCGAGGATGCCCGGAAGTATGCCAGTAGTATGCCTCATGCTGTTCGCGTTGGTGCCTTTGGCTACCCGATTCCTGACGCAACCCTTGCTGTGGTTGACCCCGAGACCAATTTACTTTGCACACCAAATGTTGTTGGAGAGATCTGGGTTGATTCGCCATCTCTATCTGGTGGCTTCTGGGCATTGCCAAAGCACACTGAGGCAATTTTCCATGCTCGCCCCTATAAATTCGAAGAGGCCAACCCAACTCCAATCCTTGTGGAACCTGAGTTCCTGCGCACTGGTCTGCTCGGCTGTGTGATTGAGGGCAGACTGTTCGTCCTTGGTCTCTATGAAGATCGCCTCCGCCAAAAGGTGGAGTGGGTGGAGCACGGTCAAGAGATTGTCGAACACCGATATTTCTTCGTTCAACATTTAACTGTCAGCATCCTCAAGAAGGTGCCGAAGATCCACGACTGTACTGCCTTTGACGTGTTTGTGAATGAAGAACATCTTCCGGTCATTGTGTTGGAGTCTTATTCAGCCTCGACAGCGCCAACCACTTCTGGTGGCCCACCAAGGCAGCTTGATATGGTCCTTTTGGATTCATTAGCAGACAGGTGTATGGAGGTCTTGTACCAGGAGCATCACCTTCGGGTATATTGTGTTCTTCTCACAGCACCCAACACTCTCCCTCGTGTCACCAAGAACGGCAGACAGGAGATTGGTAACATGCTCTGTCGCAAAGACTTCGAGGCTGGTATGTTGCAAGCAGTACACGTCAAGTTTGGAGTTGAACGGTCGGTGATGAACTTGCCTGTTGGCGTTGACCCCGAGGGAGGTATTTGGTCTCCTCTTGCCCTGTCATCACGACAGGACATGCTTGCATACCAGGAGAAGCAGTACTCCGGTGTAGACTACCGCGACGTTGTGATGGATGACCGCACATCCACACCATTGAACAACTTCAACACGATTGTCGACCTTCTGCACTGGCGTGTCTCCCGTCAAGCGGAAGAGCTGGCTTACTGCTCTATCGATGGCCGTGGAAAGGAAGGAAAGGGTATCACTTGGAAGAAGTTTGACTTGAAGGTCTCTGCGGTCGCAACCTACCTGAAGAATAAGGTCAAGGTACGACCAGGAGATCATCTCGTTCTGATGTACACACACTCGGAAGACTACATCTATGCTATCCACGCATGCTTCTGTTTGGGTGCTGTTGTAATCCCCATGGCACCCATCGATCAGAACCGTCTTTCCGAGGACGCTCCTGCATTCTTGCACATAATCAGCGATTTCAACGTCAAGGCGATCATCGTTAACACGGAAGTTGACCATGTCATGAGACAAAAGCTTGTCTCCCAACACATCAAGCAATCTGCCCAGGTTCTTCGAATTGGCGTTCCCGCAATCTACAACACTACAAAACCTTCCAAGCAGTCTCACGGATGCCGTGAACTTGGTTATACTGTGAAAGATACTTGGCTCCAAGGGAGCCTGCCAGCTCTTGTTTGGACCTATTGGACACCAGATCAGCGCAGAATTTCTGTGAGCATCTCCCACGAAACTATCATGGGTATGTGCAAGGTTCAGAAGGAGACTTGCCAGATGACCAGCTCGAGGCCGGTACTTGGAAGTGTGCGTAGTACACTGGGACTTGGATTCCTTCACACCTGCTTGATGGGTATCTTCGTCGGTAAGTTTGCTGTTCCTGTTGGATGCCCTCCATTCTAATGAAATAGGCGCCCCCACGTACCTTGTTTCTCCCGTCGACTTTGCACAAAACCCAATGACCCTTTTCGTCACCCTTGCTCGATACAAGATCAAGGATACTTACGCCACTAGCCAGATGCTGGACTATGCTATGAGTGCCATGGCCGGAAAGGGCTTTCAGCTTCAGGAATTGAAGAACCTGATGATATCCGCAGAGGGAAGACCCAGAGTAGATATCTGTATGTATAAGCGCCATGTGGAGGGCTGGATAAAAGCTGACATTAATCTCGCAGACGGCAAAGTACGCCTGCATTTTGCCAATGCCAGCTTGGACCGCACTGCGATCAACGTCGTTTACTCGCACGTTCTCAACCCCATGGTTACCACAAGATCGTACATGTGCATTGAACCGATTGAACTCTGGCTCGACCTACGCAGTCTTCGTCAAGGCCTCATCTACCCCGTCGACCCAGACGCAGATCCTACCGCGCTCTTGTTGCAAGACTCGGGTATGGTGCCAGTCAATACGCAGATTGCGATTGTGAACCCAGAAACCTGCACACTGGCTCATGTCGGCGAGTACGGTGAGATTTGGGTTCAATCCGATGCCTGTGCTCAGGGATTCTACAAGTCAAAGCAAGAGTTTGATTCCGAACGTTTGAATGGCCGTGTTGCGGATGGTGATCCCAGCGTGCCTTATGTCCGGACTGGTGACCTCGGCTTCCTTCACACTGTCACTCGGCCGATTGGTCCTGGTGGTCAGCCGGTCGAGATGCAGGTGTTGTTCCTTCTTGGAAGCATTGGTGAAACCTTTGAAGTCAACGGACTGAACCATTTCCCGATGGATATTGAATCGTCTGTGGAGAGGTGTCATCGAAACATTGTCAATGGAGGATGGTAAGTATTTCACACTTCATTGAACTGCTTGATACTAACATAATCTATAGCGCCATTTTCCAAGCTGGTGGATTGATTGTTGTCGTGGTTGAAGTCACTCGCAAGGCATACTTGGCCTCTCTCGTCCCTGTTATCGTTGATGCTGTTCTTAACGAGCACCAAGTTGTGGCCGATATTGTTGCATTCGTCTCTCACGGCGACTTCCCCCGTTCTCGTCTGGGAGAGAAGCAGCGTGGAAAGGTCCTGGCATCTTGGGTAACTCGGAAGCTGCGAACAATCGCTCAATTCAGCATTCGCGATATGGAGGGCTCCGGCAACCCCTTCGGAGAACTGCCTCAGCACCGTATGAGCAGAATCTCCAAGCCTGGAAGTACCATGGGCAACAGTATTCGCCACTCGACCATGAACCCCGAGATAGAACCTCTTCCCCGCTCTCCCGCTGGAGTGACACTGGAGGAAACCATTCACCCAGAAGCTACGTATAATACCGACGTGCCCCCCCCAATGCCGCATGAGCTTGACACCCCCACCGATAACATGGCGGCAAACCCTGTTCCACAGCCTAATCCAGCCGTGCCTCACATCAAGGAACCCCAGTCTGCTACTTTAATGACCGAGTTTGACGACTCACACTACGACACGCTGGACCAGGTGGATGGCAACGCCGGCGCTGAGCGCGACTTCCGCTTCAGCTTTGAAATGGGCAACACTGCCATGCCACCGCAATCACAAGGGTTCATCCCCCCTGGTAGTGAGCGGCCCTCAACCGGACGAGAGTCGCTTCCTAGCCAGCAGGGATGGGATTATAGCAATGCGCCAACAATTGGTACAGCATATGCCGATCCAATACGACCCAGAACACAGGACAGCGGAATTATTGACGATTGGCCTCAAGAAGCCTTGATGTACCAGTCTGCCCTGGGGGATGACGGTCATCAAGACTTCCACCGCACAACAAGCAGCAATAGTGCTGCGCGACGCTACGATGGAACGGGCTACGATGCTTAAGTCGAGCGCGTATGTTATACATGTTTCCGTCATTTATTGCTCAAATGTCCCGGGTATACTCATTGGTCGTTCGATTCTGTGGCCTTCTTTTCTTCTTCTCACCTAGCATTGCGCTTTGGTTTGTTCAGTGCTCATTTTTGCCCAAATACCTCGATCAGCCTTGTGTTTACTTCGCCCTTCTTGCATGTTGCGCTCTGTACATACATAACTACCCGATTTTCACTGCGTTTGATATCTTCTGTTTTTAATGCCATTCTCTGGTTCACGGGTAGAATTAAAGACACCTATAGGCGACCTGATTTATGATTGTTTAATCGATATTTAACCAAGTTCATCTGCTGCCACTTACATGAAAAGGGGTATATAAAAGAGCCCGGCTTGGGCCCATGCTATGATATGAAACAAATGCAAGACGCTAGCCGCCGCAACATGATCAGTCTCCAACTTATACCTCTGCCTCAAAAACAAATGCTATCATAACACCACCAAATAGCACAACCCCTGCCAACACAGGAAGCGGCACCTGATGTGCCAAAGTAAAGGGAACCAGCGCCTGGTTTTGCGGTCTCAGCATCTGCGGATAGAAATACCAAGTCGATGTAACACCCAACCAAGCCATAGCCCAGAGAAGATCAAGAGTCTTCTGCCACATCGGCCGAGGTGTACTTTTCCCTGATAGGGTCTGAGATTTCCAGAGTGCCTTGATTCCATCTTCAATCAACAGTCCTAGTGGAGCCATGGCAAAGAATAAAACGGCTCCAGATTCTCGCATGGGAATTCCTTGCACGAAATCAAGGACGACATGCAGTCCTCCTGAGAGGAAGAACACAACGAATACGTTCGTATAGCGTTCTAATGGAGACCTGGATGGTAGACATAGTAAATCGCGGGTGACAAAAGTACCCATAGAGGTAAGAGGTTGTTGGAGCAACTGATGCCAGAATTTCCTATATCTCATTAGCATTCTCCTTCTACTCAAATGCCAGAGCGCAACTTACGCCCAAAACCCTCGCATTGTACTAGCATCCCCAGCCTTCCCAAACAACGGAGGGCAGTTAGATGGCGAGTCAAACCAGAGCCCAACAACAATGATAGAGAAAGCCCGATGGTGAAAGTCAATCAGAATACGACTGACGACAAACCCAGCCACAAGGTTCGAAATAACCCGTTCAATCCATTGCTCAACAGACAAATCCCACTGAACAACCAACGGCAGAGCCCCATGTTTCTCCTGCTCCAGCGCTTGCTCTAAAGCAAGCGTAGCAAAGAGATCCAGCGCCAGATATTGCCAAAGAGCAATAACGAGCTGTCGAAGCAAGAAGCGACCTCGCGAGGGCTCCTTCAGACCCCTACGGTGATAATAAGCCGGCTGCTGTGGCGCATTTCTAATCTGCCAGGGTGTGTTAATGCCCCTCGGCTGATAAAAGAGCCGAACAACATAATAAATACGCGAAAAGCCGTTGCCAGCTTCGACGGGTAGATCAGAGACATCTTTCGGGTTGAGAAGTAACCAATTGAAAGATTGGAGGACGATAGTCAAGGTCAGACGGGCGAATTCACACCATATAAAGCCAGGACCTAGTTTTGCGGCTAGGGTTATGGCTCTGTAGGCAATCCATATTGAGCATGGAATTGAGAGATAGCGGAGGGTTGATCGCTTTGGTGTGGTTAGGAATAGGCTTGCCGGTAGTAGACAGTGGATTGCATATAGAGTGAGGACCTCTGGGATCTTTGAATATTTTGTTTTGTCCATGGCGGAATAGGGGCAAGCCTTTTGAAGATGAAGTCCAGTCGATATCCAAGTTGTCAATCTTTGCCCACGTGAGATTGGTGTTAGTGCCTGGTTTGTCAGGCCAATAATTCATATTAGTTATAGATGTTTTGTTGAGATATCTACGTCGGGTTTACAATTCTTGCACCTATTCGGAGATTTAGTAGAGACTGCTGCCTCTTATTTGATGATTATGAATTAAACATATGGAATTGACGAGCTAAGTAGTATACAGCCCTTGCCCTTTAGGACCAACAACACTCCTGGGAGTATGATGTACATGCGAGCGATCATCCTGCGAATGATAATTCAATGAATCATCGTCCCTAGATCTCGATTCCTCCAATCGAGTGAGTGGAAACTCACTATCCATCTCATCGATTCGTTTCGACGTATTACTCTTGCTCAGAATAGGACCACTTGCCGGTTGCGTGGCGTACTCAGCCTTGGCAGTATTAAACAGAGACGGAAATGCGGCCTTGAGAATAGGTCGGAGCATTGGTGCGCATCCATTAGCAGTGGCAAGTGCAGGTTCAGTGACGCTCCAGAAGGCAGCCCAGATCATGGAATATGGAAGATCGAGGAAGTCGACTGCGGTGAGGACTTTAATGCGAATGATTGTAATGGAAGAAATACTAATCAATTAGTATTTGTGATGATAGGATAGAGAGATAACTCACAAGATGCCTAGTCCGAAGATACTGTATAATGCCATCTTAGTTGCGATGGACATCTGCAACTTCCAGATGAAGCGGATGGGCAAGATCATAATCATCACATCCGTGAGAAGATTGAATACTCCGATTGTTGTAAAAGCGACATTCTGATTCCCGCAATGACCTGGTAGAGTCGGATTCCAGTTTCTCTGAAAGGGTGTACAGAGGAGAAATACCTGGAGCACACTTCCAGTCCAGTATGCAGCAGCGCAGCCCATGCAAACCCACGTCAAAATGCGAAATTCCGGTGTCACAAAGATGCGCAGATAGAGAAAGAGGTAGGAGAATTTCGCCAAGACCATGGCATTGTAATACACCAGTTGGTAAACGATGAGCAATTTCAACATGATCACAGTATTTTCCGGTGGAATCTGCTTGAAATTATGGCGCATACCAAGGCGAGCATAGAGGTAATGCATTGCTAGCATTCCATATGTGTGCAGCATGGCAGCGACACAGAATGCATCATCCCACCATATTTTGCTTTTTCGAATATGACGCGACACAAATCGTAAGATCACCAAAATCGTAGCAACAGCCACAAGGATTGTATTGGCGATGAGACCGTCGCGGACGACAGGGAATGTGAAGACATTGTATAGATGCATAGTTTAAGGCGGTGACATCCCTGCCTCGACAGAACACAGTGGATGAAAGAAGCCGACCAGGATAATTTAAGACATACAAGTCGTCAAGCTACAAACAATTCTACGGCGATTTGCAGGGGCCGTTGTGATTCGGGCCGTACTTTTGATCCCGATGGAGCCGAAGGATTCGGAGATCCCCTTATGATTGGCACGATTATGAGCTAAAACACTAGTAGGGGCCAAATGCGAGACAATGCCCTTGTTAAGATGATAGTCCCCGCCATGTCAGCTCTAGTCAGCTCTAGACAGGAGGCTAAGTAGGAAACTAAGTGTCATTGGCGGCAGGTTAGGGCTTTTTTTTTCATCAGCCGGGGTGATTCCGGAGTCCTGAAGTCCACCCCTGTCGTTTTCGGGAAGTTTTCTTTTTAAAAACTATCAATCTGTCTTCAAAGCTTCAAAATGGATGCATATGATTATATCATTGTCGGTGCAGGCATTGGCGGTCTTGTTCTGGCCAATCGACTGAGCGAAGATGCCTCTGTTAATGTCCTGCTCATTGAAGCCGGTGCCAATCGTATGGGAGATCCCCGTATCGACACTCCTGGTTTCTTGAGTACAATGTATGGCAATCCAGACTTTGACTGGGATTATATGAGTGTTCCCCAGGTATCCTCCAATCACCTACCTCTCTTCCATGTACAAAACTAAACAATAGCTAGGCCCATGTAAACAACCGGCAGATTGGCCAGCCCCGCGGCCGGGTCGTTGGTGGATCCTCTGCCATGAACTTCTCGTTATCTGTGTACCCCACTGCATCGAACTTTGAGAGCTGGAAGGCCCTGGGCAATGCAGGCTGGGGCGCGGAGGATATGGCACCCTATCTTCGCAAGTTCCATACCTTTACTCCACCGAGCGAGGCCACAGCAGAGCTGCTTGGTATCAATCGCTATATGAGGACTGAGAATCAAGGATCTGACGGCCCTGTGCCAGTGTCTCTGCCCGATGTGTATGGTGATTTCAACAAGGCATGGGACGAGACATTTGCACAATTGGGCTGGCAAACCGATGCCGACCCAATCCAGGGCCAAAAAATGGGTGCATTTACCAGTCCGCTGACTGTTGATTCAAATATGGGCAAAAGAGGATATGCCGCAGCTTACTATTCCCCCGAGGTTGCGGCGCGACCAAACCTGCGACTGCTTACAGAGACAACTGTCGAGCATGTTCTTCTTTCCCAGGAAGATGGAGCTGTCGTCGCAACAGGAGTACAGGTCAAGTGTCAAGACAGTTCATACCAGATCACCGCCAAGAAGGAAGTGATTCTCTGCGGAGGCAGCTTGAATACTCCTCAGCTACTTGAGCTCTCTGGCATCGGAAGTGCAGATCTCCTCCAAAATCACAATATCCCAGTCATTATTGACAACCCGGCTGTAGGCGAGAACCTACAAGACCATGCCCTCTCCACCATCAACTTCGAGGTTGCAGATAACCAGGTCTCGGGTGATATCATGCGCAATCCGGAAATTGTCCAAGCGCTGATCAAACTCTACGAAGAGACAAAAGGCGGTCCATTGTCGGGCATGCCGCTCAGTATGGCCTATCTCCCCTTGGTGGATGGAAAGGGCGCTGTCCCTAAAGAGCAAATCGACAACCTCCTCTCCACGCACCTCGATATGGAACATGCCCCAACGAGCCTGCGAGTGCAATACAACCAACTCCGCGAGATCCTTCTCCGGAACGATGACACCTCCTCCCACTACCTCTACATGCCTTCTCAGCTCCAGATGAATACAGGCAAGACAACTCTCTCTGATGTCTTGGCTAAAACCTTCCCAGAAAATTACATCTCCATCTTGGTCTTGAACAGCCACCCCTTCTCTCGTGGCTCAGTCCACATCTCCTCTGCAAAGAGCGAAGATAAGCCAACCTACGACCCGAACTTCCTCTCGCACCCTCTCGACCTTGAGATTATGGCAAGACAACTGCAGTACCTGGACCTTGTGGTGAAGACAGCACCCTTCTCTTCTCTTCTCAAGGCAGGAAAGCGGATGCCTGAGCACACCAAAGACCTGAGTGATCTGGACCATGCAAAGGAGATTGTCAAGGAGCGCTTGTTTACCTGCTTCCACCCTGCGGGTTCATGTGCCATGTTGCCTAAGGGGAGTGGAGGTGTGGTTGATTCCGAACTGAGGGTGTATGGAACGAAGAATTTGCGAGTTGCTGACGCGAGTATCTTCCCTCTTGAGCCTAGTGGAAACATTCAGGCTGCTGTGTATGCAGTCGCAGAGAAGGCAGCCGATTTGATCAGAGCTAGAAGCTAGATTGGAGTGGATTTAGACTTGTTTTGATAGATAAACATGGAGTGCCGCTTGATCTCTGATCGAACCAGGCGTTAACTTTTTGTATTTTTTTACGACAAACATCCAGTGAAGTATAAACATGGTCCCGTGGCTAGCATGACGTGACTTTATTAGCCTTTTCGGTTCCAAGATTGATACATACTGTAGAGATTAGCTTGGCATCTCAACCCTGGAATCATTACAGGTGTAACATACTTTAATTTTACATACCACATGAGGTAATCCAGATAAAGTTGACAAGACGTGATAGAGACCCACCTTTCCATCATCCATTCACCAAAGCTCGCAATCACTTAACTTTACTTTACTTCACGTCAATATAACCCTGCATGATTAGTTAGTCCTAAGCATTTTATTGTTATTGATTGACTACCCCTCCCGCATATCCCGTCTATCCTCCCCATAGTGTCCATCTTCCCTCTTCTTTACTTTGCTGACTGCCGATCTTACTACAGACACAACCTATGATGATCGCCACAACTCACTTTCTCTCATACGATTGCAATTTGTTGCAGATGATTGTCGATGTGCAATCCTGTGGATAAATGATACAAGAGCTCACCTCAGGTTCTAATCCACGATGACGCAGGTCAAATCGGGCTATATAGCTACCCTAAGTCCCGATCGTGGAAGCTCAAGTGCCAAAGGAAACCTCTCAAAATGCCGCTGAAGCTGGGAACTCTACTACTCGCGACCCTCGCTGTCGCTAAGCAACCCAATATCCTTTTCGTCCTAACCGATGACCAGGGCAAGTATGTCGGTGGACTGGAACACATGCCCAAGCTACAGGTATTTATTATATCAACCTAAACTATCATACACTTGCCAATATCCATATAGTCAGCCCTAGTCGAACAAGGCACCAGCTACTCCAAACACTTTTGCTCAATCGCTCTCTGCTGTCCCTCCCGCGCCAACCTCTGGACAGGCCGCATGCCACACAACACCAACGTAACAGATGTGGAACTTCCCTACGGCGGCTACCAAAAAGTAGTCTCAGCAGGTTGGAACGACAACTACCTACCCCTCTGGATGCAGGAAGCAGGCTACAACACCTACTACGTGGGCAAACTCTGGAACGCACACACAGAAGCCAACTACAACAAACCCTACGCACGCGGCTTCAACGGCTCAGACTTTCTCCTAGATCCATACACATACAGATACTGGTCCGCGCGCATGGCCCGAAACGGCAACGTCCCAGTCAAATACGACGGCAATTACTCGACCGATGTAATCGCCGAAAAAGCAGCCGGATTCATCGACGAAGCTGTCAAGCAGGATAGACCGTGGATGTTGACCGTTGCACCGAATGCGCCGCACTCGAATGGATCGCATGATTCGACTCGGGATGCGAGTTGGTTCGGTGAGCCTGAGTTTGCGCCTCGACACGCGTATCTCTTTAAGGATATCAAGGCGCCGCGAGACGAGAGTTTCAATACGCTTATTGAGAATGCTGTTAGCTGGGTTGATAATGTGCCTGAGCTGAATCAGACACATATTGATTATATTGATGAGTTCCAGCGGTGTCGGTTGCGCGCGTTGCAGGCTGTTGATGATATGATTGGGGACTTGATTGGGAAGTTGGATAACCTGGGGGAGTTGGATAATACTTATATCTTCTTTTCGACGGATAATGGGTATCATCTTGGGCAGCATCGAATGCAGCCGGGGAAAAACTGTGGTTATGGTGAGTCTATCTCTGTGCTTTTAGTTTGGATGGGACTCACCGGTGTATAGAAACTGACATTAACGTCCCTCTGATCGTACGTGGACCTGGTATCGGCAAAAACCAGACATTGGATGCTATTACAAGTCACACAGACCTTGCGCCTACATTCTTGTCTCTGGCTGGTGCGACGAGAGAGGGCCTGGATGGGAAGAAGATTCCCACGACTGTTGCGGCCAGCACGGCGGATAACAGGACTGAACATGTTGCCATTGAGTACTGGGGAATCGTAAGTCAAGTGCTCAAAAGGTCTATACAACTGCTAACAATAAATGCAGGCTGTCCCTGAAGGAATCTATGGATATGCCAGTGACAAACCCCAGCAACCTCATAACACCTACGAGAACAACACCTACAAAGCCATCAGACTCCACTCCGATAACTATAGTATATACTACTCTGTATGGTGTTCCAACGAGAAAGAATTCTTCGACCTAAAGGTAAGTCCCAATTCATCTCCCATCCTATCATCGAATATGGAACTAACAAAACAGGGCGACCCCCACCAAACCAAAAATCTAGGAACACACCCTGCAAAACAAAGCTACACAATCGCAAACCGCAAACTCCCCCAAATCCTCAACCGCCTCGATACCCTCATGCTAGTCCTGAAATCGTGCGAAGGTGACGCCTGCCGCTACCCTTGGCGCCAGCTACATCCAGCAGGCAAGGTCAACAGTCTGGCAGATGCACTAGATTCCGGCTTTGACACGTTCTACGAGAATCAGCCCAAGGTTTCGTTCTCGTCTTGTGAGAAGGGCTATATTATTTCTGCCGAGGGCCCGCAGAAGCATCATGTTTACGGGGCTACGAATGCTGGGAAGAGGAGTTGGGGTTGGCGGTGGGAGGATGTTTTTGGGGGATGGTAGCTCTATCTACAGGTAGCCGTATGTGTAGTCGTCTTAGCGGATATGACTATGAATGTGAACTCGGTTCGCACACTGGCATTGTTAATTGGAACTACATAGATAGAAAGAATGGAGATGGAAAACACCAGACACGGTCCGGAATATGCATTATTGCTACTTTTTAAAGCCCGAAAATAACTTCGACTTCACTTTTGTTCTTTACAATTTAAGAGCTTTCAGCCTTTTTCGTCAGCTGCTCGATGTTAACCTTGGTACTGAGACCACCATTGGAGGTAGCGGCCTCGGGGGTACCAGTCAGCTGCTCGAGAGCGTGGAGATCATCATTGGTGAGTGTGTTGGAGCGGATGGGACGGAAAGGAGCGGGAGAGCCAGCGCGGGAGGCGAGGAACTAGTTCATGTTAGTGATCCATATCAATATAATTTAGTGAAAGTGGACTGACCGAGCTGGCGGCGCTAAGCAGCGCAATCAGAGAGGCTTGGACCACATCCTGGTGGATACCAACACCCCACACTTGCTCATTGCTACCGGCTGCTGTGCAGTGGATGTATGTAACGGCCTTGACGTCGCGTCCAAGACCAATAGAATGCTCCTTGTAGTCGCGGACATCCAGGTCAATGCCCAGAGAAGACAGAGCAGTAGCCAGAGAGGAAATGGCACCAGCGCCGACACCGGTGATGGCATGCTGGACATTATCAATCTCGATGACACCAGTGAAGCGACGCTTGAGGTTCTTAGTGTTAAGGGCCTTGCCAGGCTCAGGAGGAGCAGGGGACTGCGAGCGGTCGGTGGTAATGCTGTAGTCGACCAAGTTGAAGCGGGGGTTGGACTTGAGGTGGTAAGCCTCCTCGAACAGGTTGACGATCTCGCTGGGCTTCAGCTCCCGGCTGACTGCCTCGGTCTTTTCCTGCACGATCTTGCTGAACTCGACCTGGAGTGCGCGGGGGAGATCCAGCTCCAGACTGCGCAGAATGATCCAGGCGGCGCCACCCTTGCCGCTCTGGGAGTTGACACGGATGACGGCCTCGTAGGTGCGGCCGATATCTTGAGGGTCCAGGGGCAGGTATGGAATAACCCATTCGGTTTCCTCGTCCTTGCCTTGGCCCTCCTCGCGGAGCTTGAAGCCCTTCTTGATGGCGTCTTGGTGACTTCCGGAGAAGGCCACCGGGGTCAAGATACCTCCATAAGGCCAGCGCTCGTTGACGGGAATCTTGTTGCTCTCCTCTACTACCTTAATGATGGAGTTGATATCCGAAAAGTCGACCTTGGGTGAGACACCTTGTGTGTACAGGTTCAGGGCCAGGGTGACCAGGTCCACGTTTCCAGTACGCTCACCATTACCGAACAGAGTACCCTCGACTCGGTCAGCACCAGCCATCTGTGCAAGTTCAGCAGCAGCAACAGCGCAGCCGCGATCGTTATGGGGGTGAACTGAAACGACAAACTTCTCGCGCTCAGTCATGTTTGTGCAAAAGTACTCGACCTGATCGGCAAAGACGTTGGGGGTAGCCATCTCGACGGTGGCGGGAAGGTTAAAGATAATAGGCTTCTCGGCAGTAGGCTCCCAGGCCTCCTTAACAGCCTGGCAAACCTCGACAGCGAATTCGGGCTCGGTATCGGAGAAGGTCTCGGGGGAGAACTCGAATTGCCACTCGGTACCAGCCTGGGAGGGGTCATCCTTGGTGATAGATCGGGCATACTTAGTGCAGCGGACAGCCATTTCCAGACTCTTTTGACGATCCATGTTGAAAACAATCCGACGGAAACAAGGGCTGGTGGCGAGGTAGATGTGCAAAATAGCCTTCTTGGCGCCCTTCAGGGAGTCGACTGTGCGACGGATGAGATCCTCACGGCAAGGAGACAGGACCTGCAGGCAGACATCATCGGGGGTGAGACCGGGCTCTTCGACTAGACGGCGTGTGAAGTCGAAATCGATTTGGGATGCGGAGGGGAAAGACACTTCGATTTCCTTGTAACCGATTTCAACGAGCATCTTAAAGAAGCGGTATTTGGCACCGACATCCTATACAGTCGTCAGCAGGCATTTTCGATGGCGAATCGTATGTCATACCATTGGGTCAGGCAGAGACTGGTTGCCATCGCGCAGATCGGTGGCCATCCAGCGAGGAGGCTTATCAATGATCTTGTTAGGCCATTGACGGTTAGGCAGGTTCAGAGGCTTGAACGCCTTGTATTTTTTTGAGGGATCTTTGAGCCTAAACTAGTCAGCAACGCATAACATCAACCTGTAGACCTGACATACATCGGCATGGCGGAGTGGCGGGGTACCGCGGGGGAATTGATAAGAGATATAGATGTATGGTCGGCCAGGCAGACTCGGGGCTCAGGAGAATAAACTTGGATGCTCCAAGATCAGGATAGACAAGACTTTATAGAAAAGAAAAACGAAGCCAATGAAGAATGGGGAATATGCTGTGACTCAAAAAGTCGATCATGACGAGTTTTCGGCGCCGACAGCGGAGTCACGTGACATGTAAGTCGCGCGAAGGGCGTGAAGATCGGGAGATGAGCGATGGAGGAGTTGCCGGGACTTTTGCTCTGCTTGTCAGGCTTTAGATATTCATTAAGATTCACTTTGCAGTCATAGCAGACCAGAATGTGCTTTTCTCGTAATCCTACAGGGGCCCGAACTCGGAGGCATGTCAGGCCTGAGGCATCTGTTCCGAGGATAGCCGCGCCATGATATGAAGAGTCGGCGTTGTGCATCAATCAGAGGGAGGAATGTGGAATGGAATGTAGTGAATTATACAGTCGAATTGGAAATGGGAATATGGTGTGTAGTACAAGCGCTCAAAAGTCAACAATGACATGTTATACAAAGTTCTTCTCCAAGTCCACCAATAGCGGGTGAACTTCATCCACCTTGAGCTTAACGGCTCGAGGGTCGTGCAGGGCATTGTCGCCCAGTCTGATTTTGATCAGCGCTTGCAGCTGCTGGCTATCCTTGTCGGTCTTGCTTTGCATCTGTCCAGTAACGTCGACGGTGATACTACCATCGGCAATATCGCGCGCTCCCAGGATGAAGATGAGGTTATACTTCATCTGCTTGGCGCGCTGGATCTTCTTTCCTAGAGTCTGCGCGCTGGTATCAATATCGACTAGGAATGTAGAATCAACAGACGACAGTGGGCGCGGCGGTTGGGCACTGCCATCGTTCAACAGTGCGCGGAATCCAGAGAACTTGGCTACCGCTTCCTTAGCCTGAAGCATCACCTTTTCATCTTGGTTGACTGTCAAGATGATAGCCTGGCGCGGAGAGAGCCAGAATGGCCAATGGCCACCGTGCTCCTCAATCAACAACGCCAAAAAGCGTTCCAATGAGCCAAAAATAGCACGGTGGATCATGACCGGAGTTGCGACTCCGGGCGTAGCTGGATTGTAGTCGGGCTCACTCTCTGCAACTTGATACTCAAGCTCAAATCGCTGCGGCAAGTTCATGTCCAATTGAATAGTAGACAATTGGTGGAACTTGCCAGCTTGATCCTGGAGCTGGATATCGATCTTGGGACCATAGAAAGCACCATCCCCCTCATTCAACGCCCACTCACGTCCAGTGCTATCCAGTGCCTCCCGCAACTGTGTTTCGGCATTATCCCACATCTCCAAGGTCCCAATATAATCCGCCTCGGGCCGAGTAGACAGCACCAACCGGTACGGACCGAGTCCGAAAGTCTTCATAGCCATATCAACGAATCCCAACGCCGAAGCAATCTCCGCCTTGATCTGCTGCGGGCGACAGAAAATGTGCCCGTCATCTTGGTGGAAACGGCGCACGCGCGTGAGACCAGTCAAAGATCCAGACACCTCATTACGGTGAAGAGGGCTGAAATCCGCATAGCGCACCGGCATATCACGGTAGGAGTGCTTCTGCGATTTGAAAAGCAGACAGTGACCCGGACAGTTCATCGGCTTCAATCCGTAGGACTCATCCTCGCCAACTTCACCCTCTACTTCGCCGCTGGCTCCGCGGCCAGTGACCTCGTACATGTCATCCTTGTAGTTCTGCCAATGGCCTGATATTTCCCAGAGCGATCGTTTGTAGATGCTTGGCGTCAGGACTTCACGGAAGCCGTATTGGAGGTATTGAGTGCGGAGGAAAGAAATGAGCTTGTTGACGACGTGGGTGCCATTTGGTAGGAAGAGAGGAGATCCGGGGCTGTAGACGGAGGAAGTAAAGAGCTCTTGGGCGGTTCCGAGAGCTCGATGGTCGGTAGGAGGTATCGGAGTTTCGTGTTTGGGGTCAGAACACGAACAATTGCGAAATGCTGTTGTTGATAGCAATCGCGACCGAGGGAGATGCCGTGGCAGAGCTCTGGGAACCAGCAATGGTAACCGAAGCAGTGGGCGCATTGTTGGTTACGCTGAAGATTCTCGGCCGCATTTCCTGCCGATCTGATTATTCCCCACCGCTTTGCAAATCGGGCACAACAGTCAGCCCAGTTGAATACCTTCATGTGCAACACGAACTTAGGACTGTCGGAGTCTGCGCTACACTTTGCACCGTTATGTCCAGCTGAAATGTTTACGCCATGTCTACAGAACAACCCATCCCAGATCACCCAGCCCTGGGCGAATCTTGGGTGATCGCATCGTCTATCAAGGAGAGAGAAACGAAAGAGAAAGCCTCGGTGACACCGAGTCAAAGTCCTCGAAAGAACAGCAAATCGAAGATCGAGCAGTCATCCGAGTCGTCATGGATATCTGGCCCGGAGCTTATCATGCCCTCTATATGCGAGGCGCCAAACCCAGAAAAGTCATGGGTTGAATATAAACGATCCCCAAATCAGTCTGCCACGCCAAATACAAAGAAACGACGCAAATTATCAATGCCGAGCGGACACGCGGTGCAAGACCGGAATAGCATCAAAGCTGGAGACGCTGGCCCGTCTACTCCAGCAACCGAGAACACCCCTGCAAAGATCAAGGTCAGGCTTATGGACAGCACTCTCCTCCGGGGGTCTATTAACGCAGTCCTGATCGCCCTGATCCTCCACATGCTCGTCCTCCCAGAGCTAGTCTACCAAGCCAAAGACCTCTGCCAGCTGCCAAGTATCAAAGCTCTCTATCCAAGCAGCTGTATCAACTTAGAACCGACATACCCACCGCGAATACCCTTCCAACCAACAGCCTCGCCCGAAGATTCCCTCACAACCTCACAGCGACAACTAGAGTTGATATTCGACACGACCCTAGAAACCCTAACACCGCTATCAGGAATTCTGAAACAAAGTGAAAGCATGCTTTCCGACCTAGAAGCACAACTCAAGACAACCTTTCCAGACGCCAAAAATGCGCTAGACCTTGAGTTTCAAGGCAGCACCTCAGCCATGCAAGCAGCAGTCTGGGAATTCGATTCCCTACGCGCAGACCTGCGCTCAGCAATAGACAGCCTACTAGCAACACGACCGACCGAACCAACGGCAGGCACAGTAGCAAGCGACACGCGACTGGCAATCCAAACCCGACGACGCGAAGAATACCTAGACAGGCTGCGCAGTCAAATCCGCAGTAAAGCCGACTCCCTCAACACACGCTTCACAACACTAGACGACCACTTGGAAGCGGTAGACGGGATAGTAACGCGCGAAGAACGACGAAACCCATCCCGAGTGATCAACCAAGAACCCAGTCCCGGAGACCGTCTTCATTCCGTGCTCGACTCGCTCGATCTCGGCACGATCGGGTCTTATTTCTTCCGAGCGCGATCGTCAGGAGCTGTATCGTCGTCGTCAGCTCCGGCTCAGGTCCCTGCAGATGAATCCACAACCGAGTCCACGTCGCCACGCCCCGCTGCGACTCTTGCACTGCTCCGTGTTGCGGCCACGCACCATCGTCCTGTTGCTGGTTCGGTGTTGAGGCTGGCACGTCAATTGAGGGATGTGCAGCGTGCTGGGTTTGGGTCCACTTATTGAGTGAGACCGAGACGACCCTGACTGACTCTCGACCCACTGGGTTGGGGTCCAAGTTGGATGATTCGTATGGGAAATTTGAGGATTATCTTGGATTATCTTGGCCGAAGGATTGAGAATTGAGTTCGTACTAGTAACAGGTGCCAGTGCATTTTGACTTGATTTTGATTTGATTTATATTTGCAATTTTGGAAGCATACGCATGGAAAACGGGAGTTCATTTCATTGGAGAATCAGCCCAACGAACCTGGAAATAACGAAGAAACAATAACGAGTCATGACAATATTACAATTACAACTGAAATCCTAAATGGAAAACCAATTTTCCATCGCTTTCCACTTCGTTTACCTCTCTGAAAAAATCGGACAAAGACATCCACATCCACAACCCGGTGTTGTACTATCGAAACTCACGGAAACACAAACGAACCAAAAAACCAAGCACGCAACCACGGTTCACCAATACAACAAATATATTCCCACCAATCCGGCTACAGTTCTTGTAACTAAACAGTCTCAAAGCATCCACGGCCAATCCAGACCCAGCCAAGATGTCAGTTCCAGGGTTTGAGCTGGGCTGGACAGAGAGGATCGGTATTGATGTCCGGTTCGGCCGGTGTTCTGTGGGCTGATTCACGGTGAGGTATTCTATCCGTATATGCAAACGGGGAGAGTGGTTTGCATATGAGTTAATTATGCGGTTTGGGGTTCCTGTAGCTTGCTGTAGCTCGCTAGCTGTATGTAGATGTAGATGTAAACGTCGATATGTGTAGGTTTGTTTTAGGTTGGAATGTGGAATGTGGATGCAATAAAGTATGCACATGCATGAACTACAGCTAACTACTGTATAGAGCTCAATCAGCCGAACGGGTAAGGAGCGGTGTATAGGTCTAGAACCTAGGTACCATGGAATGCATAACAGTATCTAATGTAAAATGGACAGGAAAAAAAAGTGTAGTCATAGTCAAAAGACACGAATTATTCAACGTTGATGTGGTATTCGCTAGATACAGAATTGTCCGCCCAAACAAACGCCAGGGTCCACCAGCACAAAGCACCGGGGAGAGAACGCGTCGGGAAAATAAATAAAGACAAAGAAGAAAAAAGTAGAGTACATCATAGAAGACCATCCATCAAACCATTACCATATCCGGATCCAGCCCAGGTGTATTCCTCATATGAGGTGCCTTTTTATTAAAAAATGCATGACGGAAAACAAGCGCTCAGAATATCATTTACAGCTGGAAGAAAGCAGCTGCCAGAGCGAGGATGGACACGGGGCCCATGTAGCTGGCAGCGACGGTGGAAGCCGCGTTGAAAGCGGGGCTGGAACTGGCCGAGGCCGAGGCGCTGGTGCTGGTGCCAGCGGAGCCGGAAGAGCTAGAGCCGGAGCCGGTGCTGGTGCTGGAGCCAATGCTGCCAGAGCCAGAGCTGGCGGAGCCGGAGCCAGACCCAGTCTGGGTAGCACCGGCGGCGGCGGAGCTGGAGGCATCAGTGCTGGCGGCGGTGGAAGAACCAGCACCGGCGGCAGAGGAGCTCTGGGTGGAGGTCACCATGGTGCTTGGGGTAGAAGAGGCCGCGGTGGAAGCCTCGGTGGTAGAAGTCTCAGTGGAGGAAGTCTCAGCGGTAGAGGCCTCGGTGATAGAGGTGGGAGCAGCAGAGGTGGTGGTGCTACGGGCGCTGACAGCATTGGAGCCGGTGAACTTGATCGAGTCGGAGGAACCAGACATATCAGAGTAGGTGTAGGACTCAGCCGGGTTGGCATTCTTGATCTCGACGCTCTTGATGTACATGCTGAAGGGAGCAGCAGAGTAGTCAGTAGGACCGCCAGCCCAGTCGATGGTGCCCTGGCCGTTGCTGGGATCACCACCAGCCCAGATACCAATACGAAGGTTCATGGGAGTCTGGGGGTAGCGAGTACCGCCCTTAGCATCGGCGTAGTTGACAGTGCGGACGACGTTGCCGTCAATGGACCAGACGAGGGCCTCCTTGGACCAGTTGACGGTGTACTTGTGGAAAGTATCCTGAGGAGTAGCAAGAGGAACCCAAGTCTCACGGTCATAAGTGGTGTGGTCACCCTTGCCGAAGTAGTTGGTCTCAATCTCGCCATTGTTACCACCAATACCCTCCTGTTGATATGTTAGCAGTGTCCCAATTCTGTTGTTGTAATGGGAAAGTTACGCACCCAGTCAACCTCATCGAGGTCATCAGACTGCAAAACAATGGAGCTGACAATACCCTGACCAGGGGAAGTCTTCATCTCGACGGTGATCTCGCCGTAGAAGAAGTAGAAGTCGGTCTGGATAGTGGGGGCATCGCCCTTCTTGGCGACGGTGAAGGCAGCGCCATCACTGCCGCCAGTGTTGACGGTGCCAGCGGTGGTCTTCCACTTGCCCAAAGCATTGGCTTGGGTGAAGTCAAACTTCAGGTCAGTCTCAGTGGTACCGGGGTTAGCGGGGCAGGTCTTCTGCAGAGGGTCGCAGTCGGTGAAGGTCTGCGCGACAGCGGGGGCCACGGCGAGAGCCGTGGCAAGGAGCTTCATGAAGGAAGGCATTGTGAGATGAGAGACTTGTGAGAAGAGAAAGCGAAAGTGGGAGAGGAGAGGATTAAAAGCCCAAGCAGAGAAAAGTGGGTAAACGAATGGATCCCTGGGACATGCAGAAGGAAAGAGCTCGGTTACTGTGGGCTACGCTACTTATCTACTGCGGTACTCCAAACTATTGTATGGATCAGACGCTAACTGTAGACTAAAAAAAGGAGGAGGCGGGATTGGCTTCAGGGACAGGGCTATCACCTGGTGGCAAGACCGGGGTGAGACACGGCCCCAGTGGACCCTGCCGTCCCCTGAGCTGCTGGGGTTAAAGCTTGGTAAGACATGTAGTCTCGTTTACAAGGGCTTATTGAGGAGACATGCATGCATCATGTGTCTTGGTTCGATAATCTATGTATTGTCTCTCTATAGCCTTTGTCTGCTTCTTAGCTACCCATAAATACTGGCAGGTGTAATAGCCAAGATCTGCCGATCCGGGCGGATCTGAAGCCATGACAGATCGAAGTAAAATACATACTAGGAACTCCACATGCATTGACAATACACGTAACGCCGATGAGCCGAGTCAAATTGTGTAAGCGAGCCAAGACACATCAGGCTCCAAGGTTTCCTTTGTCCCTGGAAATCTTATTCCACAAATTATGACTGATTAATTCTTGACAACAATGGAGACGTGAAACGTGGGACATCACAGATTGCATGGTGCACTACCCAAGGATCAAAGGGGTTTCCATCCACGGGTACTACATGGATCTTACCATCGGACATGTCTATTTTTGTCTGGCAATACGAAGGCAGCTACAGCTGGGCATGAGTTCCTCGCTTATAATAGCTCAACTACTTCGTATAAACGGAATCAAATGACTCAGGAACTTGGTGTCTGTGCTGAGAACGTGGTTCGGAGTACGGACTTGCCTAGCGCCGATGCTACCCACTGCTCACCATGAGACCATAAGGCGGCTGTGTGAGACGTGGTATAGCGCCACGCTAGCCTATGCTCGAGTATTATTAGAGTGGCTGGGCAGAGTTTTCAATGTCACCACCCCTCACTTGATCTATGCAAGGGGTCAAGATTTATCCAAAGCGCTTACAGTAGGTTCTCTTGAAACATCCGTATAAATTACAGGTCAGTGTGATCCCGCGTTTCGAGTCTTGGCCACACAGTATGGGGAAATGCAGGAACAGCCGTTGGACCAATTATCAACGCATGGCCCTGTTTTTAATATATTAGATGAAGGTCAAAGCGTATATCAAACCACTGCATAAGTAAATCATAACGTTAAATCATAAACCATAAGGTATCAAGAACAAATCTAGAAAACCTGCTTATACTTCCACTTCCGCCGGACCAGTCAACTTAATCTCAACCTTCTTAGTGACACTCCGTCGGGCAGCATCATATTGAGCAGCCTTCTTGTTCTTCGGGGAATCCCGTCCAAGAACAGTCACAGCCTCAATAGCCACAGTAGGATGATACCCAAAGCGACCGCTAATCTTCAACTTTCCATCGCGATACTTGAATCGAATCTCTGCCGCACTCTCAACCTCAATCGACTCCCCATCATCAAGATACAATTCACCCTCAGCAGACCCATCAACACCAGGCGCAATAAGAATCTCAAAGCCCCGCTTCCGCAGCTCAGTGGTCGTCATCGCACCCTCAACCCGCAGCGGAAGAATACTTCCACCACGAATATGAACCGGGATATCAGTAACAGAAACCCCTTCCAAAGTCTGGACAGCACCAGCCCCGACAATCTTCTCCCCGGTAAACCAATCATAAAACACATCATCAGGGAAATAAGCCTGCACAGAAGTACTCCCCTCCTCAGAAACAGGCGAAACAAGAATCCCCTCCCCATAAAAGAACTGCAACTCATTCCCAACGACATTCCCATCAGAAGGATAAACAAAGAAAAGCGGCTGCAAGAACGGCACGCCCGTCAACGTCTGCTTATGGAAAGAAGTATACAAATAATCCAACAACCGATACCGAATATCAATAACCTTCTTCGCGGCAGCCGTAACACTCTCCCAGCGGTAGAATTCCTGCGGGATGGAGGTGAGTTCGTTATGGTTGCGGTAGAAGGGGTTGAAAGCGCCTAGCATGGCCCAGCGCGCGCAGAGTTCTTCCGTCGTGTTACTGCCGAAGCCGCAGACGTCGCTTCCTACCATGGGTATTTGGAAGATTGATGCGAAAGCTAGCATTTGGCTGATTGAGATGCGGTATTTGCCCCATTCGCTTAGATTATCGCCTAGCCTGTTATCCGCCGTTAGTATGGGGTAAAGAGTGGGATATAGGGACGAGATAGTGGATGGATGACTTACCAATGACCGACTTGGGACCCCGCTCCGGCAAAGGTACTGCGAGTAATAACGAGAGGACGAACATTAGGACGACGCTTGAGCATTGCTTCACGGGATGTGGAGCTCATCACTGGTTCCGTTAGCCACCCATGCACATATACTCTGTATTGGATAGGAAGAGGAGAACATACTAGTCCCATAGAGATTGTGAGTATCATACTCAACATACCCCTCACCAGCATGGACAATATCCGTGTCAATAGTCTTATTACTGATCCCACCAGCCTCATTCGCAATCGCATAAGGAGGATTAATTAGATCGCGACCCTCAAGACCAACTTTCATCCCCTTCCCCCCAACACCATTCTTCCCATGATGGCCACGGGAACTCAAACTCAAACCCAAACTCCGCTGAACATCCACACCCCTCTTAGCCCGCCTCGTCTTCCAGTCCGGTTGGAAATCTTCAGGGAAACCAGGAATCCTCCTCGGCGGCTCACGAACAGGCGGAGCCGCAGGTGGAAGATCATTATCCAGCGCATACTGAGCCGGATTTTCACAAGGGTATGGGCAGAAATTAGCAGCTTCGTTCATATCGATCCAGAGACCGTCGATGTCGACGCCATCCGATGCGCTGAAGAAGCGAGCGAATTCCTCATTCCAGTATTCTTGTGTTTCGGGGTTGAACCAGTCTGGGTAGACTGTAGCACCGGGCCAGACGGCTCCTATTTATTCTTAGTTTGTGGGACGGTAGGGGTTCCTTGCGAGATGTTATGTACCTTCGTAGAGTTCATTTTGGTCGCTGTCACGGTAGAGGAAGATCCCTTGATCGGAGCCTCGATTGAAAGCGCCGTTGTCTAATAGTTGAGTGTTAGATGCTGATGATGGATGGGAGTTGTGGACATACCAGAGTGGCTAACAGCCGGATCAACCATGACGATATACTTCTGGTCATGCTTATGCAGGTACGAAACCAATTCCCGCATCTTGTGAATGGGGAACCGCTCAGGGTCAAGTGTGAATACTTGTCGGCCATTCATGTAGTCGATATCAGTCCACATAGTCTCAAGTGGAATACCAGCACGACTATAGTTGTAGACAGCCTCCGCGACGTCAAAGACATCCTGGTAGCCATAGCGACAGTTGTGGAACTGTACATGTCAGCCCCAATTTGAATGTGGAAAGCTAAAGAGAAATAGGGCAAACTCACACCAAAGGTCCAGTAACTCTGCATGACAGGGAGTCCAACAACATCCGAATACTGGACACTAACATCCTTAGGCGTCGGTCCAGCCATGAAGTAAAAGTCGAGAATACCACCAAGAGTATTATACTCCAGATACTGCTTCCCATCATCACTCTTATTGACCTTGATATCCATCCCATTAGAATTCAAGAAGAAAACACCATGGGTACCCTTCTCCCCGCGGTGATCAATGTAGATCGGATGGTCACCGTAGAGATTTGTCCCGGATGGAATACTATAAGCATCCCGATTCCACAGCGTCCGAGTGTAATTCGTCGTCGGCAGACGCAGAGAATCAGTATGTTCACCAAGACCATAGAGGTTGGGGTCATTCGGGAGCCAAGTGCGCAGATTCAAGTACTGAGATTGGAAGACGATATTCGTACCAGTAGTATCGAAGAGGACTTCTTTTCCGCGCATTACTCTAAACGAGAAGGGATTCTCCTTGTAGTCGAAGCGCAGAGTAGACTTTTTCTGGTGACCTTTCCGCCCGGTAGGACGCGGCACGACAGACTCGGGAACCTGGTAGACCTGTTCATCGGCATCATAGATCATAACATGGAGACGGTTCTCTAGTATAGTAGTAAGCATCAGTACAAGCATAAGTATAACTCAGATCTTGTGTAGAAAAGTAAACACACCATTCTGAGCCTCAACTAGAAGCTTAAGATTCGGCAGATCAGAACCATAAGTATTACAAGGATCCCCAGCCAAAGTCAGGTCAGCCGTGAGGGTCTCACCAAGCTGTTTAACATTCGAAGCTTTGTAGCCAGGACAATCATCAAGTTGTGACCGTGAACCTAGCACAGCAGCGCCCACGAGGGGAGCCAGGAAGAACAGCCCTTTCATAGTTGCAGTTGGACAAAGCACAACAGGAGAAGTGGGCAGATTTGAAAGTGGCCCTGTGCAGCCTTTTAAACTTGGGGATCTGGGGAAGCACGGCAATTGAGGGGGAATGTGGGGGTCATGGCAATGTGAATGTTACATAGTGTACGAAGTGATTAGCCAATGTGAAGTGAAAGAGGTGCATTGTATATTGCTTGTAAAGTGATGTGCGGAGCAACGGGCAATTATCGGACGCGGTTGGTGGCTGAGGTCGGCAGGGTTAATGCCGGAGATTCATCGCAGGGTCTGTAGGGTCTAGGGGCCTGCAGGGTTTTTTGCTCCATTTACGAGAGATTTGTTGCATCTGGATGAGTTTTGAGGGAAAGATAGAGCGAGGGACAAGGGAAGAAGATGACGTGGGGGTTCCTTGGCACAGGGTCCTCATACTACTCCTACCGCTACCGTGTTCCTACTCTCTCATCCTACGTTCTACAAGAATCAACTGAACTGAATGGCTATTGGCCTTTCTATTGCCCTATGGGCATCCTCTAGATATGGATATTACAAGGAAAATCGTCAACCATCCCAATCAGAAACCCGCTGATCACTTTTCTTAAACCTTCTGGCCAGCAGTCGCCGCTGTGACATCCTCCTCTGAGCTCATAATCTGCACCTTGATAGCACCAGTCTTGGGGTTCGCAGCAGTCTCAAAGGCTTTGAGGGCATTCTCAATCGAGAAACGGTGAGTGACGAGCTTGTTCAGGTCAATGACACCGTTCTGGACCAGGCGAATAGCCCGGGGCCAGGTGTTGCTGTAGCGGTACTGGTACTGGAGGTCGATTTCCTGGGTGCTGAGACGCATGAAGGGAATGGTCATCTCGTTCTTGCCGACACCAATGACAAAGACCTTGCCGCCAAACTTGACACTCCAGATGGCGGAGTTGACACTGCTCTCGACACCAGTGCACTCCAGGGCCAGCTTGGGGCGCAGGGCATCGGGGCCAGAGCCTTTGCCATCGTTCAGGGCGTTGATGATACCGTCAGCACACTGCTCAGCCGACTTCCCAATCTCCACCTTGTATGTGCGCACGCTGGGAACGAGAGACTTGGCGAAGGCCAGACGACCCTCGTCAATATCGGTAATGACAATGGGGCAAGCACCGGCAGCCTGTGCGCTAAGTAGAGAGATCAAACCAATGGGACCGGCACCAGTGATCATCAGAGGGTCACCGAGGCGCAAACCGCTGCGCTCGATAGCCGCCAGGGTCACACTGAGGGGCTCGAGAAGGGCACCATCCTCATAGGCCATATCACCGATCTTGTGGCACCAAATAGCAGGGTGGTTGACATAGCGGCGGAGCAGACCATCAACGGGAGGAGTGGACAGGAAAGCGACATTCTCGCAACCGTTGTAGCGACCGGTCAGACAGGGCTCGCAGGCGTTACAGATAACGTTGGGCTCGATAGCAACGCGGTCGCCAACCTTGAGGTGGGTGACATCGGGAGCGACAGCGAGAACCTGACCAGCAGACTCGTGGCCGAGAACGTGGTCACCGGTGACAATCATGGGGCCGATGCAACCTGCGTGCCAGAAGTGGACATCGGATCTATGCTTGTTAACCTCTTCCTATCTCAACGCGCTCTGCTTTACTTACCCGCAGATACCGGTGCTGCGCACCTCGACTGTGACCTCTCCAGCCTTTAGACCCTTGCCCGCATTGACATCTTCGACAGTGGGATGGGTGTCAGCGATCCAGAGGTCATGCTTGGGGTTAGTGTAAACACCGATGTTGGTCTTGGTGACTGTGGTTGCGGAAGACATAATGAAGGATATGAAAGAAGAAGAAGATGCCTTCTGAAAGCCAGGAGGGAACAGGCTCTTTAATAGCAAAGGCCCGGGGCCATGATGTATGCAACAACCCCACGACTTAAAAGTGGAGTGGAGGGGCCCTGGATTTAACCGCGCGGGGGTCAATTGCTCGCTTTCGCCCGTTATGGTAATCGAAGCCCGCCAACTTTGTATTCCCCGGGCCGAATGATGATCGGCTATCGGTTAATTGTTGCATCTGTTCAATGCCTTCGGTTTGGACCTTCCCAGCCCGAATTGATATTATTCCACCTGATATGCGGAGGAGACAGAATAGAATGCTTCATCTTGCGCTGTAGACATGCCGATAGTCAATCTCACTATCACCCGAGAGTGGCAATTCTCCGGCGGAATTGCAGCGTTTTGGTTGATGGAGTTTTGTGGAGAAAAGCGTGAGGCGTTTGGCCCTTTTCCCGGACCAAACTGTGCAAACAGCTGCCTCGTTCCTCAGGTTTACACATAACAATTTAAGTTAACGTTATGTTTTATTTTTTAAAAGTGTTGGTTTGGTCTATCCTAGTTGATATGACTGCAAGATGTCTGCCCTGTATATAGGTGGATTACTACTCTGTTGTCTAGGTAGCATTATGTTTCACCGTAGCTGTACAACACACTATCAGATGACCGCTGCTGTGTACAACTCAGGAGTATAGACCTGGATTTCCGAACCTGGTCAAAATGGGTTAAATGGGTGAAAGTACCAAATGTATCGAGATTTATTCTCTGAGGTTGCCACTACGGGGTAGTGGCATCCCGTTGCACCGGGGTAGTCTTACCGTATCGGTCATTTCCACATCAGAGCCTAATAGAGTAAATTGAATATTAGATGGTCTCATGAGCTCTAATCAAGTTTGCCTTTGTTACTGGAAGCAAAAAATAAGCAATTGGAGATCAATACTATCTACAGAATGAACACTTTGAAGATGGTGGTGCTATATATATGTAGAGTGGGTGCACTGCTCTAGAATGTTTAAAACGGTCAACACTCGCAACTAACAAGTCAAATTAACCAAAATAGTGATATCATCCTTGACTATTAACGAGGCATAAATACATGTATTTTCTAGTGGCCTGCAGGTACGGTACAGTGCTTGGTATAGACATACTACACTCATTCATAGCGAACGTCAAACATACTAAACTCATCTTTTTGAAGCACAATCTACCGAATTATTCAAAGTCTCAACTAAATATCAACTGATCTACATCCAGGATTACAGTATTGATTTTTGTTTACTAGGCCCAGCTCACGTGACTGAATTCCCTGAAGTTCCCGAGCGACAAATCCGCAGATTCTGGTTCTGCCGTTGCGCGAGACTTAGGACCATTGGACCATACTGCTTCATTAGCGATTGTGTCTTTCGCTTGATTCCTTTCGTCCACTCCTTTTCTCCCTTCAAAATGCCTGTCACCCGTGCTGTCCTGCGGCAATCGCAGTTCCTGACCCGGAGAACCGCCGTCAGACATGCCTCATCTACCTCGGAGGCTGCCTCCAAGGCTGGCGAGACTGCTTCCTCTGCGGCCTCTAAGGCCCAGGAGGGTCTCTCCAAGGTCTCTGCTTCCGCTGGCCCTGCCCTCTCCAACGCCGCCGGCGCCCTGCGCAAGATCGGTGGTCCCGCCGGCAAGGTCATCTCTTTCGTCGATGGTAAGGAGACCCGCGTTCTTTGATTTGGTGTCTACAATGGAGGAAATGGAGTGCCATGATTGGATTGCAATCAGATGAGAATATCATCCTCGTCCGATTGACCCGGTGGAATCGTGCCATCCGACCTCCGAGCAACCTCCTTGTTAACATACAATTTCGAGATCAACTCATTCTATAAAACACATCACCAAAGTGCACAGCTAACCTCAATCAGCCATGATCCCCCCGACTCTCTACTACTCCAAGGTCGGCCTTGAGCTCGGCAAGCTGGTTTTCCGTGGCCAGAACATGGCTCCTCCGTAAGTCGCCATCGCAAGAACACCCAACTCGCCAACTCAACTGACAATGTCTAGCAACATGGCCACCTTCCAGTCCTACTTCCAGCCCTTCATCAACAACCCTGCCGCCCTCAAGAACCTCCCCTCGCCCTCGAGCATCCTCGCCCGTGTCCGCAACGCCAGCCCCAAGGAGCTTGCCTTTGCTGGTGTTACCGCTGCTGAGGTCATTGGCTTCTTCACTGTTGGTGAGATGATCGGTCGCATGAACATTGTTGGTTACCGGGGTGAGGTTGCGCACGCGCACTAAGGGGTAGAGAGTCGTCCTTTCCTTATTTTCCTTTGTTACTTTGTATGATAGACGATGGAATATAAACTGTTGTCTGAGATAGAAGCAATTGCCATTTGTGTGACAGCTGTATAAATGAGGTCTTGAGCTTTGCCTGTTGAGCGCGGGTCCATAGTTAGCAAGTAGTTGTGTATGTGTAGAGTGAGCTCACTCGCTATTGCTATTTCTACTTGCCACCTGCTTCCTTCCAAGTCTCCAAGTCTTCTTCCAGGTCCTCTCGGTATCTTGATCTGTTCCAGCCTCTTTGCGCAGTACAGACATCTTACCTCAAGCGCTTGGCTTAGATCAAGAGGAATGTGGTTAATTGAATTACTCCATTTCACTGCCCTAGTCCTATTCCTCTCCCACATCTGGATCCTCACACCTCAGGCTGTCCTCATGCTGTTGTGGTTTGAAGCCCAATACATATACGCTCATCTGTGATGACATCTGATTGGCCCGGGATGAAAGCGGCGGACCACTTTTTTTCTTCGTGAAATATCAAAGTCGACACTTTCAACTCACCACAACATGGATGCATTCAAGCTATTGACTCGGTCAACAAAATTGAAGCCTACTACTTCAAAATCAGATTCTTCTCGTCTGCCGTCAACCGGAAAAGCAGCCAACCCGCAGCTTTTCCGCACCGCCGACGCCGACAAGCTCGAGGCTGCCAAGAGCGGCAAAAAAAGAAAGAGAAACACTGCTGCTCAGCAGGATGAAGATGAAGTTCCCGAGCTGGACTTTTTCAGTTCAAACAAGCGCCCTGCAACCAGCGTGACGGAACCCGCTGCTGCGACCGAGCACAGTGCTGAAAAAGTGACTGAAGATGTCGCATCTGAGGACGACTCCATGGACGACGTGCAGCGTCGCACGATCTTGAACTCTCACAAGATCAAGGTGACTGACTTGCGCGACATGGATGAGATTCAGCCCCAGCCAGCTTCTACCAAGGACTCCAAGAAGAAGAAGAAGTCAAAGAAGGAAGAAGCTCCTGTTCTCAGCAAGAAAGAGCAGAAGCGCGCTAGACGTCTTTTCCCCGAGCCTTTGCTTTCTTTCAAGGAGCTTCGGTCCAAATATCAGATCTCTTCGCGTCTCGCAGAGAATGTTGCGGACCAAGGGTTTACCGTGCCCACTGAGGTACAACTTGGTACTCTTCCTTTGCTTCTCGATGAATCTTCTGAGCCGGATCTTTTAATTGTGGCCCCAACTGGCAGTGGTAAGACATTGTCATTTATGATTCCTGTGATCAACAAGATTGTGCGACACCACCACTCAAGCCCCGACGAGCACGGCATTCTGTCCGTAGTTGTGGCTCCTACCAAGGAACTTGCAAGCCAAATTGTAAACGAGGGCCGGAAGCTGGTTTCTGGAACTGGTGTGAAGATCACATTGATGAGAAAGGGAATGCGCGTGAGCGAAGAAGGCAATGCGAATGTCCTCGAAGAGAGTGATGCGTCATCTGGATCCGACGATGAGGATGACAACAAGCCATCAAAAGACAGTGCCAATATCCCCCTTACCAAGAGTGATATACTTGTTACCACACCGTTGATGCTGGTCAATGCTCTCTCGGCGAACCGGACAAAGACCATGGCAACTCTGCCTCTAGTCCGAAGTCTCGTCATGGATGAAGCGGATGTTCTATTGGACCCCTTGTTCCGTGAACAGACACTGGATATCTGGAAAGCATGCACACACCCTGAAATGCGAGTCGGACTTTGGTCAGCTACGATGGGATCCAACATTGAAGATCTCACCAAGTCGACAATCAAAGAGCGACAAGAAGATCTCGGAATCAAGCCCAGCGAATCCCATGCCCTACTTCGTCTGGTCGTTGGCTTGAAGGACTCCGCCATCCCCAACATCGAGCACAAACTCGTCTACGCAGCAACAGAGCAGGGTAAACTGCTTGGACTCCGCCAACTCCTTCGTCCCACAGCGGCTTCAGCATCCGACATCCGCCTCCGACCACCCTTCCTCATCTTCACCCAAACCATCCCCCGAGCCATCGCCCTGCACTCGGAACTCAAATACGACATCCCGGCCGAAGCAGGCGGCTCATCGCGAATCGCAGTCCTCCACTCGGACCTCTCAGACATCCAACGCTCAGAAATCATGCGCGATTTCCGCAAAGGCGAGATCTGGATCCTGGTAACAACAGACCTCCTCGCCCGTGGAGTGGACTTCCGCGGCATAAACGGCGTAGTAAACTACGACATCCCAAACTCAGCCGCAGTCTACGTACACCGCGTGGGCCGAACGGGACGAGCAGGACGCGAAGGCGGCATCGCAGTGACATACTACACAAAGGAAGACATCCCCTACGTGAAGAGCATCGCGAACATAATCGACATGAGCGAAAAGCTACGCGGTGGTGATGGCGACAAATCCATCCAGAAATGGCTCCTCGATGCACTGCCTAATCTGAGTAAGAATAGCAAGAAGGATCTCAAGAGGCATGGCGTTAAGGCGCGGCAGATGCCGAGGTTGGATGTGAAAGATGATGGGAAAAGCGCGCGTGGCATGCGGATTAGTACTAAGAGTGGATTTGAGCGGCGCATGGAGAATCGGAAGAAGGGTGCTATTGCTGCTAGTCGGCAGCGGAAGGCTGCTGCTGGTGGTGATGGTAATGTTAGTGATGCTGGTAGTTGGGCTGGGTTGGATGATTAGATTGATGTTTTGTACAGTATGCTACTAGGATCATATTCCATATTCCATATCCGTATGTCTGTTACAAGGAAAAATATTCAAGTCATGATCATTTAATAAATACATCAAGTCATGGCTATATACGCCGTGTCTCATTTCTGCCCAGCCTTTCCATTCTGTCCTTGCGCCTGTCCCTGACTTTGGCCACGAGGCTGAGACTGAGGCTGAGCAGGAGGAGGTTTTTCCTCAACAATCTTCCTAACCAAAGTGACAGGGACAAACGCACAATCCAACAAACCCTGCTCCTCCAAAACCCCCTCCAATTCATCTCCATCACGATCGAAATAAAGCGCCCATTCACCCTCCTCTTCCTCAACTGCATAGAAAGCCTTCTGCTTCTTATCCAGCGAGATGATCCTCTCCTCTTTATCCCAATCCCACGGCCCAACTATATGCTCCACACTTTGTGACCGATTCCCATAGCGCAGCTCGTATGTCTCATTATCGGCATAGATCCAATTGAGCAGCGGTGGCGTTTCCTGTACATAAGTAGGAAGCCCAAGACCCCGATCTAGATGTTTCGTTTCATCTAGTTCGGGGTATTCAATGTAAAAGGCTAGAGCTGTGAAGGCTGGAATGGAGCGATTGGATGGGTTAGGATCTGCGAGGTAGACCTGTAGCTGGTTAGTATGATCCGTCTCGGTCTCTGTATTCCTGGCTACAGATTGAAAGTACCTTCTCATTCCTAACAACAACACTCATCCCATTCAACTCGCGATCATCATCCGTATCGCCGTTGCATTCAGCTTGGATGTTGAACTTCATCATGCGCCGATTGTCTTCCTTGCGCTGGTTTGCTTTGCGCTGCTCGCTTGATGCGAGAGATATACCCGTCACCGTCGGGATGGCCGTAATGGCCAAGAGTCCGATGACCATTTTCAGGTTCTTGGTGGAGTATGCACTGGGGTAGTGGGGTTTGAGGGATGCTTGACAGCTAGATCGTTGGGTAGCTGGTGTTCGAGACGAAGGAATGAATTCAGTGGGTAGAAGGTTATTATAGTAGACGGCTTAGATTGTGCAGTGCATTAGGTAGGTTGGAAATGCATTCCAGCCTGGGATCTGAGATCTGGATGTCTCCTAGTTTGTTCTGGTGGCGTTTTGGTCTGGATTCAGGTCTTCTGGTGAGTTAGCATGAGTTAGATAAAAGTTGAGTATGCGAGACTGACTAGATATATGTAGGATATGTCTGATTCTTGAGCAGAAGTCATCTTTGCAGGTTATTAGAGACAAGTCAGTAAATTGCAACTTCCATGGTCCGCCTGAACACCGACGTCATGGCCACGTGATGGGGCTTGACGTGTTGCTGTTTTTTTTAATCTCTTCATCGGCTGGATCATTTGTTTCCCTGCTTCAAATTTACTGGTTACTAATTCTCGATCATCACATAACTTTAAATCAATGCATTGCTAATCAAGTTCTACAAATCTTATGCTAATCTCTCGTCTATCGTTTATTATTCGTGATGTCGTTTGATCGTGCCAACGACCTGGACCACAACATGGTAACCCATTCTACACCTTCTCACTCCATCCCCAAATGGACCACCAGCACTTGACAGCCAAGGCGCCTCCATCTGCACTCTCCCAATCGTCATATCCAACCTCTTCACCCTCTTCAACGACTGCAAGGCCCATCTCACTCATTCGTCGCCGGAACTCCTGCACCTGTAGCAGATACGCATCTCGCAAAGGCATCTCCGTCACAACGCGCGCATCACGCCCATGGCTAAGCCAAGGCGCAATAGTATCAACCAGCAACCTCGGATGACTGGGAGAATACAGCGGGTCAGCCGCGAGAATCACGTCGAACCGCTCCTCTGCTGATGGCAGGGGCGACGGCGTGACAGACCAGTCGAGCACGCCAGTTGTCACAGTCGCTCCGGTCCGGTTGAGGAGCTCTACGTTCAAGGCAGCGTTGTGGGCGAGGTTCGGGACGATCTCGGGCAGGTCGGTGAGGTGGATGGTGGCCGATTTACCCTGGAGAGCGGCAAACGAGAGACCGACTAGTCCAGTGCCAGCGCCGAGTTCAAGTGCCCGCAGAGGTTTCTCAGTATTGGATGTGGAGGGGTCAGTCGAGGCAGTAGGGACCAGTGCCGGAGGCGACTCGAGGAGGATATGGAGACGGCGGGAAAGAAGGTAGGATGACACCCAGGTCTTCATACCGAGGTTATCGGCCGTGAGTGATGGTTCGTGGAGGGTCAGGGTGTAGTCTTCGCCGGAGGAGGCGGGCACATCGAAAGTGCGAGACATGGCCGGCATTGCTGCAATGAGTCAGTCAGCGAACACAGCAAGAGAGTGAAACAATGCATACCACATCGGCCAGACCGCTCACTGAGCCGTGCAGCGGCCGCATCCCAGATTGCCTCGCGGAGTTCATCGGTTTCGAGCCATGCCAACGGGCTTGAGATGATGGATGTGAGATACCGAGTCACGCCCGCGGGCTGCACGGCAGGGCCCTTGACGACATCAGCGCTGGTGCCGAAAGTACGTGGCTGCAAACTCAGGAGAGCCAGCGCCTTTACAAGATCAGTGCCGGAGGGCTTCTCGTAGAGTTGCGGGAGATCGAGCACTGGCTTATCAGTTCCATTATCTTTTGTGGACCGACTGGTCCGAGAGTGTAGATCTGGGGACTAACCGTGAAGTGGCTCGTCGGTCGTGGCACTGATCATATTGGTGAATTGCTGTGTGCTGTAAGAAAATCCAGAGCAAAAGGCAACAGTTTATCTCGACCCCGGGGGATCTTGAACCGCCACGCGGTAAAGAAAAATAAAAAATTCCCAAAAAGGAAAGGCGGATTTGATGGTTCCGCGGGCCCCTTTTGGCCTAACTTGTCAGGCATAAATCTATAATTATCAGACGGACTAGATCCGATTAGAAGAGATAGACCAGTCAATTAGTATATACTGAAGAGCCGAATAGTTTCCAAGAAGCAAATGGGTATATTCATTGATATTTTCAATATCGAAGAACAAAATCGTAGACTTCCACCGCTTGTCAAGAGACATCAGTTCAATGTCGCCTTGAATCCCTGATATGCCTGTTCAATATCAAATGCGATTTCTCGCGCCTGGTCCTCACTTAATTCTTCAGTAGCTCTCATTTGGTTCAGTGCAATTAACCATTGAATGATCTTGCCGCGATCCTCAAAGTCTCCATCTGTGACCTTGTTCACAGACTGAATGACTTCCGACAGGAGAGGATGCAATGCATCTTTTGAGACCATATTCAGTTTCAATGCATCGAGGAATGTAATAAAGTTCTCAGTCGCTGCCAGAATAAGGCTGCCCGATGCCCCAGCCGGCCCTGCAGCCGCCGCCATACTAAGAGGTGGCGCACCGTGAGAAGCCTGTTCAACCGTAGCAGGAAGACCAATGCGCAATCGCTCCGTAGCTCTCGGGCATTCCAACTGTATTGTATAGCGTCAGCAATGTCGACGTCGGCGAAGTAAGCAGGGTACCCTTACACCCCACGTCCGCTTGAACGTTTCCAAGTCGACAAACTCCCGCGACACAGTCTCATCGCCGAGACTGGACTTATATTGCTTCAATAAGCGAGTACATGTCTCTGTGTATTCTGCCTCGGTGACCACGTCCTTGATGTATGCCTTCTCGAGTCCGTCAAGGGTGACAATGATGCTGTATATCTCGGCTAGGGATTCATATAGATCGCGCTCGACTGAGCTGGATGCTAATTTGACTTCCTGGACAATTGTAAGCCAATCTGTCTATCAATGCGGAGACGGGTCCGTACTTCATCGAGGTTGATCGAGGCCGACCGGGCGGGGTTGGGGGTATAGCTGTATGGTGTGGGAGCATATGAAAGTGGCCGCTGGGAGTACATGCTGTGTACAAGTCCGGAGTATCATCAAATCGTGAGTGTGAATGTCGCAAGTTGCCCTCGTAGCTGGAGCTGTTATCGCCCGACACAAAGGCGGTGGAGAAGGCGGTGGGACCGATTTTCTCCCCAAATTTTTTTTGTCAAACGGCCGATTCCAGCACCAAGCTATACTTGCAGACTCTTTTCTGCAAACCTCACAATGGCTGGAGCCAAGAAGTCCACGAAGAAATTCGAGAAGAACCATCTTAAGGATGTTATCGAACGCCGCAAGTCACACGCCAAGGTGAAGCAAAGACACCAGTTGAACGACAAGCGCAAAGAAAAAAATGCTTCAAAACGCGCCGAAGCCGAAGAGGCCAATGAGATCAGCCCTGAGGAAGCGAAGAAGCAGAATGCTTTCGCCGAAATGAATGTTGACGATTTCTTCGCCGGTGGCTTCGAAATTCCCGAGGAGAAGGGCAACAAGTCCAAGAAGGACGTCACTCCCAAGATCGGCAAGCGCAAGCGCTCAGAAGACAAGGCACAGGCCGAAGAGGCTCCCGAGGAGGACGACAATGAAGACGACGATGCAAGCAGCGTCGACGGACACGACGAACACAAGGAGCAACTGGAGTCACTGAAGGAGAAGGACCCCGAGTTCTACAAGTACCTGAAGGAGAACGATGCGGAACTACTCGATTTCGGTGAACAAGGCGATCTCTCAGAAGTCGACGCTTTGAGTGAGAGCGATGAGCCTGAAGACGAGGAACCTGCCAAGAAGAAAAAGAAGAAGTCGAAGAAGGACGAGGAGGTGGTGGAGCCCACGAGCACCACCCTCACAATCCAGACCGTTCAGAAGTGGCACAAGTTGATGGAGGAGCAGAATTCGATCCGTGCTATGCGTCAGGTTGTTCTCGCTTTCCGTGCCGCTGCCCACGTCAACGATGCCGACGCCCCAGAGCAAAAGTACATCATCTCCGACAAGAACGTCTATCACCAGGTTCTTGTCACGGCCCTTAACACCGTTCCCAAGGTCCTGGCCCACCACCTCCCCGTCAAGGAGACTGCTGGGGGCAAGATCCGCGTGTCATTGGACTCGAAGAAGTTCAAGACCCTTACGCCCCTGATTAAATCTCACACATCCTCGGTTCACCAGCTTCTGATCAACCTGTCTGATGCATCTACACTCAAGCTGACCCTCTCGTCAATTGAGCCCATGCTGCCATACCTTCTCCAATTCCGTAAGGTGCTGAAGACTCTCGTCAAGACCGTTGTCGGTATCTGGGCTGATGTCGCCACCAACGACGCAACCCGTATCACTGGTTTCCTGCTTCTGCGCCGCCTTATGGTTCTCGGAGATGCTGGTATCCGCGAGAGCGTGCTCAAGGCCACCTACGAGGGTGTTGTCAAGGGCAGCCGTAACACGACTGTGCACACACTTGCAGGCGTGAACTTGATGAAGAACTCCGCCGCCGAGATTTGGGGCATTGACCAGAATGTCTCATATACCACCGGATTCTCCTTCATCCGCCAGCTGGCCATGCACTTGCGTTCCAGCATCACCAACACCTCCAAGGAGTCCTACAAGACCATCTACAACTGGCAATACGTGCACTCGCTGGACTTCTGGTCCCGTGTGCTTTCCCAGCACTGCGATGGTCTCGTCGAGGCCCAATCCGGCAAGCAGTCTGCTCTGCGTCCCCTCATCTACCCCGTCGTGCAGATCACCCTTGGTGCGATGCGCCTTATCCCCACCGCCCAGTACTTCCCCCTGCGCTTCCAGTTGACGCGCTCCCTGCTCCGTATCTCCCGTGCCACCGGCACCTACATCCCGCTCGCATCCTCACTCCTGGAGGTCCTGACCTCCGCCGAGATGCGCAAGCACCCCAGATCCAGCACCCTGAAGCCCCTGGACTTCAACACAGCCATCCGCGCGCCAAAGTCCTACCTTCGCTCGCGCACCTACCAAGATGGCGTGGGTGAGCAGGTCGCCGAGCTCCTCTCCGAGTTCTTCGTCCTGTGGTCCAAGCACATCGCCTTCCCAGAATTGTCCGTGCCCGTCGTTGTCTCCCTCAAGCGCTGGCTGAAGCAGGTCTCTGCCCGCTCTGGCGGAAATAAGAACGCCAAGATCAACCAGATGATCCTGCTTCTCGTGCAAAAGGTCGAGGCCAACGCCCGCTGGATCGAGGAGCGCCGTCTGACCGTTTCCTACGCTCCCCGTAACCGCACCGAGGTTGACTCTTTCCTCAAGGACGTCGACTGGGAGACTACACCTCTCGGCGCCTTCGTCAAGACACAGCGCAAGCTCCGCGAGGAGCGCGCTGCTATCCTCGAAGAGGGTCGTCGCGAGGAGGAGAAGAGGAGAGAGGAGGCGAAGAAGAACGGTGGCGATGACGAGGTGATGGGTGGTTTCAGCGGCGACTCTGGCAGTGAGGATGAGGAAGAAGAGGAATGGGAAAGTGAGGAGGAGCCCGAGATCGAGGGCGAAGATGAAAGTGAAGACGAGATTGAGATGGAGGATGAGTAGACTCCTGATGTTTTATTGTATATCTCCTTGCCTCGAACGGTTTATTGCATATGTCGACTTTGGTCACCAGGATACAGTCTGGGTAGTAACTCAATCCCACAAAAGAATCATTTTTCTTAATCCATTCATATCATATCTCATGATCCTACTCTAACCTATACTCTATAAATCTATCATGTCAAAAGAAATGGGTATCAAAATGCAAAATGCAACTAAACAGACCCAGCAGAACCAACCCTAGCCCTCTCCCTCCTCAAAACAGCACTTTCCTCTTCAGCCCAAGCTAAAGACTCACTCGGCAACATAATAGCCTTATCAATAGCAACAGTCAAACCACGATGCCGTCCTCTGAGCGCAACAGCAGCAAGAATCAACTTGCTAATAGTATGCCACGCCTCACAGAACGTATAATTCTTTCCAGGGAATCCAAGACTAACACTAACACAGCCATAAGCAGAAACAACCTCGAAAATAATATTGAATGTCGAGAATGCCACAGGGCTATCAGTATAGTGATCCGATTCAGCAATCGCAATGAAGAACTGCAAATGCTATCCACCAGAGGTCATGGCTGAGCTGAGATCGGATTTGAGATAAAAAGACAACGAAATACAAGCGAGTGCACAATGTTTTCAATGATCAGAGAGAGAAAAAACCTGCCAACGAAGAAGAACAAGGAAAGAAGAGGAAAATACGGTGTGAAGAACAATCTAACGGGTCCTGCGAGTAGGGCTTCGACGTGCATTGTATACTTCTGATATCAGACTCTCTCCTCCCTAAGCCAATGCCCACTTTTCCCACCCTGCTTCTCGAGCAATCTAACAGCCTCAATGACCATCCCCTTATCAACAGCCTTGAGCATATCATAAACCGTCAAAGCAGCCCCCATAGTAGCAGTCATAGCCTCCATCTCAACACCCGTCCTACCGAAACAACTAACACTCGCAACAACTTTCATAGAACCAAATCCATTATTCTCCGGTTCATTTAACTCGACACTAACCTCTACCCCGGTAATTCCAATACCAGGATGACACAATGGGACAATGTCAGGGGTGCGCTTAGCAGCCATGATACCGGCGATCCGGGCGACGCTGAATACGTCACCTTTGTGTGTATGTCCTTTGCGTAGGATTGACCAGGGCCGGTCATTTGAGAAGGTGACTGTACATGCTGCTGTGGCGAGGCGCTTTGTTTCTGGTTTTGAGGTGATTTGGGTCATGTGGACTGTTTTGGAGGGGGTTAGGTGTGGCAGGTCTGCGTCGGAGGTTGTTGGGAGAGATGGAGACGGGCGAGTAGTGGTTTGCTTTTGGTCTTGGTCCTTGAAATCGGTAGCAGAGCGCCCGTTGTGGTAGAGACGGGCTTGGGAAATTGGTAGATTTGGTAACATGTGGACTGGGATCTTCGACCAGGGAGGACTAGTACTGGCCGTCAAAGGGTAGGCTGGTTGTTGATTCGCATTATTGTCTAGTTCGTCTATCAGCCGATGATTCAAGAAATGATATCCAAAATTCATAAGTCGCGTATGTACATGGTACCAAATCCCGCCATATCCAGCAAAAGAATTATCCACCCAATGGATAATTTACAAGTCATAAAACATTTCCAATCATGAGAGAAGGAGACGGCTACCCACCAATCAAGATCATAGGACGATTTTTCATATCCTTCAGCTGTTCCATACCAGCGTGTTTCGCCTTCTTGCGTTTCACGGCCATGCCGATGATATCGAGGATCTCGCGCTCTCGCTCGTTGACCAAAACGCCTTCATCGCTGAGGCGGGATGCCGTTTGGACTGTTTCCAGTAGTTTCAGATCGTTCATCGCATCCAAGTCGATCGGGTTTCCGGCGTTCTCTTTGCGAATGATGTCGCGCAGGGATACCTCGGAGTTACCAAACAAGCAAACTTTGAGGTTACCATCACTAGTGATGCGGAGTCGATTGCAAGTACCACAGAAGTTATGCGTCATGCTCGTGATGAAACCGACGCGTCCCTCGAACCCAGGCACACGGTATGTCTTGCTAGTGTCATTCTTGTGATCCTCCACTTTTTCAAAGGTGGGATATTTCTCCCGAATGACAGCCAACATTTCCTGGTAGGAGAACATCTTGCCCTGGTTCCATTTGTTCCCGTCGAAAGGCATGTACTCGATGAACCGCACTTCAATGGGCTTCTCACGGCCTAGTTCCACGAACGGGAGGATCTCACGGTCATTCATCCCCCTCATGATAACGCAATTGATCTTTAGCTTGATGCCCGCTCCAACCTTATTCATTTCCAGAATACGATTGATGCTCTTCATCACAGCGTCGAATCCCTTGCGTCGCGTCATGATCTGGAACTGGAATGGGTCCAGTGTGTCGAGGCTCAGATTGACTCCCGTCAGACCGGCCTCGACCATCAGATCCAGCTTCCGATGTAATGATATTCCATTGGTCGTGAGACATAGTTCCCGGAGTCCGTTCTGCCGTAGCTTGCCAATGTCCTGCATCAACGGTACGATATCCTTCCGAACTGTCGGTTCACCACCCGTCAGTCGAATCTTGGTAACGCCCTGTGAAACAAAAAGGGAAGATAGATAGAGGATCTCGGGGGATGTGAGGAGCTTGGCAGAGGGCGACAGGTCTATGCCTTCCTCAGGCATGCAGTACAAGCACCGAAGGTTGCATCGTTCCGTAACGCTGATGCGGAGATAGTCATGCTGGCGATTGAAGGTATCGGTGAGGAAATCGGAGAAAGGCTTCGCAGCCTTGAGCGGGGATAGCCGAGGGGAGACTTTGGAGTGTGGAGGTAGTTCAGATGTGACGGTGGCGTTGGGTCTTGCGGCGGTACTCTGGAGTCGAGCGATCGCCTTGGTTGGGCCCCAGGGAACTCTAGGGCACAAGATCTGCTTGCACCGTCCAGCCATCATCGTTCAAGGGGTGTAAAGTGGCATAGTTGGCAAATATATGCAGAAGATGAGAATGTGAGGGGTCGCATGGACATTCCTCTCAATGAGAGCGGCGGACTCCGCGCTGAGTCACGTATCTCGGTGGCTTATCAATTTCCGCCTCGCCCGCTCCGCGGACTGTTTAACTCCATTTTGATATTTCTTTATAACATTCTATTGTATTCGTCAAGTTGTATTTGGCTCTACGGACAAGTTTGTTCAAATGAATTCTACCCGATTGATATTAGAGAACTGCTTTACATACGTCGTTAGTCAAGATCTCGTTGGTCAACTAGATCTGACAGCAGTGGACATCAGTCCTTTTACAACCTTACGTTTATTTCGTCTAGGTAGTTGACCTGAGGCACTCAAAAGAAGGTTAAAACGAAGGGAGAAAAGAGAGACCAAAATTGGGCGAAAAAATTGCAGGGAACTATCCAAGATTCCGTCTCCATGGCACTCTATACTCACTTACGACCGCGTTAATATGATAACCCGCATCTTCCACTTATTCTTATTTCTCGTCCCATTGGTCCATTCCCTCGTATCTCTTCTTTCTCTTCCACCCCATTCCCTTCTCATCATCTTGCTTGTCTTGACCCAGGCTACTCCATGCTTCCGCAGAAATGACAAAGCAGACTGGCGATTCAACCTCGATCAAACCAGCAAATAAGCACCACAGGCAAGATTGCTTCTTCATCCAGGAACGGTGGATCTTCTACTGCCAGAAGCAGTCCGCAGACGTCCCCGGTGAGAATGAAGTCTTTCGCAGTCGTAATCATTAAGTTAACAGGAAGCCCTCGCCAATCTGAGAAAAGTCGAAAGCCAGACCAAATGCTCCGAGGAAATCATTCCTCAGAAGTCGGCAGTGGCTCAAAGACCGACGAACCTCTCCCATCTCAAGAAATCGAAACGATGAAACAGCCTCCATCGATCTACACCCTCTCACGTACGATCTACCAGTCACATAACAGAAGCGTGCTGCCATTAGGTCTCAGTATCGGAACTTAACGGCAGCACTATTTTGTTGTCAATAAGGAGAGCGGCATTGAGGAAAAGCCGCGGTACCGACGCATTGTTTGCCTGGAGTTCGATTCCGATGGCAATGTCCGCTGATACATCGTCAATCGAAATATCCATAGAGAAAGTCCAAAGCGAGTGCTCTTGATGCCCCGATTTCTGGAAATGTCGACAATTTCAAAGAGAACAAGTGCGACCTGGCAAAGGGAAATAAGACAGGATGGGCGAAGCTGTGGCTTCACAAAGAGACATGGAGTGGGAGACTCGCTGGTCTCCAACGAAGGATATGCTTAACACCGATAACCGCCGAAGACAATGTATCCAACGTGGAAGCAGAACCAGAGATGACGACGGATTACCCTACTTTGTGACTTTTCAGATGGATTCATAAGATCCACAGGGCCACAAACTGCCCCTCTTGGACAGCTTGGACAACAGCCCTTCTAAGTTTAGAAGCGAGACGGCCGAAAGCAATGAGAGGGCCCGGCAAGAAAAGTCTGTCGAGTCATTTCAACATATGCAGGAACGGATGTTACTATCAACCGAAAGTGCGATCTTACGGAAGCATTACATCAACACAGTATTGGACGGTCTGAGTTTTAATCTTCCAAGCATTCGGTTCCTGGACCAACCCGGCAAAGACTCCGACAAAATCCTCAGACAGTTGATATCTGGAAAGCTCCTAGACGGATCTACGACCACACGCAAACTTGGCACGCTGAGTGCAACACCAGGGCGACCAATCCCTCCGAGAGAAGCAAAAAAGGCATGCTTGATAATGGGAACGATGCAGAAGATAAGCCTTCCGAGGAAGATTTTGAATCCGATGATGACAACGGCAGAGGTGAGGGAAAAGAAGACGCTTCTCTGAGTTTGGACAAGCGCTTGATCACAGATAAACTCCAACCTCGACCCCGACGACATGGACAGACAGACTTTGAGGGACATCGCCATATGTGATGTTCCAGAGATCGGACTATTGGAGTTCAGCTGGCTGGTTAATCAAGGTGTTTCAGAACTGGCACAATTCCGCCTGAGAGGGACTGGGCTAGAAAGGGAATCACACATACGAACAGAAAGGAGTGCATCAGAAACCAAAACGGAACCCATTGACTACTTCGCAGAGACGCAGACTCGATATCAACCAGGCCACGATGGATTCTCAGGGGACCACAATCGGTTCTTACAATAAGCAAATTGATCGATTGGAAAGCAGGGATAATTGAGTTTAAAGAAGACAACCAAGCATGCAATTTCCGCGATGTGGGAAGGCCTTTGAACTCTCACGCACCGAGTCTACAAGCGGCATTCAATGGAAGCATGTCCTGGTTTCCATGTACTATCGACTACAGCATTTGTTATGAGGATGAATGTCGCACGGCCAGGCCAGGGATCTGACCATGTGGCCCGGGAGTAATTCTTACCACTGCACAGATAAAGTCATATATTTTGTCTCTACCAGATGCTTTCATCTTACCTCACAGTCCATTGATTTTCATTGTAGACAGTATGTCTCTGCTGACCCCGGCGTTGAATTTCCATTGGCCATACTCTACTTACACTGCTAGCAGTTTTTGTACCCGCTTCACCAGGCTCTGTTCAAACTGCTCCACACCGTTCTTCTGTTCGTTCATTTTGCCTTGTTTGATCACATACACTGACCGCCGTCGCTGAGTCTCTTCAGTTTCTTCCTCTTCCAAGCCTTCGAAATCTTCATCGAGCTTGTGCTCTGTATCGCGCTTGCCTTCGATCACAGACCGTACAAGGAAACGGTCGTGGGAGATCAAGATAACAGCGCCATTGAAAGAGGAGAGAGCGGTGGCTAATGCAGTGACAGTGTGGAAATCCAGGTGAGTGGTGATTTCATCGAGAATGAGAAGCTGCGGTGCACTCCACACAATCCGGACCAAGGCAAGGCGAACCTAGATTGACGTTAGCTTGCTCAAAGGAGACATCAGTGTTCCACTTACGAGTTGTCCGCCCGATAGCTTGCAAACGGGGACACTAGATGCAATGCGACCTGCTAACCCCATTGAAGAAAGCAAACCCCTTACAACACCTTCATTCAAATTTCCCTCGGTTTCAGCCATTAACAAACCCAGTGCAGTCAGACTGGGCTGTCCTCGACCAAGCTCTTGCAATTCTTCCACGGAGTGTTGACTATAGTAGCCCACTTTTAACCGCGAATGAGTCGACACCTTGCCTTTGAAGGGAGAGAGCTGCCCTGTCAAAATACGGACCAGGGTTGTCTTTCCTGATCCATTCAGACCCATGATACCAACCCGATCACCCAAGTGAACGACCAAATTCACATCGTCCAGGATGACGCGTTCGGTCTTCTTGTACTGAAACACAATGCCCTCAAGTGAAACCAATGGACCAGGGAATCGCAACTCAGTTGCATCAGGCAAACTCATGGTCGCGCCCTTTTCATCCACAGGGATATCAATCTCCGCTCGACTGGTCAAGTGATAGCCCACAAGATCACGGTTCAGCTTGAAACGTCCACCGTTCGCGCTAACTTGCAGACCCATCCTATCATCGACCTTCTTTTGTCGAGACTTAGCCTGTCGCAGCTTATTCTCGTCGTTCGTTTTCTTTCCAAGCTTCATATTCTCCCGAATACTAGACTCCATATGAGCAATCTGCCGCTCCTGCGCCTCCTTCATACGACCAAGATAGAGCTTCTGCTCTTCATGATCCTGCTCATAAGCCGATAAATTTCCACGGAAATATGTCAACTTCTGGTCTCGGAGAATGACAATCTCTTCACAGACGGCATTGATGAAGTCGCGGTCATGAGAAACTAATACGATAGTTGTCTCCGAACTGTCCCGTAGCTGTTTCAGGTAATTCTCTAGCCAAACCACACCAAGCAGGTCCAAGAAGTTGGTTGGCTCGTCTAGGATCATGATATCGGGATCTTGCACTAGGACACCGGCTAGCATGCATCGCATACGCCAGCCACCAGAAAGTGTGGAGACTTTCTTTCCGAGCCCATCTTCTTTAAAGCCGAGGCCGAGGAGAACTCGTCGGGCTTGGTGCTCCATGTCGGCTAGTTTCATCTGGTCTCATGTTAGTGAATTTAGCGGGTGTAGCTGGACAGATGCTTACGTCTTCAAGCTGAGACTGTAGGTTCTGTAATGTCTCAACGGCGTCTTGGGTATCTGATGCGACTGTTTCCGCATTAATGGCGTCTACATCCTGTGCCAGCCTGGTAATGTCAGATATGGTCGTTCATATGGAAACCGAACCTCTTACATTTCCGCTGTGGTATCAAGCTTAACCTCGGCAGCCTTTAGATCCTTTCTCGCCTGGAGACCGCGAGCACCACTCTTCAAGCTTGCACTTTTATGAGCCAGGAAGAGATGTTTCTCGGCTTTCTGATGTCGGATTTTGCGAATTGCTCGCACGGGTTCCATCGGATCCTCACCCTCGAAGCTCTTTAAAAGGTCTTTCATCATCACAATTAGTTGAGTGAACTGGGAATTTATTGAGATACTCACAATCAGCCATTCGAACGGCCTCATTCCGACTCTCATCACTGCTAAGCACAGATTCTAAAACAGTTTTGTCTTGGTTTGTAACTGTACCAAGTTCATTATCCTGATCATCAGTCTGCTGCAAGATCGCCATGCGAGTGGCATGTGGAATGCCAGGGATAAGTTTCTCAGCCATAGCCCGGAGAAGCGCTGCAAATGTCAATATCCATATATGTTGATGTTCCGAGGTCAATCTCACTAGACTTTCCAGTTCCATTCCGTCCAAGCAATCCATAATGAATCCCAGCCTTCAATCGTAAATGAGCATCCGAGATCAATTCTCGTCCCGCAGCCTTGGCTTTGGATTTGCCCTTGGTCTTGGCCTTGGATGTATCTTCTGTCAAATCGGCCGCAGAAGAGTTGACAACAATATTCAATCCATCTACGTCGATCTGGCACGAGTTGACATGTTAATGATCAGATCGATCAAATATCAAGGGCGTCATACCTCCTTCGAAGGATTATCATCTAGCAGATGAAACCGAGTCTGTTTGCATGTTGCGAGGATGGCAGGTAGAGACATCATAACTTCAAATGCCAAGATGCAGTTTTTGTGTTTGTGTTTGTGTTTGATGTTATGTCAAAAAGGGTCCGAGTGTCAAGAGGCGAATTCCATAGGGATAATTATCAGGAGTGGAAGTCCTGGAACATCAGGCCCTTTAAGATATTCAGCTTACCTCGGCACAGCCCCTTGCAAAACCAGCGCCACAACAGAAAATGACTATGTTGAGTCATGGAAATCCAAAATGATCGATTTGATGTCAACTCGAATGTGGCGGGGTCCCAAAGGGGAAATAGTTGGTGCCTGAGGCGAATATTCACTGTCAGTGCTGCATTCATGAATACGGATTGAGAACCGGAATTATAGTAACTCCGAATGAGCGGATTACTAATGATGAGCATAGCATAAATAGCAAGAAATAGCAAGTAAAAGACAGAGATTTGAATGCCCTCATTGGCTGAGCAAGTTACGGAAGACAGCAAGTTCCGACATTCACATTCCTTGCTTGGTCATTTTGCGTGGAGAGCCGCGCTCGCTTCGGAAGTTGCACTTTCGCGTGTTCTTATATTGTCATTCATATGTGTGGATGGTGGTGAGTCACTGTCTTGGCTTTGGTCATTGACTCTTTTGTTTTGGACTTTGAATGTGAGGATATATCGAACGAAATATAGTATGCAAAGCCGGTGGTTGTATACGTTGCTTGAGATTAAGATACTCAGATACAAAATCATTATCAATCTAGATAGCTCATGAAGTACTACATAATGTAACAAATGCGTAGACTCACGGTCTCAGTTAAATTCTTTCCCTAGCGACCTGCCATCTTGTTCATGGCTCTTTGAGATCCTCGGTAAGACGTTGAATAATGATCAAAAACTGGGGTTTCTCCTGGAAGGGTTCCGTGACTGGAAAGATCGAGGCGCCCGGACTCTTCTTGAGGAAGAAAACATTCGAGTAATATCTGCACATAAAAGACACGCAATTCTGATAGTGGACGTTGAAATTAAGATCTAGAATTCTATCGCTATGATACCATTCACAATTATTCCCCGTGGAAAAAGGCCTAGAATTTCTCCAGCGAAATTGAATTTATTGAAGATGTTGTTGTCTTAGACCTGAACGGTCAGATCATTCGCGACACGTGGAAATCTGCTCATTCGCAACACATTCTACATGGCCGGGGAAGACTAGTTCGAGTCCTAAGGCAGAAGAAAGTCCAGATCAACAGTGGAGTTGAACTAGAAACTCCATTGTCCACGATAAGGTACAATCTAGATCTCGACCTTAATCCTAGATCTACCCACAGCATCTAGATCAAAAGGTTCCAGAGCCTGGAACACACCCACTCACTTCGAAACATGGGTCTACAAAGACTCGTCAGAAAACCAAAGAAGCAGAAGATCAAGGGTCTTGGGGCCTGGGTGATCAGGGAAAAGGGCGGGTCTTGAAATGAGGGAGTCGTCAGACAACCAGACTATGGATATAGGGAAAACTTCGATCTAGACCAATGTAATTATATGCATTTGTAGGACACTGCAGACATTGCGGTGTGGATTATGACAAAACCACGGATAGCAGACATTAATTGCAAAACTCATCAGTAAACGCGTGGAGTCAGTCTGATAAATATCAGCATGTGGAAACAGCGAAGAATTGCTGGCCGGGGGCGCGAACCGAAGCCCTAATCGTTGTTCACCGGTATTCGGTTTGATCGGTCCAGGAACAGGAACACCACTTATCATAGTGTTCCAAGCCATCAATTATCGGTTATATCGGCGCCAGAGCTACGCCACAGGGACTTGTAGGGTCTATTATTAAATATGAAAATACGACGAACTTAGGGTTGTGGCAGTTCACTCAGCCTCTTTTGGACGCGGTCACTTGACGCGGCCGGAGATCAGTTAGAACTCCGCCTCAGCCCTAGACGATCACTGGGCGCAGCGGATTTTCCGAGGTTCGAGACTTTACAGTGGAAAAAAGGCGGGTATGATCTATTCCGCCTCGCCTTAGGGGTCTTGGCGATAGAAATAGGCAGGTTGAAGGATTGGAAGACGAAGGTTCTAGAGGCGCCATGAGACATCCACCTGGAGTAACAGGATACGATAATACCGGGCGCACCAAGTAAAAGGATCAACAATTTGAGTCCACCGAAAATATAGACTCTGATAAACTCGGACAAGCTAACCACATCAGGAATAGCAACATCACGTGAAACGGGGCTGGCCTAAATAGTTTAAGACTTTTCTATTATAGCCGACCCGCTTGAACTCGACTAAAGCTTATTATTGGACTTTTCAGACGGATCCAGCTGCTCCGGTATACCGTGGTTAGTTGGCCGCGTACAGGGCGAGTCGCCGGTACAGAGATCCCTGTGATGAAACAGATCACTTCCGTGGCATTGGAGTGGCCACACCCTAGTTTCACTGTGACAGAGGTGCATGCACATCTGTGTTCTGGACCACTGGCTCTGTCTCACCAGAGTGAGAAAGGCAAGCCCCGGAGTACTGTAGCGGGTTATCTACCGTATAGTCTGCCTAAAGAGGACTACGGCGCCGAGTAGTTTCCCTATTGACGCTAAACACTAAATAAATTGATAGTCACCCCTAGTGCAAACCAGTTATCTGATTGAGTTCAATACAAAAGGTGTCGCTATGCATTTGCATCAGTGTTTGTGTTGTCTGAGGAATGTCCCTTATACAAAAGTGTATAGATGTAAACAGAGACAGCACGCAGCCACCTGCGTCATGAATGAACTGGTTCAGGAACTCATTACAATACAAAACTAAGAATCTCCGAGCCCCAACATGCCCGAGCCAATGGGAGACTGTGGTTTTTGCGGGATTGATCCACCATTTACATAGTACAGTCGGATATAGTGTAACTATTGAGTTAGTATTGATAAATAGGATGAAGAGATATGAAATTGCTCAATTGTCTATTTGATAGCGATCGAAGGAATCACTAGACAATCGCTAATGTCAGTAGATGCTGGAACACAAGAATAGGAGTATCCCTTGATACGGTACTGTAAACAAGGCCTGTTTCAAGGTGGCGCTGCAGCCAATCACGGCACCACATTCTTCAGTCCCGCTGACTCAGCCAAAAGGACGCGCAATCCGATTTCTATTCCGGTGGCCTTCCCCTGTTTCCCTGGTTCATCTCTTTGGCTTCAATTTCGTTATCACAAAATCCTACTTTTCTCTCGTTTGGATTATTTTATTATCTGCCGTTCCCTCGTTTATCTACACATCAAAGTCACGAGTCTATTTATTCACCCACACCTACACCTTATCTAGCCTCTCCTGCAGTAGTTGGGATACAGGCTGTTCTCACCATGGCAACACTCGCAGAGCATCCTATGCAACCCTCCGCCTCCCCTATGCCCATGATGACCGGCAGTTACGATCAGGATCTCGACTCCTTCATTAACATGGATCAACTCACCTACACAAATGACCCCGCCCGCTCTAAGATTGCCATGACCAGCCAACCTTCGGTCGCAAGTACCGAATTCAGCGCTAGTGATGCCCGCAGTGCCAGCTTCGCATCAAGTGGACAGTCCCCCCTCGCTTTCCAAGCTCCTAGTCACCAGTACGATGAGCACAGACAACAGACTGGTCTGCCGCCCGGTGCGCTTTCCATGACCTACAGCCAGGTCCCGATGGGATTCAGCAACAGCCAGGGATTCCCTATGAACGGTGATGTGTATGCTGGTCATCACATGAAGCGTGAGGAGGCACCATTCGATTTTAACGCCGCACCGGGCCGGAACCCGTCGGAGATGGATATCGAATCCGACAACATGAACTCTTCGCCCTACTTCTACCAGGCTCAACCCAGCAACAAGAACCAATACATTGACCCTAGCGCTATCGGCGGCCAGGAGCTGGCTCAGGCTGGTCCGTCGACGCAGGTCGGTCGCATGTACCCTGGTATGCACCAGCAGGCCGCCATGGCCAAGGCCCAGCAACAAAAGCAGAGCGAGATGGTCCGTCACCAGATGCAACAGCGCCCGGAACAAGTTCCCGCTGCCATGCCCCAGGTTCGCGGTCCCCGCAACCCCGACCCTGTCGTCGAGGAGCGCATCTCTCGCCTGCTCCAGCAGATGCGGGCCAACGCCATGGCAAACGGCGAGGGCTCCCCCACTCCATCTAACGGCATGCCTCAGATGGCTAAGGCCCGCAAGGATGAAGCCGATATGGATGAGGACGAGCGTCTCCTTGCTAGTGAAGAAGGCAAGAAGCTCAGCAGCAAGGAGCGTCGTCAACTGCGGAACAAAGTTTCTGCTCGCGCTTTCCGATCTCGCCGCAAGGGTACGACTATCCTAACGGTTTTGTCACTTTCTTTCGCTAACATATATTACTAGAATACATCGGTCAGCTCGAAAGCGAGGTGGCTGCCCGCACCAACGAGGCCCACGAAGTCCGTCTCCAGAACCGCGCTCTCTATGAAGAGAATGCTCGCCTAAATGACCTGGCCCGCATGCTCCTCGGATCTCCCCACTTCTCCTCTTTCCTCAACGACATGGGCGACACCCTGCCCGCTCTTCCCCAGCAATCTCAGCAACCCCAGCAACAGCAACAACCTCAGCAGGCCAAGCCCCAGCCCCAGCCTACCATGCAGGCTATGCCTCAAGAGGCCAACCGCGGCCAGGAGTACCAGATGCAGCAGAACCCCCAGACCAACATGGTCATGGTCCCCAACCAGGGTATGGATCCTAACATGGGTATGAACAACGCTGGCTGGAACTCTGGCATCGACATGAACTTTGGCAACGCCTCCGTCTTCGCCGTCATGGAAGTCCCCGAGGGCCCTGCTCTCGACGCCGAGGTTCTCTCCGGCAAATCTTCTTCCATCGACGTTTCCGAGAACTCTAAGAACGATGCCCCCGTTGTTGGTCGTCCCACTTCCGACTCGCCCCAGTCTGACATTGGTGTCGCCAACCCCGATGTCGAGATTGACGAGTCTGACCCTGCCTTCGCTCTCTTCGTCGATTCTCCTGCGCCTGCTTCCTCCAATGCTGACTTGACCTTCGAGGGTGTGCCCAGCGAGAAGGCCTCTCAGTTCGAACTGGTTGTCGACAACTCTGATGTCAGCACCGCAGCCAAGAGACGCTTCGACTCCCTCTGCCTCAGCATTGACGCCGCCTTCGAGCGTGTCTCCGCTTTCACTTCCCACCTCCAGTGATTCCCCACTCGCGTCCTGCCTCTCTGGCCTTCTTTTCTTTGTACATGTGATTCTTTTACTCGGCAGTCTGACTTATTGTCATCGCCTTGTGACTATACCATACTAGCCTATTTTGCGGATCGGTCTTTTTTTCAATATCGGGGAGTTTCAAGGCGCCTATCTTCATTATATCGTGTATCTCCCGCGATGGTTCTGGGTGGAATATTTGGAGTGGTCACTCCTGGCGTACACAAGGCATTGAGCAAAAGTCCAACCCTTGATATCTACGGCCATATGATTGTCTTTTTGCATAGCCTGTACTCCTTTTCTTTGAATGTAGCTTAGCCCAATAGAATGCTTGTCAATTTACTATTACTACCTGTGTCAATATCTCCCATACTGTAGATGTATAGTATGAGATAGCATCCATAAACCTAGTTCCCAACACTACGCTCCAGAGCCCATTGATGCTGCTGTAATCCTATTGCAACAAATTCAGCTACACAGCGAATACAAACGGTAATCTATAGTAGCTGGTCACTATGGAGTATAGGGGTTGGCGTTGAGTTAGCCAGTGCGGCCATCGCGCAAAATCGGTCGCTATTTTTTCAACGGGATCCACCAACCTCAATGTTGCCAGTTGCGACGGGGTCTCTTGTTCTTTCCCCTCAGTTCACTATCTACCAGTCAAATTGGCTTCCCTTCTAGCGCGCGGTGCCCTGTTTACCACGGCCACTCGCGCGATCACCCGGAGCGCGCTCCCTCGGACGTCACCTCTGACCCTTCAGACATATCGCACCAGCCGTGTCACGAACAAGAACAGTGACTCACTACGGTCGAGACACTTCTTACACCAGGCACCGATCCTCCAAGCACAGCCTCTCCGAATCAGACAACCAGCGGTGCACCCCAACGCGTTGATTCTCCCTGCCCCACTCGCCCACCATCGACGCAAGTCCAAAGACTACTTAATCTGCGAACCGTCCAAATTCGAAATCGTCTCTTCACCCCCAAACCGGCGAGGCGCCAATCCAATGAAGTTTTTCTATCAGGTCATCACGACCCCGACGGCCGACACGCCCGGTACGGTCCTCTGTCTCAACTTCCCGGACAAGCGATACTTCTTCGGACAGCTATCAGAAGGTACACAGCGCGCATGCACAGAACGCGGCGTGAAGCTCGGTCTGCTCTCTGATGTATTCGTCACCGGAAAGACCGAATGGGCCAACACTGGCGGTTTGATTGGCATGATCTTGACACTGGCCGATACGGTGGCAACTTCAGCTGCGGCCATTGAAGAAGAGAACCGGAATAAAGCCCGCCGCCGGGCTGAACGAGAGGCTGCTGAGGATTCGAGGAAAAGCAAGAAGACTCAGAAATTACCGGAGAACAAGCCAGACAGCAAGGATGAGAGGCACGGTGTGGCTTATGTCGAGCGGGATGGTGAGCTCGTGGAACAGAAGGGTAACCTGACCATCCATGGACCTACAAATCTTACGCATACGTTGGCTACAGCCCGGCGGTTTGTTTTTCGCAAGGGCATGCCGGTTTACTTGAAAGAGTATGACTCTGAGAGCCTTGCTAAGCAGGCAATTTTCGGCGTTGAAGATCCCTTCCAGACGCCTTCATGGGAAGACTCCAACATCAAGGTCTGGGCTATGGCTCTGAAGCCTCGCCAGGCTAGTCCTATGCTCTCAGAGAGGTCTCGCAGCCCACGGAAGCGCAGCTTGGACGAGTTTCAGGAATTTGCGCAACCCCAAGATGAGTTGGATCAACGCACCAAGGACCAAATGGTGAGACAATCCATTGTACAGGATATGTTCAATTCAACATGGAAGATGGATACTCTGTTCGAAACCCAATTGTCTGAGGTTAAGATGCCTGCTGCTATGTTTGTTCGCAATCCCGAGACGAAGGATCTTGAGCCATACAAGGGTCCGGCGCCTGGGGACAAGGGCCCCCTCCCTGATATCAAGGTGCTCGTTCGAAAGCCCTGGCCTGGTGCTACGGTAGAGAGTCTACCACCTACCTCTCCTGCCAGGGAGGCAGTCTGCTATATCGTGCGGAACCATGATATCCGCGGAAAGTTCGATCCCAACAAGGCGAAAGAACTGAACGTGGAGAAGGGAGCTAAGTACTCAGCTCTGACAAAGGGCGAGAGTGTTCAGTCGTTGGACGGAAAGACTGTTACTCCCGATATGGTACTGGGAGCTCCTCGACTTGGAAAGGGTATTGCCATCATGGAAGTCCCCTCCTCCGAATATGTTGAAGACCTAGTGAACAGACCTGAGTGGAAGTCACGAGCCGTGACGACCGAGCTGAAAGCCTTCATCTGGATTCTTGGGCCGGGTGTTGCAGAGCATCCCAAGTTCCAGGAATTCGTCGCCAGCTTACCCGACTGCAAACACACTGTCTCGGGTACAGACCACACACCTAACTACCTGGCATTGGGTAGCGCCGCTAGCTCGACCGTTCGATTCGCACGTCTGAACAGTGACAGTTACTCAATTCCCGTGCATGACAATGTCACCCTGCCACAACCTGGAGCTCCGAATGCCGGTTCAGCATCGGCAATCGCAGCCCGGGAGACCTCTCCCCTCGAGCCCCTCGAGCCCGGCTTCATTATCAACATGGAGCCCAACTTTGGCTTCAACAAGGACGAGGTGATGTCTCGCTTCAACCCGTCAATGGCCCTGCACAGGATCCCACGTTCTGTTGAGCAACGGATGGATGTCATTCGCAAGCGCATTGCCAAGCCTGCCTTCCAAAACATGCTTCAAGCCCAGCGGACGGAATGGCCTGGCTCGGATGCCGAGATTATTGCTCTAGGCACTGGCTCTTCTATTCCGTCCAAATACCGCAATGTCTCCGCAAATCTGGTCAAGGTTCCTGGCTACGGCTACTACCTTTTGGACTGTGGTGAAAACACACTCGGTCAATTGAAGCGAGTGTTCGAGCCCGAGGAGCTCAGCGAAGTGTTCCAGAACCTGCGCATGATCTGGATCAGTCATTTGCACGCCGATCATCACTTAGGAACGGCCTCTGTGATTAAAGCCTGGTACCAGGAAAACTACGGTCTGAATACCGCGCCTGCTCAGCGTGAGACAGATCTTGAAATGATCCTCCAAGAGAAGCGGCTATCCGTCGTATCGGATGATGCGATGATTTCCTGGCTGGAGGAGTACTCCGCCGTTGAAGACTTTGGATTCGATAAAGTCCTTCCTCTGACTGCACACCCCGAAGTCTCCGGATCTCAAATAATCACCCGGCTTACATACCGTCATCGACCTGATAATGTATTCTCTGGCCGTCGCACCTCAATGTCCTTCAATGACCGATGCTCTCCCCTCACCTCTCTTCTCAAATCTGCCACCGGCCTTGAGAACCTCCTCACCTGCCGAGTGAAGCACTGCAAGGGCGCACTCGCCGTGTCTCTCGTCTTCCCGCATGGATTCAAGATATCCTACTCCGGCGACTGCAGACCATCTGCCAAGTTCGCCTCCATTGGTCAGGGATCTACTGTCCTCATCCACGAAGCCACCTTCGGCCCCGACATGGTTGGATCTGCCATGGCCAAGCGCCACTCGACGTCCGCAGAAGCCATAGAAGTCGGTCGCCGCATGCAAGCGCGTGCCATCCTGCTCACGCATTTTAGTCAGCGCTACCAGAAGCTCACCTTTGTCGACAACCGCAAGGCAGATGTACCCCAGTCTGCCCGTGACGCAAGCGCAAAGGAACCCGCCGACGCAGATATCCCATTCGACGACCCCCAAGACCAACAAGCTGCTGCCGACACGCCATTGTCAGATGACATCGGCCCGGAAATGAAACACGAAGCTAAGCCTTATGGTGGTCTCATCACTGGAGCAATGGACTACATGCGTATCAAGGTCGGAGACTTCGCACTTGCTCAGGCTTACGCGCCTGCGCTAGAGAAACTCGTCGATTTAATGGAACGTGCAACCATCGAAGAAACAGAGCGGACCAAGAAGATCCGTCAGGCGGAAGAGAATGAACGCAAGGCAAAGACCAATAAGAAGTGGGCTAAGCAAATGGCTGCTGCCGGTGCAGCTGCGGCTGCAGCTGCAGCGACGGCTGAAACCGTTGATGTTCCAGCCGAGTCCAATGCCCACTCTGTCTGGAGTGCCAGTGAAAGTGAGGATGGATGGGAGACCAGCGACTGTGAGATGTAATTTCTGGAGATTCTGCATATTATACCATTTGTGAATACGCTGCATTTTAGCATCTGATGCAAGGAGCAAATATTTGCCGGGGTGCGGATATCAGGGATCCTTGTCATAGATCTATTTAGAAAAATCAAAAATGTCCGCACCACTGACTCTACTCATATATATCTCTCTCACCATATAGTTCTACATGTGTTTATATACTTGGGCACTTATCGGTTATCGCTTTATCCCAACGGCTTAGCGCCTCACCGCCCCACGGCCTAGACACTCATACTCCCCGGACTTCCCTCCGTACACTTTGTAAACCACCCAGGTACTTCATACCTACTTCCAACTGGTCAAGATGACCACTCTCATTCCCCGGGAGCCATACACTCAAGATGAGCTCGCTCGTCTCTACCCCGAGAGCTTGAATCTCCGGCTAGTCCAGGTTGTACGTGCACCGAACCCCAATTGATTCAATGACCGCGGCTGACCAGCATAGTTCCTTCGCCATGGTGAGAAGCTCGTTCCCAGATCCAAATACACCTCCAAAGAACAGCACTAACCGAGCCCAGGCGAACGAACACCTGTTTCCTCCCGATTCACAAATGTATGCTTTGATACCCAATCCCGATCTCCGACGGTCTCCGCTAACACTGCTCCAAGACAGGCCTGAGTCCATGTATGCGAACCTCCCAATCTGATATAAGGAACAATGAACTGATTACCATCAGACTGGCCATACTGTGGCGTCGCAAGACGTATGGTGCAGATGGCATCTAGCAACAAAGACCTCTCATCATGGAATGGATTCCAATGGCGCCGGAAAATGGAAGCTTTCGGTAGCAATGATCAGTCGGTGGTAGCACCGGGACCAGGAGGGGAAATTGAGGCTATGTGGTATGTACATCTTCCAGGGAGAGCTCTTCAACCGGAGACCGAGGTCCGGGTGCGGCCATGCTGACGAGTTCCAATTGAAAGCTTGCACGGCGAGCTCACAGACAAGGGCCGCGAGACTACATATGCTCTCGGACAACGACTACGCCATCTGTATGTCGATCAGCTTGGCTTCATGCCTGAGATCAAGTCCGATGCCGAGGACATGTACCTGCGCGCTACGCCGATCCCCCGCGCTCTGGAGTCGCTCCAGGAGGCGTTCTGGGGAATGTATCCTGCAAGTGCGCGCACTCTCAACTTCCCACCTCCTGTTATTGTTGCCCGTCAGGTTAACGAGGAGACTCTTTTCCCTAATGAGGGCAATTGCAAACGGTTCAGACAGCTGGCTCGGCTTTTTGCCGATCGCGCCGCGGAACGATGTACGTCTTGATTGGCTGGTTCTAATGGCGGATGATTGTTGATAATGTTTATAGGGAACGATTCTGAACAAATGGCATACTTGAACGGCCTTTGGTCTAAGTACATGCCCGAGGGTTCGCCTAAGGTTGCTGTTGATGCTCACCCCCGTCTTTCTGGTATCATGGATACCATCAATGCCACTGATGCCCATGGGCCAAGTACCAAACTTCCATCTGAGTTCTATGACAAGAAGGGTCGTGCTGTTCTCGACCGTATCTCGGTCGAGGAGTGGTTTGCCGGTTACGGTGAGAGTGCCGAGTACCGTAAGCTGGGTATTGGTGCTCTCATGGGTGATGTTGTTGACCGTATGGTCAGCACTGCTGTCGAAGGTGGATGGCGCAGTGAGAGTGCTCCCTCTGGTAACCCCGAGGCTGGCAAGGCGATCAAGTTCGCCATGAGCGGGTGTCACGACACCACCCTCGCAGCTATTCTATCTAGTGTTGGTGGATTTCAGAACGAGTCCTGGCCGCCTTTCACCTCATCTATTGCAGTCGAGCTCTTCTCTCAGGCTCCTAGCTCCAACTCCAACGCTGGAACTATGCTTGAGGAGTTCTCCAACCCACCTGTCTCCAAGAAGCCCGGCGTGCTCTCCTCGCTGTTCGGTAAGTCCGCACCGAAGCAACCCACCCCCTCCGACACAGCACGCACACCTATCTCGTCCTTCTCCGATTCCTCCCGTGAGTCTCTTCAGAACCACTATGTCCGCCTCCGCTATAATGACCGCCCTGTCACTATTCCCGGCTGCGCTGCCAAGCCTGAGAACCACCTGCCTGGCGATGAGACATTCTGTACCCTGGATGCTTTCAAGTCAATTGTCGATAAGTTCACACCGAAGAACTGGCAAACCGAGTGCACAGAGAACCTCGGCGCAGGCCTGCATGGCCCTGGTGATCGTGAGCGGTCCCAGGCTGGCTTCTAGATGTTCCATAGACTACTTAATGCCGTCCTTTTCAATGCAGATATCTCGTGTACATTCTGACTATCAACAATGGACAAGACACAAATCAGCTGCTCTTCCTCTTAGCATCTTCTTGCACCTTCATGGCCTTGAGCTTCATCGAAGCAACTTTCAACAAAGCCCACCTAGGCAAGATATCGAAGGACAACCCCTGCAACCAATGCCAGAAATAAGCCCACACAAACTGCTGCCCACATCCGACCCGATCAAGTCCAGCCCCAGCAAGCACCCTCGCCTCCGGAACAAACAAGTTACTCTTAACATCATACCCAGCAGTCCGCACCTCAGCAACCCTCAATGCCATAACCTCAACTTCCCTCCCCTCAGCCCGAAATTCCGCCCCAAGCGACATAGTAAAAGAATCCACAAACCCCTTGGTAGCACAATAAGCACTGATATAAGGCAACCCAAAAGCAGCAACAGAAGAAACGTTCAAAACAAGCGCCGGCGCACTCTCCTCCAACTGCGCCGCAAGCACACGCGTAATTTGAATCGCGAATGTAGCATTACGCGCAATCGTCGCCTCAACATCTTCATAAGAATACTCCTTGAGAAGAGTCGACGGCTTCGTCTCCCCACCAACATTATTAACAAGAACAGTCAGTTTCCCTCCATTTTCAGTGGAAGCGATAATCCCCCTAACCTCCCCATCAACATTATCAATATCCCTACCAAGCCTCATAGCATCACGGGCAATAATCCCAAGCTTCGCATCCGGATACTCGGCAGCGAGTTCATCCTTCCGCGCATTCAATTTCTGGCGGTTGCGCCCGTGCAGGATAACGTTGAACCCGCGCGCGCATAGTTCCTGCGCGAATCCGAAGCCTATTCCGTCTGTGGCGCCGGTTACCAGGGCCCAGTTTGGGGTTGTGGAGGTGGGATTGTAGCGTGTGCGAAGTGTGCTTGGGCGCAGATAGTTGCTTGCTTGGCGCGTATAGGTGTAGGTTGTTTTTGTTAGGGCTGCTAGACCGAAGAGAGCTAGGGGTGTTGTGTAGGTGCCGAAATCGAGGTTGATGTTCATTTTGGGGATAATTGGCGTGGGATTGGGGTACAACTGAAGTGCAATTGGGCGAGGTTGTCAAGTTCGGAGTTTGTTGATGGATCTTATCGTGGGTATGATATCATGGGTTTGAATGCAATGAGATGCAATTGAGTCTGTAATTGAGGATTGGGAAATTGAGTGTAATTGATATCTTCACTCGAGGGATATCTTGCTTCTTTTATAGTTCCTCCTTCATTGCGCTTTTGTCGTCGGAGGCGACTTGGATATGTCGGCCCTTGATTGGGCCGAACGCCGATGCAGAAGGATTTGGCCTGATTTTGTTTTTATATACATATTGAGTAGAGCAAAGAATGAAGGTGTGTTGGGTTCCCTTTTCGCATGATTGTATTATCCCGATTGAGAGACTCGGGGTTATAATTTGATCACCGAGGCTACCGATTGCAGGGGTTGAACATGTCCAATGGGATGCCTCAACACCATTGCTTAGTTGATGGTGCCAAAGTCATAGCCTTATTTTATTTCACATCCCCAAGCCCATGGAATATGTATGTTCAGTTCGAGACATTCAAACGTGAACTAAAAGGGGTGAAAAGGAGAGGCCGAAGTAGAGCGAAAACAGTGCAGGAAGCGGTATGCTCATTTGGAGGCTTTTGTGTACTGGCCAAAATTTTAGCATTGGCTCTTGATTCAAACAGATAGCCCCTGATATAGCTTTGGGTCCCTGTTTCTGGAATTGCAATTAAGTACACATGTGGTGCATTCTCCAGGCCAGCTCTCTCTAGCCCTACATCGGGCCACCAACCCCATATACTCCGTTTTTACCAAGACAAGCCTCCATGAAATACACAACAGTCCAATCATAGAAGACCTAATACTAAATTTCAAAACCATATCGTCAAATGAGGACCGTGAAAGTCAGCGGCGTCAATTAGGTACCTTGCGGACTATCTACGCCAGCCACACAGAATGCAGCATTTATCATCAGTACTTGGCATACTATTGTTCATTGGACTGGACATGACCCCACTGGTATGTATTCCACCTTGAGGGACTTGTATTGATATCTGTACTACATAGTAAGTGCAACTAACAGCGTCAGGGGATGAGGAACTTGGAGACGATGTCCTGGAAGAGATAAAAAGACTTGCCCGCAAGGTGTTTAGTGTAGCATACCCTAGCCTCATGAGTATCTGATCTTTCAACCCTTTTCTTTCTCTTTCAATTGGTACACACGCTGAGAAACATTGTCATTATGGTCATCGATTCTGGAAAAGATGGCATCGCCTATCCTGTCCCAACTCCCGAGGAACAACCTAAGACTCGGCAGATGCCTGTGACTCTGCTTTCGGGTTTCCTGGTATGATTCAAATTCAATTGGTATGAAAGTATGGCTAACAATAATGTCACCTGTATAGGGAAGCGGTAAGACCACGCTCCTCAAGCACATCCTCAAATCCCCTGACCATGGGCTGAGAGTTGCAGTCATTGTAAATGACATGAGCTCGTAAGTACACAATTTCATGACCATCACAGACCAAATACTTACTGTGCCTTGCACTAGTCTGAACATCGACGCTGCTCTCATTCAAAACCACAAAGTCTCCCAAACAACCGAGAAACTCATCCAACTCCAAAACGGATGTATCTGCTGTACCCTCAGAGGGGACTTGCTATCTGAATTGGCACATTTGACCAAGCAGAACGAGGTTGACTATGTCATCATCGAGAGCACTGGTATTAGTGAACCGATGCAAGTCGCCGAGACCTTCACAGCCGAGTTCAGTTCAGCCATGTTGGAGGCCGAGGGTCAAATTGCTGCCGAAAATGATGCCGATGCAAAGAAAATTCTGAACGAAATGTACGTCCTTGGATACCATCCCTTGCCCGTGTGTAACAAGCTGACATGCCTGATATAGCGTGGAACTAGGCGGCCTACACACCATGGCCAGACTGGATACAACAGTCACTGTCATCGACGCATTCAACCTGCTTTCCAGTTTCGACACGACAGAGTTCCTTTCTGATAGATACGGAAAAGAGGAAATCGTCCCTGAAGACGAACGTACAATTTCCGATCTCATGGTTGATCAAATCGAGTTTGCCGATGTTTTGATCCTCAACAAGGTCGAGACAGTTGACCAAGCCACTCGAGACAAGATCATGCAATTGCTGAAGCTGTTGAACCCAGATGCAAAGATTCTCGAATCAAGTTACTCGCAAGTGGATGTTCGTCAGATCATCGACACAAACAAGTTCGACTTTATTCGTGCTGCATCCGGTGCTGGCTGGCTTCGTAGTTTGCACGAGATGACTATGCAAAAGACTGGAAACGGTGATCGTATGGCGCCAAAACCGGAGACACTCGAGTCAGTATTCCTTGTGCCACCTTTTCTCTATACATTCGTTAACGTTTTCACAGATATGGCATCAACAACTTCGTTTACACGGCTCGTCGACCATTCCACCCCCGTCGTATCTTCGCGCTTCTCCATGACAAGTTCATCATTCTTCAAAACAACGAAGTTGAAGAAGAAGAAGACGACGACGAAATGGAAGAAGGTGAAGAGGAAGATGAGGACGCAATGGACACAGACAGTGAATCAGTAGAAGACTTCGACCAACCAGACCCAAACGACATCCTCAACAACAAGCGAGCACACCCAGCTTTCGGACCAGTACTGCGCTCCAAAGGCTTCTTCTGGTTGACCACTCGCCCATGGCAATTCGGCGAATGGAGCCAAGCAGGCGGTATGATGACAGTCGGCTGTGGTGGACCTTGGTTCGCTGAGGTTCCTGATGAAGCCTGGCCTGAAGACCAGGATGTGCAGCAATCCATCAAGGATGATTTCCAAGGGCCTTGGGGTGATCGGCGCCAGGAACTTGTATTTATTGGCGAGGGCATTGACGAGGACAAGATTAAGGCTTTGCTTGATGAGTGTCTTCTTGATGACAAGGATATGAAGAAGTGGGAGAAGGTGATGAAGAACAAGAAGCTTAGCAGGGAGGAGAAGAGTGATAAATTGGCTAAAATGTGGGAAGATGGCTGGGAGGAGTGGCCTGCTTTTGAGGCTGAGGAAGAAGAGGAAGAGGAGGAGGCACCAGTGCAAGGTAAGCACCGTCTTAGCGAGCACCTTGGTCCCAAGCATGACCATAAGCATGCCCACTCTCATGGACATGGCCGAATGATTGCGGCTTAAGCGTCGATACTAAAAACAAAAAGCATTTTTTTCGTATTATAATGACAGAATGAAGGATATAGAACATCTCCTAGCCTTCAGCTTCAAATGACCTGGTATCTTTCGACGATTCTTTTACTTTTCGGAACTACGAGCCTATGAACTAAATATGGAAATAATAAACTGAAGCAAATTGAAACCAAGCTAGTTTATGCGACATGCTAAATGCATGAAATGGATTAAGCACAGTGAGAACAATCAGAGTCCGTTAGTAATTGTTCGCGTGAGACTGTTGAAGAATGGCCGATTTATAGCAAGCTCAGTCTTCTAGGCCTTTGTGATAAGGCCATTCAGCAATATCTGTCCGTTGCGTAGCACCGAAGGAATAACAAAAGGCCCATGCACTGAAACCGGAACCGAGATACACCACCTACAGTAGTGACGAAGACAGGTTAGACTGACCTGAGCTTGCTTGTCTTGAATCCTAAGCAGCATGAGTATCAGTATTCCTTCATCATTTAGATTACTTTCTACGTCGGTGAACCGCACAGTAATCCATTGGGTCGTCCAGAACGACGATTCCCTTGCTGGTAAAGATACTCGGTTCCATTTCGGCATGCCCGGTATGCTCAATGCGCTCAGTTTGCTCAGACATGGCTGAGATTAGAGGATGAGTTTGAATGTTTGTTTGTTCTTGTCTTTATAGATAGTGTAGTAATTGATGATGATGATGATGATGATGATGATGTGGATGTTAATGTGGATGATTGTGATAATTAGGAAAGTAGAGCAACGAGGGCAATTAAATAGTCCAGAAAGCTGGCAGTGCCATGTCGATTCGAATCCGTTCAACCTTTCTACAAACAAAAGCCTTTGACAGCCACAATAGCATGGTCTGCGGCTCAAAACGTGGGAGCTACATCAAGAACAAAGAGAATTATGAATGGCCTTGTAACCTGTAGTTGAATGAAGATCAGAGACTCTTAGATGCGCGCGAGTCCAGTCTGCCCTACCGTATCACAAGGCCGTTTAACCATCTTCCAGGTCCTTTGGCTCGGAACAAGGCCATCAAAGGAGCCTCAAGCATCATTCACTATGACTTTTCCCAAAGCTCAGTAGAAACACATGTGGATTCGATACTCTTCTCCATGAATCCACAATTGACGTAGCCAGTGTGTTCTTAGCTTCAGACACAAATGATAATGATATTCAAGGCGATTGGTATCCATTGTCTACATGACAGGGAAAAAGGACATCTGTTCAAAATTGAGTATCAAGCAAAGTCCTTCAATTACTATAATTTTCCAACGAAAACTAGAAACTCCCAAGGGGATGATGTTCATAGGAGTTGAACATATCGGATACCTGAGGCAGGAAATATGGATGACATCGAGTCATGACATAATCAGTAAGTCACCAATCAAATTACCGACACTAACCGACCAAGGGCTTAGGGCTCGATTCAGTCACGCCCCACTGCATTTTCGCACTTGAGCGGCTTCTGGCTGTCGCTCTCTTCCTTTGAACATCCACCCAAACATCAAAATGGTGAGTACCCAGAACCCAATATACCAACCAACACAGCTAATGGAAATGTGATCAGGCGCCCGCAGCAGCTACCGGTGGCAAGAAGCAAAAGAAGAAGTGGTCCAAGGGCAAGGGTACGCAACTTCCATCCATGCGACCGTGACGATTCGCGATCCATCGACCAGAGGAATCGTGGGATACGACAGAACAGTGTACTGACTTATATTTCGCCTACAGTCAAGGACAAGGCCCAGCACGCCGTCGTTCTCGACAAGCCTACCGCCGAGAAGCTCCAGAAGGATGTTCAGTCTTACCGTCTGATCACCGTCGCCACCCTTGTCGACCGTCTCAAGATCAACGGCAGCCTTGCCCGCGCTGCTCTTGCTGACCTTGAGGCCAACGGTCAGATCAAGAAGGTTGTCGGTCACTCTAGCATGAACATCTACAGTACGTTCCCAGATTCCATACCCCGCCTCGACGCCACAATACTAACTTTGATTAGCCCGCGCCGTCACCGCCGAGTAAACGTCTCGTCTCTCGTCTTTTCTCTCGCGGTTCTCTTTTTCCTTGCTACGAATGATATCATTTCACCATGGGAAGCTCGGCTGGGCGTGATGCATAGTGGTTTAACGTCTGACTCTCGAAGAGTGTGGAACATTCGCACTTCTGGTTTACTCCAAGTAGTGCGAACTGAATCAAAAAATCTACAAAACTTCTTGAAAGGAACTTCGTGATCCGATTCGTAGATTGCTTTTGAATTGGCCTCGACTATTTAGCAGATGCAGATGCAGATACAGATACAAAGTAGTCTACGACTCCTCCTTCATCGCACTTCTCTTCGGTCGCTGTTTCTCGGCACTTGCACAGAGCGGCCACTCCTCTCCTTCGACAGTCCCATTAACCACCTTTCCGACCTCGAAATACTTCTTGTGATTCGCAAAGAAATTCTGCCACCTTTGGACAGTGGCCTCGACCTTCCCCTTGGCAGTCCGTAGTTCTTTTTCCCGACGGATCTTCTTCTGCGCAGATGTAATAGCCTCATCAACGACATCATCGACCGGCACGAACATAGTCTCCACGCCCCGGATATCAGCCGTAAGATCATCCTTAAAGCAGCCCGTCACAAAAGCGCGCGTGGCATCGCGCCCAGCAAAGAAATTATAGCTCCCACCCGGTCCATAGATCATTCGGTTCTCGGAGACGTCGTAGATGGTCCCGTTGACGGCGACGTAGAGGGGTAGTGTAGCGTCTGTCCCAGTGTAGAGGGATAATTGAGCTGGTGTGAGGTTTACTGGGCCATTCTTCATCGAGTATACATTAGTTTTCTTGTTCTTCACCTTGATTTCCTTTTCTGTAGGCATATTGTGGGGGATCAAATTGTGAGGGGATGTGCGTACCACCCACTGCTTCACCACTGGCCACCGTGTGAACCACGGTCTATATCCCCAGAGCATGGACTCGGTCGAGGTCATGTAGTAAGACAGACCACAGGAAGCTACGATCAGGGTCACAACAACCCGGATCATGTCCAGCAAGCTTATACCGCGGCCTTCATCATTGTCATTGTCGGATGACCGTCTGCGCTGCGGCGACTCTACCTTTTCAGGTTTTGCAGCTGTTTGTCGATGGCGGAGTTCTGGCATCCTTGTTAATTGTGGGAATGAAGGAGTGAGGTTAGATGACCATCTGAAATGTTGTTGTTGGGGCTCAAGAGCCGCTGACAAATCTGGGGTTCGAGATCCTCGACGATCGAAGTATATAACATAGGTATCCCTAACATTAATGAGAATCGGGCTCTAGATTCTTCACATATAATCAATTGGATGGTGATGACAATACAGTGCTATAATTTAAGCATCTTGTGCTGGATCCCGTGCCTGAACGGCTATATATATCTCATGCTCCCCTTCCAAGGAACGTGAGAAGGTTTTATCCGTGGCTAGTGCTGAGCTTCCTCTAATCTCTGACAACATTGGGAATCTTCATGCATGAACTAGTCAGCTAAATGACTAACGAACCGACTTGTCATGTTGATGAACCCTCGGGCATACTGTGTCTTAGCGCAAGAGTATATCGTCGCATGGTTAGCTAGTTAGTTGCCTGTCATCCGATATATGGAGTAAAATATGGGGCCAGACGGGAGGAGGGCTAGGGTTGTAAGGGCTTACGCTGCATCTAGACATGGTGTTGTCTACAAACGTGATGGTATCCTATACTGGGGTTGCGCTCTGCTCTTCTACGGCGCAGAACAATTATGGCTACGGAGAACATCAAAAGCCCTCGCATTGAGACGATACAATTGAATTTCATTTCTCGATTGGATTTCACCGAAATCAAGCATCGTAATCGCCGAGAATGTGTTCTCGTTTCCCATCTGGGTCATTTCCAGCAAGTTAAGAACTCGCAGGGGGTTTAATATATCTGTTTCACATATCTCACTTCTTTGCCGCTTCCTGCTGGGCAGCTTCTTCCTGCTCCCAGCTACGCGAGAACACTTCATTCAGGGCGTCCTGGAAAGTGCGGCAGTTCATATCAATCAAACCCCGTTTGTCCTTTGCTTCGGGGTTGCGGATGACAGAGACTAGACAGAGGTATCTGCAAGACATGTTAGCTGGATATATGGAGTCACCCGGGTCACAGGTACATACTTGTTCATCTCCATCAGGTGAATCATGGTCTGATCGTGCAATACCACATGGCTTTCAGCCTCCTGGATCTGATCGCCCAAGGCCTTCCGCTGTGGGTGGTCCCATGAATAAAGCTCAGAGACATCGACAATTACATCAATGTAGTCAGAACACATTTCATAACACGCCATGTCAACAGGACGGGTGTCAGATGCGATGTAGATCTTGCTCAGTACATCGAACAGATAAGTCTTTTCAAAGCCGCAGTTGTTGGCGAGGGTGTTGATCAAGTTCTCGAGGGTGGATAAGTTTGGGATAAGCTTCTGAATGACCTTGCTGAATGCCTCAAAGACAGAGTAATCGTAAATTGAGGTGAGGTAATAGTGGACGGGCGCGTTCTCATAGCCAGCATCGCTGAGCTCATCGGAGATACGCTGCACAATGTCCTGGAAAGTGTCGGTGCGGTACTCATCGGACAATCCATCAACCTTATGGATGAATACTTCGATATTGATTCCGGGGTAGTACTGCTGCACGGTCAAGATGGTGCGGTTAAGTCTCGCGACCGAGTCCAGATAATCATCCTGGGCATCGATGACCCATACTAGGGCGCCCAGGCTGCCGAAGATATCTTCGAGATCAAAGTTGGACTCGAAATACTCGAGCTGACCGGGGAAATCCCAAACTTGGAAATCCATAAAAGAGCTGCAGATGTTAGGTGGACAGAGAACGTACAAATGAGTCTATATAAAATACTTACTGGATAGAGTCCTTTTGAATCCGGGTGGTAGACTCAAGGAATAGGGTTTCGTTAGGTGGCATTTTGTGGAAGACCACACTCGCAATGGATGACTTTCCACTCCTAAGAAAAGTCGGTTTCTCGTTCATTCAAGAAGTGGTGGAAGGACATACCGGCGGAGTCCCATTAGAAGGAGACGGGGTTTAGCATCGGGGCCTTTGGTGCTCGGCACCTCGGCCGATTTGGCCTGAGTGGACGTCGTAACTTGATTGCTTCCCTGTAAATTGTTCACAAGACTTAGCTCTGCGCCAGCCTTTTGCCATGGATGGTCACGCGATGCGAAGAAGTCGACCTGACGCCCAAGAAAAGGAGCATGAGGTCGACTCTTGCGGCCAATTGGTGGATGAAACATGAATGATCAATGAAAAGGGCCGTGCATATTGGGAGCAAATAGAAGAACGAAAGACAAGTGTGAAGCCAAAGGTTCAGGTCAAAGATGACAGAGGTCAGGATACAAAAATTGCATTGGGCAGACAGTGAGCCCAATCACATTGAGATCGTTAGGGGGAACAGAAAAAGAAAAGGAACGAGCTGAGGCTGAGGCTGTTGAGCAATATCCAGGGAGCTCCTGGGGTTCAGTACAGTCCCATCTTGTGATAACACATCCAGATAGCAACAATAGCAGACACCCACAGGTTGGAGATTGCAGTTATTTGCTTATTACAGAAGCCCATTTGACAGCCTGGAAAGGTCTTCGGGGCTTCTTTATCTGCCGAGGAAGAAAAAGTGCCCGGAACCAAGCAGCAGTCTCACAACGGCCCGTGCATGGCTGCAGCGGCACGGGGCAGCCAAGCTTCACAGAATAGCATGAGGGTGACTTGGGGCAGTATACGCGAGGGGATCGTTTGGGTATGGCATAATCAAAACGGAAGACTCTTACCTCCATTGGATCGGCAAATATCTAGATGCGGGGGGTTAAAATTCAAGTCAAGTGTGAACATAGCAATGGGTGGTATACTCACTGTGTGATTGTATTAACAGGGGTGAGCGGACTTGTGAACCGTCAGATTATCCGCAATAACAAAGGAAGATGGCAAAATGAACTGGACGAGCTCAATTTAACGGCGACTGACTGTTGACATCCGCATGTGCTGATCTCGACCAAGAAGCAAGCGGTACAGATCCCGGTTGAACAAATAGTGGCACAAATTGGGTATCTGCAGTCAAGCCTGTATCATCCTCCTAGGGGTTCAGAATTTAATCGGTGAATAGGGTCGGGGGTGCTGAGCTACCCTGCGATGCGGAATGCGGGGGTTGGAGCCCGGAGCTGCAAGGCAATGCACGATCGGCACCAGCAGTGCAATGCGCACAATTAGCGCGTCAAGGAAGCCGAGATTTCTCGTTCTGGAGGAATTAGGATTTAGAAAAGACGAGTTCGCAGAGTGTGAAGGAGGAAAAGAAGGTGTCAAAGGCGGAGTATCGCCGATCCCTTATCGTCTTATCGCGAGGTTATCCAAGATTATGTCAGCAGTGATCGCCTTAGCAAATATTCCATTGTGACCCCATCGATATTCTTGATATTCTTGATATTCTTAATATCGGTTAGTTTGACCGTTAAATCAAGGACATCACAAAGAGTTCAAGCTTCTATGAAAATTATCTTACACAGGAATGATGTAGCCCTAGAATTTATCCAAAGAAACACCTTTGTTTCAGGACGAAGAAAGACTCAACGGTTGCCACTTCTTGTCAGAAGCAGTCAGTGCCTCGCCAGTCTTGCCTCCATACTCCACAGCATCAGGTCCAATCAAGAGACGTAGAGGGGGCTCCTTCTCATCTATCAACTTGAGAACGATGTCGGCAATCTTGCTTGGAATAGACGGCTCGCTTCCAGAAGAGCTCCGCAAGAATTCAATGAAAGCGCCGACAGTCTGCTGGTAAGGCTCACTCACCACAGGAGTCTGCATAGATGAGCCAGCCCAGTCGGTTCGGATGCCTCCAGGCTCGAGCACGGTGATCTTGATATTGTGGGGTGCAACTTCCTGGGCCAGGACGGTCGAGAAACCACCAACTGCCCACTTTGCACATTGGTAGGCCGAAAGACCAGGGGCGCCAAGACGTCCACCTAGAGAAGAAACCTGGAAAATGTGACCAGACTTTTGTTGGCGAAGGATAGGGAGCACGGTCTTGGAGACATAGACTACACTCAGGAGATTGGCGTCAACCTGGGCGCGGAAGTCTTGAACATCAATGTCCTCAACGGCAGCCATGTTGGCATATCACGCATTGTTGATGACAACGTCGATGCGGCCGAACTTGACATGGCCTGTCTTGACGGCGTGAAGGACTTGGTCATTGTTTGTGACATCGAGAGCCACGGGCAGGATGCGATCACTGCCATACTTCTCCAGCAGATGATTGAGCTGCTCTGGCTTGCGAGCGGTCGCAATCACAGAATCTCCATTTTTGAGAGCAGCTTCGGTAAAAGCTAGGCCAAGACCGCGAGACGAGCCGGTGATGAACCAAATTCTGGTCATTGCGAGGGAGAAGTAAAATAGTAGAAGAGGGTTGGAAAACTCGATGTGAATTGAGATGAAAGAATTAAAGTGATTTCTGCTCCCATTTATACATAAAGCCGTCCAATTGAGTAGCCATAACAAATCTATACATCGACGTCAGCAGCGGACTAGCGGACTAGTGGGGCGCTGCGGCCGCAAAATCCGCACTTCAACTTCTTCGCCCATATTTTTCATTGCTTTTGATTGGTGCGGACTGTCGGATTTTAACAATCGGACTTAATGATCAGGCATCCCGCTAGTCTCCGCTCGTACTTGCGGCCTCTTCAACCCTCACGCTTCTGCCCTCGACTCCGCATCTATCTTTAAATTCGGCTTTTTCATAACACCATGGAGGATTCAATGGATATGACCGCTTCGCGAGCCTGTGCATCGTGCAGAAAGAATAAACGGCGTTGTGACAAAAGTTTACCCAGTTGTAACTTGTGCCTTCGGTACGTTTTCAGCTTCGATGTTTCGAGCCGCTATACTCACGCCACGATTCTTGACTGGCAGATCTAACCGAATCTGTAGTTACTCAGAATCCTCGCAGCCCAGCCAAGAAGATGAGATTGTCGATTTGCGCAGTCGACTCCAAAGGCTGGAACAATTGATTGCATCGTCTCCCAATCCACCACCGTACCCAGCTTTCATTGTAGAAACATACAGCAACTATAACCAATATTCATCCATCGCAAATATATCTGTTCTGGCATCTTATCTTGATTCTGAGGTCTGGTCTTCCTGCAATATACCGAACCATCCAAACCCTGTCTACGCTCCACCGGAAATATTATCTCTTGTCGGTACCTTTGTCGAGATTGAGAACCTCAAGCTCCGCTATTTCTCTTCCATACATTCTTGGATGCTAATCGTGAGCAAGCTACGCTTTAATCGACTCACTCAAAGTACAACGGGGCCTCTGAAAGCGGACACTGTGCTTTTGCTATTGTGTATGAAGCTCTCTTATTCATACGGGCAGTCTGCGAGAACGTCCACATTCTATACTACGGCAAAAGAATTTAGCAAAGAGCTTGAGCTGAAAGGCGTCATCACTCTCCGCACAGTTCAAGCCGGGCTTCTTCTTTCTGTCTATGAACTGGGACACGGAATCTTCCCCGCAGCTTTCCTCAATATCAGCTACTGTGCGAGACAAGGTATTGTCCTTGGTCTACACAAAAAGTTGGCACCTCAATCGGCTGGACCTCCCCGTAGCTGGGTTGATTGGGAAGAGAGGCAGCGCGTGTGGTGAGTGGCTCGAAGATGCGTTCCTTGCTTTTTGGAATCTAACATTCTTTCTTACCATTCTAGGAAATGATGTCCCCAGAACGTGTTTCACTCTCATCAGGGACCAATAGCACAGTTAGTGGCTTCGCTCGGATGGCGCAAGCATCTAATCTACTCGGCCTTGTCATTAGACGCTGCAATGACACGTCCATGGACCTCGAATATGTGCTCGGAAATTTCGAGATTCTCTCACGGTCTTTGAAGTCTCTTTTAGAATTGTCAGCTACCGGGAAAGATGCGACGCTTAGCGACATGAATGCTGCGACAGCAATATGTTTCAGGTGATAACGCTAACCTCAATCGCATGTTCTATACCAATCTCCACTAACGACAAACAGCGCCCTGTTGTAATTAGCAAATCACCACTCTTGCGATATGCAAATAGAAGACAGCCAAATGATGGCCCCTGAGATTGCACCACGTGTGCGTGAGTGCATGCAGAAAAGTATCGAGATGACAAAGGAGCTCTGCGGCCAGGTTGTATCGTGTGTCAGGGAAATTGAGCAGAGTCTTACACCGCATGACTTGGAGAATGTTTCTCCATTGGTCTTGCAGTGCATTTATACCTGTGCGTCTAACATGTTATGGATGGCAGTGGAAACGGGCAATCCTCGTTATAACGAGAGCAAGTCTATTTGCGAAGATATGTTACACGCTGCTAGTAGTAGGTGGGAAGTTGCAGGTAAGTCTGATTCAGTTTCGGCGTCATCAGCGGAGGGTCAATGTTTTGGACTAATTGCTTTCTTTTGCAGATGTTTATTTGGAGATGCAGCGGCTAGCAGAGCTGACATTGAAATCTAATTGAGTGTCAACATGGAATAAAATGTTCTGGGCTATGCAGGAGCGCGAAATGAGATTTTTCGGCTTACGGTTTTCCAAAGAAGACTTAGTTATAGTGATTTCAAATAAGCTCAAAACTGCCCAAGGTATCATAAGTGTGACTACCGGCTTAAGCTGGCTCCACAACCTCCAGATTTGCTGCTCACTGAATTCAGCAATTCGAACTCAACACCATTGTCCCCAGCAGACAGGTAGCCAATGGCATATTCCTCTGCAGACCCAAACCAGAACGCTGAATCAGCGTCAGAACCTTCCCACCTCACATCATACTTCCCACTTTCGCTCCGGTCAACGGGAACACGAGCAATAACAGGATGATCCTGTGGTGACCACCATCGAATAGCAGGTAGAGTATTCGTGATGGTATTGATCAAGAGTTGTGGCGTCGAAGGATGCCAGACAACCTGGCGAACAGGCTGCTCGTGAACTAGAGCAGATGCGAGTTTTGGAGTAACCTCGAGGGACCAGATCCAAACGACATTCTGCCGCATCGTATCGACAGTCGCTAGAAGATGCCCGTCAGGGCTGAAAGCCATGACCAAGACACCGCGTGGTGACCCTGCCGACTCCGGACTCATGCTGAGTGCAGAGGAGCTTGATGCCTCGGCGTATTCGGCATCACCATCTGCGTTGATGTATCTCTCCCGCCACATAGTGGGGGCTTGCTGGTCGAGTGGGAAGATGTGCGAGAGGGTTGTAGCGGAAGAGAACTGCCATAATTAGTTAGTAAATCAAGCGTATCTTGATATGTGAGACTCACGGTGCGGGCTCGGAGCAAGTCAATATTGCCATTTACTTTGCCAACAGCTAGTGTTTCACAAACACCAGTTTGGGGATTAGAAGAGCTCCATTCGATCTGTTTGACTCCCAAATCGAAAGTGTCGTCCACTCCAGATGGCTCGGAGTAGGTTCTGAAAAGCTGACCGTCAGCTGTGAAGATCAGCACCTTTGTGCCTGCACTAGCAATATCCCAGACAGCAATCCATTTCCCATCCGGGCTCCATTTTAAACCCTGTGCATCGATAGTGGGAAGCACAGTTCGGTTGAGAAGTTCGTAAGATCGGGGTTCATGGACAGTCAAGATATCGGAAGTTTCTGGCTTGAGGAGAATGGCTAGCTGTTTGGTTTTAAGTCGATAGCCAAAGCCAAGATGATGGGCGAGTTTTGGTGATTTAATCACCGAACTGCGGCCCGTGTCTAGTGAGTAGATGCTCAGCTTGGTGTTCCAGCAGTGAAACACTAGCACTTCATTCTCATCAGCACCAAACTCCACGGCTAATGAGCCAGGCTCGACATTTTCGATTTCGGCAAGTATCTCTAGTGGGTTGAGCTGCCAGACTGAAATTCTGCTATCGTTCGCGGATAGAAGACGCCGACGGGATAAATCCTCTTCAGTCATAGCACCAGGTTTGATTTGTGAACGAGAATATTTGAGAAATTTGAGCGCAGTCTCTTTGATCCTTGCGATCTGGACTTCCTTGTGCTCCGAGGCCGCTTTTGAGTGAACAACCAGGGCCTTGCCGCTTACATGGCTAGCATATAGACCGTCTTCGGATAAATGAAAGCTCAAGGGACCTAGCATGTTGTTAGACTTGATCAAAGGGAAGATTTCGCGAATCTACCTCCTGCTCCCGTTGACGCGTCCATTGTTGACAGTCGATAATGAAATGCTTTGCGGGGATTTGATCCAAACAAACGGTATTCTATGAGAGGTAGAGATTTTTAATGGACCATAATTCGTTATACTGATATCGTAGCGTGCAGATTCATGAGATCTGAAGTGTTGTGTTTGAATGGCCCGGGTTCTCGAAAGCCTCATATCAGATTACATAATATCTCCGCGAGCTCGAGATCAGCCCTAAAGAAAGCCACCAATGCGGGCTGGCATGCTTTACGTTTTTTTTTTAAACAAGATGCCGGATACTTTTCAATAATAAGTCTGTGCAAAAACTGAGACTGTCTTGACAGTCTCTGTTGTAGTTTGCTTCAGCTAATCGAGCATCTCGGCTGGAAGCGGGCTCCAATCGGTAGATAGGAGGGACAAGAGACTAACGGAGAGCAGACTCATTATATCTGTACTGCAATTTTGAGCGAGTCGTCCGGGAAAATCTTCGTACTCTTGAAGTAATCTTCGAACTACCTGTCCTTCGCCGGTAGAAGACAAGATGTTACCAATTGCCACATGGAATTGGAAAAACACCGGGTTTGCTAAAGAGTAACTTGAATCGGAAAATTTGAGTGTAATTTTGCTGCTGTTCGAGCAATATGAGCTCAGGATCGTTGGTGAATGAGGAAATCGTTCCATCATACAGATATGTGGAGTGGAAGTGGTCCCGAGAACAAATCGAAACGTCTTGAAATATTTACCGAAGTCTTCCCGGAGCGTGATCATATTGTCTACGCAGGTTATAGATCCCGCTACAAGATGTAGTCTCACATTTGGGAAATAGCGAAAATGTTAACCCATAAATTAGATAATTTGTCTTCGCTGGGCAAGGAACCGAGAGCGCGAAGTAAAATATGGCAGCACATATTATGAGCAGTGAGTGCATCGGAAGGATAGTCCCACAGTATCTCATATGCTTTGGTTATGGCACACTTTCCTCCATCCCGACGGAGGCAAGTTTAAGGGTTGTAGCCGAATCAATGAGAGATCTGTCGGTATTATTGAAAGAACCATCATCTATAACCGAGGAAGTCTGACTCCTGCCAAGCAAAGGGCGTAAAAGACCAGTCTAGATGCTATTGACCAGCTGGCGGGTATCTGCAGGAAAAGCGGTAATATCATTCGTGAGATTTGTTCGGCCCTCAGAAGAAGGAAGGTATCTGAAGACATTTTGCAAGGAGTGGATTGTACTATCAATTTTATCAATAGCTTCGTACCTAGGCAGTGCAAAAAGAGGGCCTCTGTGTCGGTCATGTTGATAAACGCTCGTGGCTGCACTGTGGTTGTTAGAAGATGAGTCTATAGAAACTTGGGAAAAAAAAGAAAGACGGTCAGAAACAAAGTCAGAAAGAGAGCTAGGAGAGTTCAACAACACGAGTCCTTATTTTATCCCAAGGATGGTACAGGTAATACCTCGATGTTACCCAACAATAAAATATCTCTAGTCTAGATATATATTTTTACCCATATCAGAAACCTACTTCAAATAGTCTATCAAGAGTCTAGAGTAGTCCTCATTGAGTCATTGTATATGGTTTTTTATAGAGACGATAAGATAAGACGGGCCAAGGTATATCCGCTCCGCGATAATGCGCTTTTCAGAAAGTTGCGACTTTGAAGTTTTGCGACTCGAGGCGATCCATGAGCAGTCCCTGGATTTTCCTTCCAGCTGTCAAAATAGGTATTTTGAAGTACTTTAGCCCTTCACTGGGCCATATTTTCCGACGCTCCTTCCGCTTCACCTCCACTATGGCCTCCGACACCCCTCCGCAATCCGGCGAGCAGACCTCCGCACCCACTCCACAGAAGGAAAAGCTGTTCGGCAGGAAATTTTACGAGAGCATTGGCAGCCCCAAATATGTCGTTGCGCCGATGGTCGACAGATCTGAATTTGTGAGTCATCTTAAGCCAGCATTATGGACCAACACTAATGTTTTACAAAGGCATGGCGCATGCTCACTCGATCTTTCATGCCCCCAGACGAACCCAAGCCAATGCTCGCATACTCGCCGATGTACCATGCTCGGCTGTTTGGCGAACAAGAGCGCGTCCGAAACCAGAATTTTCACCCCACTCGCAAGATCATCGGAGGAAAGAAGGAAGATCTGTACCTCGATGGAAACCCCGCGATCGACCGCCCGCTCTTCGTTCAATTTTGCTCAAACAACCCCGATGAGTTTCTTGAAGCCGCTCGCCATGTGGCACCATACTGTGATGCCGTTGATCTGAACCTTGGATGTCCTCAGGGTATTGCGCGCAAGGGACACTACGGATCTTTCCTCCAGGAGGATTGGGATCTGATTTACAAGCTCATTAACCGCTTGCATAGGGAGCTGTCAATCCCCGTCACTGCCAAATTCCGTATCCAAGAAACCAAGGAAAAGACCCTCGAATACGCCAAGATGATTCTCTCTGCTGGCGCTAGCATTATCACCGTTCATGGACGCAGACGGGAACAGAAGGGCCACATGACTGGACTGGCAGACTGGGAATACCTGCGCTATCTCCGAGACAACCTACCCTCAGAGACTGTGATCTTCGCCAATGGCAATATCCTTAACTACGACGACATCGACAAATGCCTCGAAGCGACTGGTGCTGACGGCGTCATGAGCGCGGAAGGAAACCTCTCAGACCCTTCGATTTTTTGCAAGCCACCCCCAGTTGGAAGCGAAGGACGAGAATACTGGCGGGGGCGGGATGGCAAGGGTGGTTACCGCATCGATGCCATTCTACGACGATACCTCGACATCATCTATAAATACGTCCTGGAGCAGCCTGTCCCAGAACGGAAGCCTCTGTACATTCCATCCGACCCGGTTGACGAATTTGCGGAACCCGAGACGGAAGATAATGATCACAACGACGGTCCCCTTAAGAAGAAGCAAAAGCGCAGCAAAGCTGACAAGGTTAAGAGGCCCAACTCTGCCAGTCTTGGATTCATGCAGCCACATCTGTTCCAGGTTCTCCGCCCCATGGTTGCCACTCACACTGACGTCCGCGATGCGCTTGCGAGATCACGACCGGGCGACATGGCGGCTTTCGAGCATACTCTTACTGTCTTAGAGAAAGCGATCAAAGGTGGCCTCCAGGAGTATGAAGCATGTCCGGAGAAGTTTGAGGCCAAACCAAACGAGACTTTGAAAGGATCGAAAGCGACTATTGCTGAATATGGACGGCCTTGGTGGGTCTGCCAGCCCCATGTTCGTCCTCTGCCGGAGGAAGCATTCGAAACTGGAGCGCTCAGAGAGAAGGGTTCCAAGCCTGTTTCCAAGGGCGAAAAGGAAGAAGCCAAAGAATCAGGAGATGCCAACGCTTCTACCTCCGAGGGCACAGTCACCCCTGGCGACGGTACTGTCAACCCAACTGAGGCGCTCACTCCGGATCGCATTGTGAGCGGATGAAGTCGCTGAATTATCGATGCATATGAAACATTTTTTCTTCCAAGTGAATGACAAATGTTGTACAAAACAGCGAAATGTTGATAGATTATTTGTTTGCATAGCGTTTATTATTGATTATATTGATACACTATCCCTGGCGCCATAATTGACAAATCCAGTTTGGTTGATCCATGCAATTCCACATAATAGTCGTGACCACGAAAATGCCAAGAAATGTATATATAAAGAGAACGCACATGCAGGTCCCAGTCGATAATACGTGAAGTTCGATCCTTGCGAGTTTGATTTCATACCATGTCATTTATTCAATAACAACCCTGAGCTAAACGGCCAACTTGACACAGAATGCCATGAGCAGAAAGGTGATACACGATACGGATCATCATTTGGGTCTTAGTTACCATCAGCTCCAGCTGGAGGCCATGTTTTAGGGTCTGTCACCGATTGTCACTCCCCCCATCAAACAACTTCACGCTCGCCCTTCTACAATATATCAGAAAGACGTAAATATCGCTTGGGGAACATAACGAGATTATTCCGGAGTTTGTTCTACCATCCCGCCATGCTTTGACAAGATATCTCACACTCTCTTAGGAGTGATTTCAACCTCATATGCCCTTCACCCTTCTCCCCACAACACAATTTGAAGACTGCTCCATGGCAGAATTTCGCGGATATGCATCCAGGGTTTGCTCATCGAGTGCCTGCAAACCATCGGTATGAAAGAAAATGATATCAGCTTAACCCCAAATGATTGGGGTGCTTAGGCAAAAGCAAAATGCAGCTGCCGCTCCCAGCTCGTTGGCTTTTGCTTTAGTCACACATTGGCAGTTGTGTATAAGTATCCTCCCGCTGTCGTGTGTGGTGAGATCCATCTTCGAATTCCCTGTGCTACATCAGAATGGAGCGCTCAGACAGAGATGGAATGGGCATCCGCGCATGCCAATGCAAAACCATCACCTGCACTTAAAGAAGCATTAATTTGGCTTATGACAGAAAGGAGAAAAAATTCACAAAAAGGCCAGTGTGTATGCCCTTGGGAAATCATATGCTTTTGCATGGCTTACTTTAGAGGTTATATTTAAACCGGCAAGCCCCTGGATACTCTTGAATTGGGATAAAAAATTCCAGAACATTGTCGTGATTATGGTTTCGAACAACTCACCGTATTTCATCAATAATCGCTTTACGGCAAGCAGACTCAAAGTTCATATTTACGCTTTGGGGGTAGGTAAAAGCTCTACTTTCCTCCTGGCAATTCAAATCAGGCGCTTCGTCCTAGCATCTCTCTGCATAAACATACTCTCCCTCCGCTTTCCTGTATACGCAGCTTCCACTTTAACTAGCAAAATGTTTTCGCTCCTAGAGAAACTCCGTTAAGTTCAATACATCTGCATATACATCTGCATAAAATGACTTCTGTGACGTTTATACAAGGGGGATGGAAATTACATCATCTTGATGGGTCCAAGGTAGACCATTATATATTATAAGGTGTGTATGGAATGTGATTTATTGATCATACAGAGACAGACAAGTTTCAGAGGTCCTTGTTTCAAGTCCAAATTACTTACAGCTCAACGTAGGCCACTCCAGTTATCGCACCTCCCATGTCGTGTAGTAAAGTGCTTTTGCACGATCCATCCAAGTTGGAGCTGTACAAAGATCCCCCAAGGTCACCAAAGAACATCCGTCCATTCTTCAGGTCCAACGAGATTCCGATACCTTCGTGAAGCTTGCGAACCAGGATCTTTGGCTGTAATTCGCTCACTGGCAGATCGGCAAGAACAACCGAATTGACCGTGTTTCCAAACGGTGGATCACCCCGATCCGTCCAATATAGCGTTGATGTTGCGTGGTCCAACTCCAAATCAATAGGCTCTGGAAGGTTGTCCAAGAGACACTCAACGTCTGATCTGTTCCCAGGTGCTTCACCGGTTTTTAAGTCGAGGCCCATTCGAAATATTCTTCCTTCGTTGCTCTTGGACGGTCCTTTCTGCGACCAAAAGATAGTGTTGGACTCCTCGTCAACGGCAATACCTACACACCAATCTAAGGAAGATTGCTTGTTGGTATTCCCGGGATTGGCCCGGTAGAGCAGCTCGATGTCACTGCCGTCCAGATTCGCCCGCATGATTCTCATTCCCTCTCGGTCGGACCAATACAGCTTCTTTGATCCTGGTGCAATGACCAGCTGTTTGGGTGTGTGTGTCCAGCCTTTGGGGATAATTGTCACAATGTTGCTTCCGGACAAATCAGAGCGTTGGATACCTCCGTCGTTGGCAGAGGGAAACCCCATGTTCGTCCAGTAGATGTGTTGGTTTGCTTTGTCGACAGCGATACCATCAGGCATTGTTCTGATTTGTGTAATGAGCTCGCGCAAATCGGAGCCATCGGGCTGACAGGTAAGGATCCGGCCATTCAGGTCTGAGGTTGAGATGCCAACATCGAGGAAATAGAGTCGACCTGTGGCAGATGCCAGAGAAGGAGGCGGAATCATTTTGGGTAATTTAGGTCAATATCGAAAGAAGAGGGAATTAGTGATTTGGTTTTTGGATGAGCGAGCTAAAAGCTTTGTTTAGTGGCTACAGCATTCGTTTTAAGTAGTTTGGCATTGCCTACATCACCTAGTGGGTCTTGGAAAAAGGGAAATTGGCTGATATTCGGTACAGGCCAGCCGGAAGCCCCGGTAAGTAGCCTGTGTGTACATTTAAACCAGTCAAATGATCACGTTGGAGCTATAACTACAACGGCCCGAGTCGGCTTTCCGGTCACCGGAAGATTTCCCAATCAGGAGTGTCGGATCTCATTCCGAAGACTGAAGTGGGACAACTGATGACATAATCCGGTCCGCTCCGAAGTCCCGACCTCGGGAACACAACGTTCGGAAAGAGCTCGGGGAGCTCTCAATCCAGCAATCTTCATCCCGCAAGATGATGCTATCATTCCAGATCGGCAAGCCGGCCCGACAGCAGGAATCCGGAGAACCCAAAGCAAAGCGTGCTAAGATCAGCGTAGCCTGTAACATCTGCAAGGCCAGAAAGACAAAATGTGACGGTGTCAGACCAGGTTAGCCAAAAGGTCAACTCTATGATGTGATTGACACAGTGCTCATAATTTCCAATTTAGTGTGTGGTGCCTGTTCGAAGAGGAAACAGATTTGCATCTATCGTGAAGCTGAGGAAGCCTCACCTTTGGGTGTAGAGTGAGTGCCCGAAATTTCCCAAGCCCGAATCCTACTTGAGCATTTCTTGTTGCTCACTTGATCCAAAATGACTCATACTATGATTGGGACTTTTCTGACTGCAGAAGGACTATTGGCAAAGATGCAGGCCAGTTAAGAGATAGCAACGAATTGCCTAGAACTTCTCCAAAAGCCCGCGCAGAACAATCCCGCTCTTACCAAGAGATTGTACCCACCGGGAGTCTGTTCGGTGCATCTAGTGGCGCGCACATCATACCATTGACTGAAAAAACCACAGTTTCGAGAAGTTTCTTTGATAGTACAACAGATAAAGGTGCTGGAGCTCTGACAAAACCACCCAAGGAGCTACCCAAATTACGAAAACGGCACTTGGCACAAGACTCGGATATGCAGTTTGCCATCCCCCCAAGGAAAATAGCAGATGAGATGCTGAATTCATATTGGGACTATGTGGACAGCGCATACCCATGGCTTGACCGACCTTCTATAGAAAGTGCGTACGAGACGCTATGGACAAAGGATGGAGAAGTGCCTATGAATGAGCGAGCCCTCCATTGCATCCTCAATCTCATATTTGCTACATCATGTGTGGCCTCTCAGGGTCAATCCCTTGCTTCTCGCTATGAGTCCTCGAGTGTCTTTTTTGACCGGGCTCAGCAACTCATGTCCTGCGAGCTGATGAGCATTTATAACTTCGAAATTATCCAGATTCTTTTGCTCACTGCGGTATATCTTCAACATGAAAGGGTACCTCAAAAATGTTTCAGAAACATCGGAATGGCAATTCATATCGCTCAAGAATTGGGTTTGCATCTTCGTGAAACAACTGAAGCTATCAGAGACCCACGTGAACGAGGTCTTGCTCGTCAGGTTTGGAATGGATGTATTATCATGGATAGGTATGTTGAGATAACCTCGTGCTCATTCCCAAACTAAGACCCCCTAGGATTGCCTCAATGACGTTTGGCTGCTCGCTCAAAGTTTCTCAAGCTGTTGCAAAAGAGGGACTAGAATCCTTGCTACTCAGTTCTACAGAACGCGTAGACAGCTCTGACAATCCAGCTTTGCCATCCAATGTGAATTTCTATATATCGTTCTGTCATTTGCATCACATCATCGGTGAAGTGTTGGAAACGTTTTATACATCCCCCAGTGACTGCCGTCCTGACAAAAGCCTCACTGGAATAGGCTTGGCATCATCACTATCGTTTGATAAATTTGCTAGTCTGTTCAGACTTGAGGTAGACTTGAACAACTGGGCGGGTAGCCTCCACCCATTCTTTCAATCACCTTCGGACACGGCGGACCCGACGCCCACCAAGCATATCATTCGCGAGGCAAACGTTTTACGGGCCAGGTTTGTACAATGGCTCTGTAAAATTGAAACATGAGCTCATCCCCCTTATAGGTATCTCTGTGTTCGACTCCTCCTCTTCAGGCCGTTTCTCCTTCAAATCCAGCAGCATAATTTGGATACTGCTACAACTGCCTGTATTTACAGAGATGAACAATTACTACCCCATGTTGTCTCGCAATGCCAAATCCATTGCATCCAAGCCGCTGCCGACATAATTGATTTCATCGTACGAAATTTGCCGGAGCGAACACAAGCCCACATATTACCATCAAATTGGTATACTGTCTCATGTGAGTCATCTTATACACAGATCAAAATACTGTTTCTAACGGTTTCAAAAGACGTATACATGGCTGTGACTGTCTTACTAGCAGCCAAAATGTCAGCGTGGATAGTGGATCATTTTTCCCGGGCTCGCCTGGATAGCCTTCTGCGACAGGCTCGTGACATTCTCAAGAACTATGAACAGCATACTACCCTGGCGTCGCGGTGCAGCTCTGTCCTTGGACTCATTGAGAGAAATATCGATAGGCGTGGATCGGGAGACGCCGGCCACGTTGAAACTTGGCAAAGCGCCAGTGACAATGACTACACGACTATGCAGGACCAGGTACCGATACAACAAGAGCCTCAAAACGCGACGGGTCACTTGTCCTGGTTTGAGAACTATACCTTTGATTGGAACGAATGGCCAACTTTCTTTGCACAGTTGGACAACACAGCAAGTCCCGTTGACGGATGGGGAATTTCGATGTGAAATTCACTCAGTGAGATGATTCATGTATATTCAGTCTTGAATCTCACCAAATATCATCCAAATATAACAAAAGGCCACTTCGTGAACTTAACAACATAATTCACTCTCTGCAGTACAGAGAAGGTATCTTAGCCACGGAAACGTTGGAATTGAAAGATACAACGACAAGTGAACCACCGTGCATCGAGTTGTAATCTGATCGGGGTTACTTGGCACAAAGCAATTTCAACGCAAGGAGGAAGCCTGATACATACGTTCAGATCCGTCAAGCTACTACAATTGACACGAATTACATCCGCGCCGAGAGCAGCGAGAGTGGAACCGATGACAGGACCAGCAATGATACAAACCAGCTCCACGACCTTGACACCGGCGAGAGGTCACTTATCGCTGGGGATTGGAGTGAATGAGATAGCAGGGGTGGGGATTGCATGCGACTGTTGCGCATAGCCCACTAGCGGGTGATCCGCAAGTCGCTTTCCCATCAATGTCTCTGACCACCCCTGGGGAGTAAAGCAGATACTACCACAAAAGCCGTTCTTGACATTGTGCATTTCCAACTCATCTGCAGTCCATTGTCCAACATGGTGGGCAATGTATTTATAGGCCTCGTCCGCTGTCTTTGCAGGATACTTTGGATCCATACTCATAGATTGCAATACTGGAGCAGCATTCAAGGAGCCGTGAAGCTGGTACCAAACGCCCAGGGTCTTGGTCTTGTACAGGGCAGTGGTCCGTTGTCTCATGGGGGAGGACATGAAGTCGCCCTCGAAAGCTCCCTTGAAAAGGGATGATACCGGACGTGTTCTGACTAGCTCTGACATGTCTATGCCCTAAATGGAAGCCGTGAAGATAGTTTCAAGCCAGATAGCGGCATGGTCGGTGTTCACTGTGACGTTTTGGGATTTCGCCGGTGTGCCATCGTGATCTTCGACAATTTCATGGGCTACCTCAGGGCACATAGCATGAAGTGCAGCTGCGATGAGAGGTGCTTTTGTTGGACCGGGAATGATAGGTAGAGAAGTTCCCTCAAACTGGACTGTGTTCCATAAGTTCTTGGTCCTGGGTAAAACCAGGAGTGCCCTTGGCAATATACTCGAAGATACGACCAGCATCTTGGGGTGATGGAGTGAACTCTTTATCCACAAATGTACCAGGTCCGTAGATGTCCGTCCCAGGGAGAGTTTCGTGGGAAGACATTGTGGTGGGAAAGTGTCGCAGATTAGGGTTGGATGTAGAAGCAGTATGAGCAAGCAACTTATCGGATTGTCGCCACATCCGTTGGTTCTGAGATTCATGTATACCGGAAATTGAATACCTATCAAAACGTGAAACATCTATGCCGAAGATCGACAGGTCCGTTTTGGTTCCGAGATTTCCTAATTGGGATCCCGAGAAGCCGCGATTCGGCAAGCCGATGTCACGGAACCCAGGGATATGGATCTGATAACGGTGGGTAGAAACTGGTGAGCCAGAAAAGCCATAATATTTGGCCTGACCCGAGAAAGTTCCGGGACTTTACCGACGTACGTGGCTCAAAAGCAACCGGTTGACCACGGCACGGACTGTCGTCGGTGTGGTTCCGAGGTGTTTCTTTCCACATTTGGTAATTGGGCTCCTGTTCCGAAGCTGTTGATTCAGTGAGCTAAGCTTTGAGACTATCTGCTTGGACCGGTGTGCATGTATATAAATTGAGGGATCGCTTTCCATGTTTGAGAACAAAATTCACAAGTCATCGATTATGACTCCATCTCCCATCAAAACTGTTGGTGTCATCGGCACTGGTGTCATTGGCGCTAGTTGGACAGCACTATTCCTTTCCAAGGGCCTAAAGGTCATTGCGACCGATCCAGCACCAGATGCTGAGGTCAAGCTGCTCGAATATCTGCAGAAGAACGGTTCCTCCGTCCCAAAATCAAAATTGACAACAAGCTCATTCTTGGAAAATCTCAAATTTGTCAGAGATCTCGACCCTTATCTTGGAGAGATAGATTTAATACAGGAGGTCAGTTCACCCTTCAAAAAAGCTTTACACTTTGTACTGACTTCCGATTCAAGAATGGACCGGAAAGAGTGGACTTTAAACGCCGTTTATTTGCTCACTTAGACGCAAATACCCCCGGTCATGTGCTCATTGCATCTTCTTCTTCGGGCCTACCTTCTTCAGCTTTTATCACTAAATGCAAGAACAACCCATCCCGTATTCTGATTGGTCATCCTTTCAACCCGCCACACTTGGTGCCTCTAGTGGAGGTAGTTCCTCATCCCGGGACGAGTGATGCATACGTGACTGCTGCCTGCGAATTTTACAGAGATTTGGATAAAGACCCTGTGGTTGTCAAGAAAGAAACACCCGGCTTCATCGCCAACCGACTCCAGGCCGCCGTTTGCTCTGAGGCATACAGCCTTGTCTCGAGGGGGGTTGTTTCAGCCGAAGATCTTGGTATGTACATCGCATGTGACACCTTGCAGCACACATTCTAAACTGGCTAGACAAAACAATGACTTCTGGCCTTGGCCTTCGTTGGGCACTCTCGGGACCTATTATGACAAACACACTTGGAGGAGGTGGAAATTTCAGCCATTTCATGAACCATCTGGGTCCAGCATTAAAGACTTGGCTTGATGACATGCATCAAAATTCGTTCAATTTTGACTCACAGGAGGCGGTCAATGATCTCAAGGACAAGGTGAATGGATGGGTATCAACTATTGACTTGAAAGAGGTTGAAAGCAACCGAGACGCATTTTTATCCAGCTTAGTTAAAGACAAATTGGGCTCTTCTGGTGCCAAAACTGACAGATGAGAATATATTCTCAAATTTGGAACAGAGCCATGGCCACACTTTTCGATATAGTCGCAGTACACTGTATACTGGTACGGGCCCATGCCTCGATTGAGTCTGGCAGGTTCGTGCATTGATCTTTTGGTGTCTGGGAATAGTCATCGGTTAATTGACAGTTGATCACAACAAATCCTAAGATCAGTCCCAGCGGGCACTGCAGCTGAGTCGCAATAAGCAAAGCTTTACTCGAAACCATTAGCTCCAGCTTCTTGAATAGTCGGATTAGAGCACAATGCTGTGCAAGATACTTTCTCTCAACATACTCTGCGTGAAATATGTGTCTATATTTCCCACTTCACCGTAGGTCAATTTGGCAAACGAGAACAAGACGGGTAGGAGATCGTCAATTGTAGCATAATGGCACAAATAACCCTTTGGACCCTTCCAAACGATATCTCCTCCGCATCTTATCAAGAAACAATCTTGAAACATACAATGTCGAGCATGGAAGCGAAAATGATGCCTCAGGCCTGAATTTTAAGGATCGGCATGCCAAGACGCACCAATTCTTCACCTCTCCACCGCGACACCACGCTAGGATCGTGTTTTCCATTGCCACTGGAAATATACCCACAAAAGGACCAAATATCATTGGTCAAATCAAGTTAGTACGTGATATTTATTAGTCACACATACCTTATTGACCTCTGGATGGCGCTACTTCTGGTAAAAAACCCCATCGGCAGAAAGGGGCAGATGGCTTGGCCAAACATGGTACGGTACAAAAATCTCTGAAACTGAGACAAACTGCCGAAAGACCACTGTGGAATGCTTAATCAATCCAGTAGCCCAGTCAGACAAGCTCTACTTGATAGGGTGGAGAGACTATAGTCGCAGCTCTGAGTTTTGTTGACAAGATCGAGCGTACTTGTGAAAGAATACCTAGCAATAAAGATCTACAGTGAGGAGATGTCCCACTTAACTCGATCAAAAAAATAGCCTAGGTGTTCGTAGAGAGGTCCACTCAGATTAAAAAAAAAACCCTGACAGCAGAAAACTTCGAGTCATTCTCTCCTTCGCATTCACCAAGCTTATTCGCTTTCATTCTGAGTCACGGAAAATGGGTGAAGACCGGGAATCACGCGTGCTGTCCTCTGATGTCGAGTTCAATGGCTCAGATCTACAAGATGATACCAAAAGGAAGGGGAAAGGCCAAGGGCCAGTAAGCGATGACCCGTTTGGATCTGAAGAAGTCGCCGAGGTGAAATATCGGACGATGAATTGGTGGTAAGTTTTTAGTCCTATCCATGGATGAGGACTGCAGTATAGATTTAACAAATAAACAGGCAATGTGGAATGCGTAAGATGACATGTCTTCAACAGTCATGCTACTTTCTAACACTGCTTTGTAGTCATGATCGCTGAGAATGTTTCTTTGGGAATTCTCTCCATCCCATCGACTGTTGCAGTCTTAGGAATGGTTCCGTACGTATTATGTACCCTTAAGCAGCATTCATGCACAACTAACTCGGAATCACAGCGCTGCAATCTTGCTTGTGTTTCTATCGACACTGTCCTGGTACACTGGCTATGTTATTGGTCAGTTCAAGATTCGTTTCCCGCATGTCCATAGTATGGGCGATGCCGGGGAAATCTTATTCGGTCGCGCCGGACGCATTGTGCTGGAGATCGGGCAGCTTTTACTGTTGGTCTTTGTCATGTCAAGTCACATCTTGACCGGAACAATCGTTCTCAGCACTATCACTGATAACGGTGCCTGTGGCATTGTGTTTGGCGTTGTTTCGCTAATGATTTGCTTCCTGGGTGCGCTGCCACGCACAATGGCCAAAGTGTACTGGCTGTCACTTATCTGTGAGTTCAACTACGGGATAATATTATCATTTACATAACCAGCCTCGCTAATTATTTGGAATTTAGCGTTTGCAAGCATCCTTACAACGACAATCGTAACTATGGTCAGCATCGGAGTCCAATCCCAGGATCCCGTTGAAGTTCATGCCTTCCGACAGGTCAGCTTTTATGAAGGATTCCTGGCGTTCTGCAATATTATGTTTGGATTCAGTATGTCTTTTCTTTCCTTTCTTTGACAGGCACAAGAATGGCTAATCTTCAATGATCAGTTGCGCATGTGACCTTTTTCGCTCTGATTTCAGAAACACAAGACCCGAAAACCTTCCCCAAATCTTTGGCTATGCTTCAGATTACAGATGGTGTCTTATACCTTGTTTCTGGCTTAATAATCTATCGATTTGCTGGCCCAGATGTCAAATCTCCTGCTCCTTCCTCGGCAGGTCCGCTTATGAAGAAGATTTGCTATGGTCTCGCAATTCCAACTGTTTGTCTTGTCCCACTGCCACAGATGAAGATAAACCTTGGGTCTTACTAATATAATACAGGTTTTCATTGCTGGTATCGTTGTTGGTCATGTTGCTTGTAAATATGTCTACGTCAGGGTCCTGCGTGGATCTGCGCACATGCACAAGAGAAGCTTCGTGGGCATTGGAACATGGATTGGAATTGGAGGCGTTCTTTGGGTAATTGCTTGGGTTATTGCCGAGTCAATTCCCGGATTCAACAATCTTCTCAGTTTTGTCGTATGTTTCGCCCGTTTGCGTGATAGCTTACCCTGCTGACTTTTCAACAGAGTGCACTGTTTGGAAGTATCTTTAGTTGTACGTTTGATCCCCCATTCGCAGCTGTCTTACCACGAAGTCATGCTGACATTACAATCTCAAATAGTCGCACTTCCCGCTATCTTCTGGCTCTATATGAACAAAGGCCGGTACTTCTCCACAATGACGAAGTCTTGTCTGACTATCCTCAACCTTGTCATCTTTGCAATTGGTTGTTTCATGGTTTGTCTCCATATTGACCTTGAAATTTTCATTAAATATTAATATTTCTTAGTGCGGAGCCGGTCTTTACGTTTCTGGTCGGGCTCTTGATGAGACTGCTTCCCATAACAGCTGGTCATGTGCTGTAAGTGACTAGTGGTCATCAAAAGGCTGCATCGGTAATTGCCATGAGTTTGTTGATACTCTTGACTGAGTGGAGAAAAGCATTTGCTTTATCAATTATGCTATATTTTATAATACCTGAGACTACTAAATTAATCAGCGGGAATAATAAACCAACAATACTATGAGAGACCTTCTAATTGAACAATCATTCACATGAAACTTTGCATAGTCTGTCTGTGGAAATGACTGGCGGAAATAATGCACCTTCATCAATAATCCAATTTCGATTACCTTTTCAACCACTAAAACGTATCTGGATCATGTGAAAAAGGAGAGGTGCTATTCTCTAAAACTTTCTCTATGCAGCAACTATTTTCTTGCATTATGAGATACTTTGGATCTGCTGAGTTAGTGAAAGGTATACTGAAGTACTCACATTGAACGGTGGCCCGGAGCAAAGTACATGAGATTTTCGGGAATAATGTTGGCTTGGCGGACCGCAACGATTCGGAGCTTTTTGACCGTGTCCACTATTAGGGATTTTGAGGCTACTTAAGCCGCAGCATGCTGGCTGAATTCAACAGGGTCTTGTCTCCTGGAGCTACCGGAAGCTCTTGAAGCCAAGACACTTGGTTCAAGCCTTGACGTACAAATACAATTGATCTGACCCCGTATTGTCTGGGGACCTAAATAACCTCCGGTAATTTCTCTTACCTGAAAGGCCTCATTTCAATGTGTCTCCCTACTAAGGGGCAGCGGTGCAAATATCATGTCGCTCGTAATCCATGGCTTTGGAGCCTGATGCAGTAACAGCCTCGGAGGATCTGGCCAGCAGATAGCAATTACAGTGCAGATGCTAAACCATTAAAAGCAGTAGATCAAACAAATCATGCCATCCAACTCACTTTGACTCATAATGCAATGGGCTTGAGCTCTTTCTATCCAACATACGATGCCGTCAGTGAGCCGAACAGGGGAAGGGCAATGTGGTGTTGGGGAACGAGGAATGTAGCAGAATTAATTGGCTTTCATCAGTCTTCGCCAAGTCTAATGCGGCTTTTTATCGCCTTGGCTAGCGGGGCTTTCATGCTTAACTCTCTGATCATATGTCGTTTGGCAGGACATATTTTTGAATACGTCACCAATCTTGTTTTAACATTCTCTTTGAAAGTCGTTTGAAATTGAACAGTACTCAGTGCGTGGAGATTCGGTGTGCGCAACAATGATCCTCGTATTCAAACCGAAGGTTCTTGGCATCTGTGGATAATTATCCCGCCGTTGCATCAGCAGGTACGCCAGGTGCCTGGGATCTTGTGCGAGACTCGTCGCTTACAGCTCTGCTGGGGTAACATTTGCATGGGGAATCTGCAGGGCTCATGCAGCTTACCTGAAACAAAGCGAATGGCTGCCGATTGCTTCGTATAGCCGGATTTTCGGGAGCTAAGCGGGGAATTCATTAGCATTTTGCCCTGAAGGACAGCCTCCACTGCTCAGAATATAAGAATGTGAGTAACAGCCTGATATTAATCGGCTTCATTCTTTTTACTCTTATCAAACATAGGCTTTTGAGTAAGATGTTTTTCGGGATAGCGCTTCTTCTGATAGGGGTCTCTGCCAATCCAGGTATGTTTTCATTCTATGATCCTTCAATTCACATGTAAATTAAATTCCGCAGTGATTCCAAGACAGGATGCAACTCCTACTACCACCATAGCCCAGGTTGGTAAGCCTGGTAAATGCACCAGCTCGACCAGTAGCCAGTGGTTGAGCATCTGCGACACGACTATTTTCTGGCCAACATCGACAAACTACTTTTACGGCCCGACCAAAGGCGCTAAGGCGTCTGCCGTCACTTGTAATGCTAAATGGGTCCAATTTAATGGGCGCGCTAGTGAACTAGAGTCCCTAGGTGCAACATCCACGTCCACGGTTTATTCATCCTATGTCACCAGCACCGGAGCTTGTCACACTGAAGTCCGGGGCGAAGATCTACATGATACGCATACCGGCCCGGTTACGACTCTCTGTGATGGAGTGACACGCGCTCTAGGCCCTCAAGAATCTATAACCTACTACTGGCCGGGAACAGGTCCCTGTAGTTCCTACATGCTCACCGAGACTACAACTACATTAGTCTATCGATCGCCTGCAGCGACTCCTGGATGTAAACTAAATACCCAGGACTGTATCCCCATCTGGAAGACCTATAGCAAGCTTTCGAGTGCCTATTATTCCTCTATCACGACTGAAGTACCTGGAGACATTCACAGTCCTATCCGACCAGAAAGCTGCCCAACTACCACACGAGACTACTCTGATCCTGATGTATGCAATAATTGCCACTACCTCCCGGATACAGCAACTCTTTTTTACTGGCCAGTGACGACCACTGGAGAAACATGTCTGCAAAGCGGAACCACCGTCACTGCCACACCAACGGGAGATGGGCCCAATACCGCCGTTGTCGACGGGAAAACATTTATTTCTCCAAGCCTTTACCTTTCCTTTACCAGCATCTACGCACGCAGTAACCAGCGTGCCCACCCTGGTGGCCCCTGTGGCGATGACCACGAAAATGTGATTGTTTCTGTTGCCCCAGAAGCGATTACATCATTCCGTCACCATATCAACGCGAAATATCCCACGATTGGAACCGCATATCCGTTCAATCTGGCTGAATATCAGCCGCATCAAGTCGGAAATTATACCATGTCTCTCATCCCATGGGAACAATACCTTGGCGGGTCTCAGTGTTTGTCCGGAGGTGGTGGTTGCAGCATGATTCGCGATGACTATCTTCCGTGGCTTGAAATCCCAGATGTTATGACGCAGGTTGATCCTCTGTGGACCAATTGTCACCGGTCCTGGTATATCCCACCGGTCAGTCTAGTGCCTCTGGGAGGTAGCGGTAGCATTGAGTCCAAACCTACGGACAAGGCGGAGGCGAGCAAGTCCTTGGCTACTCCGGCAGTTCCTTCGTCGGGACTTGCTGCTCCTACTCCGGAGGCTACCTGACGGGATGGTGATTTCCGTTTGCTCACATGGTGCCTTGCAACACCAGATTAGCATAATGAATCACGCTCTGAGAAATTAAACACTTTGCGATGACTAGGATACTCGATTGAGTGGAAGTAGATCCGAAGAATTAGACATCATGAAAATGCTGGAATAGTCGTTGAAGAGAAGCTATAATCATGCTCACAGGGTTAACCGCAGACGCGATCTTCTTGACATACCTTTTGTTGCATCGCTAGCAGCAACAGGCGAGTTCGAGCCGTAGCAGCCTGTGGAAAAGTTGACGAGGCCTATACCGGGGTATTAGTCTATTTGTGAATGTTATTAAGTTATACTAGAGTAAAGAGTCACCGAGTATCCAAAAGGGAAACATAAGTAAAATATAAGGATTGAACACGAAGAACCAAACTAGATATATGAATGAATGTATCTATCTAAGTCTTTCTATGATAGATAAATAGAACGTAAAAAGTAGAATAGTATATTTGTCTTGCCGAGATCTACTCGTTGACTGTCGACCTTTTAGTACTTGCATGATCACGTGGTTGTCGTCTCAAAGGATAGTGTGGTATTCTTTGTCATAATGAGTCGTCGACCGGAAATAGCCTTATCATCACCTAGAGCAGTGGTGTAATCTTGGTGGAGCGGTACAAAGGCGACTGGAACTGGCGCCTGTCTCAGATAGATCGGTTGGTTCGCGGTTGTCCATCAGTAAGTTGCCCCATACAACAAAATTTGATTTGATACTTTGACAAGGCCATCTTATGTGTTTCGGTCGTAAATGTCGCAATCGACCGAGGGCAACCGGGTCTTTGATTGTTCGTTAGACCGCTTTTTGAACGTGTTTCGGCCACTTTAACCAAATATTCCACGTTTGATCCAAGTAGCTGGAAACAGAATCAATAACATATGATCCGCTGTCTCCAAGTGCCCAAATTCCACGATGTAAATGTAACAAGGCACCGAAATGGGCAAGAATAACAAGTGCCTCGGGCTGTTTCTCTGCCAAAAGATCTATGTATCTGGAGGGCACCACAACTAGCCATGAGATGATTGATCCGATTGTAGATTGGCCCGAGGACCTGTTTTGGCTTCCAGCGATAGCCGCCTGGAGAGACTTGGTCGCCTCCAGATAGGTGTTCTTAACCGAGGGGTCGACTGATGCCGAATGCACCAGTGCTAACAGCTCCGAGCATTCCATAGATGATTCTTTCTGCATCAAAGCGCTTGCTTCTAGTTCCAGAAGTGGTTTGAGCGGTGATTTGAGAAGCAAATCCCACGATTGGTTGGTAACTTCGCGGACATGTTGGTGCAAATGAAATATTTCTATGAAATCGTCGAGGAATTCGTCACTGTTCTTTCGGCAAATAGTGCTTTTCTCGGAAAAAACATGAAAAGCATTAATTGACCTGAAGAGAAAGACGGTAAGGCAATTTTCGATATCATTTATTGGTTCCTCCAATCTGAATAAAGTGAGAGCATAGGCTCGAAGCTGAGTAGCGTGATCTTGAAATTCTTGCTTTCTGGTCGGGCAAATGACGCTCAAATGCAATGCCGCGAACGCAAGAACTTGGCTCATCAAGTAGGGTGCGGTAAACAATATGTCCATGGTTTCCGGAATAAAAGTTCCAAAGTTGGATTTATCGTAACCAAAGAGCGCCAGGTCTTTGTTGATCAAATGTCGAAGCAACTCAAGATGAAGCATATTGACCGGTGGACCGCCATAATGGCTGTCTGGAGTAGATCCACTAGAAAAGCTTGCATCACCATCATGCTCACTTGTGATCGTGGTGTTGGATGAATTTGGCAATGATGCACACCCGGAGATATGGGACTGTGACGCCAGTACTTCTTCATAAAAACAGTGACGCTTGATGATATTGCAATAGCCACAGACTGGACGACCCTCATCACACTGATAGGTAATGTCAATATTTGACTATCTTGCTATCATCGTCTATCTTTCTTGGAAGAAGCAACATACCTTGATGTGTCGGCGTTTGCATTGAACACAGCCTTTTCTTGACTTCTTGTGAGATTTTCTCGTAATCGTAGTCATTTTATTTGTAGAGGTATCACAATAACCAAAGAAAGATTGAACTTGTGTGAGATATGTACTGCGCTGTGCCGAAACTCGCTCGCAGGCTTTATGACTTCGATGAGAGAGAAAGGAAACCTAAAGCGAAGAGTACAGACAAGCTTGGACTTATATGTAACGAAGTAGCCGCTCTGGAGTGTCGAGTGGCACTTTGTATAGTCCAGCTTCGTATACGCAAGTGTGCGTAATACGCGGAAAACTCATGGGTGAAACTGCCATGAGAGTTTTGGCTATGGCATTTTGATGCGGCCTCGGGCTCAGAATGAATTCTGCTAGTAATCGATCGGCAAATTACTATGCCTATGTATCAAAGTTACGTATGATATGTAATTCTCTAGGTCTCAAAAGTTGATCACGGTACAAGCTATAAATGATACTCACTCTCTACCGAGTCATTGAACTATATTAAATGCAATGTAATACTAGCTTTAGAAAATGCCAATCTTAAATCTTATCTCACTTCTTCTCTCACTTCTACCCTCTTCTAATTTTGTAAAGAGTAGTTTACATGGAGGAAAGTTGGTTTCAAGCGGCGCATTAGACTAGCGTATTTAGCGTATTTGACCCAGTCTTTGGCTTGAATGCGGAAATTCATGTGATTAACAATTTGCTACATTAGCACCACGACGTAATCCCTTCCTCTTTTTCCGAGCTGCTTTGACATGCTAATTTCTTTTTTTTTTTCTTTTCTTTTCTTTTTTTTTTTTTTTTGTGGTTTTCGCCAAGCAAAGGGTTATTATGTCACGGCCGATTTCTTGCGGAGAGACACTATTTCTGTGGCGCTATGATTGGAAGCACGAAAAGGGGCGGACGAAATACGGAAGATCGACAACAGAGCTGTCTTGGTAAACAACGGCGGTGTACTGTCACATACCAGTCGCTGTATACGCGGACTTCTCGAGTGCTGATTGGTTTTTAAAATTCGTCTCCACAGGTCCTGACGGGTCATTCATGCGTACGATTGTAACGGTAAACTTGAGAAGCCTTTGATAACTACATAGTCGTAAATTTTCCACAGAAATGATGTTGTCAATGATCAGGTGCCATTTATAGCATCATCACACTAAATCGTGTTCGTATTGTTCATCCCCTTTATCCCTATAAATAACAGTCTCTACCTCAATGCTGCAAGTTTGTTGACCGCAATACCAAAACAATGCTTTTACCGAACTACATATTTTGGCTCTTGGCTCTCGTCGCTATCTCATATGCAAACCTGGAATGCAAAATTTCACCTACCGATTCAGCATGGCCCTCGGCGAACCAATGGTCTGCATTCAATCGTTCCATCGACGGAGTTCTGATTGAAACTTCCCCCGTTGCATCATCTTGCTACCCTGGCAATCCGTTCGACTCGCCGGAAGACTGTACCAGCGTACAAGACAAATGGTCCTATGCGGCGTACCATGCTGTCTGGCCCGAGAGCATCGACTATCCAATCTACACGAATAACTCCTGTGTTCCCAAGGGTGCCACTGGTTACGTTAAGGGAAAAGGCTGCAGTGTTGGTGGACTGCCACAGTATGTTGTGAATGCTACGACCATCGAACATATCTCCAAAGCAATGAAATGGGCCTCTGAACGGAAGATTCGGATTGTTGTGAAAGGGACCGGGCATGACCTGAACGGCCGGTTTGTGATCATGTGTTGATTATGTTTTCCGCATGAGTTACTAATCTTTGTATAGATCAACTGGAGCGTTTGCGCTTTCTATTTGGACACACAATTTCAATAATATCGAACGGCGACGTGCTTGGAAATTGCCAGGTCGCAATGAAACCGACGATGTTGTTATTTGTGGGAGCGGTAACAATTGGGGCTCTGTTTACACTGCAGTTCATCGCATGAACAGGACTGTTGTTGGTGGTGAAGATGCTACTGTTGGTCTCGGAGGTCTAATCCAAAATGGCGGTCATGGATTTTTGTCCAGCCACCACGGTCTTGCATCGGATCAAGTTTACCAAGTCACAGTTGTTACCACCGATGGTAGACATCTTATTGCAAACAGTGTGGAGAATGAGGATCTCTTTTGGGCTATTCGTGGCGGTGGAGGAGGCCAGTATGGGGTGGTAACGGAGTTTATTCTGAAGACATACCCTGTTCCTTCAAACGTGGCCATGGGTGGCTTTTCTTTCTACGCGGCAAACACGTCAAAAATCAGCGAGACTGCCTCATGGAATGCACTGTCGGAAGTGGTCTCTTCGATACCAGACATAATGGACGCTGGTTTGAATGGCAACATCACCGCATATACCAAGACACGGGCAATGGCATTGGGTCTCAAGGAAGCACCGCCCGGTGTTGCAACAGTGGTTGGTCTCGTTGGGTTAAACATGACGACTGATCGCATGGATCATATCGTCAATAAGCTCGCCGCCCGAGTTGCATCCATGGGCCACGGCAGCTATCTAAACATCTCTCTGCAACAGACGCTCAGTCAGAGTTACTGGTCTTTTGTAAAGCCGAACCCGCTATCTAGTAACTCTGCTGGAGCTTTCAGCCTGATGACCAGCCGCCTGATGGGCCGAAGGGAATTATCGGACATTTCTCGGGACGACCTAACGGAATATCTTCGACAAGCTTTGGTTTCTGAGAATCCAGAAGCTGGAACAATGTTACTGTTTGGATTGCAAGGCGGCCGCGGGCCTGCACAAGTCCCAATGCATATGCATGGAAGTGTTCTTCCTGCTTGGCGTACCGCCTACGCTCACGTTTTCACCCTGGGTGCATCAGTCAACACGACAGGTGATGCCAGCGAGTCCCTGAAAGCTGCCGCGGATTGGTATGAGGCTAATAAAGAGCCTGTCTGGAGAAATTGGGCCCCTAACACCGGGTCCTACATGAACGAAGGCAACCCATTCAGTAGTACCTGGAAGAGGGATTTCTATGGTGAGAACTACGGGAAACTCCTTGCCATTAAACGCAAGTTTGATCCTAGCGAAAGCCTATTTGTCTGGAGTGGTGTTGGTAGCGACTTGTGGAATTATGATCTGAACTCTGGTTTGCTATGCCGGGTCGCATCGTGATTTAGACTTTGATACTTGGGCATGGGAACGAAATGTTGAAGCCAAATGAACTCTTACGTTCAGAACGACTCAACATGTGTACATTTTGAGGAGCTCTTGTTTTACTCAAAGAGATGCAAATATATAGCTGAATGCGTACTTTAGGATCGAAGAAGTTGAGGCTTTATATAACAATCACTGGTATCTGATCTTTAAACTTGTAGGGAGTGATTCACTAGGTGACCTGCATTGGCAGGCAGGAGCCAAATTTAACTTTGTCAATCTGGTTTGCAAAGAAACTAATACTAATAATCATAATCATACTAATAAAGACAAACAAGTACAGGTAGCATGAAGATCGCGTGTCTGAGACAAGGCTTGCTCGGAAAGGGTGAACGCTAATATAGTTCAAGGGAAGCATCCAATCCAACGACGTTGTAGGCCGCACCTTGGGAAGTTATCCCATTGCGCATCCAATTATTGGTTCTTGCCGGTCAATACAAATTCAACCCCAAGATTTCGCCCGCTGGGTTGCCACTGTGGGCCCTACATTCACGAAGGCCATCCACAGACCCAATGGAAATTACTATTTAAGAAATTTATTCCTGCTTTCAACCCTATTTTGAAGTTCTTTGATACGGTGACTTGAAAATTCAGCATCAGAACATGAGCACCGAGCCTGTTGGGCGGCCAGTGCACGAGATCAAAGACAAAATGGATGGTACGTTGCCAATTCTACGGACGACGGGACGAACGATTCGCTCCGCCTCTGTCTCGACTGCCACAAGACTGCTCGGTTACAATCCCGCAAACGGCATGTGGCAAGCGACCGGCATTGCTATCGCACATGCTCCCAACATCATAGACCTGAGATCACCCGGCGCAGTACAATTTGACGTGTACGGTCGAACTATACGTCGAGTGAGCACTCAGATTGCGAGTGATGTCAGGGAGTCCCAAAGCGCAATTGCGCCTGCGTCTGAGGCGCACAGCTCGGAAGATAAGGAGAAAGCCGGTCGATCAGATGATTTACCTTCTGGTGTTCAGTATTACCATGCTGGGAGTTCCAAAGAAATTTGCGAAAAACGTTCTCAGAGAAAAGCTTTCAAAAAAGGTTTCATTGCGATCTGGCGTTTCATCCGTACACCTACAGGGCTTTTCATAACTCTCTACGGTTGCAACGTGATTGCTTGGGGTGCCATGCTTTTTTTTCTTCTGCTGAAGGTTGGTCGGATGAGCGAAGAGCGAAAGGAAGTTTGGATTGAAATCGACTCGCAGATTCTCAATGGGCTGTTCTGTTTAACTTCTTGGGGACTGGCACCCTGGCGGATCCGTGACACATATTGGTTATTGATGTGGCGGATTGGATCAGGCAAAAGATCACAAAGTTCGATAAGACAGCTTGCAAAGCGAAACGCAAGTTGGTTTAGATTGCCTGATTGTGATATAGACGGAAGCTGCGACGAAACTACGTCTCGCAAGACCCTGACAGGCAAATCTGCACCGGCAACCAAGACGTGGAAAATGGACTTCGTTGTGATCAACATGCTCTTGAACAGCCTTTTCCAAATTGGCATGGCGACTTTCATGTGGGAATACAACCGACATACTCGTCCGAACTTTGGAGTCGGCCTTTTTATTGGTCTGGGCTGTTTTAGCTCTCTCCTGGCAGGGATTTTGACCTGGTGGGAGGGGCGAAAAGTAAAGCTGATTGAGGGCCCAATCCTCCAAGAAGCCACCGAGGTAGACGAGAATCAGATGGTGGCAATAGCTCTGTCTTGATGCGCTACGTCCGTTTCTGTATTTACTTGGGCCAGGACCAACCTCATTCCATATTCATCTGTGAGAAAAAAAGACCTCCTCGTTGAGCAGCTTCATACGTATTGTTTCGGTCAGATTTCTTTCTGTGTAAATTAGTCAAGACTTCCAAATATACACCAAGAAACTCCGGTTTCTTGAGTTTTGGCGGCCATTTCTTTCAGTAAAGTTTCAAGCTAGCGAAACGAACCTGTCATTTTTTGGCCTTGATCCTCCAATCAGAATGTCCCAAATACGCGGAACTTATGGTTTCGAATTGACTGATCAGCATCTCGGCATTGTTACCTATCGTAATACCGAGACCCACGATATTGTTTAGATTCAGTTACTTAATAACTCGACTACTAACTTAGTTATTGCAATTCTAAGGCAAAGAATCTTATTACCTCATCTAAGTCAACAAAATTGATGTCTATTTTCCTCGTATTGTTGAACCAGAAGAATTATTCCTTCATTATCAGCCTGAAGGGAAATACCCAGTCCCCCACATTAAATGGTACTGGTGATTCCTATACTAGTATTGAGCGTTGATTGATCTTCATAGCATTACAACTTTCGGATTTACAGTTACGTATTCGTGATAGTAAAGGCAATTTTGATTTCCGTGGGAGCAACATCCGCTACTGTGAGCCAGCTCAATCAGGTTACGACCTACATGAATGCTGCTGTTGCACATTCTGTGTTGCCGCTCTCATAATCTATCTCAACACAGTCGCTTTATCAGACGAACGTTGAAATCTTTGACAGACATTTGAGAAATAGTCTTTAAGTTGAGTTGTGATTCAGGTTTTGCATACTATCTCACGAGCCTCACATCAGTTACAATACAATATTGGTGCGAAAAAAAAAAAAAAAACATTGGAAGTTGTTTCAGGGGAATAGAAACGCGGAGCACGTGTGTTTTCATCACCCATCTTGAATCAACGTATTCGGCCAGCGCAGCCAACTCTCCCACTCTGGCCCAAGGTAATGATTGATAGAAGAAATGAGATAAAGACCACTATCACCAAAAGTCCACATCTCATTGTGCATATGCAGAAGGGCTCCGAAGTGAGACAAAACAGCAAGTGCTTCTGGTCGACGGGCCGAAAGCAGATCTATATAATCTGGAGAAATAATGACTGGCCAGGAAATGATTGGGCCAATTCTGGAAAAGTTCGAAAAAGGGGAGCGACTCGCATTATAAGCTTTTTGTAAGTCCTCAATCGTCTGTCGGTAGATAGAGCTGATCGCTGGGTCAAACATAGCATCCACATGAGCTAGGAGCTCGAGACACTCATTGCCGGACGTACTTTGATCTAATATCATTCCTTCATTTTCAAGCAAAGATTTAAGCGGTGACTGCAAAAGCAGTTGCCACGATTGACTGGTAACTGCACGGACGCCACGATGCATCCTCATTGATTGAATGAAGTGATCGAGAAACTCTTCGAAGCTATCTGGGCGAAACAACAGCTTGTCGGCGAGAACATGCATCGCAAGACATGAAGAAAAAAGAAACATGGGGACGCAAGTGTCGGCGGATACGTCCAGTTTGACGCCATTAAATTCAGAAAGAGCGTGTGTTTGAAGCTGGGACGAATGATATTGATAGAACTCCCGTCTTGCCGGGTGAACGACGCTGAGATGCAATGCAGCGAATGCAAGGATTTGGTTCATAAGAAATGGCGCAGACAATACGTATTTAGTCATGTCGATAGCAGAACCCTCAGATGAGAACTTGTCGAGGCCAAGAAACGTCAGAATGTCGGTGACAAAATGATGGAATAATTCTAGATGCAGTTTATTAACCGGAGGACTGTCATTTGTGACACCGGGATCAGCAACATGTGAAAAATTCGGGGACAGTTTATTGTTCATGGCAGTGCGCTTTGACTTCGGTCGTGAAATCGGCACTAAACCAGCCGCTTTCGACACCATATCTTCGTATGAACAGTGACGCTTTGAAACATGGCAATTGACACATTTTGGGCGTGTCTCATCGCACTTTCGCACAGGTCAGCCTAGAACAGTTTGTTCACCTGGACATGCTATCGCCCAGCCGATGTTTTGTTTATGGTGATAGGGTACTATACCTTGACGTGGCGACGTTTGCACTCGATGCAGCCGTTCCTTGATTTCTTGTGCGCCTTTCTTGCTTGAATCATACTCTTGTTCTTCCCAGCTGAAATCGAATTGGGAAGCTTTGAGTTTTGGACATCAGCATCCGGGAAATGTAGTACGTGAGTTAACTTCGACCATAGAAAACGGGGTGAGTATGACCGAGCGATCCAGCCCTGGAGGCTTCTGGTATTGGCAAGGGATAACATCCACCGTTCGCCACTGAAATTTTTTACCGTGTATGATGCCTACATTGCTGACTCAGCCAGCTTCCAAGCCTCTTCGTTCAGAAATACTTGGCGAAGTTTCCTGTGCCCGGTTCAACCTTAATATTCGTTTCCATGGTAACAAAAATATATTAACAAAGTATCTTTATCTGAACGATCAATATCACTGTCTGGTAGCTGTGAGTTTGTAGTTTTCAACCAGAAACGGCTCATCTATTTGAGCGTTGATCACTTTGTTTCCCATGGGCATCCTTTCCAATCACACATCTTGGAGGTTCACATAGTCATCAACGACAGGGCCCTTGCCCACCAGGATTTTGCCCGGGTGAATAAAGTGGAAAACTGACTGTACAACGAACATCGGAATCGCATCGAAAATATACATATAAACCTCATGCGAGTACACATATCCATCTGTTCCGCCGACGTACTCAATAATCCTAAATACGCATCGCCCGATGACCAGTGCAGATACAAGGAACAAGATATGTAGAAGACGACGCCATGGACCACCGATCATGTTGAGATTAGCCTTGCGCATTCGACGCTGGAAGGCAACAGAGACGTAGAGGAAGAATCCGAAGAATATTAGTTGAACGATCAGTCCAACAATTAGAACTTTTTGTCCAATGTTGCGCATACTATTGATAGTCTGCATACCGCCGCCACCTAGTTGCAGGAGGAAGGCAGTAGTGTCTCCCGAAACGAATATCTTGGTCACTTTGCGAGGTGCCACGATGGATAGATGAGGCTGACCGACAAATGTGACAATCCGACCGTAAGTCATGTAGATTGTGGCAGCGTAAAGAGACGGAGGGAGGATAATGAACATGGACTGGCAGATGTAGGCGACAAGGCTATCCGCGTTCCGTGCGGAGATTAATCGGAATATATAGCCCAGCGTCATCACTGGTGTGATACATTAGTAAGTTTCTGGTTCTTTTTTGCGAAGGGGAGTACTCACTAAAAGCACCGATGAGAAAAGCGGTAAAAAACCACGTTCTTGTCTTTATCATTTGCCAAAGATGAACAGATGCACTTGCCCCGAACAACAGCATCGCAATTATAGCACCTGCATTACTAGGCTCATAAGGGTAGTAGCCTGAAGACGCCATTGTGTCCAAGGACGCTCACCGTAGCGTCCTGGGCCAGTTTTCGACAAGAAACAAAAAGATAACTGAATACTTGATTGTCTCGCAGGAGGGGAGAGTAAATGGAAAGAAAAGATTGTGAAGGTAAAGATCGAATTTCTGGCAAAGAGCGTAAGAGAGAACTGTCGAAAGTCGAGAATGGGGATAACTGATTTGTGTAGAAGGGAATATTTATATACATATATAGCTTTATATTTAGTTTAATACGTACCCACAAGCTGGAGATGATCCAGCAGGCAGCCATTAAGTGGACTAGAAGCGTGAACCGCACGTTAGGAAGACTGACTGCTAGACTAAGGGCTGTGTCGATGATCCACCACAATACTGTTTCAAGCATGCTATTTCGATGACCTGTGACGGTACACCAAAAGATTTCAGGCTGCATATACGTGGAACGGAAAGGATTCAATTGGTCAGTCTTACCCGAATACGCGGACCAAATGGCCCATGATTGGCGCGTTCATGGGTATCTGAACTCCTGGAATTACGCCGTTTTATTGCTAAAGTGGAACAGAGGGACTAGGCCCTTCCTGTCTGGGTTGGGCACGCCGAAGGATTGTCCTGAGCCTTGCACTTGGTATCGATAGATCTATTTTCTGTGGATTCTCTAGTTGTAATTCCCACCTTGAAACAAGCATGCTTATTTACTGCCATGAAATTTTTAGAAAACTATACGATATGTGAATACAGCTCGGGATAGAAAAAAGCATTCTATAAGTCGAGAAACCAGGTGCTATGACAATGGCTCGGATCCTGGAAATGTTGGCAATAGTCAGAAACCAATGATATGGCGAAGTTGAATTTCGTTGTTCTTCACGATTATAAATTATTTCAGAAATAACGAAGGAAACCACAAAGACAAGAGACAGAGTGACAGGTTCAACGATCCAAATTGATAAAAAAAAACTATGTCACACACAAACGGCCCATCAGTCCTACAGAATTTGCGCAGAAACGGAGGAAGGCAGATCTCGGGAGCTGAAGCCAACACTGAAGTGGAAACGACCGTGAGGAATTCTCCATTGCTGAGCTTCGGTATCCCAGAAACTGAGATCCCGACGTCGAAGAGAGAAACGAATGTTCTGGCGAGCTCCAGGGTCTAAAGTCACCTTTTCAAAACCGCGAAGTACCTTCACAGGAGTTCCCGATGGCATCGAGTCCGTTGGATAAGAAAGATAGAGTTGGACAACTGTGGCTCCAGACACATTACCGGTGTTACCCACAGTTGTAGTAACTTCAATCATTTTGTTCCAAAGATCGGAGTTGCCGCCAATTGGTGTCGTTTTGTTGGAAAGGGACAGCGCAGACACTTCTTTCTTAGCATGGTCATGATACCGCACAGAAAGTTTCGAGGAGAGATTGAAAGAAGTGTAACTGAGACCATAGCCAAATTCGTACAATGGTGTGATCTCCTGGTTGTCAAAATGCCGATAATCGATCATCAAGCCCTCGGTGAAATTGACTTGCCATGCGGCAGAGTCAGTGGCGCTTGAACCAGTAACATTGAGAATAGGGGTGTTATAATCAGAGCTTTCCTTGGCAATAGTGTAAGGAAGCTTTCCAGATGGGTTGACATCACCCCACAGAACATCCACGATCGAATGACCAGACTCTTGACCAGGGTAATGCGCAGCGAGAATGGCAGTTACATTGTCATTGTTCGCCCATGGCATTGAGTTGACACCGCCAGTGTGGGTAACTACAACAGTTTTTCCAGGACAGATCGAGGCAACATTATTGACAACCTGAGTGGAGTTCCAGTCGGCTTCGAGGGTGGTTCGATCGATTCCTTCGCGAACCCAAGTCTTGAGGAAAACAAGACAGATATCAGGCCAAGGATAAATACTCTTGAAATCGCCTTCAGCAATCATGTCGTTGTCTGTGAGGTACACCACGCGGGATCCGTCATCCTCCGCACGAGCCTTGATAGCATCGAGGGGAGAAACAACGTACGGGTTGCGACCGCTACCGGAGCCACCGCCGACTGTGAGGGTCCCAATTTTGAAGCCGGCATTGTTGCTGGGATAGAGGAGACCCGCGGAGACATCTGGGGCATCGTTTCCGAAAACTCCGATGACCTTGGGTGATTTCAGGGGAAGAGTGTTATTCACATTCTTGAGGAGAACCGTGCCAGCCGAACCCATTTCTCGAATCAATGTTGAATGATTACCACGTACATCTCGACCTGCCGGAGTGGATTCTCCAACAGAAAGCAGACCATAAGTAGCTTCGCTCACGGCGTATGAAGATGGGTCAATCGAGGGGTAGTCAGTGTCTTGATTGAAATAGAAGTACGGCGTAAGGATTCGCTTGATCATCTGGTTCAATCGGAGCTCAGATATGGTTCCATTTTGAACACCAGAGACCACATTAGGTCCAAAATATGAATTAGTGAAGTCAGTCTCGCTAAGATAGCCTGGCATGTTCAGGTCAAGACCGGCATTGATCGCACGGGCGCCTGAATGTGTTGCGAACCAGTCTGACATCATATAACCCTGGAAACCGAGCTCATCTCTTAAAATCTTCTTGAGAAGCGGAGCATTTTCGCAGGAGTATGTCATGTTGACTCGGTTGTAGCTGCACATGAACGATGCCACACCAGCTTTGACTGCATCCGCGAATGGCCAGAGATAGAGCTCATGTAGAGTGCGGTCGTCGATGTTGGCTGAAACTCCAGCCACTTCAACGCCCTTTATTTTCTCGCTGGTCCGATGGGTTTCTTGTTCGTTCCCAATGAAGTGTTTGGCGCAAGCTTGCACACCAAGCGCTTGAGCACTCCGAATCGTTTCTTGCATAGCAACTCCAGAGAGGTAAGGATCCGGAGAAAATCCCTCCCAGTTGCGGCCACCCCATGGGCTACGGCCAAGTGGCCCAGTGGAAGGACTAGCAGGGGACGATGTTAGTCTGTGAAAAATGCTATATGTAGAAGAGAAGAACTAACCCTAGCATCACGTTGGCACCCTTTCCGCGAAATTCGGCACCCATTGCGGCACCCCGTCGAGCGATCAAGTCTCGATCCCATGTTGCTGCCGCAGTCAAGCCTGATGGAAAGACGCTTGCAAGGTCGGCAAGGTGCAAGCCTTGGGGGCCGTCCGATAAGCAAAGGCCACCAAATCCGACACGTTCAATTGACGCAATGTTTCCTATGCATTGTCCGTTGGCAGTTCCAGTCACCATAGATGCTTTTTCAGTCAAATTCAATTTGGCTATCAAATGGTTTGCTCTGGCGGTTGCTGCAGCCCATTTGGTGGCATGGACCGCATCGTCTCCTGCCGATCAGAATTAGCTCGGAATGTCTAGCTGGTCAAGACTGAGGATATAACCTCGTTGGACCTACCAGCATCATAAGCCAAACCTTCCTGAGAATATATGCTGATGGCGAATAAAGCAGTCGCAATCGACGCTCGAAGTGTGAAAAACATATTGTTCACCCTTGAAATGATTTTTTGAGAGAGAGTTCGAAGGCGAAAGATAGTGTGTATTTGGTTGGATACATCATGGGCTATTTAATGCTCGGATCAGCCTCGGCAGGGAAGTAAAAGGGGTTCTAAGAGAGTTACATAGTTACGAATACGTTCTATCAGTGTGGAGGTCCCATGCTCCTTGGCGGGCTCCAATTTACCAGCCCCGCAAAGTATTTTCTGGGGCCCACATTCGTGTTCTGCTGCCTATGTCTCCGAGATCATGATTTCGTACATAACGAGCTCAACATCATTTGGCCCAGGTCCCAAAGCTCCACAAATCTAGAAGATTGACTGAATTACCTCAGTTCCTCTAATATTTTAGAGCTGACAAAGCATAGTCTTTCGCATTGCATTCCGTGGAGAATGTATGCTCTTAGCATCTAGGACCAGCCGCCAATATGAAGACGCAAGACTCCAGTATATTTTGCGTCCAATATAACTAATGAAAATTACTACATCCATGGAACGGTAATTAATATAAAGAGGAACTGTGTGGGTTAACTAGATAATTCTATATAACATGAAGATAATTCGTATATAAGCGTAACATACTGCCATGTGTAGTATTCAATGACGAGCAAAGCGATCAAGTGAGAAAATCACAAAGGGAAAAAGATAAAATAAAATAAAAAAAGAAAGAAAGACCAAGAACGCTGGAATCGGCCTAGCGTGAATGTGTTTTTCATAATCATGCCTTGCTCTCGATGGTCTGACTGGTTTGAGAAGCTCTATCCCCCAGGAAAGGCTTCAAATCGCTAGGATACCAGACTCCAAAAATCACCATGGCGGCAAACATGGGAACAGAATCAAAGACATAAAGTGTCCATTCATTGCTCAATAAATAACCTTCATTGCCCAAAGCGTACTCCACAACTCGGAATACGGATCGGATGAGCACTAAGCCACTGATAGCATAGAGGCTATACAGGTGCTGTTTCCAGGGGATACCAATATCAAGTGATTCTGCAGTCGGATTGCGACGCATACGTGTCTGGAACACATATGCAGTGATTATAAACAGGCAGAAACTCAACACCTGCAAACATAGGCCAGCAATAACCACACCTTGCCCGATGTTGGTAAGGCTGCTATTGACCATCATGCCCGATCCGCCTGCTTGAACCACAAATGTGACAACATCACTCAGGACAAATGTTTTAGTCACCCAGTTCAGTGGCAGGACAGATTTTGTCTCTCCGTGGACGCTGCGAATTATGCGGGCGAGCACCATGTAGACCGATGCAGCAAAAAGGGCGGGACCAAGGAGAATGAAGACTGCCTGAATACAATACGGCATCAGCTTGCCAGTATTGTTGTGAGAATCAATCCTGGTCGCATAGCCAATGATCTCGACTAAAGACACAGGTCAACAAGCGAAACACGCGATATAGTCGAGGGAACCTCTTACATACGCCGCCAATAGCAAACGGCAGTGTAAATCGTACCCTTGTCCTGAAAATCTTCCAGAAATGAAAAAAAGTCGCGAGAAGAAAAACCACCAAGAAAATGACGGCCGCAACCATCGAGGGGACATATTGCCAGACGTAGTAGCCGCTCTTCAAAGGCTCCAGCTTTGCCATTTTGAAGTATTTGAAGGTGATAAAATGATATATGATCAGTGGAGACTGCAATGAATAGTCCATAAAGATATCTTAAGAAACATTTTATACCTTTAATGTGAAGGTGAATTTTAACATGGTGGAGCCATATCGAATGGAGTATCCTACTTGAATTTCAAAAACCAATCGTGTTGATTGCGGTACGCGTACTCGTACTCGTACCGAGTAGTGGGTCCGTCCAAACCCCCAAAACAAATGGGACTTCCATGGCCCGTGCTGTACGCGGATACTGCCATCTGTGATTCGTCGGTGCCCCCCCGCAATCTTTATCAAACAAAGTATATCGTCAACTTAGTTTGGTACTGTAGGCGCTAGCGACCTCAATTGAGTGGCGTAACCAGCATCGTGTACGCGTACTACTGAGGTGATGATTGGACACCTATTTGGTCCCTGGCTTGGCGTTAATTGCTTTATATCCTAGTCGCTGAGACGATTTCAGGTTGATGGCGTCATGGACATACAGGCGTATTTTAAACAAATGCACCCAGATTCTTGCAATCGATACAATCATTCTTGCCTTTCATTTCAGAATTTACTTCAGACATCCGCATCCTGCGGTATTTCCTTCATATTCAATCTTTTCTCGACCACCATCACCGTGCTCGGCTCAATTGCATCAATCACTTTGACTGTGGCCAAAGTTCGCACATATCAGCATGACTCAACTACGACTGCGCGTCGAGGGGCAGTCATTTCGTGATCCCCAGAATCGAGAAGTCACTCTGAGGGGAATCAACGTGGCGGGTGACGCAAAATATCCGAAAGTGCTAAACCTGGGATCCCATGATCCCGAGGATTTCTTCAACGCGGATAATGTCTCATTTATTGGACGGCCATTCTCTCTAGAGCACGCCGACGCCCACTTCCAGCGACTTAGAAAATGGGGATATAATGCCATTCGATATATCTTTACTTGGGAGGCCATTGAACACGCTGGCCCCGGTGTCTACGACGAGGAATGGGTGGATTTCACTATTCAAATACTTGGCATCGCAAAGAAGTATCAGTTCTATATATTTATGGATCCTCATCAAGACGTGGTAAGACTAACTTTGAGACATCCAAATTGTCCCGGGTTACATGCTAATCGTTCAAAGTGGTCCCGACTGTCCGGAGGTTCAGGGGCCCCTGCCTGGACCTTTTATGCAGCTGGGCTGAATCCAAGATGCTTCCAGAATACGGAGGCCGCTCTTTCTCATCATACGTCAGAAAACCCCGCAGACTTTCCCAAGATGCTCTGGTGTACCAATTACACAAGATTGGCATGTCAGACTATGTTCACCTTGTTTTGGGCTGGTCGAGACTTTGCGCCAAAGGCAGTCATTGATGGCATGAATATTCAGGATTTCTTGCAAGGCCACTTCATTGCGGCGTGCAAATATCTCGCGCAAAAAATCCACGATGCAGGGGGCCTCGAACACGATGTGGTTATCGGGTGGGAAAGTTTAAATGAACCGCACAAGGGACTTGTTGGTATCCAGGATATCTCAAAAGTTCCACAAGAGCAGCATCTTCAGCTCGGAACATCCCCAACTGCCTTTCAGGGTATGCTTCTCGGCGTCGGAAGGGGTTGTGAAGTAATGACATGGCGATTTGGAAGATTTGGGCCTCGACGGACTGGTAAGAAGCTAATAAATCCGAGCAAGTCGGTCTGGCTACAATCTGAGTGTAGCCAATATGGCTGGAAGCGAGATCCTGGCTGGAAACTCGGGGAATGCCTCTGGGCGCAGCATGGGGTTTGGGATCCGACCAACAATGACCTGTTACAAAAGGACTACTTCTCAAAAAGCCCCGGCTCCAATGAAGGGCTAGATTACGAAAAGTTCACCAATACCTATTTTCTCGCACACTACCGAGCCTACCGAGACGCAATTCGCAGTGTTTGTGCGGGCACGATCATGTTCTGCCAACCTCCTGTCATGGAAGTACCACCAAGCATAAAAGGTACTCCCGATGATGATCCAAATATGGTTCATGCTGTCCACTTTTACGATGGTCTGACACTTTTGAGGAAACACTGGTAAGTACCACTAAACCGCTTGTTAGCTGCAAATCTAATTTTCGCAGGAGTCGCTTTTTAAATATCGATGTGATTGGCGTTCTTCGAGGCAGGCACTCCCTACCGGTGTTGGCGGTCAAGTTCGGGGAGACATCTATTCGTAATGGACTGCGTAATCAGCTTACATTTATCCGTGACGAAAGCTTGAGGAATGTTGGAAACCATCCTCTTATTTTTACGGAGATCGGGATTCCATATGACCTAGATAACAAACATGCCTATAAGACTGGAGACTACAGGAGTCAAGTTAAAGCAATGGACGCCAACCATTTCGCTTTGGAAGGTAGCAGCGCCAATGGATTCACCTTGTGGGCCTACATGACAGAGGTACGCATCATAAATTTCATCAGGAGAACTGTGCTGACTCTTTCTAGAATGATCACGCATATGGCGATCAATGGAATGGTGAGGACTTTTCAATATTCTCACTAGATGATTTGGAGCTGCCTGAGAATATCACTTCGCGTTCGACTAGTTCAAGGTACCTGACTCTCTCTGAGGATCATGATACTGAGCAAAGTACGAAAGTCGATCCGCATGTCCAAGATCTTCTGACTCTGGGGTACACGTCAAGCGATTGTGATCAGTCTGAGGATGTCAGTACTAGGAGGCGAGGCTACCGCGCAGCAGAGGCATACCTCCGTCCCAGTCCCATCCGTGTCAGAGGCCAATTGCACAGCTATGATTTTGATTTGAAGAAATGCACGTTCACTATGGCCATGACTGCGAAGGCCACGGTGCCCCATTCTCCAAGTGAGATTTATCTTCCACATTTTCACTTTGAAGTCGGGAATATCGCAGTCACAGTGAGTGAGGGGGAATGGGAAATTGTCGAACAAGAGTTCAATACTGTCAGGATACAGTGTCTATTATGGTGGCATGACGAAGGAAAGGTGAACATCAAAATCAAGGGAAAACATCCTAAACCGAGGAAACTGGGTATTCGACATTAAAAACCTAGGAAAAGAATAAATGCATGTGCATATACAAAGATGAATCATTCTGAACCCCACTATTCACTTTTCCACTTCAACTGCTGTGATATTAAAACTAATTTATGTCATAAGCATACAGAGAACAAACACCATGGTGCCGAGAGGTAAAGAATTACTGACAAGCCAAGACCCAGTTTATTCACGAAAGGTAAATCTAAGAATAAAACTCTTCACGCTGTAAATTATTTGTACCGAATTGTTTCACTTGAATTTCGTGGGAATATCGCATACACGACAGAAGATGTACGGACGGGGCAGGTCTAGAGCTAGATGAAGACTCAATAGAGAGATGAAGCAAATAAATACTATTCAATGGAGTTGATGTAGCAGTAGAGAATATTTCCAAGCCAAAGGACAATAAACACGTCTGCAATATCAATGAAAACATAGTAATTTAAAAACCTATCTATCATTCACTGACAAGGAAAAACATCAAATCAGGGTCCAATAACTATACACACTCAACCGATCTAAGACCAGTATAACTGAAATCGCTATTAACAGCAACAGCAACAGCAACAGCATTCAAAGCACGCGAGGCCCATACACCTAAAGCTATCAGATTAAAATTAGACCTAATCGATTAGGAGAAGACTCACACCCCGCAGCATATTTCACCTGCGCCTCCTCCGCGGATATTTACGTCCGTTGACTGGGGCTGACCCTGTTTCTTTATCAGCATAAATGTTTGATCTCATCCCTGGTGTGTGACAATTAGAATGATCGGATCATAAGGTGGGCTCTTACGGGCTGATTTGAGACAACTGGTGTAGCGGTCATGATTTCTATATTCGATGGCGGCTGCATCGTCACAGTCTTAGATTCCAACGTATTTTCCTTTGAGCCAGGTGATCTATTCGATTCGAACAACCCAAACGTTTTGACTGAGGTGTCAAAGAAGAAGCAAACGATAGAGCACTATAACACGCAACTAAACAAGGAATCAAGGACCACAAATAGAAGCTAAAAGAGTAGCTGTCGAAAGTACCCGAACACGATAGCTTTCGTAAACTAGAATTAGAACCAGGTTAAGATGTGGACCCGATGTAAGTTTTCCCACTATTTTTCAGCCTTGAGAATATGAGACAACGTTTAACATAATCTAGTCAGGCGGTCCAGAAATGAGGAAAAGTAGACCCAAATGAGCCCCACATTTGTTAATTTGGTCTGAGTCAAAAAGATTGAGCTACCAAATTCCGAATTTACCTTGGCGGAGTGGCTAGTGAGATTCCGACCGGTATACTTAGAGCGACCAATCAAAACGGCGACTATACGCGTATATCAGATAGAGTTCAGTAGTGGGTCGTGCGTTACGGCTGGTTACTTTCTGCCCATTCATATGGAAAGATGATACGGTGGTTGAATCACTCTTCAGATCCTGCTGTAATATCTTAGCGTATTCGTATCTATTTCTGTTACGAAAGGGTTCTGAGTTGCCTTGAATAGAATTTCTTTTGTGCTAGTTTCACCGTATAGACTGGTTCTGTCTCCTAACAATACACATACCGGATCAGCCGAAACGCCTGGGTGGGCCAATACCTCACACCTATAATCACGCCAAGCCCGTAACTCGTGGACCTTCAAGTTCCTGAAAATTGACTATTGAGTTTTGCTTCTGCCTCGAGTTCTTAATTGGCGGTTCTTGGATTGGCGGTAAAATCAGCAGTGGCTGCTTACATAATTCTGTCTACCTTTACAATAGGCGTCATAGTCCCTCACACTCGTCCAAGTTCCTTTCCATCGACTGCGGACGTGAGAAACCAACTTTTAGTAGTTTCGGTTCCGAATACTTTGAAGAGGTTGGACAAATCCGAAGCTGGCTTGATTTTGACCCTGACTTTTTTCACAGTGGCAATTTTTCCACACAATCCTCATGGAAGACCAACCTCCGAGGTACTCCATGCTGGAGGCCGCTGGCTGGTCAGATGAATCTTGGTTTCAGAAAGGAGGCAATGTCAACGGTATCACTGACATTCTTTTCCCCTGCCACAAGATAAATTGCTGATTTCTGGCAGACGATGGTCGCATTGAGGTCGACCTTGACTCCAAGGTCTGTAGGACTGTCGCAAAGCTAATTCCGATCCCACACGAGGAGCAAATACCCGCGTCGGTCTCGGATTATACAGAGCCTGTCACCTGTGATGTTCAGTTAAACATTGTTATCCAGGTCGTTGGAAGTCGAGGCGATGTCCAGCCCTTTATTGCACTGGGTAATGAGCTTCAACTCTATGGCCATCGTGTAAGACTGGCGACTCACCCAGTATTCGAGTCTTTCGTTCTTCAATCTGGTCTAGAATTCTATCCTATCGGAGGTGACCCGTCCGAGCTTATGGCCTATATGGTTAAAAACCCGGGCTTGATACCTCAAATGAAAAGTTTGCGAAGCGGAGAGATTCAACGCAAGCGGGCTATGGTGGCCGAAATGCTGCAGGGTTGTTGGGATTCATGCATCAGTGATGATCCAATCAGCAAAGCGCCTTTTGTCGCTGACGCTATCATCGCCAACCCACCCAGCTTTGCCCACGTTCACTGTGCGCAAGCCTTGTCCATTCCCTTGCACCTCATGTTCACTATGCCATGGAGCAGCACACGTGCTTTTCCGCATCCGTTGGCAAATCTCAAGTACTCAACTACGGAGCCGAAAATGGCCAATTACATATCCTACGGTGTTGTTGAATGGATGACATGGCAAGGGTAATATTCCACTCGATTTCAGTATTCTTGCCTGGACTCATGCTAAATTGAACTTAGACTTGGTGATGTCATTAATGAATGGAGATCCTCGCTTGGCTTGGAGCCTATACCGGGGACGGAAGGGCCATGTCTGGCTGAGACTCTGAAAGTGCCTTTCACTTACTGTTGGTCTCCAAGTCTTATGCCGAAACCATCAGACTGGACATCAAACATAGATGTCTGTGGTTTCTTCTTTCGTGCGCTCCCAGACTATACACCACCCCCTGATCTCAATTCATTTCTTCGAAACGGTAGCCCTCCAGTTTACATTGGCTTTGGCAGCATTGTAATCGAAGATCCGGTTGCTATGACGAATATGATCCTCCATGCTGTCAAATCACTTGGTATTCGCGCAATCATATCTCGTGGTTGGAGTAACATTGGAGAAGCTTCATCCAATGATCAGGTTTTCTATCTTGGGGACTGCCCGCACGAATGGCTCTTCCAACACGTCGCCGCTGTTGTCCATCATGGAGGTGCAGGGACCACGGCATGTGGCCTACGTTTTGGAAGAACTACTACTATCATTCCGTTCTTTGGAGAGTATGAATTCTCTGGTACTATTCTCAAGCTAATGAGCTATACTAATGTGTATCAGTCAACTATTCTGGGGTAACTTGGTCGCGTCTTGTGGACTAGGACCTCGGCCCATTCCCTATCGGTCTCTGACTTCACAGAATTTGGCGGAAGCTATTCAATTCTGTTTGCAACCTGACGCGCAGTCTGCAGCTCATGATGTCGCAAGCCGAATGAGCCACGAGAATGGCGTTGCCGCCGCAGTTGCCTCGTTCCATCATAATTTACCGGTGAATGATATGCAATGCAATGCTCTTCCTTCAGAACCAGCGGTGTGGCAGTTCAGGAAATCTTCCAAGCGCTCAATCCATCTATCGAAAATTGCCGCCGAGGTTCTAATCGAACATCATCGTTTAAAATACGATGATCTTCAACCGTGAGTATACTTTTCAAGGTACCTTCCTAGTTTGAAACATTAATAACAAGAAGCAGTTACCTTGTTCAACCAATTTTCATTCAAAATCGGCGATGGGATCCAGTCACAGGCACAGCTTCCTCGTTGATAGGTACTGGCACTGACATGCTGAAAGCGACAGGTGATATTGTTTACAAACCATACCAGCAATTTCGTCGTGTCCCCAAAAGCCAACCAGAGCTTGCTGTTCCATCTCCGTCTGGCTCTCGATCCCCTAGCATTGCTTCTTCAACAGACGCATCTTCTCTGCCCGTTTCCAGTGTGAAAAAGTCTTCGAAACTTAAGTCTACAGGCGTCGCAATAGAGGGCTCCGCAAAAAGTTTAGGAAAGGTTGTTGGCTACTGGTACAAAGGCATGCTCATAGACATGCCTCTGGCAGTGAGTGATGGTCTCAGAGCTGTACCCCGGCTATACGGCGATGAAGTCAGAGATCACGGAACCGTTCGGGATTGGAAATCTGGAGCTACTTTTGCAGGGAAGAACTTTGTTCATGGGATGGCAGACGGCTTCAGCGACATCTTCACTCAGCCTTACAAAGGTGGTCAGGAAGAAGGGGCAAAGGGTGTGGTGAAGGGACTAGCCAAGGGGACTCTTGGCGTGACGACCAAAGTTTCATCTGGTACGTGTATTGAAGTCGCCGATTCCAGATAGGAAATACTAACCAACAGATCGCAGCCGCGCTAGGTTTGGTGGCTTATCCTGCCCATGGAATGATGAAAAGCCTGTATACTGCAACGCACTCCAAAACACGGAAGCGCATTCTCCAGGCGCGAATTCAAGAAGGAAGGTACCTAGCAGAACACTCAAGCAAAGGTCGGAAAAACTACCAAACGATCATTCGAAACTTCGAGGCCGCCTACCGCAAGACTGTCGATAAGACTGTCGATTCTACCAGCTCATCATTTAACTGATCGATGCTGATCAAACATGCGTCGACCTCAAGGACCCGGGCGCCCCTTAGTCCCAATCTTGATACTTGATTTTCTCGAGCACTTAGGGAGAAGCAAAGAGATTTCTATCTTTCTACCTTTTACTGTAATAATATAGGCGATTTGATCTCAGAAATGGAGCCAACCTTGAGTCATAATAGGTTCCGGCTCGCCCAAATTCAAATGTTAATTTCAAGATTCTGAAATTGAATACTCCATATCTACTTCTGGACTTCCTGGCGTATTCAATTTTGTGATACAATCCGAAAATCACCCTGTTCCGTGGCCTTCATCCGAGATGCCGTACAAGAGCAGGCGCTTACCTTTATGCTTTCTGCGGGACATGTAATATGCCCCCGTAGAAATACCGCTAAATATTACCATGAGGTAATGACTACCTATAGGCTAGCTGAACCTCGCGACCCTTGTCTCCGAGCTAAAAGACCGGATTTAGATCCTTGGGTGGGGCTGTGGTACAGAATAATTTTAGCTGGAAGAAGAGAGACCGAGATAAGTCTGGGCTTTCGTCCTTGGTCGGCCTGGTGTGTATGAGTTCGAGGGGGTAAGATCATGCATAAACCCAAATACCATGGAAGTTATCTGATGACTATTTGATAACGGTCTTTTTTGGGGGGTCATCTGTATACAAAAATGCGCACCAAATACGTCTGACAAAACTTGAATGATATATCTTTGCACTGCTGTAAATATGCAAACAAAACTTATAAAATGCAGTTCGCTTAGGAAATGATTTAAAAATTTGGGAACACAGTATCTATATCCTAATTGTGGACAGGTCCTACACAATAATTCAGATGAATACTTACGGCAAATCATCCTGATAAATTATGTAACTTTCGGGTCATTAGAGGCCGACAGATGAAGGTAGTTCCTGATGAGGTTCAATGTATACGTGGATATGACTATAAGCTAAAGATTTGATTTGCTCCTTTTTCGCCTCAAATGCGGGGGCAATGACATATTCTCGTAAAATAGCCCCAGAAAACCCGAAAATCTAATTGAGCTATGTATCGCAAGGTATAAATAACCACGAGAATCCTGCTGGGAAGCCAAATCTTGTTCATTCTTAAATCTGGCCCACAACTAGGTTCATTATTATCTATTTGACTTTCTACTTCTATGAACGAAAATGCTGGCATTTTTCATATACTTGCATATATGTCAAGGAATCGCTTGGGCGGATGAGGCATCATCTCAACAGAGGTATCTATCTCAAATTGCTATATTATTTGGTTCGATAACCTAATGACAGATACTCTTTCAGGTCCTCTTCTGATGCCGGGTTCCTGCCAGCTACTCTCCATGTTGGAAGCGTACCGAAGATGCCAACCCGCGAATTCCAAGAGTTCACTCTCGACGCCAATCATCCTATGGCAACCTTGGACTATAAAACTCACGCAGCGGGCATACCGTTATTTGAGATTGCTTCTCTATCTGGCCCTTGTCAGATTGAGATGAAGTACAGCGAGCAGTTCTCAGGTCTCTACGAATCATTTAGTGATGGACCAAGCACTTTTGTGTCAAGCCTCGCGAATTCTTATCGCATCGAGACTTTCAATGTATCCAGTCCTGGACATAGACGGTCAACATTGATTCAAGGAGGACAACGCTGGCAGACGGTGCACCTGATAACGAATGGGACTGTGACAATCCGATCTGTATCTTTTGAGCCAACCGTCGCTCATAAGAACATTTCACGGCTTCCGGGAACATTCAAGTCTTCAAACGCTCTATATGATAATATATGGAATCTGGGTGCTCGCGCCGTGTCCCTTGCATGTTTTGATGCAGAGACACAGAAGTCGATATGGGATGTTTCCGGTAACGGTGCACTGGTCACAAGCAGCGTACCAAGCTATACAGCAGAGGCCTACAACTTCACCGAATATACTCTTGAATTCGATGCGAAAGTCTTAAGAGGTGGCATTCAGTGGTCCGTGGGGTATAATTTCGGCATCCGCTCACGGGGGGCAATCCAATTGAACCTGGCAGGTAATTATCCTGTTGAGACCACTTTTGCAAACACCAACAAAACACTATTTCCACCATCAACGATTGTCATGGGCTATGGCGTGGCATTTGTGAATCAAACGACCCTGACATCTTATGTTCTCGATACATTCCCCGTTACATTTGACGTCCAAGAAGGAGTCTGGTATCGCATCTCAAGCACTGTCCAAGCTGGACGATTGGCTGTGTCAATTCACAATCATACCATTTTTAATGTCTCTTTGAGCAACTACTACGTTGGTAGTGGCCGTTCAATCTCAACTGATGGGTCATTTGGATTTGGCGCTTGGCAGGACCAGTCCGGTCTAATCCGCAATGTCGTTGCCCTTGATACAACGGGAAGACCGATCTACAAAAATCCCCTCACAAATGCTTCACGGGTCCTATCCGAGTATGGTGTGGGTAATAACTTTTATTCCACCTGTGTTGATGGTGCCCGAAGAGACCGACTGGTATGGCTGGGAGATTTTCTCCACACAGTGCGGATTGTCGGGGTCACAACTGGCCGAACAGATCACATACGAGGAACTTTTTCTCAACTCTTCGTTTATCAGCTCGCAACTGGCCAGCTTCCGATGGCACCGTCTCTTGGGTACTCACCACTCATTGTTCCAAAAACCTTCGCAGTTGGCGGTAACCTTGGTTCTGGCATCTATCTTTTGCCAGACTACCATATCTTGGCCCTCATATCTTTCGTATCTTACATGGAATCCTGGAATGATATTCAGTTCGCAAAGGAGAATTGGGTTTCTTTACAGAATGCTGTGAAATGGTTATCTGCCCAACTCAACAATCAGACTGGCTTGATCGATTTTTCGAGCTATGTGAACGCTTTTCTGGGCCCAACTGATGGAATTGCTGTCAACGCAGCTGCAGTTGAAGCTTTCAGCGGTATGTCCTCTGTAGCAGCTGCTGTGGGGGATAATTCTTCTGCTGCTAGATGGACAGCTATGTCGGCATCATTGAAGACTGCAATCAATGCGAACCTGTGGAATAAAGAATTAGGAGTCTACTCATTAGCTCCTTCTAACCCGAATGATTTCTCCGTTTCTGGAATAGCATTTGCAATTTCTTCCGGTGTTGCCAACAAGTCTCAGGCTCTTTCTTCTCTTGAACATATCTCTACTTTGAGACTTGGACCAGGCTATCGAGACGCTAGTACGGTCAAACCAAACGACACAAGTGCAAATTTGTCTCCTAACACTAATGGATTTCTGCTTCCGGCATTGATTCGGCTGGGGAAATCCGAAGAAGCACGCTTCCTTCTAGAGAATCTTTGGGGTGCCATGGTATCCAATAATGCCACTTACTCAGGTGCAAGCTGGGAGTATGTGAACCAGGAAAGCAATCCAGGTTTAGGCCAGTATACTTCACTCAGTCACCCATGGGGTGGTGCTGCTACATACGCTTTGACCCAAAATGTGATGGGAATAAGGCCAACCGAATTTGGCTACAAATCATGGATCGTTGAACCGGCATATGTGGGATTTGGGTTGGATGAGGTCGAATCAACTGTTCCTACCCCGTATGGCGATATCAAAGTAGGTTTGCTTGCAATTTCCAACCAAATCAGGGTTAGAGTCCAATCTCCAGCAGGAACACAAGGTAGGATATTACTGCGAAAATTTTGGGTCTGTCCAGAACTGAGTTCTCGCCCCGGATGTTCTGATTTTCATGACTTTGTACGCGATGTAAAGGGGGGATCTTCTGTTCATTTCACCATCACTCTGCCTTGGTAGAGACAAATGTATTTGGTCCATTAAGTGAATGAAAGTTGAAAGCAAATGGTGGGCCAATTCTGCTTTCACTGAGACCCTCTTTAATTTGGTATCAGTCCTCGAACTTCCGTATGACAGTTGATATAGGAAGACAACGCCCAGTCATGTTAAATTCGCAGGAACTTGTAGCGAGCTCGAAACCTTTTTAACTTAATTCTACTGCCTAATATATCAATCAGTCAATCACCCAATCAGTCAATCAAAGTTCTATTGGCCTGTTGGAGTGTGATTCGTATCTTGATGGCTTTTTGGCGGCGCGTCTTTCCAACTGAGGCAAGAAATTGCTGTACGAACGCCTGATAATGCTCCAGTACAGACACCTATGGCAACTGTCAATGAGAGGGAAACACAGCCCGTCACAAGTAAGCCAACAGCCTATGATAATGATACAGCTATGTAAATAATCCCCACTTATCCTGACCCCTCGCAATTGAATGCGACATGCAGGATGCAGCAAGTATAGACCTCCATATACGTACAAGTCGAGTATACCACTTCCGGAAAACGAACTTGGAGTCTCGCCAAGGCCAGTTGTGACCAGATTGCCGCTCCAATTCTTAGGCTGCCCTCATGGCGCGCGACTGCGAAACCGCTGTGACGCCTCGGCGGAGTCCAGCACAGTCTGGAACATCATGGCTCGCGAGACGGTGTGTGGTCATTAGACATAAATTAGCTTCGACAGGCCTACTTGCATAAGCCGCTTACTGAGGCTTCTGGTCTTTTGAGGCTCACCACGCCTCTCACCCCGGATTTCTCTTATTTTGCTCTTTAAGCACACATCACGGGCAATTCAACTAGAACGACACCGCTTCAATCGATCAATACCAGCCTCAGGATTCTAGTGCGAGTGAGGTAGTTGAGTCTCGGCTCATTGTGCACCAACAAGCGTATCCATCCTCTCGGGCCATACAGAGAATCTTTTGATAAGCCCCAGCCTGTCACAGTGGCTGCTATTGCTTACCACGCTCCCCAAGAGCTCCCACTCTTGTTTCGCGTTATCTGAGGAGTTCTCCATCTACCATGCCAGCCGTGTCTTGTATAACGCCCTTATTTACCCATATCCGGCAGTGTTATTTGTCTCTCCCTAGGAATCAAGCTTGGTCCTTCATGTGTGAACAGGATTGACGAGTTGCCCAAGGCAAGGCCTTGACTAGGTCCGCCGGTGGCCCTTATTTAACTACTAAGCCCCTCTATATCACTCACGAGCAGGCTCGTGTCTTGAAGCATAGCCACAACCCGCATTGCTTGTGGCCGAGCCTTAACGAGTTTGAGCTTTAAAGAGGCCTCTGGACCTTGAACGATCTCTGTCCAATTTAGCTTGACTGCCTATATAACTGTTTTACTACCGCCTCACCGAATCTCGCGCCATTGCGGTTCTGAAAGTTGCTCTTCTAGCCATGTCTTTGAGGAAATGTTATGTTGAAGGGTTTGTTAGACAGTCCTCACTGCAGTAGTTTATCCTGTCTCTGAGGCCTCGAGGTGAATAAATGATCCCCAAAGACGTGACAATCAACATATATCAAGCTTGTGTATTTACAGAAAAAGAGAAGACAAAATAAAAAAAGTACCATACAAGTCCTGAGGGTAGGCGTTTTTCACATAGGCATTATAACCAAGTTAGTATTGCGCAAGTATCGATACTATATCAATTTAGGAGCTAGTGAGTGTGTGCTCTCTAGCTTGCGCTGAGGTAGTTACTCGTCGATGATGATTGAACTATTTTTCACCTGACTTTGGTTTGCTGCTATGACCTCCTATGTATGTACCTACACATAATTCAAGTTGAATGCACATCAAAAAATATTATCTTTCCGTATCTCATTACTTTTTGAGTCCAATGACCGCCAAATTACGCGGACTCTCACTGTAGTCAAACACCGGTTGGACCCAGCAGTCTTTGACCAAGTCCTGTTCGCGAAGGAATTGCCACCGATCTACAACAATGATAGCCTCGACAAGCTGAGCACTGAATCCCATCAAGCTCCACACAACACTCATATGTTTCCTCGCGTGGGAGTACTGAGTCTCGTAGCATTGAATCTCCTCATCAGTCATGGCAGCAATATGCTCCTGCACCTTGGAACCATATATCTGGTCTCGACTCATCCTGATCGTCGCAGCACGAACATATGTAGTAAAAGACTTAAAAGCAGCTTTAGGCAATTTTCCCATGGCAATAGAGCTATTTCTAGCTTCTAGGTAAGCTCCATCAGAGGAAGCGTCTTCTGACACACAGGGCTTAGCAAGAATATTTCGATCAACGAGAATACGCTGGAGAAGAGCACGGAAGAAGTGGCGGGTAAAGGATGATTCACTGTCATTGACGCCCCAATTGTATGGAGCTTGCACTGCCAGCGCACGGGCTGTGATGTTAAGCTTCATGCCTGTTGTTGCTCCGGGACTTCGGTAATTCTCGTAGTATTTCGACATGGGGAACCCATGCGGATCATATGATGTGCCAGTCTCTTTGAGTCGAGGATGGAAGGATTGAAGGATAGGAAGGCCATGTGTAGCTGGACCGAGGCGTTCCGTCAAAAGATTGTAGCAACAGCCTATCATAGCGACAGCCACAATCGAAGGGTTTAGAATCAGGGATCGTAGACCATGGTGGGTAAGGTTTCCGCAAGAGTGAAGGGAAACGACCATCAATCTAGCATCGCTCTCTTCTTTGTCTTTCCTACCAGAAGCTCCAGCAGGAGACGGATGGATAACGTGGTCAATAATGGGCTCTAAGTAGCCATCTTGGATTTCATGTTCAACATAGCTGAGAGTACCGCGGGTATGGATTTCTGACTTGGGTATCTTTTCTTGTAGTGGGCATTTGGTGGTGGATGCGAGTATCTCGTCAGGTTGAACACTCATATCGCCCAGCATCTCGACAAAGGGGGCATCTGAAACCTGCGAGCCCTCTATCGTTGGTTGAGAGGCACCCGTCGTTTCAGAGACAGTCACTTCCGGAGTTCCAGTGCAGCCATCGCATGAACTTTTTCCCTTGCGGGAATATTGAGCTTTGGGGTCTTTTGCCAACTTGGCTCGAACATCCATGCTCTTGGCACCACTGATGAACTGATGTCTACGCTCAATTGCGATGACATGCTTGTAGTAAGGCGAGCTGGCCAGCGTTCGTCCAAGATAGTTCTGCCCAGACCCGAAATCCACAATATGAGTGACGGGCTCACCTCGGCGCTTACTGACAGTGGCTGATAGAGATGCGACATGTTGAGAAATGCATTCAACCTCGTGTACTTTTTTTCGGTTCATATGCATAGCAACTTGCTTTGGTAATTGGATGCTCTCTGAAGATGAGGAGCACATTTCTCGTTGGAGTGTCAGTCGACGGATGTTGAAAATGTAGTCCAAGAGGCTCTGGGGGGAAATGCTCCTCCATTCCAAGTACGGCTGCTTTGATCTACGGAAGGCTTGCCGGCGCCTCGTAAGTGTTCGATGTCCTCTCGTAGGAGTAGACGGATAATATCTTGAGTTCCATGCTGTTCGAAGAAAAAAATCCAATCTTTTGGCAGAATTGTTGTATAGAGGTCGGGCTCCCTGGTGAGAAAGTCGACCATATGCACGCTACCGCACAGATTCATAAAGAGCACCGACGTGGTAGAGAAGCCGAGAAGGGCCTCTATGTAGGCATCTGGGTGCTCCCACGCCCTGGAGATTGGCAGGGGCCGGTTTGAAGTCATGGGAAATAGAGATAGTCAATTTTCTCACCAATATTTCTATGAGGATTCTTCATCGCGGGAAGTTATTTATGGAGCTGTTGAGTCCTGCTGAGTCATCCATCCTCGCCTTCATTACTGTCTCAGTGTGTTATCTTGATTGGTCTCAACTATAAAGATAGGGAAAGAGAAGACATTATTGTCTGCCATCGGAACCCTGCGACATCTATGAGATTTGACATGCAGGGTTTGAAGATTCAACTTGTTGTCCTGGTTCATATTACACTAAGTGTATATACATTTTATCCAATCATCCGATATGGTGTAGTGGCTAACATCGTCGTCTCTCACACGACAGCCGGGGGTTCGATTCCCCCTATCGGAGTTTATTTTTTATTTTTTGAACTTTGAATCTTCATTCAAGTAAATTTTAGGTGAATTGTCAAGTTCTTTTTTTATCGTAGACTTTTGTTCAGACAGTGAGGATTTAATACCAAATGCAAAATGACCCCTGTCGCACTGGGTGGCTTAGCGCCAACACTGTATAGGGCTAGTAAGCCCCCTATGAGTCACAAAGGGGCTGAACAAGGCTGAATAACACGGATTTGAGTCATATTAGGTTATTGTTGGGTTTCTGCTATGACTGAACATGAATCATTCCAATTCGATTGTTTAGCTTCAGATTGCTTGCCATGTAGAAAATAATACAAAAGGATGCAGATGGATGGAAATATATATCTGCATTGGCAAAGCAAATTACCACCATATCCAACCCCTTTTACAAGTCAGCAATGGCGTTACCCCTGCAGGAAACAGATGTGACCTGCGAAAACGTAGAGAACCAAGTCTCCGTTTCGCCGAAGTCCCTAGAGATTAAAAATCGGAGCCCATCACCTGAATATGACCCCAAGGCTGGCGAAAACAGACTTCGCCCGGCAGGAGGTAAGTAACATACCACCTTGAATATGTATCAAGCCTGACAAGATCAGACATTATCAACCGTATAACCTGGGACTCGGACTTTGAGCGCAACAACTATATCATCGGGTTCGTGGATCGATTTGAAGGTCAACTGGAGGTCGGCATGGATAGTTGGAAGAAAGAAACCACTCATGAGGAATTCATCCCGCAACATCGAGTGCTTTATATTCGACACATAAATGGCGAAATCGTGTGGGACCGGAGGAGACGGATTGACAAGATCTTCAGCAGCGGAAACTCGGCGTTCAGCGAACTTGCCTTTCTTGCGTGATACCTTCCCTGTTTACAAAATTTGCTTGTTTACTTCTTCCTTTCTCATCTCACCATTCCCAATCACTTCAATACAAAATGGATTCCTCTAAACCCCCTTTGCCTCGTCTGAGTACCAACATTCCTCTGGAACAAGTTCCCAACCCTCTGGCATCCAAGACCCTCCCAAATGCTAACATACCCTCGGTTATCATGCCCGAGAGGCCGGTTCGCCCATCATTGTTCGCAGAAGACAACCAAGAAGAGAATGTGGCACCTACTGCGTATGTTGCACAGCCAAAGCCCGTCTATCTTGCCCTGAAAAGTGTGCCCGATTCGCCTGTTGCAAAGCCCATCACGACAAAGTACTACGACGACGCATTCACAGCCCGTGGCCCAAGCCATTCCCCAAAAGATCGTGTTTCTCAGAATTCAGTTGTCGTCGTGGAACTCAAAACCAATATCACGGTGTGTGTCGTGTCGTAGTCAATGGGTTTCCGCTAATCAACTCTCAGGCAAAGGAGAAGACACCCAAACTTCTGTCGGATCTAGCCCTCTTTTTTGCCCAGACGTATCAGTGTCCCGAAAACTCGGTTTTGGTCGCTTTCAGCGAGGATGCTCTTTTGACGTTTGGCAATACTCCAGACTCGGCCTACCTGATCAAAATCTCCGCTCTTCCTAGTCTGATTGCACCGCTCACCAATCAACGTAACACAAGCCTCATCCAAACAGCACTACTGAATCATCTTGGAATTGCACCAGACCGAGGTGTCGTCATTTTTGTCGCGGTGGGCGAAGACAATCTTGCAACAAACGGGGCTACTGCCAGGGGAGAGATTAGTCGCCTTGAACGAATTGATCACGGCAACAGCCCCAGTCTATTCAAGAGCATCTCACGATCGATGAGTCGCCATCTGAAGTCGAGCAGTGGCAACAGTGCTCCGATGTCCCTCGCTGCTCTCAGCACTATGGTTAGCCCCGATGGTGCTGGATCTCCAACCACCTTTCAGGATTCTTCTGATCTGCCTGACGCCATTCGACTCCGATCTTCTCAGTCGGATACTGCAAAAAGGAAAGCTACCTCGAATGCTGAGTCGCCAACAATGAAGTCTCTCAACTTCGCATCTTCCAACGAGGAAGCTCTCAACCAGGTGTCTTCCAAGGACGACAAAAAAGAGCAGAACTTGAAGAAGAGAGAAAGCCTGAAAAGCTTTGTCAACCGCCGTTTGTTCGAATTGACTGGTCCAAGAGGAGCTTCTACACCCACACCCAAGCGAAAGAAAAACTGATTTCGAGTCGAAGAATATTGTTAATTAAAATTACTCCTGTATGTTAGTTGTAGCATGAATGCGTTGCATTTCATATCTCTGAAGCCTGCTCATGCACTGAACCATGATGTCTATTCCCACAAATTGAAGTTTTTTAAGAGCCTCAAGGCCACTTTTGACAACATGAAACCTCATATACCTTGCTTTGTACAATATTTTCGTAGAGATATGCGGGGAAACCTAAAAATGAGTTTGCTAGATAGTCTGATCCGACTCTCAAGCTCAAACATGTGCTTTTCGATTTCGACAGAAACTCGTTTCGCGATCCATATAACTATCCTGTATCTCTGGGGTATATCCCACGTTAATAGAGAGGATATATTTGAGGAGCATCGACCACAGGACGCACTTTCAAAATCTTGATTCTTCGTCAGCATTTGTTTATTCACACTTTTACCACCCTTCTCTCCTCTTCCTCCCAACACCACTCCCCATTTTCACGCGCGGCTTCGATCGCCGCCTCGTTTCCTTCAAGCCAATACCCATATTCACCATTTTCCATAATGTCTGGACACAGCGAAGTTCCTCCTCCCAGCGATGTTATTGCCAGTACCACCGCCCAAAGCCAAGACAATTTGAGCTCTACGGTCCCATACGCAGCCAGCGTTGTGACCGAGATCTCCCGTGATATATTTACCGCGCCAGATGGCTCCGCTCTTATCCGTATGTATATCTAGTCTAGCAAAATGAATAATACGAGCTGACATGGTGTATCAGATGCCTGCAACTGCAAGGGAGTGTGGGGTGCCGGTATCGCCAGTGAGTTCCGAGATCAAGTATGTCACATGCTACAGTTCAGCATCAAGAATTATACTTATATAATATTGCTCTTAGTACCCCGCCGCTTACGAGATCTACCGCAGCCATTGCCAGCAACACGCCGAGAACAGACAGACCTACCTCATTATGGATATCGACTCTCACAGTGAGAATAACACTGTGGAGGTCCGTCGCCCTCTTGGTACCGCCCTCATTATCTTACCCCAACAAAGCGATATGACCATCCATGGCCGTCGGCACTGGATCGTTTGTCTGTTCACTTCTCATGGCTACGGCCGCCACGCCATGTCGCGGGAGATGATTTTGAACGCGACGTGGTCAGCCCTGCATGATATGCAGAGGAAAGTGTACCAGATTAACCAACATGATGGCCCTGGGGGGCAGATTCAGGGTCTACATGCCTGCCGTTTCAACTCCGGCTTGTTTGGCGTGCCGTGGGCTAGAACCCGCCGCTTGATTGACCAGATGAGCATTCGAATGGTGGTGCATGCACCGGGAAGAATGGCCTATGCTTCTCGCAGAGGTGTATGTGGGAGTATGCGTGGAGGTGTGCGCCGTGGTCGCCGTGGCCGCCGTGGCCAGAGTACTGGGCATAACTAAGCATGTTTTCAAGCAATTTGTAAAGGAGGGGGGTGGATGGAGGCTAATCTAGTCTCCCACTAGCAAATATGACACGAGTTTGATCACAAAAGTGAAGCCACGGGCATAGAAAATCCGAGTAAGGATCTCCTTGGTTCGGTCTTAGATGTAATTAACAAAGAGAACAGAGAGGCTTCGTGAACTAGGCGTGATGTAGAATATTTGCACCGATGCTACAAAAATAGAAGCACATTTTATTGTATCAATGACCGGGATTATAAGTCAAAAATCACCATATCCGATGTTACATAGTATCTACTAACGAGGTGTATGTTCGAAATAAACTAGGGCCAGCGCGTCACCTGACAACGCGTAGATCCGGCGTGTTGATTCGCGATAACCAAATCCCCGAATCCCAAATTCACCACCACTTCCTCCAATCCGCAATTCCACGCCTGAATCCGGGACACAAAATGGCCGCTGAATCTCAGCCAGCACAAAAGCGCCCACGCCTCCCTTTCAAACCTCCCAGTCGCACAGCTGCCACTGCGGGGCCATCATCCGCGCCTAAGACCAAAGGCAAAGCCAAACAAACTAGCACGAAAGCACCCACATCCACCTCAAAAGCATACAAAGGCAAATCTACAGCTGCTGAAAAACGTCCCCGTGCCGAATCTCCCCAATCCGATGCAGCCTCACAATCCGGTTCAGAGTCTGGATCTGATGAATCGAGCAAAAGTCGCTCGCGCTCCGTCTCTCAGGAACCGGATTACATTCTCGCTGAAATTACACATTCAAATCCGGTGGAAGATGTAACTTCTAGTGAACCGACGATACCTTCTAAATTGCTCACACGGCTGTTACATCAACATTTCCAAAACGAGAAAACGAAGGTTGCCAAAGATGCCAATGGCGTCGTGGCGAAATACGTTGATGTCTTTGTGCGGGAGGCTATCGCTCGAGCTGCATATGAGAGGGCAGAGACGGATGGAAATTCTGGCGGCAGACGTGTTGGGGACGGTTTCCTTGAGGTATGTCCATCTATCCTCGCAGCACTCTTGCCGTTCTGGTATACTAACCGACAACATAGGTCGAAGACCTGGAGAAGATGGCACCACAACTTACGATGGATTTCTAGCGTTCGAAATCAGACTCATGTATTAAGATTTATTGTTTTGTTCAAGATACCATAGCAGCGGAAAACAAGCAGCAATATTTGTTTCAAAGACAGGTCGCTTTTACCAGTGCAATATCCCTCGGGTTGACATACTCCGGTGGTTTTCCAAACCTATGATCCTCGACAAAAGGTGGCACGGCATCAAAGCCATGGGCATTGTGGAAGAGTGCAATATCTCGATTCACCCTCTTGGCTAGCCAAGCGTTAGCTGGATATGCTGTGTTCTTCTTGCTGAGGTGGACGACCACGACAGGGAGTTTGTTTTGTTCAGGGAGGTGGCCTAGCCTGGCGTCGTAGGTTGTATGGCAGATGTCGAAGACGAAAAACACCCGTGTGCGCCACTTCTGCATTGCTACCAGTCTTGTTGCTGGGCGTGTTTCTTGGGGAGTGTAGAGATGGCTTGTTTTGAGGAGGCGGAAGGCTTTTGGGAAGAGGGCTTCTGGGTTGGTTTGGGCTTTGGGTAGTCGGGAACTCCGATGGGAAACAATGACCAGCACACGAAGGGGATTAACTCTTGACATTGTGACTTTAAATGTGAGATGTGAGACAAGCCCCTTGAAGATATATATCTGGTCCAGGGGATCTCATACCGAGCAATAAGAATATTGAGCCGGGGGCAGTGACCTCGTTTCCATGTTCTGTTTGAAAGACGCTTACAGCTGTGGACTTCTACAGTTTGCCGGCAGAGGCTTTATATGGCTTTCTTTTACAGCCTCTATACATTTCAAAGACACATGGATTGAAAAACCACATTGGGTGAGGTTCGGGGTCTACCTGGACCGGAGGGGAACCTTCCAATGGGCCAACAGTCTACTGGTCAAAACTAAAACAATTGGTCAAAACCAAAACAATCCTCGGTGGTCATCTGCCACAGCGTGACAGTTCATATCTGAGGCTGGCGTGTACATGTAGAGTGGACTTCAGCTGCCGACGTAGGTACCTGGTGATTAGGTCAAGTCGGGATGGCACTCGTGTTCTAGTCTGACATGGAATTCCGTGCAACCTGGTACATCGGAGTATCAAATCCAATTACGTGAAGTCAGCATGTATAACTTATACAAAACAGGGCAAGGAATGTGGGAGTGGGACAGAAGGCGGTAACATCGGATTTTCCCCCGTGTTTTGCTTCCTCTCCAGCGCGCGCGTCACCCCAACTCGAACCAACATTCTCGCGATGAACGATGCGACGACCTCATTGCTCACTGAGCATTTCAGCTACACCCCCCTGGTAAGATGTATCGCGATCTCCCCGACGCGCATTGACTCGCGCTGCACGCGCGACCTGCGACCGGGACCCACCTCGTGGACATATCGCTAACAACAGGTCACTAGTCTCTCATAGATGACATTATCAACTCGATCAACAATTTAATATACCAGGCGATCTCGAGCTTGGAATCTGGATTGCTTGCTACGCCTCCTGAGCGACTTGGTTTTGCGCATGGCAACGACGGCTCTACTATTCCCGAGACCGACGAGGATGGGAACGTTATTTACCCGGAGGCCAAGCTAGAGATTGAGAATGGATTGCATCAGTTGGAAACACTGCTTGAGGCCAATGTGGATAAAGCCTTTGACAAGTTTGAGATCTACGTATTGCGGAACATCCTCACGGTGCCGGAGGACTTGCTCTCTTGGGTGAGATTGAAGCATTACGAGGTATGTGAAGTTGTCTGGGCGAGATGAATGCGTATTAAACCCGCGGGAAAAAGCGGTATACTAATGCGCTTTGTTATAGGGTCTCTCTTTCAGCGCCTCGCCAGATACACCTACGCCCGAATCCATCCACATCCAGCGCAAGAAATTACTCGAGACTAAGAAACTGAACCGCTCTCTTAAAGATGAATGCGGTCGAAACGAGGCGGTCATCTCACAACTACGGTCTATTCTGTCGAAGGTGGAAACAGCAAAGGCAAATGGCTCTGGCGCGTCTGAGAATAGTCTGGATTTGTCTTTCTTGACCTCCAGCCCAGCCGCACGCCAGCTTCGTGTCGGCGTCGATCCCGGACCCAACGCCAAATCAACGCCCCTTACAACAAACACAACTTTTATTCTCTCTCAGCTTCCTGCATTGCAGGCCACACTTGTGCAGCTTCGGCCAAAGTTGGCAACCTTGCCAGGCGCTACGGTGGCAATGGAGACTAAGTCTAAGAGAGTCGAAAGGAAAGAATACATCGAAAGCCGGATTCGACTCCACCTCGAGCGCGCCGGTCAGCTTGCCATGGGTGACGACGGTAATCCTGTTGTCGCAGGTCGCAGAATTGACATCCGCGAAGCCCATGCCCTTGAAAGTGTGGCTAACATGCTTACGCAAGACAAGTCTGTGTAAGATGATGTGTATGTGAGATGTATCTTGGTTTATAACTTCATTATTTGGATATTTCATGGTCGCTCAAGACCAAGAGACGCTCCAGGTCTCCTGGGTCTTCCGGAAGGGCACAACGTCGATCTTGTCTGACTCGAGGATTGCTGAGATCTTCTCGCCCTTCTTCTCGATGGTGATGAATTCTTTCTTTTCCTCTGGCAGGCCATAGAAGGCACGTCCGAACTTGCTCATGAAGCCCTCAACAATCTCTGGTGTGATATCCTCCTCCTTGAGGACCCCGTTGTCGCAGGCCTGCTCGAAGGCATCGACCACAACCTGAGTGGTGTATGGCTGAGTGAAAACACCGGCAGCAATCTTCTCGCCTCCACGCTTGGAGGCAGCAGGGTGCGGGGCGCTGTCAGAGCCGAAGAAGAACTTGGGGTTACCCGAGGCAGCAGCACGGAGAAGGGCGTCACGGTCCGCGGGGGTCTTGGCGACAGGCTTGCAGAAACAGAACGGATCGCCAGCCCACGAATCAATGATGATGGAGAGGTGGTGGGCTGTGATGGTACCGGAAACAGTGGGTCCACACTTCTTGACAGCCTCTACTGCCGCAGCAGTGGTGCAGTGCTCCAGAATGATGCGCAGCTTGGGGAACTTCTCGTGGAGCTCGAAGAGCTTAGGGAGGAAACGCTCCTCGGCTGTCAACACGGTCACATCCTCGCCGGAGGGGGCTTCGCCATGCAAGTTCAAAATCATCTCTTGCTTTTCCATCTCTGCAAACACGGGATAGAACTGGGTATAGTCGACGACACCGGAAGAGGAGTTGGTGGTCACGCCGGCCGGGTAACTCTTGACACCGGTGATGCCACGCTTCTTAGCTTCGACAATGGTTTCCGGGGTCACGGTCTCGTGGAGGTACAGCGACATGAGGAAGTTGACATTAGGCTCGAGGGCCTGCAGGGTCTTCTGGTAGTCCAAGGCACGGTCGACGGTGGTAATGGGTGGTACCAGGTTAGGCTATCACTTGTATTAGATAGAGCTCGAGATGAATGAACCTGTTTGAATAGCAAATGCCCTTACCATGACAAAAACGGTGTTCACACCTCCCTGACGAATGGTGGGAGTCACCAGCTCCATCATAGGGCCATCACGAAGGTGGACTATCCTTGGTCAGCTCCATGCATCTCGATATCAATCATGCAGTCCTCTCCCCGGAATGGTCAGTACCGTGGAAGTCAGCCGAAGCGGGGAGCTTGACTCCCTGCAACTTGGAAAGAGGCATTGTGAGTTGTAATTTGTTATTTCGAGAGACCCTTGCCAATTGCAAAATCCATCAAGTTCACTTCGAACGCACAAGTTGATCTTTGCCCCGCCAATTTTTCTAGATTCTGCCGCGGGCGGTGACCCCGGTTCCGTTCCGTCCGATAATCCCCGCCATCTTTCCTTCGTAGACATCACATATCTTCAAGCTCAGTGTATCAAGTATACATGGGAGTTTGGGAGATATGAAGCCAGGCTGGTCTAAAAAGAGATACCGGAATCATTCTGCGACGAGCCCTCTCGATACACCTAATCGGGAGTACCGAAAAAACAGCCCGAATATACTCCGGGGTAGTACTCGGGGAGCACTCTACAGTAAATAGATACATATCATCCAGGTCCAGATTCCTTTTTCATCGGTTGCAGGAACGCCTCTAGTAAGCAGGCTCATCACGACTGTGCCTGGACTATCAAATTTACCGCCGGTGGCTCGCTGCCACAATCCCGGGCGCTTCGGCGCGTCCTATCACACAGCATGATCGCCAGACCCTCAGAAACCCAAATCTGACAGAGACCAATGAAACTAGCCCATCGACCATTATCCAGTGACATGACCCCGCTCGGATGTCTATATTTGACTCTGAAAGGCGGCTCGTCGGTGCTTGTCCACCCATAGTCTCTGCCAAGTCTGCAAGCTGGCGCCCGCCGAGACTTTCATACTACGGGGTTGTACAAGCCAGCAAGCCCATAGTTTACAATTCTGCACTGACAGTCCTGAGAATTTAATTCTGCACCCCAGGCGAATCAGCACAGACGAGGGCCCGTCGAGGCGCCCTGCATGGCTTTATGTGGAAACCGAAGTGGAATATCGTCTTCAGGAACGACGGTCATTCGATGGCCCCGTTTGTGATAGTAGCGCTCGCTAAAACAGTCCCTGGACTAGTCCAGCATCATCTGCCTATGAATATAGATATACCACCTTGTCTCCGTTGCTTACTTTCTGAGACGAAGTTGACGCATTTTCCTGTCTTACTCTTTCTTTCTTTTGATCGCCCCTGAGGGGTTTCGATTTCCATACCGATATTCTAGACCTTGCCGGCGAGGTATACAAGTTACATACGCTCACTCTCCCCTCTTGTCTCACGCGTTCCGACATTCTTTCTCCCATCATGAACTCTACCTCGTCTCTCGCCGGATCAGGCCGTGCCTATTCGTCAGACATGGAGGAATCAACATTCCTGAAACGCAATCGGGTCATCCATTTTGTTCGTCTTGGTCTATCATTCTTGACCTTTGGTGTTGCAATTGCTGTCGTTGCCTGTGAAGCACCACCCTTGCGACATTACAACAGGACTTCCCAGTGGGCAAGTGCCGGCCTTGCCCTGTGGCCTTTGAACTTCGACATACGCCCATCCATCGCAGCTTTAGTCTGTGGCTCAATAGTCACCGTACTAAATCTGGTATACATTACAGCTGCCCTTCTACCATCGGTAAGTCTTTGTCTTTCCCACCCCGTACCTACACACTCGCTAACCCAGAGATAGCCCTATTCCCGCATAAAGCCACTAAACATCTACGCCTCAACCTCAGCACTAGCAGGCTTTGTCACAGCTCTAGTCGGAATTCTCTTTATCAAATACCTCCCATCATCAAACTACCCAGCAGGTTTCAGCAAAAACGAAACCCTCCACAGCTGGACCTGCAAATGGAAGACCGGAACAAGCACCACAAACACCCCCACCCACTTTGACCGTGACTGTATCAATACCCACGCTGCATTTGTTTTGCTGTGCGTGCTGGTCGGGATGGAAGTCTTAATGGGTGTCGTTGCTGCTCTGGGTACATGGTTCCAGCGGGACGTCTCTCGTCGCCGTGCAGCCCAATTCCAGCTTGAGAAGATGGAGGTTGCTACCAAGAATTCTCGGACTTGAGTGTATGAGTTCAAAGATGTTCATGATGGGAACATATGCTGAGTAAGCGTGGTATTGTTGGATTGATGTCTGCGTATGAACGAATGATGTATATTTCTTATTTAAGCTGGGCATAACTCGTTGTTGGCGTTTATTTCGTATCTCAGTTCTTAATGTTATTTTCTTTTGACCGATTTCTGTTGCTATATTGTCGATTTAATATTTTATAAGTCATACTCCAGTCTCCCAAAGAAGAATGACACATATGTGCCTGCATTTTCCTGATGGATCAGTCGAGCCTACTTCATGTCAGCATCTTCCAAACCGGATGAGTTCATCCCATGCGATGGCCCAGATTAGAGAACGAGACTTCTTCTAACACATGTATAGGGCATCAGCTGCAAACCCTCTCCCCTCTCACGAGAGTGAGATTTGTTGAAAATACGGCCTGGCAGTAGGAATGAGATTGGAAGCGTCAAACAATGGAGCTCTATAGGCGACTTCACTGTGTGAAGTGGATAAGCACGGAGGAGTATGAGAAAATCTGTCAAATCTTTGAAGATATTTGAGATAAGCTTGACTCTGAGCGCAAATATTCTGAGAAATACTGGTGTGCTCTTTCTTTCATTTGTGGTCATGTCGTGCTTCTGTTTCCTATTCTATTTCGGTTAGCAGCTATGTCGAGATAACTGCTCTTTTGTGGACTCTGGAATGATTTTTGGAAATTCTCTATCTTCATAGCCTGTTCAATAGAGTATGTTCTGTCACTGCTAATCCGTTTTGCTTAGCGACTAAATTGAACACACTTAGCTTGTCTAGATATCTACAGAGTAGTGGCTATTAGTATGCATGAGGTATTAGTGATCCTTCTCAATATTTAATTGACAAGTATTTGATATCAATTTATACATTTGTTGACTGAGCTTAAGTTAACTATATGTATAGAAACACTATGTAGTCTGGATCCACTCTGTACACCGCCCGGCATAACTGTATCACCTGCGTCTCGCCCTAGTCCATCTTCTCACCAATACGCAAGCGATTCAAAATGTCAAACAACTCAGCGCCAATCCAGGATCCAGATGATGAGGAATACAACTCTGCTGAAGATGAAGATTTCCAGCTAGATGTGGCACAGGACGACTCCGACCTATCCTCCGATGCTGACGAGACCGCGGAACCAGCAAAGAAGAAGCGGAAGACAACTACGAAATCTCAGATACCAGAGGACAAGGAACTCGATTCTGGAGATGAAGCCACAATCCGCAAAGCGAAAGAGAAGAAAGACAAGAAGCGCAAAGGAAAGAAGTCCAAAGGCAAACGCGCGCGCGACAGCGATGAGGACGATGACATTGATCTTGATGACGATGAAGGAGGATCTGGGGGCTTTGTGCGAACGCGCGCAATGAAAAAGCACACGTAAGTTTTTACGTTCGGATGTTGTAATGCCTCTTTACGCCAGATGCTAATGCCTGCTATTGAACAGGCGAGAAGAGGAAGCGGAACGCAAACCTCTTGCCCAGATCGAGGGCGCGACCGTTGATGTGAACGCCCTGTGGGAACAGATGAACGCCCCTGACAGCAAGCTTGGTTTACAGCCATCCCAAATCCCCGAAGCCGATCCTACACCCGAACCCAACCCAACCACGAGTACAGAAGCGCAGGACCAGAATATCACGGATACGGAAGTCAAGTCAAGTCATGAACAGCACGCCGATCAGATGATCAAGATCAAGCGGACCTACAAGTTTGCCGGAGAATGGATCACAGAGGAGAAGGTGGTACCCAAACACTCAGCAGAGGCTAAGGCGTTCTTATCGAGTGGGGAGAATGTCGAGTATGCCGATGCCGATGATATCGCGACAGCGAAAGCCGCCCTAAACCTACGCCGACCCCTTCGCAAGATCTCTAGGTTCGACCCCAACCCAACAGGCACGATCAAGAAAAGCTGGGAGAAGCAGCTCGTTCCAGAGGACAACGATGCGCGCGGACCCAAAATCAATACGGTGGAGAAATCGAGGCTCGACTGGGCCAATTATGTCGACCAGGCGGGTATCAAAGACGAGCTTCGTACCCACAGCAAAGCCAAGGAGGGCTATATGGGCCGTATGGATTTCCTGGGTCGCATGGAAGACAAGCGGGAGGAAGAGAGGCGCGCCGCACGACTCAAGGGCATGTGAAGTGTTATCTCCACTATCTCAAGCTACTGGTACTATCAGTTGTGCTCAACTGCCCGCTGCATGCTCCCCAAGATCAACATCCATATACATTCGCTTGGTGAGAGCCTGAGCTTCGCCCTAGGCTGCTCTTCATCTGCACACTCTCACGTTAGAACGGGAAGCTCCTGGAGCCCAAGCTCTATCCACCCATGGATCTTCAACTTTGGGTTCCACCCTGGTCACTAAGGTCGATGGCTAGCACTCAAGAGCAGCCATCTAATTACCTGTCGCAATTCACAAGGCTGCATGCGAACACGAGCAAGCGGTTCGCAACTTCATTCTGCATTATGTGAAATCGCATGTCGACCTTTACGTCCAGTGAAACACTATTGGTGATCAAATCGATCTGCCTCATTTCATTCATGAGAACCTAACCTGTCATATCTATATGTACCATAACTTAATTCAGAGATACCAATCCAGCGACACACTCAGTGTGCAAATCAGCATGCTTTAAGCATCAAAGACAAGCCATCCGAAGAACAGCTCCTCCTAACCCAGTTCCCTGGCTCTGAATTTACTTGGGCACGTACTTGATGCCAGAGCTCGAGCATCCAGAGGTGGTGACTAAAGTAAAAAGATCGTCAGAAGAAAAGCCAATGAAAACGGATGAGCAACTTACGCGAGTCAACAGCCTCATATTTGCCATCAATAATGTTACCTTGCACATTGAAAAAGTACCAAACCTGGTTCAACTTGCCACTGGAGCAGCTAATATAAACCTCAGCACCATCGTGCACCTTCGCCAGCGCGGCCTGGATGGCCTTCTTAGTATAAGTCTTAGAGTTGGAAGGGGTAATGCCAGCATCGGCAAGAGCCTATCAAACGGTCAGATCATCATCCCACCAAGGTACACAGCCACAAGCACAGAACACATACCTGGTAGGTATCAAGCCCCTTGAACAGCTCAACCGTCTTCTCGAAGTAATCGCCAACCTCCTCCTGGGACTCATAGCCGGTATAGCAGCTAGGCTCGATGGTGTTAATGCAAGTACCATGCTTGGCCCACTCGTGTTCCCAGAACGACTCATTGTCGCCATCGATGTCGACCCAGTACTCGTCCATGTACGAGACTAGATCGGAGCGGTCCTGGGCCTGCAGGATCTCGGTGATGTTGGTGTATGCGCGCGCCGAGTCACAGTTGGCCTCGTATGTGCCGTCGCAGTTATCCGGCCTGGGATAGACATCTTTAGTTCATAGTTCATGGTGCATAGTTCACGGTGCATGTTCCTTGTGGAGAGCAAGTACATACCACAGTCCATGGATCGTCCACGAGTCCGAGGGACCAGTGACGGGGTCGGTATCCCAAAATTGGGTCTGCAGGAATGCGCCACCGGGGTAGTTGAAGCAGCAAGTCGGGGTTGAAGAGGAACTCTGGCAACTAAAGCCTGAGCTGGCGGCACAGGTCTTCAGGTTGGCAGTGGTGCCAGTGATGAAGTTCATCGCCGCCAGGGCGAGCATACCCTTTGAAGGCTTGGACTGGAACATAGTGGCGATTGGGAGGAGAGAAAGAAGACTGAGTCTGGAGAATCTACAAGAGCGGATTTCAGCGACGCTTTAAGTCTGGGAAGCCCAGATGAAGCCCCGTAATTCTGCATCGACAATCTTCAGGCACGAGTGATCGATAGCAGCACATGCGTCGATAAGAGAGAGCTGATTTGTCGCTTTGCGGATCGGATGTCGCCGTGCTTGCAAGTGCTTGCAGCCTATCATCGCGTGAAGGGCAGGTTTGAGCCTTGTAGTGCAGCAAAGTGGAGGCCAAAAGTGGGCATAGTGGAGGGACGATCCCCGACCGGGGAAGCCGAGACGAATGGGATTTAATGGTGTCTACTGATGAAACGAGATGCGTCCTTCAAGCTAAGCGAACGACCGACGAAAACCGTCGCAACAAATAAAGCGCAAATAGGGGAAATGCTTCATATGCTTCATTTCTAGGGTTGCATCGGCCTGCGCCGGATCTCCGATATATGATTGAACCCCGCGAGATGAAATCCGCTGACCACAACGTTCAATGCTTGGACTTGTGAACCTGCAGCTATTATTGCCTCTATACTGTATCTTGCTGGGCATTCTAGGTCTGCTAGTTGCTGCAGGAGATTCTCCACTTGGGCCCACGCGTGGTGAAATGCTTGGACGACGATGAAAGAGAAGAAGAAGAAGAGGAAAATCAAAAACTACTCAGCCGAGGATTCCTGCTCCTCGTCACTAACCCGAGACGGTCCAAGTCGAATATGCCAAACAGCCACCACGGCAATAACGAAAAAGAGCGACGCCTGCAAGAACGGAAGACCCAACCAAGCGTTGCCAAGGTGCATACCTAACCGGAAGAGGTTGGCGAACAACGGACCTGCGACCAGCATACCCGCAGACTGTGTAATGGCCAGTGCCGAGTACAGGGTGCCAACATGGTCGGGGAGTACAAGCGCAGTGGCAAGGCTGCGAGTGTTCACCATGAACGCCATGCCCATTGACAGGATAATCTGGCCGAAGATGAGGATGGCGGGTGTTGGGGCGAGGGCGATGGCGGCGAAACCGATGACTGAAAGGATTCCGCTGCCTTTGCTCATGACATGGTCGCTTTGTTTACCGTGAAGATTGAAGTATTTGGCGGTTAGGAAGGATAACGCTGGCATGAAGACCATGAAGGTTACCATGGAAAATATCCCACGCAGTGAGATTAGCAGACTGGACTGCAGCGCTGTTAGTGACTGATATCCATGGTGAGAAGGCATCGACATACGCGAGCAATGCTCCAGTCGAATTTCTTCGACACATACTGCAGAAGCAGGTTCGTCGATTGTCGGGTCATGATAGTGACGAAAAACACGAGGATCATAATGCAGACATTGGAGTCCGTCCATATAAACCGAGTTGAGACTTTGAACTCGCGAGCTTGCCGTTTCACTTCTTCCAAGAAGGACTTGTTCCCCATTCGCTCTGGCTGACCATTCTCATCGTGCTCCTCTGAGTGGGTCTGTAATGATGGCTTCGCCTTTGCATCCTCAAGAGTCTCGGGGAGGAACAACGCCGGGATGCATCCTACAAGAATGAGGCAAATGCTCACGAGATAGGGGAACATGGGGCCGAAGCTCATCATGTAGGCGCTCAAGGGAGTAGCCAGGATCTCTGCGAGGAGCACGCAGGACTGAAGACGAAAGAGGGCAGTTGATCTGCAGTTATTAGACTTGTATCAGCAAGAGAGGGGAATGGACAGTACCTCTCATCCTCCGAAAAGACGTCGGCTACAATGACCAAAGCAATGGCGGTAAGCACCGAATCACCACCACCGATGATCCTGAAGACAGATGATAACCAGACCATCCTCAGGGGAAAGACAGTTGACCACAAGCCTGAAGTTGGTCAGTATAAGTCAAACTGGTGGGGAAATCAACTCACAAACCATCCTAATCCAGAATTCACTCAGAATTATACCCAGCATGCTGAGGTACAGGACAGGACGTCGCCCCCAGTGATCGGAAAGAATCCCATATGGAAGCGACAGCACGATGCCTAGAATGTCCCGCGTTAGCATATAGTAGACCCCTATCAGCGGGCGACATACTCGGAATTGTATCAAAAGTGTCCTTGTAGCCAATGACGATCGCTAGTTCGCCCTGCACAGCTTCTGATTTACAAGGATTGAGATCTGGCTGAGTGGCATTTTCCGTGCCGTGCAGCCCAGCTTGGTAGTTGCGGCAGATGATATCTTCAAAGACAGCAGTCTGCGGCGCGGTTGACATAAAGAATCCAAACTCTGCCGATAAGAGGAAGACAGCGCACACGATCAGAATCAACACTTTCTTTGACTTGCGTGTGGGCGAAATAGTGGGATCCGCGCTCAATAGCGGCTCCGTCTCATGCGTGCTGGTGGTCATGGTGATGGATGTGTGGACGTTACGAGGTAGAGAGAATCTCCCTAGACATCTGGAATGTTGGAAGTCTTGAGTTCTTAAATTGCAGCCTGCTTATCAGAGCCCCTAAACGGTTGGGCGTCGGCGTTCAATCAGACTGATCCTTGTTCCCCCTGCCAAATCCTTTCTTTGTTCCGACAATATAACTTCACTGCATTGTTCTTGCAACTATTCACGGTTCTTCCAACTAGATGATTCAATTGAATGATTAAGCTATTAACATGCCCACATCTAGTTGTGTTTGCTTCTTTTCCTGACTGTGATGAGAGCATTTTTTGATGTTTTCGCTATCTCCAGGTCGGACCTCGGAGTTCGGAGTTCAACTTTGACGTGTTCCAAGTTGATCGAGTCTCCTTTTGATGTCATCTCAGACTTCGGAGCTCTTGAAAGCAATCAAAAACTGGAGAGTACGATGACGCTCTTCTATTCGGCGCTACATCATATACCACTTCTGGCTAGCAACGTGGCATCAAGGAGCTCAACCGTTGACTCACGCGCTCAGCCACACCCAACTTGTTTCCTTGTACACTACATTTTTCGAATCTGCAAGCGCAGATCCGCACTCGTGCTGCCCTTGCTATCAGACTGGTCATGACGCGTCAATCAGTTGACCCTCCAACATCGAGGCAACCACCTGCGTCTCCAAAGAACATCAGCGCAAAATTTCGCTCGGTCGGACATGATACATATCCCGACGAAAGAACCAGCAGCTGACAATGGCAAACTGACCAACATAGACGAGCCTGCAACTACCCGTCTAGTCTTTCTTTGCACAGAAAGCAGACCCCTGCAACAACCCGAATCTCTACCCTAGGATCTCAAGCCAAACAGTCCGATTCAAAACCCGGCGAGTCCAAATCGCAATTTGGAAACCTAAAGCGACACCGGGGATTTTCTTCGGGGATTGTGGCTTCCATCTGCAGGATTCCGTTTCACGAAACGGATCCAGCGACCATGCCGTGGCGTCCGCCGTGTTCGGAGCTGGGCTTGCTCTCGGAGGAAAGATTTCTATCTGAGCTGATGGCTTGCCAAGGGGTCTTGGTTCCTCGTGTGGTGCTGGTAGGTGTTTGTCAGTGTCGGCTGCTTCAGGGATTCGTACAACCTGTTCCTGCTGTTTTCTCTTGGTGTCACGTCTGTGGTTGGCATACATACAGGTCAGGATGAAGGTACTTGGGCCAATCGGGGAGCTGGACATTCGCAGTTTATGGTGTCACTGACTGGTAGGTTGCAAAATCGCTGGTGGGACAGCATCTCGCGTGTCTCGTCTTCATACATGCACAGCTCGTGTCATGCTCGCTGCTTACCATGCTCATATTCAAAACGTGGGAATTGGTCCCAGGTGCATAGATGTCTAGCCGTCCATTTTGTCCATGCTAGGGACCTCCGCAAGACATGACCACGATGAACTGTCGGCACTATTAGAACAAACATGAATAACTCAATGCCAAATTCTATACTTTTCGGTAATATATTTGGGGGAAACAACTCCCATTATGGATGCTCAATGATGGTGTCGGTTTTTATCATCACACCAGGATATATATCCGCGGAATAAATATACAAAAAAGCAAGATTACGGCGCATATTAGCGACAAAGACTATATGCTTTTTCTAACCGCACCGAAATCACATTTACCGCTCTTTAGATACGCATGAGTCATACTCAACTCCAATAGGCCATGCTGGCCATGCTGGCCAATACCCGATTAACTACTCTGTACGCCGTATACACCACAGAACTACCCCGGCCTACGCTATCAGCTTACATCAGATCTTACTACATGTCCTCGAGTCCCTAGTTCAGCATTATTGCTTCAAACTAATAGCCCAGACAGAACACTCGCCTTTGCCCAAGTCTAGATTGCCAAAGCGTTCCTCGCCACCCCGTAGAGTTCCGCACTATCTCCTCCAAATCAACGCCCATTCTGCCAAGAAACCTACACAATGAGCTTGCCACAGCAATCCCTTTCTTGGAGAGCCCGTGCTCTTTACTCGGTCCCGCACGGGGCACATACTGATCGCCCAAGTCGCGGATCATGGAGCTCGGGCGGATGGCGTCGACCAAGCATGTCTCAATGATCCGCGTCGCAGTGAACAGCAAATGTCTCTGGCAAGCAGCATGATCCGCGTCACAGGATGATTGATGCTTCTCAAGCACATGCGCAGCACAATGCTTCAGAGCATAACCTTACCCCACACCATGAATGCGTTGTAACGTACAGCAAGACTATACTAATCTATACCAATATTGAATCACGGCCCGTACATCCCAATACTATGTAGCTCGCGCAGAGCCAGCATAAGATTGAAATCACGCAATGACCTAAATGCATGATCCCCAAAGTACGTGAACGCCTATCACCCGCCAGCCTAGCCAGAACACCAGGCGCAAGGGTCCGATAATATGATATCAGTCGGATTTACGTCAACTCCAACGCATCCTAGCAACCGCCCGCCTCACAGTCTAGACAAGGTTTATATTGTGCATGGGGCTCCGCTTCCTGCAAATCAGCCGTGTCTGACATTCCTCGGATGCCCTGATGTGCAGGGCCGATCCTGGGCTAAGGCTGTCCATCTTTGCTAGTATGCTAGGCTCATGTATGGTTGAGCCAGTTAGATGGCAGATTATGTTTTTAGTTCATTTGGAATAGTCTAGATAGTCCGGGCCAAGAGGTGAGTGCGTAGCCGCCGCTGTGCTTGCGCTGGTATGTGAGACGGCGGATTGATTGCAACGCTGTCAGTGTGCGACACTGTAAAAGAATTTTATTTTATATTTTAGAGCTTATTCAATCTGATCGTAATGAGAATTAAACGTAGTAGGAAATTGAACACGTAAGGCATTTTTTTTGGTTTCAGGCGCGACTGGTTTCAGGAATCTGGAGAACTCTGCGTGTGCGTGTTCTCCTTCTTCGCGACTCATCGCGCTCCTGTAAACAGATTGACATGTTTAGTTACAAGGACACGAGGGCAAAAGGGCAAGCCTTGGGGAGCCCCTGAAGGTATACAGGCCAAATATGAGAACACGGTATCCTTGATCCACTGATCGCAGTGACAACGTAGATCAAATAATCCTCCCTGGGGTAGTAAGGCGGAACATTAACTTTTGCCACAACAGTCAGAACCTGGAAGTCGGGATTCATCAATGCAAGGCAATGTGACGCGCTGCAATGCAAGTCAAGGACAAAGCGACCGCCCAGTGACCGGTGGCTAAAAAAAGCAATAAAAGGTTCTGCTCCAAGGTATCTTATCAGGATGCTAAACAAGAAAAAGAAATGAGATAAAGCCACGCCAAAGCCAGAACCGTTGACAAAAGGCCAAAAGGACGAAGATTTGCAATATGCAAGGGGGTGGAGAGGCGCTCAGGTACCAGGCCCAGGAACCACCGTACCTTTTCGGGTTTTGTGCAGCGTCGCTATTATTGATCCGTGTGTTGCAGCTACGATGATCTGCTCAGGTGGGACTTTTTAATTGGTGGGTCAGTTCGTCCCTGCAGGTACATTGCGAAGATACTGAAGCTTTGAGACAAATCATTGTCTGCGGGTGTCCAAATCGATGCTTACCCTCAGCTTCACTGAAGAGAGAAAGAGTCGATCGGCGGATTTCTCCACCGAGTCGAACAATTTTTGGCTGGAGCTGGCTTTCAGGTTCATGTAGGGTTTGACATAAGATTTATATTTTGGTCTATGGACGTGAGACCAGACCATAAGCATAGCGATAAACGCTTTGGCCGTTTCTTTTTTTGTGGGGGGATTACAGTAGGTGGCACCATATTCAGGAGAGTACGGGCAATGGTGAGTAGGAGAGGTGGCATGAACGACGAACGCCTAGCACGAAGAATGGCATTCGCAGTTGCGTCAGTGGCACGGAGCACAGAACGACGGACCTGCAGCCCTGTATCACCACATCACTGCAAGACTGCAGCGGCGACCAGATCAACAGCTCGGACCGGAAACTGAGCGGTGCATACCGAGGAATGTCAGTGACTATCGGTGAGGATAGGCTAGCACAATAGTACAGGCAGGTATGCTAGGCTGAGGTCTAGTGGACAATCTTGCATGAACAGACCACTCTAGAAGCACTCCGCAAAACCGCTGAACTGACGGATTTGTCGTGGCTTGCATGTCTTGCTGATCATCTGGCCTGGGCGGGGTTACATGTATGGTCAAGATCCTGGAGCTGTGGGCGGGACTCTTGGGCATCTAATCCCCAAGCTGGTGGAATGCCACAAACAGGGATCTGAGAAGCTTGAACGGTTGATAGCTTCGTTTGCTGACCCCGAGTACCTGGCTCCTGATCAATGGCGGTCGTGCTAATGCAGCCATACCATTGAGGTAAGATAAGGTTTAATTGGAAGTGACTGGTCTATCTAGCTATGTTGAGGATAGTAGATTGATTATCCGGGGACTAGTGTGGTATTATTTTTGATTATTTCTCTTCGTGCTCCCTGCTGCAGGGTTCGAGCATCCAAGATTAAGCGTTTCAGTCGCCACCGGCTTTTGCTGAAATGAAGTTATGTGGCAATACTAGATAAAAGAGGCTGTCAGGAGCTACTGTAGTTTCAAGTTCGCCTGCCATGGGATTGGAGGCAAAAGACCCGCAGGTCGTTTGAGTGGCGAGCTGATAGGATGAAGATCCCTGAGGACAACCGATTGAGCCCAGACAGGGGCGGCATGTAAATCATAAATGCCTGGACGATCACTCCACAAAAGCCACAGTTCGCGCCACCAGATCAAAGTGGCGGAGACCTTGTATGAGCTACGGTGGCACAATTTGTGGCATGACTCAGTGCAACAAAACCTGGAACCCAAAGCCACTATCGAAACCTTCCAGGGTCGACGATCATGGCATTTAAGTCAATAGATACTTCGCAGCGTCTGAGCTCTTCAGGTATGAGCTTGGGATTTGATTTCAGATCTCGGATCCTTCTCAACCCCAAGAGGATCCTGGTTAATAATGGTGGTCCGTAGCGCCGGGAAGAGTTATAGGTTTGGCTTGGCAAGTTCGTGGGAAAATTTAGCCATATACGCAGGTGAAAGTCATCCCTTGAAACGCAGGGGCTTGCCGAGATCTGGGGTCTGTTTGTGGTGGTCGGGATTTGTAGATGGCCCTTGCTGCTTCCGGTCCGTGCTTCAAGAAATTGACCAGCGAGAAGTGCAGAAAAGAGATTAAAGTAATTTTCCACACTTGACGTATGACTAGAAAAAAAAAAAGGATCGAGTTGGTTATCTGGAGGTTGAGGCCGTACGGAAGGTTGAACTATACATGGGAGTCACACCAAACACCCAGGAACTCTGGGGTAATCCCCAGGGGTTTGAGAACAGCACTATTGAGAGCTATGCATCTGAAGAAGCACGTTAAAACCGGTTTTGCTCATGGCAGAAACACATGCATCAAAATCAATAGGCGCGATGGTGAATGTTTCACGTGGGAGATATTTAATAGTGAGACGCATGCGATTTCAGAGTGCAAGAGTGAAATCAGATCTGACTGTGGGTAGGATCGACAACGGTAGACGATACGCGGACTTCTGGCTATTGACTCGGGTGAACTTAATGGCTACAGAGTAGTGTTTTATTCTTTTACGAACAAGAGCGGCTCTAGAGTAAGAGCTGTCAGAAATCCGCCGCTTCGGTCCAAGCGCTCGACTATCTAGTATAGTCCACTCAGTGTTTCCAGTCCCAATTTCATGCGTAAGAATATAATCAAATCGGTGAAAGTAATCTAAATTGCATAAAGCACTTATCATAGACTGGCCCGACATTCAGGCCGATCACTATCTGGGCGGGTACAGACGAAGAATGCGAAACAGAGTGCGAAACTGAGTGCGAAACAGTGCGAAACAGTAAAGGTTCGACTGACCCGTGATGGATCAGACGCAGGTGCACGACCGAGCCGTTGGGTCCCAGAAGTATGGAAGTGAAGTGCGTGTTCGCATTCTTGGTGACGTGTTTTCTGACTTGGTCTGACTTAGGGCTAATCTTGGCACGGGGAAGTTCACTCGAGCACCGAAGATCGAACATCATACGACAATCACTCAAAAAGTACACTATTCATAGCGTTCAGAAAGCGAAGTAATAGGAGAATGTACAAATGGAATCTGGGATGCTTGGGGATCCGAAGATCACTCGCACAGACCAATTGAGGCCAACGTCTGACCTATCGCAAAAGTACAGATGCGATCGATCCAAGCCTCCACCGTCCGAGCGAGCTCATATTTTGCCGATTTATGGTTTCTGTAGTCTTTCAGCTACACATTATGAAGTGTACGCATGATCATAGCACAATAAAATCTCTCAATGTCTAAGTTGACCTGAGACCCCAAGTGGAGAGGGCGATCAGGGTCTCAGGTGGTTAGTGTGATCGACGAAACCCAGAAAGTCCGGGGAATCAGCTAGGATCCGCGCTGCATGTCAAATGGCAAATAGACTTCGCTCACATTGTGCGGAACTCAAGTGGTACAGCCGCCTAGACATTCCAATGTATGCTGCATGCTTCAACCTGCGAGATCAGATTGGCCATGGTGGAGACGGTGGATGGTTCGGGAGAGATGCATGAAGAAGAGAATATTGAGAAATAAAGTCAAAAAAGGAAAAATGGCAGAGGCGAATAGAAAATAAGCAAAATCCGAAAAAAAGAAAAGTGAGGGATGAGGCAATCAATCGTGTCGATCAACTTCTTTTCCCCCCAAAAAGGTACCAGGAACAAGCTTCCACTTCCTATATCTTGTAAGACACCGTCCCTCGATTTGCTCTTATCCTCTCCTCCTTACTGAGCCCTGTTCTTATAATCTCCCCTCCCCCTGCGGTCCACTCAATCAAACTGAGACCAGCCTCCCCTTCTGCTACCCCAGCACCTCGTTTCCCAGTAACAAGGTAGCGCGTCTAAGGGCCATCTGACACCAATAACGCCTACTTCGACCGTGTTCTAATCCAGCCACGGTCCTTGAGTCCCATTTTGGCAATCTGGGTCTCCATTCTGACGCGAAACACCACCACTCTGCGACACTACTTCCATTACCGGTCGATCCCAGCCCAGATCCAGCCGCAGACCTTTGCTGTGGTAACATAGGATCCCATAGTCTGCATTCCTGGCCTTGCTTAGGTACGCGTCGCGCCTCTAATCAGACCATAGGATCTGATCTGAGCATTGACCATGGCGTATAGCTGTAAGTCCGATCCCCACCCCCTCGGGATTCTATGCTCGACCAATTTGTTTATTTCTGCCCGTTTGTCCTCCATTCCCATCCTTCAGACATTCTTTCCTTTCCTATACTCCTAATACATTCTCTTGTGTCGTTTTCCTTCCTTGTCGTTCGTGTTCCTTCTCTCCTTCTTTCCCTCGAGTGTCTTCCTTCTTTTGACCTCATCGTCCCTCGCTCTACTCTACTATCTTGACCTTGTTCTATCATTCAATCTGCTTCAAACGCTAAGTGATTTGGACAGGCGAAACTATCGACGCTGTTGCACCACGATCTTTCAAGACAGAAGATATTGACGACATGAGACCTCACGGACAGCAAATCTCTGATCAATTGACTGTCGAGGTTGACTGCCGTTCTTTGGGCCCCAGTGAATGCCCCTCGATGACTTCGAGCTTTTCTCCTTTGGATTCTCCAACCCCAACCCCAACCAGTCTTTACAGCCAAGGCTCAATGGCTTCTCCCGGATGGCACGAAGCCCAGCACTACCACACCATGCCAATGGAAAGACGGACTTCAGCAACGCCACTGCGCAGCGCGTTCCGGATGGCCGATCTCACTTCCGGTGAAGGCATGGGTATGCCTTGCGGCAACATGGATCGCCAGGAACAGATGCCCATCTCCGAGTACCTGCCGGGTTACGATGAGAATGTTGAGCAGTTCTGGATTCCTCAGGATGTGCCCAAGACCTACCATGAACAATCGTTCCCTTACCAGGCCCCGATGCCTCAGTACAACCAAATGGCACGTAACTACTATCACCGTCCCCAGCAGGCTGGATATCTGCCCGAGTCAGCCTCCAACCCTTGTCTCTCTCGCCCGATCTTCAACCAGCCCGCTGAGCGGATGCCCAACTCGGCTTCCATGTCCAACATGATGCCCTGGATGCCATCGCACGAGTCATTGGTACCCCAGACTATTACCCCAGCCCAGGCTTTCCCTCACCCTCCTGCTACGCCTCCTGCTTCCACTTACTCCGAATTCCCTACGAACATTCCTACCTTTAAAACCCACACTCCTTCTACTCCTGTCCGATCAGTCTCACTGGGCACACCTACGGGCACCGATACCCCAGTGAGCCGGATGTCCGGACATGACTACCAGGAAGAATTCCAACTTTCTCCTGTTTACCGCGATGGTCTGATCCAACGCCACCGTCAGCCCTCTCGCAAGTCCTCGAAAAAGCAGCTGCTTCGATCCAACCTCAGCCTCGAGAACCTGCCATCCATTATTAAGCAGGTGCAGTTCAAGTGCAAGGAGCCTGGCTGCAAGGGTCGTTTCAAGCGCCAGGAGCACCTGAAGCGTCATATGAAGAGCCACTCCAAAGAGAAGCCCCATGTTTGCTGGGTCCCTGGCTGCCATCGCGCATTCTCCCGCAGCGACAATCTCAACGCACACTACACCAAGACCCACAGCAAGCGGGGGGTCGTAACCGATATGTCGCGACCCTCGATGATACCAGTCAAGATTATGATCCCGACTTTCGTGGCCAGCTGACTCCTGACGGTCGCCCCATCTACGGAAGCAAACTTGAAGATTCTATGCCCGATTGCGGTGAGCTCAGCGTCGATGGCTGGGATGACTAGTCCCAACGCAAGAAAAGCAAGAAAACCCAAGCAAAAAATGACGAAAACGACAAAAAAAAAAGTATTTTCCACGCGACTCCAAAAGAAAATATGGATTCTTATAAACAGAAACGCGCCAACATTGGCCCAGGATATTTGATACCCCGTCTCTGGATCGGCTGCCCACAGGGCAGAGGCATTACAGGCCAGATTGACCTCTGACTACGGCGTTGCACATGTCTTCTTGATCGGAGACTTTGGTTTTTTTTCCCCCCTTTCTTTCCTTTTCTCTTGCATAATTTGTTCGGTGCCACAGGTTGGGGAGGGACACTTTGAACGTCGGTGTTTATCTGGCGTTGCATATGATTTTTTACAGGTTGGGATCGTTCATAATAGCCCTCAGGGGTGGGCGATCGTGTACAATCCGCTACAACGTGATGTTATTTTTTTTTTTTTTCTTCCGCTTGTACCACCACCCATTAGCACTTTTGTGGCATAATATACAAAAAGATCTACATTCGATGTTGCATCTACAAGCATTTATACCCTTATAATATCATTAATTGAATTCTTTTCAATCCTACCTTCACCTCTCCCTTGGTTTTCCACCCCCCGGGCGCTCCGTGGAGACTCGAAAGGTTACACATCACTTCGCGTCTAGTCGGATCTCTCCAACAGATCTATCTGCTCTAGTGGAGCTGAGTGGACCTGGGAACGACCTCCGGCCAAATCAGAGACGCCAGACGCGCGCCATACAATTGTTATTTACTCCTCTCTACACTCTACTCTCCACATTCCACCCACAGCCTGTCTCCCTATTCGCAATTCCCCTGTTTCCGAAACGCGAGTCATGATCTACTCCCAAGTATCGACTTGATAATCTCTCTATGTATCTAAATCTGTAATCCGGTACCCAGTTGCGAATGTGGACGAACTCCCGAGCACATACGTTCATGTCCTGCATTGCAACACCGTGAACCATGCAGCCCAAAGAGGAAACTCCGCCACGCCACTTTCGACAGCGCAACACGGGCTTTGAAGCATGTGGAGTCTACAACATGGGTGCAAAGACAATGTTACCTCCTATCCATAGACTAAAAAAAAAAACAACCCAAAAAGCAAAGATTACACACTATACAACCGCCAAGAGCGGCGTACTTGTGCCTGGACTCTCGCCACAATGTCGAGATCGGGTCTAATGCGTCTGTACCTCCATTCCGTCTTCCCCATTCCCCATTTCCCGGACCCTGGAACTTGAAAACTGGGAAACTTGGACACTGGGGCTTGAGGGCGTTCAGTGGTTCCTTATTTTGCTTTTTCTATTGCTTTTGTTTTCTATTTCTGCAGTATGTGAGATCATCTAACGAACGCCTATCACCGCTATCTTCTTTCCCGCCTTCCCGACCTCAGTCTTCTAGGCAGCACCTTCTAGCTTTCCCGAGTGATCTTCGTGCATGGAATATCAGTCAAAGCCTGCGCCTCTTGTAGTTCCCAGCCTAAGGCATACCTACATGTGTAGTTGTCGTGGTGGCTGAGTTCCCTCTTCACCGCGATTCGGCAAGCCATTTCCCTATACCATTTCCATATCATTGGCAATCCCACCGCCACCATTTGTCCACACTGAAGAATTCGAATATTCAAGCAGTCAAGTCTAGACCTCACATTCACCCATTCCATTTTCTGTCGCTCTCGTTTCCCCTCAAATATCCCCCAATTTCAAATGCCAGTGACAAATCATCCGGTCCACCGCTACTCACAAGTAACCCGATCATGTACATGTACACTCTGCACGACGTTGACATAACTCGGTCTTTGACCAATTGCCGGATGATTTTGTCACACCGCGCTCTCTATGCTAGGTATATGCCACGCAGGCCGAATCGAGAAGTGATTTGACCCTTGTGGGGTGATCTGAAAGTGATATCCAATAATTTCTTTTGCTGCCTCGGAATTCTCCATATCACCGTACATGAGTTGTGAGATATGAGTTAACGTTCTAGAATGCATCCAATCAGGCACTGTTCATGTGCCACTTTCTTTCCTTTTTTCCTCTTCTCGTGTCTGGATCCCGAGTCGTTGGGTTCTGTGCCGTTTCTACAGTGTCGTGGCATCATCATTCACTCCGAGGCAGTTGTACTGCATGTGTGATGTGCGCTGGGTGCGATGTGATGTTCCTGGGGACGATACTGTACATTGTGGCTAAGCGGCATGCATTCAGCGTGGCTAATAGTTCCGTATTTTCCTCTCTCTTGCATTTCTACATTTTAATTTTCTTTTTCCATCTTCCTTTATACTTTCCCAGTTGGTATTTTTATTCCATTTTCTTCGTTCATACTCGGTCAAAGTAGCTACGCTACAGTAGCGTCCGGAATTACAACAATGACGCAGCATGCATGTACCCTCAACATCTCCCAACATTCCAGGGAGAAGGTTCCTGCCAGTAGGAAGATCGCTTTAGCTCATTACATTGGCATGTCTGTGCGCATGGACATTAGTCCTTAAGCGCATTGTACAGCTACATTTAGCCATTGACACACTGGGTGAATGAGACATTTTTCAAAGTTTGAAACTGCATAACTGCATGGACTTTCAGTCATCTGAGCGTCGAAGTCAATGTTTTTCTTTAAAATCTCAGACATTTTATGTGCATCGGGACTAATTTGACATTAATGGGTGCTTACTACTGTACTCTGTAGAGGCTACATGCATTGGAATGTGGTACTCAAGTTTTGAGAAAATGCTCTATTTATCAATTCTGCATTAGATTTAGGACCTCGAGGATTAGTATGAGCCATTTATTCATTAGCGTGCGATGCAGTGCATATGTACATTTATTAAAGATCTTTGATTTCATACTTTGCTGTCATGTCAGAACTGAGTTTAGGTGTTCCCTGCTAACTTTATCGGTGATGTACGGCGATCATGATCCCTGTTCCTGTCTTTAAATTTGGATTTAGAACGTACTCGTTCGATGCAGACTTTCCACGCAGTGTCACATTTGACCTGCATATGATTGGAAAGCACGATGATATAGTACCTTGTGTTCTGTTGGGAATCAAACTTGGCACCTTCTTGAGTCCGGAGACCGAGGTACTAAGATAGACGGTGTAGGGTATGATGATTCACCTCTGAGTTTTATTCCCTCTGCGTAAAGCTGATACTAGGATACGCAGATCAGCGTTGTGGTATAATAGCCTCTCCGCCTAAGTTTGCAGCAAAGTCGAGCCCGGGGCCCATGTCATTGAACTGCGGGCCAAGATGTAGCCGGGATTAATGTCATGGCTATGGCAACAATATTTCGATACCGTATCAAGCTGCCGTACAAGTTGAGAACTCTTTCGAATATCTTTTGAGGGCCGTGACGCATGTTGAGAATCGCGTGCGAGACATTTAAGTTTACAATCCATTTTGCAATCCGCTCATGGGTCTTATCCATGGCCCTTCTACTACTTTTTGCTATCACCCACTGGGTATATCATACATGCTAGTTCCTCCTCAAATCTAAGTCTTTTTCCACCCTTCAATGGTAGTCTATACTTCACTGTTGATAATTGTCCCAAATAGGCAATGCATGGAGCCACACCCCGGCCCGGCCAACGCCGCGCTGACAGATTCCTTACATAATCACACGACATAAAAAATTCAACACGTCAATCTCTGCAAGTTACCCAGCGAGAACCCCATAACTTCGGGCATAGTCTGCCACGCGCCGCTGCACTTCGCAGTCGGGCTGTTTGAAAGCATTTGCTCAATGGATTCATGTTGTCTGATTTTGCTTTTGCTATCTCAGTTCTCTGCCATTTCGTAGGACAAACTGACAAACTCTGGTCTTCCTTTACTGTGATGATCTCCTTTTCTAAATTGACATGACGTTCTCCATGAGTGTTCAAAAATATCAAGCTCAACAGTCTGAGTTCAGGATTACCAGAGTTTTTGTCTATTACATAGTTTAGACTTTTACAATGCACTTCTCTTCAATATCTCTCTTCATTTCCGTGATCCGATTAGCAAGTCGTATAAATAATCTCAAAGCATACTCGTAGCCTGCGACTGATAACTACGCACGTTATCTTCGCAATTCGAAGGAACAGTGAAACAGTTCTTGCATTTTGTCATTGCATTGTAAAATTTCCACAAAGATTATTCCAAGCCCCCAGACTCATAGAAAAGAAAAGAAACTCCTGTACAGAATGGTATCGAGTCTGATAAATCCCAGTTTTCCCGCCGAAACCGTGCCCAGATAGTACAAATCGCAGAAATGAAGAAAAAAAAATTGCAAGACGCCGACCTTTCATCTCCACGATGCCAGGCTCCTGTACAAATCTCCAAAACCCATATGAAAAGGACGATAATAATAAATAGAAAGTGCAGGAAAATTTCAAAAAGGCAATATTAAACAGCGATAATTTGCAAATCAAGCTGTTAACAGCCAGTCACATGGCCGCGTAAATGTCAAAACGTGAATCAGTCTTGCGCCATATTGTCCATCGAGTAAATTGCAAATCTGTCTCTGCCATACCGGGTATCATCAATCTTGTATGTTAGTTGTGCGATTAATGCCAGCAGTCGGACTGGCATCAATTGTTCATATTCATGCCGTGCATCGAATTTTGTTGTTGCATTTGTTGGGCAGCCTGAGCCTGCTGAGCTTGCATTATAGCAGCCTGGTTCGGGTTCATCCGTTGCTGACCTGGCTGGCCTGGTTGACCTTGTTGACCGATCGGTATACCTTCTCTCTCTCGTCGGATCAGTTCTTGAATCCATGCTTTGGCAGTCTTTTCCAGTCCGGCGGTGTATTGTTGAGCAATGTTGGGTGGATACTGGCTCGGTGGGCCAAACTGTGGCAAAAGTCGCTGCGACATGTCTTGTCGAAGGCGAAGCAGTCGCTGTTGGTAGAGCGTGGCATATCGTTGTTGCATGGCCTGCTGGGTTTGGGGAGGTTGGCCACCATTTGCTTGAGCGGCGGCCATTAGCATTTGCTGTTGCTGGGCTGTCATTTGCGATCTAGCCTGCTGTGGCTGGTTTTGCTGGCCTTGCATTTGTGCGTGCTGGCCTTGTTGCTTGGCCATTTGCATCTGCGCATATTGAGCACGCATAAGTTCAGCTTGGTATGCTTGCTGATTCTGCGGGGGAACTTTCTGGGCATTTTGATTGTTTTGTTGTTGTTGTTGCTGGTGTTGCTGAGCCTGTAGCATTTGTTGATGCGATTGAATGTTGTGCTGCGCATGCGCGTTGGCCTGAGCATTGGCTTGCATTTGGGCGAATTGCTGAGGCGTAATTTGGTTTTGGCCAAGATGTCCCTGTGCGAGCAACTGCTGCTGTCGCTGTTGCAACATGAGCTGCTGTTGGTGTGGATTAAGGTGTTGCATGTTTGCGCCGTTCATCTGTGGTGTGATACCCATGCCCTGGTTCATCATTGGGGTCTGAGCCATGTTCGGGTGATTGGGGCTACCATGATTCATCCGCTGGGTCGGTGTCACGTTGCGCATAATGGGAGTTGCGTGCGACATGGCCGGCGTACCCTGGGTCATCTGGGGAGTGCCGTGTCGACTTGGACCTTGTTGACTTCGCGAAGGGGCCATCGGGTGACCCATGGGGTGCGCATGTTGCAAGGCAGATGGTGGTCGTGGCGGACTGCCAGATCCAGACTGAGACATGGTCATCTGGACGGCCTGTGCCGGCATGGTGTTGCCAACGAGGGGCGAAGAAGTGACGTGCGGAGTTTGGTTGCGTACAACAGGCGAAGACTGCTGTCCTTGGTTCATGCCATTGGCTTGAGCCATAACATGTCTGTTTGATTGCTGTGCAGCGAGTTGAGCCTGTGCCTGTTGGGCGGCCAGTTGCTGTCTGCGAGCTTCCTCTTTTGCGTGTTCATCGGCTTGTCGCTGCTCGACCACGCGGCGTCGATCTCGCTCCTGTTCTTGCTGCTGTCTCTTTGCCAGCTCTTGCTTCAACTTGATTTCGTGTTCGCGCTTGGCCTTCTCCTCATGCTGCATGCGAATAGTTTCGATCGTCTTGAATCGAGAGAATCGGGGCTCGAATGGTGCCACGCCACCAGTGTCATCCACAACAGCTGCCTTCGACGCACCAGTACCAGAAGCTGTAGGTTCCAAACGCTCGTCCATAATGAGCATGAATCTCTCTTCTTCGGCTGCCAATGCCTCGTCTGCGGCAAGTTCGGCGATGGTTCTCTTGCGGCGCTTGGGCGAAGGTGGCGGATCGCAATGCAATGGACTTTCAAGGAACTTGAGTAATCCCTGTGCACCATCCAGGCTATGCACAGGTTCCAAGAAAAGTGGGGGAGCCATCGCCTGGATCATCTTGGATTCGCACTCGACGAGATCTTCCGGTGCAACAATAGTCCTCTGTCTCTTCGCACTTTGTCCACGATCTGCCTGCAGGCCTCCTTGGGTTGTCGCGTAAGAGGCCTGTTGGTTTACCTTGTTGGCTCTTGGGTCAGGAGTCGTGACAAGCAGTGTCAATTCCGCTTGCAAAGTTCGCGCGGTTGGATGAAGCACGGTAGTAAACACTCGAGGCTTAGACGGAGGACTTTTTTGCGATTGAGTGCCGTTCTGACCTTCCTGTTCACTTGCAGCCTGGCCATCTTGTTGGTTTGGAGCTGGCGTTCCATCGGTCTTCGCGCCTTGTGCATCGGAGGTGAGATGATTCTGCTTCGGGTATGGAACGTAGGCCGATGGTGTGACGTGCTCGTTGTAATTGTGAAGAGAGAAAGGCGTATTATTTTCGGTGGTTGATGACGCGGAGGTCTTCCTTGCTTGCGCGGAGACGGATTTGTGATCAATAACGCGGACGATGAGGCAGCCTAAGAAACATTAGCAAAGAATCAGTTGGCAAGTAATCACTGCCGAAGCTACCTTCGTAGAACTGCACTCCGCCTCGTAATAGCTCCTCGATCAGATCATGTGGAACAGTTCCAGCGCGAATGTGTTCAATGATGACTTTCATCTCGGAGTTGTAGGGGAAGCTGCCATCTTGCTGCTCAAATCGAAAATGTGTGGGATGCAAATGGACAATAAGAGATGGAGGGGACTTTGAATATTTCTTAAGGATGTATGATGTAGTTTTCACTATGCCGGGCGAGTTAGCGTTCGCGCGTTGCCATTGCCATTGCAGACAGCGCGCAATTTCTTACCATATGGTTCTGGTGCCTTTTTCCCAACCCTGTGAGCTTGGTCCATCATAGCTGTTCTCGTGATTGGCCGGCCAGATCGCGAGAGCTGATCAACGGGCCTTTGCGACTGGTTCCGGGTCCGGTTAAGGGGGCCTTTGAGCGAACTCGCCACATTGGCGGCGCCATTTGTGAAGTTGGAATTCGCGTTTACAGAAGCGCTTGTCGGAGGACGTTTAGAGGCGGAGGTGGGTGAGGATGAAAGTTGTTGGCCCTTGACCCCGTTGACCGCGGCCTGGCCGAAAGGCGGGGGCGGCCGCTTCATCTTCGGGGTATGAGAGGTCGGTTTGGAAATTGCAGTCGCCATGTCGTCTGTACCGGTTGCGCAAATTCGGTATGACTAGTAGTTTAGGAATGCGACTGATCGGGATGCCGATCTGATGATGTTGAATGGAAGCCGGGAAATGACTAGGGTCGATGCGCGAGACATGTGGGGATAGATAGGGTAGCACCGGTCACCAGCACAGCTGGAATCAATGCGAAAATGTTGGCCGAGACAAGCCAGATGGGTAAAAAGAATGAAAGAATGAAAGCGCCCCGATAATGCTGCTGGGAAGGGGTAGGCTCGGAGAAGACGCTGGGCGAGGTCTTACAGAGGGAGGTGAATGATGCCAAGCCGCGGTGACAATAAGTCACGTGAAGCTTCCCGCAATAGGACTAGCAGCTCTGCCCTAACATACGATCAACATGAATGAGATCAATACTGAGGTTGTTTCCGTGAGTTTCTGTTATTGCTGGGATACAGCTCAACAGAATAATGCTTATGAATGGTCTATTGAAGTCAAGGAAAAACAAATTAATTCTGTGAGATATCTTTATTGCCGCACGTGACAATAAAGCTCTATGCTGTCAGAAAACAAACATATCAAATCCAAGTAGAACAATCAAACAGGGGAATAGGGTCAATCAATCATCAGGGCAGTAGAGAAACAGGTATACACATGGAAAATAAAAATCAAATATCAACATCAACAACATCAAAGTCATGGGGCAACGATTCGGAATCTAGTCCAGATCACGCACGCGTCGTCGCCAGTCATCGCCTACTCGGAGGACATCGACGACGTCAATACGTTTACCGATGCCTGTTGTGCCTTCTTTCTGCCACCATTTCTCTCCCTTCTCACCAAGAGCAGACTCATCATCGCTGTCGATGAGCCCACCTCGGCCACCCTCGTCCCCAACCACAACAATGACCTGGCGAACCCATCCAGAGATGTGCTGGACTGCATCGCCTTCATTGCCGGTCAGAGACTCCTGAACATAGACAAGATCGGGAGACAGGTGTCGGACGAGGTGCACATATCCACTAGCTGTGCTGAAGGGCATGATCATAGTCTCCTTCTCAACCAGCGCTTGGGCCTGTGTGTAGAGTGTCTTGAAGAAGTGGCTTGTGCCCTCCAAGCCATCTTCGCGAGGTTCGACGGCAGCCAATTCGCCGGAGGCCAGTTCTCCAGAAGAAGCAGCTTCTTCCGTGGCAATATTCGAATAAGACGAGGCGAGAGAGAGCGTGGGCCCAGAGGAGCCTCCCTGCTTGATAGCGTGTTTCAAGTCCGGAGCGTAGATCAAAATGAATACCTTGGAGGTTTCCAAGTCAATGTGTTCAGGAAGATGTGAGAGGATAGACTGTGTTTGTCAGAAAAGCTTGGGTAAATATTACGGGTGGATAAGCTTACTGCATGCTCAGAGGCATAGTCATCGGATTCAGCCGGCGAAAGCGAGGAAACAACAATCGCAACAGTCTTCTTCTTCTTCTCGAAGGACTGGCCTGCATTGACTCCACGACTAGGCAATCCACCACTCATAGTTGGCGCGACTGCTGCTTGTTGACTCCTCTCATGAGCTCTATTTTGAGCTTCTTCCGACCATCTGGAGTGGTCCTCGAAGTCGCCTTTGTTCTCTTCGCGAATAGAGGTGAGGGCACCACCAACGAAAGCTCCTGCAGCAGTAACACCTGCTACAACTCTCTTGCTGGCGCCATCGAAGATTTGCTGAGGACTTGGGGTGCGGCGCAGAGCGCCCTGCATGCGCGCCATCATACCATGGTCATACGAAGCATCACCGGGGAGCACTTCTGCACCTGTACCTCGTGCATAATCTCCAGCGCCATATGCAGGTGGGGGGAAGTCACTGCTCGGAACAGAAGGGGGAGGATAAGGGACATCGCCGTCGTGGGGTTGATCGTCTTCGTCGTCATCGTCGTTTCGTTCGCTCCAGATCCAAGCGGCAATGCTGATAGTTGCAATTCCAGCGGTCAAGGCCAAGGGTAACCAATATCCCATGGCAGTTCGTCCGCCGGTTGAGCTGAAGCCTCTCCCGGCTCCGCCGCGGCGCTGCCGAGGATCCTGGGGGAAAGACATTGCGGTGTAGATTAGAGGTGGCACATCAATTAATCGGGATCGCAATGACTTGCAGGTCGCATATCATTTGTGATAAAGAAAAGGGTGGGGAAAGGGGATGGAAGGATGAAGTCCCTGGCCCTCGGAGCCCAGAAACATGTGGCTGGTGAGCATTACCGCGGTGTTTACTCCTGTTTGTCCTGTTTGCGTCCGATAAATCTGGGGGCTGACCCGGGGCTGGGATTATGTAATCTTAGCCCTGGAACATGCGGTAGACAATCACACAGGCCAATTGAGTACTCTGCTAAATAGGTCATTTTCGCTTTAAATGCTTGATATCATCAGACAGGTATCTGGAGAAGACTTCATTTTCTAGTCTCTATATTTCACCGCTCGCAGATTGCACACACCGCCTATTATAAACGTACCAGTACAACATCATTTCTGGTAGTCAAATGAAGCTGCAAAGCCTAGTTTAAGCTGGGTGTAGCTGCTTTGGTTAATAATTGTAATTAGTAGGCTACTACCGGCTATAAGGTCTTAGGAGAAGTAAACACAATTTCCGGTCAAAGTAATGATTTACTTCTTGTCTGATAGTACCGGCAGAATCAAAGGCGGGTCAACCGGGCAGATAATTTGTCCCACTATGTGATTCACGCTTCGACACTTCGCATAGCTCGCCCTCATAACTTCTCAAGACCCCAGGTGTATGAGGTGTACGGTCTGAACTGAAAAGAAATGCCTCTTCCAGTACCCCACACTGGGTTTCAAGCCCTGGTCCTTTGTGGCCCCGGTGTCTCGCTCAACACCTTCACTTCAAATCCCGAAGAGTCAGTATCTCAAATATTTTGTCCATACCGCGCAATTCTCGCTAACATATGGTGGTAAAGGTACCCAAAATGTCTTATTCCAGTCGCCAATCGGCCCATGATCTTCTATACTATCGACTTCTGCAAACGCATGGGAATTACTGGTACGAGCTTCCTCTGATCGCTGGGCGATGAAAGACTAACCTTGATAGATATCATATTGGTCACTCCTCCTTCGTCCCTCGCACCTCTCCAGGCTGCTCTGCGACAAAACCCTCACCTTACCTCGATACCCTCGCCCTCGCCCTCAGTCATTGCCCCCAAGGACCTAGACATGACAACCGGAACCGCAGAACTGCTCCGCCTCCCCGAAGTTCAAAACTGCATCAAGTCCGACTTCCTTCTTCTTCCCTGTGATCTTATCTGCGAAATCCCCGGCGAGACTTTGTTGGAGTCGTGGATGATCTTCCAGAGCGCTCTCGGCGGCAGCAGCACAGTTCGGGAAGGGCGCAATGCGCATGGCCCCACGAGCTCGGGGCCTGGTGGTGAACAGGGTGGACGCCGCGGTGGTCTAAGTGTCTTCTATCAGACGCAAGGACGTGAGGAGAGCGTCAAGGGTGAGGCTACTGACTTTGTGGCCATCGCACCATTGGAGAAGGACGAAGCCCCCGCCGGACACACCGAAGACCTCTCCAAGCTGGTCATGTCTATGCCAATGTCAACACTGAAGGAAAAGATGGAAAACGACAAGGGATTTCTTGTGCGTCATTCCCTCGTGGACAAGCACGCACAGGTTAAGATGTTGTCTAGCTACCGCGATGCACACCTCTACGTCCTACCTTACTGGGTTAAGGATTTTGCCCGTCTGAACGAAAAATTCCAGTCCGTCAGTGAGGATCTAGTTGGCTGGTGGGCCAAGGCCGAGTGGCAAGAAGGACTCGGCGCCAAACTAAAGATGAACGAGATTTTCCAGCGACAGGGTCACTCTCTACCCTCCGGTGAGGACGCAAGCCACGACGGCGAATCACTCGAGGAGGAAATCGATCTACAGAGCATGAGCACTACCAAGGCCACATCGGCCATCGCCGAGTCAACACGGAATTCAGAACCCCAATACGCTTCTCGCGTCAAGGCTCCGACAGCATCTCAAAGCTTGAAGGCTAGCTCTTTGCCACCCATGCTTGCGTATGTCCAGAGAGGCTCAGCGCCCTTTGTCCGACGTGTCGATTCGTCAGCTATGCTCTTATCCACTTCTCTCCGCCTTGCCAAGCTAGAATCTACCGAGGAAGTCGGTCGTTCGTCCGCCTCTGCTTTCGCCCACAACCACAAGGTCTCCTACCCGGCTGGTGTTGCCCAGCGCTGCACTGTCACAAAGAGCGACTGTCTCCTTGACATGAACGTCACAATCGAGGAGAAGTGCGTAGTCAAGGAGAGTGTGATCGGAGCAAACTCCCACATCTCCAGCGGTGCCCGATTGACCCGTTGTGTGGTGATGGACGGAGTCACCGTTGGACCGCGGGCAGTTCTTACAGGATGCATTATCGGCCGACGAGCCAAGATCGGCAGCGAATGTGTGCTGAAGGACTGCGAGGTTCAAGATGGAAACGTTGTTCCTGATGAGACGGACGCCAAGAATGAAAAGTTCATGGTCTTCGAGGGTCTTGATGATGACATGGATGACGATTTCGAGGATGACCAGGACGAGCTATGATTACTGAATATTACATACAGTAGATGTTCCGGGTGACTTCCTTGGGCTTTGATTTAGTTCTTTCGATATGTGTTCATGACAAGGAAAAAAGAATAGAATTACTTATACCCCTGTGTCTGTCATAATTGGTGTAGCTTTAAGATTGTGTCCGTAGTTCCTCACCGGGTATATGGATAGGGCAATTGGTGTGAAATACGAATTCTTCGCATACTTGGGGCAGCTCGTATAAGTTTCAAGATTCGTATCCACCAGGCTTGAGGTCTACACTGTACGTGAAAATTTTCATCGGTAGTCCTACAGATGAGCCTTCGTGCTTAAATACTCTAGTACCTAGGCTCTTCCCAAATATATGTATCGTAGAGTCGAGCAAATACCACAACACTAATTGACCTCTGAATTAGCAATGAGTCGATCATGAAATCTAGTGGGGAGCGTTTCAAAGAAGAACTCTCAAGATGTAAGTTATCCACCGCGGCTCGAGTGTATCAGATAAATCCGATCCAGGAAATGCCTCTCGAACTCGAAACTAAGCCCAAACAGCCGGAACCAAACTCTTTACATTCAAAGTCTTCAATAGTAAATGAGATCTGCTAAAAGTTCTAACTGCCGTTGATGGTATGATGGCACAAGCGAGGCTCCACAATTCCCCGCAGAAAATGTACCTTGCGAAATTTAGTGTGCCATGTATGCCAATACCATGCTACTGTAGGTACTAATGGTGCAGCCTGAAAAAACCAAGCTTGTACTTTGGAAGCACATGTGCATTAACAGTCCGGAGTAAGATCCGCACGAATAGGCGGGAAGAGCATCTAACCATGAGACTCGGGATTTGGAAATCCCTACAGGACAATCAACACCGTAGACAGGATCAGCGCACTCAACTCCACGTGTGAGCCAATTTCTCCGCAGTTCCATTGCATTTCATTTCCCTTTCTTTATGTATCCTAGTAACCCCCTGGATCAGCCACATAGCTCCGTGCACACGCCCAGAGACAAAAAGGGGAAGGGAAAATGGAACATAGTCTACGCACAGGCATTTGTACTGGGGTAATGAAACCAAGGATGGCGGATTGATGATTTGCTTGACTTATGCAATCTAACAGCGCGCTAATGCCGGATGGGTCTATCATGCCGAGTCTCCATTCATGGTATGATGTTTAAGGATGCATATACATATTGTTGTAATTGTAAGTATAAGTGTAAAACGTACAAATGAGCCGCGATCGGCAAACTGATGGTTCTTTGATTGGATATGGATGCGAGAGAATTATATGTGAAGCACAGCCTGCTGAACGGGTTTGGCGTGTGTCGATCACGCGGGAACTCTGTGGATCGAGAGGGGACGTGGAGATAGATAAGACTGTGCATATAGTACAGTACAGTGTGCATATAAGTTATTCCGTACAGATCAGTTATAGGAGTACAATCGCAGTACTCGGATGGCACCGATAAGCCCCGAACTCGCACGTCAAGGGCAAAGTGAGCGAGTCGTCATAGTACACTAGTAAGGTCAGTCAGATATTGTGCACCGGTCAGCTACTAGAGAATATGAGCCTCATGCGACGTTAGTGGTCAAGATAGATATGTGTCTCAGATGCACCGGCCATGGATTAACTGAACCGTGGTTCTGTTCGGCCGTGCCCTATTCCAAGTTCCAAGGTTCAACAGTTCTCCAGATATCCCACGAACATTATACAGCTACGGGGTATGGACATAGAAGTTATCCATTCCCACCTTTATCTTTCAAATTGGCAGACGTGGCGTGCTGGAAAGTTGCACTTGGCTGCAGTGCTAGCCCGATCGGACTCTTCTCCTCCACGTTCTTAGACTAACGCATGTGCACACGGTGCAGGAATATACAATACAGTGCACTGACTCAAGAGACTTTATGTCTAATACAGTGAAGGGATGTGGTATGGCCCCTGATCAAAGAACATCCAACATCTAGAGAAACAAAACATAGAATACATATCATAGAATAAAATAGAATGAATAGAACTGGATAAATAAAGCAATACTCTGTACAGGACTAGTAATCGATATAACGCATGTTTTGCCCGTAATTCCCGATCCATCCCCCTAATCTTCAACCTCAGACCCCTCCTATTTTCCCCCTTCCCCCTTCACTTTTCTTCCCTCTCATGGCTTTCTAGCCTGACTTTCGTTTCTTCCTCGTCTGGTTTCGAGTTTCCTTCTGCATCTCCAGCGTCCTTTTTTTTATTTTAATCGTTGTACCACTATTTATGTCGTTACAGGTATGGCCCCTTGGCTGACGCGGTCGGTCTTCATCCTGCATCCCTTTTCTCTTTGATCTCCACCTGTCAACGTTCTTTTTTTTCCCTTCTCTTTTCTGACAGCTCTCTTGATGGTAGCATCCTGTTCCTTCGGTTCCCCTTTGACGAGATCACCTTTTCCTTCGGGTCTTTTCCTGTCTCCTCGATCACGCCTCCCGGACGTGATTCGTGATTCCTTGACATACTGGTGGAGAGTACAATATGGCCGCGTTGGTTCAGACGATTCCGCAAAGTAGTACGGTACCTGTGCTCCAGACGCGTCCTTCCTCTTCTTCCGGCACTTTCAGCCAAAATCAGGCCTCGCACATCCAGAGCATGTCTTGGACTTCATTCAATGGCAATTCTGGGAACTATCGAGCAGGACATCCGGTAGTGGCTCCATACGCCTATCCGAACCTGGGGCAATCTTCCCAAAACCGCCAGTCGTGGTCCCCCCATCTCCGCCCAGAACATCGCACCTTTTCCACCCCTACCTCTCCCCAAGTCCCCGGGAATCAGGCATACGCCACCCCCCGAAACCCCCATACTGCAGCTGGCTCTGTATCGAATTCCTCTTCTTCCAATTCTTCCTTCCGTTCCCATGTTTCCAAGGACGACAGTGCACTTCCCTCGAGGCAACCGAGGAGCGATCAGCCGCTCCGCCCCCTATCCACCGCCAACCTCCCTCCCCCTTCCGTTATGAACATAAACTCTCCCAAGCCCTCTCCGAACCGGTATCGACGTGCCAACCAACGGGCTGAAGCCGCCGCATCGGCTGCTACTTCTGCTCCAGTTCCGACCGTGGTGGTTGATGATCACAGCACTCCAACCGTGCCTCGACCGAGCATGCACAGTCGAGTTGCCAGTGTAGATGATGTGTCACATGGCGAGAGAACACAACCTGAACGTTATCGGCGTCGAAGCTTGGGCAATATGGACTCCTCTGCGTATCCAAACCTGCAACTAGACCTCCAGTCGACTGCAACTGGACCTGCATCGGGATCTGCATCGGGACCTGCATCGGGACCTGCATCGAGACCTGCCTCAGGGCCCTACGATTTCATTGCTTTTGACACCAACACCAACACCAACCAACGGCCAGTGTCTTCACACTCTCACCGGGACAGCCTCGGTAGTAATCACTCGGCCCAATCATCGACTTCCTCGGTAGGAATATTCGCCCGCAGCAGTGTAAACGAACCCCTACTAACGTTTTATGCAGACCCGTGAGGGCACGCCAGACTCCAGCTCTGCGACAAGCAAGACCGGAAAGTCCGACGACAAACGAACGACTAAGCCATCGCCTTTGTCACAACCCGTTTCAACTGAACCCGAACCCCCCAAAACTACTCCTCAACCCGACACACGCAAAACCACACCACCATTAGATTCCCCCGCTGCGAAGCGTCTCAATGATCTGAAAAATGAATCGAAGCGCCCCGGGAAATCACGCCTGAGACGGGCCTTCTCATTTGGTAGTGCGTCTGAGCTCCTCAAAAACTCTGCACAAACCAATGCCGCCAAGCGAGAAGCCATTCAGCTCGAGAAGGAGCGCCGTGAAGCTCTGAAGGAAGAGCTGGGACCTGAGCAGGCCGCAATTGCCGAGCAACAGGAATTGAGTGGACTGGGTAACAGCATCTATTCCAACCAAGGCCACTTCTTCACTGGATCTACCGACAACCTCTCCGTCTCATCCACCGCCTCATCTGCTTCCATGATGCTTCGTAAAATGGGCAAGGGTATGAAACGGTCAACCCGTTCATTGGTGGGCATGTTCCGGCCGAAATCGGTCGCCAGCATCGGCTCCGTCGAGGCCCCCGCTGGCGAGACTCCACCCCCGCAGATCACCGTGGTGAACGTTGAGGCGGAGAGGGAGAGTGTCGCTGTCAACCCAGATCCCCAGGAGATGCCCCGGGGAGGTACAGTCTTCCCCAGAGTTGAGGGCGCTTCTGAGGTCCGACGGTCTACTTCCGTCCGGGAACGAGCCGCATCCGAGAACTCCCAGTCGCGTAAGAGCATCGTGGGAGGAGAACGCGAGCGTGCGGAGATCCTGAAAGCTGTCCACAAGGGTATTCTGAAAAGTATGTATTCCAATCCTCAGTGTCCTGAGTGATATACTAACATGTAATAGAAACTCACTCCGACCTCGGTGTCTCGTCGCCTTCACATGCACTCAACGGCAGTGACTCGCCGCACTCCAGTGCTCCCCCCACACCCGACGAGGCCGCTCGCTCCCCAGCTCACCAGACCGATTCCGTCAAGATCGCCGGCGAGGACTACTTCCTCTCAACCGCAGGGCGGTTCTCGGCTTCCGAGGCCAAGAGTGCACCTATCACCCCACAAGGTGTTGCTGGTAGAAATATTGTCTTCAGCCCTCGCATTCAGTTTCACGAGACCTGGCCTAGCGGCGAGTACGACCGTCGTGGAGAGATTGCGACGTGCAACCGTCTCACTCCCCTACTTGCTCAGCAGATTCGGGAGGAGATCAACAACTTCAAAATGGTGAGTGCAATTACATATTGCTTATATTGCATGCTAACAACCTCGCAGGAGATGGAAGTTCATGAGAATTCCAAGATCTACACGCACTTCATTTAAGTTTTGGGCGGGAGTTTCTTTGCATGGCTCGGTACTGTCCAGCAAGCGATTTCAGGCAGCAACCGAGCTCGCATCTATCCATAGACATGCATTAATTCCGGCGAATGGTGTTTGATGCTTTTTTTTCTCGCGAGCATGAGATGGTCCGACCGGGTCTTGACTGATTCCAAGGATTCACTCTAGCGATTTGACCATAACAATCGTACTTCGGCGGCAACCCGCTAACAAAACAAAAAACGGTGCGGCTTTCTGGAATCTTAATGGTCTCTACTGCATGTACCAGCACCAAAACAATATCAGGACTGTTCACCTCGAGCTTCGCCTCCTGGTGATCTTGATCTAATGAAACTTCCTGCCATCTAATCGGCGTGGCAGTCCTCGTTCCTCACTGTTTCCTTTTCCTTTTCTATTTCACTTCATTCCTCTCTTTCTGCATCGTGCATCTGAATCATTGTCATTGAATATTGGGAGCGTGGGTACTGGGCAGTTCTTTTCTCTTTTTCATTTTCCATCCTCTCTCTCCTTTCTCTTGTCTTCTAGCACATTGTTTCTCCTGTCATGGTCATGTCTGGGCCCTTTCATATCTATCCTCTTGAGCTCTACTTTGAAATCCACATCTGAGCCTTTTCTTGCATTTCGTTTGCATTCTGTCTCGTTTGTTTCGTAATTGTCTTTAATGGGCGGATATCTCGGTGACTATCGACAATGGATCTTGTTCTCCGTCCATTTGTACTGTAGTCGAGTCAAGACGTAATGTAGATACTCTATCAGTTACTGTTTGCCATTTGCCGTGTGTATTGGTGTAAACTTCACAAAACATAATGTTTGCACAATTACCCCAGACCCATACCCTCCATGAAAAAAGTGTGATACATACATACCTCAAATCCAAACAGAAACAGAAAATGTCGCAGGATTCTTACCCTCCTGGTGCCTATTCCAAGATAATTGGCACGAATATCCCGAGACATCGGAGGAAGAAGGTATGAAGAAAGGTCCCGAAAGGAATGAAGGGATCGGGAAACCGAAATATCGGCAAAACATCGGGGGGATCTGTCATTCATGCCTGTGATTGGCATGATCGACGGGTTAGTCCTTATTTGAAGGGAGTATTTGCATACTTCTGATAGAATGCGTGGTGGTTGGATTTGAGATCTGTGCTGGAAGTATATGTATCTTGTTAGTTGAACTTTGGATAAGTAGATGAAAATAAGTTAGTATCTGACCATCTATAACATTAATTCATTTTTACATTGATTGCTGTCTATTTGGACTGACTGCTCACAATGAAGTCCATGACAAATACCAATATGCACCTAGACTGCAAAGCATACTCGTAGTCTGGGTCTGGATCATGTCGGTTGCTCGTCGGTTTATACTTCCTGTTAACATAGATGCCATGCCAACATTCCCAACTCAGTCGAAACCATTCATCTCCATCGCCTTGAACTTCCAGAAACAAACCCGAAGAGAATAATTGTCCGGTTCCAGGACCCCCACGCTGGCTGAGATGCTACCTACAACAGGTCAAGCCTCAAACAACACGGTTAGATACCAAGACAAGCGGTAACCCCCACGCGGGGTGATCTTTCCTTCATCAACCCATGTTTCCAATTCTCTCCCCCCCTCCCCCCCCCGCAAAAAGTACAATTGGGCTATATCTGGGGGTTGCATTTCCCCAGTCTTTGATCCCCACTCTATGCCGGGGTATCGTAGCCATTGGCCCTGCGTTGCATGACCCTATCCTCAACAGACTAGCTCGTCTTTCCGAGCGAATCGAGCCCGGTCTGGGGCGTTATCAAGACCGAGGTTGCAATGCCATAGCCGGGATCAGTCTTGACTCTCTCCGATCCCCAGTCCCCCATCCCTCTCAAGCCCGGTGTTTGCTCCAGGCTATTGGCCATGCACGCCACATGTCTTTATACTTCCGGAGTCAAGTAGTCTGAGGGTGCAAGTCACCCCGAGTTGCTGCCGAGATTGGGTTTGTCCTTCTTGCGGCCATTTTTCTTTCATTCTTATACCCCTTGCATTCGCTGGTATCTGGCTATTTACTTTGTCCATACTTCCAGAGAGTTAGTTGGGTGTTTTACTACTCATATCTTTCTCTTTTGCCTTTCTCCTGCTCTTAGAGCAGTATTGGTCCATGATGTCTCCCAGAAACTCAGACATCGAGGTCGGTGATGTTGACAAGGCAAATGCCAACAATGTCGAAGTCATCGCCAACGCCGACAAGCCAAACCCCCAAAAGGAAGCCCCGGCCTCGGTGGCCACTCTCACACCGGGAGAACGTACCAAAGCAGAGAAAGCCCTCGTCCGCAAGATCGATATCCGCCTCTTACCCATGATCATCCTCATGTACATCCTCAACTACCTCGACCGAAATAACATCGCCTCAGCCCGCCTAGCAGGACTGGAAGAAGACCTGGGATTGGTTGGAAACCAATTCGCAACCTGCGTCAGCATCCTCTTCGTCGGCTACCTGCTAATGCAAATCCCTTCAAACCTAATGCTGAACAAATTTGGCAAACCAGCCCTCTACCTCCCAACCGCAATGATGCTATGGGGAATAATCTCTACAGCAACAGCAGCAGCATCAAGCTACGCCGGCCTGGTAGTAATCCGATTCTTCCTCGGTTTCGTCGAAGCGGCCTACTTCCCCGGCTGTCTCTACTTCCTCAGCGCCTGGTACACGCGCAAGGAATTAGGCTTCCGCACCGCAGCCCTATACTCAGGATCCCTCCTCTCAGGCGCATTCTCCGGCCTGATCGCAGCTGGAATAACAAGCAACATGGACCACGTCCTGGGTCTCCGCGCCTGGCGCTGGCTCTTCATAATCGAAGGCGCAATCACCATCGTCATCGCCTTCGCAGCAGTCTTCGTACTGCCCAATTTCCCACGAACAACCAGCTGGCTCAGCGAAGAAGAAAAAGAACTCGCCGTCTGGCGCCTCGAAGAAGATATCGGCGAAGACGACTGGGTCGACAGCGAACAGCAGACCTTCCTGCACGGCGCCAAACTCGCTTTCGCAGATATAAAAACCTGGGTGCTGATGCTGATGATCCTCTGCATCGTCTCCTCAGCCTCCGTGACAAACTTTTTCCCAACAGTCGTCGAAACACTCAACTACGGCAAAATCGAGACTCTCCTCCTCACAGCCCCGCCATACTGTCTCGCCGTCTTCTGTGCGTTCGCAAATGCCTGGCACGCCGATCGAACCGGCGAGCGCTATTTCCATGTTACATTGCCTCTCTACCTCTCGGTCGTGGCATTCATCATTGCAGCCACGACGATGGGGACGGCGCCAAGATATCTTTCCATGATGCTTATGGTTCCGTCGTTCTATTCTGGCTATGTTGTTGCTCTTGGGTGGATTTCGAATACTTTGCCTCGTCCGGCTGCTAAGCGTGCTGCTGCGCTTGCGGCTATTAATTGTGTTAGCAATGCTAGCAGTATCTATGCTAGTTACATGTATCCCAATAGTGATAAGCCGCGGTTTGGTATGTGTTGCTCTTGAAATTGACCCTTTTGGGCGATTGATTGCTGACTTTGATTACAGTGCCTGCCATGTCTGTCAACTGCGCCACGGCGTTTATTGCCATTGTTGCTGCTACGGTGCTGAGGTTCATGTTGGTTCGTCTTAATAAGAAGCTTGATCGCGGTGAGGAGGTTGAGGGGGCTGTTCCTGGTGAGGGGAGTCGTCGTGGATTCCGGTTCTTGGTATAAGTGGACTTATGGCTATAGTCTATGGAGAACTTGGGTTGTGTTTCATTGTTGCTTGTCTCGTTGCAGGACAAGCCTATTTCATATCATGCTCAGAACCTATATTATAAGAATAGGACTAGATTGTCTAGATAGAACGGAGCAGCTTTCTTATGACACTTCATAGTAATCTCCATACAGGAGCCTACATAAGCATGGTTTATATCACTTATACAATCCAAAGATTATATATTTATGATATGTTCAAATTGAGACATGATTCCACTGAGAGGAATTCCCTCTCATTCTCCATTTTAATCACAACCCGAAATCAAGCATACTTCTTCCTCTCCTCACTCCACCTTGGCCTCAATGCCCCAGTCTTAGAGGAAGCAACATCCAACGAACTCTCCGCGGCATAATCAACCCGCCACTCAACACCAATTTTAGCTCCCTCCTCACTCTGCGCCCAAACAGCAACAGCAATAGTATTCTTCCCAGTATAATCCAAGATACCAACAGGAACAGGGTACACAACCTGATTTCCAATGTGGGGATTGTAACGACCATACTGATACCCATTAACGAACAACTGAGCACGGTATAGATTCGTCGTTCCCGATGGCGTGGAGAGAACGAAGGAAATCGAGATATCGTGTTCAGATGGGAGAGAAAGGTCAATGGTTGTTCTGAAGAAACGGACTGTGGCACCCTCGAAGGAAAGGATACTCTTTCCCTTGCTGTTCTTGCTTGAAGAGGCGGTTTTCCATGCTGAATCATCGAAATCGGGTAAATGCCATCCAACACGCTCACCAGTGAGACCACCTTCATTCCAGGCGCCGCGGACTGGGTCAATGTTTGATTCACCTCCCGCGTTGCCGGCCAGACGCCAGTGCGTGAAGCCTGACGTGGAGCCAGTGAGGCTGGCGTCGAAGATTCCGCGCGGATTGAGGGCTCCAGTTGTTTCGTCGTGGCCTGTGTCATCGTGGACGACGAGGAGAACGTTGGGGGCCTTTTTGTTGACGGTTGCATTGGCAAAGGAGAGAGTTAGGTTTGCTTGGGCGGTGTTGGCGTCGCCGAGGTAGGAGCCCAGGAATACGCCGTTTAGCCAGGCGGACCAGCCGCTGGTTCGATGTTAGTTGGTTGCCATGTTGGACTTGGTGTGGGGTGGAACTTACAAGGCGGATCCTCCTTGCACATTGATGAATGCCCCTGTTGCTGTTCCGTTGAAGTATCCGCGCCAGAGACGGACACCATTATGGAAGCCGTATTGGTCTGCGTAGAGAACGGGCAAGTATGTCGGGGTTCGAGGGTTCAGTGTGGTCATGTGGTTGGCATCTAGGAATGATGAGTATGAATGATTTGGCCAGTGACTTTCGCCTAAAAGGGTAACTTACCAACCCAAGCCGCACCTGAATCATCGTAATCAGCGAACCGTTCAGGCAGACTGTCCTTTGCCTTCCACGAGGAGAACGATGGCAATTTGATTGATTCCGGTGCATCAAGCGAGGCCTTGAGACTGCCGTACTCAGTCGACTTCGTTTTAACCGACTTTCCATTCCAAGTGACAGACTTGACAGCCTTGGGAGCAAAAACTTCTAGTGTAGTCGCATTGACGATGTCACCGGTGATAGCAAGCTTGGAACCAGTCAACTTGGCTCCACGAACAAGGTAAGGCCCTTGAACAAGAACTATACCATTGATTAGCATTCACACATCACAGTTGACAGGCAAATACATACCAGCCTTAGTTTCCGGAACGAGAGGATCATCAGTGAGAGCAGGAGCCCAGAACTCATAAGCCGATGTCCGATCAAGCACAACAACCCTCGCACCATCAACATCCAAAACAGTCGACCCCTTACCCTGAGTAAGCGAAGCCGTCAAACCCCCATTCTCCTTATAAAACTGAACACTCGAGCAACCCTGGCACTTCTTAACAGAGCCGCTCTTCCCACCCTTGATAGAGAACTCAGCAGACTCGCCAGTAGGAACCCAAAGCACAAGAGTAGGCGTCTTGTCGAAAACGGTATATGTGAGAACTTCAGCAGTAGAGTAAAGCAACTTCTTCTCCCCGAAAGCGAAATCCGTAACAATAATCTTGGACTGATGCCCATTCAAACGAATAGAGCTGGCATGTTTCGGGATAGTCAGCAATCCAGCCGATGTATTAACCTTCAAATGGAAAGCCTCATTCGTCGCGAGGGAAGTGTTGGTATGGAACGTAGCATAGAAACCAGCACTTGTCTCAGGATTCTTCAGCTCGAATGCCTTGACCGCAGCATTATCCGTATACTGCGTCCCATTTCCAATGAGATCAGTCATGGTAAGATCGCGCGCAGAGCGAGTAAACAGAGCGAGCAACTTCGTCTCATGGTACTTCGATCCAATCGAACGGTCCTCTGAAATTGGAGCAGAGTAATCGTAACTACTGGCAGTAACAGGCGCGGCAATGGCTCCCCAGTTCGTTCCGCCGAAAAGCATGTACAGACTCATAGCTGTGACGCGTTGGCCGATGTTCCAGCGGTAGAAGAGGTTAGCGAAATCGTCGCCGATGTCTTCTGGGCAGCCGCCTTCCGGTCCGCCCCAGGGATTGTAGGAACCGCCTTGGAACTCGGGCATGAAGCTTGGCAGGTTGGGTGAGGATTCTTCAAAGTAACTGTAATAGTCCATGACTTGGAAGGGGACATAGGCGCCGTTGGTGGAGGTGCATTGGCTCAGATCACAGGTCCAGCACTGGGACGTGTTAGCAACTTCGTTTTCTCTTCTCTTGTTGGTGTAGAGCAATGGATACAGACCGAAGGGTAAGAATCAACACCTGCAACATCAACGTTCCCACCCTCATTCGACCAGTCACTTCCCCACGAGTGAGAATTCATGTTGGGATCATTCGCCGTGAGAGGAATGGTAATGCCATTAGCACGGGCATTAGCTTCTAACAATTCCATATAATGAATAGCAGTTTCATTAGGCACACGCAGAGAAGCACTACTCTCCCACTGATTCCCATACTCATTCTCAATCTGATACACAATCGAGTTATGTCCATCAGTAACCTGGTATTTACTAGTGATCTCAGACATCTTAGTGAAATAAGGTGTCCAGGCCTTTGTATAGCGGGTATCATTATTGCGCAGCGTGCCGTAGTCGCCGGTTGTCAACCACAATGGGAAACCGCCAGCACTGGCTTCGGCGTTGACATAGGGACCTGGACGGACGATGATGTAGAGACCGAGTTCTTTAGCGAGGCTGAAGATGGGAGTGATATCATGAGCGCCGGTCGTGAAGTCGATTGTTGCGTTGTTTGGGGCGTGGTAGGCCCAGCTGGAGTAGAAGGCGAAGGCTGTGAAGCCTGCCGCTTTGATCTTTTCCAGGATGTCGCGCCATAATTCTGGGACTGGGATGCGCCAGTAGTGGAATTCGCCGGAGAAGATGAAGATGCGTTGGTTGTTGATTTGGAAGCTGTAGTGGTCCCATTCAACCACTTTGTTTAGTCCGTTGTCTTGGAGGGGCCATCGGGAAACATCTTGGTCTTTTGCTTGAATTGAAGTGCCGAGGCAGGCTAGAAGAAGGAGCAAGCAATTGAGGATGCGTGCCATTTCAGCCAATGCACCGCTGGGACTGCGATGGCGAGTGGAACTGAATCGACCATGCTGGCTCAACTTATACTCCGGGATTTGGGATTGTTTTCGCCTCAGCAAGGGTATATGCAAAATCAGCCACTCGATTCTAGAGTCAAGATGTCTTCCCCTCTTGTGCTGCATTTGTCGAATTTCCGGTGTTAATTCCGGGGTTTTTCCTCCATTCAGGTTGCGCGATTTAGAAGCAGCTAACTGCCCCTGTGGATCAATGGATCGGTTGGAAAATTTCGTGAGAGTCACTCTTGGTTTTTACCTATAATGTACAACCTGGATCCTTTGCTAATAAACGATTTACAGATATATCCAAACATCAAAGACAGAACACGCTGGAAAAACAATCAATTCCTCCAAAAGCCGTTGACAAATCTAACAAACCAGGGATAAGCTAGTTCCGGGAGAAGACATTGCCCTGTAAATTGCCTAGACACTGACCAGTTTCCAGGCGTGTCATTGGCGAAGTACGATGCAGTGAGATCCATAAACCTGCAGGAAATCACTGAACGGGATACCGAAAGCACAAGCCATAGTCCCACCACGCTGGGCATCAGATCGTGATTTTTTTAACCCCCTACCCAAACTCCAAAGTCATGCGGTCCTGTAAAGCAATGCTTAGCCAAAAGGCATTTAAGCATTGTTACCAAGAACTCCGAAGGGGTTCTCACCCTTGGTCTCGGGGGCACTGGGAGCAGATGACTTCTCAGACTTCTGCTTCTTAGCTCCCTTCTTGGCAGGGACAGTAGCAAACCCCTCTTCAGACTCCGAACGGCTAGAAGAAGCAGAGGAAGACTTTGCCTTGGTAGCAGCAGCCGAGCGAGTTCGAACCGGTGAGTCCGCGGTGACGGACTTCTCCACAATCTTCTGGACCTGGGCCTTGATGACCTCGTCATCGGTGGTGACTTCACTGTTGTCACCCTCAATGGCGGCCCGACGGATTTCGCGGTTGAGGCTCTTCAGAGCGTCCATGCCGGCCTTTTCAGCCGCCTCCATGTGCGTGGGCTGCTTCACAGCCGTGTCCTTGCGGTTCAGGTAAGAGCGGACGAAGAAGCGCGCGAACAGGTAGGTCAGGGGGAGGAGATAGGAGACATTGAGCCAGATAGCAAATGCCTGGCCGGTAGTGTCCATGCAGGTAACCATCTGGTGAGAGTATCCAGACTCCTGGATGGGTGCGGTGCCAGTGGTACCGACGTTCTCAGCGAGACCTTCGGCGCCGGCAGCACGGAAAGCCAGCTTCTTGAGCCAAGGGACCATGCCAGCCTCGATGGGCGAAGCGGCAGCGGAGGCCGCTGCCTGGGTCAGCTGGCTCAGAGCTGGGCTGCCAGAGGGGTAGGGGATAGTGTAGTGGACGAAGAGGTATGCAGCAGCCATATTAGTTCCGAAAACGAACTGGGTGATCTGCATAGTGGTCAAGCTACGCTTGATGGGGTTGGGAACACGAATGCGCAAGGCCGTAATGGTGTAGTAAGTGTACTAGTAAAAAAAAGATTAGTATGCAGTATTACTGTTTAATCACACATTTCGACTTACCATCATCGCGTGAATAGCCGAGTTGACCAGACAGAAGATCCAGATGGGAGCTGCCATGTAGCGGATACCGGCCCACATGCACATCATTGCGCCGGCGTGGTGATAGGTCTGAAGAGTGGAGCTCTTCTTGCCCTTGGCCAGAATAATCACGGTATCAACAACTTCGTAGAACTTGGACAGGTAGAAGAGCCAGCCGAAGTAAGCCAGGCCCTGGTTCCACAGGCGACCAATATCAGTCGAGTCTGGCATACCGTTGGTCAGGTGGAAAGCCGGATTGGCAATAGACCACTCGTTGGTGATGGGGCTGTAGGTAGCGGCATTGCCGTAGCCGCGGGGACCATTGATCTTGCAGAGCGAGTCCACAACACCAACCAGGCCGTGGGGATCATCGCTGTCGGGGAAGGAGCTCTTGAACGCCTGGAGCATGCCTGCGAAGGTCCATGCAGAGTATACGGCCAGGAAGACATTGTGCAGGATGACGAACAGCTTGAATAGGCGTGTGTTGCTGAAAGCATATGGCTTGTATCCGCGACTCTTGTTGATGCGATTGACCAAAACCACGGTCAGCGCGTAAACGGTGGCGATTGTGATTGGTACCCGGACGTCCAAAACTTGGTTATAGAGGTCATTGGGAATGTTGAAGGGCTGCTTCCAGGTCGGCGCAGCAGCGTGAGGCGCGGGGATTGTCACGGGGAGCTCGTTGGGAGGAAAATTGAGGAGGGAGGCAGGAGGGAGGCCGATGCGAACGGTGGCCTGGCCCATCTCGGTGGGGACGTGGAAGTCGTGCATGATGCCCTCTCCGGAGCCTTTCGCGCGTATAAGGATTCAAATGAAGAGAAGGGTTGCACGGAATATAAGAAAGGGAGAAAAAGCCAGGAAGCAAAAGGACCAAAGACCAAAAAAACCGCCTCCCAAGGATCCACCAGCCAAACTGCCATGTTTAAATTCTCAACAAGGCAATCTGCGGCCGATCCCGGTGGAGCCCCGAGTTTGTTGGGATTTTGGTGAGCCGAGGCTGTCTCATCCAGTTAGTTGTATAGTACTCGAGAGATGAATCATATCAGGGTATTCTCGAATCCTGGTATCTCATGTCTCAGCTCTCGGCTCTCATCTCTCTCATCTCTCTCATCTCACTGGTGGTGTATGGTGAATAACGTCTTCTCTCCGCTTCCCCAGACCCACGCGACTCAACCAACTGCTGAATCAGGCATTGCCGTAGTCAACCACACCGTTGATTCAAGGGATGTAGAACGGATCGTCAATGCAACACAGAAAACAACCAAACTGAGATGTTCCGCATCTCCAAATGATCGGAATAGATAGTTGCGCAACATGAGAATTTCCTCACCAGCAGGTGCAGGTGGGGAGAATTGCTGACTCATCCCATCGTGCACTGGACTATACAGCCCCTGCACTCCGTAGTCCATGCATGTAAACACAGTCTCGAAAGTTAATGCACTCGAAGCCGATCAGGATCATCTTGTTGGGATTGTCTTGGCCATTCCCCAACAGCATTGACATGAGATCGGAGGAGCGGATCATCACATGTAGCCTCGGTCATACTTCCAAGATAGGGCTGCGTGAACTAGGTCTATTCACGGTGCTATCAAGTATTGTAAAACTTCAGAACAAATGTCTCAAGGAGAGGGTGCCATTACATGCATTATTGGTGTCCGTATTTGGCCTCCCTTCTTTCGCCTCGTTTTACACGTCTTTTTTGTCCATTTTCAAGTGCCTCAGGTGAGAGCAATGCAGATCATATATATGTGGGGAGGCGGGAAAGGGAGGAATTTTGGCCACTGTTGTACGAATGTGAGAGTCTGGTGATTGGCAAGTTCGCCATTGTATCATATCTCCTATCTAAGATCTCGGCGCCAAGTATTTACAGCTAACAGTACATTCTCAGCGGGGCTTGGTGCCATGAGGAATCGGGGGAGGCGCCGGGGATGACGGGGAGTCCACAGCTGGCGCACGAATTTCCGCTCGTTTCGGTGGAGGCGGGGGAGGGGCCTTCTTGCGCTGGGCCTGAGTTTGAATATCTGGATCTGTAGGCGATGGCGCAGGGGAAGGCGATTGGGCCATAGAGTGCGAAGGCGGTCGTGGGACACGCCTGTTTGCATTGGCGTCAAACTTGCGATCCTCGACAAACGTGTTGAATCGCGAAGTGACACCGCCCCACTTCTCTTTGCCCATGTCAATCTTGTCTGCGTGGCGTTCACGGAAACTCTGCACAGAAGAGGTGCCCCGCGCGGGCTCCGCCGGCTCCAGGTTCATGCCCTGATCCGTCGAGGCCCGGGCCGGCGGGGGAGTTGCGGACGAGCCACCAAAGCGGGAACTGATACTGGACGCGGCACCGCTCATCTTCTGCTTGCCGGCATCGATGGAGTCGGCGTGACGTTCACGGAAATCGCCATACTTCTGCTTTCCAGCATCGAACTTGTCGGCATGGCGCTCACGGAAATCACCGTACTTCTGCTTGCCCGAGTCGATGGTATCAGCGTGGCGCTCGCGGAAGTCGCCTACTTTCTGTTTCCCTGAATCGATAGAGTCGGCATGCTGCTCGCGGAAGTTACTGTACTTCTGCTTGCCAGCATCGATCTTATCTGCATGGCGGTCGCGGAAGTTATGAATCGAAGAGTTACCACTTGCAGGTGATTCTGGGTTTGTCGAGTTTGTTGATGCCCGGGGCGGCGGGAGAGGCCCGGGGGACCCCGAGTTTGTTCTCATCTGGGAGAACCTCGATTGCAACTCATTAACGGGCGTTTGAGATTGCTGAGCACCCTGCCCTCCAATGCCAAACCCGGGAACCGAAACGCCAGCGTTTGCGAGACGGGATGTAGCATCTTGGTTGATATAATCATGTGAAAGCGGCTGCTGTGCGGGGGAATAAGCTGGGGGTGGGTCGGAGCTCTGGGACGCGGGGGAACCGTTGCGAGCGGGAAGTCGGGGCGGCGGCTTCGGGGGTGCTTTCGGCTTCGAGGCCGAACTGGTAGTCGAGCTTGCAGGTGAGTCCATTCGGCGAACGGGCGGTGGGGGGAGGTTGTCTGTAGACAGGCCTGTGGTGTTGACACGGTATGGTACCGGAGGCGGTGGGGGCTTCTGGGCCTCTTCCTCTTCTTCTTGAACTGCCTGTTGGTGGTGGGCATTCTGGGCATTTATCTGATCCTGGGACAGCGGAGCTCCCATACCCCGTCGATCGGGTGTCGTCTCGTTTGGCACTGCGGCAGCGCCGTGGTAATTGATATGCTTTGGGGGAGGCCCGAATGACGAGGGATCTTTCAGGGCGGACAGAGGCTGAGAGACATGTTCGGAGCCTTCGGAGTCAGGGTCTCTGCCCTTTCCCATCCATCCAGCCTAGCAGAACGTCAATGGCTGAGATTCAAGCAAGAGAGGGGTTGGCTTACCACTTGGTTGAGTCCTTTGAAATCACCGCGCCAGCTCTCCTTGCCTCCTTCCTTGCCCTTTGGATGCCAGCCATCCTTCATAACATTGCGAAAGCCACTCATTGTGCTGCAGAGTGTGGGGTGAGAGTCTCCAGGTGGCCGCGCAGCTGTGACGACAATATCCCCACTCGGTCACGTGGTGCCCCGATTGGGCAAGATATTCGAATCGAAAGAGATGGAAGAAGTCGATATAATAGTAATTCTAATCGCGCAGAGAGGTGTACGGCGTATATGTATTCCATAGATGTAGAGCAATTGTGATGGCAGTGGGGAAACTGTGAAACTGTCAGACCTACAGGCATCGTAATCTGATTGGATATATCTTCAACACTACTGTATACCAAGCTCAAATTTAGGAATGCTCCACATTTCCAAGCAACATTTTGTCTTCTCTGCCCAGTATCACATCTCTGCTGAACGAGTTCACAAAATTACTGTGTAAACCATCGTTTTTGGCGTCCTATTAATCTGTCCGTTCTATGTCATGCAATTGAACCTTTACTGAGCCCTCCCGAAGCACAAGGAGCTGGTCTACATTGTTAGGAGCAGCTCGGTGACTACCTCATTTCTTACACATTATGTGCGATCGTGTGCATCGCAAAGAACTATGTGAGTGTATTGTGTGACATGAAATGCTTTTCTATACAAAATAGGTGAACCTCTAGACAAGGTAAGACGACAGATATCCTCCTTAAGAAGAGTACAGCTTCTTCTCATGACTGTGCAAGCCATGCACATTCCCCTCAGTCTGCGCACTAGCACTTCTCATCTCAAACCGAACCGAACCGTTATTCACGCCTTCATGGAGCGCATCAAGGTTTTGGACGCCGAGATCCTGAAGAGAGTGCTGCACACCAGCGACAAGGTAAGGGACATATTGAGTGATAGATCCTCGATCAACAACTGACCCAGCAACACCCTGCGCAACCTTAACTTGATCATTCTCAGAGAAATAACGCGAAGCACCGGCATTACCGCCAACACTCTTGCCCTTATCCTCCATGACAGCAATGCTGCCCATGCCGCGAAAAGCCTTAACCAGCTGGCCATTGCTCACAAAGTATTCACCAGGAGACTCAGTCGTACCAGCGAGCAGACTGCCCATCATCACAGCCGAGGCACCTAGAGCAAGACCCTTCACGATATGACCCAGGTTTTGAACACCGCCGTCGGCGACGGTAGGAACGCCAAATCGGGCAGCAAATGCAGACACGCTACGAACAGCAGCAGCCTGAGGACGACCAGCAGCCATAACCTCCTGAGTGATACAAGCAGATCCACTGCCCATACCGATACGCAGCCCGTCCGCACCGGCAGCAATCAAGGCTGCGGCTTGCTCCCGTGTGACGATATTACCCGCGATCACGTCAATATCGGGAAATGTCTGTTTGATGTACTTGATCATATTGATCTGGTATGTGCTGTGGCCTTGAGAACTGTCCACGATGACGATGTCCAATCCCGCATCGACAAGCTTTTGGAGTCGGATTTTGTCTGCCTCGTGCGTGCTCACGGCTGCTGCGCACAGTAACTGCTTAGATGGCAGCTTTGATGCCAGGGGGTAGTGGATATTTTTCATCAAATCGCTCCGAGACAGCAATGAAACCAGGCATCCGTCCTTGTCCACAATTGGCAGCTTGCCTTTCTTTGAGCTTCGGAGGACTTCGTTGGCCTCGGCAAGTGTAGTGCCTGCCGGCGCGGTGACGAGGTCGGTTGCCATAACGGCCGTGACAGTGTCCTCGGGCGTCTGATGGAACTGGATGTCTCTGCTCGTGACGATACCGAGAAGCTTTGAGTGCAGGGTGCCTTTTTCTGTAGTATATCACAGGTCAGAAATAATGATTTCCAAAGAGAAACTAAGAAACTTCACTCACCAGTCACTGGGAACCCGCCAAATCCCCATTTCGCTTTCAACTCCTTTGCCTCTCCAACTGTCGTCGTGGGAGACAGAACAACGGGGTCCAGGATGAAGCCATTTTCATAGCGTTTCACCTTTCTCACCATTTCAGCTTGCTCTTCTGGCGGGCAGTTATTATGAATTACGCCCAGACCACCTAGAAGAGCCATGTGAATAGCCATGTTGTGCTCAGTAACAGTATCCATAGGAGAGGACAGGAGAGGGGCCTTGATGGTGAACCGTCTAGTCACTTTGGTATCCAAAGAGACGTCGGATGCTGGGAAAGCTGTTGACGGATGCGATTAGACCTAGCGACTACAGTAACGCCGTCGATTGCCTTACTGATAGATCCCGGCAAAATAAGAAAGTCATTGTAGGTCAAGGCTCCATGGCCGTCCGAGTTGAGGAGGGTGTCGACGTGGAGGCCATCGCCGGAAGGATACTCTTTGAGCACTTCCAGGGCCTTGGTGTAATCTTGAATCTCAATCATATTGTTGGTAAAAGGCTTACAACAATGATAGGTAGGGGGTGGGAATGGGGATAGTTCCCAAAGAAAGCAAGAGGGGCAGGGAATGGAAGTCCTTTTAAACAGGCTCTAGGGGTGGCGCATCAGGCAAAGAGGCTCCTATTCGATCAATTCATGACCCACAGCAACTTGCTTTCCCTCTTGTTTGGCCTGGACTTTGCTAAAACATATTGTCTTACCACCATTACACGGGCATATCAAGCTAACGGGGCGGAAAGGGGACCAATCAACTTGGAACGACTGAGTAGTCGATTCTCGTGTATAGATTGTCGGTGTGGACCTTGACGCAGCACTTGACTCACGCTACCAAACCGGTGCGAGAAAGACCTCCCAACAAGCCTGTTGAAAACAAGCACAAATGTGCTGTATATCCCATTAAATATGAGCCTTCTGAGTACTGTCGTTCTGCTATTGACTTTCTACACCAGGCGAATGCTGGGTAGAGACAGTGATCAGATTTTCTTTGCCTGTTATGACCAAAGTACAGCCCCGATCACACCCCGGTCTCGAACGTCAACTTTACTGGCCTGCATCAATATTTTCTGGGGCTGATTACGTATCAGTATCCACTCCTTTCATCGAGAATGGAGGATTCACACTGCACTCGCAATCCTTTGGCCCCATGAAACCAAAGATTCGAAGGCGCTAAGCAGATCATTGAAGTCTAGACTTGGGGCCAAATCGGGGTTGACTGATTTTCCAGAGCTGATTATCCGTGAAACTTTGAGTCTCTGGCGCACGTTTACTTCAGGAAAACTTGGATATGTGAAAACTGCATTAGTTGACATAAGTAGCCCGCTCTATCTGATCGACCCTCAATTAGCTCATTCCATATACTAAAGAGGGTCACAAAAGCTCGCCAATTTTTTCTGGTGTCAAGATACCATCCAAAGCAGGTGTCTCTATTAGAACATCGAACAAGTTGCGATTGTTCTCGATAGCAGATTTGCAAATCCCGTAAGCCATATCGTGAGCGTACTGCCATCTACTCAAGATGCCAGGCCAGAGGCACGCTCAAAGTGAGTTATGAATGCGTCCAAGCTTAACGAGGCATTCGCAAATAGCATTTTGGACGTAGCAAGAATCACTTCGCTTGAAATATGATTGCGCTTTTGCGGCATAGTTGAGGAGGTCCCGCGATGGGGAACAAAGGCCTCGATACTTCGTTCAATTCGTCCGAGAACATTATCATGAAGTCCAATGCGATCTTCCTTAGCGTATTTATTAACCACAAGAGCCAAGGTAAATAGAATCTCAGCAATTTTGTCTCGGGCAACATGCCCACTGATACCTGAATTCTTCAAGCCAAGCTCTGCAGCTAGCTGCTCCCGTACCTGAAAACCTGTCTCATCAGATCTTAGTGACGCGATGGTTTCCACGGCACCACCAAATTGAACAAGCAAGCAACGCTCTTTGATTTCGACGAAGGAAATTAGACAGGTAGACAGCACACTTGTATCCGAGGGTACAGGGAAGCGCATGTTCCAACTGTGTTTGGCCTGCCATTGGCCTGGAGATGTTGTTCATCCAGGTTATATAAAACAGCAAACAAGTACAACCCACGTATCTCGGTAGGTATTTGCCAGCCCTTTCAAAACATCCTTCAGAGTATGAAGCTCTCTCTCTCTCCACCCAGAAAAACAGCGCCCGATCTGAAGCATAGATGCATCATCCATGATATCCTGTGTTGTCGCTCCCCAATGAATATACATAGCAAGATGCTCTGGCCTCCGTTCGACCAATTGCTTAATGAACGGAAATACAGGAAACCCGACTATGTCAGTGTCATTTGCAAGGCGGTCATTACTATTGCACTTATGTTAGCCTGAACCCTACATGTCTAGTGAGTTCTGGAGGACCTTACTCGAGAGCGGAGACAGCCATGGGCGGATGAGGTATAATCGGTAGGATAAACTAGTAAAGAGAGATTTCTAGCCCGTTCTATCAGCCGGTCTCATTATTAGATAATTCGTCGGCATACATGAGGGCCGAATTGAGATATGATGTGCTGTACGGAATAAGGCCTTGTCCCGGGCGCTTGGAGGAAATAGGCCCGGGCATGGTACACTACCGTTGCCACATGAGACACACTTGGACACATTCCGTGAAAATTGATATATTCTGTACTTGAATATGGACAGATCTCTTGTCGTACTTAACAGTACTCGTTCAGAATCTTGGGGTTGACCATGAAAATTCTGCGAAGAACTTCTTGTATTTGGTCATAACTAACCCAGTTAAGTACGATGTCCTGGAGCAATAGATAGATCTCCAACTCTGACAGCATTACTAACTCATCGATCTGGTTGAACATTTCTCGTCTTCAACTTCGCTCTTGTCCTGGGCAATCTCCCGTGGGGAAAGAACCGTCACCTTTTATCTTTTTCCTGTTCGTGAACATCTACTAAGCAGACTGACTAAGAATGGTTGTGATGTATCTCACTTTGCTACAACGATCACTGAATACAACTTAGCCCCTGCAGTCAGAAATTCAGAAGATACCTCACCAAGCCTGGTCATTTCGACAGGGTATGCTCTCCGAGTCCCGTTCGGATGTCTGACCCTGCAAGTCGCTCAACTGTCCGGAGTCCTTTCCATCAAACCCCGGAATTGAGCGTTGGGAAAGAATTGTGAAACGTTAAGTAGAGCTGCGCTCAGTCCGAAAGACCTTGGGGATCTGGAGGATCAACAATTATAGTGCCCGAATGCGTACAGAGAACATGTACTTCGGAGGAAACTGATGACACGGATATTGAAATGGTAATGGTGGATAGGAAATACATAATAACGTCATGCTTCCGGTACGAACTATGGGGAAACCGAAACTTCAGTGTGCCTAAACTTTAAGGCACCTGATGCTTCTTCGGGGGTGCCCAGCTGTCGAGCTGCGGTTGGGCTTGGGCTTGGGCACCGGGACACCCAGGATCCAAGGTACCACTTGGAAACTCTCACCTTTACCGGTTATTCTACAGGATACTTAATGGATTAGCCTCTAATTTTTGAGAGTACCTTCAATCAATAAATAGAAGGAAGAATCTATGGCATAATTGGAATTCCAAAAAAAAAAAAAAAAACTAACAATGGAGGGTGAGCTGCGGCAGGGTTGTGATGATGGCCCAGGATCTGTGAACCCGAGTCATCAATTGGGTTTCATGTCTTCGTGTATCCGTAAGCGTCAAAGCAGTCACAATCCAATAATAATAGCGACATCGTATGCCTTACATGTACTTCGCGCTGCAACCAAACGCAAAATAGTTAGGGCTAACGCCGATCCTACGTGGCCCCAGTTTAGCGCGAACGTCATAAAAATAGCATTTTCATCTGAGCCTCATGGAGAGTTATTTTCTCAGTGTCTTCAAGATTGTGAGTATTCATTCTAAATATTCCAAGTATCCTTCTTTGTAGAGCGGTGCCTGGAGAGATTACATTCAAGAAGAATCGAGTTTGCAAGGTCCATTGACGCCGACCGAAGCGCCTCGTAGCGCTTCTTTGTTGGACCCCGGTTTCCTTGAGGGCAGTGCTTCCTGTAAAGCCCCGCCTTGGAGCCTTAAGGAATTTGGTGGACTGTGAACGACTCTGCGATAATTTACAATCTACTTCTCCCATACCTGATCTCTCACTTGTAATCTTTCGCATCCGTTGGAAACTATTTGCTTGAAGGCCTGAAAGTACGGCTGGCATTACTGAAAGTGGTAGTGAATGGGATATATCGAGTACCACTTGGCTTTTGCCTTCTTTCCGGTGGTGGTTCTTTGTCCGATTCGCCTTCGAGTCCTCACATAAACTCACCGTACCGGGAAATTGCGCTGCCCAACGTACTATACCAGCAACGATGGTGAGATTTATACCCACGTTCTACGAGCCCAAAATCGAAAACTTATCTAAACAGGGGGAATCCGCCGGTCAATCTGTGAATTCAGTGACAGACCTGGCGGTCACAACATCGGTTGATCAATATGTCAATATGGCTGCGTCAACGGAGACTGTGGCACCAGATCATGCCTTGCTTAGCAGTATCTTACCATCAAGCGAGGAGAACTTTCCTGCTGGTGAGCCTGTGACTGCGCTTCCACCTAGCTCAACCTCAATTACGGAGACCAGCGCGGAGAGTAGTCCGACGCAAGAACAAATTACCATAGTGGACCAATCAACGCCTTGGACGCCATCAACCACGACTGCATCTCAAACGACAGCCTCAACAATATCAACAAGTTCGTCTTCTAGACCGACCTTATCAACCCCCGCTGTATACTCCACCACGATCTCCTTAGCACCTGAACAGACAACCGACCAGACAAAATCAGACACATCAATCAGCGAACCAGGCTCCTACTCAGGCGGCACCTCGACAAAAGCGAAAATCGCAATCGCAGTCCCAGTGTCAATAATAGGCTTAGCCCTAATAATAACACTGATACTGTTCCTCACACGACGCCGCCGTCGCGAAAAAGAACGCCACAATCTGCCCCCACCCTATGATATGGCAACGAGTCAAACAACAGCCGTCTCAACCCAAGAGCTAATGGTCTCGCCAAAGCCACAGACACCAGCAGCAGCAGTATCTCTATCTAGACTGCCAATCCTGAATGTTCCGCCTTCCTCTGCAGGCGGACAAAGTCGTGATCCAACTCCCAGTCCCAGCTCTACGCGCCGTATGTCGGTATCTCGGGTTTCTGGGCCGAATGACTCCAGGACCGAGATTGGAGTTGCCCTTGCTGTTCCACTAGATCACCAGAGGAGTGCTACAGAGCAAGATTTCAGGTTGCCGTCGCGGGGAACGATGCAGTTGGCTCGAATGCCATTTGACAATTCTTATGCTCCGGATGACGATGCTGTCTCTGAAGTCTCGGATTTGGATGGTGGGCGGCGGGATACAGAGTTCGATGAAGTATCAGATGTCTCATCCTTTGGCACTGTTTCGCCAGTTAGGGGTGGAGAAAGGAGACAGTATCGATGAATATTGGGAACGGCTGAGGGTATTTATAGATGGGATGATTATAACGAGGCGTTGAAAGTAGGGTAGTTTCATGTAGTTTCTTTGGTCTGGTATTTGGATTATACTACAACTGGTTATGTTCAGTGTACAATTAAATACATGCTGCACACTTCAATACTCACACATTTTACTACATTCGTGCTAGAGTGACTCTATCCCTCATCCTCTTTATTGTCACGCATCGACTATCAAATGAGGATAGCTAAACGGCCTCTATCCATATCAGGCAGCACGAGTAGGCTTCATTCTATATGCCTGGATAGAATTCCTTACAACCCCGATATCCATCCCTTCAACTCCAACTATACCACCACTCTCAACATCATACCTCATTTACCTACAATCCAACTCACAAGTCTCTTCCTTTCTCCAATGGAACTCTAGTTTCATAAAATGCTAGACGACACTTTGCGAGTAGTAATTCATTGCGCAATTAACAGACATACGAAAACGTGATTGTGGGTCAAATAAATGAAATGAGTACGGCCCACTTCGAGACTTCCCGTCTGTAAATGCCCCATTTCGCCACCTTTCGCACCAACAGACATCAAAAAACATCAAAAAACATCAAAAATGTGATGGGACGAGCCGGGATCGAACCAGCGACTTTACGAATTCGGACTGAGTTAAGCTTCAGTCGTACACTCTCCCAACTGAGTTATCGTCCCATTGGATGATTGGAGGTGACGGCATGTGCCACCTTCACCAAATCAGTCAATTAAGAGAATTACTACACGCTAAGCTGTTGATCAGAGTAATCAGTGTTGCCAATTGCGAATGGGGATTATCGAACTCTGCCATTGAACAAGGGAGCAAGAAAAGTTCGGCTACAATCAATGTTTGTCTAAGGAATGTCTTCTTGAAAAATCTACAAATGCGAGTAAGCAACCGAGTTGCCTGCTGCAGCATCCTCAACAAGGACACTTCGGTTCTTCTCTTGGCTTGAGACAGCGACATCCAGACCAGGATTGCCAGTGAAGAAATTAATAGGTTTCAAGCCCACGATCATCTTCTCAGAGGGCATCACGGGCCAATCCTCAATGCGAGGGTTATGTGTAGACCCGAATGTATGCCAGACGACAATATCTTCATTGCGGACATCCGGTTTGCCATTGGGATGTTTCTTGCGCTGCCCAATCATAGAATTGATCCCTTCGCCGCCTAGAGACTGCATTGTATGCCGACCAGACGGGAAGAGCTCGTCGTCTTGGTAGCGAGTCACCCAGACGGCATGGCTGCCAAATTCAGATCGTTTCGAATGGTATGATTGTGGGTGGGCGAGTAACATCTGGCTATAGCATGGCAATAGTTTGAACCCAACTGGTGTTCCTGTGATAGGGTTGAGCTTGTTTTCGTTGATCATTTTGAAAGTGCGGTTAGTCGCGAAATCCAGATCGTGGCCACCTTCTTCAGTGATGATCTTTGACTTTGTTGTATAACCAGCGCCGAAGGGATTGTGAATATTCGGGTCATTAATTGGCATGGGATGAGACTCCTCGACTTGCAGCGAGTTCTCATTTCCGTCAATTGCTGGGTCAATTCGAAGAGAGAATAGATGCTGGTGGTATGGTGCAAGGACACCAGGTGCAACAATCGTGCCGTAGCCGACCTTGTCACTGGTGTTGATTGGACAAGTTGACAAAATGCCAGTGGCTCGCACTTCATAATGAATTGAAGCCTCTTGACCGAAATGGAATGCAAATATATATTCGTAGTTGCTGACTGTGATGATCGTTTGCAACACCAGAATCCGTGAGCGAGTGACCACAGCATTCTGTGTTCGGTGGTTTGTATGCTTCCACAAAATACCGTCATCCTGTTCATGGCAGCAGACCACGTTTGGAAGCTTCAGAGGATCACCAGAGGCAGTGTTGTGCCAACCGTCAAAGTACTTGATCAGGCCAAGGCAGTCACATCCAAGGCGTAGATTGTTTGCATTGAGACCAGCACCATCATTTCCAAGATCAAAGGCTGCCTTCCGGGGGTATGGAGATCGTGGATCGCCGTATGGCACAAACATCTCGGACAAAGACAGACGATAGAACAGGCTTCGGCCCTCATAGCGAATATCATGGAGTGTCAAGCCCTCGCGGTAATTGAAGCCCACGCGCATCGTCCATTTCTCCCAGCTTAGCAGATTCCCGGCAACTTGAAAAGATGGACCCTGCGGCTGGATGACCTGATAGGGTTTCGTAGTTGTGCGCGGTGGAGGTCGCAAATCAGGATGATACTCGCTCAATTCAGGAGAGTGGACTTTTTCATGGTCATACGGTCGTGCATGTCCGCGAATACACTCTTTCTCGGAGGATGGCAAGTGGTAGATTTGAGTAACTTCAAGTTTCTCCGACACTTCGGCACAGAGATCAAGGGGGTAGGCATAGAAGTTTGCATCGGGGTGGTCAAGAAGACGCATATAAAACCAACACTGGAAGCTGCCATTAGACATGACAGCGAAGAATATCGAGTTGTTATAAATACCATAGTTGTTCGCTCGGCCATGTCTCGCATGCCATCCGTTGCGTAGGCCCATGGTTCAATAACGACAGACGCGCCCTCGGGCAATTTGAGCTTTTGAATCTCTCCCTGGACTCTTGAATCTGCTCTGCAAGCTTTCTCAACAGCTTGCATGTATGAGCTGTCGATATAGGGATGCTTTCCCACCAAGTGGTCCTTCTTTATGAGCCTTGCAGAATCAAGATCCACGAGAAGCTCAACGAACTCATACGATTTCGATGCAGATGGGATAGTGACTTGAACTCTTGCAGCTCGGGGGGGATGCGATGTTTGGGTCTCATCAAGATGCTCCTTCGCAAGGAAAGCAACCATCTGCTGTTTGGGCGGCTCTTGGAGAGTGATCACTCGGAAATTGAGATCATGCCCGTTGAATTCTCGGCGGACAATCTGGGCAGCCTGTTTCCCCCATCATGTAAGCAATGGACAGAAGATTGAATCAAAAGGCCCAACCTTGGCGATTTCCCGCGGGGACAGAGGATCGAAAGGGTGAATGGTAGACATAGTGAGCATGAGCTGGTAGATATAGTAGTATATGAAAGGAAGGATCGCAAAGGAATTCCTGCAAACGGTGCAGTGGTAAGATATGTCCCAAGTAAAACGCAGTGTATATGGCTAGAAAAGATTGAGATAGTATTTCCTCAGTCCGTTAAATGTGTACTGGAAATTCTGCGGCGATGTTCGCAAAGGTAAGGAAATAGCCGGGATCAAATGTTGAACCGTCCGTGGACACCAGATGATTGCTTAGGTTAAGACTTGCCGGTATATCTGCGCGATATTCGCTAAGGTTAAGTATAGCCGGACAACCGTGGGCAGATTCCCCGCACCGCTTCGGAGATAGCAAGGAGTGACTCTATTGGCAGCAAGGGCCGATTTACTTGGACTGGTATCTCAGAGTATAGATGTTTATTATCCACTATCTGCTTGGATTACATCAATTTGACCAGAATATCATTCCGGTCAATGCTATTTCACATAAACGCTTATGTAAGGCGATGGACGGTGCATGAATCGTGCTCGTTTATCTTCCACCACCGAAGTCCGCCTTGTAGGCAGTCATTTTGCCCTTGGTCAACTCGCGAAGAGCCATGGTGGCGTATTGACTGGATCCAAGCTGGAACTTCAGAATGACAGCCAGCTTATCGGGCTGCTCATCTGTGGCGATGTTGATATCGGCTTCCCGCTGCTTCAACTTGTCCATGTCAGTGGGGACAAACTGCTGATCATCCTTGGAGTACATCTTGACATCGAAGGAGTAGTCGTCACCCATGCGGCTGAAGATCTTGCGGTAGCTGCCGCTCAGACTCGCGTCACGCCACTTGCGGCGCATGTCGAAAGGATCCAATTTACCACCCTGCTCACTGCCCATGAAGCTCTTATAAAAGTCCTTCACTTGGTTGGCCGGGTAGATAATATCGTATCCAGGCTGGGGGAGAACCAGGTCAAACAGAGTGTATTTGCCGCTGGCTGCCTCTTCGGCGGTCAAAGCCCGGGCGCGGGTGAACATATCCTCCGCTGCGGTGGCGCTGTCTTCCCCTTGAGGCACGATGATGATCTCTCCGTCTGCATCAACAGTCTCTTCCTTGGTCTCAGGGGCCTCGGTCTCCTTGTCACGGTGCTCTTGGACAATAACAAGATCACCCTCTACAACTTTATCGCTGTAGAGTCGCCAGCGCTCACCGACAGCAAAGTTCCAGACGAGGGACTGGTATGCGTGAACGTACATCAACCGCAAGTTGCGGGGAATGGATTGCAGGGCACCCAAGTAATCATTGCGTGAGTTAAGGAGGTGGCGGATGATGTTGCTTTCGGCAGAGAACTTGCGCGGAAGTCTCGACAAGATGTCGTTGGTGAGGGTTTTGGCCCCGGTCGCAATCTTGGTCTCAAACATATGGATGGCCATAGCGCGAGCCTTGTCATCATTACTAATGTTCATGGTAGAGGCATCGCCTTGATTTGCTGCCTCGAGAACGTGAGGGCTATAAGACAGGATGTCGTCGCAGGCACCCTTGAAGTCTGACTGGAGAATCTTGAGACCGATAGTGTCAGTCCGAGTAGTGAAGGTTCCGAATCGCTGAAGACCATAGTAGTTGAAGTATCCGCGCTCGCGGAGGTTCTTCAGAGAAGTGCCAACAACTTCAGTGGCCTTGGCGACTGCGCTCTCGGGGTCACTCAAGTTGACACCGGGAATATCAGACTCGCGCAGAGTGATATGGAACTCGTTGCCCAGCAGATCTCCCAGGTCCAAGCCCTGCTTGCTGTACTTGAAGTCACCAAGAGTAGCATTACGAAGAGTCGGGTTCAACTTGGCAAGTCGCTCAGCAAGAACACGGGTGGCGCAAGCACGCTGCGCGGTAACGCCGCGGCGATCCTTGGTTCCGGCAAATTGGAAAGACTTGGGGTTCATCTTCAATGAACGAGCGATAAAGGAGATGATTTCCATGGTGTCCTTGTTCTCCTTGTAGATTGTGAAATGCAAGTAGGGTCCTCCGAGTTCTTCCCAGTTGATACGGGGGCCCTGACCGCGGGCTCCGCTATCGCCGCCGCGTCCTCCCTTGTTCGGAGCACGCTTGAAACGGTTGTTCGCTGCGGTAATAGCCATGTTACCATCCTGGTCTGTGGTCGAGTCGATCTCAGAGTTGAAAATGCGACGAATATTCTGGTGAATCTTGGTGCGCAGGTCGCGGTCAGAGATAGCAACTGTGACCTTGCCGAACTCGCTGGGCCGGGCCTTGGGCTTAGCCATAGCTTCCTTGTGCATAGTAATGATTGTGGTGGCATTCTCGGCGCCGAAGAATTCGCTCAGAAGCGCGCGGTCCTCATCCGACACTTGGAATTCGACTGGTGTTGGCTCGGCCGTTGGCTCGGCCGTTGGCTGAGTTTCCTCAGTCGGGTCCGTAGCTTTGACCCCCGTCTCTGGGGCCTTCTGAACAGGCTTGAGTTTGGGACCGGCATCCGGTGCGTTCGTGTTGCGGAGGTGAACAACTTCGCCGGCGGTCGTGATCTCGTTGACCATGAAATCGGTGTATCTGCGCAAAGCTCAGCATGGCCCCAAAAAGCGCAACAACTAGTATCTCACCTCTTTTTCAAGATACCCGAAAATCCTTCATTGTCAGAGCTCACAAACTCAGTGATTCCGACCTCGACTTCCTTGACACCTTGGGCGTCCGAAACCACGGCGGTAGTGGTCGGGACATCTGCGGCGCCGTCACCAGCAACCACCATCTTCTCTGGGCTAGCATCGCTGGTCTTTTGGCGCTTGCGCGGCGACTCCACGAGATCGTGCTTCTCCATTATCAATTGGTTGGAGAGGGTGGGGTTGGAGGAAGATACAGGGTCGAGCTCCAGGAACTTTTCTTGACCGATTGGGGATAGCGCGGTAGGGCCAATGCGGGGAAGCCCTATTACCTGATTCGGAAGTATTTCCAACTGCATCTATAAGATTGATCTAGAGAATTCCTCAAGTTTGAGATCTTTCTAACAAATACGTCACTTTAGAGTGATCTAGGTTGTATGAGTATTTAATCCTCCGCAGGATACACAACTATCCGATCCAGATCTGCGCCCTTATTATCAAACCCGTTGTTAAGACTTCCGATGGTTATTTTGTTGTTCTTTCCCTTCTTCAATGTCAACTGGATTGGAGTGGAGAGAATAATCCCCTTGTGTGTGTCTCTCTGGTACAGAGTCTCGATGTTTGTCGAATCTCCGTTAACCACCACGCTGCTAATCCGACGCAGCTGCCACGAACCGCCGATTCTGTCTGGGGTACCTCCAGCTATTGAATGCATTAGAACTGAGTTTGTTTTAAGTCTACATATTGAGTGTACTTACGTTGATCACCAAAGCCCATATCGTCGGTGTCTAATAATAAGTCAGAATCCTCCGAGTAGCACTGGAACAAAGCAAACATACTTTGATAGTAAAATGAGACCCATTGTGGTTTGCCAGAGCCCTCAATATTCTCGAACGTGACCGTACTATCATTTCCATATATTCCGGTGAGGATGACTCCGTCGGTGGCAAAGTTCTTTCGTACAGTCAGCCATCAAGTATTGAGCATACAGAATATGGATGTACTCACAGCCTCCTGCTTATAAGCCCCACCTTGCGTCTTTGCATCTTTGGCACTATAAGTCTTGCCCTTGATGGCTTTCCATTCGCCGGTTTTCCTAATATCCAGTTAGTGGACTAGGTCTGCTCCAGGTATTGAGGAGGACATACACGTCAAGATCGTAAACGTCGTGCCATTCTACCGATACACTCTTGCCTTTCTCGTCAACTTGAATCGGCAACCAGATATAGCGACTATCCCAGACAGAGTTCGAGTCCCACTGGTCACCAATGTAGAGGTATGTTGTCTTTTTTGTTCCCTTTATTCTTAATGTAAACCCGGACTGCGAGTTGAAAGTCCGTGTATTCAATGCTGAAATAATGAACGGCTGGGACCAGGGACCGCTCAGTGAATCGGCGCGGAATGCCACCACGTCTGCATCGTCAGCTAAGTATTTTGTAAAACATGGGATATCATGAGTCTTCTCACTGTTAGGCCTATAACCAGTCTTGTGGCTCATGAATGCCCAGTAGCTTTTGTCTGTCTGCATGATAGAAGGTGCCTCAAGATCAAATTTGGGGAATCGATACACCGTTTTCTCAAGTGCCGTTAGGTTGTCATTCATGCTTGAGATGTATACATCTCGCCCATCTACACTATCACCGTTCGAGTATAGAGCATAGGATCGGCCGTCCTTGTAGTCAGTAAACATGCCAAAATCCTGTGACCAGTTTCCAAGGGGTGCGGTTGCATCGACAAAGCTGTATGGCCCGCCGATCTTGGAAGACACCGCATGGCCTTGCAGAAGAAGCCCGTATGTTGAATTATCAGCATGCCACCACATCTGTTTGATCAGATTTGTCTGTTCATGCGACGTAAGGAGAACGGTGTTCTTACATGATAGTCCTCTGTTTCCGAACTGTAGGCCACTTTAGGTCGCTGAATAATGTTACCGGGAGAGATATATTGGTGTCCCTCAATTGGAGCTATGAATTTTCAACTGTCAACTTCCTTTCGCTGTCAATCAAATCTTGTAGTCCAAACATGTACCTAATGCCAGTCCCCCAGAAGTCCAGGTGCTCAGATCTTCGGAACTATAGACGGATACGCCTCCGCCTTCCGGCTGATCTTCTGTTTTGTACTCGCCAAACCACCAGAAGCGGCCTGATCCCTGATCGAAAGTGATTCCAGACCCATGTGCGTTGATCAATGAGCCATTTGTGTCTTGCCATCTACCTCCAGGGACAATATACTTGCCCTTTGCCGAGATGACCAAGGTCGTAAGAAAAGCCAACGATGCCCACATCATGGCGGTGTAAGTTATGCCGATGAAAATCCTGGCTCGGTATAACAGGGATCTATCATGTCTTAGGGTTAAATTTATAAGCTAGCCCTTGTCATTCAACGTTCGGTCTCTGCTGTGCCGACAATGCGGGGTAGAAGAAGAATATTAGGTGCGTGCACTTCGCATGACTTATAGTAGCTTGGTTCTGATAATATACAGAAGCCCCTTGCAGTATGGGTTAGGTTTCTGGAAAGCGGAGGCGAAAGCTGGTCTCAGTAGCAAAAGCAAATACAATAGAAGATCGATCGGCGGATAAACCGTAATGAGATTCTTGTCACAAGCTTCGATAAGCGCATGTAAAAGTCGCTACAGCTGCCTATATGTCGGAAAGACTGGGTTAGTGAGTGTATGTTAGATAGTCTGTTTGAATATAGAATGTATAGTTCACACTATACATTCTTGCAATGCAAATTAGAGTAGGTACTTGGCGGCACGCTTTTTTTCCGGTTATTCATGGTCTTGATAAGTTCTATCTGGCCAAAACTAAACAAGCTCTTTAGAAATCTAAGTATGATTTTCTTTGAGCGTGGAACAATGCCCATGAATGCCAAGCACCCCCGCAATAATATCCCGCGCCGGAGATTATATAGCTTCGGCTAAAATGGAGCCGACAGCGTGGGCCATTTGAGAGACCTCCTGCATACATTGCTTAACCGAAATGGCATTATAGTGAGCTATCATTCATTGGTGCAAAATTACTGTTGTCAAATCCAGAAAAATATGCCTGTTCAGGGACTTAACTGGCCATCATTTTGTTTGTGTCGTTCTGCACGGGCAATGACAAGTCGGACGAAGACAGATCAAAATAGAGATGCTATCTCGCAGAACCGGCATATTAAATAGTGCGATAGAAAGAAAAATTGAGATTACAGATCCAGATTAGCTTTCACCATGTGGCAGTCAATCCCAGTTATTCTGGCCGTTTTGGTGGCTTCATTCGGCCCAGTGGCCGCCAAAGACCCCCAAAAGAGCTGTACAATCAAGAGTGGCGGGAGCAATGCGACCGATGATGCCCCAGAAATTCTAAAAGCATTCAAAAAGTGCGGCCAAAATGGAAGGGTTGTATTCGAGCCTACAACATACTATGTCCACTCGGCTATGAACGTTTCCTGGCTTGAAAATGTCGATATTGACATTCACGGTACTCTTCTGGTATATGAATATTTTCTCTTCAGACTTTATATTATTGAATATACCCCCTGACAGACGGATTTGCTGATGAGTTATCTCTCTGGTCAGTGGAGCACTGATATCTCATACTGGCTGAACAACTCAATGGAGGTTGGATATCAAAATCAATCAACAGCCTTGAGACTAGGTGGTAATAATGTCCGAATCAACGGATATGGGAAGGGCACGTTTGATGGCAATGGTGACTATTGGTATCAATGGATCAGACAGCAACCAAACACATCCAACTACCCAGGCCGGCCGCACGCTGTGACCTTCAGTAACCTCAAAAACTCGGCGGTTCGTGGCCTCACATTCCTGAGGAGTCAGATGTGGTATGTGAACAGCGGAGTGTCTTTACTACCTAGTTTGCCTTGTTTTATTAACAAAAATTCTAAAGGACAATGTCAATCATTGAATCTTACAACGTGTTGCTGGACAGTATTCTCGTCAATAATACCGGAAACTGGGCACAGAGCTGTAAGTAATTTGATCAAAGTTGACATCATTCGCAAAGAACGCGAACGCTCACCTGCCGCAGCTAATACCGATGGGGCTGATACCATCCGATCTTCACACATCACATTCAATAACTGGACCGTCTACAATGGCGATGACAGCCTATCCATGAAGGCTAATAGCACTGACATAACCATCACAAACAGCAAGTTCTACAATGGATTAGGTATTGCCATGGGAAGCATTGGGCAATATAAAGACCAATTCGAGACAATTGAGAGGGTGACGGCCAAAAACATTGAATACTACAACACTTTACATGCCGTAAGTGAACAGTGCCCTAGAACTACCACTGAGTAATACTACTATAAGAAAGACATACTAACTATTGAATATTGTAGTTCTATATTAAGATCTGGACGGCCGACCAGAATGGCTACCCACCGAACGGCGGTGGTGGAGGACTCGGATGTAAGCTCACCTCCCGAGCCTTTCTTGGATCCGTCTCCACGCTCTATTTATGCTGTGCTTTCAAGTTGGCTTACACATCTACCAGTTGCATCCGATATGAAACTCACAAACCTCACCACGACAGGACTCCGTGGAGCTGCGTTCGCAATCTCTCAGTGCACGCGATTTTCTGGCGCGCCAGGCCAGGGCAACTGTACAAACTCAGAGTTCCAGATCAAGAAGGTGGAGATTCACGGTCTGTCTGGTACTAGCAAGTCAACACGGGTTGCAAGCCTGCAGTGCAGCGCTGTTGCGCCATGTACCAACATCACCATCAGTGACACTGCCCTTCTCCTTAGTAATGGGACTGCGGCGGAGGCTCATCTGTGTGGGAACATTGAAAATCCAATTGGATTCAATTGCACCGGTACTCCATGTGTAGGCGGAAGTGCCACTGGGGAGTGCTAGGTCTGAGATTGGTATCGTTGGGAATGACTCCTGATCAGTCATAGCACATTTCGACAAAGTGCTTGGTATAACGGCTCGCTGCTGATGTGACTGCAGTTTACAATGAGCAGTTCCATGTCTAGCATACACATTTACTTGAGAATTCTATATCATTTTTCAACTTTGACTGTGTATGCGGTAAACATCTCAGTGGCCGAGTAGGCCTAGTATCATTTTGTGCATACCACCATGGATTTTTACAAGAGAGGTCTACGGTAGTCGAGACGCCAGAGCTGAAGCTTAGATACAGCCATTTAGGGCGAAGGGTATTATAGAACAGCCACCCGGAGAGAATACCAATGCGACAATTATCTCGTTGGGTGGGTTTCAGATACAATGTCATATTCAACCAGGCCAAAAGCGTGCATCTCAAGCTACTCAGACCCATTTTCTAGGATATTTACTACTATTGAATCTGTTATGAGCAGTGCAGAGCCTATATATTAACATTTCTAGCATGAGAGAGCCAAGATTCAGGTCTGGCATTGGCTGTAATTTCCTTTAAAGATCTAAGTGACTGTCCAATGCAAATGGGATAACCTCCCGCAGAAAATGAAGGCCACGCGTCTCCCGATCAAACTGCATGAGCTTACCTCAGATTAAGGAGCCTGTTTTCAAAGTAGCCAGGCTAACTTGAAAGGATAGAAGGGAGCTCAGTGCGGCTGAGATTTCATCCCTCGGTTGAGGGATGAGTTTAGCATGGAGGATGGAAACAAGAAGCTCTGTGAGTTTTAGAAGGCTGTGACGGCCAATTGCCGAGGTCTAAGTCTATGATCACTCCATGCGGCATTGGAGCTTTTCAAGCTATGACTACCAGCTGCCAGGTAGGTTTCAACCATCTCAACCGAACAAGCAAATAAAATGCAAAATGCAGCACAACCCCCTACAAATTCAAAATCCAACGCTCGGGTAACATAGCTGACTGGAATATGCGCATGAAACATTACAGTTGACTCTGGGGAATCCACTCAATCTCCGACCTGAGGCCATCTAATCGGAGAATGTACGAAGGAACTAAAGCCGAGTCCGGGGTATAAATTGGAGACATACACTAGGTGCTCAGGGCGTTAGTTAATCGTTCTATCAATCCAATCCAGCTGCCTCTCAATTTATCCGGTAAGCCCTTTGTCCATTGAACTATACAAGCTCTCTCTGCATATCCCCTGCCACCTACATTTAGAACAACAAAACTAACGATCCAATCTACAGCACCCCAAAATGAAAGCCTACTACATCGTCGTCCTCTTCGGCATGGCCCTCACCGCCATGGCCGCTCCTACTAGTGCGTAACACCTGCATTCCATACAGAACCACACCCAAAGCAAGCATAGGACCCTTCTAACAAAGGAATGATATACCGGCCCCGGGGGCGGAGGAGGCGGCGGCGGCCTCGGTGCAGGTGGTGGTTCTGGATCAGGCCTTGCGGGCGGTGGCGGTGGCGGCATAACCATTGGAACTGGCATTTCCGGGGGATTTGGAGGTGGTGTTGGTGGAGGATCTGGATCTGGTCTTGGAGCCGGATCAGGTGCCGGTGCTGGAGAGGGTAAAGGGAAGGGCAAGGGTGGATGGTAAATTTGATTTTGTTGAGTTGGATATGACATGGCTATTGGATGTGGCATGTCTAGTCGTTTCTGTGGGGTTATACATTAACAAAATGGAATGGGTCAAGGCTAGTCAAAGTAGTACTAAACGGGAAAGTGGCGCTCATCCCAAACTCCATTGCTATTCTTCTCTATCTTCGATGTAGGATGCATGATGCATGGGATGCGTTAGAATGACAATGCTCTGCGCGTTTTAAGATAAAACATAGACAAAAAGGAAATGCAGAACAGGCCAAGAGAAGAAGAAAACAAAATCGATGAATATTTTACAGCTCATCTTTGGGAAGGTCTTCCTTCTCCTTCTTGGGCTGCTCCTTGGCCTTGGCCTTCTTCTCAGAGTCGGACTTGCCCTTCTTTCCCTTGCTACCGGAACTTTTCTTTTGTTGTCCCGCCGCGGCGGTCATCCGCTCGTAGAGACGGTTGAGGATGCGCTCGAAATCGCGCAGTCGGGAGTCAACTTCCACCAGAGTCAGGGCTGGGTCGTCGGACTCGGTTAGCTTCTCCTGAAGACCGAGTTGGGTATCCAGCCAGGGGGCGGTGGACTCATAGGCCTGGGTGAGGGCAGTAAGGTCAGTGGGAGTGAAGAGGGAGTACTTGGGGCCAGTGGGCTTGGCGGTAGCGGCGGTCTTGGTGGATGTTGTGGAGGTGGAGTAGGTGTCCTCATCGAGGTCATCGAGACCCTCATCGGAGGCGGCTGGGGTGGGGGTGCTGGTCTCAGACTCGGTAGAAGTGGCGCTCGAGGCGGAGAGGGAAGACGAGTAGGTTTGCTCGTCATTCTCGATTTGGTTCTTGATCAGCTCCTTCATCGACTCGGCGTTCTTGAGCATGTCCTTGAGCAGCTCAACGCGAGCAGGACGAGCGGAGCTCTCCTTCATGCGCTTCAATGCTGGGTTGACGATGTCTTTGAGGTCCTTGAGCTTAGATTGGAACTCGGCGGTCTTGGCATTGTCACTCTCCTCGTATAGCCAGTCACTGGCCTTGGAGGCGCGCTCGGAGAGGAGGGTCAATTGATCAGCCTTGACAGCCTTGACGAACTCCTCGTTGTCGGCGAGGTCCCGGCTGCGGTAGATGAAGGATTCCAGCTCGTTGAGAGCCTCCTCACGGAGGATGCGGTCATTGTCGGAGGTATCAAAGGCAGAGAGGCGGGCGTGGATACGAAGGAGCTCTGCGGCCGAGGGAGCTGGGGTTCCAAGAGGAGTCGACTTCAAGCTGATGGGAATGATCTCAGTCTTGATCTGGGGGGTAGCCTTGGCGTCCTTGGTAGTGGTAGTGGATGAAGAGCTGGCGGAGGTTGTGGTGGCAGACTCGGTCTCAGGCTCGAGAGTAATAGACTCGAGCGGCTCACCATTCTCATCGACTAGGGGTTGCTGCTCATCTTTCTTACCAAGACCAAAGAAGCCCTTGACATCTTCAACAATTCCCTTCTTCTCAGACTCAACTTCACAGCTGACGTTACCACCAACAACTTCGGGGAGACCGTCAGCAGGGCTGAGGCGAATAGCGAACTTGGTGGTGATGTTGGCAGTGGTACAGCCGAAGGTATCCTTGAGCTTGGCAACGGAAGCAGTGAGGTTCTGAGTTTGGACACTGAGTATAGCCTGCTCTTCATTCTCGGCGACGTGTTGAGCGAAGCTAAACTCGAAGTCCTCCAGATTCTTCACGGTGACCTGCTTTTCAAGGCCGACCTGAGAAGTGGCAGTGAAGAGCTTCTGGTTTCTATCCTTTCCGTCAGAGTTCCACTTCAAGGAGACAGGGTATGAAGCCGCGTCACTGGCACGGATATCCTTAACACGGAAGCTGGGGCTAAGGGCAGCGCCCTTGAAAGCAGCACCAAAGACAGCTGCCTCATCGGCGTTAACATTAGTTCTGATCTTCTTGGAAGAGCCACAAAGCTTCTCAAGCTGCTTCTGGACGAAAGGAGTGCGAATGGCTCCACCGTGGAGAACGACGGAGTCCATGTCATCCAACTTTAGGCCGGCGGTAGCCAAGGCTTGCTCGACGGGGGTTCCAATACGGGCGATGTGCTCGGCGGCCATCTTCTCAAAGTTGGCCCGGCTGAGCTTGTACTTGAAGTTGAGATCGTCGTCGTACAGACCCTCGAAGCTAGTGGAAGTCTCGGTGTTGGCGCTCAAAACCTGGCGGAGCTTCTCTGCGTCCTTCCAGAGTCTCGACATGGTCTTGCCATGTGCCTTGACTTCAGCGACCGTGACCTTGTCCTTGAGCTTCTTGTCCTCGACCAGCTGGGAAACCATATCGTTGACAATAAGATCGTTCAAAGAGTCACCACCAAGCGACTTATCCCAACCAGCACCAATCACGTGAACCTCCTGGATAGTCTTGTTGAACTTGCCAACATCCTTAACCTTGCGGCTCTGGAACCGCAGAACGCTAGCGGAGGTCGATCCAGCACCCATATCGTAAACAACATGGTACTCGGGCTTCTCGCCATCAGAAACACTTGGGAAGGTACGGCTGGTGGCGTAGTTTAAGCCAACCGCGAGTCCATCGCTGACAAGAGCCTGGATCTTCAACCCGGCAAGCTCGGCAGCCAATTCAAGGCTCCGCTTCTCCTCCGCGGTGTAAAACGCAGGGTAAGTAATGACGACATCACGGACATCAGAGCCCTTACCAGCCAGAGTATCAGCGTTAGCCTTAATCTGCTTCAACTGCATGGCAAGAACCTCTTCAACCAAGAAAGCCTCCTTCTTCTGCTCCTGACCGAGACGGTTACTGCGGAGAGCAACGGAGCCACGGCCATCAGGCGCAGTCTCCAAATTCAATGCGGGGAACCGACTCCAGTAGCTCTTGACAGTCTCATCGGCTCCATCGTTAAATGGAACACCCAAAAGCGTCTTCAAATTGATGTAAACATCATCCGGGTACCGAGCCGCCAGGGCGAGCGCATCACCACCATAGAACCGTTCGGGGAAAGGTGCATCGCTCTCTCGTGTAGGCTTGAAGGCGATCGCGGCGGACTCCTTGCGCTTCGAATCCTTGGTCAGGACGATCTCGAGCGGGATACCGGGTTTCACTAGTGCGGCCTTGAAATATTCTGTGCCAACGTCGATGCCCAGAACGGCCGATCCGGCGGCTGATGCTGGCCCAGCAAAGCTGAGAAGGAAGACGAAGAAGGGGAGGACGATGAGGGATATCATTGGGGAACTAGATAATCGTCGGCGATTGAATGCCATGATGTGTGTTTTCGTGCTCCGGCTGCGGGAGTCAGCCAAATTGATGATTCGGGATTGCGGATTCCAATAGATGGTGCAGGTCACCCACTTCGAGCACGTTTATAATGGTGTCTAAGGGAATATCTAAACGTTCCACCGGCTTGCCGAGTGATGTGTCGGGATTCGAGTGGGACGCTGGTTTGCGCCAGAGGTATGGAGCTATGGAAGAGCTCGAGTTCGGCGTCGAGATGGAGGAGACGTCAGGGAGGTCGACTGGTGAGAATGGGGAGAGAAAGCAGTTGAGTCAGAGCGATTAAGCCATCCGGAAAGGGATACTGTGGCCACTTGAAACGTGAAGCCTGAAAGAGCTGTTGGATGAGGACACGGGTCATCATGCAAACATTGGCATGTTTGCACTGCTTATCGTTATCATATTACATAAGAGCCCTAACTCGACACTCGCAGGGCGGAATGGCATTGTTCACAAAGTACTTATATTTGAGCTGCTACAGCCTGTCGAAGGATTTGCAGAGTGTAATTATGAAATAAATATCAATTGACTAATTTATGTATGACTATATTAGGGTTCCATACTCATGGATAAGGAGCGTCAGTCGTCAACCCATTAATAACCGTCCTGCCAGATTACTCGTGTAAATTAAAATAAAAACTCAAGCATCCCCCAAGACCGGATATCCAGAATACAATTTTTTTTAGTCTTTTCATGATGATTTTTTCTTCGAAATTGTCTGTCCAATCTCCATTGAGCCGCTGTCCGTAGAGATGATATATCTCCTAGGGCAGGTTGGCTTCATTGGTGATCGCTTAAAGCAGAGCGAACAGAACGGCCAGACCAGGAATGAAGGCCACGATGGACTTCTGGAACTGAGCGGGAGCACTGTTGAAAGCAGGTGAGGAAGAAGCAGGAGGGGCGGAGGTGGAAGAGCTGACGGGGACGGAAGAGGACTCCACGGGGGCGGGGCTAGTTCCGGTGGGCTCAACGCCAGAAGGCTGAGGAGCGGGGGAGGTAGCCTTGGGGGGAACCTCGACGGAAGAGCTGGGCACCACAACGGGAGCAGTAGGCTCAACAGCAGGAGTGGTGGGCTCAACAACAGGGGTGGTGGGGACAGCCGGGGGAGAAGTGGGCTGCTCACAACCCTCGGTGCAGGTGAACACAGAGGTGACAGTGAGAGTGCTAGTCTGGGTCACGGGGTGAGTGTAGGTTGAGGAACCACTGGAGACGGTAGACCAGGTCACTGATATAATTAGCAATTGTCTTTCTTCAATCATTCAAGTTTACATACCAGGGCAGGTGGTAGTGGTGTAGGTAGTTGTCACGACCACAGGAGGGGGAGTGACAGTGGAGGTCTCGCAGGGAGTGGTAGTGGCGGGAGGGGCGGTGGGAGTGTCAGTCTCGCAGGGAGTAGAGCTGGCGGGAGGAGCGGTAGGAGTGTCAGTCTCGCAAGGAGTGGAGCTGGCGGGAGGAGCGGTGGGGGTGTCAGTCTCGCAGGGAGTAGACGAGGCGGGAGGGGCGGTGGGAGTGTCAGTCTCGCAGGGAGTAGACGAGGCGGGAGGGGCGGTGGGAGTGTCAGTCTCGCAGGGAGTGGAGCTGGCAGGAGGAGCAGTAGGAGTCTCTGTCTCGCAAGGAGTGGAGCTAGCAGGAGGAGGGACAACTGGAGTAGAAGTCTCACAGGGGGTGGAGCTAGCAGGAGGGGGCGAGACTGGCGAGACAGGAGTAGAAGTCTCGCAGGGAGTAGAAGTAGCGGGAGGAGCGGTAGGAGTGTCGGTCTCACAGGGAGTAGAGCTAGCGGGAGGAGGAACGACAGGAGTCGATGTCTCACAAGGAGTCGAGCTAGCGGGGGGAGGAGTAGTAGGAGTCTCCGTCTCACAGGGGGTAGATGACGCGGGAGGAGGAGTGGGAGTATCAGTCTCACAAGGAGTAGATGACGCCGGGGGAGGAGTAGGCGTATCAGTCTCACAAGGAGTAGATGACGCTGGGGGAGGAGTAGGCGTATCAGTCTCGCAGGGAGTAGAAGTCTCGACCGGCGGCGGGGTCGGGGTATCAGTCTCGCAAGGAGTTGAAGTAGGAGTCACAACCGGGGGAGGAGTAGGAGTATCAGTCTCACAAGGAGTAGATGTCTCGACCGGGGGAGGAGTGGGAGTATCAGTCTCACACGGGGTGGAGGTGGGAGTGACAACCGGAGGAGGAGTAGGAGTATCAGTCTCACATGGAGTCGAGGTCTCTACGGGAGGAGGAGTCTCGGTCTCGCATGGAGTAGTCTCCGGGTTGCCGCCGTGGTCACCGTGGTCTCCATGATCTCCATGATCACCACCACCGTGACCCCACCAGTCACCACCACCACCGCCGTGCTCATCACCACCACCGCCGCGGATGGCAATGCGAGCCTCAGCCTCTCGGGGAGTGATGACCATGCCGGACGCGAGGGTCGCGGCGTAGAGCAGAACGATTGGAGCGCCTCGCATCTTGGCTAGCAAACGAGTGGTTGATATAAAAGTAGGGCTCGTTTGTTTTGATAGGGCTGAAAGGACCCTTGAAACGAAAGACGATAGGAACCGTAGCGAGAGAGTTCCTAAACGGGCAATATATGGAATCGAAATCGTTTCAGAAGCGAGCTAGGACGACGGGGGGAGGCGTGGGTTAATTTATGTCCTCTGGGTTGGACCCCCCAAGAGCCCAATCTGGTGCAGGACGATCAGGATGCCAATCCTGATTGCCTGACTCACTTAGACTCCGCTTCCCGGCCATTTCCCTGGTAGGGACCGACGGTACAACGCAGCACTAAAAACAGACCAGGGTGGAAATGAAAAGTGGCGCCTGATCTTGGAAAGCCAACCAGACCCAGCATGAACGATCGGTATCAAGCGGTCGACCCGCGTATTTTCCAGCGCAGAGGCTGGGCCATGAGGTAGGGTATAGTACTGCCGGGTGCAAGAAGGAGCTAGTGCATGTACACGGGCCCGGTTGACTAGACGACAGGTACTGGGGTTGAACCAATGAACAGCTGACTCGGTCTCAGAGATGGCGTCTGGTTCGTCAACAGTCGACCGGGGTCCTGAATGGCAAAAGGCAAAGACTTTCAGAGCCCGACGCTTAAGCGGAACAGAAGTCGATGCAGGTTAGACCTTGGCGAAGCGATGTGTAGCTCTGCGATTGACAGTCATGGTACCCATGTTTGGTAAGGTACCCGATGCGGGCCTCTCAGAATTTTCCTTTCATTCATGTTTTTACTTAGCTTCTTGGCCATACCAAGTGGAAAGAGAAACATGATGATGCTGGGATCCATCCAGTTCCATGGTCAATCCAGGAACCCTTTTCCACATCCTAAGAATAACCTGGAGCTCGGTCCCTGTTCTCCATGTGTTAAGAAAATGTGTGGGGAAACCTCGCAAATGAGAATGAAAATTGGCGACTCGTTCCACGGGACATTGACCACGCTTTACCGAATTGAAGTCAATTGTAAAGAAAGGACCCATCGCAGGGTCCGGGAAAGACACGGAACTTTGTGATTCCCGTGCATTGGTCTGGACTTGCTCAGTGTGCAGGGTCCACGGTGGGTCAAAAAGAAATTACCGATCGGAGCTGATGTGGAAAGGATATTCGATGAGAATGTGCCTCACAGAATATAGAGAGAACTTGGAAGTGGAATACAAGTGTGCCTGAGCGGCACAGATGGTGACGTTACATGACTGCCGAGCATGCAGGAGAGTGGACTGGGAGTGGAATTCCCCTGAGGGTTTTTTGCCCCCCAAGGAACTTCCTCGTCCGATGATGTCAGCGGTTTCTCTACAGTACTGTATTTATTGATTTCTTGATTTCTTTGTCTTTCATTTATTTATTTATTTTTTTTTATGTGTCTCTATTTTGTTAAGTATTACATGATGTCTTTGTCTTCCATCTTGGCCTTGTCCAATGTCTCGGAACTCGTGATACTACTGCCCTGGAGTACAACACATACTTCGTACTATTGTCTAGAATTGTCAATTTGACTGATGATCCCTAAAGAAAACACATTAATGTACAGAGTACATAAGATGGCGGGGTACTTTACAGCAATAACCAGCCTCCTTAGACCTCCCCAGTATACATGCAAGTACAGAGGGGACCTGTCAGACGGTAAATGCGGGGAGTCACATTCCCAGGGCAATGATTCTGTCTTACATATTGTGATGTCTCAAACTCTGCCGCCACATGTTGGGGTTTACAAGACGCTAACCGTTATTATCTGCAGCGAATAATGATTCTCGGGAGGCTGGGCCGGGATTGTCACATTTTCCTAGTCAACGCCACGGCCACGGACATATCCCCTCCCCCCCCCCCCCCCCCCCCCCCGGGATCCAACCCACACATAACGGGCGTAGATACTAAATTTGGAGTAATATGGTAAGCCACCCATGCTAGGTCTGGTCCTGAGGAATGGGGCATTTAGCGGGGAGGAAATAGGGAAAATAGAGACATAATGGGATAGTCGACCGAAGCCGGCTATACCCTGGCATTTATTTAATTGCAATGATATCAACACTGGTCATGGATAAGGACATGGTGGACTCAGTCATCCTCATCGTCCGAGCCACTGCTCCACCCGGTCTCGTAGAATTCTCGAATCTCACCGAGACCGTTGATCATGTCTTCGCGCTCATCAACGGAGACCATGCGAGCGGCAGTTGCCGAAAGGGCCTTGATTCTTTGGGCTGTACGGGTCGAGGCGGTCAATGCGGAAAAAACGTCGATACCAGTACCTGTTTTGGGGGTGGGGAACATATCGTGAGGGAAGCTGTCAAGCATAGGCAGGCTGAGTGGCGTGTGGTAACTGAGTATATACAGCGTGAGCTTTTTCCCCGCTGAGACAATGACTGGGAAGCGAAGGCCAAAAAAGGACTTACATTTGGAGCATGGCCTCGGAGTTGTAGAGCCTGAGTTTCCTGAGGTGCCCAATATCCCTCTCGCCAGTGGGCTCTCCCTCTTGTTCCGGTTCATTCCCACGGGTTACCTGGACTTGATTGAAGATGTGGGCGCCCTGGTGCTCCCCGTCATAGGCGAAGTCAATGTCGAATTCAGTTTCAGCTTTAGGTGATCCTTCTTCATTGGAGGACTTTTTAGTATGACCGTCATTGACTTTGTTGATCGATGTTTGCAACTCGAAGATGGTGTGCGTGCCATCCTCGCCTGCCAGAGAGGCCTCGAAATGCTGGTACGGCCGCAGCCGGGAGGGCAGCGTGACCGTCTCAATGGCCGAAGCGATCAGGGCCGTCTTCTGCCATTCTGATTGGCGATCCACATTGAGGTAGCTGGGAAGCTTATGTGGTAGGTCAATAATTGGGGCGTAAAGGGATGCCTGTGGTGAGATCGAGTACAGCGACCTAGCCTTGTTCGTATCTTTCTTGAACTGGTGATGCTGTTCAAAGTTCAAAACTTAGCCAACCAACTTAACAACTCTTTGGAACGGCACTTCTGTGATACTTACCCTCTGCGACCTCGTACCATCCTCGATAGCCCAAACCCAAATACTCTTCTTTCCGTATTCGTCCTTGAGTCTCTCGATATACCGGGCCGCAAATCCACCCCAGGCATCATCTGACCCGGAGAACAATTGCAGTGCTCGTAATTGATCACACTCCTCAAGAAGAGGTCTCACATCACGGTCGATCAGATCATGCTCCTTGTCAAGGTTATGAAAGAGGTCTTCTCCGACGTTCCAATCCTCAAAAGGCATAGTTTGAGAGTTCAGCTCGTATTCGTTCAGCTGAACTATAGAGCGTGGGTGGTAGAACACTCGGTTGTAGTCCGACCAGTAGCGTACAGACTCCGATGTTAGACGAGGAGCTTGAGTACCCAAATCCAAGCTTCTCTGGTAATCACTAGGCTGAATTGGAGTTTGTCTTTGAACAATCTCTTGACCATCCCTGTCAAATGTTAGCTTGGTTATTACATCAATCTATTTCATCAACTTGCACAACATACCATAGACCTTGGCCGGCATTAGAGTCTTCGGTAAGTTCGTAGAGTGCATTGTATCTGCGCAAGGTACCGAAACCACCTTTGAGGTCGTAGATTACTGTCCGAGGAGTGTAAGTCTCAGAGCCATCAACACCGACACCCGGTCGGAAATGGACATCGTGATCGACGGTGGACTCTTCATTCTCATTGTATGTGAAGTATGATTCCTGATATGGATTAGACCAAAGTTGGGCACCAGGTGAGATTGGCATTACCTGTAAGTTCCAGAAGTGTGTGGCCAGATAGTTGGCCCGCTGGCCTAGCTGAAGAGTGACGATTTCATGCATCTTAATGCAAGCAATAAACACTGTCCAGGGTCGTCCGTCTGTAAATTTTGATATTGGCAATGCGAGTCAACGGCGCACAGACATGACGATGGGCGCTAGACCCGATATGGGTGCGGTTTGCACGTGAGAGACTAACTTCATTGGGGAAGGGGCAGGTTGTCACCACAGCAACAATCACATGACCTTCCAAAGAGGGCAATAAACATGTTTGTGTGGGTGCGTCACTTCTTGAAACTCCACAGTGATTTTCCCCCGTGGCATAATCCTTATTTTCTCGTTCCTGTGATGCTCCTTTGACACTGTGACCTTCATCGGCTGGATCTACGAACTCAGAATCTGCGATGGAGTCTCCAACGCGTCTTCCTCCGAGCCCCTCAAAGGCGCTCCATCCGTTGTCGCCGGAACGCATGAATCAACAAACCATACCCGCATCGCCTTCGCTACCAGCCGACCTCCTAACACTACACCACAAAAACGCCAGAGGCGTCTCAGAAGTCCAAGCAAAAGTGGCTTTTTTAAACGGTCTATCGCGGGGCGCTAGTCCTGGTGGTTCTGCTGCCAACAATGCAGCCATCCAGAGGGCTATCCTCGGTCGCGAGGAGGCCGAGTCAGCCCTAGCCACCGCGCAGGAAGAATTATCAGAAGCCGAATCGCGAGAACGCCGAATCAGCGAACGCCTCGAATCCCTGCTAGAGGAATTACACGGAACGAAAGAACGCCAGGGACATGAAAGATCAATTTTCGAAAAAGAAATTCGAAAGGCCCGCAAAGAGGCCTTCCGGGCCGGATCGACATTGGTAAAACTTCAGGAGGAACTGAAGCATTCAAAATCAGAAGTCAAGACACTCAAAGACGAAGTGTCATTAGAACGAGAATCCAAAGAAAAAGCCAAACAGGAGGCATTCGAACGCGCCTACGCCCTCGCTGGACTGACCGAGGAACTTGAAGTTCTCAAAGGGAAACTCCGGTCCTTGGAAACGGACAACCATTCTAGCAACCTCGAAGTCCGCGCCCACGAGATTCGGAGAGAAGACTTCGGCAGAATGTCATTGGCAGAGGGCGACCTCGCCTTTTTGACTACACCACGGAGACCTAAGCGTGCCGCTGCAGGCTCTGTCCGATCCCCCGCCTTTGAACAAGAAGAAGACGAAGCGGAAGCTACACCTCCCAAGCGCCCACGTTTGTCTGACGTTGCAACCAAGAGTGAGCAACGTCCCTCCGAAGCGGCCCCCGTTGAGGTCGACGAAGATGTCTTGGAAGAACTGAAGGAAGACCTTGTATTCGAGCGCCGCCGCAGGGTTGCCGCAGAAGAGATGGTCCACTTCTTGAACATCGAATGTCAATTCGAACGCTGCTCTTGCCGCATTGCTGAGAGTCAGGGTCGTCGCTACATTTACGATCGGGATTATTACAACCAGTTCCAAAAGCCGGAGATTGAGGCTGCCGAGGCTGCTCAAGCTGAAGCTGCCCGTGTTAGGATTGCCGAAGATGCGCAGGCTGAGGCTGCTAGGATTGAGGCTATTGAGGCTGCGCATGCCGAGATTGCTCGTCTCAGGGCGGCCGAGGCGGCCCGGGCTGAGGCTGCTCGCATTCAAGCCGCTGAAGCTGCTCGGGTAGAGGCAGCCCGAATTGCTGCTGCTGAAATCGCTCGGGCTGAAGCTGCTCGTCTTGAAGCCGCTAAAGTTGCCCAGGCGGAAGCGGCTCGAATTGAGGCGGCCGAAAAAGCCAAGGCCAGGGCTGTCCGCGAAGTGACTCCTCAGCGAAACAGCGCTGAGATTAGCATCGACCAGGTTATCTCTCCTCAGCCTCCTGCGCGTGAAGAACCAAGTCGGACTCCCGTCCATGAGCCACCTACTCCACCGGTCCATCAGCACTTCGAACCTGCCGTGAAGACTGAACCCACGGAGCCTCCAAAGATGCCTATGCCCGAGGAGCCTGTGATTACATTCTCACCCGAGACCGGCACATTCAAGGCATTCCCATCGCCTATTCGAGACAATGTCAGACCCCTACGATTTGATTCCACGCCTGATCTTCCCAAGCCGCAGGAGGATTCCCACGAGGAGCACATTGATCCCTCGGCGTCGGTCCCTCACGTCGAGTCCTTCACCCCATCTGGAGAACCCGCCCCTGTGAGAGTGCACCGTGCTCCACCCTCCAATGTCTCCCGAAATCAGTCCACAGCACCCCAAGCTGCGGAAGCCAGACCGGCACGCAGGGTCGAAAGAGACGCGCATGCTCATCGCTCGAACGCACCTTTGCCCTCGGAAGCTAGGCCTGGGAGACGTGTCGAGAGAGAGCAGTCTCAACCCTACCCTAAGCCCGTCAAGAGAGCCCCCAGTCGTCAAGAGCCACAGTCTCAGCGCACCTCTCACCCCGGTATCCCTGACACTCCCATCAACCGCGAAGAGGCTCTCGCTCAGATCAGAGCTCGACGCGGCCGTGCTCGTAGCCAGCAACGATCAGTCAGTGCCACCGAGGCCAGTCGTGCAGCTCGTACTTCCGCCGGTACAAACCCCAGTGCGACTCGGGGACCTCGACGTCTTCCCAACCTCCGGCCTGATTCTAAAACCGAAAACGATGTTAGCGAACGCCGAGATATGAGTGCTCCTGTTCGGATGTTCCGACGTTAATGATGTCCTGGTGTCCAGGATGCATAGTTATGTCTTTCTTCACTTTTGCATAGTCTGCCGGTGCTTCTCGTTTTCAATACCCCCCGGCGCTGCATAATTTGCTTGTGTTTCATTTGCATGGCGATTGGAAGCAATCTTATTTCTTGTTTTCTTTGTTTTGGTCTTATGGATGTCTTATGCTTGCTTCACGAGTCTCACTATACTTCATACTTCACACTTCACATGGATTGATCATCTTTCTCCATAATTTTTCTCCTTCCCTCGATGCATTTCGGCTTGAGTATCTTTCATTTTTGTCTTTCCTATGTGTCATTTCTCTTCTTGTGGATACTCTTTACTCTAGACTATTCGGTTAAATTCTTTCCTCTCATGGACATTACTTCCAAAGCATTGTCTCCATCACCCGTCATGCCATAACCTGAGGTCCACACATTGCTGTGCATGTTGAATGAGATACCAGCATGGTAAATCCGTACGATATCTGCAAGCCTAACCAACAAGTAATCGAAAGATATCAAATCATAAGTGCACGGGTATATTCAAAGATAGAGAGCCAGCTCATCTACAAAATCGAAATACCACAGCAACGAATCCTAGCACTATCAACCTTAGCCGCACGACCCCACCACAAAGAAACCAACTCCTCAACAAAGATACGATCAGCAGCACTCCAAACATCAAGCCCCATCTCCGCCATATCAGCAACAGTGATAGTAACCAACTCATTACCACGATCTTCAAAACTGGCTCTAGAACCAGCCTGCGAAGAAGTATACGCACCAGACCGCTGGCGCAGCAGTGGGCTGTATCCACCATCGCCGTAGATGGACTGGCGCGACATGGACAGCGATAGATCCGTATCATCCTCCGCGGGTTCATCGATGTACGGCGCATCATTGTACGAAGCGTCGTCTTCGTCACCGCGGACTTCACTATCATTGCGGGAGATTGCGCCGGCGAGCGTGACGAATATTTGAGAAGTTAGACGGCGGAAGTAAGCCACCAGTGCAACTTCTACCGGTTGCTGTGCTGGGTCTTCGGGGTTGAAAGAGCGAAGATTGGCAGAGGGGTGAGCGAGGGACTCGACGCTGGCGAGGAGACGGCTATCTTGTTCTATTTGTTGTTGTTCTTCTTCCTCTGAGAGGCCGTCGCGGTTCTCGCCTGCGGACGCCCACCAGATAAAGGAGGTGTAGGCTAGTCTTGTCCAGGAGAGGGGTTCGACGACTGGGCTGGAGGAATAAGTTGAGTCTGCGTCTGAGGAGTCTGAGTCGGCGTCTGGGTCTGAATCTGGGGATGTGGGTCTATTGGAGAATTGGCGGAGACCCCGGCGGAGCATGGAGAAGCGGCGGGCGTCGCGCTGCGTTGCTTTCAGGGGGATATGTTGGGTTTGGTTTGGTTTTGGACCTGTTGTGTGGACCAGAGAGATCTTGGGGAAGCTTCGCTCGCTGGCGTGTTGTGTGTATGGTGCGGGGAGAGTGATGAGAACGTCGAAGAGGTCCGGTTTCATTGTTAGGACTGTGTCTGTTGAGCAGGCGATCCAGCTTGGGTCTGTTTCCAGGTCTATCATGCTTCTGGACGGGTCGAAGGTGGAGAGGTAGGGGATGTCGTGGATACCGACGTTAAAGAGGGGGCGTGGACGGAGGGGTGGGATGCGATCTGAGGGGAGTAGCTGGAGAAGGGAGTTCGGTAATGAGGCTAGGAGAGATAGATCATATACTACTGCTGATTAGCAGTTGATGGGTATCATAAAGCTTAGGAAGCTTACTTACCATAGTTGCATGGTGTATGCACGGGAGCCTCTCCCATGAAGAGGATGCGCTTTCGCAGCAAAGCTGCTCTGTACAGAGGGAAAATCAAGGGTCCGAAGGAATCCATTAGGCCAGGAAGCGATGAAGCAGGATGGAATGGCGTCAAGGCCGGTCTGAACGTCTCCAACACCATTGCATCGCTGAAGGCGCGGGTGCGATTCGGGTTATCTGGCCGCTCGCCGGGCCGGAATCGGAGACTCGAAGGAGAGTCCATTGGGGAGTCGGGGGCTGAAGAGTCAGGTCCTCCTATCCGATATGACTCCCAGTAGTCAGACATAGGCTGCATGTCCTCCATGTTCGCGGCATATTTCCTATCAAGCACATGTGTCAGTCGGGATCCCCACCCGCCAGGTGTCTGGAGATACGAACTGCGTAAGCTCCTTCAGCTTTGGGGCGTGCCGCCAACTTTTGCCCAGTCTTCCTGTGCTGAGAGGGACAAGCACGCCGATAGCGAACATCTTCGCATTGCGCTCGGCCTCTGTCGCGGGATAGTTGAGGAACGCGCTGATGCCGGCACATTGCTCATGGACGAAGTACCTGGAGCGCGTCAGTAGGCCCATAAAAAGAAGCCGTGAGATATCTTTGGACGTACACCAGGTCCTCTGTCACATTGTGTAGTCCCGATGGCAGCGATTTGTATTCCACTACCCCTTCAACCTCGACTACGGACAAGTCAGTAATGCGCGCCGACCTCGGTTAGATGGCTGATTGCTCACCTCCAGGAGCAGTTCGTTTCCACGAGACCACATATCTATTTTCGCAACCAGTTAGCGATGAGTTCCCAAGCTGTAGCTGCGATCCTAGGGGAGGAGTAAAAATTACCCGGTCCTGATGTCGAAGCTTATCACAAACAGGGCAGCGATGCCGGGGGGTGACTCCATGGAGGAACGGTGGACGTCAATGGCCAAGGGCCTAGATTCAGAAGCCATTGTGAGGAAAAATCATAGAGCGCGACTCCATTGAAGGAGGTCGGAGAATCACGGTAATGAGAGGGGTGAACCTCGTAAGGTCCCTGTATAGGGTGCCTAAGGCAGAACCTCGGGATCTATACTTTGCTATGATCGACTTCATTGTTGATTTGTGGCTATGATGCATAAGAAATTTAGTATAATAGTCAAATTTAGGAAAAATGAAGCACCCACGAGTTGGTTCGGTTTTCAATCTTGTTTCAGTGACTTGGTCTAACACACACTGTAGCTATACATAATTTATATCAGGTTAGCTGTGTGATAAACATGTCACAATTCAACTTTTTTTTGAAGTAGTCAAAAGAGATTAGAAGACAGAGAGCATTCAGGGTCAATTCTTATATCTATTTTGATTAGTCCAATATTCTCACCTTACTACATAGCCAAGCTGTGGTTGAGCTTGTTTGTTCCCACTCTCCACCGCCCAGCCGAGCAGCATTTTGACACTTTCCCATTAACTTTCTATATTTATATTGAGATTTATACATCTCGAGTCCTTGGTCTAGACCTGACTCTGTCATCTTGACTCGACACAATGCATGAGAGCTCTTCTCACCCCTATTACCCCCTTGACGCCAACATTGTGGGTTATGAGCCCAACCAAACACCGGTCTTGGAGCTCCTCTTCTCTGCCGGTGGAGCCTGTACTGTACTCCTCGGTGTGACTTTTGCACTGGCCAGCTATGTAAGACCGACCTTACGCTTGGCAGATCGAATCGCCATCCTGTGGTTTGTGCTCTGTAAGAAGCCAATTGCAGCCCCGAAGAATCAACACTGACAATAGGGTTAGCCGGAACATTGCACTGTTTCTTCGAGGGCTATTTCATAGTCCACCATGAACACATGGCATCTGCCCAAGACCTGTTCGGGCAACTGTGGAAAGAATATGCCCTGTCGGATTCCCGATATATGACTTCGGACACGTTGGTCCTCTGCATGGAGACCATGACGGTGGTGAGTTAGACCAACACGACGATTCGCCGATTCACCGATTCACCGCTGATTCAACTCAAGCTTCTGTGGGGACCCCTGTGCTTTGCTGTTGCATACTTGACCGCAACCAGGCATTCCCTGCGCCACCCGATCCAGGTCATTGTGTGCATGAGCCATCTCTACGGCGACACGCTGTACTATGCGACCAGTCTGTTTGACCATGCCCATGGACGGCCGTATTCCCGACCGGAGCAGTATTATTTCTGGCTGTATTATTTCTTTATGAATTTCATCTGGATTGTGGTCCCGTTCTGTATGTTGTGCAGCAGACCGTTATTCCCTTCCCGAGTGCTGACTTTTATAGACTACCTGTATGTCAGCATCACCACTATCTCGGCTGCGATTAAGCGACAAGAACCGGAAGAATATAAGACCAAGTAGCTTCTCTTTCGTCATAGCTTATATTGCGGAGGCGCCCTGTGGAGCAGGGTTGGGCCAGAACAGCGGCACAAAAGGATTATTGTGAATTCTTAGGCTGAAAAGGGGGAGAGAATGTTGGATATAATACAGATTTGTAGTGGGAGGTTCAAGCGATAAAGTAATATGTATATAAATAACATGTACAAATAGAAAGAGGGAGAACGAGAAAAGAACAATAGTACAGTACCTCAGTACAAAGAGCAACGCGTACGTTACCTATGACGCTGCAGGCAGAACCACCTGACGCGCAATCCATTTTCCTTAAACATCCGAGTGATCTCCTCTTGTGATCGAAGATCGAGTCTTCAGACTTGAGAGCTGTCAGGTGCAAAGTGCAAATCCTTGCTTAAGAGATGGTTGGGCAGTGCTCGGCATCGATCACCGTTTCCCAGCAACCAGTTAAGAGGGGCTTATCGAGTCAGCTCCAACTTTGTTTATGATCCCTGAAGGCTTTGCGATCGTCAAATGCTTGACTTTCACTGATCCCATCTGGATTGATCAGAGACTTGGGGTCAGGTTTCCTGGTAAGTAAACAGTGACGTCGCATCTGTGGATGTCAACAAACCGCGTTTCGGGTAATTCGACCTTTTGCTGACCTTTTCCCTCCAACAGATACCGATGCCGTCTCCTGCGACACCCAAACGCCCCCCCAACAGTGGAGGCACTGCGAAAGCCAAGCCACTGGACATTGGGGAGCCGCTGGGGGTCCACGACACAAACACCGTTCGATCTCGAGTACGGAAATGGCAGCAACAAGGCGGCGGAGTGATCACGATCGATGACGTCTGCGCGAATGAAGATGAAACTGCCGCGAAGCCAAAGCCAAAGCCAGCCAAAGCCAAGGCAGAAAGGCTAGAGCGACCGAAGGACACTCCCCCGCGGTAAGGAAGCGCAGCCACAGCACGCCGCGCAAACGAGTGGTCAGCGACGAACACTGGAAAAAGACACGGAATCGAGCCTCGACACAATCCTCGTCGCGTAACCTACCTCCACCCAAGCGCATATCCGAATACACCACGAACGATGGACAGCCGAGATCATCGCGATCGAGACGCAACGACAGCGAGGACGAGCGAGACATACCTCGACTCTCAAAGCGAAGCTCTGGGGCGGGCCCCAGATCTCCGGTTCGAGACTCCATGCCTAGCACTCGCAATATCCATATAATCACCGAGAGCGACTATGAGACAGACAACGGCAGGCCCGAGGCGGCCTCAGAACTCTCAGAAAGGCACAGGAACCGATCGCCTCCTCCTGAGGATGCATGGGCAGCGAGTGAAGGAGACTTTTCCGAATTGTCAAAGAGACGTGCTCGCGGTGCGCCAAAACCGCCAAAAGGGGGTATATTCGCGCATATGATCGATGAGTCTAAGAAGATGTTTGGGAAGCCTGAGCCAGAACCACCCAGACCTACGCCTACTCCAACCACAGGCCGTGGGGCCAAGATCGAGGCGTGGTTGTCTGAGACACCAGACCCTTTTCTGGACGAAGTCGAGAACAAGAGTGATTTGCCAGCCCCCCTCGATCTAAAATCAGGTCGAGCAAGGCGGTCCAAGAGACTTGCAGATGGAGAGCTTCAGGCTGGCACTGAGTCTGAACCATCTGTAGTTAGCGAGTCTCGCCCGAAGAGCGCCGAGAGCCGACACTCTAAAGGAAAGGAGAGCATCTCTTCAAGCGATAAGCCCTCAAAGTCCCAAGAGCCTGATACAGGTGACGAGTCGAAACGATCAAGCATAGACAAGAGTTCAAAGTCATCGACCAAAAGCAAAGAAGAGAAGCCGGTCCAGGAAAAACCACACGAGGAAAGCATCGTACCCTCGGAGTCCGGAACACAGCCCTTGTCTGAAGACTCTGAAGTTTCGGGCCATAATGCACCTGTGCCACTGGGCCGTAGCAAACCTTTCCCCAGCACCGGCTACCATCGACTATCTACGATTGCTTCAGTCGAAACCCTCAGCACGACCCTCACAGATGCAACTGCACCCGCACCCAAGAAGGCAGCGGCCGAAAAGCGCCAGTCGAAGATCGATGAAGAAGCGGAAGAAGCAGCAGAAGCGGAGAAGGACGACCAATTTGATCCTGAATCCCTCCCTGTGGTGTCGTCACAGCTGAAACGACGGCTCACAACTCACAATGATCTTATGTCTGTTCTATCAATTTCGACATCCCGAAGGGGAAGCACTCGATCTAACCGCAGCATCCGTACCAATAAGAGCCGCCTGGCCCATGCGACAGTTGACGACCTGCTGCAAGAGCTCGTGGGCGATGAGACAAAGTATATGCGGGAACTGAAGACATTGGTCGGTGGTGTCATCCCGGTGCTCCTGACTTGTGTGCTCTCCAGATCCGATTCGGCCATTGCTGCAGGTCTTTTCCGCCCTTCTCTTGATCCTCAAGATGATGTAAACTTTTCGAAGCCCATTGTCAACATGGGCGTTGCTATCGAGCGCTTGAAGAACCTGCACAAGCGGATTCCACAGGATAACGCGGATGCATTGCTTACCTGGGCGCAGGGTGCTCAGAGAGTTTACCGCGAGTACCTGAAGGCATGGAGACTTGGGTTCAAGGATGTCATTGTCAATCTCGCTCCTCTTGAGGAGGACGAGGCCTCTCAAAATGCGGACACTAAGAGTCTAGACGAAGGCTTGGAGCGGGATGAGAATGGAGATATCATCGACAGTGATGGAGAAAAGGTCGATGTCGCCTATCTTCTGAAAAGACCCTTAGTGCGATTGAAGTATTTGGCAAAGAGTTTCAAGGGTATCAATGTGCTGGAGCCTTCGACCAAAGCTGAGGAAATGGCCAACGCCTACCAAAGTCTGGTCTACGATGCTCGCAAACGTGTTCGAGACGAAAGAGCCAGATTGGAAGATGACTCCGCTGCTAGCATTGATCCTACCCGCACCAGAGACCCCATGACGTTGGGTGTCCTTCGGGGTATAGCTGTTGATCAGACCCGCCGTGTCCGAGCTCGTGATTTCTTTAACCTATCTCTATACCACTCGAGTGGTCAGCTGGTAGATTGCCGAGCCGAGCTGCTGTATCGAGACAACACCCCGAGCAAAGGCCCGGGAGGTGATCTGCTCATTTGTGAGATCGACCACTCTGATCGCTGGCTGCTTTTCCCCCCATGGATGTGCGATGTGTTTCAGCACGCAGGGGAGAATCAAAACACGAGATTGTGCTTATGCTGCGCAGTGCGCCCGGGGATAGCACCAAGTACTGGCAAGAACTGATCTCACTTCGCATTGACGAAGAAGAGGTCGGAGCTGAATGGATCAACTTGCTTGGTTCGGATCCTATTCCACCATCAATCTGTCGAAGCCAAAGCTTCATCAGCCGAGCCAAGCAGAATAGGGCTCGCAAGCCTACTGCCAGTGGCTCTCCCCCTAGGCCAAATCCCAATGATGTTGATGTTCCAATTGGCGAGAAGGCCACCGGAAGACGTCGCTCACTGACTCCAAAGGAGCACTACTCTGAGCCCAGTACTGTCAGCTCTGCTACCGACGCAAGAAGTTCCATATACTCCTCTGCCACCCGGGAAACCGACTATACCACGGGAGAATCAGAGTTGTCAGCAAAGCCATCCCGGTCTGATCTGCCTCTACTTCCATCCACAGATCCCCGGAACTCGCCTTCTAGCCCCGAAAAGTCTTCCGCAGGACTCAAGCGATCCAAGGCTAAGAGACTTTCTCGCTATGGCGAAAGCCCAGCTTCAGAGACTGCATGCCCACAGACTGTCGTATCTGACAAGCCCGATGACAGTCCCATTGTGTCTCCACCAGTAGCTACACCGGCACCAAGCACGCCGGCTGCTACCACACCAACGGCGGGCAGATTCTATGGTGGCGAGAAGTCTGACTCTGCGGACGCGAGTTCTCCAAGCCAAAAGCCGTCGAGAATCCCCCAGAAGACCCCACAGAAGTCGCCGCAGAAGACACCTGCTCGAGAGTCTCCCGAGCCTGAATCCCCAAGGGTATCGTCCGTGCCCTCGGCAGTTCTGCCTCTTATCCCTAAGATCCGAACTCCCAGTAGCCAGACCCACCTGTCTACTCCCACAAGCATCGACGACGATGAAGAAGACTATCCACCGCTTGATGCTCTACCAGAGCGCGATGTCCCAGAGACCCCGACAAGATCCAAGAGAAAGAAGTCTCGCAGGAGGCACAAGTCATCTGATGACAGCCCTCCCCCCCCCCCGCCTCATCGCTCCCCTAGCCCTTCCACCGGCAAGCGTTCGAGTACTCCAGTCCTCACTTCTAGCAATGGTGGGCTCAAGCGTCGCGGCTCTTCTCCCCTGAAGCACGAATATGAGCCCTCGACCGCTTCGGACTACACAGAGACTGATTCGGACGCGTCTACTGTCCGACACTACTCATACTCCTCATCGGAGTACTCTCGATCCGCTGGTTCATCTGATTCCGAGGACGAATATTCATCGGTATCTGACGAAGATGAAGATTATGAAGACACCCCCAAGGCTAGAATGGCCGAATCCACTCTCGAGGGTAGCTCTCTCTCGCCTTCCAACTCTGCTTCACAAGGTGGGTACCGTGCTGTGCCATTGCAGCCAACCAAGACATCCAAAACAGTTGCCGGTGTCTTTGCCTGGTCCGAAAAAGGAAGCTGGGAGACTCTGCTTCCTGACGACTGCGACATTATTGTCAGTCCTGGTCTGATCGAAGCCTTCAAGATGGGATCCGATCCCAATTCATCATCAAGACCGCTTATTTCGCTCGAACTTACACCACTCGTTCCTATTCGTCGTGGCACTGCCATTGACATCAGCATTCGCTCTCCTCCCACCGAGCGGTCCAAGATCACATCCAGTAATAACATTATGTTCCGCTCGCATAGCCCTGATGACTGTGATACCCTGTACGGCCTCATCAACCAAGCAAGAATCAACAACCCGACCTACATCGCTCTCCAAAACGCCCGCGGACCATTCAACGGTCACCCTGTTGCATCCTTCGAGCCCGCCACCAAGACCGGCGGAGGCCTCTTCGGCTGGCCCCGCCGTAGAAAAAGCTACCGTGCCTCCAGCTCCCCCCGTTCTCTGGCCGAAGGGTCCGAAAGCAGCGTAGGGACCATGAGTAGCGCCTTCTCCGCATTGAAGCGCTTCGGCGCCGGCAGCAAGATGTTCAACATCTCCCGCTCAACAATCGAATCCCGCACCGGCCGCGAAGACAGCATCCACTCCGGCTCCGGTGACTCTGGCACAAACCCATCCCCGAACTCAGGCATCGGCCGCATAGCAGCAGCAATCAAGGGTGCCGACGGTATCGGTCTCTCAAACGCCAAAATCCGCCTGTACGCCCGTGAATCCGCATCCAAATGGCGCGACATGGGCGCCGCCCGTATGACAATCATGCCTGCTCCACCCAAGAACCCATCCCGCCCGGGTACAGCCGTCAGTGGCCGCAGCGATAGCAGTTTGCAGAGGGGTGATACAGACGGTGCGAGTGGCAGCTCGCCACCAGCTTCCGGCGCAGCATCTCCACGCCGCGGCATGGAGACCGAAAGGCGTATTGTCATTCGTGGCAAGACTCGCGGCGAGACTCTATTAGATGTCTGTCTAGGTGAAAGTGCCTTTGAGCGTATTGCTCGTACGGGTATTGCTGTTTCCATTCGCGAAGAGAATGAAGACGGGTCCGTGGCTAAGAAGGGTGGTGTTGCTACGGGCTCTGGCAAAATTTTCATGATCCAAATGAAGAGTGAAGCTGAAGCAGCTTATACCTTTGGGCTTGTTGGTAAGCTTAGGTATTAGCGGAGACGGTAGATGAGTCTGGTATGGATATATGATCCAGTGAATGTGTATGTGTGAATGTGGATATGGACATGGATATGGGTATGGATTTGTATTTGGGTGGTGTATTGTGACTGTTGGCTGGCCTCTTTCTTTCTTTTTGATCTTTCCTTTATTTATTTCGTTTTCTTTATCACTCTTGTATATCGTCAGTCACTTAATGGCTTCTTTCTTTCATAAATATTATATCGCCCCATACAGGGATCTTTCTTAGATATGCTGTGTACATTCTCTACCCCGTCAACTGTATACAACTTTCCCTCCTCAGACCGAAGAGTAATATTGCTTGTGTAGTGTGGACAGCCTAGATATGTGAAGAGCAATATTCGTCCTAGGCCTGGAGGGACCATCGAAACCGCTATCACTGTTCATAGCAAAAGCAGCCCTTGGTACGACCCGGCCAATTGCATTTCCCGACTGATGACACACAGTAGCGATCAGTGGGTATCTCTTGTGAAGTTCGATCTTGAAACCGGGCCAACATGATCAACTGCGACTTGTATTCTCGAGGTCGTACGCAATATTTGTATAGCTTCAACAAAATTGCAGTTTAAATTATAGAGAGCCCAAAACTTTCCATGCAGTAAGCGTAATGTTGACTGTAGATACGACGGTGGCCGTAAGTCCTTTCGCAACCCACACCTCTAAACAATGTAGATGATCGACATAAGACACTCAAAAATTGGCCAAAAAAGAGATCAAAAAAGAGAGGTCAAGTTAAGGCACAAAAATGCAACAAAAAGTACATTCGCTTCGAAGTATTTGAATAGAACCTGCCTAATGCTTCATGGCACTGTGAACAGATTTATGGCCCCTGTTGTAATCCTATTGATGTAAATCTGCATTTGTATATCAACTATACAAATAATCTCTAAATGCAGAAACAGCCATAACAAAACACCCATGCCGATACCCATGAAATCCCACTGACTTAACATTATGTACTGATTTCCGCACCATTGGTCTTCTTGAAGACATACCCAATCATGTTACACTCGTCCTTCAGTAAAGAAACAAGAACATCATCATCAACAGCAGCCTCGAGATCCTCATCAACCCCGGCAGCGTCAGCTTCACCGGAGAGTAAAGTGGGATCGATATGCGAGTACTGCGCAAGAGACTGATGCATCTTGTCTTTCTGGCTTCGGGATTTGCCAGTCCCCTTCTCGTCCTTAGAAGTTCCCTTCCGGGATCGATCTCGGATTGCCTTTTCCTGTTTCTCCATATCAACCTCGGAAGCTTTGAGGAGGGTACTAGGGTCGGGCAAGTCAAAGTCATCATCAGACGGGGGCTCTGAAAGTTCAGACAGCTCAGACCCATCACCGTCACCAATGGCAGGAGTAGCAGCACCAGAAGAAGCCCCAGAAGCAGGAGGCAGCCCCTTCCCACAACAATCACAGCCCAACAAGTCATGAGTTTGGCAGCGGCTCTCCTCATCAAGACGGAACAAATCTTTCAGCTCCGCCGCAGAGAATTGCGCAACACTATTGTTCTTGTCTTGCATCACACTATCCGCAAGACCCAATTTCGTTACCTGTCGCTGCCAGATCTTCTCTTCGAGACTGCCCTTCAGTAGAACGCGGTAGATCCGACACGGCCGTTTCTGACCGTCACGGTGGATACGAGCCATGGCTTGAATATCCGTTGCGGGATTCCAGTCGACGTCGAACAGGATGAGACGACTTGCACCAATGAGGTTCAGACCTGTACCACCCGCCTTTGCTGAGAGGAGGAATGCGAAACAGGAGCTTGCGGGGAGACGATTGAAGTCGTCGACTAGACCTTGGCGCTTTTGCGCAGGGGTGCTTCCGTCTAGACGGAGATAGGGGAGGCCGAGAGAGGACAAGAGAGTGGAGAGGAGAGTGAGTGTGGAGGTGTAGTTCGATACTAGGACAATCTTCTCGTCTGTTGTATTGCGCATGCTGTCGAGGAGTTGGTCCAGAACGCGAATTTTCCCGCTAGCAGAAGGAGAGAGGTGTCGATGCAGGTTTGGGGGGATAGATTCGAGTAGGGTAGAGATTGTTTCGTTTGGAGAATTGTCCTTATTTTTGGATGTCAATAGGGATGGGCTGTTGCACAGCTTTTTAAGGATAGTAATCAGTTGCAGAGCACTCTCTGTGTTGCCCATGGCATATTGGAAGACTGGAGAGGCGAGAACGCTCTTGTAAATAGCTGCTTGGGGGCGGGTTGGCTTGCAGAACAAGACATATTCCGTTTTCGGTGGGAGGTATTTGGCGAGAATGTCTGCTGTTCGACGGAGCATAAATTTGGAAGTGAGTTCTCTCAACTCTTCGCCTCTGGATTCTCCCTTCTCGATCTCTTTGCTTGTAGCCTCTGGCTGTCGGCTCCGAACGATTGGCGTTTCAAACTCCTTAATGAAGGACTTGAAATTGCCCAAAATGCCCGGATTGACTAGATCCACGGCTGCAAAGAACTCTCTCAGGTCGTTCTGGATAGGTGTACCAGATAGAATGACACGCTTCGCAGCGCTGAGTGACTGGATCGCTTGACCACTCTTATTCTGCAACGTCTTCAGTCTGTGCCCTTCATCCGCAATAATGATATCGATTCCAGAGCTATTGGCCAAAGCTTCCTGAACCGTCCTCAATTTCTCATATCCAACAATCATGATACTGTAGGCGCGTCCCTTCGTAAAATCGGTCAAACGTTTTTGCTTGTCATCAAAGACAAAGACACCAATGCGCTCATTGCCCAACCACTTGCGGAATTCCTTCCGCCAGTTGTTGATCAAAGTAACTGGACAGACAATCAACGCCTTCTTAATGACAGGTGCATCCTCAAAGACAGGATTCTGCTTAAGCAAAGTCCAAAGCAGCGTAATAGTCTGCAAAGTCTTACCCAATCCCATGTCATCAGCAAGGATAGCACCTTCACCATTGAAAGACCTCATACCCATGACACACTCATACAAAAACTGAACACCCTCCCGTTGATGGGGTCGTAGGTTCTTACACAAAATCGGGTCGACAACCACGTCGACAACCTGTCTCCCTTTAGGCACAGACTTCGGCCGCGGCATAACCAAGGCGCCAGATGCCTTAGGATCATGGCGTGGAATGACTTTCCCAGCAACCTTGGGAACAACCGTATTCTGAAGCAACGGCTTTTTGTACGCCGAAAATGCTGCCGGTGCATTGCCAGGGTTCGCAGAGGGATTAGTCACCAATGCCAATGAACGCTTGAGAGATTGAGTCCGCTCGGCGGCAGTAAGCACATGCTTTTGCGCCTGACTCTTCTTCCGAGCAGGAAGTGCTTCTACCTTCGCCGCCACAGGTGTAGGTGCAGGCGCTGGTTCCGGTTTGCTGCTTTCTAGGAAACCCCTACCAGAGAGGTATTCCGAGCGAGAAATCTCGCAATCAATCTCGACTTCTTTTCCGGAGATCGAAAGCATTGTTCCTGGCCCGAGTTTGGATTCGTGCATTTTGCGTCCCATCTCCTTCCCTGCTGCGTCTCGTAGGTAGACGAATCCTCCGCGCGCAGACAGAATTCCATCTCCATCCCATATTTTGTGCTTCTTAGCGGTTGGTTTGCGCCTGAATATGTTAGCTCGATTCCATATTGGGGGCTGGACCCGTGGTGGTGGCCATGGCTTTACGGCGGGTTGAGACCTACCAAAGGACATTGAAATATTTTTCGTCTGGCAATTCGTCTTTAAGCGACTCTACCGGAGATGATGCTGAGCTGCCTGTTCGTTTATTATTGACTTGTATGAGGGGCTTCCGGCTGACTAGCGGTGTTGATTTCGCGTCTGGGTCGGATGTGGGTTCATCGCCAAGCAGGCGGGGCTTTTTTGCGGGAGGGACGGATTCGTCGATATTCTCTGTTGTAATTGAGACTGGTTGCCTAATCAAAGGAGACTTAAAGGGTTTGAACACCATGGTTGTACTGTCTTTGTGAAGATTGCGTCGGGAAACGCGAAGTCGCGGGACGCGTGGTCACGTGCCATGTTAATAGATCTCGGATTGCAAGGGACTGACTGGTCTAGAACAGCACCAGATTGATAGAATTAACTCTTTAAGATGGAGTCTACAAGTCTTGGCATGGAAAGTGGATATTCAGACTAAAAGAGTGTATTTCAGTCAAATGTATGGAAATTATGCTTTTTAGCTAAGTATAGAGTCGAACTCTACACAATTAGAAATGTACAAAGGGGTGTATCAAACGTCAATGGCGCATCATGAAAAGGAGCATCAGATCGTGCAAAGATCATCAGGGAAGTAAAAGTATGTCAAACAAAGTGGTATATGAAAACAATCCTCTCAATCTCTATTCCCAGTCGATTTATTTCGCATCATCCGCCAATGCCTTGTCAGTCAAGGGGACGAACTTGGGGCCTTCGTATGAGCCCTGGTGAATGAACCACCAGATGGCGACGAGGATGGACAAGCCACCAGTCATAAGACTGGCATAGTTCATGTTTTGAGCTGTGACCTCCTTGGCGAAGGGGAAGCAGAAAATGACGACGAAGGCAAGAATATAGATACAGGCGAGAGTGTTGACGATATAACCGACAAGGTTGTTCATGAAGAAATATCCAGGAACGAAAGACGAACGGCGAGTCATAATGTGAGGGAAGATGGCCAAGAAGTATGACAGACTGGACAGCTGCACGAAGCAACCAACAAAGGCGCTGAAAGCAGTTTGCGAGCCGAGGTAGATACAAGCCAGAATGGTGACGACACCTCCGCATGTCAAAGTGGCGTTGAAGGGGTTACCGAAGGTTGGGCTGATACGTCCGAGCCAGCCAGAGAAGGGGGTAGCGCGGTCACGAGAAATGGTCCACAGTGTGCGGCCAGCGGTGATGTAGCAACCAGAGGCGGTAATCAAGGTTGGCAAGAAGGCGACAATCAGGAGACCAAGAGCGCCGCCTCGAGAACCGGTGGCTTGCTGGTAGATCGTAGCCAAGGGGAAGTTGTACGGGGAGCCGGTGACAGCCTCAAGGTCATTGATAGAGTAAAAAATGGCGACCATGTAGAGGATACCAGTGACGAAACCGACACCCATTTGGGCGAAGACAGCCTTGGGAATGTTACGGCTTGGCCTATAAATCAAGTCAGCTTGAGTATCAAGGGATATAGAAGGAATACTGACTTGGGAATCTCCTCAGCCAAGTGGGATGAACAGTCAGGAGTGCCGACACTGTAGGCACCGTTAAGCATACCAGCGACGAAAACGAAGCCCGTCTGAGTGTAGCCAGTGCCATTATCAAACTCAGCCCACACCTGGTGATTGGTGGCATAGGGAGTACCATTCACATGAGGCATCACGGCGCACACAATGATAGTGATGAACACACCAGCGAGAATGAAGAACATGCCGAGATTACCAATGTATGGCAGGAAGCGGTTCATGAAAAGCACGATGCAGCAGCAGAACCACGTGCAAAGAATAAAGGCGAGGAAAGTATTCCACGTAGAAGGTGTGAAGTCGGGGTGGGTCATCATATACATTGACACACACTGCTGAGCCATGATCAAAGACATCGAGGCTGCACCAAGAATCCATGCGAGACAGTTCCACCATCCTGCAAAGAAACCACACACGCGACCGTACTTGCCAGCGGTGACAGTGGCCCAGTGGTAGACACCACTAGATGAGGGCATACCCGAAGCCAATTCGGCAATAGACGCGGCGACCAACCAATAACAGAAAGAGACGGCAATACTGCAAAGGTTAGATGTCGCTATAGTATGGCTGGGGCGAAGTCATACAATTCATAAATAGTTCCGGAAAGTCCACCATTGGTCAGGGCAACGGTAACACTACCACCTTGGGCGATCCAGGTATTTCCAGTCGTCACGGCCACAGCACAAATACTGATCAGACTGAAGTTTCGCTCAACTTCCTGGCGATGACCAGAAGCATTCACCAATTCTCCATCCTGGGCATCATGGTCGTAGGAGTGATCCGGAGAGGGTGCCACCTCCTTCTCAGGGCCGGAGTAGGCCTGCTTGTCGGACCTTTCCATTTCGATCGACATGTCGAGAGTTGATATATCCCTTGAGTCCACAATACACCTTTCCAAATTAACGGTGAGCGAAAGTCAAGAGTTCCGGTCGCTCTCCTGTTATAAAGGTATGGAATGGAGGGTCGGAGTGCAAGAATCAAAAACAAAAGGGACCCCGTGGATATATGGGGAGTACAAGACAAGCATGAGCCGAACAGTCGGCTTGTCGCGACCATGTAATCCATCCCGACTCCACCCCCTATATTGTCAATCTCCAACCAATAGCAGCTCGCAATGATCATCATTCGGTGGCTAACTTGTTCATAGTGGGTCGCCCCGAGAATGCAATTGGGCGAAATCGGAGGCAAAGGAGCCAAACTCCAACGGAAAGTCTGCTGGAACGCGGAGGGTGTGCATTGCGCTTTACCTAGAAGGGGAGCTTCAGCAGAAAGAATTTTCCCATCACTGTAGCCTGTTCTTGGCACACTCATATTCAGACTGGCATCTCTGTATCTTGCCTTTTCGAGTCTACTCAACGGGAGATTGACGATTCCGGGGCACTTTGTTTGGTGGGGGTGATGTGCGAACCCCCCAACTGTGGCCATTGCATTGTCGTGATGTATCCAATACCTTAAACCAATGTCCACCTTAGGCTTAGCATAGTGAGACTGAAACTGGAACTCGATGCATCTCGGAGATATTCGATGCACTTGCATAGATGCAAGACTTATTCCACATCCACCTTTCCCCTTCCCCTATAGACCCTCCACATAGTACAAGCTACAGTACGTACTCCTGCTCCGTCCTCGGCCCCGACATTCCGTCTTAATTTCAAGGCGCAATAGAAAGGTATATGGATGAAACAAGTCCAATGTAAACCGGAGGACCTATACTCATAGTGGGCTAGCTGAATCGTTACTGGAGCTCAACGGGCATATGGTCGCACCGGAGCATAGTGGGACCTTTTTTCTATTAACAATGCGATCCAGTCATAAGAGACAGTAGCAATCAATGTGGACACAATAAGTTAATCTATGTCTGGAAGACTAATGCGACCGGGCGTTGAAAGTTTGGGGGCGGTCTTAAGTTAAGACCATGCAGTTTGCGACTATACCCAAACAAGTATCAAGTCCAGATGGCTTCATCAAGTGAAAACCATAAATGAGATGCAAGCCGCTAAGTATATTAATCGAAGGTCCAGAAATCTATAGTTCAGCTGAAGTGGCGTGGCCACAGCCTGGCCCCGGTGGATGAATTCCTTAGCCTCAGATCTAGAAGGTGGCGTGTGCACCGATCTAGACTGGGAGTCGGGAACTTGGCACTAAAAGATAGCGCAAAGTACAATTTGCAGTACAATTTACTTGTGAGTGTACAAAATTTATTAAATTGGGTTAAAATGCGAGACTGAGACTGAATAAACTAGAAATCTTAAATTTCCCTTTTGGTTCGGAGCTTCCGATACAACTCTACGTAAATGACGCATTCTTCTCTGTACTCTGCGCTTCATAATTTTCAAAGTTGGTTATGAATCCATTCGCTGCACTTCCTGAAGTCCAAAATTGAGGCATACAGTATCTCCCCTCATACCCCGTCTACTCCATCCCCAAGACCCATTTTCTCTATGGTTGGAGACGGGACCGCCGGAGTAAAGATCCTCGGATCCACTTTCTAAAATACCTCATCCAAGATCTTGACCACTCAGCGTCCGGAAATGGTAACCCCACTCTAGACGCCTATGGCTAGTGGCAAACTTAGAGCTCGACACCTAACTTTGCAGGCTCTTATCCCGCATCGAGTAATGATCTTGGCCGATGACCGTAATCCCTGTCAGTTTGGGTTTCGGATCAGCAAATGAGTGCCTAATATCTCACATTAATTGCCTATCCTCGCCTAAGCCTCCACTGTGGAAACCACACACAGCCTGTCTTCGCTTTGGGAACATATGAGGCTAGGTTACGTAGGTCCCTAATTTCACCTGCTTAGTGTAGTAAGGTGTTCTTGCCAAGTTCGCCAGTAAAGTTTCGGTAGTCCATGCTCAATTAGGCATTTGACAATGTCAAAACACCTACGGACCTGGTGGTGGGATGGGAGTGACCTCCGGAGGCACAGCTGAAGCTGGTTCGCCCCGGGCAAATGTGGACCGGTCAGTAGCACAATTGCTGTCAGGTACAAATCAGAGCAGCGCAATCAGATCAATTTCCCAAACAATTCCGATCCAGGGAAATGCAGGCTCATCCATGGAACCTGCTGTCGATGAGGACCCTCACCCCGATCTTTTCGTTGGCTCTGCTCTGTCACCGGAGATCTCTCTTGTTCGCCAGTGATAAGCCTTTATCCTCCACAGTTCTTACACCTGCATCCTTCACTCCAATAGTACCTATCACATACGTTTTGGGGCTTGAACTCTGCCCCCCCGCCCCTGTCGTGATCCTCGGCAGATGAAGAGCCTATCGGAAAATCTTAATACTTAGCAGCTCATCTCCCCCGGCCGATTTTATAAAATGTGCGTGTCTCGACTTGCATACCTTATCCTCTCATTAATCCTTGAACAGGCCACAGGCAATGTCAGGTCTAGGTGGTGACTTTGCGGTGAAGTTCGCCCGCGAAACATGGGCTCTATATGCCGTCGGCGTCTTGGGCGCCGTCCTGCGATTGTGAGTATACACCGTTCAATGTGGAAGGTCATCCACTAACACCAGTCCCTTCCTTGATAGTACCGCCCGTATTCGACGTCTCGGCGTTCGCAGCCTCCAAGTTGATGACTATCTTATGATGTTCGCGGTGGTCTGGTACACACTATTATGTGTGGCTCTAAATCAAGTCGCTTCTGGTGGAGGATCCAATTTGATGACCGACGATGACCGACGAAACTTGACGCCGAAAACCACGGCCGAGCGAATCAGTGGCAGTAAATGGGTCTTCGTCTCGGAACACTCCTTTGTTCTCTGTGTATGGGGCCTCAAGGCATGCATGTTGGTGATCTATGCCCGTATCACGTATGTCACCAAGTCCCGTTCTCCATTACACTAACTAACATCAACAGTGAGGGACTCAAACAAAGAAAGTGGATTAACTACATCGCCATCTATGTTGGCCTTGGATTCATCGCCACGGAACTATCACTCTTCCTCATCTGTCGCCCTATCACACAATACTGGGCCGTCCCAACAGACAACTATCAATGTTCATCCTACCAATACTACGAAATTGTGCAAGGATGCATCTCTATCTCCGCCGATATATTCATGCTTCTAATCGCCATCCCAATGCTCGTCCAAGTCCGCGTCCCGCTTAAGCAGAAGCTGATTCTCGTTATCCTCTTCGGAATGGGAGTATTCGTCATTGTCGCCGCCGTCCTGAACAAGGTGTACTGCCTGGTTCCCTCACTGATTTCCTACGTCTATATGAACTGGTACTTCCGCGAAGCCACAGTCGCCATCCTTGTCACCAACCTACCTTTGATTTGGTCTCTACTGCGCGACGTATTCCCCGCCCTCAAGAGCTGGACCGGAGGCTCCAAGCGCGGAACCGATCGCTACAAGTCCGGGCCCTGGACCAGCAAGGGCGGCTCCAACCTACCACCATACGGCCCACCGAGCCATCTCCGATCAGGCGACTTCAGCATGCAAGACTTCCAGCGCAGTGCTACCATTACGCCACAGAAGGCCACTGCATCGGATATCAGCTTGGAACCCAGTGAGGAGCGCGATGCCAGCAGCGACGATGGATCAGCACGCGCCTTGCGCATTCGTCAAGATATCACGGTGACCGTGCAGCACGACTCTCGGCCGATGGAGTATCAATCAAACTCCTCTCACGTCGCCCACAGGGCCCACGAGGAAGTCTAATCCACTTTGGTCGAAAAGTCTTTTTTATCTTCTTTTATTTGTTTACGATCCCACGAAGTCCGGGAGGACTTGATACCCTCTAATTTCTTTCTCCTGTATATATTAACTTCTAGATGTGCGTTTGGCATTGGACCTCGGTGGACACCGGCGTTCATAGACATAGAGTTTTGAAGATGCAATCTGAATACAACTACAATTATTCTACCAGCATTCTAGAAGTATATAGTTTGGATAATCCTCGGCACACCCCCACCACCAGTTCCAAATCCTTAAGCAAAGAGACTCAATTTTGAGATTACAAAGGCAAAGGCAAAAAGGCAGAAGATTCTTGCGACCCGCCGATCTCCCGCCTCCTTGCGTCAATTGTTGATCTTATCGCCATCGGACGTAGTCCCAAGCAGACGATTGGTCAATACATTATGCGAACATCTTGTGTCTGGTTTGAACATAATCCCTGCAAGCCAAGGATAGGTGAAACCTATGGAACCATTCCAGAAAACCTGAGCTGACCTCAGCTCACCCCTGACTCCAAGCCACTGGCTTGGGATGTCTTGCTTGGAGATTGCATATGCGCCCTGCACATAGCAGTCCACTTCTACTAGGTCTAAATAATCCATGGCTGATCCTTCGACCGTTCTAAGCCATTTACAGTACTCAATAAGGAAATCGCCGTTATCCGACTTCCTATACCAGGTCTTGGCACAGACACCGACATCGGTGACTTTGTAAGAAAATTTCAAAATTGACATTGGCCTGTCTGCATGTAACGGAACTCCACCGGGGACCATGACCATGGAATGAACTGGCATCAACAGCCACGGATGCCTTGCCGGTACATTTTTTGGGTACCATGGACTGGCTCTCTCTGGACTTGGGGATTGGGATTTTCGCGGGATCGACCGAAGAGGCATGATAAGTCTGGATGGAGTATTATCAATATCCATCGGTCATATGTCGGCCAATATAGCAACTTTTTATATTCACATATATTGTTCAATTTCGCTAAGGTATAGTATATTGTAGTCTACTACAGTAAATGAAAGCATCTAAAACAGTCTCACTGGCCACGCAACCACACTAAATCAGAGTTTAAGCAGAGTTTCGGCGACCCACACGGTCCGCCTCATACTGTCTTTGACCTTATTCTTCAACACTGTACAATATTGACACAGTATACAGGTACAGTGCGGCAATCCCGGCAGGCGATCATCCCATTCAAGCAAGAGTCGGAACGACAGATCATCGCCATTCCCATGGATAGGCAATCAATAGTGCAACATGCAACCCTGGGAAGCGACAATGTAAGCGAAGACAATATACAAAAACGCAAGCCAATAAGAAGCAAAAGTCCCCCAAGTACACTGTAAAGCAAGTGGACCCCCTAATCCCAGCCCTTGGCAAGCAAAAACCCAACCAATACGGAGACTGTAAATGCAAGTATCGAGGCACGCTTATCATTGCCCGGTCAGGATGGTGGTAAGCCACCCCGAATTCCACCCCCCTATTCCCTTTCTGTCATTTTCCCATGTAAATGCACTGTTGTACTGGATGATGATCTAATCCTTCTCTGGCCACATCCCCGTTGCGAAGCAATACTCGAGCTCTTGGATCGCAGTCTTGCCTGTGCGCGTTGGCTCGTGCAACCTCGCCCCGCTGGTTGGTGGTCGGTCGTCCTGGCGGAATTTGTGTTCCGAGTACGAAGGGTTTTCCGAGTGCTGGTTTTTCTTCACGGAATGGAATTTTATGCTTTGGGGTTAGACGCGATTGGCTTTGCTACTTGCACCGGGATTTGGGGCTCGGACCTGCGTTCGTTTGACTAGTTCGGGCTCGGGTATATTGTCCCTTTGTGGGATATGACTCCCTATTGTGCTGGATTCGAAGTTCAGAGTTCATGTGGGATTGGAGTAGTCTACATTTTGGGATTGCTTCTCTGTCTTTTGGCGTTATTTTCGGTTGGTCATGGCATGGGCTTTCTGTATGGCTGGCTTATGTCGCATCTAGCTGTATCTCGTAGTTTGTCCGATTGCCACAAAGGAGGTGCATTTGATTTGCTGTCGTGATCTAGAGTGAGACATTCGAGAAAACGGTTTTGTAGTTCTATGCAGGTACCCTAGTCAGGTGAGGTACCGAGTACAATCCCTTAAGAATCTTCGCTCAATGATGTATTTGCCTCATACTGACAAACCTGTTCATTTTGATATTCATTCCCTTTACATTACCACCTCAACGTGCATGAATATACTCACTCAACAACTGTACATCCCGAGAAATTTAATACGCTCAGACTATTGAATCTTAACCAGATCCCGGTCACTGTTAAACTTTGATCACATCCTGTCTGGGCGATCTGGCCGCGGTCCGCCACACAGACACTTCAAGCCCACAGGGCGCAGCCTCGAAGTCATCTTTGAAACTCAACCGCGTACGGAACTTCTTACCGATTTGGAATTGGATTCGATTTGGAAGAAGGAAATACGGAGGTTGTTTCGGATCAACGGAGGTAGTGGAAATGATTCGAGGTATCTGTAGGATTACGGACATATCTCCTGGATTTAAGGTTAGACTTATGCAGGTGTAAAGCAATGGAATGCAACCTTTGGCTGATCCAGGCACAGAATTCAAGGGTTGCGACGAACCCATGTTCTATTGACTACAGAATAGACAAAATAATACGATAAGCTACCTAGCAGTCCCATAATATATGTGGGCGTTCAGTCGAGATCGCAAGCCCAGGCAGACCGCAAATATCTCTCAATCAAAATTTGATTATGTATTTGAAGCTGGACGCAATTACATAAATTATGCCATCAAAATAGCCAATGAACAAGACAAAATCAGGCCTTGTAGGTAGATCAAGAAGATGACTGCTCTTATCCTCACCGCAGCAAACTATGAAAGATCTCTAAGAAATTTCAATACAGCTTTTTTTCTAGAATCGGACACGCAATTCTAGAGCAACATAATGGTAGAAGCTCGCCAAAACATACGTCACGCCACTTTGATACCGTTGAATATCCCTAAGAGGCCAACACGATAAAGGAAACGAACAAGAACAGTAGATAGGAGTTATGGTGTTCCCCCTGTTCAAGCACCCTTAGGCTTTCCGTGATTCTTTGTTGTACTTCTCCCTTTGATAACTAAGACTCTAGATGTCCTGCTGAAGAAAAATTGGTTCATATCTCGCTCTTGTTTCTTGAATCATTTCTATGTGATGCGTGTATATAAAGCCATCTCCTATAGGACCGTAAACACAGCGGAGTATAGTGAAGATATATGCCTCCCACCTTGGAGAACGTAAGTGGTGGATAGTCGCTGTAGGTCCTAAACAGCTGCATATCATCCTGTTACTCTTCTTTCTTTTTCACACTAATCTTCATCATCACTATCACCCCCACCAGCCCTCTCCCGAACCCCCGAACTATATTAGCATTGCAACAAAAGACAAGCCCCATGGATCATTCGGTAAGAGATATAGGTAAGCTAATTCTCCTATTCTCTCCCTATCTCACTATATATCCCACTTACCTCTCACCTATCTCTCCGCTTTTGATATCCACAACATTGATCTCTAAACCGGGCCACAGTGTCGTCCATGCCTTCCATGGTGAGCAAACTTCAAACCATCCTTACACTTGACCGGTAGTCAAGGTACGTACAGAAATCGGTTCTTATCATTCCGAAAAAGCTCACTAAAGAGACCATTACTAGGCTGCGGTGATTCTGCAAGACAACCACAACATCAACGACACCTACAACCTTCCCTTGGTCCACAAGAGCACCGGTGTCTACGCCGAGTTACTTAACACGTATCTATCTACAAAAGATCAATTATCTCGCAGAAGACGGTGATCAAAATAAAATAAAGAAACACAAAGATGTGTTGTGTTTTTCACAACGGGAACAAGAGCGTCAGAGACCAAACCCGGTAACGCATCGGTCTTTCTCCGCAATATCAATGGAAAGTACCCAATAAGCGAACATCGCATGAAGGTCATCTTCCTTGAATACAAACAAAATTCGAGAAACAGGTGTAGAGCCTCATCGAACACGCCCCCATCTACAAGTCTTACCCTGGCACCACATTTAAAAACGTCAATTTCACCTACGAGCCATTGGAAGTGTCCAACCTTCAAATTACGATGATGCTTCACGGAAGCGAAAGAGCCCCGGTCATGAGGATCGTTGGCTAGAAGGGAACCGGGGAAAAGATCAGTTGGGAACTTAATTGAAACAGTAATTGAAACAGTCATCTTGATCAACAACTCAAGGACTCCAGAGAAGTCATTTCGGGATGAAAAATGGAACCCATGTTGCGATTTTTCGAGGAGGAGGAGGAGGAGGAGGAGAAGGGCCTGAGCAAATTCCGTTTTTTTTATAATAGAATAGGATATGACCATTTCGGGCAAAAATTAATTCATTTCCAATGCACCCTCTATAGTATTCATGGCCCTGTATGAATAAACCACTATTTCCACACAATTATCAACATAGCATTTGGGAACGACCAAAACCAGAGGCGCTAAATCAAGGAAGAAACAATACACTGCATCAAACAATATACTCACTTCGAGGCTTTTGGTGTGATTGTATTCAATGCGTTATTAGCGACACTATTGATTCTACCGCATGTCTACAATTGAAAAGTGAATAAAACAAATGGAAGAATATGTATTCATAGATGGAGTCAATTCATGTATAGCCTCAAAGCTATGCACAGTTCCTACCTGCTTTTAATTAACATAGTCATAGTGACCATTGAGTCGTATGTGCTCGTGCTCACAAGCAAAAAATAGAAAGCGACAAGAAAAAATAAAAATAAAATAAAAGATAGACACAAGGCAAAGAAATGTAGGTGGTAAAATGCTAGGACCAACGCCATGCCAAAACATAGAAGGAAATAAAATCGTGAGTCATTCATCGCTCAATATGCTCAGCTTTTTGTTCATGTTCCAAAGTGGAGATTGGCATGCCACCTAATCATCATACAGATCGGGCATGTCAGTCTCCATCTCGGCTTCAAGGTCATCCGAGTCCATCATGTCATCATCGCTGTCACTGCTCTCACCAAGGACGTGGTTAGGCAGGACCTCAATGCGGCCGTCGCGCATGATGACACGAGCATTTTCACCATCCTGAATGCTTCCACGAAGGATGAGAACAGCGAGACGATTAAGAACCTCGCGCTCGATGAGACGACCGAGAGGACGGGCACCGTAGGCGGGAGAGTAACCAGCCGCACCAAGGTAGTCCTTGACTTCCTCGGAACAATCGATATAGACATTGCGGCCGTTGTGATCGAGACGCTTCTGGACTTCGGAGAGGCGCAGGTCGACGATCTTGCGGATTTCGCGCTTGGTGAGACGATTAAAGATGACGGTGCTGGAGATACGGTTGAGGAACTCTGGCAGGAAGTAGTCGCGGAGAGCGCCCATGACCATCTCGCGGGTCTGTGGGTCGATGCGGCCGTCCTTAGTGGTAGGGCGGGCGAGGAACTCAGCGCCCAGGTTGGACGTCATGACGACGATGCAGTTCTTTGCGTCGACGATGCGGCCTTGGCCATCGGTGATACGACCGTCGTCCATAAGTTGGAGCAAGACGGTGAGAACCTCCTTGGCGGCCTTCTCCACCTCATCGAAGAGCAAGATGGAGAAGGGGCGGCGGCGTAGAGATTCTGTGAGTTGACCACCGGCGTCATGGCCAACGTAGCCGGGAGGTGCACCAATCATACGGCTCAAGGAGTGTCGCTCTTGGTACTCGGACATGTCGAACCGGATCATTGCCTTGGGGTCGTCGAAGAGGAACTCGGCAAGAGCCTTGGTAAGGAGTGTTTTACCAGTACCAGAGGGACCACAGAACAAGAAGCTGGGAGGGGAGTTGGGGTTGCTGAGACCAGAGCGCTGGAGACGAATGGCGTTGGAAACAGAAACCACGGCCTCCTTCTGGCCAACAACGAGCTTACTGAGGGACTTCTCCATGTTGAGTAACTTGTCCTTCTCGGTAGTTTTGAGTCTGGTGACAGGAATACCAGTCCACCGGCCGACGATCTCATTGATCTGATCGGGGCCGACGGCATCGGCAAGAAGTGCCTCGCCTTCATCGCCGGAGTTGGCGCGGCGTTCGGCATCAGCTCGGGCGCGATCGGATTCGAGACGCTCAATGAGGGTCTTGGTCTCTGGAATGGCGTAGTACTCGAGATCGGCCGCTGTTTGGGTATCGCCTGAGCGTTCGGCTTCGTCACGCTTGACCTTAAGGGAGTCAAGCTTGATTTTGGCATCCTGAACTTCCCGGCTGCGCTGCTTCTCGCTTTCGTACTTCTCGCGCATGGGCCGGAGCTCTTCCCCAACATTGGCAGCTTCCTGCTTGGCAGCTTCAAGACGGGCCTTGGATGCTTCGTCCTGTTCGCGCTCCAATGCATGGATTTCGATTTGCAGCTGGCGAGCCTTTCTTTCGAGTGTGTCGAGAGCTTCAGGCTCGGATTCACGAGTGACACGGACAGCTGCTGCTGCTTCATCAATAAGATCGACAGCAGAGTCGGGAAGTCGGCGACCGGTCAGATAACGTGAGGCAAGAGTGGCGGCAGTCACGATGGCACCGTCGAGAATGTTGACACCGTGGTGGACTTCGTACTTTTCCTTCAGACCACGGAGAATGGAGATGGTCTCTGTAACAGAGGGCTCCTTGACCAGAACCTGTTGGAAACGACGCTCAAAGGCCTGGTCCTTCTCGATGTACTTGCGGTACTCGCTGAGAGTGGTAGCACCAATGCAGTGGAGCTGACCACGGGCCAGCATGGGCTTGAGAAGGTTGGCAGCGTCCATGCCGCCCTCACCGCTGGATCCGGCGCCCATGAGAAGGTGAATCTCATCGACGAATAGAACGATAGTATCCTTGGAGTCCTCGATCTCCTTGAGAACACCCTTCATACGCTCTTCGAACTCACCACGGTACTTGCTGCCAGCAACAAGTGAGCCGACATCAAGAGACAGAAGACGACATTGGGCCAAGTTGGCAGGAATATCGGCATTGACAATGCGGCGGGCCAGGCCTTCAACAATGGTAGTCTTACCAACACCAGGTTCACCGATTAGCACAGGGTTGTTTTTTGTGCGTCGGCTAAGAATGCGAATAACTCGTCGAATCTCCTCCTCCCGACCAATGACAGGGTCAATCTTACCCTCGCGAGCTAACGAGGTCATATCAATGGTGAACTTCTTAAGGTTCTCATTCTCGCTTTCAGCGTCGGCGGTCTTGGAGTCGACGCGGCGCGTACCACGAATTTGCTGGACAGCAGTGTCGATCAACTTGAGGTTTGGAATGTTGGCATCGCCTAGCGCGCGCTGGACCTGCGAATCCTGACACACCGATTGAATCAGGTGGTCAACAGCGACAAAGCTATCCTTCTGGGTCTTGGACAAATCGGTGGCGGATCGAATGACTTTCGCGAGTTGAGGAGAAACACTGGGGTTCTCCGGTGGAGGATCTTGGCTCGGGAGACGGACGAGCAACTTCATAAGCGACCGGTCAAGAAGCTGGGAGTCTCCGTGGGCGCGCTCGATGACCTGGCGGAAGAGGGGTGCGGCAGCGCCATCATGAGATGCATGACCCACGGGCTGCTGGTCTTCCGACTCATCGGGGGATGGGTTGAGTAGGGAGACTGCCAGGTGAAGCGGCAGGATCTGGGAGTGAGCGTACTGTTCACACAGGCCGCTGGAGTCGAGCAAGGCCTTGTTGGCCCGGTCTGTAAATTGGGCGCCGTTCATTTTGAACGGGATAGTGGGGTGAGATCAGTGAGGGTTTGAATAGTAGATAAAAATGACTACAAGGTTGTCAAGGAATATACTAAAGTTGGTATGTGAGCAGGTAATATAGTGATGTGGCAGATTTTCAAGGCGGGCTGCAAGTTGATATACTCCCAAGCGTGGGCTGCCCGAAGCTGCTTCGAGGTCCATGACGCCACTACCAGCTTCCACCGCCTTCCAGAAGCTGCCGGGTCTAGCCCGATGATGCGATCACGTGGCCTGTCAGATGGGTATTGTCCCACTTTGGATAGTGAAGATGATGTCAACACTCATGAATGATAAGGAAAAGTAGGGAATGGTGGGGAGGTCCACTGAATGACAGGATGACATGTAATTCTTGACTCGCACGAACAGGTAAAATCATCAAGCAAACTACGGTACATTTCTTGATTGACGCTTATAGTTTATTCCCAACCAAACGGAACAAACAATCTGCCGTGTAGCACCGCCAAACCACGTGAGCTCCACGTGAGACACCGGAATTACGAGAGGGTTGAGCAATTTCTTCACGTGACTGCTGACCTCATCGCACGTGACCCGATAAATCGCGCAAAACCGGCGAGGGTTTGATCTCCAAGCTCCCCACGTTGGAGAGATGATTTGACCCTGACGCCTTCATTGGTGGGTTCTCAGCTGGAGCTTGCGTACCGGCGTGCCTTGCAGTGGAGCATTGAAACAAAGTGGACACTGGGTTGAAAATCAAGACTCTCGACCTTACGATGTGCCACTGACGCCAGCCCAGGCACGGCTCCGATTCTTCACGAGAGACCCTGTGTGTACACAGGCACTGGTCAAGACACGGCTGCTATGCCTTTGCACTTAACTGGTCTTCCACGATAGCCGACGGAAAATACCCAGTCAATGACGTCAAAGCGGGCGATCTAGAGCAATGAGAATCCGAGTAAGCATTGGATGAACCTTGACTGGGATCAGACCCTCCAGTGACTTCCGTGTTGATATTTCTTGACATGCATGCTACCCCTCCGGGAATCGAGATCACACTGCCTCGGAGAATGACCTGGGACTTTCAGGTTGGGACCTCAGACAGTGGACCATGGGGCAGTTCCGAGACGACGCTTCCATACATGGAGATCAATCCCTCCGGTTGTCCACTAATCGAGAGCCTATTGGCTTCCCAGGTGGGTTCCCTCCTGATATGTTTTACTTCTGCCTTTGACTTTTGCCTTGGCTTGACCTGGGAGGCGCCTGAAGAGGGGCAGGAAAAATAGAAGCGGAAAGGTTCGGCGGGGCAAGCGGAGGAGAGGGGCAAAATAGTTTATGTCTTTTATGATTTGCCTCTCGACTCCAGACATCTCCAGCTGGGCGTGAGCTAATGCTGGGCACGGGGTCGAGACTAACCTTTCTATGCGCTACCACATATACTACTGTCAGAGAGAAGGGGCCATGGCTATACCCTATACCCCAAAAGTAACCCTCACCCGTAGTAGATCCTAATTCCCTCGATAACGAAAGTCATAAAATTCACATCTCCATAATTCTTTTATTTTCCATGGTTGGCAGTGGTAAGCTCTCCGCCTCCCGGCTCCAGAAAAAGAAAAACCCGGTTTAATCTTGGAAACCCGAGTGGATGTAGACATATAAAGAGTTCTCGGGCCCCATCTCTGCATCCTTCATAATTCTCACACCATATTGCATACTCTGACACCATCAAGCTGCACTCGCATTTGCTGAGGGCCTTGACTGGATACCCTTGACTAGTCAGATCAGAGATTTCTCGCGCCACGGTTATACCAGCCGAGATTGGATTTACTCTTGCTGTAATTGATCGACTTGATCCACTCAAGTTTATCGACACTTGACTTTACACTTGAATTTTCATCTGGGATAATCGTGCAGAAACGCAGTTCCCCCGTTCATCTTAGATTTACATACCAGGATGTCGAACAAGCCGATCTTTGTGGCTACGCATCCGCGAGCATGCTCGACGGCCTTTGAGCGCGTGAGTGGAGACATCCACATCTGATATTTGACCTGAAATTGACGTTTCCCAGGTCTTCATGACTCAGCGTGACACCATTCAGTGTGTTCACGAGCCATTCGGCGACGCTTTCTACTACGGCCCGGAGCGCCTCTCGGGCCGATTCGCAGACGACGAACAAGCTCGTCTGGAGAGTGGATTCAGCGAATCTACGTACAGCACCGTGATGGATAGACTCGAACGAGAAGCTACTCAGGTCCGACCCTTCTTTCTGCGAGATTGTCCTTCATTGCGTTCTGCCAATTCCCCTTGATGCTCCTCGTGTTCTCCGTCTGTGGATCGAACACGAGGGAAGACCCCCTAGCTTTGTTTACACCCTCTGCGTTTCTTTTGCGCCTAGTGTGCTGGCCCAGTGCCATATATCCTCCCCTCTGCACACCTGTAAACCAAACCGAGCACCGAATCCTCTGATGAGTCAGGATCCGCAGTGCGGAATAGAAAACACGCATTTCGTCGAGGGGATACTTACCGTGCAACAGGGAAAGAGAATTTTCATCAAGGATATCGACCACTACCTACTTCCCCCGAGTGGCAAGCCCGCTAGCCTAGCTCCGTCCCTGCTGCGCCTGAAACGCGGCGTCGGCACCGACGAGACGAATGGCGAAGGCCAGGCCAACGGTGTGAACGTTGTCAACGGCACCCACGCAAACGGCCACAGCAACGGTACCAACGGTCACAGCAACGGAGTGAACGGCCACACAAATGGCTATACCAATGGTACCGGCGAGACCAACGGTCACACGAACGGTCTCAGTAACGGCCACAGCAACGGCCACAAAGAGCCATATCCATACAACACCCCCGCAGAGCCAGGCAACCCAACCGTAATGCCCCGCGAACTGCAAGAGAAGTTCCACTGGGCCTTCCTCATCCGCGACCCGCACTACAGCGTGCCCTCGTACCTGCGCTGCACGATTCCCCCACTGGACGACGTGACTGGATTCCACAACTACGACCCCACCGAAGCCGGATACGACGAGCTGCGCCGTCACTTCGACTACCTGCGTGAGGCAGGACTGGTTGGGCCGCGTGTTTCGACTCGGCCGGAGCTTAGCCCTCGCGACGCCGTGGTTGCTCCTGGTTCTGTTGAGATTTGCGTCATCGATGCTGATGATATGCTCGATGAGCCTGCTAAGACTATGGAGGCTTTCTGTAATAGTATTGGCTTGCCGTATAGTCCTGAGATGCTCAAGTGGGATACTGAGACTGATCATGCGGTTGCTCGGGCTGCTTTTGAGAAGTGGCGTGGCTTCCATAATGATGCTATTGAGTCGAAGGCTCTGGAGCAGCGTATGCATGTGAGTTTTAAAACTGATAGTGACGGGAGAGAAGAGTAGGTTTGCTAACCTGACTTAGAAACGTGCCGCCAAGACCGAGGCAGAATTTGATGCCGAATGGGTCAAAAAGTACGGCGAGAAGCATGCAGCTCTTATCCGCCAGACTGTCGATGACACCATGGCCGACTACCTGTATCTGAAGTCATTTGCCGTGAAGGTCTAGACTGGATACAGTTGTGGTGAGGTAGTTCCGTAGTATGGGCTCTCATGGTATCAAGGATGTGGAGAAGAGAAGAGGAAAGAGGAAGGGGAAGAGCGTCTCAACCCCAGATTTCCCCTGTTCACCGCTTCTCGTGAGAACACTTTAGTTCGGATGGCGCCATTTCTGGATTTGCCGACTTCAGATTGGTTGATGACTTTTACGATCTGCATTTCTTTACTTGTCCTCTCGTTTACTGTCGACTTCATTTGTTGTTATGCCTCGCTGTTGTAGTGATCGAACCCAAATTGACCCACTGGATCTAGTTTAGTTGCTTTTTTTTTTTGATATATCAAAGTCAACTTATGTAAGGCCCGTACATATAAGTTAACTAACATGTTACGCTCTGTAATTATTTTACGCCTCATCAGATCTAGTGTCATCCAGCTCACCAGCGTGGTAATGCGTTCATACACCTTTCTGCTTACAACCTCACGACATTCTCTCCTCGGCATAAAGCATTCCCAATTACGTTGAGGTATGATTTCGAAAGCCTAGACATCCATGAAACAGATCATTGTCAGTATTATTCACCTGTTTTGAGAATCATTGCTAGAGAAATGTAGGCTGGACTGAAGGGGCTTGGCGGGTGTTTTGGCATGGATGAAGAGCGATTTCTGAAATTGTCTGCTTGAGAAATACGGTTGTCGTCACCGAGGCGATTCCAGGACCTACGTGCGTCGGTCAAAGCGTAGAGGATTCTACTAACATCCTCATATACTGACTAATCGGGCCGCACCAAGCTAAAGAGGCCAGAAAGTTGTCTAGATTCACCTTCGGTGTCAAGTACAGAGATGACTTGGGAAAATTTCCTCAATTCCAGAAGGCCCGCGATTCTCTTGACCGTCCTTCATGCCCTTGTTGACAAACTCATCCTGGGAAAATCACCTTCCTCGAGAAAGCAGTGCCGCAGAATGTGAGCGGATTTTGAGAATCTCAACGACATTGATATCGCTGATGTGATCTAAGCCCATATCTGATCATCTGTACGGCAAATTCAAACTGCAAGTTAAGACGATGAAGTGAAGTGTGACATGTCTATAAAAGTGGGATAGGGTCGGGATATCAAGAAGAAGAGTGTGCTGGGTGCAGGAGGCAGGCTTTATATTTTGGGTGGCCCCAAGATTCTGGCTTGGAATTAGCAAACAATCGTCCGGTTTAGAAAGGAGGGCATCACAGCATGATCAAACAGATATAAAGATACGCATACATACTATGTAATGATATGTTGCACACCCCGTGGATACAAATGATAAATTTATAGTACCTTATAGTCTGGTACGTCCTTAGATTGAATTGACACAATACAGATGCTTGATTTGAGACTTCGATATCGGTACTCATACTTTAATGAATTCTTTTATCTTGCTCCATATCGCAGCATAGTGCATAGAAGCACTTAAAACGAGGCTTGGACATGTAAGAAGCATGAAATGTGCTTGGGGCGCGGTATTACCAGCCACATTTATTGCCTCTGTCTACGTTTTATATGCCTCTACAATTGTCAATAAGACATTCTTAGAGGATTCTGTAGATTCGATACAAATACACGTAGTATAATAGAAAATCTTATGTTGTTTGCACCTTTGCAAAGTGGATATTGAACGATGTGAGATTTTCCACGCCACAGCCCCTAATACAGTTGTTGATACAGTATCGCCATTACCAAACCAGCTCAATTAAAGAGCTGAGAAGATCCACTTGGCGGCCGATGTTTTGAGCAAGGGCGAATCCCTGTAACCAACGTACCTCAGTCGTTTGAGGCCTAGATGCCCTACAACTTGGGGACAACGAGTGAGTGGCTACTAGTAAGCCTGTTCATACAATGGAAACGCCGGTAAGCTGTATCCAACTCTAATTTTGACAACATCCCGAGCATATGGGTGTAGTTTTACTACCTAGGAGCGTATTTTCTCAAGCTCGAAAGCGTCATCTTCTGACGAAAGAGACCAGAAGCTTTCCTCTTCAGGTTTAATGCCAGGTCTTATTGAGTATCGAGATTTTGAGTGAAATAAATGGATGAATACAGTTGAGAGTGGTTGATATGTAACCTATGCTTGCGGTGCCGACGGCGCTATTGACTGCTGATCACTAGATAGCACTTAAATCGGACACTTTCTCCAAGCAAAACAACACGAATTTTCTGAACAGTTGCAAAGCCAAATATTCCTTTAAAGTAGCGATTCTAACGACCGCTGTACTCACTGCTCGCTTCATAATACGCCAAGTATGATTGTTGTAAAACTAGGTAAAATGGCCGCTAGTTGAATATACAGGAGAAAGGGAAACTATTAAATGACACCTGATGTCCCCCATTCTCTGTTCTACCCAAATGATTGTCGTTTGTTGCTTCAGGTTACGATAGAATCCTTCCTATTATCTAGTCCACAATAGGAAAACTTTTACCACGCGGCACCCTAGTTGCGAAGGGCAATCTTGAATGAATGCAATGACACTAATGATGAGAAGAGTAGTCACTTGTCTCGCCTAGACTAACAAGCAGCCTCCGAATATACCATAGTAACTACCAACTTCAAATGACTCGTTTATATTCCGTGTGATACTGTAGCCCGCCAAGACATGTCTAAGAAGCCCGTAAGCAGACCCGACAAAAGGGTCTCGGATTTAGATCAATCTCCCGGGTCCGAAACTGGCTACATCCTATGAGACCATCAAACAGGCACGAGTTCTCCATAGTGGCTATGTTACCTTGGCAATGAATGAAAAGACGACAAATGGCGAGAAAGATTACAAGTGCTGTATCCTATTTTGCGTGCATGACTTGGCAGCTGTTTTGGCAATAGCATCCATCAATTAGAAATCGGGGGCTCGAAAAGCGCGGCTTGATTACTGGAAAAAAGTACAGGCTAAGCTAAGATCAGACTAGGCGCATGTTTAGCTCAATACTTCAGGCTGACAGGCAGATTAGTCTGCGGTTTGTAATGCGCTAAATAACGCTAAATATCGGCCCTGCAGATGACGGGTTCCCCCGGGTCTACCCAGCCGAGCGATACGTTCCAGGTCAAGTAGAGCAGGCCCGGTCAATTGATTCGCAATCAGCAGCGCTTATTCGCTGAAATCTAACAGCGCCTTTGTTTTTAGCCCCCAATCTGTATATTGAAACCCAACACATCCGACATGCTTTCTACTTCTCTATTGTGTACCTTAGATCCAGGAACGCTTGCAATACGCTCATTCAACGTGGCTGACGTGAGACTACAACAGGACGTTGAGAGCTTGCAGTGGTTCCAAATTATGCGCAATCCTTGCAAATATGCGTGCTGAATTCGGGACAGTGATCCCAGTAGCCCAGTCATCCTTTGGGTGCAATACCTGCTAGATATCTACCTCATAGTCAATCATTCTGCACGCTATGTTGATTTCCAGCGGATTGCGATTATAGCCTCTACCCTGGAAACCCCAGCCCCGCAATCTTCGGCCCCGACAAGTGCCTTAATCAAAGACCTGCCTTGCATTTACGGACTCGTTGGCTTGTTCCGTGTCCGTAGCGGCGGCCTTATCCGGAAAATACACATTGTGCCCCGGCCGGTTCTCTCCAATCTATCTTTTTTTTTCGGAGCCCCTCCATTATAGTGCAGGTCAATATGCACAATAATAACATCGCCGGCAGTAGTTGAAGGGGAATATGGATCAGTTTGTTAGCACTAGATATGGTTTTGTGGGTCTTGGCTAGTCAGGGGCTAGTCATGTCAAATTTCGGAGATCAGGGTAAGGACAATTATGACAGAGTGAATCACCTACAAACTGCACTTCAAGAAAATCATCCCCATACGTAGGTCCGGTATGGCTATGACTCGTGCTGCAGTGGCTTCTGGAGGTCATTTTCCCGAGATTTTGTAAAGCCACTAGCAACGTGGGCACTTTCAGTATTCTTGCACGAGCAGCATTCAAGTGATCTAAGAAAGAACTAAAATGCTTCCCCGAACACTGTGGCTCGAGACTGGAGAACCGTTAGACTACAGATTTTTCAGGATTAGTACTGATTTCTAAGGGCTGAGTGGAGCAGCTGTCAGCCGTACCAGTCCCCTTTAGGAAATTCGTGCTCCAATAGCTAGACAGCTCAACCCAACAATTGGAGTCGATATCCCAGGATCTATAGCACTGGGATAGGATAAATAAGTTTTTCTCTTGCCGGCCAACAAAGTAGAACACCGGCCCCCAACAAGGGAACCGCATTTATCTATACCAGCCCGCCGGAACGAAGCTACTGCACAGCAAGCCCAAGGACAGACTTAAAACAGAAAATGCTCTCCAAATCCATTTCATGATGTTGTAATATGAGAGAAATCTGTAATGAGACGGTTTCCCTACGTACCCCATTCAAGCCGCTTCTGCAAGCCAAGACATGACGGTAACCGTTCAGGGATATACGTCAAGCCCGGACAGCACGCACTGGCAGCAGACAGCAGAACAGACAGCACTAGCATCGCCGGATAGAGATAAGCTGGCCTCGAAGCGAGGCAACGTGAGACTTAGCAATTCTTCGGTCAGGATTACGGGATGAAAATTGTGAGATGGGGAAAATCGGCAGAGGAAGTCTTGAGTATAAAGTCGAGGTTATCACCATGCAATTTAATGGCATCAAGATCATCTCGAACACCTTCTACTCTACTGCCTTCCTTCGACTCTTCAATCTTCCTACAAGATGTTCATCTCCGCTGGTATCAAGGCAATTCTGCTGCTCGCAGCCTCTATTCCTGCCCAGGCATGGAACAGACTTGACAAGGACAAGGCTGTAAGTCCATACCATCTCATATGAAGACAATCAAACTGACAATGCCAGGCTCTCCTGGTCATCGACCACCAAGTTGGTCTCGCCCAAGTCGTCCGCGACTACGGCACCAACGACTTCCGCAACAACATGCTGGGCCACGCTTCCATCGGAAAGGTCTTCAACATCCCTACCGTGCTGACCTCTTCTTCTGACCAAGGTCCCAACGGCCTGCTGCTCAAGGAGATCACCGACATGCACCCCAACGCCACCTTCGTCCGTCGCCAGGGTGAGGTCAACGCCTGGGACAACGCCGATTTCCGTGCTGCTGTCAAGGCCACTGGACGGAAGCAGCTTATCATCGGTGGTATTGTTACCGAAGTTTGTACGTGTAATCCTATATATGAGCAATATCAATTCCAATATGAGCCATGCTAACTGAAACACCAGGTACCTCCTTCCTGGCCCTCTCTCTCATCGACGCTGGATATGAAGTCTTCGCCAACACCGACGCCAGTGGCACATTCGATATCCGCCTTGCGGAGGATGCCAACCGTCGTATGGAGAAGGCCGGTGTCACTCTCATGGGTCTCTTCGGTATTGTCTGTGATCTGATGCGCGACTGGCGCCACACCCCCGGTCTTCCTGAGCTCCTCCCCTTCCTTGACAAGTAAATTTTGAATTATCCTCTGAGTTGTTTCAAAGATTGCCTTCTGACTGATTGCGCAGGTACCAATTCGCCTACGGCCTTGTTGCTCGTCACCACGCTGGTTCTATCCAAAACGGTACCATTGCTCCGGTTGAGTTGGAGCTGATTAACTAAGTCTCTTCGAGCTACCTATCGATTGGTCTCGATTTGGAGGTGGGCGCTATGGGGATTGATGAAAAGGGTAGATGATTGAATGATCAAAGTGATATATGTTTGTGTTCGGGATATAACTTTATAGGTTTATCTTATATGAATACAAGTCTCACTTTTGGAACATTGCAAACCTGAATAATTGAGGCAGCATGCAGATTCCGTAAAAGCGATTTTTAATCGTATTGATTTGGATTTAGGCCAAGTTTTCTCTCACAGAAGGAGACTGGGATGGATGTTTGTTCATAGGGGTGATAAGAAGGAGATCGAAAGGTGAAAAGATAGATATGGAAGTATGTGCAAAGTGTTATATATTTGCTCCAAGGCGAATCTACGGCAAAAGGTAAATATCTAGCTTGGTAGAGATAGCGTATTCAAATATCAGCGTCACTGTCAAAATAGTGGAAACTTGAATGATTAATAGCTGGGATTAATTAAAATAAGAGAACTTCATGTTGCAGTCAGGTGGACTTCGGTTTAAGTTTCCCCTGCAAGTGATGTTTGATTGGCATTCATGTAAATACAGACGCAGTGATATAAAGGTACTTGCAGATGAAAAAGAGACGGAAAATTAAGGGTGACAAAGTGTAATTGATATATATGTTGCCAAAGGGTATCAATTTGGCATCCTGGTCAGGACAATGCAAACTTGATAATTGAGTCCCGCTCGCCATCGCTTCTAAACAAAACTGACGATGCAATATATGATCCCATCATAAACCAATACGTATGCGTGCAAGGTAAGTATATACAGAAAAAAACCAAAAAAGGGCTATAGAAATGATTCGGGCATGGGTATCGGCAATGCAATATTTGCAAGACATAATCAATCCAATGACAGCAGGGTAAGGGAGGATAGCTGTGACAGAGGTGTGCCGTGTAAGGGGTTTGGTTGTAAGGTCCATATCTGAAGGTGGTAGACAACTCGGGGTATGTGAATAGGAGTGCGATCGATATGGAGAAAGAGAACAGGATGCCGATGAGAGATAACAGATGATGTTGCGTGATACGCCAAAGACAAGAAGCACCGACCCCAACAAAGGAAAACACCGATCAAATAATGCTAGCAATCGTCATGCGTGAATGCGCCGAGCTAGACCTGCGATCCGAATCCGAACCGGCAAATTCAGGCGCAAGAGTCGATCCCGAAGGCGCACCCTCTTGACGGGGTTGGCCCCCCATAGGCGTATCTCGTTCAGCATGAGCCCTCTGCCGCTGCTCTGCGAAGAGCTCTTGCACAGTCTTCTCAATCCACCCCCACCCTTCCCACTCAGCATCGCGCTCATGCTGACCTGAGTGACCTCCGGAAACAGACGTTGACCGCATTGGCGACATAGCTTCGAGTTGGGATCCTGTTTCGCTGCCGTGCCAGACCCAGCTGCCGTCGCTGGTTCCTTGCATATCGCCTGAGACATAGGCCATCATTTCCTCGTCGCGCTCTAGGTCGATATTTTCGCCGCGGCGGAGGCGGGAGAGCAGGCGGCGGACGAAGAATGATAGGTAGCGACCGCAGGCGGCGTTGACTGTGCGGACATCGCCTATTGATGCGAGGGCTTGGACGCAGGCTAGGGCCCCGGCGAATTCTTGGCGGAAGAGGAGAAGGAGGGTACAGCGCCAAATGTGTGTACAGAGGAGGGAGCCGGCACAGGAGGCGAAGAGGGCACGCGGGTCATTGTTTCCTGCTGGGCCTGGAGGTAACGTATTTGCGTTGGGATAGTTGCGCATGCACCGGGCGAGGATGTTGGCTGTGTCGAGGGCCGTGGAAACACAGTAGTCCATTGCGGAGGAACGGACGATATCCGGGCAAAAGGGGGAGATATTGTGGCGGTGGAGGAGGAGGCGAGCATTTTGGAGGTATATTACTGGAGCGAGAGAGCGAGGATCGAGGTCTTGGTCGGTTCTTGGGTGAAATTGGGAGGGGAATGTTGCGAGGCAGGTGTTGAAGTGAAGTTCGAAGGTCTCGAGGGTGGCGGGGCTAATGGTGGCTGATCGGAGGGTTCGCGTGAGTTGACCGATTGAACGGACGACGTGTATAGTTGCTAAAAGAGGTGATGTTTGCTGGCTTTCAGGGATAGGGCCAGTTTCTGTGATATATTGCTCGTCCACAGGACAAGGCAGGTCAATGTCGCAGTCTTGATCATTGATCAATACTGGCTTGCCCATCTCGAGAGCGAGTAATCTAAAACAGCTATGAGCAAGGGTTCATTGTGGTACTTGGGGATAACAAACCTATCCCAAGCGTATAATCCCCACCATACGCGCTTTCGCATCTCCCCTTCGACTGCTGGCCATGGCCCTGACTCAATGTGTAGCCCCATCTCTTGAGCCACACGCACCGCTGAACCAATCCATACCCAACTTGCCGACTTTGAGTTTACCTCAAAGAGGAAGATACTCGCAAGCAATGCAGCTCGAGCTCGATCCAGATTGAAGTTGTCGTGCCACACGTCGATGATCCCGCAAGAGGTGCGTATGTATTTCTTGCCTTGCTCCTCCCGATCCAGCTCGTTGGTGTGAATGGCACCACAGGCGAATATTCCAAAGAGAACAGCAGCCCATTCATTCGAGACACCCAACAGCGACCCCGACCGATAGACCTTCTCATACTCCGACATGAAGATGGGCCAGTGGAGCACCGGAAGGACCGAATGAATGCAATTGAAGTACTGCGCCAACAAATGGTCCGCGAGATTCTTTGGAGGCAGCTCTGGCGCATCACCAGTAACCAAAGACTCAGCGCCCTGCTGTCGATAAGGCGTAGGGACCTTCAAGATGCCACCACCATAATGGCGCATATTAGATCGCACATCTGAGAAATCCTGAGCAATAGGCGCCTTCGACCGGCGCACAGGACGGTATTCAATCTCCGGCAATTTAATCAAAGGCTGCGCAATACCTTCATCGACATCGATCATGCGATCAGGACGCATCATACCAGTCTGCAGATGCTGCAATTGCTGCTTGGTATTCTGCAACTGCTTCTCCAAGTCCTGCACTTGCTTAATAGACGACATGCGACGATTCGTCTCCTTAGTAAACTGACATCGGACCTTGCGATTGTTACATTCCGTGCAACTAGACGACTCAGACGCATCGCACTTGACCTTGCGCTCGCGACAAGCGTCGCAGCTGGGATCCTTCCTACGCTGTCGATATGCGCGCTTTTGCTGCAGCTGCGCGGGCGTTGGCTGCTGACCCACGGGACTGGTCTGGTACAGCGCCGGACCGCCCGGTACTGAGCCCAGCGCATCGGGGAGCGCACCGCTTTCAGCGGGCGAGCCGGATGCAGAGTCGTAGAAGCGCGAGTACGGCGATGTCGCGGGGGCTGGTAGGTGCTGTGGCATTGGTTGGAGTAGATGGGCCATTCGCATCCCGCTGTCGGGCCTGCTCGGCGGAGCGGAGAGCAGCGCTGGGGTCGGGAATGCGCCCGTCACAGATTGTACGGGGGGTAAGTCGTAGGAATTCGGGTTATTCCCCCGAAAATGGGAGGGCTGCATGGTGTTGGCGAGAAAAGCACATTCGTTTTGGGGGGGGGGGGGGGGACGGGAAGAGAAGAGGATATCGCCACAGTAGGCTAGAAATTGTTAGGGTAAGAAGGCCATAATAGAGAGGCAAAAGAATGTAAAGGGGAAGATCGGTATAAAGATCGCGGAGAATATTAGATTGGAATTTAAGGAATCTTCAGCCGAAGTGACAGGCTGCCACTAACGGACTACTGACGGACTACACACTACTCTCAACCCTCACATCAGACTACACCCGAGATCGGCAGTGGCAGTGTCGATGAATACTTAAAACAGAGCGCTCAGTCACTTTTCCCTTGGCCCACCAGTGGGCTGGGATATGAACCTTGTCTTCTTCTCGATCCGGTGTGTTCTTCTACTCCACCAGTCCTGGTGGATGATCAGATGTGGTTCGGCGTTTGAGCAGTTCCCCTAGTCCGTCCATTCCTTGAACTCAAGTGAAGATCATCTCTTGAAAAGCAAGACAGTACAATGTCTGAATGATCGACTCGGAAGTCATGCACCGGACCACATGGAAAGCCCGGATGGCTGGCCCGGACAGTGGAACCTGGAGCCAATCTTCTCTTCAACAGAATGCCGAGCGTCTCGCCTATCACAGCCGAACTGCTAACGGGTTGCCCCGAGCTTTATCCGAACGTTATGTTTCATCGTGTCTAGACATAGACATGTCTATGAGTATCATGAGTCTGGAAAATTGCTCATCTCGTCAGCTCTATCCGGCCTCTACCCCTATCAGGCTTGGTGCCGAACACGGAGTATGTCTCCCGTCCCATTCCGCCATGCCTTGATGCGCTGGCCGTGAAATGCCATGCAGGAAAACCCTGCACAGACACTCAGCCGCCCCCCTCTTCTCCATTATGGGCTAGTCCTCCGTCAATCCGTCCTATGAAGGCCCGGAACTCCTCCGGTCGGCTCACCAAGCGACATCTGGCGCCCTGATCGGCTCGTATCGAAGGAACAGGCTTGTCCAACTTCCCCGCACAGCCTCGGCTAGAGGCAGGTGAAAAGTTCAAGGCAATAACACAAGTTCCACCGATCACCCGAACAATGCAAGAAGGGCTCGGGGCAACATTCCTTGGAAAACAGGGGTGCATGCACGAGCTTAACCATAATGGAGACTGAACTCTCCTCGGTTCGTCCCGTCGGAAATATTCTCCATACTGCAGGGGTTTGGAAGCATTGACCTGCGATAAACGAGCCAATGATCGGGTGAGAAATATGTTCCAATCGACCCAACGGCATCTGCATTTCCTGCCATGGAAATTGCGGTGTAAATCGCAACCCCTTTTCCAGTTTGATCTGCCCTTTGGGCCAAGCGGGGACTGTCTACGCGTCCAAGGTGATCATCAGGCGGTCTCCGATGATCAAGGGACAATGTGGATATCGGGCGCCTCCGAGAGGGCTTTGCGTAGTTCACATCCTACATGTAAGCATAATAATGCAAATCTGGACATGTTCATGCGCGTACATGTATGCTGTACTCTGTAACTGCAGACCATTCATCTATACTCATTTCTTCACTATTTCCTACATGTCCTTCTAACCCTCAGTTCGCCCCACAGCGGGACAACGATCTCGAAACTCACCCGCTAACCGACTCATTCCGATTTGCTCTGCCTTGCTGTCACCGTTAACCTGAGATGTCCGAGGTCTGCCGTTTGTTAGTGTCGCAAATGTCTCAGATTAATTAGTTTAAACGCTCTGACGTCGAGATCTGAGATGCCCGGGTTGACTGCCGAGTGGACAATAGTCCCTGTTCAAAGCGCTTTGTTCAAGAGGTATAAATTATGCATTTTGCACCAAGTACGTCGCGTACTTGTATATATATGTACTTTCAAAATGCCTGACTTAAAGGATCTTGGAGATGAAATGTTTGTGTGGATCGCGTAGATGTAACCCTATACAGTACTCCATACTGTGGGTAGCATGTGATTACCCTTTCGGTGTTGCCTGCATGTACTTTTATTGCTGCTGCTGCTGCTACTGCGATATGCAAGGTTATAGAATCTCGCTTACTTATATGTATGCAGTCCTCGGCATACCCGAGCTTGGTGGGACCAGTTCTGTCCCTGGAACAATGGCATCGGAGCTAACCAGACGGCGTAAATCCTTCCTGTGATGCATAGACGCCCCCTTAGATCCAATGAGTGTACCTTTACATATCATCTAATCTGATAGATGAATGTATGACGGGAATATGCTTGGCAGTCTCGTCACATTAATATCCCATCTCCACTTGGTGTCCTTCGCTTACAAAATGTCGCATTCCATACCGACTTTGATATGTATAAATGTATCATGTGGAGAGCGTTACATGCTATTCGGTGAACTCTTAGGAAATTCTGATCCGTACAGTAAAAGAATCTCGCAGACTCCCCTTTTGTCCTTGGTAACGTGCATCTTCGGGTGTTGCTATTCGCCTTTGCATGAAGGAGTATTGAGAAGTCGTACTCCTATTAGGCAATCTTCAATGCTGGCTAGAAGGCATTTTTTGCTGACAACGAAACAGCAATAGTCCATTGATGACATGAGCCACGGGAACAGAGGCCATACGCTGAGATAAGATAATCTCGTTTGATACAGGACTGGTATGAAATTCGACATGATGTGCGGCATTAGACCCTTTTCTAGGAGTAAGAGTTTAACCAGGCGAGAAAGACATTCCAGGCTGAGCAAAACAGTCTATTTCGCACTTACATCCTTGTCCTGCTTATGCTCTTCCCAATTGGCCATGATCATGTTGACAATGCTAGTAAGGCCCTCCATCTCTTCCTGAACCTCCAAGCCCAATGAATGCGGATCAATGCTGCAACCAACATAGACGGGCATGTAAAGCCTTCTAGCGAGGATTTTGGCTATGCGGGTTGTGTATTCAATGCTGGGTGGTGACGTGTAGAGTGTTGTTGAGATTGTTGATTTGGGTGATGTGCGCTGTTATGTTAGTTTTATATCCAATAAACACCAAATTAGATTCCAATAAAAAGATCTCCGCGCTTGATGGAGTTGTACAGTGAAGGATTCTCTTTTTTATAAATGACTCGAGGAGAAAGGGTATCTAAGACACTCACATCGGGCATCGCGTACACAAAGCTCCCCATCGGTTTGATAGAGCCACCCGAGTCACCGGGCGTTGAAGTAGCCAGGAAGACTGTAGCACAATGGTTCATAAAGTTCAAGTGAACATGTGCTGTCGTGTGCAAAGCTCTGGGCAGTGTGAAGGAGAGTTCTCTGGGCTTGACACTTGGAGGGGTAAGCTCCGGTTGGGGGATTGCTGTTGGCATTTCGGTCGCCAGGTCGGTGGCCATGGTTGATATTTTCGCTTTGTAACTAAAGAAACGCTTAGAAATTCAGAGCTATGAAGCTGTTCCTGGTGTTGGTGATGTCGAAGTCCCCGCCCTGCAGATATCGGCCAATCCCAAGTGTTTCTGCCTCAGGAAGAAAATATCCCACTTATTTTCTTCCCCTCCATATACTCCAGTCTCTTTGCTCCATCTTTCTTTCATTGCATTTGATTTGAATTGTCTACTTATAATAGGACCAGCGACTCTTGCTTGCTGTCTATAGCATGTCATCGGAGACTCAGCAGCACTCCCGGACTGGGGAAGAAGAAGCCAGCTGGGGAGGTGACTTTGATCCATTTTCTGATCCGGAAGAGCGTAGAGTGCTCTTTGCAGCATTTGATTCGTTCAGGTGTGTCTATCATGGCTGATTTCTAGGGATATTGTTGCTCTTGAACCTCAGCGAAGATCCCGCACAACCCAAAGCCTATAAACAAATTTATCGACTACGGCTAACTCATTGATAGACAATATCGGCGAAATGCTCATATGAACACGACACATCGGAGACGGCAAGCTTTCTATGCTTTGCCATCAGAACACTGGCAGTTGTTATCAGAGCCCCCCTTCTCTATCCTTGACAATTTCAACAGGGTAGATGACGCTATCGATGTCAATGCTGAAATCGCAGATGCAATTCTCGAAATTGGATTACAATCATTTGATCTTCCTGCCGATCCCGATAAAAATAACCCCAGAGAAAATTGGCATGACATCGCCACTTCATCAGACCTCAACAAGGCGCATTCGACGATCCGCCAGTTTTATCGCGACTGGAGCCTGGAGGGGCGAGCAGAGCGTGAAGTGTGCTATGACCCCGTCCTCCAGGATCTTCACAATGAATTCCAGACAAGGCGCGATAACGGAGAGGAAATTCGCGTTCTGGTTCCCGGCGCCGGCCTGGGACGTTTAGTCTTTGAGGTATGCATGGCTGGCTATGATGCTGAAGGGAATGAAATCTCTTATCATCAGCTGCTGGCCAGCAACTGGGTTCTCAATCACACCAAAGGGCCAGTAAAGCACGCGCTTCATCCTTTTGCATTGCATTTCTCCAACCTACAATCTCGAGTACAGCAGCTTAAGCAGATCATGATACCCGACGTGCATCCCGGCTTGGCTATGCAGGAGATGGCCAACTCAGACCGTCGTTTCGGAACAATGTCCATGTCTGCAGCCGATTTTACCGTCTTATATACGCAGCCCAACAACGAAGAAGCATTTGATGCAGTCACCACAGTATTCTTCATTGACACAGCACCGAACCTGATCCGGTACATCGAGACGATCCGACACTGCCTCAAGCCCAACGGGCTGTGGATCAATGTCGGCCCGCTATTGTGGCATTTCGAGAACGGTCATTCCCGCAATGACACCGATGCCGGAAACGAGGGAGCTGGAATTGGGGAGCCTGGCAACGTAGAGTTGTCCGAGGACGAAGTGCTAAGTCTCGTGGAGCGCATGGGCTTCCGCCTTGAGAGGCGGCCTGGGGATCGGCGAGCTTGCGGCTACATCCAAGACCCAGCGAGTATGCTCCAGAATCTTTACCAGCCATCTCGCTGGGTGGCCCGCAAAGCCCCTGTCTAGTAGGGGCCGTAATTAGAAATGACAAGGCTGTGCGGGTTTCCCGCATGGTCTTAGTCGTTGGGGGCCAAAAACAACAAAGAAACATTATTGAAGCAGTTCCATGGTAAAGCAAGGGTGAATGATAAAGAGTGAAGGAATAAAGCCTGACAGGTGTTATATCAGTGTATTCTGCCAAGGAACTATATCGTCAGATGTATACCCCGCGGGGACAAACAAACGGTGAGTATACAATTGTAGAGAAACAGAGGAATGGAATTAGAAATAGAAAACAAAACAGAAACAGAAATAGATCACAAAGTATAAGCGAAGTCGGACTCGAACTCGAACTCGAACTTCACCCCTTCAAACCCTTAGCCAACCCTTCAAACCTCTTCTGGCATCTCCCTTTGATCTCCACCTCGTATCCTCAGCCTCACTTTCCCCTCTCTTTCACCTCCCCTTCCCACCTTTTCTCGCCTCACATGGACCTCATGAGTTCCCGATTCAAGTTTAACTTCAGGAACAAGAAGAATCCTCCTCCGCCGCCGATTGTTCCTGCAAGTACATCCCCCAGTTCCCCGCCGTCCGGTCACAGCTCGTCAACAACAAGTCTCCCAATGAATCAGCCACCCGGGGGATTGGGCCGACCGCCAAGTTACACCATGAACAATCGCCCAACTAGTCCGATGGTCCAACACGGTCAACATCCCGCGCCTACAAACGCCCCATACAACCCAACCGTGCCGATGAACACCGCCCAAGGCTACGGCATGCAGCAGCAACAAGTCGCCCCCAGCATCCCGACAACAATGTCGACTTCGCAGTACCCCGGGCGCAACCCCGCGGTGGAGGTCGAAGGTGCAGGCCGCAACAAGGCGCAACTCATCGTCGGTATTGATTTTGGAACCACATTCTCCGGTGTCGCATTCGCATTTGCGACCAACAATGAAGCGCGGGAAGACATTATCACCGAGTGGCCAGGTGCCGGAACACACACAAAACAAAAGGTAAACATGACTTGAGCCCCGCGAACGTGCTTGATCTGACCCGCGGTTGCCTTAGATTCCCACCGTCCTCTACTACGATCAATACCAGAAGGTTGTCGGCTGGGGCCCCGATATCGCCGACGCTCTTGCCCCGACTGGATACCCCAAGCCTGGCGTACAGAAGGTGGAGTGGTTCAAGCTCCAGCTGATGCTTTCCGGAAACACCTATATTGATCCTATCAACCTGCCCCCATTGCCCCCGGGCAAGTCTGAAATCGATGTCGCGGCCGATTATCTCTTCAAGTTGCGACAAGCTATGCGCTCGCAGTTACAGAAGACACTGGGTGAGGTGTTTACTCGTGAGGAACGTAATATCCGGTACTACCTCACTGTTCCGGCTATCTGGAATGACGCTGGCAAGGCTGCGACGCGTACTGCTGCCATTCAAGCTGGTTTCTTGCGCGATGAAAATGATAACCGACTCACGTTAGTCTCGGAGCCCGAAGCTGCGGCGTTGTTCTGTGCCAAGTCTGGCCTGCTCAACCTGAAAGTTGGCGATGCCATTTTGATTGTTGATTGCGGTGGTGGTACCGTGGATTTGATCGCATACGAGGTTGAAGAGGAGTCGCCGTTCAGTGTGATGGAGTGCACTGCCGGTTCTGGTGACTCATGCGGCTCAACAGCACTGAACCGGAATTTCAGTAACATCTTGCGGGCGAAGATCCGTAAGATGAAGCTGCCAGATGGGTCTCGGACTGCAGGAAAGGTCTACGCGAAGTGTATCATGGACTTTGAGAACCGCATCAAGGCTGATTTCCGTAACAACGGGCAAAAGTGGGCTGTGGATGTGGGTATTGAGGCTGACTTCCCTGATGCCGGCATCGAGGAGGGCTACATGACTTTCACCAACGAAGAGATCCTCCAGTGCTTTGAACCAGTTGTGAACCGTATTCTCGAGTTGGTTCGCAACCAGATTATCGCCATTCAAGCGCAGAACCGTCTGCTCCAGGTAAGAACCTCGCTTCTGTTTGATATGCCAACACTAACCCAGCTACACAGAACGTCCTCGTCGTTGGCGGATTTGGTGCCTCAGAATATCTCTTCCAGCAGATTAGACTTCACGTGCCGCCGCAGTATCAGACCAAAGTGGTCCGCCCCATGGACTCGGTGGCTGCTATCGTCAAGGGTGCTGTCACCGCAGGTATCACCGAGCGAGTCATCACCCACCGTGTTGCCCGCCGACACTATCTGATGGCCACCCTGCAGCCATTCAAAGAAGGCTACCACCCAGAGCAATATCGGGTTCCTAGTCTGGATGGCCGTGACCGATGCAAGTACACCCGTCAGATCTTTGTCCAGAAAGGAGAGCGTGTCAGAATTGGCGAGCCTGTCAAAGTTAGCTTCTTCCGTCAGGTTGCTCCTGGCGCCACTCTCATGTATGAAGATGTACTCTACGCCTGCGACGAGGACGTTTGCCCCGAGTATACCAAGGATCCCCGCATCAAGGAAGTTGTCACACTCACGTCTGATCTGTCGCGCAAGAACCTAGAGACCGACTTTGAACGTATGGATACACCACAGGGTATTTTCTACCGTGTTTACTTCGACATTTACCTCACACTAGACGGCAGTGAATTCAGCGCCGAGCTGGTCTGCCAAAACGAAATCATGGGCCGGTGCCGTGCCAAGTTCCGGTGATCTTCATACAACATAGCCAAATCAGAAAAACCAACCCCTACGAAGAAAAACCTAGGGGTGACGCCGTATATACATCCCCTCCCCGGACGAGGCCCATGACATCATTGGTGCACAGTGGCCATGCCTCGGAGTTCTTGACTTTCTTCTCTAATTATGTACCGTCGTTGAGTGAAATATCCTCCCACTCCAGGTTATGGTCACTGTACCTTGCTACAAGGAAGAAGGGCGTTTATCTTTGGTGATTATTCGAGAATCCTGTGCCGTTCTTAAATATATGCCACAGTTGTTTGGGCTATTTCATGCCGTTTCTTATTGTTGTTTGGCGGTTTCTTTTCTTCTTTCTCTTTCTTTCAATGGCCCTCTTAGATACCTCTACCTATTTTGTGTTTTGTTTCAATGATATTGACGAGCTAGGTTCAGCTTAAGACATCCTCTCTTCATGATAACCCGTAGACAGATAAAAAAGCATGAAAAGAGAAGTGTACAAAAATCATCGAATGAATGCCATCCGACCTTCATTGATCTAGCGAGAGAGTATTTGATAGGATTGAAGCACATCACCTCAGTGCCCATTTTAGAGAAATGAAAAGGTTAAGAGACAGACACTCAAGTCTCAAGGTTAATGCTTCTGCCGAAGCGAGCATACAAAGCAACCTTAAGCTGCTGCAGCTCCTCGCGCACTTCACCCAGAGTATCCTCCAGCTTGGACACGTCGGTGTCGATTTGCTCCGTGGATGCGGAGAGCATGCTCTGCGCATCAGGTAAAGGTAGTTGGAAGAAAGAGTCACCGATTTTGTAACTGGAACATGTCAGCATGACAAATTACTTTACATATTCTTTCATCGCGCAGAGTTCTGTCCCATTGAACATAGGAAGAGGAAAATCCAGAAAAGGGGAAGGATATAACTCACGGAACAAGCTCATCCTCATCAGCAAGTTCAAGCTCCATCGAAACCTCCTCTAGATCCTCCTTATCTTTCTATAACCCAATTAGCCAAGCCTCCTTCCACTATGACATTCAACTATAGATATCGAATATCAGACAAAATACATACCTGCTTCCCCTTCAACTGCTCTTCAAGCAAGGTCTCCCGCTGATGCAACCGTGAGAAACGATTGATCTTCTCCTGATCCTCGCGGCGGACTTCGTTCTCGTCGCCGGCTGTGGCCTCATCGGCTTTTGAGAGCTGCGCGTGCGCGCGTTAGTCCGGGCTTTGAGCGTGTCCTGGTTTTGGCGGGGTGAGGGGTTTGCGTGGAGGGCTTGGGCTTTACCATGCGGGGTTGCACCATCTTCAGTGTCTTGTATGGTTTTTGGGTACGTGTTTTGAGCAGCGAGTTGGTGATAGAATACGCTGTGTACGCTGTGTTGCTGTTTTGTCGGTTGGGACTTTGATATCGGGTTTGAGTGGGGTGGTCCGTGCGCGTTGGCGATGCGGACTGGGTTCGGAGTATACTGTCGTGTATATTGGTATTTAAGATGTTCGCTTTGCTATTTTTCTCTGTTGCAGGCTCTGAAGTATGCTATATCTTACTGGTACACTAATCAGGTACATGCAAATGTTGGTATATAGTCAAGAAAACACTACAAGCCTGCTTCCCAGAGAAGCGTGGAAAAGTCGTCGAATTGAAAGGGATAATGGCATTATGACTTAGACTGAACAAGCTCATCTATATTTGCACATGTATGTCTCTATGAAATTGCTGGTAGCTGTGACTATAATATGACCAGGTGACATCATCGCCTATATGTACCTGCAGGCAGCTGCCTATCTAGTACGTAAAAAGCTTCACTTTCAATATCTCAATCAGATATAGCCAACAAGAGAAGCAAACATATACTCTTCACGTTTCCTCTCCCATTTCAGCTGGCATCATTTAGGCGTGTGCCGTCCTGCAGACCGCTACCGGAGAAACGAAACGCCTTCCGACCAGCGTCATCCTCAACTTGATACCCCAAGCACCCGTAGACTTAGACGCGACTCTCAACTCTCGACTCTTCATACCTCGTCATTTGTGCTTGTGCACCGGTCACATTCGCCAATCCGGTGCCTATCCTCGTGACCCTCCCCACCCGAGCTCTCAAGCTTCTCCATCCCGCGCGGGAGCCTCAACTCACCTTGGGCTCTTCCATCACTCGACTTCGAATCCCTCACAACAATCACAATGCGAATAAAATCAAGTGGAGTCTCACTCCTGCTATCCACACTACTACCCGGCCTGGCTTCAGCCTCCGGCTTCGACTGCGAACACATCAAGGTCGACGGTTACAAATATGACCTCAGCCCCCTAAAAGGCGTCCACGAACTGTCACACGGCGTAACTACAGACGATTTCGTTACCAATACGACATACCGTCTCAATATCTGCAATATTCTGGGTTCAGCGGCTCATCAGGGCAAGGCGACGTGCGGCGCAAGCAGGAACGGTACGTCTTGGAATGGTCGCGAGCGCGAGGAGGCTGGCATCCAGATTCTCCATTTGTATCCAACTAACACTGTATCTTCTCATATTAGTCTGCGGCTTCGTACAACGGACACCAAAAGATGGAAACGGCGGTACGGAATTCGGCTTCCCGATCGTCGGACTCGACCACGGCGGCCACGGCTCAAAGGATCCCGAAGTGAAGCGATTGAAGCAAGATAACCCCGACGCCGAAGGTCTCCTCGTTAAGTTGGCTGGTGGCGAATACAAGGGCGACGACAATGAGCAGAAAGCCAAGACTGCAGGTGCTGTCATTGAATTCCAGTGTGATCCCGATCGATCCGGACTGGAGGGATTACGCACAATCCAAGATATAGTGGAAGATACACCCGCGCAGGTTTTGCGCCGCATGGCTGCCGCGGAAGAAGGAGAGACGCCAAAGAATAGCAGTCTCCAATTTAAGAGCTTTGGTCCTGCGGATGATGACACCTACGTTCTGAGATTGGATTGGCGTACTCGGTATGCCTGTGATGATTACCAGAAGGATAAGAGTGGTGATACTTCCGGCTCGAAGAGCTGGGGCTTCTTCACTTGGTTGATTATCATGTAAGTTCTGGGAAACTCTGTGTCCCTTCCACTTTGAACTCCTTTGCTAATTACTCCCCACAGTGCTTTCCTTTGTACCGCCGCCTACCTCATCTTCGGCTCATGGCTGAACTACAACCGCTACGGCGCCCGCGGCTGGGACCTCCTCCCGCACGGCGACACCATCCGTGACGTTCCATACATCTTCCAGGACTGGCTCCGTCGTGTTATCAACACACTACAGGGATCAGGCTCGCGAGGCGGCTACAGTGCAGTTTGATAGCGAGATGGTGGACTAATTGGATACGAGTTGGCTATTTTACTCTCATGTACTTTTGACTCAAGACCCAACTTCTTCATTTTGATTCAGGCTGTTTGGCCGGGTTTTCTACTTGGCTTTTGCAGTCAGGCTTGCAAATGTTCCTTCCTGCAATGTCTCTGTGGCGCTAGATGAGCGTTGGCTTATATGCTTGGCCATAACGAATGATATAAGATCTTTATGAGTCCTCTGTTTTCACATGTCACCTGTGCTTTCCTTTCTAGTTCGGGTTACTGCCGGAATGATGTATACGAATGCCTTGTTTATCAACTGCTTTTCTTGCATTTCCTCCGATTATCATGCTGGATCCCTAACCTATGGAGTACCCAAAGGCAGCGCCAATACACCAGTGCTGAAATTTCTTCTCTGCCACTCCAGTGTCTGGTTTTGGCTTGAATATCGCTCAAGGATACTATAACTGGCCCTCTGGTCATCTTCATGTGTTTCTTGAACCACCTCAAGTCTGATGCTTTCGAGATATTTCCAGTGTTAGATGTGGGTAGCCAACATCTCGCGCAGAGCCGTGTAAATACAGTCCGTGAATATGTATAGTGACCAAGTGTCGTGGCCTGCGGAATTGATCTGGAGGTTTCGATTCATACATCCTGAGTCGGATCTTCGATATTAGTCAGATCAGTGAGCATTTTCCGAATCCTAGGCTTTAGGGTTTGGTTTTGCTGCGAGTAGTTGGATGACAAGCACTCATTGACTCCAAACGCAAGGCAAGCTCCTTTACTGATGTATTGTTAGTGGTCTCCGTGACCTAACTTATTCATTCAAATATTTCCATCATCTATCAACAGAAATGTAATCATAAGACATGATACTTGCACATATAAGCTGTGATATCAGAATGCTTTCCCCAAATATGAACCTTCTCTCCTCTACACGCTTTGCTGCTTCAAATTTGCTAGCCTTCCCCAATAGAAAAGCCAAATAAATTTCGCAGTCCTTGTCTACTAGTGTCACATTGGCAGAGAGACTTGGCAATCGAAGCACAAGTCTAGTCCATGCCAAGCCCAACGGTGCGGAAAGGTGAAGGCCACTCCACCCCTGATCAGCATCTCTTACACTTCATCTGGCAGTTCCGCCCGAACCTCGGACTCGGACTCGGACATTTAATCAACAGAATCAAGATTTCAAAGACATGCAGGACGAAATTGCTGTGCTCTCTACTGGCTCGTTATGCCAAGCCTTTGATTGCGTTGGCTGGTTAGACTTTCTTACATGGACGAACGAAATGAAGGACAATAACCGCGTCAGCACGAAATCTCGGAGTACCTGAACTACACCTCGTACCGATGTGCTTGGCAGAGAAGCCGGGATCCGAGCTCAATGAGATCTGGTTAGGTCTCTTGGGATTGCTGTCGAGTACGAAGCCAATAGAGGTGATGCCATTGCACTACTGCCAGTCCTTGCATCCCTGGCATTCTCATATCGCCCTTGCTACTAACCTTATCGTTGAAGTCCCTATCACTGCACCTTTCCGGTGGTATATTCAATGAAGGACTGCTAAATGAACACGCGGGAGAGGTTTTCTCCGCCAATGTTAAGCAAGGACGATCCCTGCCTACTTTCTTCAAGTCTTGCGGCGCGGTTGCAACTGACAGGTCCAATGAACGGAAAGATTAATCTCGAACAATGCATGCGCAGTGTCTGAATGGATGGAACTAAGACTGAACTTTCTCCCAGTGGAGACTAACTTGTTAGCTCGCTCCATCAGATAAGATGAAGAAGTCCTTGGCGCGGTGCCACTTCTCTACCAAGCTACGCTAATAATGGGGACTTCATTACGCGAAGGTGGATTTGGTGTCGGAGGCAAGGATTGGGCTACAACCCTGAAAGGAAATGATCGATCTTTCAGAAATTACATTGCTCCAAAAATTTGGTATAAGTATGAGAGTACCGTCTGGATAAAGGCGGCTTTGTCGCCGCGTTGTGGTCATCTACTTTTTTGTCATTCATTCGCCATGCATTTTTCCACGTCCGCTGCCTTATTAGGCTTGGCTTTGCCTACGGCACTGGCTCTTTGTCCTTATGCTGAACAGATGAAGGTTGACAAGCGAAATACGCTACCTCCTCACCCAGTCTCACCGCGCGGTTTACCCACCTCGGATAAGAAGGGCATCTTTTACATGAACCGTATCGCTCCTGGTACTTCTGAGCTCTATGTTGCCAATGTGGACGGTACCAATGAACGACCTTTACTCTCTGACTCTATCTACGAATACCATGCATCCTTCTCCCCCGATGGAGAATGGATCACCTTCACCGCAGAGCGCAACGGCGACGGCAACTCTGATATCTACCGTGTCCGAACTAACGGATCTGATATGGAGGAGCTAGTGGCGACATCCTCTGTGGAAGATGGAGCTGTCATGTCCCCCAATGGCAAGCAAGTCGCCTATGTATCCACTGCCAATGGGTACAAGGCCAACATCTGGGTCTTGGATTTGGAGAGCGGCAAGAAATGGAACCTGACCGACACTGCTTCGACTGCCGCCAATGCTTCTCTACCTGACGGATACTTCCGTCCCTCGTGGTCCCCAGACGGCCAATGGATTGCCTTCTCATCGGACCGCAACTCTGGATGGTACGGACATGGAGATCCAACGTTCCTGGGTGTGACAGGATGGGAACATACACAAGAGCTCTCCATTTACGCCATTCGACCCAATGGATCTGATTTCCGTCGCGTTGTCTCAAAGTCAGGCTACTCTCTCGGTTCACCGAAGTGGTCTCCCAGCGGCAAACGTATCCTCTTCTATGAGATGACCCGTGAAAACACCTGGAACTCTCACCGTCCCGAGTCCATCGACTCTGCCAACTCCACCCTAGTCTCCGTAGACTTTGCTACAGGCGCTGGTCGTCGTGTCGAAGTCGAGGGATCTGGTGTTAAAATTTTCCCTCAATACCTCTCCGAGAGCACAGTTGCCTACTTCGCCAAAGGTGCTGGTAAAGAAGGTCTCCACACAAGCAGTGGTGGATTTGTGAACACCTCGAGCGTTACTATTCGGTCCCCTGCTTGGTCTGCTGATGGCAAGAAGGTCGTCTACGAGAAGACCACCTGGTCTGTTCGTCCAATGGACAAGAAGCTTTACAGCTGGGACACTGAGTGGGAGTACCGCTTCACCGATGTCTTCCCTCAACTGTCCAACACAAACATGATTGCCATGACTGAAAAGCAGCTGGGCAACTCCTCCATCGTCTCGCTGAATGCCAACGGTACCGACGAACACCTCGTCTACAACGATATGACCTCCGACTTCCTAGATGCATCCTCAATTGCCATGGGCACAGCAGGTGCCTTCAACCCTGCGTGGTCCCCCGACGGCAACTGGCTCACCTTCGGCGTTGGCTTCTGGTTCCAAGGTCGAGCCACCGGTGGAGGCTGGTTGGTTCGCGCCACCGCAAATGGTACATACTCAGAAGTATTGCTAGACAGCCAAACAACCCTAGAGAGCAACAATAGCGTCATCAACCACGGATTCCCCAGCTTCTCTCACGATGGCAAGAAGATCGTTTACCGCATTTGGGGAACAAACTCGACCTTGGGCGACAAGTCCCAGCTCGGTCTCCGCCTGCTTGATCTCGAAACCGGCAAGGTCTCCGTCCTTACCACAGAGTGGGATAATCTACCATTCTTCTCCCCAGACGGCAAGAGAATCGTCTTCACCCGCAAGACTAGCTCTTACAACTACGATATCTGCACCATGGCATCCGATGGCTCAGATATCAAGGTTCTGACCAGCAGTGGTGCTAACGATGCCCACGCTGTTTGGACTTGGGATGGTCGCATTGCCTACTCTACTGGCATGTTTGGCTTCCAGTATGAGTGTGCGCTCTACGATCAGACTTTCCAGCCTTACGGTCAGGTTGTTGTCATGGATGCTGATGGGTCGAATAAGCGTGTGCTTACCGATTCTATTTGGGAGGATTCTATGCCGATGTATGTGCCCAATGATAAGCTCCATGGGTTTCAAAAGACGGCTAGACGGGATCCTGGTGATCGGTTCTGAGATGGGTATGGTGATGAATGATGGTTACAGCATTTTAGATCAACATCTGACCTCGGTCACTGTTGATTGATTGTGCTTATAGTTTTTGGTGCTTCGAAATGGGGTGATGACGAGAATACTATATTCTTCCGGAGAGTAAACCAGAGAAACCAAACCAATGTAAAGGTCCCAGGCCATAAACCCCAACCCCCGGAGGAAACCCCAGGATTCCCGCCAGGCCCCCGCTTTTGCCCAAGCCTGCCGATCGCGTGGCGCCGCTGATGCTACATTGCATACACGAGTTAAACAGCCTAAAAGCCATTCATCCTTTCTTCAGCACGGCACGGCCCTCGTCATCTGATTGGCGCTTTCGCGGTTTCGGAGTCTTCATATGAATTTCAGCGAAACAATTGGCGTGTCGCATGATCGCAGATGACACAACTGGGCACTAAATATGTCTCAGAATGAATTGCCTAAAAACACGGAGCAATGATCTACATTGTACTAGCCTATTTGAACAGCGCAATATGACCAAAAGGGCAAACTTCCGACGGGTTGAACAGTTCCTTGCAGCGATACTCGGCAAAATAGAGCTGTATATTTGAGCTAAATCATGGATTTTCCGGCTCAGCCACTTGGACCAAATGCGGCAAGGTAATAGAACAATTTGGTTGTCTTTTGCGGTGCAGTCTGGACAAAGCCAAGCCTGATGTAGGATATATAAACCCTCTGGTCTTCGTCTCAAAGTATTGTTTCATTCTTTTTCACTTCGAACACCTCAACCGTCACAGAAACCACCGAAATGAGCCCTCCAATGACTAAAGCCTCCCTGCTGTCATCTGGCATCGTTTTGCTTGCATCAGTGCTAGGTGTCTCGGCAGACTGCGCTCTTCCCTCTACCTACAGTTGGACATCAACTGGTGCGCTAGCCGAGCCCAAGTCAGGATGGGCAGCACTCAAGGACTTTACAAATGTGGTCTACAACGGCCAGCACCTCGTGTATGCATCGAGAACTGATACATCGGGAAGCTATGGCTCAATGAACTTTGGTCTCTTTTCGGACTGGTCTGACATGGCCTCGGCTAGTCAGAACGCCATGAATGTCGGCACCGTTGCCCCGACACTCTTCTACTTCCAACCGAAGGACGTTTGGATCTTGGCCTACCAATGGGGATCTTCTTCATTCTCATACCGAACATCAAGTGATCCCTCCAACGCAAATGGATGGTCTTCCGAACATGCCCTTTTCTCTGGGAGCATCTCTGGCACCGATACTGGCGTTATCGACCAGACTGTCATTGGCGATGCTTCAAACATGTACCTCTTCTTCGCCGGAGACAATGGCAAGATCTACCGCACCAGCATGTCCATTGATGATTTCCCTGGCGACTTCGGCACTGTCTCAGAGGTCATCATGAGTGACACAGTTGCAAATCTGTTCGAAGCAGTCCAGGTGTACACAGTGAAAGGACAGAATCAGTACTTGATGATTGTTGAGGCAATGGGTGCAAATGGAAGGTACTTCCGCTCCTTTACTGCCAACAGCCTTGACGGTACATGGACAGCACAGGCGGCAACTGAGGCCCAGCCCTTCGCTGGAAAGGCCAACAGTGGCGCTACTTGGACGAACGACATTAGTCATGGTGACCTTGTTCGAAGTAACCCTGATCAGACTATGACTGTCGATGCTTGCAACCTGCAGCTTCTCTATCAGGGAAGAGATCCCAATCAAAACCCCGACTATAACCTTCTGCCTTACCGGCCGGGTGTTCTGACACTGAAGCAGTAGAGCAAGTGTTTCTTTGGCTCGGTATTCGCGCTATATATTTTGGAGAACAAATACGAGCCAGCGCAATTGATTATATTGAGCTCTATGTATTTGAGTGTTTCAAATGAACACCGCGTTTACCTGGAAGTATTTGACACAGAATGTAATTTGGTAAAGATGACAGGGAAGCAAGAATTAGGTTTCAGTTTCGAAAAATAAGTTCCTTCCCCTTTATGATGGCTTACACTGCTCACACTACAAGAGCTATGAATTTCATAAAACATACATTGAAGAATACTTATGGCTCCCAGTAGCGGGATAGAAACTATTAGATAGTATCAAGGTATTGCATCGGGTCTCATAGTGGATACCGTACCCAGTGCAAGGATGACATGGCTAATTATGATAATAGAAATATTCAGATAATATTAGCCCGGTAATGTGCTACTTCACATCAGGCTTGCTCGGTCTCACGAGCTACTGGGTTGACACATCCACAAACTTTCACTTACATACCTAAACGGCCTGAGATTGAGTCAATTTGACAAGGATTTGACCACACGGTAAATGGCAAACTCAAAGGTATAAATCACTTGCTCATCGATTTGCGCGATTTCGATAGTTAATGTGTCGTCCGCATAAGTGTACGTACGATTCCCCAAATCGGTTGGAGTACCCACCCGAGTGTATAGATTTCCACTATCAAGTCTCAGCGTCTGAATTTCAAGTTCATCACTCGTTGAAAATCCCACTGCACTCGGATCAGAAAGCGCAATGCTCCATGTTCTTGCCATAGGGCGAACACCGGCCAGGACGCGAACGCAGTGGTCCCCGACCACGGCATATGTATCTCCCAGGGTGTTATTGGTCAGTTATTCGGACCTTATGACTAGTCATCTCTAGGTTGTCGTCCCTTCAGACTGGATAATCACGACACGGCCAATACTCCAGATCGTTGATGTCGTTGTTCGGCCACACAGACTTTTTGTCCAAAAGACTGGAAGGCTGCCATGGAACGTATAGTCACCACACCATTTTGCTCGCAAGCCAACTGTAATCTCACGCTGCATTTGAGCAATGTTCCAAGCTGCCCCTGAAGATTGTTGCTGATCTATATTGCCATACTCGTTCAGCACGACGCGGTCATTATAGACGACGCTGGCGTTGCTTAGGAGTCCGTCGAGAGCTCAAAGAGAAGTTTTCAAATCTCCTTTTTCTTAAAGAAAGCGCAGCGTAATTCAGCTTGGGACACTGTTGGTGGATTTGACAAATTCTACCCATCCGGGAAAACCAATCCTCAGCTCCGCGATCAGACAAATGATCGCATGATGGGCCGGCAGTCTTTTCATTGAAAAAAACTCATTAGTGAGTCCAAAGTCAATAACCTGATCCGAAATACGTTTCAATCAGACTTGGCAGACCAACTTATATAGCACGATGATGGGTAAGTCCCCAAATTTCAAAGAAGCGATCCATGGCTCTACACTAGTATTTAGTATTGTCTATCTCGTTCGTGATATCGAAATAGACACCATTAATCACGTTCTGACCTGTAAAGATTTTGAAGATCGACGAAAGAAAATTGTTGTAAGAGGTCCAGTCACCATTGTGGCCAGGAGTTGGGATTTCTGCCGCTGAAGAATACCCATCAATACCCCAGAGATCATGGAGCAAAACCTGCAAATTAGTACCAAAGCATTAGTATGTGTATACTTGTGAATTTTCGAGTCCGAACGGCAATACAGGCCCGTCAATATAGCTCATATATAACTACGGAGAAAGATAAAACAGGCCTTGAACTCATCATAGCCATAAATACAACCCCTTCAGCCTCATTCCGCAGATTGCAGAAGCCCATTTTGGTGCAGAAATGATCTCAAATTTGATACTGGTTGTCTGGGACACTATAAAGTATACCAGATGCAAGGTGCTCCAGGGTCCAGTGTTGTTGCCTAAGTAGGCTCGAGATATGCCACCTAGTTCGCGCTTGCTAAAGTGAGCGTTTGCAACAATACTGAGACTTATTATCGAAGCAAGTGCAGCACCTATCTTTGTCATGAGATGAGCTGGATGAAGTGATGCATATGTGAAGAAGCAAAGCTACGAAGCTTTGATATGCATTTTCTCTATAGCTAGCTGTGCACAATTGCTCGTCTGATGACGTCCACAGGGGATGATGCCATGATTCTCAGTAATTTCTCTTACACCAAAGTAATAAGTGATGTTACAGCAGCTTGGATTCCCGCGGGAGCTACAAGTGCTAAAACCGGAGAACATGATGTAACACAATTTGATAATTCGTTCAAAATGTACCTAGAGTATAATATGAACAAGCTCCCCGCATTTTGAGACCCTTCACATCATTCTTTCGGGGTCTGATGCTTGCATTAGCGTGGAATGGGAAAATAGGCTGAAAGCCAAAAGTTAGGTCTCTGGTGGGGTATGTCAACCTGAACCTGGATTCAGCAAACTCAGTGGGGTTGAAGATGAGGGGCTTGCACGACGGGTATCATCTGTCAGTACATTTAGCCAGGAGAGCGAGCTCTGTATAAGCCTGGAAGTGAATAGTTCCGGATATCCCGAGAATTGAGACGGAATTAGTTGACGCCAACGCTCTTCGATCTCTAGCATCTGGAACTCCACAAGATTTTTCAAATTACCTATGGTTAGGCCCTTTCAGCCCTACAGTTTTTTGTTGAAGGATATGGCTAAATTGTTTTCTGCAATTAGCCTGCGGCCACCGCAAGTCAAGTTACGAACTTTAAGGGGCTGACAGTCTCCACCGGGAGTCCTTTTTTTTCCCACCTAGCTGTCCTATTGACTGTGTCGGGAATCTTAACTTGGCGTTTGTTATCAGCAAAGAAGTAAGGAGTGAGAAGGCAAAGTCGCTCAAGAATAAAATAGCGATTTTTTGTTAGGCAGAAGTTTCAGACTCAAGCCCAACCTAAGCTACCATTATCAAGAGACCTCTAGTTCTAAGTTGTTCGACCCCGTACCCCGTCGGGCATCCCACAAGGCTGTACAAGCCGGACTCCGAAGGCGAGATGACGGTTATGCCCCGTAACCCAGCTTCTTTATGGCAAGGATGCCCTAGGTGCAATTACCAAGGAGCCATGAGCATCCTCAGATTTCGTATTGCGGAATTCCCCACAAAATTGGGGAAGGGTCATTCGCATATCAAGGAGCGTTGATCTCCTAAGACCCTACATCAATCCATTCAGCCTAAACCAATTTATGTGACAGAATCCTTCAGCTTTTGGTTATTCATATTTACGATGCCAATATGGCACGAATAAGAGGCCAAATGTGCCCAGAGGAGGAAGTTACTGCTTACGGCACCCAATGATAAAGTAGGTTTCTAGCTCGTTCCAGCAGGGAAGGAACTGGTGATAAATGATTTTGGTTTAGGCTAGCCGTTATTGTCCACTTTTGAATGGGTCTTGGTGGTGTCGGGCCCGTGGGAGCCCCATATATTTAGCAGGGATGGATAGAGAGCGGCATTTTTTGAATATGGTGGGTTTGCTTGTTACAAATAGTTATCGGCGGTGGTATATAATGGCAATTATAGATTTGTTTAACACTGAAAGGTGCATAAATTGAATTCATGTCCCCAGATGAGCTCGATTTGACATTCTCTCTAAACGAGTAACGTCAAACTACTATCCCCTGCGTAGTCTCTCTTGTCTTTGTTAAATCCAGAAAATTAAAACAGCGATGAGATCGAAAGCCCGCCTAGAAGTGGTTGCCGCGACGCTGATAGAAGATGAACGTATCTCGTCGGAAATAGACAGGAAAGATTTGACTCTCGCCAAGCAGGTCGCCGAGAAAGAGTATGAACTAGGACTATGGCATGCGGTTCGCCGCTATCCAAGGCTTTGTCTTCCTCTTCTTCCTCTGGACTTGTTTTCCGTCTTCCTGAACCGAAGGACAAACCCTACGAGGAGCTGGACATTTCATTCGCGCGCCGAGTGAACACCCGCGAATTTGATAAATATGAGGTCAATGCCTACGCTGAAGATGAGCAGGCTCTTCAGAAATGGACTGAGAAGTAGCAATCTCTATACAAGGGTATCATTGTCCGAGGGTCAAATAAAGGTTTGGAAGTGGAGCTCTTCCACCGATCGGGGCCCGTGGCTACCGAGATGTATTGAAAGTTTAATTTGTAAACAAATTGTCCGAGCATTTCAGTCGCCCACCTTTGGGTCATTTAGATAATCTCGATGCCTAGGCAGCTTATCTAGAAGAGGGCAATAGACTGAATGTGTATTATCGATGTTTTGGGATCTGTGAATAGTAACCAATCTCAAGAAGTAATTTGATTCCTCCCCTCGCACACCCCGTCCTTTTCGTTTTAAAATCTTGATACGCGCTGGTATGATTGCCTTTAAATGTAAAATCATTTTCTGCCGGAATCGAGACTCACGAAATGGGACGCCTAATCACGCTGGCGTGGCGGTGATTATCGTCGCGCACTTGCAGCCTAAGAGCCTCCAAGCTAAAGAGGGGTACGTATCTTAGCTGCAGAACTTCTGCATCCAACCTCCCCTTTCGACACTACGCCCTCACTCGTTTTCTCTAGTAGAATCAGGCTCTACTCACACTCGTTACTCAGTTGTTCCTATTTTATGTTTTGTTTTTATTGCGTTTCAACATATTTACAGCCAAGTGTCACAAGTGCCACCCCAGTCCCCTGACGAATTGGTTGCAGACACCCCGCCCATATGCCAGTCTCATCCTTCAATCCCAACCAAGTGGATGTCTCAGCGCCATGGCGCGTTTTAACAGTCTGTCTTGCGGTGCTGCTGCTTCTCGGGTCAGTATCATGTTTCGATCATCGAGCTTCTTTGACAATCAAGGTCGCTAACTTGTTTTGGGCTTCAGCTATATGATAATGGCTGTGGCAACCAGTAACACCCAAGACACATTGCGAATTGACATCACTACATCTATAATTTGCGCATTCGCTTTTGTCGGAATATCCTATATTTCATCAGCCCTGATTGTTTTGCATCAACGACATCAAAAATCCTTCCTTATTCGCTACATATTCGGGTACGTATCTGATCTGCCCGAGGCTGATGATGTCGCTAATGATCACAGCCCCTACACCATAATGAACCTACTCGCACTGTTTAATACCCTTCTCAACATCTTTGCACGCGATCTCCCGCTGAACACATTGTGTGTCATGAGCATTGGTCTGCCCGCTGCGTTCTCTGCAATATATCCACTTGCAGCGCTATTTGTCTACCATGACAACTGCACAAACCATCACGCAGAGGACGGCACTCCCTTGCTGAGTGACGAAGAAATGCAACGAAGACAAATGCTTCGCTTGCTTCAAGATCAGTCCAGTGCGCCATCGCCAGATCTTATCCGAAACACGTATCGATTTGATTTACCTCAGGAGGACGTGGCTCCGAGATATTGGAGCGAGCGCGCGATTCACCGTTTATAGAGGGCAAACTGCACGGTCGCATCGAGGATAGGAACACGTGCATTGTTTATACAAATATTAATAGTGTATTATGTTGAGTCAACACAGACATGTGTCGAGAAGTACGGGATACAGCTGAGCATAGTTAGTTGCCGGCAACTTAATCAGCACACGTTGGACCTCGGCTCTTTCCCCATTTAAAAGTCCAGGAACCCGCCGCCGTCCGCGACGTCGACCTCATTTACTCTTTAGACGACCAGTGCTGCTCTGAAAATATGGCGAAACGCGTGACAATTTTTGACCCACCAGAGCAGGATCATTCCAAGGCGCTCATCGAGAATGTACTCGATCTGACGCCTGTAGCCGACCTCGGCCCAGTATGCATACCGTCGCACAACTTGAGAACCTGCCCCAGTCTAACAAATCCCCTCTTTGTCTAGGACGTCTTCACAAACACTCGCCCCCTATGGCACCCCCCCGGAGCTCGCGGCATCTACGGTGGCGCTGCGATCGCGCAGTCCCTATCAGCAGCGATGCGAACAGTCCCCACCGACTACGCCGTTCACAGCATGCACTGCTACTTTGTCCTTGCCGGTGACTCCGAGATTCCAATCTTATACCACGTTGAACGGGTCCGTGATGGAAGGAGCTTTATCACAAGGACCGTGCAGGCACGGCAACGGGGTCGGCCAATCTTTACTACAACGCTGAGTTTTAGTCGCGTAGGAAGTGGTGGTCAGAAGACTCTCAACCATGCTACTCAGAAGCCACAAGTACCATTGCCAACCGATGCTGAACCGGGAAGCATCAGGGCCTTGAGCGATGCTGGCGGGGGTCCCTTCGAGTCCAGAAAGGCGGGCATTTTGAACCGTAAGTCTCAGACCAGAACGTCCATGCCGTGCAATCTGTGTTAACGGAATTCGAATTGAATAGGCAACTCTCCCAACCCAGAAGACAAGAAAATTCGACGATATATTCGCGCTCGTGGTCACATCTCCGACGAAGGCGCCTATCAAGCACATCTGTCCGCTCTCGCATACATCACCGACAGTTATTTCATCGGAACTGTCTCACGTGTCCACGATATCCCCCGGTTCTCATCTCGTGCTGAGCTGGAGGGTCTTTTGAAAGCCCTCAAGAACCCATCCGACCTCGACGACGAGGATATCACTCGGGCCCTTAAGGAGCTGAAGGAGGAAGAGGCCGCGGAATTGCGCCGCCGGATAGAAGGTGCCCTTGTCAAAGCTTCAAACGTCAAATCCGAGAAAGATCATAATGAAGTTGGCATGATGGTCAGCCTGGACCACTCCATTTATTTTCACAACCCCATGGCATTCCGGGCCGATGAGTGGATGTTGTCTGAGACAGAAAGCACCTGGGCTGGAGAAGGACGAGGATTAGCACTCCAGAAGATTTGGTCCAAGGATGGATTACTTATTGCTACTTGCACACAAGAGGTAGGTGCATTGATCGTGTCTTCCTATGGAGTTAGTGGTTCATGCTAACATTGATACTAGGGTGTCGTGCGTTTAAAGCAAGATAAGCTTCCAAAGTCAAAGATCTAAGCACCTTGGCTATACCCCTTTTGACAGACTTGCTTCTTTCAGAATCAGTATGTTCAGTTTCGATTATTCTAACTTACCTTCCCCCGTATATTTGGGTGCCCACTGCTTTTGACTTCATGTGATTCTATTTTTGTACCTGAAGTTTGCCAAACCTTGCTTCAAGCTCGACTGCACAAATCCTTTTTTAATTCAATATATAGAAATAGCCATATGTTCATCTCCTATGTCTTCGCACCTTTGTAAGCAACATTGATATCTGAATACCAGACCAATTCACTCCGTGACTCGATTTTTGAATCTGAATATGACGAAACAAACAGCGCAAGACATGAATGAACAAAAAGTAACAAAAATAAACCAACTTTTGCGTTGTTGACAAAAAGCCGCCGACCCATTTTTGATCTTCCAGAGCCAAAATGCGAAATAGACACAGTAAATAACGTATGGTGTTACAGATTCAACTCAATCTTCATACTTCTCAGGCTCAGTCTTGGCCTCCTCCACCTGCTTCTGATAATATTTCAAGACTTTGTCACCCCACAGATGCTTTCCCTTATACTCCCCAACATAATCAGGCCAACTCCTCATTTCTTTGGCAAGATTGTTCAGCTCCTGCTTGGGGAGCTCGTCCAACGGGGTGAGATATGTCTTTACACCAAAGACGATAGCCCCTGTTCGTGGCAGCTTACGGAACGTTTGTCTTTCACGGCGAATGAGGATTTCAGAAGGGAGAGGGTTGATCAACTCCTTTTCACAAAGTGATTTTGGTCGGTAGAGAATCTCTGTTAGGTTTTCGTCGGGTCGTTTTACTTCGATGAAATAATTTGAGCGTTCCATTGGTGAGTTGGGAGTTAGACGGGAGAGGAATCTACCAGTTTTGTTAGTATAATTTGTTCCTATTCGGTGGCGCTTGTCAGGGGCTAAAAGTCTTACTTATCGACAGAGTTGGCAACGTGCTGGTGCCATAGCGGGACTGGGCCATGCAGTTGAGAGATGGTCCAGCCGATTCTCTGTTGCACCGTCCATCCTGTAGGGAACAGACTGGCACTTCCTGCTCTATAATGGTGTTAGTCCTGGGCATGATAATTGACAGTGGCTCAAACTTACAGGTAATATTCACCCTCCTCGTTTAGCATCAGAACACTCAGATCCTCCATTGTGAGACGAACGGCAGCCTCCAGGGCATCGGTTACGCCCTCCTTGGGGTCGCGTCCATTGACTGTGAATTTGTCGCCGGTCATGCGGTTGTCGACGATCTTTTGGTTGTTTTTGATGTTCATCTCAAAGTTGTTGGGGAATCTTTCACAGAGGAAGTCCGATACCTCTTCCAGTGCCTCCTGGCATGCATCGACAGACTCGGGGAGGCAACTTAAGACCTCGGACCTTTTCTCGTGCAACAACTGGTTGCGTACTCGGTGCTCATCCATATAGTTCTTGTCGAGGGTGAGCCAATTTTGTTTATCGAGTTTGCGGATATCCATCATGACACGGTACCGTTCTCTTCCTTTGATGGGCTGCGCTGGGTAAGGTGCCATGCGCTTGACATCTGATGAAGAAGAGGCATGCTTCAAACAGTACTTCTCCGACTTTGGCCACAGCCACTGTAACAGCTCTTTGTGATGTCTTACGGCGAATAGAAAGACGAATATCGGAATCGCCACGATCGAAAAAGTTGTCATACTTTTCCCATTCAATGTGCTTGCGTTGTAAGCCGTTGGAACTTGTCTTCTTTTGGAAAATGAAGTCGACTAATCAGCAGTGCTAAATTTTAAAGGAAGGAAAAAGAAAAGAAAAAGGATGATTGTGGAGTAAGTCACCTGGAGCAGGTGAACATAAATATGACCTCGGAGCCATGAATAATGACCTAATCCGGGACCAGGCAGCAAACCTGAAAGATCACCAGACAATCAAGTCAGCTCTAATTTTCGGGAATAAAAATGGATAACTCTGGCAGCTGCATACCACATTCCTGATCCAGCTGAACTGTGTCTGCGGATTTGCTGTGATACGCTCAAGGATTCCCCGCAAAAATAATAATAATAATAACCCAATTTCACCGGGGAGTACTAACAGACATATGATCTCAGAGTTTAAATTAATTGTTTTGTGTTCAGTTCGAGGTATGCAGGCTGTGCACCAGATCAGCTCGAGTGGAGGGCGAACTCTCAAATCCCCAAGTTCTTACTGGCTCGTCGTTGGATATGAGCAGACACCCCCACACACTTAGATCTTTCACTAATCCCAGAATAGCTATGTTGGCACGAAATGCCCTAGCCTTGAATCGTCAAGCTCGCGTATACTGTCTGTGCGCGGCGCCCGCGTGAACCTCCAGCCCTGCTGAACAACAATGCCAACATGTTCAAGGCAAAATTAGACACCGGATACCCTCGGAGGAAGTAATTTCTAGCACATGATTCGTACCCGCGCGACGCGCTTGCCAAATGTAAGTACCCAAAGGCCGAAGGGACCGGATGTTTGATCTGAGTCACGCAGGTCCAGCTCCTGTTGATCGCCCGCAGCACCCGCGCATTCGGGGGTACTGGAGCTGACTGGCTCGGGGCCTGATCTAGTTCAGGTGCACATCACACCGTCACCAAACTAAATCGATAGGCACATGGAATGAGCTGACGAATCAGTGCCCTGGTGGTGGGGGGGCTCTAAAGGGGGGCTGTTCTCCAACGGCCTAGTGCCTTCACTTCCGCGGCCCCGATTAAAGATACCAGGATGACTGTTACTACTTCATTTTTGACGTGTTTGAAATGCAATTGCGTTGGGCGAATACATTTTACATGTCTACATGCTATACTTACCTCCGGTCGGACACCTCGGAATCGAGGAAACAGGATATAACCCATAGACTGTATTAAAATTGCCACTATGTGTCCCACACCAGGATCACCAGGCCCAGAATACGCCATACTCCACAACCTCTGGGGCTCCCGCTGCAACCGCCCATCCCCCTTTCGCGCAAAGCGCGATTGCCGCTATGTCTTACATGTCCGTTTTCGCCCCGTACATTCTCTCTCTGTTCTCTGTTGTTTTCAATTGAAAGACTAGATTATTGTGATTAGTCTATTTTCTATTTTGCTTTTTTCCGCCTCTTCGTCATGGCCCATGCTACTGCCCGTCACATATTGAAACACAGACCACCATTTCCAGGATCAATTGAATCGATCTGCAAAGTATAACAGAGATTCGCCACCGCTACTTAGAATTGGGACCATTTGTTTGCGCATTTCATTCATAACCAGACGAGGCAATCGAATCTTATACATAATTATTTGTTTAGTCCCTACTTGACCCGTTTCCGACTTTAAAACACCCCAGCCAATCACTGTATCTGCTTTGCCGTGTCCAAGTCTTTCCCTTCCTGGGCAGAGTCTAGACCTCTTCCCGATCCTAGCCTTGTCCCCTATCCCTGATTCTAGCCCTAGCACCGACGATTAGAGTGGAGATCAATACATGCCAACCCTGTCAAAGGGCCTTCTGTCAATTGTCCCATCGGGTCCGTGAAGTCTAACCTTTTTCAATTTTTTCTAGGTAATACGCACAGACGATGAGATCAGCTGCCCTGAGGCAGTCCCTTTCTCTGAATGACGGCAACTGCCTCTGACGGAAAGGCAGTTTGGACCGAGAGGGTGGCCGTCCGCATCCCTTGATTGGCCAAGGTTACCTTTCGGCGCTGGATATATTTGTTTAGTTGGAAGGCTGCGTTTCTTAGATTAGTATTTCATCGGGCGCCTTTGAGGATAAAAGAGTAAAAGCCACAGTTTGCAGCCAGAATCCGTGAAAATAAAGCAAGGTAGGGGCATCTGTCAGCATTTCGTACAGTATTTACGGGTGGTGGCCCACGAGGATTACTTTTTCATCAGCCACGTTCTTGGTGCTCACGTTGTGCCCGATGTATCTGTCACATTTGGTCTGAGTGATTCGCCGAATCGCAAGCCACGCCAAATTTGGAAACTTGTCATGCTCACTTGTGTACCTCGAGGGAGTATGACGTTATTCAACGGTCGATAGATAAATCAAGGATACTTGATCTGGCTGTTTTGAGCCCCTGAATATGAAGTGTTTGTTCCTTATATCATACATAAATTATCGGGTGACAGGGACTTAGGCGACAGTAGCACGAATCAAGGTCTTGGTCAAACGCCTGATGCAGATTTAATCCTTGAAACTGGCTTTCGGCTTGGTAATGCCAAGTATCATGAAACGATTGGCCCCTTTGCAATGTACAGTATGCCATATTTTACAAATTGAAGTCTTCTCCAAGAAGCTGTTCGCCTAGATGCCACAGCCTATCGGCGGTCTCTGCTCCGCAAGCATGAATCGCTGGGTTTTTCAATTGACAATCACTGAAGTATAAACCAGACAGATCTAAAAATGATGGAATGTTAGCAGGTAGAACCATATTGACCTGGTATGTAGCATCACCTTCAAGGGCTGGGTTCAGGGCGGCGAAGAGGGTAGTGGCGCAACCTTGCTGAAGGGTCTTCCGGTCCGCAACTTCAAAATCCGTAACTTGGGCAATTGATCAGCTATATTGGTTTGGAATAGCAAGTTGGAGCATTGACGCACTTGATTGTGACTTTACTCGCGCATCAGATATTGACTCTGAATCTACATGACGTTGAAGACCTGATGCGATACCTAATACTGTTAACAGACGATCTCACATAATTCTTGCTATCACATACTTCCTGGGTGAATCGCAAAAGATGCAATGTCTCTGCTTGGGATACGTCTTGCCAGGTGGTTGGCCATAAGTATCAATGCTGTCTTTGACTGGCCATATGCTTTCCATGTGTCATAAGCAGTACCGCCCTAACCAAAGAAGATCCATCATGAGAAAATATTCAGTTGCAGAAAATTCCGTATGTTCGCCATACTTACCTCGAAATCTATATCTTCGAATCGAATACCCTCAAACCGATGTGCGGAGCTGCTCACGTTGACGATACGCGCACCCGGCCCAGCAGCGCGGAGCTTAGGGAGCAGAAGACCAGTTAATAGAAAAGGACCCAGGAAATTTGTTCCAAATTGTACCTCGAACCCATCTTTGGTCGTGCCATAGGGACAAGCCATGATGGCGGCATTGTTGATGAGGACATCAATGCGATCAAAATGACCGTTTATTTCTGCAGCGGCTGCTCTTATTGAGAATTGATCACTTAGATCCAAGGAAACAAAGACTGCCTTGATATTTGAGTTGATCTCAGTAATTTTGTCGATGACCGGCTGGATTTTGACGCGATCCCGGCCTGCAAGAATGACAGTTGATGGAGATTTCGATGCTAGACAGAGTGCAGTTTCCGCACCAATCCCTCCGTCACTTGGTCCAGTTATCAGGACTATCTCTGAGGTTAGCTGGACTCAATAGGCGGGGGAGATTCATCTTACATGTCCGCCCTCTGATCCGCCCCTCAAATTCGTGCACGACTTCAGTACCCGTGGAGGACCACGACCAGCTAGTCATTGTGATGATTGGGTTGCTTATATTGGAATTAAACTTGATTCTTTTGTATCCTGGACTTGAGCGAAAAGTGGTTTATATAGGGAGGGCTTACCGGGCAACCAAAAGTCTAAGTCTCCGGTATCGCTTTTAAGACTCCGGCATCTCCTTTAACTCCGTCACTGTACATGAAGGCCCTGCCCTCGTCATTGCTTTGAAACTTGAATGTAAATTTTCTCACGACTCAATAGTCAGATCCAGCATCGCAAGAAAATCATTTCCTCAATTCTCCGTGCACTTCATGATTGGCGCATATCACCGGATTCGGGCCCCGCCATGTCACTCTCAGGGCGCACTGAGTAATGCCCCAAGTTTCGACTTGTAAGGTTGTTTTTATTGTCAGATATGATTCTTGACTGAATTTTTACGGCTTGTTTGCAATTCTTGCCCGAAATAAGGGATCGGAGTCAGTCACGTCACTCGTATTCAATATCGGACTGAAGGCATGTCTCAAACAGCAGTACATACCAAAGTCGGCATAATGGGTGTGGAACTTGATGAATTGAATCAACCGTCCATGCTACATAGACAACTTCACCAATGCCTAGAAGCATCTTCAACGCGTCATTTGTCAAATGAAGAAACCTCTACAGGGAACGCTTACGGCCAACGACCCAGAGATCTTTCTCGCATCAATGCCGTGATTTTAATCACTACCCTCTCCGGCATTACCTTTGTTGGCAGCATGAGTGGTGGGTTATTGACCGTTGGATTACCCACCATTGCGGCTGACTTGGACTTGCCAGATAATCTATTGCCCTGGTAAGTGAGACGATCAAGTTGGTATTCACATAAAATCAATTTTTCAGCTATTCTAACCAGACCTTGAACTAGTTTAGGCCGGCCTCAGTCTACTCGTGAGACTCCAGTTCCCAACTTCAGATGGTGAATATCTAACCAATCCCAGTCTTGCAAATGGATGTTGTCTTCTACTCGCAGGCTCAATTGTGGACTTGATAGGCAACCGGAGGATAAATATCTTCGGGTGTTTCCTCCAAGGATCATTTATTCTTGCATGTGGTGTAGCCCAGACAGGCATTCAAATAATTGTATTTCGTACATTCCAAGGCATCGCAACATCAATGTGTCTTCCGACGGCTTTCAGCATCTTGACAGATTCCATGCCAGCTGGAAGACGTCAAAATATCGGGTTTGCTTGTCTCAGACTTGGTCAACCTCTCGGATTTTCAGGTGCACTTGTTCTTGGTGGCCTTTTCCAAGCTACCTCTCTAGGTTGGGGATTCGGTTACTATCTCTGTGCAGGAACGGCCCTGACCCTTGCAATTTTGAACTTTTCAAGCTGCCAAAGGATGCAGAGCGAGGACCAATATCTTGGCACAGATTTAGCTCGGATATTGACTGGGTTGGAATTGTCTTATCCAGCGCTTGCTTGGGCATCATTTCTTATGTCTTTGCGTAGGTCCACTATTTCCATGATTGGGTGCCTCTCATCAACCCAACTAACTAGGTTCGCAGCACCATCACGGATAGTCCATCTAACATTGGCACACCTGAAAATATTGCCTTGCTCTGTGCTGCTGGTATTATGATCCCTGCGTTCTGGATTTGGATGAATTGGCGAGAGAAGAATGGCAAACCCGCATTGATCCCGAACTCCTTGTGGAAGAAAACCGCTTTTGCTTCCGTCTGCGCTATGGTCCTATTGTCCTGGGCAGTCTTGAACGGAATGGAAACAATTCTTAGTCTTTTGTAAGTGCTGGTCAACGTCATATGTGGATGTCGGTTCTAAAAAGGTTAACAGCTTCCAAGAGGTGCAAAACCTATCTGCCTTCCAGGCTGCACTTCGCTTCTTGCCAAAAATCATCATTGGCATCGTGCTGAATGTGGATACAGGACTTTCAGTTCATCGCTTGCACGCAACCATCTGGTGCTGGTTAGCACAGTACTGAGTGCTGGCTCTCCGCTCCTGATGGCCATCATTAATCCGAGCTGGTCGTGGTGGTATTGCGCTTTTTGGGCCATGCTGCTTGGTCCTCTTTCCACAGATGGTAGGTCTCTCGGTTTCGCGAATTGAGGGTTCACTGACAATCGGACATAGTCATTTTCACAGTTGCGAACTTGATCATCACCGATGCATTTACTCCGAAGACGCAGGGACTTGCCGGTGCAGTATTCAATACGATCGCACAGTTTGGAACATCTATTGGACTGACCATCTTCGCCATCATCTCCGCGGGTGTCACTCAAGGCTCCATATATTCAAGCAAAGGCTCACCGGAAGCACTGGTGACCGGTTATAGAGCCGTATTTTGAACATGTTTTGGGTTGATGGTGGCGGCATGTGGCGTTGGGGCCTGGGGGTTGCGGAAGGTTGGGAAGGTAGGATTGAAGAAGGAGTAAGATGGCCAAGTACGTACAGATATGGACCGGGGATAAGGTACACGAGACAAGTTGCAGATAAGCAGGTATTAAAGTCAATTTCATTATTACTCAATGCTTGCCTGATGCAATAATATGATGTCTGAATAGTATCTGGTATGCCCTAGAGTTTCAAATATGGGGGAAGATCGGTCATGTGGCAAAGAAAAGACCATTTGAACGCCCATGCAACTTTTGGTAGCCCTAGTATCATCTAGCCGGTTCCTGTTCTGATAAAAATTAAAGAATAAGTATGTAGTCCGTGTCACCTCATGATAGAAATTGTGAAAACTTTTGCGTCGCCAGAACGATAGAGATGGAAATCAAAAGTAAAACCTGTTGGCAGATCCTAGATAGGCACACATGCGAAGAGCGTGGACTGGAATTATATGTGGGTAACGAAAACTGCAATCGATCTAACAAATGATCGACGCCTTGTCAGCGTGGCTGCGGGCAGTATCGATTCTCGTTATCGAACGACTGGTATTGCACGACGGAACAGGTTTGAGTTCATCAGAGCCATTAGCAAGACGCTCCTCTCGTTCCAGTTCCAGTCGTTCAACCTGCTTAAGGCGCTTGAGTTCCTGGCAGAACTTGCTGTTAGCTCTGATCCGGTCACCATATCGGATAAAGGCAAAGGGGATAACAGAGACAGCCAGGCTGAGGAATGCAATAAGACTGCAAGCCCAAGCCACGCCGAGACGGTCGAACATTGGCTTGGCAGCCAGAGGAATCACGGCTCCTAGGATACTCCGCGTGCAGCTTGCAGCGGATTGTGCACTTGCAGAGAGAGTTTCGTAGGCGTCCGTAAGATAGTTGAGCATGGCCATGAAAATTAGGAGATAGCCCATTCCGAAGGGAATTCCGGAGAGAAATGGTACCACCCAGTGAATATTTGGCGAGGATGTCCATCCTACCCAGAACAAGGAAATAACGTAGAGCGGTCCTCCAATGCAGGCGAGAGGGAGTCTTCGGTATTCTTCGATGAAGGCCCATTCGGCGTTGCGGGCTTTTGCTCGTGCTAGGTAGCCGTCGTACCACAAGAAAACTCCGCATGCAAGGATGGCACCAATACCAACTATAAAAATAAGGTAAATAAACGTTTCCGGGGCCTGATTAACTGTTGACACTCACTTGGCAAGAACATCAGACCGGAGACACCAGGACTCATTTTGTAGATGCCTGTGAGAGATTTTTTAGCCCTTCCTACCAAACACGACAGCAAGTGGTATTGGGCATAGATCACCAACCTTGAAAAATGATAGGGTAGGCCTCGAAGTAAAGGTAGAAAATCGCGTATGCAAGCGCAAGATACAGAGAACTCAAAGAAACGATGTACTCGTGCATAATCATGCGGAAAGGGCGTGAGATCGTGATGAGGAACATTTCTCGCAGGTTGCGGCTCTCCACATCCAATGGAGACACGATGCTCGAGTTACCAGTATCTTTGCGAAGTTTTTTCGCGCGACGCTTCAGTATCACGGGCCCATAGGTTTCAGGCATGAAGATGACCAACGGGAAAGTCGCTCCTGAGCAAATAAGGCCGATCCAGAAACACCACCGCCAGCTAACGACGGCAACAAATCCAGATACCCAGGGTCCGATGATTGGTCCAAAGGTTGTGCACTGTGCGAAAGTTAGTTTCTGAACTCGGAGCAAATCGGCATACGCAAAAAGAAGAAATCTTACGGCCATGAAGTATGCCATCAAGCGACCTCTGAGCGTGGGATCGTCATGTACGTCGGCAAACAGTCCACCGACAGTGGCAATAGGCGCCGAGGCCACCATACCGTTGAGTAATCTGAAGATAAGCAATGAGGTATATGAATCTGCCACTGCGCAAGCTAGTGTGAAAATCATGAAGCCACAATAAGCTATAAGCAAAGGTGGCTTCCGGCCGAAGTACTCAGAGCTTGGTCCCCATAGTAGAGGTCCCAAGATGTAACCGATTAGGAAGATGGAGATTGGTAATACAAGGGCTGCTTGGTTTGTGATGTGAAATTCTTCGGCGATTTGAGGGATGGCGTTGCTACAGATCGATGAACCAATCGTGCTGTTCATGACCTGCATGACACCAGATGCGAGGACTAAGAACTTTCTCTTCTATCGGAGTATTAGTAACTGAGTGTTTCAGGCTCTGGCCTTGAGCCCGTTGAAACATACCTTTCCCCAATTTACGGGATTTTCTGGGTCATTCTGCCCGAAAGAGACAATGGTTTTTGAAGCCACACGACAAAACCGCGAGTATGAAGGATTTCCATACCGCTCCTGGATGGGCTCATGGTTGAATTCTGAGTGTTGATCCTCAGAATTGCGTGAGCTGTGTTGTGACTCATTGGATGGCATCTCTATGTCCTCTATGCAGCAAATTTAGAATTTGACCCCTATAATATAAAGCAAGGACAGACCTGTTGTTGACATGACCTTTTGCATGTTCTCCTCGGCAGTAAAGTGGTCCGACATCGTGATGGCCTTAGCTCGCCCATCAAATCGGTGATTTGTAGACCAACAGGCGGGGCACAAGAGTTATAAAGTGTCAAGGTGAAAAAAACCCACCCCCAAGGGGCCCATTTGAGGTTTGAGTCAGACAAATTAGATTCATCTTCATGTGGATTCGGTACCCACATCCGTCAGGCAGGTTCTGCCTCGAAGCACTTAGTTTGACAAATGAAGTCTGTGTGCGAAACGATTCTGGTTAATACAATGAGAAAAGGGTCTAGTTCCTCCAATCAAAATAGGTATCTGGTGATGTTGATCAGCCAAGTACCAGATCTGGCTCGGTTAGGACGGCTTCTTCCCCAACTTTTGGGCGGAAAACAGAAGCCAAGACTCTGTGGATTTCCCAAGTGGCAACTCAGGATGCTACTATATGCATTATCACATGGCAGCTTGCACAATTCATCAGCATGCAGTGATCGAGATAGGCCAGCTTATGTTGTTTGCGAAACACCCAAGGCAAGCGGGCGAAGGTGAAGCCAGCAAGAATTTGACGCACATTTCTTTTGACTGCATGCATCTGATCACTTGGGCTTGAATGCTTCAAGTTGTAAGGGGTCAAAGCCTGCTTATCAATCAATCGGTCTTGTGTCGACAATCGCCCTCAGGAGCTTCCCTGTCACGTTAGTTGAACTAACGTGACAGACCCAGGCAAGCGCCCGTTCCCATGATATAGCACGAGGACTACATGCGCTTGATTGAGCCATGGCCAACTCTTACCAGGCAATGAGTTTAGCGGGGACGCGCCAATTCTGGGGAATGATCGGGAACGGGGTATTGCGCACAGCTTGGTCTGAGTCATTGGGTCCTCGGGATAGTGTCCGATAGGGTCCACTCCTTATGAACGCCGTCTTTGGAAATTGCGGAGGATCTTCTGGTTATTGTTGATACGCAAGCCTTTACCCAACCCAGTCGTTTGCTATTGGGCTGGAGCCGGCAACCCTTGCCAAGCCAGAATTCTTCGATCTCATTCCCGGTTGCGCGTCCCGACGCGTTCGGACTTCGGACTTCTGGCCGATCTGATCTCCCAAAGTGAAAACTCAAAAAGCTAGCAAGCCACACAAATACATATACAATCATTTGTTTACTATACAAAATGAAGGGCCGGGTCCTGGGGGATTATAGCTTTAGCCAAGGGGACGATAATTGTAAGGAATGCGGATGCCTGAAAACCTAGCCGGACAATACCAGCACACGAACGATTGAAAATTTTGCCCGCCAAGCAATGCCTTAACTGCGACATTGTTTAGATTTTAAGTATTTCTTCTAGTGCGGGAATTATCCGAAAACTTTCAACATTGCCCTAATCCCTCTTTATAACAGGATACTGCATGAGTCCCATCAAAAATTGCCTCCGAAGAGCCGACAATTAAATGTTTATGCCAATGGCCATCTAAACATCGGCCAATGCAGCTCTGTGCCCTTGGGCCATCACAAATTGTATATATTCTCGTTACTGTCGCATTTCAATAGTTAATTTGAACAATTTGTTTACAGAGCGTTAACCACTCACAAAGGACGCTGGAGATGACATCTCCCTTCCGCTCTCGAGTTGACCCAAACGCTGACACTCATAGCAGCCACCGGGAAGATTCCATGGCCGAAGCGATCAATCAACACCGTTTCATCTCGCCACTGCAAAATGTCGGTCCACATCTCGCCGGCGTGTTCAAGGCCAATGAACATGCGCTTGTATGAAGAGGGGCCGTTGCTGAGAACACAAGCAAGACCGAAAGGGTATCTATAGTTGCCATATCGAACAAACCCTGAAGTTCACGTAAGAAGGAAAACCATAATTTAATGGCATGAGACCGTACTGACCGATGCAGTTCCGTCGATTGAAGTAGTCCCGCTGTTCGCCATGGGCAAACAACTTTCGGGTGCGAGTAAGAATTGGAAGTCTGCCGTGACAGGATGAACCGTACTGGGGCTCTGGTCCACCGTTGATCCCATACAGGTCACCATAAAAGAGACAGGGCTGTCCCTGTTTTCGAAGAAGTATCAATGAATACGCCAGTGACTTAAAGAATGGTGCAATGGCAGTCTGCAAGAGCTGTCAGCTAGGTTCTAGATCTTTTGGCTGAGGACAGGTCACCTCTAATGATTGTCCTGGTTGCTAAATGCATGTCAGCGGCGTTCAAATCTATTAAGCAGTAGGTGCCCACAGTATCATGATTGCCGACAAATGTCTGAACATTGCATACCGGTCAGGCTTAAGTAGTTTCCGCATCGCGACTGAGTCTTACTATGGCATGTTCCGGACTCTGTTCAACCAACGTTCCCTTAAAGATCTTCCGCAAATCACCACCGGCCATCTTTGAAATGGCAGTAAACCGTCCCAGAAGTGGAACGTCAAACAAAGACACCTCATGATCCATGAATTTGAGATATCCCAAAAGTAGACCAACTTCTCCCCTCCAGTACTCTCCCATCAAAAGATAATCAGCACCGACTGTGTTTCGCAGGTGATAGAAGAACTCTTTCTGAAAGGATGCGGAGTAGTGTTTTGCTGCGTCTATTCGCATTCCACTTAGTGGTAACTCGGTGCCGATCCACTCCCCCCATCTCAGAATATCAGCTCGAACTTCTGGATCGGAGTGATCGAGATTGGCGAACATCAGGTAGTCATAGTTACCGCGTTCATCGCTAACATACTTCGCCCAATCTTTGTTCGGACCAACTGTTTTATAAATCGCATGCTCGTTGTGTTTCTGGTTCCAGTCCACACCTGTGAAATGCTGCCAGTGATATTTCATTGAGCTGTACTTGGTACCGCGGCCGGGAAACTCAAATCCTACCCAGCCATCGATGTACTCGGGTTGTGAAATCTCCCTGTTTCTATCTACCATCATATCAGCATTGTTATCGACGCTGGAGCTGTTTATAAGGAACTAGTCATACCTTCTGGGTCTACCTTGACTGCTGCAAAACTTTCTGTCGAGTCGGCTCCGGCTTTTTGGTTCAGGACTGTGTCCCAATGAATTCCAATGGACATCTTTTGCGCAGTATGGACCAGTTCCTCCAAGTCCTCCTTCGGACCCCATCGTGTCGCCCTGCTTCCTTTCTGATCAAATTCGCCAAGATCGTACAAATCATAAATGTCGTATCCAATTCCCGTCGGATCCATCCCTTTACATCCAGGAGGAATCCAAATGTTGTCAACTCCGATATCCTTGAGGTCTGGTAGTGCCTTGCGGAGGCGTTGCCAATGAAGTTGGTCGGCCGGCACGTGCCATTCGAAGCCCTGCATCATGAGAGTATTCTCGGAATGACCCCCCTGTGCTTCATTTTCAGACAGAAACACGGCATCTAAATTCAGGTCATTGAGCTGGAGCAAGTCTGATTAGCTTGGTCACCAAACAATAAAGCTAACCTTCGATTTCGCGCCATTTCCTGGGCCGTCTTCGCATCTTTAGGCAACAGCTCAAGAATGACAGCATTTTTTCAATGGTCCATTTCATGATCAAGAGCAAGATCGTTGCAGGATATGCAAATAAATGAAGAGAAGCCCTTTTTATTGTGCCGACGTTGGACAACGTCTTTAATGTCAGTGCTAGGCGGAACTGAAGTAACACTGGAACACCTGCTGTGCAATGAAATTCCGTGGTCACGGATCTGATGGGCTATTTTTTCATAGGTCAAGTGGGAAATTTCCTTGTAAACAGAGTGTTAAAAAAAGAGGTCAATCCCTAATCCCCTGGTAAAATCTTTGTATTCTCATAATTTTCCTGGCGTGTCGAATATGTATTTCTTTTGTGAGACATAATGCATGACCAGACAGCCTCCATACCGACATTTGACTGAAATATATACTGATAGCTACTGCGAGCTAGCAGTGTTACATATGAAGCGTAATAGACGCGTGGATTACTATCTCGAACGTATGTCTTAGCCGCTCTGGATTCAAAGAACAAAGGAGTCGGAAAGGAGGAGTAATGCAAACAGTCTCTCTCTATTATCCTGATTGCCATTACAAGCCCCGAGAACTGAAAATAATAGCGCCTTTCCGTTTGGAACATTTTCCGACCGTAGAACAGTACCGTAAAGCTCTTAGCCTTGATATAAAGAGGTAGTGATCGCTAGTGGCATGACAGTAAAATGAAAGTCACAGCGTCTCTAGGAATCTAGTGAAGCACTCAACCCTGATGTTCCCCAGAAATTCCATTCCAACTTCAAGACGAAAATATCTAAGCCGTAATATACGATGCCGACATGCGTTACTGATTATCGGAACAAAGTTTGAGTTGTACACCCTCAACGCATAGCCCGCAGAAGAAGCCAATTCGAGAAGCCTATCATGACTCACTATGACTGTTTCTCTAGCGCCTGAGTTTGCTATCTAGGGTCCGGAGGGCCAAGGAGATTGTCACTGCCCTTTCGAAAGAGGTGGGCACTATGTACAAAATTGGGAATCTCTACATGATGGCCAAACAAATTGCTGGATTTAAGCCATTTGTGACTGTAAATGAGACAAGGTAGTACTGATTTGGTGTTTGGCAGTCGGGGTCCCAATCAGTTCTAGGGCGGGAAAACCGGTCATCTTCGGTCATCTTCGTCGGAGCAGCCTTCTTATACTGGATATCTCCTGCCCAGGCAGCCGAACTAGAAATAAAACCAAAGCATATCGGAAATTCTACCCTCGGACCTGCTCACTTTCAACATGGCATTAACCTACACCCCAGAGCACATCTTCATGTCTAAGCGCCTCGTCTACCGAGCTTTCGAGGACAATGAAGAGGACAAGGCGTTTTTAAAACAACAAATTCTCAACGATCATACCATCCAAGTCATGAGCACGGATCGATTACCACGGCCATCACATTCGCAATCCACTGAAGCGTTTGTGAAAATGTTTCATGATTCCATGTTAGGCGTTCTGATATGCCTTCAACCAGAGGGCCACCCCAAAGATGATTCGGAATATCCATCTAACGATGAGGTGGCCAGAGCAAAGCCCATTGGACATGTAGGCCTTTTCAACCACCTTGGCCCAGACACGAGCCATCACCGCAATGTGATGTTGGGCATATCGCTCGCGCCGGGTTTCCGCGGCAAAGGGTATGGCGGAGAAGCTATCAACTGGGGACTGGATTGGGCATTTCGATATGCCGGGGCTCACAGGGTTGGTCTAGCTGCCTTTTCTTATAATGAAAACGCCGTAAAACTTTACAGAAAATTGGGCTTTGTGCAAGATGGCCGCGAACGCGAGGCTATCTATCACCTTCGTGCTTGGCACGATGTGATTCTCTTTTCTATGCTCGAGCATGAATGGGAGACACTGCGGGGAGTAGAAAAGAACTGAGTAGTGATGTGAGCAGTGCAGTCTTGTATAACTGGATTTATATGCAGGGCTAGGGAGATAGAGCTCAGGTCATACAGACGGTCTGGGAATCGGGAATCAATATAGTATACAAATACCTCCGCTTCGGCTTCAGCTTCACTATATCATACGCCTACTTGGGAAAATTCACAGATTGTCTTGACAGTAGTAGGGTCGCGTGATTGGATACTAAACTTTGGTTTTTTTTTTTTTTTTTTTTTTTGATAAGCCGGTCGTTATGAATGCGCGAAAGGTTTGAGATAATTTTCATGGCCAACAGGATCGAATGCATCGATAATTCAAGTTGCACACAATGAGGCTGTCTCTCGATTACTTCATAAAGGCGTCATGCAAAAGATGAGGACTCGAAAATGTTGTTCAATGTTGCCAAAATCACTCGGAAAAGCAACTTTTCTTGGTATTTGACACCTCATCAGCAGGGGTACAGGCAGATCGCGTTGGCAATAGACTGTCTGAATTGAGAGATAAAGAACCTATTATAACTAAGGTAGCAAGCAGTCAAAGGAAATATGCATACATATGTTTAAAAAGCACGCTCGCTTTTCATAGCACCAGGGAAGTCGTTTTGAAGGGCTTCCCAAATTGGCTTGCCTCCAATCTGAAGATCCTGGAACGCAGGACAAGTCATGTTCAACAAAGGGACAGAGAGAACGTTGGTGATAAATTCTAGCGGCTCAGAAATGGTCTTGTATAGCCCAGAAAGTGCACTGGGGCTGGCGAATTTCAGCACTTCAAACACAAAGCAAAGCAGATTGTTACCCTCGAGCAGAGTTGCCAGGTTGAGTACGCCGCCTGTCAGATCGGCGGGATCAACGCCAGCAAAACTGTTCACAGAACCAGTATTGCCTCCAACGCTGCACATACTCGTTAGATTTCACGTGTAAAATGGACAAGAGGGAAGAGTTACCTTCCAAGCTGCGGGTATTTGCCAAACCAGTCAATTGTGTCCAAGTTGAGCTGAATCAGACCATAGTCAACCGGGGTCTTGTACCAGTTCTCCGGGATTCTTTCCCATCCTTCCCGATACGTCAAGTTGTGTTCCTCCCCGTAAATTCCGTAGAAGCTTCGGATGTGGTCCTTGGCTGAGGGACAATTAGCAAACCTGGACTCTGGAGGTGATATCACCATCACAATAACATACTCAATACTCCCTCAGGATTCTCACGCGAGTGGTTTCGGAAAAGCCGACCGGGGAAGATATAACCAGCATTTCGCGCAACAAGGCCAGTAACAGGTCCATAGTAGAAGTTGGGGTTGGTTTGGATAGTCTCCTCAAACCGGAGACTTGCGCGCTCAGCCATAAGATCCATATCGAAATTACCGTCCATGGACATATTATACCAGGACATGAATTTGTCCATGTTGAGTGCATAATTGTTGCCTGTCACGTAGAGATCGTCACGCGTGTTGGAGGAGTCGGCTTCGATGAAGTTGTGAGACCCAATCAGGCCTTGGGGTTCACCTACACAAAGGTCAGTAAACAGGTTTGATATTTAAGAGAGAAACTTTGACCTAAAATTCCCCCTAGATTATTCAGAAGGTTGTTGACGCCTGTATCGCGGCCGCCGATGGAGAAGCTCGGATCGAGGGACAGCGGGTCCCCAGTCCAGACGGTGCCCATGATTGCAAGGACAGTAGCTAGATCGACACCCATGCCGTAAACCTCATTGATTGCTGGAATGACTTTGGCAAACTTTTTTCCGTTAGCTCGTGCTTGACGGAGGCCAGTTAGCTGATGACCTACAGATACAACACCATTTCGTGGAATATATCCATGGTTTGCCAGCGCGTTGAGACCTGGGCAAGAGCCACGCTGGTCACCATTCTCAAAGTTCGGTGGATGGAAGGCATGTTCGCCAGTGACTAGACTTTTGTTATTACCAGTTGAAGCATGACAGTGGGTCCTCTCTTACCATCCACAGGCAAATCCATCAAATCGAGGAGAAAACGCTTGTCATGTTCTACCTTCGGCTGCTCATGATCTTGGGCATATGGACACCTCTTGTGTAGCCCGCGATGAGCTGAGTTACCATGGTGGGTGTCTGCTCCCGGAAATCCTGCCACAAGGGTGACAAGTGAGAATGAGCAGACCAACTGCCCAAGAGCGAAGACACGCATGACAATTGAAACGAATTGACCTCGGATTAGATCTACCGATGCCAACAAACCTCTGGGAAGTAAAAACTTTGAAACGTTGAAGAAGTAAAGTATTCTGGAATTGTGGCATGTGTCGAATAGATATGCACTAACTACCATGTGCCTGCGCCTTTGTAAAATTCCAAATTTTACCTATGCTGATCAATTCATGGCCCCTGAATGGCCCGTATCAGCACATAGAACCAGTTCAAAAATATTTTCAGCAATGCCCTAGGGAAAACCAAACTCTCAGTAAAATGGCTTACAATATTACAGAGAAATAGTGCACGTTGCAAATTGGCGCCCCACCTAACACCAGCAAAGGCCCCCCAACACTCCGCTTTGTACCAGTTAGGCACAACCAGAGGGGATCACAATGGGTCTGTTCCCGCCAGAGATCCGACATATTCGGTAATGCACAAGCCTCCGACATTCAAACATGCTATATCTATGGCCATGCTGCGGCTGGAAAGTGAGCATTCATTTGACGTTGATTCGATCATGTTGGGGAATTTCCTGGCTGATTTTGGTAAACTAATGACTAGTACGTTGTTGACAGTGCCGATCAGGGACCCTGCTGGGGTTTTGAAGGCATGCGGGTCGCGGGCAATATAGAGTCGATCAATTGCTTGAATGGGCAGCAGGCGGAGGCCCACTCGGTCCCTTCCGGTTGGGTTGTGCCCCTTAGCAAAAAATCAGTAGGGTCAATTGGAACACTGCGGCGTAAAGCCAAGATCTTGTTTGGTGGGAATTGCCCAGCCTCCAGTGGGGGTGAAGTGTCAAAATACTGCAGATCAGCGGCTCATTAAAAATCCCGGGCTCGTGGAGCCGTGTCAGCTCGGCTCCTGACCCAGTTTGGGCCATCAAGCCCTAGAACGTTGAACGGCTGACAATGAACTGGAGAAGGTTCGTATAGCACGCAGATCTTAATTTACCTACAATCCATTGTTTCAGGGCATATTTAAATCGCCCTGGGTGGACTTGACCCAAACCATACAGGGGTATATCGGCGTAGTCATAAACTTATGGGGGTCTGAACAACCTCAACTTCCCGCAAAAGTTGTACGATCGACAGGGATAGATTATTGTGGTAGCTTGTCACAGTCAGAGGAGAGTGATCTAGTGCTCGCCAAGCTTGGAGCTTAATTTCCCAGCGAAAATAAACATGCCTTTGGTATAGAATTCTAAAAGTCCCATCAGACTGCTGCATTTGGATCTCTCATTTAAACCAAGGATTACTATCCTTAGAAGCTCCAGTCTGCTGGCTCCGGATGCTACTGGTCATAATTAGATCAATCCTCACCCGCCAGCATCAAACCGACAATGCGTTTCTTTCCTGCAGTTGCTGCTTTTTTTGCGATCTCTGTGATAGCGGAAACTGCCCAAAAAATGCAACAGGAACAACTGGAGAAACTGGCGGCTGCTCTCCCCTCCTGTGCGGTAAGTACTGAAATATCCCTGTCACCTTGATCATTAGCTGGAAAGAGAACCTGACATTGTGAAGCTTGAGTGCATGAAAGTTTCACTGCCGCAATCTTCCTGCACTCTCACTGACCAAAAGTGCCAATGTACGGACGTTAACTACACTGCCACTCTTGAGCGATGCGTCGCCACTACCTGCACTATCCGTCAATCTCTGAGTAAGATGAACGCTCAATTACGCTGAATACATTTACTAACAAATAAGCTACCAAAAATGTCACGTCCTCCGCATGTGGAGCTCCGCTTCGAGATAGAACTGCGCTTGTTTCATACCTTGGTGTCGGTGGTGGCGTCCTAGCACTCATCGCCTTTATCCTTCGGATGGTCGCACGACTAAGGTGCTGTGGTGGTACTTTTGGCATGGACGATTGGACAATGATGTTGACGATGGTAAGCAAGGCTGAAATTGACAGAATATGAATTTTCTGGGCGCTTACATATCCCAGTCTCTCGTTATTCCACTATCTGCACTTTCCGTTGTTTGTATGTTTCTGTTGATTGCTTGGTTCGATGTTGTTTTACTTACAGTTGATAGTGGCCGACGCTGGGCTGGGAAAGGACATGTGGACAATTCCTTTGGATAATGTCACCAGAATCCTCTATGTTCGTGCACAAATATTGTACTCCAGGCAATGTCTATCTTTCTAATGGAAGCAGATTTACTTCTGGGATGAATTGATTTATCTGTCCATTCTGCCATTAACCAAGATCTCCATCTGCTGCTTCTACCTCCGCATTTTTCCCGACCGACGCCTCCGCACTGCAACTTATATTGTCATTGGGTTGAATGTGAGTTACTTGATTGCCTTTGTTTTAATCTCGGTGTTCCAGTGTCGGCCACTACATGGCGCATGGCTCCATTGGGACGGGGAGGGCAATTATCAATGCAATCATATCAATGCACAGGGGTGGGCTGCGGCAATAATCAACATGGTGCTTGATATATTGGTCATGGTTCTTCCTCTGCGACAGCTTTACAATCTAAACCTTTCCACGAGAAAGAAGGCATACGTGATGTGCATGTTCAGTTTGGGTATTTTGTACGTTCTAGTGAGCAACCAAATTATGTGAGATCTGAAACTGATTTGAAGCTTAGTGTGACTCTTGTGAGTATCCTGCGACTGAATTCACTCATTCACTTTGCCAGCACCACAAACTTGACATGTGAGTAATCCTCAAGATTATTGGCTTGATAAACAGCAGATCAACTAACAGTTGCTAGGGGACTATGTGAGTGTTGGATACTGGAGTACGGTCGAAGTAGACGTGGGTGTAATCTGTGCCTGTTTGCCTGCAATTCGTTCTTTACTACGTCGCGTCTCTCCAGGATTATTTGGTGATACAGAAAAAGCCAAATCATACGGCATGAACTCTCGTTCTCCTGGGACCGGGTCTCGATTTGAAGGAGGATCTCACGTGCAGAGCAAGAATGAGGACCGGCAGTTTTACCCCCTTGACGATATCGACACTTCTAGTGAAACCCGGCTACATCATTAAGCGTGACGATTCTCTCCGGAGCGCGTGTGCTTAACTCTTTGCCTTGGATATGTGAATAAATTATAGCTTTAATACCTCTGCACATGAGACCTAATTTTTAAACTTCATCAATCAAAATATCTATGGACGAGTTAAAGGTACCGCTGGCATGCCGTTACCATGACTTTAACATTTGGTATGGTGTTTATCTCTCAAAAATGGAGCAAAGTGTTAGCTAATATACCGATTGCCTAGAAAGCCTAAAAGGAAGGAGGTCCCTACTAGAATACTGACACTTTGATGTTCACGGGTATTGTTCGTAAAATTTTCGGCAATACTTAGGGGCTCTTGGGGTTCAAGTGCCCCTGAACCCCCATTTGCCTAGTCCAAACGTGGACCAGCAACACATCTAGATCATCAAGCGCACATTGACTTGGACATGTCTTAGTAGCTTTGTGGCGTCGTGGCTTTATGGGTCCTAATTTCAACATGCGCAAAGCGGTCCCGAGGTGGTGGGTGTGCTTAGTATTGGCGCCCTAAAGACCATCCTCCCCACAATAATAAATTGCAGGCCTGAACAAACAAAAGCACAAAAATTCAGAACGGTATAGCGTCACCGTTGGACCGTTTGCCTTGAATGTTATAAGATCGGCATGTCAGACGGCATGGGATAGGCGCTAGCCTCTCAGCACAAGGTCTCAAGGCGCAATGCAAAATTATTAACTAGGCAGTAACTGCCGTGTCCCAAATAACGGCACAGAATGTATATCCTCTATACATTGGCAGTGAGAATGTTGTACAATGTCATGAAGTATTGAACGTCTTGATGCATTATATCTGCTCTACCTGGTGCCTTTTTTCACTTCTCTTTCACTTTCACTTTTGACTATTTTCGAAGCTCTCGAGCGAATCCTTCAGATAATATTGAAATATGAGTGTGAAAAGAAGGCATATTCCTCTGTTTTACAACCACGACAATAGCCAAGGTCAATACGAGACCGGCCCCTCCACATGTATGGAGCTCCTGAGCTAGTTTCCGAATCAGACCGAATTGGTAACATATTAAGGAATACGACCCGCTAAGAAAAACAAACCAACTTCAAAATAGAATGGCGATGTCGATCATACTGCAAGCAGAATGAAAGCACGGTAGGAATACGGTCAGGGATGGTCCTGTAGAGAGTCCCAGGGGTCAGGGCTTCTCGGCTTATAATAGCTGATGATGGTAGTAGATACAAGCCGCTTTTGAATCTCATATATTCTGTCTTTACCTCGTTTGACTATTGTTGTGTTGTGTTGCGCTTTCATTTTCGTTCTTTCGGGATTTTATTCTGAGGTCTTCCCTTATCTCAACCACTCGCCATGCGTCTCTCTGCAGTGGCTGGGTTATTATCCACTCTTTCAGTTGTGCTAGCTTCGTATGTGCCATACCTCTATAGGCGTTTCCCTCGAAGCCAACTTGGATACATCATGTCAGAAACTAACCAAATGTTGTAGAAGTCATAGTTCAAACCCCCGGCACCATGATGCATATAAGAGGTCCTCTGGTGATGCTTCCACGTCATCCGAATACGACTATGTGGTGGTTGGATCTGGTCCTGGTGGTGGTCCTCTAGCAGCGCGATTGGCAATTGCCGGATATAAAGTGCTTCTTTTGGATGCCGGTGATGACCAGGGTAATGCTACCCGGCAAATCGTCCCTGCCTTGCAGCTACAGTCCACCGAGTATGAGCCGATGAGATGGGACTACTTTGTGAACCACTACTCGAATACTTCACGCCAGGAGGAAGACACCAAAATGACATACCGGACTCCTGGAGGGGGACTTCATGTCGGACCTGATGCACCTGATGGTTCTGAACCTTTAGGCATCATGTATCCAAGGGCAGGAACCTTGGGAGGTTGCTCTGCCCACAATGCCATGATGTGAGTCTTCATCCTTCTATGCAAGCAAGAGGCTAAATGAGCTTGAAGGTTAACAATCACCTCAGTACTATTTACCCGTACGAGAATGATTGGGAGCACTTGGCCGCTCTCACTGGCAATGAGTCCTGGTCTGCCTCAAACATGCGAGGATACTTCGAACGATTAGAGCGTAATCGATATATCCCGAGCGGCCTGCTCGGTCATGGATTTGAAGGATGGCTCACCACAAGTCTGACCGATTTGCGTCTCGTCATTGAAGACCAAAAGCTCCTTTCTCTCATTCTTGCCGGTGCGACAGCTGCGGGTCAGACTCTGTTGGGTAAAATAGTCAACACTGTGACGGGCCTTGCAGGTGTCCTTTTACGCGATCTAAACAACGCCTCACCGACACGTGATTACTATACCGGCCCATACCAGGTGCCTCTTGCTGTGGATGTTCCCGAGTACAAGCGTACCGGCCCACGAGAGTTTCTCATGAAGACTGTCAATGCCGTCAACTCGGATGGCACTCGCAAGTATCATCTTGACATTCAGCTGAACACGCTAGTGACCAAGGTCAGCTTTGATACCTCTGGACCCAAGCCGCGTGCTCTTGGTGTGGACTATCTCTTGGGTCAGAGCCTCTATCGTGCGGACCCCCGCGCATCTCGCACATCCTCTAACGGTACACCTGGTAGTGTGAATGCTGCTCGTGAGGTAATTCTATCTGCAGGCTCATTCAACACGCCCCAATTGTTGAAGCTTAGTGGAATTGGCCCAAATGAGGAGCTGTCTGAGCTGGGTATCTCCACGCTGGTGAACTCGCCCGGCGTTGGTTCGAATCTCCAAGACCGCTACGAGATCGGCACAATTGGAAAATCCCCGACTGATTTCGTCCTCACCTCTAAATGCACTTTCATGTATACCATGCCCGATCCCTGTCTGGAACAGTATGACAATGATCCTTTGTTCAAGGGCACCTATACCACCAATGGAATTGCCATTGCGATCATCCGCAAGTCGTCCGTCGCCGAGGATGAGCCGGATCTGCTGATTTCGGGGGCCCCTGTCAACTTCCCTGGTTATTATCCCAACTATTCATATGAAGGTCTCAAAGATGCGCAACACTGGACTTGGATCACTTTGAAGTCACGCAGTCGCAACAACGCAGGCACAGTGAAGCTGCGCTCCACTGACCCCCGCGACATGCCCGAAATTACCTTCAACTCATTTGATTCCGGCGTGACAGAGAACGATGCCGATGAGAAAGACCTCCAGGCTGTTTACGAAGCTGTGGAGTTCTCTCGCACAATCTTTGATGATCTCGTTCCTCTCGACGGTGGATTCGACGAGGTCTGGCCGGGTCCCAACGTTACCACCGAGAGAGAGGTCAAAGACTTCATCAAGCAGGAGGCTTGGGGTCATCATGCCTGCTGCACTGCTGCTATCGGAGAGGACAGTGATGAAAATGCCGTGCTGGACTCAGACTTCAGAGTGCGTGGCGTTGATGGTTTGCGTGTTGTGGATGCCTCGGTGTTCCCAAAGATTCCCGGATACTATGTCGCGTTGCCTATCTACATGATCAGTGAGAAGGCTGCTGAAGTTATTATTGCCGAAGCCGTTTGATGTCGTTCGTGACAGACTATCTATCACCTTTGTACCTGGCATGATGTTGTTCTCTTGTCTATGGTAGAGCACGAATGAGGGATACTGTAGGATAAGAGTGAAGCTAGTTAATATTGAAAGTTTTCATAAATCCTAGCATCTTGAAAATTTATGTTGAAACGGGGATGGCACGATGGCAGTCTGACATAGCAGACGGGTCGATACTAACGAAGAGATCACACAACCACTCCCATGGCCTGATGTAGACGTAGAGAACAGTCTCTGAAGGTGTACATCGTACTGGGCCTGACGCTATATCATGAATCAAGAAGTCTGGTGAATAACTATAGGCATATTGAGGTTGTTAGATCATGCTGAGATATCCATGCAGGAGAAGACTGCATGTCTGCTAAGGCATTTATGATACCTCAGGCCGTTAACATGCTACTGTCACGGGATTCACCACTACAATATCAAATAAAACAGTGGATATATGTCCTTCTACATCCCCACTCTCGATGATCTAAATGGTTCACTCGAGGCACTTGAAAACGGGCGAAGAAGAGACGAAAGAAGTAAAGCGAAGTTAGAGCACAACTGACGCATGAAATGGCACTTCCTGGGTGGAAGTGTACACTGCAGTCTTAGAACGGGCTTTAAATCGGCTGGAACCACAATTTCCACTCAAGCATATTTTGGAGACCGCCGTTGCTAAAGTGAAGCTCAGCCTTCGCAATCTGGAACAGATCATCGAAACTTGTGAAGTATTATCGACATCTAGTCGCCTTATTTATCTGCTACTATATTCAAATTATTCTTTCGGAATCAAGCTCGTGGCCCGCGTTATTTTAATCAATGTTTTGGCACTTTGAGGATCTGCAACTATGATCACATCGCCCCAGTCCTAGTGAGCAAGGGTAATACAGGCAGTAGAAAGAGTAGTAATACGCATTTTAGGATGCAGAGAAGCTCATTGCTGATCCTCCACCCGAAGACCAGCTTAGGCCCAGGTAATACAAAAACAAGGCATGAAACGGTACAGGGTGTCCCGTACTTGGCCGCATAGAGCAAAAACAAAAAGCAAAAAAACATACAACAGTAAGGATTCGCTAGTGGGCACCCACCTAACTACTAACTTACCGGCGTGTGGCTTATGCGCGGAGAATAGTTGGGTGGGTGTCGCCCGGGTGAGTTTAGGGTGAGAGTCGCGCGACCGGGGGTGACAAGGGTGAGTGCTCTATAGACGGGGTGAGAACTAGGTGAGAATCCTGCGGGCCGGCGCGACCGCCGCACTGACCCTGTTAGTTGGGCGAGAGAAGAGCACCATTGGGCCACGACCCCCCTAGCTGAAACAGCCCACCTCTTGGCATCTACACACAGCCCCCTTCCTAGGTGTCTGGCTTTCGACTAGGCCAACGGGCTGATTTTCGATAGTGAGATTGCAAGCATTGTCCTTAGACTTCCGCAAAGCCCATTTTGGGCCCAAGGTTCCGGCCCAGAACCCAACCCAGCCTGGGCCCGGGTTGAACTTCATTAACCCGGGCCCAACCCGGGCCCAGCACTGGGCCCCTAGTAAACCTAGTTTGGACCCAACTCGGCCCAACTTTTGCATTATTTCAATCATAAAACTGCTCAGTCATCAAGATAACTCACTGTTTTTTACATCGGTTTTGATCTATACCTTGAACCACCATACTTTTCTAGTATAACTAGAGTGTGTTCAAAGCTATAAACGCGTATGATCAACCTTAAATAAGTAGTTATGGTTCTTTAGGCTCAGAAAGGTCAGACTTTGCTATGGTTTTCATAATATTTGACTTATGACCTTTTTATTGACCTTATATTAGATATACGTAGATAAGTTCTATAGGCGACACTACAGGTTTTCTGACGGCCGTCAGAAATCATAGTGTAAATATATATAGTGTGCGGATATATATTTCACAATATACAGTGTTTGTATACCTATAAATACTTGAAAAAACCACTATGGAATTCGGGTATTGTTACTTTAAATCTTATATATTATATATACTAATTATATTCTTTATTATTCCACTATATTCGACTAGTAGCTAGTAAGATTATATAGATTGTAGGTCTTTTTAAGTACTTATATAAACCCGGATAGGTAAGGCAGGATAAAACTTTTTGACGATCTTAGGTGGAAGCTAGGGTGGAATTAGGCTTTCTAGGTTTTTGCTAGGTTTTTACTAGGGGTTTGCTAGGTTTTCTAGGTTTTGGCTAGGCTTTCTAGGGTTTTGCTAGGTTCTTGGTAGGCTTTCTAGGTTCTTACTAGGTTATTGGGCTAGATAGATATAGAGGTGGAGTAATATAACCAATAAACCACGCGGATACGTTTTAAGGTCCTCTTCTAAATTGATCTATCGCGTTTGCTTTATTTACACACCGTCATTAGATATTATTGCTCCGTAAGTCCTCTATTCCCCCTCTATCACTTATTTTACACTTATTCAATTTATCATGTCACAAAACCAGTAGTCTAACTTCGCGTCCTCTCTTTATGATGGCGATTAGACCTTGACATTTCCCATGGGACGTCCGCCATGGGACTGTCCATGGGACTCCCATGGGAGTGGGTCTAGTCCCATGGGAATTTCCATGGTGGGACTAAAAAAAAAATAGTCCCATGGGAGTGGGTCCGGTGGGACTAAACCTCCGTGGGAATTCCCATGGGACTTATGGGAATTCCCATGGGAGTAAAATACGTACGTAATCTATGTTTAGTATATATTTTCATTCTATATAAATAGGTAATTTTAGTTATAAGTAGGTAATACCTATTTAGAAGAGCTATTTCTATATAGATATTATAAAATAAGTTTATATTTTAACTTTTTTTACAAAGTACGAAAAATACGCGATTTACATACAAACTAGAAGTGCTTATATATATCTCTCCCCTCTATATATCTCCTAAATAGTTAGGATAATATATAATATATCCTACGTTTAAACGGTTTATACACTTTTTATAGCCCTATAGGCTAAGTTAAGTCTATTATAGCTATTTTAAAATAGGCTAAAAATAGCCTAAACTCATGGGAAATTTTTATACTCCCATGGGACTCCCATGGGAATTCCCATGGTGGGACTAAAAAAAAATCTAGTCCTATGGGAGTGGGTCTGGTGGGACTAAACCTCCGTGGGAATTCCCATGGGACTTAGTCCCATGGACACGGGACTAGATTTTGGCTAGTCCCATGGGAAATGTCTAGGTCTAATGGCGATATAGATAATATCAGCTATCTTGCGCTATTAAACCACCTAGCGACTCCCTCTAGTAGCTAGTATACGATCGATCCCTTTGACACTAACTTCCTCCGACCGACAATTCCGCCAATACTCCTATCCTTCTTACAACGCGTTAGACCTGACCGAAGGAAGGCGTTTATTCTCTACGATAAAATGACCTATAACGAATAGGTAGAATAGTGGCTATAAACCGACTTTAGGAGGAAGAGCAAGATTGTCTAGGACTTAACGCGCTATTCGGAGATTTGGAGCCACTACAATCAGGTTGCTTATAGTATAGATAGTGCACCAAAGGTTATATACCAACGTTGTGGAAATATTCTTGAGCACCCTAATATAGTTAATACGAAGGCTATAGGTAAAATACAATATTATAGTATATCGACAATATAGAGACATCTTAAGATAGCGGCTTATTTAAAGAGCGGATATACAAAGAAATCATAGATTACCAAATTTCTAAAGCAAGCAGTACGTTCGGAGTAACCCTTTTATTCGATTTTATTTACTAATAGTAATACTAAACTTAGGAAGATATCGAAATACCGTTCTCGTAAATAGCCTAGGAAAAAGATATCCTACAATTTATCACACTCAATCGGCTTCTACTTTATCTTATTAAGTATCTAGTATTTCAGCGTCTTATTTCTCGGGCTCGTACCGCTCTATCACCTCCGATCATCCTATCTACTAATATAATTCGTCGCCGACTAGGGAGCATTGTTAAAGATCGGCAAGAGCGGATACTTCGAACACTGCCTATTGGTTCGAAAATCTCAATTGCACTTGATTGCTAGATATCTCTATTCTCATAGGCGTTTATAGCAATCATAGGCTACTTTGTAGATATTGATTAGGTATATCGTAAGGTACTACTTAGGTTCAAACCTCTCTACGGTGCGTATATAGGCGCGAATCTAAGCAATATTCTTCTTTAAACTCTGATCGAGTATAACCTTAAAGCCCGAGTGTTTAGGTTAACAACGGACAATACTTCAAACAATAAGACATTATTTGATTCCCTCTAACAGGGTCTATCAGATAATGTTATTATTGTTCGAATCCTATACCTTGCTTACGTTATCTAACTTAGTCTAAACTAGCTCCTTAATCGCATTAAAATAGTTCCACTAAATGACTTAACTAAGACAAAATAGACAGAGAAGCAATCAAGATTAGCTTATTTAAATACGCAGCATCGGAATCGTGAGATATCCTTTATATTGAACAAGGTCCGCTATCTTGCTATCTATATGAACGTAAGCCCTTAGCGCCGGGAGATATTTTACAATCTCTAGATAAGCACCGTGAAGCTAGTACCGATCCAAGATATAAGGACTCGGTGGAATTCAACCTTTCTAATACTACGTCGGGCAAAACGTCTACGTCCGATCTTTGCGCTATTTTGTGCAGAGTATGATTGCGAAGAGATACTACTCTATAAGGACAAGTGGCGTTAAGTTAACTATCTTCTTTGTATCACTAAGCCATTTTTCGCCTACACAACTTAGCTATCGAAGACTCGAGATATTACTACGCATTACGTCTTCAAGATCTACAATAAACTCTTTGAGTATCTTGAGTGTTTAATAAAGTAGCTACGACGTAAGCGTATGCTATAGAAGAAATAGATACTTTACGCACTTGAAGCTAGTCGGTTAAAGCTTGATAAGTACTACTCCTAAACCGATAATATTCGAGGATATATCTATATAATCAGTATAATACTAGCGCCCGTAAACAAG